AATAGACCAGCCTTTTGCATTTATTGCTTCAATAGCTGTAACCCACTTGCGGTTCCCTGGCTGCGTTGTCCTTGGTCTGCCTTTTCTTTCTGAGGCTGTGATCACCTTCGAAGTCGAGATAACGCCCATTTGAAAGCCAGTCTCATCAAAGTTAAAGATATCCTCTTCCGTAACACCATATTTCTCGATTGTATCTCGTACTAGTTTGAACCATAAGCTGATTAGCTTTGGGTCCTCACATTTTGCTCTTTGATAGTCAAACTTGCGATTGTAAACGCTAGAAAGCTCTGGATGGCGTTTCACAAACTTAGCAACCCAATTTATGCCGACTCTTTGAGGACTAGTTGGCTGCTTGCTTCGCAGCATTGTATTCGCTATATCTTCAACAACAGCGCGCCGAGGAGGGAATCCTTGCTTCGATAAATAGAGAATCTTCTCGACTATGAGCTGCTCTTCATCATTGTTAAGTTTACGCGAGTTCGCAAGGGTTTGCGCGCGTGGGTGGATGCCGAGGTGTCTTTCGCGGAGGGTTTCAAATGGAACGTCGTATGCATTTGCTGCAGCTCGAAGAGATGGAACTTGGTGGGTAATATATGCTTGAAGGGCTAAAGAAAGTCTTCCCTCAGTTTGAGAGAGCATTGTAGGCAAATATTGTCATATAATAAGAGGAAGAAGCTCGAAGACGCGTTGTGGGCGCGTTTTGACCGGCTCGGTGGTGTGACCGGCTCGGTGGTAGGGTACGTTATCGGCGACGCGCGCAAATCGACGTCACCATACACACTATCTTTTGGTTATCCGGGTATGCAGTGTTCGTTCATCGCCATCCTACGATGCACGAAGCGTGGGATCTCGGTAAACTGACGCGGGCCTGTAAAGTGATCGACGGTTGACTTCACTTTTCCCAACATCGAGTTCTTGCCATGCCGGAGCCCTCGACCGACCTCCGCTCTCCCGTGACTCTTCCCACGCTGCACCGAGCTTCAAGCAGCCTGGTGAATGTCACAACATCGCGGGCGAAAACAGAGCCTCATCCTGCGGAAGCGAATCGCCATGGTGGACTTGGATCGCATAGGCGCAACCAGTCCAGTCGAGTGCGGACTCGAGACAAGATCGCTTCGCAGGCGTCATCGTATAGGCAACATGCGAGGGACACCGTCCAGTCGGCGATAGAACTGAAGCCGCCGATCAGCCTCGATCATCTTCTCCGAAGAGAAAAGAGAATTTCGAACACCAGCAAGCAAGGTGCTCTTCCAGCTGCTCAGCCGCTATGGGAGGAAGCAGGGAACACTGTCGTTCAGGAGACTGTGCAAGACCAAGCTCGGTGGAGGCTACAAGTCGGCCCGGCGGAGATTGCGAAGGTCAAGGAAACAAATGTCCAGCGGGAGGCTGATCTTCGTGAGAGCCTTAAACATATCGAGGATACGGCGATGAGCAGTATACGCGAGCTTGATTCGACGTACTATGCTGTGCTGGAGAAAGCTGCAACTTTACGGTCTACGGTCTCTAGCCTCCAACGTCTGGCCGAGGAAAGCCAGCGCATGAATGCCGAATTCAGGAACGAAAGTGCAAATTTGGAACAGCGGACGACCAGAAGTCTTGATAGCCTGGACGGTTATAATGCTCAAGAGCGAACGATCAACGATTTGGTCGCAAAACTAGAAAACGCGCAAAGTAAAAGGGAGAGACTCAACCAGCGCCTCGAAGATGCACAACTCCGCATGGAGAAGTTTGAGCTAAGATCGAAAGAGCTCAGCAATGCTCGCCGCAGTCGATGGAGAGTACTTTGGACCGTCGTCGTGACTTTGATCGTCCTGTCATGCGCAATCGTGTTTGCAAGGGATGGCAATACCAAGGGAATTTCAAATACCGAAGCTGCTGTCACCTTGGTGGAGAATATTGCCTCGCCGTTCCAAACAGCGACCACATCACAGACCACACAAAGTAGGGATCCTTATTTGGAAAATCTCTTCGATAGGTTGTAAGTGGGGCATCATCAAACATTTCCTCGACATCTAAAGACTCTATAATTCGCCTGTGAGTCTTCTATCGTCTTCTCATCGCTTGACTTCAGTCGCGCGCCGCATTAACAGACCTTATCCACTCGTCGTCGCCCCGATTTAAGTGAGAAGGACTCGGCGGCGCTGGCGAAAACCGCGAACGTCCCAAGTTTTGATCTTTTGAAACACGTGAGAGCGAGGGAAGCGATTGCAACGAGTGAAATGGCCGTCGTACCGTAATCATTAGGCCCGCAAATGTATGATCATTACTGTGACCCTCACCGTGGAATAGGTGGTTGATTTTGTCCTCCAATAATTGTTGTACATATTTTACAGAGTGTCGGTCTTCGCCGGTTTTGTCATACCATGCTTCTTCCCATAATTAAACACGGTGCCCTCCATGTCGGGTCCGATGAATAGCCATGCTACAGCTGTGACCCAGCTGAACAAGGTGTCAACTACCCAACTATCCCGAGGACTTCCACCCAGTGCGCTCGCTCGCATCGCATGACCCAGGAATTGAGTCGTGATCAAGAAACCTCCCTTTTCGAGCCCCTTGATTGCTGCTGCTGCTACTTCGTCTTCATTCTGCGCTGGGTCGCCCTTTTCGAGAAGCTTGGTGACTTCGTGCTTCGTGATCTCCTCGTTTTCATGGCCAGGGCTTGTGATGGTGCCAGGGCAGACGCAATGGACCTTGATGTCGGTAGCTGGCCCATTCACAGGATCCTTCCTACGAGCACCGTTGTACAAATTGAACTCCGAACGCAGGGTATCGGCCAAGGATCGCATCGCTGCTTTGGCCGGGGCATATGGTGAATAGCCTGCGACACCGACGAAGCAGATTGTGCTGGATGTCATGATGAAATGTCGAGGCTTGATGGTCTTCGGCTTTGACGACTCCGCTTTCGTGGGTGATGGTTTCAACCATTCCTTGAGCGTCGCTTGGGCAAGGTAAGCAGCTGCCCAGTAGTTGATGTCCATTTGAGATCGGAGGGTCTCGATGGGAGTGTCGATGAAGAGATCCGGCTGGCTCATACCAGCATTGGCCCAAACAATGTCAGGAGGGTTGCCATTGTTCCATGCCGTCACTTCCTTCAAGATTCGGGTATTTTCCTCGGGCTTGGTAACATCGGCACTTATCGTAAGGAACCTTTGACTTGAAGGATTCTTCGCTGCAGACTGCAATGAAGGTCAGAACGAAGGCTTCCGGGCTCGCCACTTTGAAAAGCCTACCGAAATATATTTCAAAGCATCATCGAGCTTCTTTTGGTTCCTTGCTACAACGACAATGTTGGCACCCTTTTGTGCAAGCAATTTTGATATCCCGCGGCCCATGCCCTGGGAGCCGCCGGTAACGATGACAGTCTGTTTAATGAATTAGAATTACGATAATGCTGCCAATGACAACGCCGCGAAGAGAAACGTACCCGACCATCGACATCGAAGTGGGTTTTGAAAGAAAATAGGCCCATGATGTCCAGAGCAAGCACCAAAACCACGAGAGCCAGACCCGCACTCGCCCAATAGACTCCAGCAGCCATAGATTAGTTAAGCTGCGGACGTCGGATGTAGCTATTTGAAGTACGTCAACATTCTAAAGGCAACCTCGCCTTGAGCAACGGCCGTTTCGATGAAAAGGAGTCCGGATGGGCAGTCATTAGATGTCTTGGCAACGGCATTGTCACAAGCCAGCTCTATCAGCCCTGTACATCTCCATCATCCCCACAAAGAGCCCCACCCGATCGTCCAGAGGTCGAACTTTCCAAACAAAACTCAACCTTGGAACTTGTGTTTCATCGACTCACGTAATTGGACTCTGCCGAGAACGCGATTCCACATTCGGCGCGATGGTGTATTACTTCACGTCAAACATTGTTGAGCCTGCGGCCTTCATCTACGTAGGCAAGGACAAAGTAGAAAGTACGACGATCGACATGAACACACCTCGCAACGGGACCCGAACGCTAACAGGGCTAGAGATGAGGACCTGATCGCGCACGGCTGGCCAGAGGACGTCTGGTTCCACGTCGACAATCTTTCCTCCGCCCACATCTACCTGCGCATGCGCGACAACGAAACCTGGGACAACATCCCCGAAGAGCTGCTCACGGACTGTGCGCAGCTCACCAAGGCCAACAGCATTGAGGGCAACAAGAAGGACAATGTCACGGTCATCTATACGCCATGGAGCAATCTGAAGAAGAGCGGGAACATGGCGACCGGACAAGTCGGGTTTAAGGACCAGAAATTGGTGAAGCGATTATACGTCGAGAAGCGCGAGAATCCCATCGTCAATCGCCTGAACAAGACCAAGGTCGAAAAGTTCCCCGATCTCCGCCAGGAGAAGGCAGATCGCGAAAGGGAGTTGCGGAAGATTGAAAGGATTGCTGCGCAGGAGAAGGTCAGATCCGTGATGAGCGATGACACGCGATACCTTCGAATGCTGACATGCTTGCTGTAGAAAAAGGAAGATGCCAAAATAGCCGAGGAACGAAAGCGGATCAAGTACCAAAAGGAGCATATGTACGATGATCTGCACACCGAGGATAACATGGCCATCACGTCCAACGAAGACCGGGACGCCGATTTCCTGGATGATTTTATGTAGGAATGATAGACAAGCTGCATCTCCTTCAGGGCGACTTCGAGGATGTTTAGAACAATCCAAACACTAGCAGCGCCGTCTGATCCCTCATACGTAGTCCCTATCTGCGAAGCTCTGGATGAGTCCTTCGGGAGTAGCATCATACTCCTTCAGCGTAACGTCATCGCCGTCCAGGAATGTGTTGGCCTGCACGAAGACCTTTCTCGGCTTCGCCTGCCTCAAAACCTCCGGTCTCAACTTGGTGGCGTAGAATTCATTGACGTGCGTGATTCCCTCATAGAGTGCTTTTCCAGCCTCGAGATCTGCCGTCGCCTTGTAGACCTGCAACTTCTGAAGAAACTTGTTGATAGCAGGGCGACCGTGTGACTCGATCTTGTTGCGATCGAGATGGATGTTGAGGTCGGAGACATCTTCCTTTGTGTGCCGTAGCTCGCAGAATTCGGGCCCTGCCTCGAGGAACACTTGGAGGATAGCAAAGCGAGCTTGCATGTGGCTGTGAAACGGGTATCAGTATCAAGCTACGCAATTTCGAGCGACTGCTGCATCACTTACGCTTGACCCCATTTTCGTGACGCTGGATCCCAAAACTATGAGAAGTGTCAGTAATGTGTTCTGAGTTCCGGACGTAGACGAGGCAATTACCTGCAAAGCCGCCAACCCGGCCCGGGCCATTTGCAGATAGCAGACGAAGAGAACGTCGCCTGCCTTTCCGTTGATATCCTGGCTGATGTCAGCGTCAAGTTTAGAGGCATACGTTCGAGAGCACAACTACCTCACGGCCATCTCCGAAGCCGAAAATTTGGAGAATGCTGTAATCGGGGCAGAGGCTCATGGCCACGCTTTCTGCTCTGCACTCTTCATAGCTAGGACCCATGCCTCCGAAGACAGTACCCCAGGTCTCGCCAGGCTTGTACCACTTCGTGATTGGTTTGCCATCAAGAGGACTACTTGGAGGATTCTTGACGTCGAAGTTGTAAGAACCAGGTTCCGTCTCTTGGAGGAGCTTACCGCAGCCGTGGCCAAGCAATTCGTGAAGGCCAACCTGCACTTCGAATGCGTCGTCTTTGTACTTATCCCACACTTCCTGGTCCTCGTTTCGAATGAAAGGTGTGGGCTCCTTAGGAGCCGCAGCACTCAGCACGTTGCCTAGGCTGACATTCTTGAATCCTGTGGAACGTCAGAATATCATTTCAAAATGCGTTGATCGATGAGTTACCTTCGTTCTGACGAACAACATCTGAGTAGATTTCAATCAGTACTTTGAGATCCGTGAATATAATAGGCATTATTGTGCTTACCGTAATTTGGGATATTGATACCTTTGGACCTGGTCAGCCAACTTCTTCATAAGGGCGTTGTAACAATCCTACTCACCTGCGGGAATGCCGCTCGATCCAAAACTCAGAACCTCCAAAGAGGTGAAATCGGGAGAGAGAAACTTGTCCTTTTCGAAGGCTTCCGGCCATGGCAATTTCGACACATTCGTAGGGGCAGACTCGACGAGTTTCGTGAACGCCTTCGTACGTTCCTTATTGATCATGGCGGCGAATCCTTCCCATTCGCCTCGAATTCCATGTGGGTCTCTGTAGGTTTCAATGAAACCAATATTACACTCGACGGGGACATTAATGTCTTTGATCCAGCGGCGTTGAGATTCGAGGTGGGCGAACATGGATCCGTCATGGAAGGCTTTGACATACTCCGAATGCATAGCTTTTTGCACATCATTGAGTGCATGGTCCCTGGCTCCAGCCATAGACTCGGCGATCTTGCCCATCTCCACATGGTGATCACCGTAGCACAAGCGGAGCTTCTTGCCCTGGAGCTTGCCGCCAAGTGTCCACTCAGATTCCTTCAGATCACGGATATCTGGATTGGTTGTTGCAGAAGCGATCAATAACTCAAAGTCACCTTCTTTGGTCTTGCGGAGCCTGTGATCTGGTTATCAGGACCGAACATGACTGTGCTTTGGTTCGATCTTACCTGGTATTTTCAGGCATCAGTCCTGTCTCCTTGATGAAGTCTGATGTGATCGTGATCTCTTCGGTAGTGATCGGGTTTTCCGGGGTGTCTAAGTAGTAGGCGGAGACATGACCTTGGTCAGGATAGCCAAGGTGCATCTTGCTGATCGGGGATGATTGATAGAGATGATCCTTCACAGCACTCCAAAGCTTTTCAGTCTCGGGAGAGGTCTTGGCCAACGCTTCAATCGATGCGGACGGCAGGCGGGGAATGAATTTCGAATCACCCTGACGAGAACAGACTGTGAGCATAGACATCTTCGCTATGGTCGAAACCTACTTACGAAGGACTTGTAATTTCCAAGGTTGCCAATGAACTGAGCTGCATAATTGAGGAAGTGTCGAAGATCATCGTCTGAAAGCTTGGCCTCTGACTGGAGCTTCTTCCAATCACCTGAAGTTATTGTCAACACTACGAAACCTCCGCGCAAGTATCTGCAGTGTCATACCATTGCTTGACTTGTGCAGGGCCAGAATGAAGTCGTAGATGGCTTCGGACTCTGGCGAACATTGGCGTAAATTGACTCTTGTTCCAGAGAACGACGCTCGACTTATGTAGTGCGCGTACTTCTTCTCCTGCTGGGAGAGTGCCTCGAAGTGAGGTTTGATCGAAAGCTGAGGCAAGAAGTCAGCGGCTAGAAAGCCTATACAGATATCATCATCAGTGACACACCGGAACCACGGTTGGTGGATCATCCGCCAGATACTGCTTCAAAGTTGCTTCATCCATCTTGCTTTGATGCAATGAAGTAATGTAGGAGTTCAAGGTCTAAAGCAAGCAAGCTTCCAGTTACGGAAAATGAATTCGACTGTGGCGGCTGTCTGCTTTTAGCCGTTGTATATCTGTATAGGAAACTAACGGCCTGGCGATGAAACTACAGTTGTTCGGTGGGTTCGTAGTTATTACCAGATATTCTTGCATTGGAGTCAGGCGAGCTCACGTGGCCACTTTGGGGGAGAGCTAGTGACGACCTGCATAGTGGGAGGCTGCATCTCACGCAGAGAGTATTCCAAGGTTGGCAAGGAAAGCTTGAGGGGAGCTATACATAAGCGACATCAACATCATCCGCGCAGGTGCGTGTTGGACGCGTGTTCTGTGTTCGTGCAGTGAGAGCCCTGGAGGTCCCTCCACACCTCTCATACCTGCACTGTCATCATTGGAAAAGCTTGCATCGAAGCAAAGACAAGATTTCGAAGATCGCTTCGAGTACAGATCACTTGCAATCTCGCATCAATGATTTGCTTAATATATAAAGCGGAAATACATTCATTTGCAAGAAATGTAAACATTTCTATTGTACTACTGCCGGCCGCGTGCTGCTAGCTCATTACACAGCGCCCACGTCAAGCATCAACTCAAACCCACACATACTAACATTTCTTCCTCTGATGATCTGCAAAAGGCTCCAATCCAAAGCTGAAACTCTCAAAATTACTGTGATTGAGTTAAGCTCGTGGACGCAATACAATGTGAGAACGTGCTTGCTAAAAGCGCGATTTTCCATCAACCAGTCCAACGTAAAGGGATGCCGATTGCGCTCATTGCGTTTATTCTAGAGGAATTAATGACTTTGAAAAAGCTACGAGAATTATTTGTGTGCAATTGGATGCATGGAAGGAGAGCCTGAGAGGATTGGGCCTCTTCATGACACTGAGCACTCGCGAACGTATGACTCTGCAGAGTCGTCCGTGGAATAATACGCCTGTCCAGGTTTTAACAGGCCTTCCCTAAGCTTTCGAGATTCCACCCGTTCAAATGAACGCTACAATGAGGGCACCGGCTCCAAGAACAGCGGCAGCGACGGCGTCGAAGTCATTCACTTGGGCGGCGCCGGTGTTTACGCTCGTAGGCGCGGCTGTGGTCGTTTGAGAGTCCGAGTTGTAGCTGCCGTCCGTGGTGGGCGTTGCGCCGCCGCTGGTACGCGAGCGGGTGGTGGTGATGGTAGTTGCGAGGCCGGAGTTTGGGCCAGAGTTGATGACTGAAACGATGGTTGTGGGACCAGTCTGAGCTGGGCCAGGGGTGGAGGGGGCGGCTGTGCCAGCCAAGATAATAGTCGTCGAAGTGTCAACGCTGACGACGAAAGACTAGGGAATGACGATCAGTATCAAGTAGACAAAATATCCAACGTCGTGTACGTACGCTTGCATTTCCCAAGTGGATTGTGTTCAGACCAGACGGAAGCGCCGCCGGAATAGTTGCCACTGCGAGTGTGTCAAAGGTTTGCGTCTCGTGAGATCTGATACTGCGCGGGGACTCACCTGCTGGCTGCGCAGTGACGACAGTAGGCTGTGATGTGACCACGGCGGGTTGCGATGTGAAGGTCGACAAGTTGCTGACACCGGCTGGCAGTGATGGCATACCAGTGACCACCCCAAGCGAGTTGGTCTGCGTGAGGAACTGATTTGCGAAGTTCGAGTAGCTGGAAGTGGGCACGGAAGCAGAGGTGGTCGAGACAACATCCGCTGATGTAATCTGCTGTTACGCCCAGTCAGCTCTGATGAAAGCTCCAGCAAGAGACATTGGTTTGCATTTAATCTTACTGCAATGAGAGTCGGGATCGAGTCAATTTGCGCAAGGGCTGGGGCAAGCATTGCCGCGAACATCAGAGAGAGATGCATGTTGAGAAGGCGGACCATGTTCGACAGTCGATAAATGTATGCCCGAGAAGGATGATTGTGTGTGACTGATGGTTTGTGATTTATGTAAAGCTGTATGCTGGAGTCGAAAGGGATGGTCGACGAGTGAAGAATGAAGTAGTGATGATCTCTGGCGAGGCTTTGTCTTTTATTAAGATACTTGAGGACAGTGGCAATGAGCGGAGGGCGAACAAAGGCTGTTGCTGTGCAAGATTAATACAATCAAACAGAACCGTGCCGACACACACGACAGCACGTGAAAGAGTGGCCGAAACGACTCCACTTGCAAACAACAGTTCCTGGTGAAGTACCCACCTGCAGGTATCAAGGACAACGATGGCGGGAAGCCTGGCAACTGCTTCCTGCTCCGTGCTACCCACACTTGCCTTGAGCCTTTGCGGAAGAGCACGCCCGGTAACCTGATGGCTGCCCAGGCGCCTTCAGATCGTGCGTGCAGAAATACGAGTCTATGAACGGCTGGCAATCCGTTTGAGCCGCAGAAATCTCCAGCCTAGACTGCCGTGGTGAACGGCGACGGATCACTTCCAAGATCACTTCTCCCTACATGGCCGCCCCTCCGGCATTCCGTGAAGGTACGCGCCTCAAATCAGAAGGCAGAGTTGTATAACAAAGGGCTTGTGGACTGCGGTGTATCGTAGGGCATTCGTCCGGGAACACACATGCGAGCCATCTGGCTGTGATTTGTCGTTCATTCCGGACCGCTTGGCGTGTACTCCATCGCCCTGTTTGATCAACGCCGACTCGTGTACAAAGCATACCTATATATACATTATCGCCAAACTGGGCAAGGATCATGCGCATCTGATCGAGTCGTACGTAATCCGTGGAGCTGCAAATATGGCGAGAATTGACCGTGAGGAGAAGCACGGTCTCGCAGTGCGGAATCAGCAAATGCGATCCGATGGAATTTCGAAAGCGTTGTCGACGCCAGTGACACGACTGAGGGCCCACAACTGTAAGAAACGGGATCGCGAACGCGGTACGCGTCTCGATCCCGGTCCTATTTGCATTTACACTGCATGAAACTGTGGATTAAGGCCTGCATCCCTAGTAGTACGATCAAGTCATTCTAACTTGTCAGACAGCATCCCGGCTGGTAGTCATGGCGACATTGTCTTTGTAAGCTCATGGATTCCTGTGGCATCGATTTCGCTCACAGCGACATCGGTCAGACCCACCGCGATTGAAGTTGAATGAATTGCGCGCAGCTCTAATGGAGAAAGCAGACTTGCTCTGTGATGATAATCCATAGCGAAAACTACTACACGATGCAACAAGTTTCATGATCGGGTATGCTACATATACAGTACACAATCTCCAATGCGTCACGCCTTGGGGATCGGTCCGAAAGCGGTCTAGCGGGCTTCTTGTCGCCATTCGCATGCTTCACACCCACCGCAGTGAATTCAAAGCCGTACATCTAGGTCATTGCCCGTGCCGAGGATATCTGTTGTCTTACCTTTTGAATATCTGCAAACAAGGAAACATATACGTCATCAACAAAACAAGTCTACAAGATGCCAGGCTTCGAACCCAAGGTCAAGGTCGATCTCGATCCCCCGAAAGATGACATTATCAGTCTGGATTACCTAGCCAAGTGCAACGGTATGAGTATATTCGAGTGGCTGGCAACGAACGCCCCGAATTAATCCGCGTGCTATAGGCAAGACTGAAGGATATCCCACATATGTCGCGATCAAGGTGATTATCGACCGGCAACGTCGTGTGTCGATTCACCAGCTCATGTGGGCCTGCGCAGGGAACCGTATTTGATGTCAGCGGCAAAGATGCATATGCTCCGGGAGGATCTTACGCAGGTAATTTCTGAAACGTTACGCCTACTTAAGCTAGGTCAAGATGGTAACGTCTCCACTCGCAGTCTTCGCAGGCAAGGATGCCTCTCGAGCACTCGCCCAGTCTTCCCTGAAGGAGGAAGAAGCCCGACCGGACTGGTATGACCTCTCGGACGAGCACAAGAAGGTCTTGAACGATTGGTTCACGTTCTTCAGCAAGCGCTACAACATCAAGGGCAAGGTCGAGGGTGCACAGAACACTGGAGAATGAGTGCTTATGATACTGCTTCGTCCTTCACATGATAAACATGAAATGAATTAAAAGAATCAGGTTTCCAGCACTGATCGGGCTTGTGACTTCTACAGTGATGCCCGCATTTTCTGCTCGAGGGCACTTTAAATCATGAACTACAGATCAAACAAGTTGCGTGCTCCGCATTCAATAGCGCATGCCGACGCGTAGCAAGTTCGCTTTTCAAACCCCTCTTACACTATCCAGGCCTGCGTGTGGCTCTTTCTCTCGATTGTGCACAAAGATCGACTATCGTGAGGCGAAAAGAGATCGAAACTCGAGTCCAAATGCAGCGATAATATTGCAAAGCATTTTACATTTACAAATTTGATGATCGAGACATCTTGATGCAGGACCAGCCATCAAATTACTTCCCACCTTTCCTTGCAGCACGCTTCACTCGCTTACGACCTATGATCTGGTTGCGCCGCGCAAGCTTCTCCTCGTCAGTCTTCTTCTTCTTCGCCGCCTCACCACTATCAACAACGCTTGATTTCGCTTCTGCCGACGGCAGCTCTGACCCACGTTTGCGTTTGTGCCCTTTGTCTTTGCCTCGGAAGGTACCCTTGCCGTCAGCATCAGAACCTTTGACGTCTTTACTCCTTGCGCGAGCCTTGTCTTCCTTCTCTTTCCGTCGCATAACGACCTGCGCATTTTCAATGGCAAATTCCACAATAAGGCGCTTCTTCCGATCTTGAGCATCCTCGCGACTGCCTGCTGATTGTCCCTCAGCAACTTTATAATCAATAGCGTGACCGTTGAGCCAACGCAGCCCCATCAGGGCATTTCGGTGCGTGTGGTACTCAATGAACCCGTAGCCACGACTCCGGCCGGCGCCGGTATCTTCACTCATCTTGGTACCACCGGCACCCTCGAAAACGACCGTCGCTTGTTTAACGACACCCTTACCCGAGCGCTTACGTGCAAGTTCTGCCTCACGCATTTCGTCGCCGCCACGAGCAAGCTCTTCTTTGGACAACTTTTCGCGCGCGCCCTTCTTGACGTCGGAAGCAAACCCGACAATCGCATCACGCGCCAATGCCTTCAACTCCTTGGCGCCGACGCTGCGAGGGATATTTCGAATGGAAAGTCGGGTGAGACTCAGATGTAAAGAAGGGTTGCTTTCGATCAGAGTCTTTCGCTGCTTGGCACTGGCCTCGCGCATGGCTTTCTCGGATGGTGCGAGACGATCCCACAGCTTTGACTTCGTTGAGATTGTCCCTTCGGACAGCAAATAGAGTCTCCGCTTGTCATTGTCTCTCTTAGACCGCTGTGCTGTTCCCTCTGCTGCCAGCCTGTTCGCCTGTGCTTTCTCAACGGCAGCAGTGACCTGCAACACACGTCCGTCGAGTGTGTATTGCCCAGTCAGATCTGCCCCATCGTTCTGTAAGATTGAGTGCATCGCTTGTGTTGATTTGTCACCCCGTTTAAATCCGTCTTGACCAGTGACGAGGGGTCGTTGAGGAGCACCGCGAACGCAAGCTTCGGCATCCTGTTTGTTATAGAAGCAGACGAAGCCTGTCCCTCTAGAGCGCTCAGTGTTGAAGTCCATGACAACTCTCGCATAGCGTGTGCTACCAAACTGCGAGAAGTGATCCTCAAGGTCTTCATCGGTGCATGTGAAGGGCAAGTTTCGGACAAAGACTGTATGCGACTTGTCTTCGGTTCGATTCTCTTCCGTATCATCAACGTCATCATCACCTCCATTCGCTTCGTCATCGTCATCCTCAAGATCGACGCCCCCGTCTTCGTCATCGTCGTCAGCAATGTCGACCTCATCATCATCATCCTCCTCCCCGTCTCCCATGTTCATTTCTCCATCCTCATCCGAGTCGTCACCGTCTTCAAGCGACTCTTGTTTGGCGCTCGACTTATCCCCATTATCCTCATTCATGCCTTCGTAAGCGACCTTGTCCACAGCCCAATCGACTGCCAGCGTTCTGCCGTCGATCTCCTTGCCATTGACACCTTCGATAGCCTTCTCGGCGTTCTTCCGACCTCGCATGATGACGAATCCAAATCCTGCCATGAGACCAGGGCCCTTCCTGGGGACGTATGCCTGCTTCACTTTTCCATAACTCATAAAGAGCTTGGTGAGCTGTTCTGAGCCCTTGATTGACCATGGCAGGTTTCGAACGATGAGTTTCGGCGGCAGTTGCACCTCTTCTTCCTTCTTGACCTTTGAAGTTGTTGCAATATCGCCGTCGCGCTGGCGCGGTTCTGCAAGCTCGACTCGCAATTTCTTTCCGTCTATTAGGTAATTGTGAAATTCCTTCTTTGCCAATTCAGCATCTTCAGCGTCGGCAAAGGTGACGAAACCGTAGCCGCGACACTCCTTGGTGGCTGGATCGATGATGGCAGTCGCATGTTTGACAGGATACGTGTTTGAGAAGAGCTCGGTCAACGACTCGGTGGTTGTGTTCGCTGGCAACTGTCGTACAAAGAGAGAACGTTTCGCATGCTTCGTTGATTTGTCTTGAGCGGATGGTTCAGATGGAGCGTCAGGTTTTTCATCTTCTTGATCGAGCGCAAGGGTGCTCCCGTCAGACAAACGCTGTTTCTTCTTCGCTGGTGCCATATTGTGCGATTCTGTGGTGGGTGAGTAAGTGATTGATGTCGGGCCTTGGAATTATGTAAATTCTCAAACCCTCCAATTCTTGAAATTTACATTTACACTTTTGCTTTGAGCTCTTAAGTCCGATTGGTCGGTTAGCTCCCGGAGCTAGTGCCGTCGCTTATCGGCATTTCTGGCTGCAGCAAGATAGCTTGTGCCGACATGTCCACACCCCGTAGTGGCTGGCTGGCTTTGACCTCGACGGCATCATCATGGCGAGAGAGAATATACAGCACTCGATAATTCAGATTCATCAACGTATCAGGGCAACTTTGAAACTACGGAATTCATTTTGGGATGCCTGCGTTGCGTCTTTATGATCGATGCAATGCTTACGCTGGCTTACTCTTATTTCCCGGTCAACAATTCTTCGGCGGTTTTGTCTTTGACGCCTGTGCTGTCACTTGTCTGATTCTCCTCGAGTGGGGCTTTCCCATCAGTCGGCTGGCTGGTACTCTTTGAAGCAGCAGCCTTGAGCCGGTCCGAGTCTTCTTTACGTAAATCTTCGGCCTTCTCCTTCTCCTTCTCCTCGTCGTCATCTCCGAGCGAGAAAGGGTCATTGTCATCCTCAGGATGGGCAGTGACACTGGTGAGTGGCTGCCATTTCTTGCTCTTCTCCGCTTCCGTTGCGTCTTTGCCCGAAGCCCTTCGGTCAGCAGCTTCGACTTCGTCGATGGGGCCGCTCTGCATTGGCAGAGGTGGGTGTACTTTGAACAAATCCGGATTGGGCGTCTTCCGACTGCTGGTCCTCGGAGGTTGTGGTGGAGCTGAATCAGGGTCAGTAAATGGACAACATCACGCATTGATGCTACAAGACGAACCTGTTTCCTCATCCCGCAATTCGAGACGCTCAAACTCATCCTCCCTGAACTCATGTGGATCCGCATCGTATCGCTGGGTCTCGGTGCTCCTTCTTTGCTGCTCACTAAGCTTCCTAATGCCCTGGATTTGTTCTTGCTGACTGGATCCGAAGTCGTTCCTCCTTGGCCATGATCCCGTGTTCTGGCGGGAACTTGATTGTGAAGAAGTGTAGAGATCTTCTTCATCACCGTCCCCGTCCAGCCGCTTCTTCAAATTGGTTATCCAGCTGTTGACCTTCTTTTGAGTGTCCATGAATCCCTGTTGGATGTTTCGTCCTATTTCTGGCAGATCATCATCTAGGAAGGTGCGTTCTCTGTCTTCTGAATCATAATCGAGGCGTTGCTGATTGGGTCCGCGACGTGCTGGCTCACGCTGGTTGTACGACGTTCGTGTGCGTTGGCCAGCATCATCATACTCCTCTGCCAGTTGTCTGGCATAAGCCTCGTCCGCTTCCAACTGGCTGACCGGCTCCCTGCGGACCGTTCGAGGTGGCTGCGGTGGTGGCACGTCCTCAGCCCGGAAGTCTGGATCTGACATCCCAAGTAGCGCGTTGAAGGCTGGTTCCACTTTGCCTCCGCTTGCTACCAGAACAGCTCTGATGATCTTGTGTTCGATTGTTGGAAATGCTTCGATGAGTGTGGTCTCGGCGCGTTGCATCGGGTCGACTGGTCGAGGAGGCTTCGGGGGTGAGAATTCCTCATTGTGCTCCGCAAATTGTACCCTCGGCCTTGGAGATGGGGACGGTGCCGCATTTTTGGTCTGCGACTCGTTGGCAACTGGAGACACTGTGCCTATCTCTTGCTCGGTATCGTCGAAACTCATCTCCTCTCGGGTCGTCGCTGATTCTTCTGGTCTAACAGGTGACACGGGCGAATGATCTGTCATATTGGTTGGTGATAACGTGCGAGCTTGCTTGCGATCGTGCGAAAGCTGGCTGAACCCTTCTGGTGTAGAAGATGCTTGCTGATGTTCGTTCGCAACGGGTTGACTTTCACCTTCAAGCATTCAGGGTCCTGTTTTTGCTGTATTGACAAGGGAGAGCAGCTGTTGGTGACGCAAGTCAAGCTTGGTGGGCTGTGCAGAGTGGCGGTCCGAGCCGTCCAACTGCCCTGCCACACCTGGGCACGCTTCCAATATGCGCACATCTTCTCTCCAGGGCTACTTTCTATGCTCCAACAACCATTGCCAAAACCACGCAGGTTCAGGATCTTGCGTTCACATAGCAGGACAGAAATTTTCTCAAATCATGCTTTGAGGTTCAATGCCGTCAATTCTAGCCATCCGCTTACTAGACACGTAGCATCCACACGAAAAGACTCCTTTCACATGTCTAACAGCGTTGTCGTTGTCTCCTGCTAAGCTCGCACCTGCCATTCTGCTTCAACATATAGACGGTAATCGACCATTGCAAGTGAGGCGCAGAATCTGCCTTTTTGCAAGCATGGCCGATATTCAGAGTTTTATTCCAGCGCTCCATAAGCCATCCTCTTTACTACCGATTGCGCGGCACAAAGATGCTTTGCTTTACGCAATCGAAAAAAGCCCTGTCGTTATAATGGTTGGCCAAACGGGTAGTGGGAAGACGACTCAATTGCCCCAGTATCTCGACCGAGGGGGCTGGACTCGCAATGGAAAGAGCATTGCGGTGACGCAAGCATGTCTTCACCCTTCATGATACCGTATTACCGAAGGGCGGAATTGCTAATGGGACTGTAGCCTCGAAAGGTAGCAGTCACGACTGTTGCGTACAGGGTAGCTGAGGAGATGAGGTGTCAGCTCGGCCAGGACGTAGGATACTCGATTCGATTTGACGATGTCACTTCTGCTTCAACAAGAATCAAGTTTCTCACAGACGGCTTGTTGTTGCGAGAAGCACTCGCAGATCCACTCTTGTCCAGGTACAGTGTGATCATCATCGATGAGGCCCATGAACGAAGTCTTAGCTCTGATATTCTGCTCGGCCTCTTGAAGAAGATCATCAAGCGTAGGCCGGAGCTGCGCGTGATCATCAGCTCCGCAACTTTGCAGGCTGAGGATTTTCTCGAATACTTCGAGACGAGGAAGGAGGAAGAGTCCGCGGAAGAAAATGCCAATCGAATTGTGAGCATTGAAGGCCGACTCCATCCCGTCGACATTTATTACTTGGGTGAGCCGACTGAAGACTATATCGCAAGCGCGGTAGAAGCCGTTTTCGAGATACACAATTCCCAGCCAGCTGGTGATATTTTGATCTTCCTGACTGGCCGCAGCGAGATTGAGACCGTAATCCAAATGATATACGATCGCATGTCCGATCTTCCTGAACATGCTTCAAAGATGCTCGCACTGCCTCTGTATGCTGGCCTAACAACAGAGGAGCAAATGTACGTTTTCGAACCTGCTCCAGAGAACACACGAAAGGTCATTTGCGCAACCAATATCGCGGAGGCTAGTGTCACGGTAGATGGAATAGTCTATGTCATAGATTGTGGATTTGTTAAGCTCAAAACGTTCAGTCCCACCACAAGAATCGAAGAGCTCGTGTCGACCCCGGTATCGAAAGCATCTGCGGACCAAAGAGCTGGTCGTGCTGGTCGGACGGCGCCAGGAAAGTGCTATCGTCTTTATACCGAAGATGATTCTGACGACTTAGCAGCTGCGACTGTTCCTGAAATCCAGCGATCAAACTTATCACAGGTAATCCTGCAACTCAAAGCTTTGGGAATTGACAACATCGCACGCTTCGATTTCATCAGCCCGCCACCTGTGGAGCAAGTCACACAGAGTCTGGAAATCCTCTTTTCGTTGGGTCTGTTGGACGAGTACGCCAGACTCACGAAACCTTTCGGTGTCCAACTAGCAGAGATGGCTTTGGAGCCTATGCTGGGAAAATGTTTGCTCCTGGCGCCAAACTTCGGTTGTTTGTCAGAAGTGCTGAGTATCACGGCAATGATCAGCTTGCAGGACAACATCTGGCTCGATGCAGAGTCCAAGAAAGCTGGCGAGTCGTCACGTAGGCTATTCGCGGCCGAAGAAGGCGATCACTTGACTTTGCTAAATATTTACCAAGCATTCACCACAAAGGGAAGCAAAGATGCATCGTGGTGCAGGCAGCACTTCCTCAATTATAAATCTCTGGTCAAAGCAGTCTCTATCCGCGCCCAGCTCAAACGCCACCTGGAGCGATTCGGCGTGCAGGTCAGCGAATCACTTGCCAACAACGATGTCCTGCGCGTCGGCGGGCTTCCTAAGGCGGAATCGATCAGAAGATGCCTGACGAGCGGCTACTTCGCACATGCAGCGCGCATGGAGTCAGACGGCTCCTTCAAAGCTGTCAATGGCAGCACCATTATGTATGCCCATCCGTCTAGTCTGATGTTCAATCGCAAAGCAGACTGGGTGATCTTTTCGGAGGTCATGCATAGCGGTGAGAAGATCTATATCCGGAACTTGACCAAGATAGAGAAGGACTGGCTCGTCGAATATGGTGCGGGCTTTTACAAGCTTACCCAAACGACGTAGCTGAATTGCGGATTTCAATTATTTTGTGCCGCTACGGTACAACAGCCACATTTCAGTGTTCGATCTCTATCTGAACCACCAATTGACCTGCGTTGGTCCGTTAGCACTGCAGAATGTGATGGTATTTTCTCGTCGCAGGACCCACCGAGCCTATAATCCCGGACCCTGTTCCTTTCACACTGTGCCACCAGCCTTTGGGTATGTACAGGGCATCTCCAGAGTCTAGTTCGGCCTGCCAGCAGTGACCCAGGTAATCCGCATCGTTTGACCAAACCTCGCCCATCAGGGCCTTTTTCTCAGCGCCTTGCATCATCTCCTCGCCTCTGATGGTCGCGGACCCACTACTCCCAATCTGCTCGTGGACTTTGGCCAAAATGGCACGCCCAATATCTGGTCTGAACAATCTGACCACCTTCTGGCCCACGAGCTGCACGAACAGATTGGGATTGGGATCCCGGTGGAGTGGCGTATAGGTTGGCGCGTTGCCGAGCCAAATCGAGGAGTTATACACATCTCCCTTACCGGCCGTCAAGACTAGGCTCGGGGTTGGGAGATCGTTCTGTAGATCTACTGGCAGATCTACAATAGGTGCTTGCGCCAAATAACAAGTTGATTCCGACTTTCTTCTGACGGTGTGACTACAATTATCAAACGCATCGCAGTGTTAGTCTACATCCGAAAACTTTCATTCAATTCCTGAAGCTGACATCCGCCTTCAAGACGAGCGCTTTCGGAGAACGGTTCTGTGAGCCGTGATTGTACCTACTCGATAAAGGTATTCAGAGGGGCATTAACGCGAAGGAACTCGTCCGCCAACGTCATTTCCAATGGTACTATTGTAGAGCCGTATTTTTGGAGATAATCCACTGACAGACCAGCCTCACTGGATGACGAATGAAACCATTTCTTGATCGCTGGGAGTGTGTCTTTGAAGTGGCCTGTTGGGAGCATCACAGGCTGATCGAGCGTGAGAGCATCTCGTCTGAAAGTGTCCAGAGACGCGTCGGGCAATGATTTGACAGGACGTGGCCCAGCAGTGGTAGAGACTAGCCTGCGATTACATTTTCGTGTGAGACTCGCCCATGCACGCATGCCTGGTTCGCTTGATGGTAATGCGACTGTATGTGATGGTGTTATTGGCGTATGACACCGACTTGATGCTTCTTGGTCACCCCAAGCTGAATACGGCATCTCTGTGAGCTCCGACCATTCCCGAATAGGCTACTTTCGATGTACATTTGCATGTGCGGTTATGGCATTCTCTATTTCAAAAGGTTCACAGGTGCGAGAATTATTAAATTCGATGCTCAAAAGAGCTCTGGGAATGATAATCGTTTCTGTTCTCAAAAGATGAATGGCGGTATTCCCATCGTACTCGCAGATGAAATCGCATTCTCGCTATAGTCCTCGATCTTTCACAATCGTCTTCGAATGAATTCGAAACGAGGCCAACCATTCAACTCATCGACATGTTCCTCCCGGACCAACTCGTACTTTCCAAGTTTGGGCAAGATCATCGCCCATACGAGCCAATATACTCCTCCCGCCGCAATGATACCCCAGCCCACAATACAATGCAACCAGTAAGGCAGTGACTCGTAGATGCTCACTCCATTGCTGGGTGGAACAAACGGTGCGACCACGAGGAAGACATTGCTGAGAAAGAAGAATATCGCCACTGGCAAAGTAGCTCTAACGGGCGATGTCCAGCTCCAGGCCTCCCGATTCAGGTAGAGGTATATAAGCGCCAATGCGACGAATGTGTTGACGATGGCGAGTGGGTAGGAGATGACGTTGAGGACAAAGTTGTACGCATCTCCTGGAGGCGGAGCAAGCATGATGATGACTGACACCAACCAGTGTTCGAATAGACCCGCGAGGGGAGCATTGAAAGGCTTGTTGCTAGCCCAAAATCGAGAGAATGGCAGGATGCCTTCTCGTCCCAGCTCTTGCACAAGTCGTCCTTGCGAGAATATGACGCTCAAAACGTTGCCGAAAGCTGAGAGCGCGACGAAGACGGATAGTGCGCGCTCCGCTTGTGCACCAAACACGTTGCGGAAGAATGAAGCCGCCAAGATTCTTCCGGAAGAAAGTATCTCTGCCTTTGGCACGGCGGCGAAGTAAGCAATGTTGACGAACATATACAGGATCGCTACGCTTGCTAACGCCAAAGGAGCAGCAATCTTGAGCGTTCGCACTGGGTTTTTCGTCTCACTAAGAGCGTAGTTGGCGTTGCTGTAACCAATGTATGACCAGATGACGTAGTAGAGCGATGTCACGATTCCATACGCACTGGCAGAGGTGCCTTCGAACGCGTTGGTGAAGTTGGACGGCTTCTCAATCTTAAGCGCACCTCCAAGTGCAGCCTGCGATAGTCAGCAGTCTATAACAAACATTCGAGCAACAGCCACACGTACCCAGCCGGCGACAATAATGATCAAGATGATGATCAATTTGATGATGCCCAAAAGGTTCTGAAGGCGCAATCCCCATTTCAAAGCCAGGCCGTGGATCAGAAATGCGGTCGTGATACAGGCGAGGCCAACACCACGCTGATTCCAGCGATCTACCTCGACGTTGGCTGCGTGGAGGATATATTCGCCGAACACGATCGAATTGGAAGCAGCCCAGCCTAGATCTGATCAGCATCGCTAGCCAGACGCGCGAGGAAACACACCTACCGAGTAGGAGGACGTATCCCGTGTAGAAACCAGTGGCAATGAATTTCGGCCTGCGGAAGACATATTCGAGATAATTCTTCTCTCCGCCATTACGAGGGATAGCTGTGCCGAATTCAAGATAGACCTGCCCGAGTGTCAAATGCAAGCAAATAATCAAATGATCGACTCGCTTACTGCCATGCCTGCCGCAGCAATGAGCATTCCTGCGACCCACATGAACAGAGCCAGACCAACACTGCCGGTCAACGACAATATACTGCTGGGTGTTGCGAAGATACCCGTGCCCACCATGCGATTAAAGATCAGGAAAGTTGCCGACACGAGACCAATCTGTCTCTTGTTTTCCTGCACTTGGGCACCGCTTGATACTGCGAAACTCTCAGGTTCTGGAGGCGTCTTCGTTTCAGAAGGTGCTTTCACTTACGGCTGTCATCGTATCCTTCGGACCCGGGTGTGCTGTGCACTTCATGCTTCTTCTCGCTCGGCATCGTGATAGCTCACCAGGAATTAAAGTTGTTGTTAACGGTTCGAGAAACCGGACGCTCGATGAGGGAACCTTGTTCGCCGATCGTTCACACCTCGAACGACTTTATAAACAGCCTACATGATGTCTTTGAGGCAGATGATTTCACAATTGCCAAGGCTTGCGACAGCGACGTCCCGAGCACGGCAGTGGGTCATTCTCAACCGGCGCTCTTACCAGTGTAGTAAGCCTAGCCGTCAGAGGAGAATTAAGTTACATCAGGATGTCGCGTTCGGCGCTTTTCATGAGTTCTGTGAACGTATTCGCGTGGTGTTCGCGTGGGATTTGGAGGGTGTGAGAACGAGCACGCCATCCACGGTATTCCTCAATCGGTATCCAGCCGAGCGCGCCACTGCATTTTTTTCGGTATACCGATACCGTGAATATTCCGTGACGCTCAGGGAGACAGGCCTTTTGCTGATTCCTGATGAGACTGGAGCCTCTGCAGAACTTGATTTGGCAGGACGAGTGATATGACTTGACATTTGGCAAATCTATTGACAATTCAGCATGCAAAATGTATCGGCACCTGCACAATGAGAAATTAGGGTCGGTTTAGGGTTTTCGCCGCAATTCAGGTTTGCAATGTTCCAGGATTTATTAGGTGGTCATCATGACTGTCCAAATGTACATTAATCGTGACCTTGTATGCTCTGACAAGTGATAATGCAGAGGCTGGTCTCGCGCTATATTTGATGTTTCCTGATCCAGATAGTGTCGGTAGTGTCGAAATTCTAATGAAGTTCGTGGATTTGTGCCGGAGGACAGTGTCCGACACGTTCCGCTTGATAAACCTCCGCGTGTTAGGCATTAGGTCCCAAGTTGGAATTTTTTAAGCAGCTTAACTTGAGAGCAACAACAACATCAGGATGAGCGCCACGCGCGCAGAGATCTTGCTGGCATATCGGAAACTCTATCAACATGCACTACGGGCGGTGAAGTACACCTCACCGGATTCGATAGTTGTTCGAGAAAAGCTGCGTCACGCGTTTCGCGAATCCCCTAAGGAGAGTTTTGATGCTGCTCGGATTGCGCGGACGATGGAGTTTCTCGACAATGCTGCCCGGATGAAGGGTCTCGAAACCAAGATCGTGAAGAATCTCATCCACATCGCGTGGGGCAAGCATAAAATGACATATACTTTGAATCCGGCAATGTAAGAATCCCTCTACTACTTCAATATTCGTCCAAGAGTGGATGTTAATGTTGACCATCACTGCCATAGGCACGCTTCCGATAGATTGCTACGAAGACAGGCTTACGACCAGGTCGATGCCACGGTGGAGAAGCTCAACGAGAGTATGGGACTTTGCTTGCGATGACACCTATGCCGAAATTCTACATAACTTGATCACCAGAATGCTCGCACACACTCATCAAGGCTGTCTACCAACCTCAGGGGCGCCTGCAGCTGTGAGGCTGGCACTGGACGAACGAGGTTCTTGTATGACGAGAGGAACTTTTCTATCGTGGTTGCCAAACGCTTTTTGAAAACAAATTTCTATGCACCTAGTTTTACTGGACGCTGTGATCGTAGAGCAATTTTTGTCCTGATGAATGAGCCATTGTGAATGAAAAAAATTGGGTTGTCGCATAGGGATTTTGCGCTTCATCGCGCTGTTGCATTGGACTTTGGTGGATTCGGAGCAATATCGCGACATGGTTGGCGTGATGGCTGTGCGAAAGAGTGTTGATGGTGGAGTGCATTGGTCGAGGTAACCAGACTGCTTGAGACAGTTGTGAAGTCTGGATCTTCATGTTGAATGAGATGGGCCTTTCCTTTCATGTGCTTCGGTGAGACAGGAGATGCGTACGGAATAATCTCAAAGCTTCTTCTTGCCCTGCTCTCGCTCTCTCTTCGCGTAGATCTCTGCGGTGAAAGGGTCCTCGAAAGCCAGCGCAATCTTGTAAACAACCAGCACAACTACTGATAGGACAACGCCCGCAGGCTTGCCATACCACAGAGCTGTACCAAGGAAGCTCATGGTGCTGCCGTAGTACATGGGCGATGCAGTGACATTGAAAGGGAAGCCGGTCACGATATGGTCCATGAGGATGCCAAAGTAGTCGCCGAGGTAAGTACCCGTGACGCCGAGAGCCCACATGCTGCTCAAAACCAGAACATTGCCGCTCAGCACCAGTCCGACGGCGAGAGCCTGCGAGACGAAGCCCAGAAGGGCTGGATGAGATGGTTGAGCGCGCAGAGCCTGCTCGTACAACGCATCCCGGAACAGACCCAGGAAGAAGATGGCTACTGCGAGGCCATAGCAGCCGTAGCGGGCATTGCCACCAGCGAGATTGGTGATGGTCTTATTACTGTATTCCAGACGAGCTGCAGTGTTCCAGAAGGTAGGATTGAAGACGATACACGCTACCGCAACTGTTTGAAACAAGCTATCCGTCAGTAAAAAGTTTCTCTTCAGGGCAGCGTGTGTGAGATGAACGCACTCCAGAAGCTCGGCTGAGAGAGGTCGACGTATTCTGCTATTGAAGTCATCTCGTCCTGGAAACTAATGTAGTTGGGTATTCTGTCTGGTTAAGAGTACTTTTGAGTTGATGATGAAGAATTAAGAAATATAATAAGGGCTGTGAAGAAGTTCAACGTTGTGAGGAAGCAAGCAAAAAATTGTTACGTCAGAAGCCAAGCTCGGTGTACCAATTGAGCAGCTCTTTCTCCGATCATTTGAGGGACTTTCCAGCTCGTGCGCATGCGATATTTGCGCATTGCATGCAATCTTGGACTCCCTCCGTGTTTCGCACCCGCGATTTTCACGACCCAATCGATACACTTCAGAACGGTTCTTTCTAACTGCTTCTATAATGTGTGATTCTCGTTAATATCATCTGCAATCAACTGTGATTCGATGTAGCTCAATTGGCGCCGATCTTGAGCAGGGACGTTTACTCAATACCTGAGTTTGCGGACAGGGTACATTTTTGTTGAGCCAACTTCTCATTTTCATTCCAAATAGTCTGTGAATATATAGATGCAGATATGCACATACAGACCGTAAGGTGGTCACCGAAAAAACTCCAGCCATTTGGGTGTCTACATAGCGCAGCTCCTCTTATCCTCGTAAAATGCGCCGTTTCATTATTCATACTCCATTTGATGCACAAGTAAATGGGCCGCCGAAGGCATTGGACCTATAGCCTTCAAGAATGCTCTCCACTGAAGCGTAAGTGCCTGCAGTCAAGAAAAGCAAGCCGATGAGGATTAGCACGACATTGAAAATGGCGCCGATGACACCTTTGAGACCACGGTTCCTGGGATGCCAGAAATCATCTCCGTGATCAGCCTTCCTCATTCTTAGATAAGCAACACCCCAGAAGATGAAACCAAAGAAGCTGTCGAAAAGCGAACTCATCAGAGCGAGCAGGTCGCTGAAGAAGGGAATGACCTCGGCGATGATGAAGGCGACGATCCAAGTGAGAGCGAGAATTCCAGCCCATGCAAGCCAACCCACGACTGTGTTGCTGCCCATATGACGGGAGCCCTTGAACGCGCGGAAGAAGATGAAACGCGCCGAGACCGATGCGTATAGAACACCAAGGAAGATCAAAGTCGGAATCATGAAACTGAAGCTGAGCTTTTTGTAGAGCTCGTTGCCAAGCGAACCGAAGGCGGGCGCGGTGTTGTAATTGGTACCGGTATATCCGTAAATAATGCCACCCACGAGCGAAAATAGAATGACTTCTGCAATCGTGACCGCCCACAACGCCTTTGGGAAGTCCTTGGGCTCTTTCATCTCAGCAATAAAGGATGGAATCGTGATTTGTCCGATGAAGGTATAGCTGATGTTCATGAACGCGTTCATGCCGTACACGAAAGTAGTCGAAGGGGGCGGAATCGCCCATACCTTGACCGGACCTTGCGAAGGCCACTCCATACCCGCAGCTCCACCAGGATGATCCTCTATGGCTGCGAAGATGGTAGCGAGGAGAACGGATACGAAAGTGAAGAACGCAGAGGCCGCAGCGAGCTTCGAGAGGGTGTTGAAAGTTCGCGGCATTGAGCATACCCAAGACACGACAGCCATGATGGCACTGTAAGCCACAGTACACAACCTGGCGTTGTTTCCATCGGTCATGGTATTGAGATACTTGGCGCCGACCAAGCAGTGGAATCCCTGAATAAATGTGTTGTTGAGGATGAACATAAACGCTGTGGCATACCATGCCCATTTGCCTCCGCCGAAAAGCATTTGACCGATATCGCAAACGTCTTGCGTTTCCGGATGACGCATGCAGAACTCCCTGTGCGAAGTCAATACATGTCAATGTGGCGGTAGATGTTGAGAGTAGTCTCACCAAACGATGAGTGAAGTGTACAGCACGAGTGCGGCGACGACGACAGTCAAGATCAGACCGGGCACTAGACCGAGCACGGAGTACGAGTATGGGAACGACATAATGGCCAAGCAGATGTACTCAGCGAAGAGCAATGCTGCGGTCTAGTAAGAATGTCAGCAGTGATACACATGAGGCGACGATGTCTCGCTATGGCTTGAAATTTCGTGCGAATTCAATGTCAAGACCAAAATCGGTGGAGAAAAATATCCGGAGATTGATGGAATAGGACATAGAGGTATCGGCAGGATATGGGCACAAAGAAAAGCACGTCGCACCTTTTGCCAGCTACAGGTCCTGTACTGGATCTCATTACCGGACTCGGCATTTCTCTGCGCGTCCAGGTAAGACTGCGGGTTTTCGTCATCCACATCTGGACTCGAGGCTGATTTGCCAGCGATGGATCCAGAGATAGAAGCTCGGTTTCGACCACCGTCGATGCGGCTCATCTTGCGATGCGTCTGGTTGCCATTCTCGACATCTCCTGCAGAGGTACCAGCAAAGTAGCCCTTATCGCCGAAGTTTGGGTCTGCCATGACGGGATTGGATCTCAAAGGACGTGTCTGAATGCACGCAATCCTCTTTCAGGCACCTGAGCCAGCCGCGAAAGAACCGAGGAAGTGGAAAAAGACGTTGGCGACGGAAATCAATAGCATTTAGATGATTCTGCGATTGAAGAGTCCAGAGTGACTTCTTGACAAGGACACTTGACAGGTATCGAGGTCCACGGGCGAAGAAGAATAAGTTGAAGAAGACAAAGGCGGCGCCCGAGGGAGAGAATGCGCAGATTATATGTATACCAAGAGATGGAAGTCAAAGGATTGGGGAGCTAGAGGGGGCCATGCATGGATCTAGTGGAGAAGGCCGAAGAGGCGCGATGCTTGGTGAACGACCAAACTGACTGGGCGGTTTCCTCAAGCTTTGGGCACAATACAGTACAAATTCCGACACCATCTGGGCGGAACGGAGTGTAATTCTCATAGGGCGGGCGAAAAAGTCAATCGTCTGACGCTAAATGCACGTCAACGGCGAATGCCCACGCGATGCAACGGCCTCCACGTCGAGATCCTGGTCGTACGTGTAGTTCTACTGTAACCACCCTCGGCTGGATCTATCTACCTACCTAGGTAGGTGGGTAAGTACACGCGTTTCTACTGGTCAATCGGAGAGCATATGTGCGCGAGGGAGGACTCGCCTCATGCTTCTATCATGTAGAAGAAGTCCTGCGTGGGCAATCGTGCCTAACCCGGCAAGTACTGACATTACAGTGCGGGAAGACATCGGTTGAGACAGACGGAACGCAGACGGTGGGGAGTTTCGAACGGTTCTGAAGGACAATCGAGTGGAGTTGTCGCAATGCCAATCCTTATCGCTGCCACTTCACCCGTGAGGAACAATACCGTGATGACGCTGAGCTGGGCAAAGATTACCGACGCGCGCTCGCATGTGTCTGCAACCACAACGTGTTGTACAGAGAGATTTCGCCTCTCGGCCCTCCAGGGCTGACCAGATGATGCCGTCCGCTGATTATCTAACCGGAAGATCTAGGGGACTAACGGCCAGTTCGCACACTGATGACGAACGGCTCGTCCAGTGGCTTGCTCGGTTTACTTACACGCACAATGGTGGGACATGAGTCTTTCGTTCAAGTCAATAGTAGAAACGTATCAAAGAACTCTGTTATGCCCCAGCATTGCTCGAAACACTCACAGAGCAGCGAAATTAACAGGATAGCACGATATGTTGCATCATCACACCGTATGTGAGTCTCCAGGGCCGCTGGACGAACCTTGAAAAGCATGGATGTGCGGCATCCCATCGTGCACATGTGGCGTGGAGTGGCTTGCACCTAAGCCTCTTCGTCTTTAGCTTGGCGTCTTGTATGCTTACAGCCGATCTAGGGCACGTGACCCCGATGGCACCATTTCCTGTCACTGCAACTGGTTGGAATATTGGAAGGCAGCATATACAGATGTCCTTCCATCTTAACTACAGCAGCACTATCATACGCATGTACGATGGTACGCGGTCTGTACAAATGAGGTGTGCGTATAATATACACCGCCTGCGCAAAAGTCAACGTCACGTCCACTTCACGCGTTTCAGCTTGACGAACAACGAAATCCGATAATTTCTGGACAAGATAAATACCAACGCCAAACTTCATCCATTTGAAAACATGCGCCCGCCAAGCAATGCTTCTCCACCGTCGTCTCTTCCCCGCTGTCTCTCCTTCTTTCTCCGTCCATAATCGATCCACATTCTCATCCCACAAATTGGTACGAACCAGGTCCTGGTCAAACATTCTTCCGTTAGTTGCGACGAAATGGAATGTGAATAGCCCTGAGTCCAATCGTTCAGCTCGCCACCGCTGCTCGCGACCTACAGCTGCAGAGTATCATGATGACGAAGCGGATTCCGCCCGGCAGCACAAATTGGCTCCCTTCCATTGTTGTTATGCACCGACGGGTCTCCACTGACGTTCCACACTGCAGCCTTGATGATCGTCAGAATGATTTCGAGATCGCATTCTTCGACAGGAGAATAGATCATCACAAAATCCCGAGGGACAAACCGCTCGAGCCACCCGCCGCGGGCTAAAGGGTGACGCTCGCCCCATCCGGCTTCGAGGACGATCTTGGCATCGGCAGGGTGCAAAGTCATGTGCAGCGATCCGTCACTCGGATGGGCATGGCATACCTCACCGCGGCAGGTCACCGTAGCTGGCGAAACCGAGAAAAGTCCTGTGTTATGTCTTTCACGCTCTCGTGTCAGCTAAACGTTGCGTATAGCAATGAGGTGATCTGGATTCTGCTTACTTCTCAAAGCATGAAGTGCCAACAACAAGACTGTTGCTGCATGCTGCCAATTCCGCAATCGCCGATTCGATTTTCTGGAACATCTCGTCACTGGCCTTTTGCGTGACTTGCCTGTGGGGTGCTATACCTCGGACTTCAGGACGCGGCGCTCTGCGTTGCGGTAGCGTAACGAGGTTCCCTTTCAGTGCTCTGGAATATAATGAGACTGGGATCGGTGCTAGCGGGTCCTTCAAAGCGAAAAGACCCAGGACCTTGATTCTGAGATAGCCCGCAACTGTAGATGGTGTTCCGCCTGGGCCCAGAGCGATCTGCTCGACGTCGTTCATTAGCGTTATTCCCACGCTCAAGGATTCGCAGAAGACGCCAACTCACGAATGCAGCATAATCCTTCTGAATTTGGACCGCACATTGGCCTAGCAGTGCCGTCATTACAATCACCATTGCCGTTCCGACCAGCAACGAGATTGCCGGCGTACTCCAGAAGCTGCTCTCCGCCATGATCGTAGGCTGACCCAAACTAGAGTACGACATGGCTGGCAACATGAGGATTGCTGCGCCTGGTTTGTTCCTTCACACGCTGCGGAGAATGGAGTGCTTGATGTCTCAGGGCCCTGAACGAGTGAGAATGCCCACCTTTCAATGGACGTAAACCCTTGACGTCAAATACTGCAGGCTTTTCTGTAACAGAGCAAAGCTCAAGGACATTGGGTTGATTACCAAAGATCGAAGGAGTTCTCACGTATATATATAACGATCTCTGCAGTGAGGTCCCAAGACATTCAACTCATCTCCGCATGCAAGCGGGTTGGGCATCATGTGAACACTAGTAGCACCACAAAAAGGCCCTGCAGACATACAGCCGCCACTCGGGGAGCTGCCATACTTGCCGTAAAAGGTCTTGAGCAACGCAAGTACGTACGTGGTATCACCCCAATGGCTTGTTCGAATCTGTTCTAATGTCGAGACGGTCCCGCCACGGCGACGTGGTCCGACGCGTCTAAGTTCTGGCTCACCGCCAAAAAGAGGCACGAGGACAGTATTGGCGACACGCCGTCGGATCTCTAAATGAGCCGCCGCCAAGAAAACGATATTTCGATATGCGGCGAAACATTACCCTCATCTGAGGGGGAAAATCTCGTGAAAGGATCTCACCATGCCCGCAGATTCATGTTACATTTTACTCCACAATCTCGTTCGCTCGAACGGCCTCGATTTCTTGAGTTCTTCCTCTCGGTGCCGGAGCAGTGCCGGCATTGCATTAGTCCTCATGCATATTGGACGCTAACGAAGACCCTGAGGCTTTTGCAAAAGATTTCAATGTACAGCATACAGCACCAGTTGAGCACCTGGGCAGTTACCATTTTTGGCTAATAGTAGAGGTCTATAGTTTGGTACTCTTCACGAGACCCTTTTTAATACCGGTCAATTCACCGCCATAGCCACCACGACCCTCGCCGCCCTTATAGATGGGTTTGATGGACGCCAACTTCTTCTTCTTCTCTTCGTACTTCTTTCGCTTCTTCACTCGGGGGTTGCGCACATCCTTCTTGCGGTGCGGTGTTAAGCCTTTGTTTTTTTCGATCGCGTAAGAGATTTTGCGCTTGCCGTCTTCGCCGACTGTCTCCTGCTGCACGACCTGTCCACCTTGTAGTGCTGCCTGCCGTTGTGCATCTGCGAGGGCTGCCTTCTCACTCTTCTTTTTGTTTGTTCGCGCGGCAACAAGGTCGTAGTATTCGTCGTCTCCCTCGGTTCTGATCTGTTGAGCCTGACGATGGTCCTCATCGTCACTGTCGCCGCCTAGGTCGTCGCCAATATCTGCAGTGCGCCGGCCACGTTTCTCGGCTTCCGCATTGAGTCGAGCTTGGCGATCTCGTAGACGCTCGCGGTGCGGAACGTCGTCGTCGCCTCCGACGTTTCGACCAGCTGCACCTCGTTTGTTCGCCTTCTGGGCAATCTGAGAGGCGTAGAACCGTAGGCTCTTCTTCCGCTGGGCTTTTTCTGCAGCTTCTCGCGCAGACATGGGTGCCTCATCTCCAATGTCTGAGTCATCGTCAGCAGTCTCGGCAGCTTTTGGCTTGGCCCGCGATGATTTCTTGGATGTCGCGATCAGGTCATCAAGATCCGCAAGCTCGAGCTGGGCCTGACGCATTCGTTTTGACAGCCTTTCCGTCTCCGCTGCTTGTACTGCCTCAGCGTGAAGTTCCGCACGAGACCTCTTTGTCCTCCGCGCAGCCTTATCCTCACTCGCTCCGGCGCTCTCGGAGAGACGGTCGTCTGTCCTCGAGCGCTTGGCTGGTACGGCGACCGCTGCTGCCTCGACTGCTTTCTCCGGCTCCGTATCACGTAGGAGCGTCACTTCCTGCCATAATGCTCGGCATTTGAGTAAGTCATCCATCAAAGGATGGTTCCTTAGCTGGGACGCAGGGAAAGGGGCAGCATCCACTTGAGTGGTCGCAGCAGGTGATGCGAGAAGGGCAAAGTACATGACCAGCGATGCCAGGTAAGCACTCAACGCTCGCAATTTTATGGTCCCCGTAAGCGAAATATGTTTCGAGTCGCGCAACCTCGCGCGTTGTTCCCGTAGACTCAAAAGCTCCTTACTGAGAAGCTCGAATTCCGGATACCGAGTCTTGAGCATTTTCAGCCTCTCGGCTGGACCGAGATCAGAAGAGACATGCAGCTGTGGCAGAATTTCCGTGACCGTTGCTTTGATGCTACCGGTCTTCTGTAATGTCTGCTCCTGAGCCCATTCGTCCTCGTCAAAGCCATAATCGGCAGCTCGCATTGCTGCAAGCTGCTTCTTCTGGAGTCGCAAAGCCTCTGCTTCTTCCTCCAAAGCCTGTTCTTCCGTCTCAATCACATCTGCACCATATATGTCTCCACGAGAAGTGCCCCATCCATATTCGTCTTCCTCTGCATCGTCGCCACCACCATTATTCTCCTCGTCAGAATTGAGAGATGTAGCACCGTGCTTGGATTGGCGGCCTTTGTGGAGTGGCGCAACCGCATCTTGGTGTTCGTCTCCATCGGAATCCTCTTCGGAGTAGCCAAGGATCTCTTCATCGGACTGCTCGAGAAATTCCTCCTGCTCTGCGAGTTTGCGACGCCGCTTCACATCGGGTTCTTCTCCCAGCCGTACTTCATCTTGGTTGAGGTGAAATTCATCGTCCGAATCTGCAACATCGGCGAATGTCGTAATTCGTTTCCGAGAATCGCGCGGATCTAGCTCGACTGGAACTGCCGAGTCGCCAGATTTTTCTCCAGCTTTCCGTTTCTTAGCCATTGCGACGGCGAGATTGTATACGTCTCGGGCGTGATGCTAATTATTATCTTTCTTATCCGAACTTTTCATGGCTCGAGCTCGGCAAACCTGCCTTGTATCATCGGGGCATTCGTGAACAGTTCTGCGGCTGGTCCCGAAGCGCCAAGACCACACACAATTCCATTTCCCGTATCGCAGCTTGGCTGGCAACGAATGACACCAGCGACAGAAATTCAAACACCTCAATTACTGCAATTTGGTACGAAACTACCCAACATTGCGCATCGGTCCACAACATTAACAATCAATCATAGAGTAGCTGGTCAAGATGTCGGAGGCGCCACAGACCAAGAAGTTCCAAAAGGGCGAGCGGACCATCACACCGGCCTCGCAACAAGCCAGCAAATACTACCCAGCTGAGGACGAAGCACAGCCGAAAAAGGTATGGCAAATTGTTGCGCCGAAGAAGCAGAGTTGTCGCTCATCGGTGCATGCGGTGCTGTCAAAATTTGGTGACTGACAGACGGTATTCAGACCCGCAAAGCCATTCGCCCATACAAGCCCAGACCATCTCTTCAACCCGGCGCTGTTCTCATCCTTCTTGCTGGCCGATTCCGAGGAAAGCGCGTCGTTCTCCTCAAGGTTCTCGAGCAGGGTGTTCTCCTCGTTACCGGTCCATTCAAGGTCAACGGTGTTCCTCTTCGCCGCGTCAATGCTCGTTACGTGATTGCAACTAAGACGACTATCCCTCTCGACGGTCTGGACTCATCGATTGTCGAGAAGGTTGGTGGTGAGAAGTACTTCGCACGGGACAAGAAGGCGGACAAGAAGGGCAGCGAGGCCTTCTTCAAGCAGGGCGAGAAGCCCGAGAAGAAGGAGGTCGCCAGCGAGAGGGCAGAGGATCAGAAGAAGGTGGACAAAGCCTTGTTGGCCGCCCTCAAGAAGGAGCCGCTGCTCCTCGGATACTTGAGCTCGACCTTCAGCCTGAGGAAGGGCGACCGACCACACGAGATGGTTTTCTAAATGCATTGGTGTTGACGGGAATCGGGAAGCCGGCGGCGTTGTTGCACTTTTAGTACTCTACACCTCACAAGTCAGGTGAAAGTGCTGTTTTTTTGAATGAGACATCTTCGAAACCCAAAACGACCTCTCTTCACGCTCAACAGGCTTGCACTCGGCTGACCACTCGCCATGAAAACACTGCTTCGGAAAAAACAGGCGCAGGGATGACATGGTTGTGATTACGATGAACTTTTTTCTTTTGACGATCGGGCATATGTAGAGCAATGCATTGTTCAGCGCGAGGATGCGCGATCAATTTCAATTATGCACATAATGAGCATGTCGTGACGTCGACCGGTATTGCGCAGATATGTTGCGAAATCTCCACAGCACCCGACGCGACTATGATCGCCGCGCTCTGCCATCCTCTGCGTGGAGAGTGCGACCTCTCTGCAAGTCTTGGCAGACGTCCCCTCCCAGATAACCCCAGATGTCGCGTTCAGGGTTTTCCCATCAACCCTGCCCTGCTCTGTCGACACAATACAGTACGTCAGCTTCACATTACACTTCATCTGATTATATATCATGTACCTCGCGCTGTATAAGGATATCCACCACTCGCATCAGTAACAAACACAGCGATTGCTCTCGCTGTATTATCTCACAGAATGCATCTCGCTTGTTACAGTCGACTCGCTGCAGGTTTTGCCATACCCATAGTGGCCATAGTCATTACACCGAAAGATGGAGCACCTCTATTCCCGCCACGTAGAACTACGACTACCAAATCTGAGAAAGCTGAAGCTGAGCGATAATAACGTCCGAAATCATTATCGAAGTTTCGGTCTTCCCAGAAATGGCGTTTATGAGCAGTTTTGCACCGAGTTCGAATGATATTAAGCATATTTTGGAGAAATGATACAGCTAAACACGCCAAATGCCGTCAACTCTCGTGACGTCAATCCCAAAATACGTCAAGAGCCTCTTCGGTGACGAGGAGACCATCGCAACGACGCCGCTCCAAGAAAAGAACGAAGAACACCGCCCAAGAAGAATCATAAGCATAAATCAAACCGCCCAATGCAGCTTCGCATGGCTCTGTCGCGCAGCTCCCTCAAGTCCTTCATGCAAAACCCCATCGTCTTAAAACATACATCTCATTTGAACCATGCTCGCATCAAAGCAAAATACAACACAGGCGAGGTTTCCCGCTATCGCCGTGAGACTGATTGTCCGCGGCGTGATTGAGAGCGCTCCCGGCGATCGTCCCGCGTCCGACGGTCGGAACTTTCGCTGCCTGGAGAACGAATGATTGTCAGCATGTGGTGTTTCGGTAAAAAGCATGGGCAAGTCCAGAGGGGCATTGAAACTTACTTGCGCTGGTATAGTAATCTTCTGAGTAAGAATACTCGCTGTACCCTTCGTTTATCCTCTCCTGCTTTTTCTCCTCCTTGTCGTGTCTCCGTTTGAGACCGAGAATGGCCCAGAGCGCGCCCAGACCACCCAAGACTGCGAGGATGTTGAATCCACCGCCGCTCTTCTTTGACGCGGGCTTGCTTGTTCGTATAGGTGCGCCGTACCAGGTCCGCTTAGGTCCGCCGGATGTGTGGTGCGAGTGACGTTCGTATTCGTCCACCTCCGTCACTCGTTTCTTCTTGCCAAAGCCGAAACAGGCGAGGCAGCCGTCGATCAGGCCTTTCACGCAGCAGCAGAACAAAATGAAACCGAGGAGGCCCAGAGCTAGAAGGACACCGATGACAATGCCCGCGATAGCGCCGCCTGATAGTCCGCTGCTGGCGCTGACCTCCATTCCGCTGAGTGTCACGTTGGCTCCCGTGACTACCGGAGGGATGAATGCTACTGTCGTGGTGGGTGTGTTCGTTGCCGTGGCGGTTGTGACTCCGGAAGATGTGGGGCGGAGAGGTGCGCCAGGAGTAGCCATGCCCGTGGGCATGGTCGTCGGCGCGGTGTATGTCATGTAGAATCCAGAGCTTCCCCCGTTACCGGCAGGTGCGCATTGACCCGGTGAGAAGCAGTATTGATCGCTTGCGCAGCAAATTGACCCGCACGGCTGTTCACCGTGTGCGAATGAACATTGAGGATTTGTTGTTGGTGCTGCTGTGGCTACTCCAACTCCAACAACGTACGTGCTCATGGTACTTGTTATGGTCCTCAGATCTGTCTGTACGTAGGTCGTTGTGTAGTATTGCCAATATCCATTCGTGGCTGTGGCTGCCACCGCCGCTGACGGCGTACATAGCGCGATCGAATTGGCTGTGACGCAAGCCAGGCCTGCTCCGCAACAGTATTGTCCAGAGTAACCGCACGTTGTCCCGGCGCAGTCGTATCTTGCAAACAATTCGTTGTATGTGAAGCCGGCTTGCTCGGAGGGGTGTGGTTGGGGGTTCGCGAGGACGATTTGAGGTGTGATCAGGAGAGAGAGGGTGAGTCGCAATAGCGATATTGATGTCGACTGAAGGCGCATTGTAAGCTCTTCGCCGCTCGCTGGCGGTCTTGAGTTGGGTTTGGAATATATGTGGCCGCGCGATCGGGTTCAATCGTGGATGTGTTCGTATATGAAGCCCCACTTCTGGGCTTGTGCTGTCGGTCGTCGCACACTTCGGAGGCTTCGCGGATGTATAATATGTTGTCGCTGTTCGAACGTTGTATATGAATTGGTTCAACGAGCACTAGAATAATTCAATCAGTCCAACAAGCACGAGGAATGAGAGTGAAGTGGGTAGAACGAGTCAAGGGTGCGCCCAAAAAGTGCGCTGTATGCTTCTGGCAAGTACGTCGGAATTCGTGGCGGGGAGTCTCCCAGCCTTCTTTTTCGCACCAGCCGAATTGATCTCAGATTTTGGCCCTGCAGCTGAACGTTTGCGACGGTCAATAACGGTGTTGTGTGAAGATGGTTCAGGTTGATGGACGGATTTCAACGACTGAAGATGTTTGATCAGCAGGAACAACTTTCAACCAGCTCGTCGCCGTAAGGGATTGTCGTCATTCACAGTCCTCACGTCCCTTCAGCGCAAATTCGAGTCCGTGTCAACAATGCCGTTGCCAGGTCAATTGCGACCAGCGCCAGCGCCAGCGTCCACGGACGGGGCGGCCCGCTTCAACCCTCCACGGCTTTGAAGAACTCCAATGCCGAGTCGCTGAACTCGTTGACGCCACCCATGGAAGCAGCAACGCAAGTGTGCTTTTCAATCGTTGTGGATCGGAACGCTTTCTCCGAGTGAATTGAGCTACGCTCTGATCCGAAGGTCTCCTCTGCATGCTCCTCCCTGTGCAGCTAGCCTGTTCCTTTTGAGTAAGTTTCAGTCAAAGCTATCAAAGCTAACCTTCACCACAATGTTGGCTTTTACAGAAAGCTACGGGCAGCATTTCACTGTTGAGTGGACTTCAAGCAAGTTGAAGCACTTGATGCACGTTTGATGTTTGTTATGGGACGTGGCGCCAAGCGATTGTTGGAGGGGGAGAGAGATTGAGAGAAGGATATTACGACGCCGATGTGCATTCGAACGATATCAAATCGATCTTGATGGTTTCCCTCTGTACGTTTCCCCGTGCAGTTCCGAGACCTCTCGGTCAGCCAATTCGTAAGCGATGTTCGCTGGCGGCTGCGGCGGCGCTTGCGAGAAACCATACATCGGAGGTGGTGATGGGGATGGATAATTTGCTCCATACGGTGTATATGGATAGTATTGGTGAGCATGCGGTGCAGATTTGTTGACTAAGATGAAGTTAATATGATTCCGATGCGAGGTAAGGTGTCTGGAACAATTCTTACGGTTGGGAGAATTGTCTTTATATGGTCGAAGATCTTGATCCGAAGTCCTGGGATTGGTAACCAGGTTCTCGTTCTCGTGGCTAGTATTCTGTTTCCGCCGTCGCAGAAGGATTATGATCCCGAGTATGAGGATGGCGAGAACTGCAAGACCTCCGACGATACCGCCAGCAATGGCACCGGCATTGTTCGAGCTGGGACCGGCAGAGCCATTCGAATTCGAACTCGCACTCGAAGTCGGAGCATCTGAAGTAGAAGCACTCGAGGAGCTTGCGGAAGAAGCGACGCCTCCCGCGTTCGTATTACCTGGAGAAATCACGGTCAATAGAAAGATCAACGAGCGGAAACGTCAAACATACCATAGAGTGCCAGATAAGGCGCTGCGCTCGCTGGATTGTTCGACAGAAATGCAGCACTCAAGAAGGTCGAACCGCATGATCCAGCGTTGCACGGATTGGTCTTGCAACATCCCCAGAACGGAGGACTGGTCGCGGCGCAGGTATAGAATTCGCCTGCTTCACACTGTTGATCCGTCATGGAGCCATATTGAGCTGCAGGAAAGCTGGCAGGCTTCAAGTTGCCTGCCGGACAGCCGTTTGAGCCACACGGGTTACTGGCACAGCATCCCACAAACCGAGTCCCACTGTTGCAAGCGTAGAAAGTCCCGCCAGTCGGGCATGACATGCTCAGTTGCGACATCTGTGAGGTGCAGAGAGAAGGCTCTTGGTCGGTGTGATGTCACGAATTGTTTGGCAGGTGTGAAATTTGGAGTTGAAAACGTGCAGCGCCAGCGCATAAGGTGCGAACTTTCAGAGAACAGCCTCTCACCCTTCATATCAGAGGTTCCAGCTCGATTTGCAGCAGTGGCAGGGCACCTCCATGCCCCGGGAAGTACCTAGCATTTCTGCTTCACTCACAGATCGATAGATCATGTAAGAGCATCCCGTAAGTGCTACCCCTTGTAGGCTGGGATCAACTCATGGATGCGTCATATTGAAACGCATGCGATTGTCCTGTGGTGAAGACTCGTCGGCCTGCACAGGTATACGCTCTCAGACATTGCGCGGACAGCGATTCATAATCCCACAATAGTGACATCCAAGCTCCCGCGAAGATCGGGTATCAGTTGACCGCCAACCCATCCTGGGCATGCACAGCCGCAATGCCAGGAAACGAGCGGGAGGAGAAAAAGGCGATCAATCGAGCGGCTGTTGGCCTGGCCGAGTTGGTGGCGACGGGCCATCACACGCATGCGAGCAGCGCGTGAAAACGACCGCGGCGATGACGCCCACGACACCTTCGCGGTGCATTCGCAGAGGGGGTGTGAGCCGTCGCGCATATTGGCCCCATTTTGCCATGGCCACTAGGCCCAAAATACCATGGGCGCGGCGTTGGGCCCCGCTCTCGGGCGTATGCATCGCATTCCTTTGGGCGTTGCTCCAACGGTCGATTTCTGACAGGTCGAATTCCTTTTCCTGTGTGGAGCATGATTCATGCGATGTTGTTGCGGTCGACTCGCTGATATCGATTGCTGCGGGATGTGAAGCAATTAGGATTCTGAGCAAATCGTCATGCATCTACCGTGTTACGATCTCGCGCGTGGGCGAAGTTGAACATCGCCAGACGTACCACTGTGAAGGTGCATCTGTGCAGTGATAACTTTAGCCAGATATACCTGTCATACACGAGAGATGCGGACCTTACCTCCGCGATCGCAACCAGCGTTCTGTCACATGAAGGTTATCATTGTCAAGAAGCATCTACTTATTGATAACAGCCACACTGATTAAAAACATTATACATCGTCTCAGGTTAAGTCAATACAATATTATCTACATCGAGATGCGGAAGAGCTCAACACTCCCCGCACCAGTTAAAAAGCATCCCCCAAAATATATCGAAAATTGCAGACCAAGAACAGTCCGCCCACTCATCAATCGGGGTATCTTTTTCACAAAACTCGCTCCCACCGCCATTTTGACCACAAGGAAATAAATGTTGAAAGAATGGGACATGAGATCAAAGCCAGAATGGACATGCGGGTAAAGTCCGGCCGCGGTCCTTGAAGCTGGTTGATCCGAGAGAACATTGCGTAGGAGGGCGCGATTCGAAATAACCAAACGTCGGCCAGAGAGAGAGATCCTGAATATGTTGCGTGTGACATCGCGAATAGCAATCGATGTCCAATCTGACCTCTTGCATAGCACGTCAAAGTTGCATGTGCGCAACGATGATATTCAGACCGGCACATAGCCTCTATCCTGCCCGACCCAGTAGCCGGCAATCTCAGCGAGAATGTCGCTCATGATGGACGGGCTAGCCATCAAACCGTGACCTTCGCCTTGGAGTATGCGCACCTCACAGCCGCCACGGGCGTGGGCAGGGTCAGCCCAGCCGTCGCGGCTCGGAGGAGCGTTGGCGTAAGACGAACCCGGAATCGCCTGGGCCCGGCGATTCATCTGATCTGCTAACCAGCGGATGTTCGCCGCAGGAACCCGCTTATCCTCGATACCGTGTGTGATGACGATTTGACGTTTGATGTCGGTGTAGCGGAAGCCGATATCGCGATGGCGCTCCAGGCAAACTAGGAGATCGGTCGCCGGGTTACTGTCTCGTGTTGCCAGCTCCCATGTGCGTTCAGTAAGCCGACTAGTGTAATGCGCTTGTCGTTTCTTCTCGGTATGTTCGGCAGCATTCAGCGCCGACGCCGCATAGCTGAAGCTTGGGTCCGTCGGGAAGGCGGTCGCAGAAAGGACGAGCGAGCCACGCTTGAGAGCTGGGTCGAAGTCACCACCGTCTTTGGTGGAGTCGGAGTAGGCTTCCAGAGGATTAGCCGTCGGCATGAAGCGATCCATCAACATCATTGACTCGCGTCGATTGTCTTGACTGACTGATCGCTCGCGAGCCTGTGGGGAAGATCTCGGGGATTCGCCACTCTGCAACGGCGCTTTGATTGCGCCAGGCTTTGCAGCCCGCGTCTTTGACGATTTGGTCGATCCAGAGGTCGGTGACATGAACGCTGCATTGGCTGCTCTCAGTAATGGTGTCGGCAACACACGCAGAAATCGCTGACTGCGTGGAAGCCCGCTGGCTGGTGAAGCGGATGTAGTCTGATGCGGGACAGCTTCCAACTGGCTTGGCGGGATCCATGGGGCGAGCAAATGGACCTTCCCAATCAACATCTGGGGCAGGATCAGTGAAGTAGCAAGGGCGTAGATGGCGCCAGCAGAATGCGCGAGTATACTGAATTTGGTGATCCCAAGTTCTTGACAGATCGCCAAAATGTCGTCCGGCCAGCTCAGAGGACCACTTCTATCGTTCGTGGGGTAGGGACCACTGCCTCCAACGCCAGGACGATCCAAAGTGATAAGTCGAAGGCGCAAAGTAGTAGCAAGCTCGTCGTAGAATACCGTCACATATCGTGTCAAGCCCATCCCAACACAGACAAACACCACTGCACCGTTGGGATCTCCTACCTCCGAATACGCGATCTTGCGTGTATTCGTTTTGTTGTATACCATTTGTGTCAAGCGAGGAGAGTTGAGATACTCCATCACTGAGTCTTCTAGGCTGTCCCGTCGTTGTTGCTGCGGCTCGTCCTCGTTGAGGCGCCGGTTGCGCGCGTCGCTCATAGACTTCCGACGACTCTTCCTTCGCTCGAGATCAGTGCTGGGAGCGGAGGCTTGACGTGGCGACTTTTCTCCTTTGTCCCACCTCGTCCTTTTAGTCGACGATGGTGTGGCAAAGCTCTGGGCCGACGAGTCACCTTTCTGAGATATGTCTGAACTAGTGATGAACACGGACTTGCGATTGTTACGGTTAGGGGTCTCGTCTTGCATCGTGTCTACAGCGTCCGTGTACGAATACTCCAGTGAAAGCTTAGACGGCACATTCCTGTCTGAAGGTGCAGGTGAGGGTCTCCTTGGTGCGTGGTTCGTTCCGTTGACCTTCAATCCGGCGTCGTCTCGAGATCCAGATCTCGAGCCGCCAGAGCTTGTGTGGGAGTCCGCGAGTGATGCCTGCCTGACCTTGTCCGGAGCTGATAGTGCTCGATCACCAGGTGAGGGCCGGCCCAAGCGAGTTGGGGTGTTCTGTTGCGAGGCATTCTCGTTCTCTGCAGTCACATCAGATGATGGGAATGGCGGCGATGTGTACCCAGGGTATGTTTCACTGTTCACCCTTTGCAGCCGAGTCTCCCGCAGTTCTCGCAACTCTCTGATTCTCTTGACAGTCTCATCGTCTTCACCTAGATCGGCCCAGCTTGACTCCGGGATAGGCTTTGAACGGCGAGCGAACACGCTCTCCGATTTCCCAAATGCCAGCATCGATTTCTTCTTCGAGCTTTTTTCTTTCTTCTTCGACGGACTTTTGCTAGACTGGCGCAAAGAGGATGTGCGGGTAGGGATCGAATCGATGATTGGGCTAGCGCCGTTCGCTATCATTCGGGGCGGACTTAGCGATTTATCGCTCTGAGATATGGTATCGGCTGTGGATGAGGTTCGGGTGGTGCGCGGTGTCTCGTTGGGTGGTGGTATTGATGCCGCTGGAACCACAGAGTCACTGCTAGGAGTAATGTCTATTTCAGGAGCTAGGACAAGTCGGTCCTCTGGTTCGTTCACTTGATCAAGTGCTGGATCTAGAGTCGTCTCGTTCTCCGCGATTAAGGAGTCTCTGAGGAACAGTCGCGACTTCGGCGATACCAATTGGCTGGGTGACTTGGGCGCGATGATGATATGCTCTCCAGTAATTGGATAACCCCCCTCTTGCTCAACGCCCGCTCGACTAGGAAGTGTATTGAGGTTGGCTGGCCGGAGAGACTTCTGCGAGCCTTTGCGCCGCAACGCGCGAGTCGGTGTTTGACTTTGTGACAGTGGTGGTGGGATATCGTCCTGTATTCCGTATCTCACCCAGCTCTCTGCGCTCAATTTGTTCTGACGGCTAGCCTGAGTGCTTGCTGTAGAGAATGTACTGCCGCGCGAACTTGGCCTAGGTCGCAATGGTGTCTGTGAACCGACATTTCTCATAGAAAAAGATGGTGAAGATGGGCCAGGAAACTTTGGCGAAGTGGCAGCGATGATGCGAGTGTTTGCTGACTGAAACGATCCAGATGGCGGATTATTCATGCCCTGCTGTTCATATTCAACAGCGATCCCAATCGCTTGAGTGTCTGGATAAGATCGCAGCGCTAGATTCTGCCGCAGTGCGGTATTGGAGGTCGACCTGGGTGCACCACTTTCGGATCGTGCGTCCTTGGTCTTATGCTCGGATAGGGTTCGGGGCGATGATGATCGCCCAGTAGCGGAGGAATTAGAGGGCGTGGAAGTGTCTAGGGACGATATCATAGATGAGATGATTGCCGGGTCGGCGTCCGGTGCTGGCACGCGATGCGCTGGCCGAGCTGATTTGGAGCGCAATGAGTTGTCGGTTCTGTGATCGTTGCGAGCATCGTGGGTGCGGTGCGCGCCACTCGAGCGCGCGTCCAGCTGCATTTCATGGAGCCGCAGATTCGACGCTCAAACGGTTGCAACCGCATATGGAGCGCAGCGGGTCAATAGATTGAGGGCAGTAATCAATTCTTCGTTGTCGATATGGGATTGATGTATGTTCTGGACACTAAGATGTAGAAAGGTCAACGTACTCGCGTTGAAGATGGTGGTCGGTCCAGCCAGAAAGATAGAAGCGTGTCACGGGCCGTGAGTGTGCAGTACATTTAGCGATTGGTAGAGGCTGGCTGGGTCCCATTTAGGGATCGTTTTAGTGGGATACCCAGCAATGTGCTGCAATCTATGCTCGTCACCCGTCTGCAGGGTTCTTGATAATCTATTTCCACGCCAACTAACAATCACCTGGGCATAATAATGAAATTGTGGAGCAGAAGGTACTGGATGCCCTGCATGGTGGATACAGACCATCACGCTCTCCTCAATGCCCAGGTAGTAATGATTCATAGACATACATGCATTCAAAACTCAGTATACAACGGAGAATGCCGTGCGTTCAGAGATGCGCATCTTTCCGCAGTATTGAGCCACCGATCAGTCGTTGACATGATTGACAGTACTTCTCCCAATGATCACGACCGACTCATGGAGACAAATAAAGCCCTCTCGTACAACAAACGGGGCCCATGGGAGGTGTCTGTAGATGACTCAACTAGGGTGTATAAAGTCGCGATAGCAGGATGCTCTCGTTCATTCACAATGCTGCCGAATCAGGAATGTGATGATATCACGAAACCGCATCGAGCTGGGAGGTGTGATCTCTCTGCTGGAGGAGTTCTCAGGCTCTGGGCTGGGGATGCTGCTCGCATGATCAATCCATTCCATCATCGCTCCCACGGACTGATGGGACATGGACTGTACTGCACTGCGCGCCGTTCATGCAGAGCGTCGGAAAGTCCTCATTAACACATTAGCGGAGGTTGCATATGTCCACCCACCGGCAGTGTTGAGGGATCGACTGCGCTTGATTTGGGAAATTTGAGTTCGGGTCGCGAGATTGATTGCATGCATGGCACGTTGCCCTAGTGCAAGTCCATCGGTTCTGCGTGAATCCGGGCACGATCGAGCCTCCTGTGTAAGCACAGATGCTCCGGCAAACGCAGCACCGATGCGGCAGAATCCTCATGCGATTGACGATACTGTGTGAGATAGTTTGAGATGATGAAGCAAATACAAGCGACCGGAGACGAGTGACTGTTGTTTTGGAACCCGGCATCATCAGATATGGTTGGTGGGCAATTTCAAGGCCAAGTGCAGAGGGGACAATTCAGGGGCTTAACAAGGCCAGTGTCCCCGAACAAATATTGCAGCTTTCCGGACAAGCACACCTGGGCGTCCGCAGAGAACTTGTGTGTCCATTATAAACCTTGGAACTCAAGCGACGGTACCTCCAAGGCATTCTGCGGCTGTCTTGGCTATAGAAGCATCTCATCAGAGCCTTTACGGAGCGGCTAACGCTGCGTGCCTTACGGGGCAACTGATGTTGAGCACATGTTTCCTGTACTGTGACAATGAAAATAATTATACCACGCTTCTCTTTCTGGAGATCAGCGATGGAGACACGCCTACACTACTACCGAGGGAGACTGCCAGAAATCAACCACGACCGCGCTTGATTCGATGCAATGTCTTCAAAGGCAGCACTGACTACAAAGTAACGAGTCTGACTCTCCACCTGGGCATAACTTCATAACGCCAGCGACGGGGATCGTCATCTATCGATATTGCCGTTTGACCCAACATACTCTAATCTTCACACTTGACTAGCAGCTCACGCCGTGCACGGGTAGCACTTGTCATTTTTAGGCCATTGCGTTGATGGAAGCGCAAGAAGACGTTCTGCGAGAATCTCGTATCAACCGTGCTAATCATCGACGACTCCTCGACGTCGTCCCGTCCGCACGCAATATGAATCTAATATACAGTACATATATGATCTACATTGAAATTGGGTAGAATCATATCTGGCGGGTCTTCGGGCGGTCGATCTGCACCGACGTTCAATTGCATTTCGAAGTTGTGGGGCACCCACCACCCAAGATACTGGTGTCCCAACCTCGAAGGTAAAGCTCGTGTAATGAAGCAGCCGGCCCTAGACCCTGCAGCCATGTGGCGCCGGTTCGCAGCATGTAATCTTAAAGATACATGCTAAACCTTGGTGGAAGGTACAGAACGTGTACAGTCCTCTGATGACTAGTGCTTGGGTGCCAGCTCTGTGTATCTCGGTCAAATGATCACATATTGACTTGTTATAGCCAGCATGTGTGGATCTGATGTGCTTCAAACCCCATCTTTGGCCCATCTCCGGGCGGAAATATTATTCCATCTGCGATTCCGCAAGTATTATATACTTAGTAGAAGAAAATAGAATAAGCCCTTCGGCAAATCTGCGGGAAGATGTTCAGTCTCATCCGCGCTTCGCATTTCAGTATGTTGTGCCCATGTCCGTTCCACAATGATAACGCGATGGTCATCAACGATCGATCTCCACAAACTCTTGTCACGTGGGCTGCCCTGCAAACAATTCGTCTGCTACTTAGACGGCGACCCTCGGTGTCACTCCTGAGCAGTGCCGCGAATAATCTGTCATGTGAATCACGTCTCGTCATTCCTCAGCGTAGTGCAGGATCGCCACGCCCGGCCCTCCACATGTGGGTTCCATCGATCAGGTCCTGGCACCCGCGAAAGAGGAAACCCCATTTGCACCAGACCGCATCCGAGATTTCCCAGTTGGACGCCTGGGTGGGTACACTGTTCCACACGACCATCCCGTTGCGCAACCACTGTCCTGCAACGTTCTCCAATGAACCAGACGCTCGCAGTGCAGCACAGAACTCGGACTGGTTGAGAGCTCCGTCGTTCACGGCCGCAAGAATGTTAGAGCGAAGCTGCATATGTGGTATCACGTCGATGATTAAATCGTGGGGCACGTGAAATTGAAGCTCGTGTGGCCAGAGTGAAGGCGGAGTTGAGAGTGGAGTGGAAGCTCGAGCCAGAACATGCATAGAGCCCCCATGGAGAGTAGCAGTGGTGATTCCAACTTGTCTCGCGTTCTCCTCAATTGCGCCGAGGAAATTGCTGTTGATCAGGACTGCAAGATCATCCCACACGTTGCTGGTGTCCAGGTCTGGCGACCTCATCGTCGAGATTACTGGTGTTGCTGCCGTGAACGTGTTTGATCCGGAATGCGACATGCGCATGCGTTCGCTTTCGAAATCTTCATGTGATGCCTGCACAGACTTTCGCTCTCCGTGAGATGAGCCGAGAACATGCCAATCGCGGATGCCGCGATTGCATACCACCTCGCCAGACTTCTGTCGAGCCCTGAATGCACGCTGGTTGATCCGATTCTGAATGCGCCTTCTTTCGCTTGACTCGCTTTTGCCCTTGCGAAGCTCGTTTGTTGCTGCTTGGAGTTCAAAACTTTTGGACGTATGTGTTGACGAACTAGATGCGTAGTTTGCATTCTCAGCCGCGTTCGAGCTTCTTCGGCCAGGCATGATGGGCTCGTCGTTGGTGTCTTTGGAAATGTGAAGACAAGATGTGTCTTGATTGCAGATATGATCGAAACATAGTTGCAAGAGATACTTTGCTGGCGCCTTTTGACTTGTTCCTGATGTTGACCCAAGCTACGTCGCGCCGGGACTGCATCGGAAAGTCAAATGCTTTGCGCCATTCGGGCCGGTCTCTACCTGGGCAAGGACGTAGACATGGAGAGTGCCACGTGTTGGCGTTCGTCCCGAAGTTACCAATAGGAGACGGTATCGAATATTTTGCTCTTCGGTAGGCACGAATCATTCGTCCAACTATGGTGCACTACCCCGGGATGTGAGACCCGAGGCTTTCCTGACGTGCTGGTCATATTCGTCACGACCACCCGGCGCCCAGATCCATCGTGTGTAAATGTAACGCCGGCTGGCACCGGTGAACTGAGATCGCTCTCTTTGGTAATGGGGACAATGAGTCGAGAGCTACGAGTCTACGGACCAGCACGCGTGAGCCTGCCATGGCTGGTAGCCGTGGGTATCTTGTTTGCCACGTCGACAGAGCGCCAGGATGAACCCTGCTGGTTTGCACGTTTCATGCCCAGAACCTACCTGATAAGTATCCCGGAGACGAGAGAAAGCGGTCGCGATCTCTCCACACGATCAATCACTCAACCAGAAGATGGGTGGCTGTCCGCATCGAGGTGAGCTGTCGTTCGTATCTTGTGTCGCGCCGATTTCATTGTCAAGCTCCGGCTCGGGTTTGAAAAGTCTGATCGGCATGTTACGGATGTCTGCTTGGTCGCGAGCGACGCAGTACGTCTTGTGTCATGATGGAGTACCTCACCTTTACACAAAAGGATCATCTCACTTCCGGGTCGATGATATGTGTACCAACCAGGCGAAATCTATGTTGGGAATGCGAGAGTGGAGCAGCACGTCTCATGTGATCGTGGCATTAATCAGCCCTTTTGAAAACTTCTTGCTCTATAGCGTTGTCGTGCGAAATCAGTGTATTGATCATGTCAAGGAGAAGATCACCGCGAAGACAAACCGCGCTCCTCTTACGCACGCCTAACTGGGACGGAGATATGCAAAGAGACGTGATCGGACTTCAACGCGACGTAACAAGATTGCACCAGGCTCACCACATGACGTCAGTTTCAACTCCATCCCGCTGGGCACGAAGCTGAGGGCATAGCCAACAAACAATTCAAGGTTGTTTTCACGCTACGAACAAGATGCATTGTAATGCTGCAGGTGATTTCCAAGGCCATTTACCTTGCAAATGTACCCAGCAAAGGCCTCTTGTGAATGGCTCCAAGGTTATCCGGCACCATACCCAGGTATCTAGGCAATTACTTCATTCAAACCTATCTCTTCTGCTTCTCTCCGGTTTGCATCTTCTTGACACGCACGAACACGCACACAGACACTCGCGCATACTTCACAGTACACAACCCATCTTCCCGAACCTCACCTGATTCATCACACCACCATATTGTGCGTGCGATTCCTCTCGTCCCGAACAGATTATCCTCATTTCCGGTTTGCGCATGATGGCATCGTCGCTGCAACAATTTGTGCATGACAAGTTGATCTACGCAACGGCTTACCTGCAAGGGCGGTTTTACGCGCTTCCGCGCGGCCCATCCGATGTTTATGGGCTGTTCGTCTCGAAGCTTACCAGCCTAATCGCCCTACCTCTACCACTCCTGAGCTTCCTGGTCGTCCCTTTCTACGGCGGATCTTCGACTACCGTTAGCTTGCTCGTTTTCGTAAGCCCGATCCGCATCAGAGGCGCCAGGGAGACTTTGATGGTGAGATATCGTACACATTCTAATGCTATGTCCGTAGTACTTGACGTGGTCTGCACTTGTAATCAGTCATGATCCACTGACAATAGAAATTTATGGGACCATCGCGATAAGAGGATTGTGCTACCTGCTACCTGCGCTCGCTTTTCTCGCCTTCGATCTTGGCCTTCCGGATATCAGCAAGAATGTCAAGGCTCGCGGCAAGAGGCAACTCCCCGGGAATCTCAGCCGACAAAGATTGATCAGACTGGCCACAGTAGCTGTTGGTAATGTGATTTTGGCTATTCTGGTTCAGGCTGCCCTCGAGGTCGTTGTGACTCGCATCCTCCATCTGCGAAGCTTGATCAAGGTTACCACAATCTTGCCTTTGCCTTTGACCATTGTTGTGGACATCCTGAAGGGTCTCGCATGCCGCAGTGCTTTGAGCTATTTTGTCCATCGCTACCTTCTTCACACCTTCGACTCACCACTGAAAAGTTGGCATAAACAATGGCAGCATTCCGTTACGGCTCCCTTTAGTCTGCTGAGCTCCTATGACCATCCCATCAACTACCTACTGCATTCCTGGCTACCGACCTTCTTGCCTGCCTACCTGTTCCGATGGCATGTTCTAACGTGGCACGCTTTCTTGATCATAACCAGCCTGGAAGAGCTCTTCGTCTTCTCTGGCTACGCGGTACTGCCGTCGAGCATCATTCTTACTGGCATGGCCCGTCGTAGCGAAGCACATTTTGACTCTGTTCAGAATCGTGGCCAGGTGGGCAATTATGGACATCTTGGCCTGCTGGATTTCTGTCTTGGAACAGCTTGCAAGCATGAGGACGACATCATCGACGATGTCAAGAGCGAAGCGGACAAGCATCGGCTGCAAGACCGCATCGATGCTGCAGTCCAAGCCGCGCTCAGCAAACAGCACGAAATGACGAATTCGTCAAATTCGCAAGGAAAACTTTCATTCCGAAAATCGAAAGCGAGTGGCTCACATGAGGACGCGAATGTCCGTGCTGATGACACAGACGACCATGACAACAATATCCAGGCAGAAGGTACGGATTCAGGTCCGCGACGAAGTGGTCGAAGGAAATTGTTCAAATCGTGATGCAGTGTACTTCGACGCGCTATGCTTGATTTTCAATGAGGAACAGACATAATCAGATCACGATTCTGCTTTTTTGTTGGCCGCTTGGATATTTACCAATTCCTCTGTCTGATCTATGTTTTTTCAATGAAAGCAACAGGGGAGTTAGTGTGCGCCAAAGAAATTGTAGAATGCTGTTAAAATTTCGAGCTCACAAGAGTGCTGCCAGAGATCAATGTAGGCGTTCGAGCATACTGTACATGGCGTCATAGACAGAAATGACACTCCAGCCTGCCCCATGAAGGCGACAAAGGACAGTCTCAATGGCAACGGCAAACCGCTTAGAAACCTTGGAGCCACTGCTGGGCATCACTTCCAGTCCGACATCAGCATCACTTTGTACAGCATTCCTGGACGTGCTGCATGGAAAACATGCAGGTACTATGTATGTCACTTTTCCCCTTCGAAGTCGGATAGGTCAACCCCAGAAACTCAATCTGGGCTTGTCGAGACTAGTGCCTGATCGGGCGAAATGAGAGATCATTGACGACATCGTAGCGGGCGCATCTCACAAATGTGCACGAGGAGATGCGATGATGCAGGTCAACTCGATTGACGTGTAGACCGAGGTCACCATCGGTGTGGTCATGTAGCAAGGTACAGAGTAGTGCGCGCGACTACTTGAACAACGCTGCTGCTGTTCTATACTCATGGTCTTGTCAAGTGAAACTCCATTTCCTATACTCCAACCCAAAACACTTTCCACGAACAATCTGCTCAGCTTCAGCACTATGGCCGGTCAAGTAGGACTGCTCACCGCTCTGAAGGACCCCAATTCATTTCCGCTGCTGACGATATGAGTAGTCTCTCAAGGACAAGGCTCAGGCCAACCCCACCCAACTCGGCGACCACGTCTCGCTCAAGGCAGAGACCTCCAACAGCCACCCTACACCTGACGACACTGGTGCCAAGAAAGTGCACAAGTCACTTAAGCAAGTCGCTCAAGAGACCAACCCTTCACAGCTTGGAGACCCGATCAGCCTGAAGGCCGAAACCTCAGACACCGAGCCGACGCCTGATGACCGCGGCGCTCGTGGCTCAAGCAAGAAGTCGAAGTTGTAAATTATGACACTGCTGGAGCAAGGAGTTGTTAATATTCGGAATGGATCGTAGGACGCTTGACAGGCAAACGTGTTTGAGAACGTTGAAAGCTCACATCAGGAGCTCAGTGACACAACATGTTGATAATGAAAGACAATGAAATGATCTGAGGATTTACGCAGAAGCGGACGAAGTGATTTGGTGCTTGTGTGCCTGGGTGGTTAAATGTCTTTCGAGAAGAATCAAATAATCAACACTTCAAAGCTTGAAGCTTAATAATTTGTTGTGACCCATGTATTGTTCAATCAGTAGCCGCCTATCACATGCTCTTGGGCCAATGTTCGAATGTTAATATCATGAATGGAAGCAAGACCACCTTACTCAATATTCATTTCACTCAAATGATCTCAAAATCCTTTCAATCACTCTGTCGCGTGTTGTATCTGTCGTGCTTAGAAAATGAGTACGCAGCTTGAAGAAAATCAAGAAGATACTTTTGATACCTGCGAATCAGAGCCTGACACCGATCGTGAATTCGACAACTCGAAATCGACAGGTATGGCTCCTCCCTTTCCTCGAATGCCCAAGGAACCCATGGGAAAGAAGCGCCCGATGGCATCCGTTATTGATTCGTTGCTGCTTTCGAACCACCTGGGCATTCATATGTCACTGACTAGCTGTTAAGCTCGTCGTATCTATCGACGCTCCGCTGGCCGTGCCGGCCGTCAGCCGACATCATCAAGTGCTGGCTTTCATCTACGCCCATAATCGGAAAAGAAAAGCTTCCATTTGGCATGTTTAGCCGCCTCGATCCATGGCATATTCCAATGGGAGTGAAGTCTCCAGAATCATCACAAATGTCGAGATCACCACGCGCCGTGGCGGTAGGCGCGAACGAGCTGGCGCAGAGAGCATCACAAATACCCAGACCATCTCCGAAGCAGCGATCACCTCCAATGCAGAGCACGGAGACGGGCAACGATGCGCGGAATATGGGGGAATCAGGAAATCCAAGCCTTGACCCTAGCGATAATAATACGATTCGCAGTTCGAAAAGGCTACAAGATGTGAAGAAGCTTCCGCTCACACCTGAGATCCAAACGACAGATAAGGCATCCGCAATCCGTACCGAATGGGAGGCTGCAAAAAAGCGGAATGTCGCCAATGTCAGCAAGTGCGAACTCCGCAACACTCGAGGTTTCGCCTCCAAAGCATGGGTGCTGCTCCCATTCGATGATCCAAATTTGAATGATGAAGAATATGTCAATCGTGATGAATATGAGCCATGTTCATAATGCGTCCGCGACCACTCCGGAGCTCTCCAATTTGCAGACGTCATGGCGGATTGAAAGGACCAATAAGGTGAGCTGGAATGAGATTTCGCACGATTCATGCGTTCCCTATTTTGATTTCATCACGATCCTTTCACAAATTGGCTTTGGGACTGTACCCCGGCACGTTTGGCTGGCTGGCTTGCCTAACTCGAGCAAGCGCCGCTGCGTGGCACGGGAAATGTCTAAAGTTAGTCAGTCCTTCGGCGTGCGTCATGAAATTTGCGAAAGGAAGCAAGCGAGTGGCGGCGGTCATCTCCATCATCATCACGGCCGGGGTCTTGGGGTTGGTTGCGCCGGGAGACCAGACGGAAGAGGGACTCTGTTGTTGTTGATCAAACATCATCCTGTCCAGGGGTATCCCTGTATCATAACCACAAGCAGATTGCTCCACAGCGAGACCCGCAGTATCATCGGGAACAAATGTTCATTACTTAAGCCATCTCCATCCATGGAACGGAGCGTGTACGTCACGATATTACTGACAAGCTTATGTTCATGATGAGCATGTGGGCCATGACTGCTAGAGAAACTGCGTCGCGCGATTCACCGACATATGCCCAGCGTCTGGTCCGCGTCAGATACTCCAGCAGGTACTGGCTGCGTGCCGATCGTCTGCCAATAATGATCACTTGCACATTGTGACAATGTAGTCCTATGATCACCGCCAAGGCTCTCTTTTCGTGTCTAAACAGGATTTCCCAGCCTGTTTGTGCTGCGCATCGTCGGCGTCGTCCTCCTTCTTCTTCTTCTCAGTACTTAGTGTCGCATCGTACCCGCATTGTTCGCACATTTGCTAAAATTGTATCATTGCCGTGTCGCTCGTTTCCCGCGGAGAAACCACCGTCGCTTCGGCTTCACGCTTATTACCGCCTGTCGCGAAACGTCATTCTCTCGCGCGTGTCAAAGTGGTCGCCAGACCATCACAAGACGTCATGTCAGCCCCAAACACCACACAACCTGTTGCGCAGCCTACGACCGCCGAATTCAATGGCATCGGCAATGGTCCACAAATCCAGCGAACCACGCCGATCCTCGATGTCATCTGCGGCCCACTCTTGAACTTCAAGCGCATGAGCAACGAGCAGTCGCAAGACCCACAATGGCATGGCAGTGTGCTCATCGTTCTGCCGCCTGGCAGTAACCCGGAGCCATTGACATTGACATGCTTGGGACCATGCGGCGAAGCTGCCTCAACGACGCACAACAATGGCTATTCTGTTCCGTCGCAGGGCAGCTCATTCCCAGCGGTGAAGTTATACGAAGATCCAAAGAAAGGCTTTTGGCGCTACAACATCGATCTCCCATTTCAAGAGTATGAGTCGGGTTGGGAATACAGCATCCCTCATCTGGAGACGGACACCAATAAAGCTCTGCGCTTCGTAGTCCCCTCGAAGCACGAGAGCATGCGAATCATGTTCCATTCATGCAACGGGTTTAGTGTTGGTACGGACGAGGAGTCATGGCAAGGCCCTGCGCTTTGGAATGATGTCTTGCGCGTTCATAAAGAAGCGCCATTCCATGTCATGATTGGTGGAGGAGATCAGATCTATAACGACAACGTTCGTGTCGACGGACCCTTGCGGCCGTGGACTGATATTGGCAATCCCAAAAAGCGCCGCGCGTTCCCGTTCGGAAACGAGATGCGCGCTGAATGTGACGAGTTCTACTTTCAGAACTATGTCAAGTGGTATGGCTGTCAACCATTCGCGTCAGCTAACGGTCAAATCGCTCAGCTCAATATTTGGGACGATCACGACATCATCGACGGGTTCGGCTCCTACACTGATCACTTTATGAAGTGCGCGGTATTTCGCGGTATTGGTGGCGTAGCACACAAGTACTACCTCCTTTTCCAACATCACATTGCGCCACCGCCATCAACCTTCACTACCGATGCGCCACAAACTACACGCGTGACCGGGGAGACGACCGCTGTCGACGAGACCCAGGTGAAGGACACTTGGGTGCTGAGTCGCGAAGACGAAGATCCCAGCTTCATCATTGGCCAGAAGCCAGGTCCTTACGTCGAGGAACGAAGCCGTAGCCTGTACTGTCAACTCGGAAAGCGGATCGCCTTTCTCGGAATTGATGCTCGTACCGAGCGAACAAGACATCAAGTCAATTACCCTGAGACGTATGACTTGATCTTCAAACGCACGAGCGAAGAGCTCGCGAGATCTAACGGCACAATCAAACACTTGCTGTTGTTGCTGGGTGTTCCTATCGCATACCCTCGGTTGCAATGGCTCGAGAACATCTTCCAGAGCCCGCTCATTGGACCCGTCAAGTTCTTGAACAAACGTTTTGGGTTCGCTGGTAGCTTGTTCAACAAATTCGACGGAAAGGTCGACTTGCTTGACGATTTGGACGATCACTACACCGCTCGCCAACACAAGCACGAGCGCAGGGAGCTCATCCAGCGTCTGCAAAATCTCGCCAAACAGTACAATGTTCGTGTCACCATCCTGGGAGGTGATGTCCACTTGGCAGCCGTCGGCCGATTCTACAGCAAGCCCAACCTGCACATTCCCGCCGAGCACGATTGGCGCTACATGGCCAACATCATCAGCTCTGCCATCACCAACAAGCCACCGCCGGCCGCAGTCGCAAACCTTCTCGCGCGACGAAACAAAATCCACCACCTTGACCACGAGACCGACGAGACCCTTCTTGAGCTCTTCGACAAGAACCCCGGCGAGGCACTCGAAGGCGTCAAGCCCAAGACTGCCGCCAGCAATAATGTCACCATGCCCAGCCGCAACTATGCCATCATCGCCGAGTCACACACTCATAGTGGAACCAACACTGCTGTCAATGGCGTGACCGCTAATGGCATCAACGGCGTAAGCACGAACGGAGTCAACGGCACCACCAACGGAGCCAACGGCACCACCAACGGCACCGACCCAGAATCCTTCGAGGCGCCCAAGAACCCCCGCGAGCCGCTCCACGCAGGCGAGGAGCACGCCGGCACCACCCACTCAGCCGCACAGGGCCTGAAGCGGACCGGCCTGGCCGGCGTGGACGGCTTGGACGTCACGATCCGCGTGGAAATCCACAACAACCCGAGCAGCAAGGACGGCGAGACCGAGGGCTACGGAATCAGCATTCCTGCGCTCGACGCTCGAGGTGCTGTGGTCAATGGACATGAGAAGCGATAGGTTCGCTCTCGTCCGCCTGTCGTGCCAGGGTTGCTGTGTTGGGCGGAGTGATCGAGAGTGCTATTACCGGGCGGATCATGGAGGTCCCCTCATCGGGCGAGGTTGTGTCTTCGTTCGGGGTCGTCGAGGAAGTCAAGGTTTTGTTGGGGATGAAGGATTAATATTGTGTGAGTGTGTATGTGGAGGAGTTGATTATACCCTACAGCAAGTGTCGAAAGTGTGCGCTATTTGAGGAATTCGTTGGTAGCGCTGTCTATTGAAAATCGAAATCTTAGATCTTTTCTCTGCTATTCATCTATCCTCCTCAATCTCAGTGATGAATTGTGCTCCACCGACCCGACTCTGCTCGGCATCAAACCAAGTCAGAGATCAGAAGCCCTGTTTCCGCTTCTTCTTGACAGGTTGCCGTACAGCGAAGCGTCCCGATACGGGCTGACTCGCTGGGAATGCGGACGCTATGCTTTGACTGCTGGGAGGGGCTGCCACAGCTGCAGGTCGCTGACTCTCCGCGGTTCTCACCACAGGTGGTTGACTTGCGCTTAAGACTTCGGGGATCCGACTGCTCGCGAGCCGCAAAGCTTGACTGGCCTCGGCTTCTCGACGCTGGCGCCGGAGGTGCCGTTGCGCACGCTTCTGCATCCGCAGTCGGTCTCGTTCGGAAAGCTCTTCGTCGGCTTCTTCGTCTCGTCTCGCGATTTGGCGGGCTGTGGACAGCCAATCGTAGGTGGAGAGATCGCTTCCTACTTCCCAGTGCGCGAGGACGTTGTTCAGCGCTCGTGGTAGCGCGGCTGGTGCAGGCTTGGTGAAGTTGGCATATCGTCTGAGGCGGTCGACTTCGGGTGCGGCGAAAATGGTCGCACGGCTAGATGCGGTCGTCACAGATGGCGTCGTGGTGGGAGAAGGAGTCGGCAGTGCAGCAGAGTCCGGTAGCTGTGAAGAGTAGAGCTGGGAACTGAATGGCTCTATCGTTGGCGGGACACCTCTCACTGGGAGCTCGAATGAATAACTCTGCGGCGGGTCTTCGCTTTCAGCAGATTTGAGAATTGGCGGTTTTGATGGGCGTATAACCAGAGAGGAAAGTGTTAATTCAGCAGCCATGTTTCGTGCCAGCTGGTCCCTGGCAACTCGAGTCCTAGCTGATATATCGGCTGCCAGCGGCGTGATCCATGTGGCGACAATCTCGTCGTAGATGGCCCCTAAGCCCGTGCCTTGGGACAGTCTATCAGTCGAACGGCCCAGAGACGGCACATTTTCTAGAACCAGACGAGGTTCTGCTGCCTCGAACTCATCACTTCCGTTGGCAGCTCCGGTGTCCAGGAACGACTGTGTCAATTGCTCTAGGGCGCGCGCGGCATCTTCTGTGTCACCAGTGGTAACTTCATGCTGTATGATATCCATGATCGTCCGTGATGTCTGCGTTTCATCCTGGGACAGTTGAGTCACTTTAGCTCTGGCCTTTGGTAACGCACGCGAAAGGACTTCTGAATCAGCAATTTCCAGACGCATGACAAGTTTGCTCAGATCTTTGAGTTTTTGACTCCTCTTCGGTCTTCTACCCACTCCGCGATATCTTATAGGCCTAGGCTCTTGCCGTAGGGGGGCCTCCCGATCACTGACGTCCGAGTCGTCGACGACAAACCCACGCTCGCCGCTTCCACTAGAACTAGACTGTTTCAGAAGTTTCCACGACGGTGACACGATACTGGGTACATCTCTTGCATTCCGATATTGCGAGACCAGAAGTGCTTCGGAAATGGTCATGTCGTCATACAACGTTGCAAATGAATAGAATCTCGCTGGAGTACGAGGATTGCCTTCAGAATCATCTGTGGAGTCGTCAGGAGTTTCTTGCGCTGATCCGAATCTTACAGATCTAATGGCAAGTGAAGAAATGTGTTGGACGTTTTTTCGTTTCGGACACATTGCTGCAATCGGAACTCTCTGCGGGTCTTCTAGCACGGCCAGGTCGTCTCCATCGAAGAGTACACGGAAGCTCATAGGCACGCTTGTCGAGGATGATGTCAGAACGACCAATGTTTCTATGTCAAGGTCAATTAAAAAACCCTTCAATCACAGACCGACAAAGAACTTACGATCTTCCTCCTCGCACAAAGTCATCGTTGTGCTCAGATCCTCGAAATTGCGAAAATGACGCAGCTTGGCTTTCAGCTTGGCAGGTCTTTTCTCCCTCGTGGACATGGCGACTTGAAACAGAACGAGGTGTGTGGAAGTCAGGGCGCAAAACCAAGCTGGTCGACGTTGGAAAATTCTGACATCGAAAAGCCAAGGAGAAGATGCAAGCATGTCGAGAGAAATGTCCTGAACTAGCTCTCCTGTCCCGTCTCCAATGCGGAATAGAAGGGCTTTGCCGCGTGTGCATACGAGCAAATTCTCGAAGCTCGCGACCCATCCGACTCGAGCCCAACCGTCTCGTAGAGAAGCAACTTCTTCTGGAGATTCGTTGGAGCGCGGATCCTTGCACAACACGGAACTGACCTTGCCATTCGTTCCCACCACACTCCAGTGACCCTCGGCGTTCATTAGACCGATCTGTTCTTCGTCCCATGGATTGACCACGGCATCGGCAAAGGACTGCCATTGGACTTGTTCTGTATCGATGATATTTGTCATGGACAAGCGCAGTAGTGATCCTTGACCGGGCACGAATTCGGGTCGCAGAATACAAATTTTGGTCGGGTAGCGGACGACAAGCTTTCGTTGACCTCGGGCCTTTCCTGGTGAAAATAGCAGTTGACAAATCGGGGCACCATCGAATCTCCATGTTGCTTCCTTTCCTTGTAAGGCGGGTACGTCAAGATATGGCTCTTCTGCAGATGTCATTTCGTAGCGACGCACTCTCATACAAATCGTGCGAACTTCGGAGCCATTGCTGCCGCCGGCGACGGCCACGATAGGCGCTGATCGCTTCGAGATCGATGAGTATACAGAGGAGAACGCGATCAAATCACCTCTCGTCAAAGGTGAGAAGCTAGCAGCCTCCTGGACGGATTCCGACAGCCGTAGACAAGACGGCAGTATGTCTGTAGGAAGATGGACACCTGGGAGTGATTTGCGCAGAGCTGATATTTGTTTGGCATAGCGCGCACTGCGGACTTCATGATCCTCGACCTCAGTGCCCGTGATGTTTGAATTCTCAGAGGACGCATTCGATTGTTGAGCTATACAGAGAAGTCTCAACGGAACCTGTGCAGGTCTTGCACGCGCGAAATGCCATTTTTTGTCATCATGATCATATTTGGCGAGTCCAAAATGACCGTAAGGAAGTTCCGGCTCTAGGCGGTCAGCCATTCGGCTGCTTGTACAGTCCTAAACAAGGCGTTTTTGATTTGGACTGATACATTCTTCACATGGAAATCTCCCTCGAGCGACAAATCTACATCAGCCCGCCGTGTGGAAAAGTGTGTGAACTGTCTTGGAAAAATGTAGAGTCTGGATGCCGTCACAAGACGAAAGACGAGACGGCTTAGGTTATGTAAGCAGGGATTGGACATGGTGACCGGGCCGTGCCGCGGTATACCGGATGTTTACACTCCTGCTTCAATGTGGGGAAGTCGCGCGCATGCGTCCGACATCAAGACGGAAATATTCAACACTGATGCTGATTCACATGCATAACATATACACACCAGTTGAACAACATACGGGACGAAGAAAAGCATCATGGCTGCTACCGACCTCAGACAGAGCCGCTTCGGTTCATCCATGTCAGGCGCACAACCAGGGACGGAGCCGTCGCTAGCAGATACTCTTCCCGCCGTCGATTTCAACTTCAACGATTTGCGCGAGCGCATGGCGCAATTTACATTGCGATTCGACGAATTCATCGAGCGAGGGAGGAAACGAGTCCTGGAGGAGCGAAATGCTTTCCGCATGAGCTTGGCCGATGTCGAAGGTAAGTCGAGAGCGACTAAGCGCATTGCACTGCGCATGAACCAGGAGCTGACAGTACCCTCGTGCAGAACAAAAGCGCCAACGAAACCAGGCCATCTCGCAATTTCAGTCAAAGACGTCAAATCATGCACATGCGATCGCTAAGGAAGCGCAGGAGAAGGAAGAGATGCAAGATGCGATCGAGTCGCTGAGCAACCAGAAGGAGGAGCATCTGGCACGACGCGATCAAGTCAAGGCCGAGATTGCATCTGTTCAGGTCACCGTACGACAGCGACGAGAGGCTCAGCTCGCGCATCAACGGTCCTTGGATGCCCAAGCGAGACAGAATGCGCCCGAGTTGCGGTTTTGGGAGACATGTCTAGGAATGCGCATAGAGGGAACGGGAGTCGACGACCAGCTAAAATTTGTCTTCGTTTCCCTAGACGAGCGGGATCCGGAGCGAGAGTGTTGGTTTGAGCTGCAGATGGGAGGCAGGGAAAACGAGGTGGCAGCGACCAAACCACGACTGGACCGCGATGAGGTTGACGGTGCACAAGACAAGCTGAACGGATCGGGGGATTTGGCGGGGTTTTTGAAAGCGATGAGGAGTATGTTCATCGCTACAGTGCGGAGAACATGAGGTCAGGAATGAGTCGCGAGATTTGGACGATGATACCTATTGCATTGAGCACATTTTTCTGCAAATCAAATTGCTTCAACCGTAGCCCGTCGCACATGTGCTGCAGTGCTGCATGCTGTAGTTCCGATTGTCCATGACGGCGTCGTCGGGCTGCATCATCAATGCTTTGAAGCTGGCGAGACCAAATCCAACCAGGATGAGATTTGGTCGCAGAGACGTCGGACGGCACGCCGTTTGGTTCCTAGCAGACTTGGTTTGGCGTCATCATGGGACGCAGTCGAATTTGACAATGACCAGGCGGTAAGGACAGACCATTACAAATACTACAAGCTATCTCCGTGTGGAAAGCGACTGTGCTCGGGGAGACATCTCCGCCCGAGATCGTGGGTGAAAGAGAAGTGGAGCTTCGGGGATGATCACCCGACATTGGGCCGGGTCCATCGATTCGCGACGCCTCACTCTCGGCGCTGTGCCGAATTTCCGTAAGTCTGCCCTTTTCTAGGAGCCAGGACCAGTGGACCACAACAGAGCTGTGGTGTCGGTTACGGTTCTCGGCAGCTGAGACGCAAACACTGACTCGCACTACTTACCGACTATCTCATTTTGATCTCCGTCTCTCATGATGAGTCAATACTTATCATCATGGAAAAGTTCGAGGATTGATATGGTGAATGGGTGGCTCTTCCAATAGATGCAGGGAACCAAAAGAAAGTCCTGACGTCACTTGCACCCGTCATCATGGCTCCGAAGAAAAGTTTCCAGCCTCAGATTGATGGCTAAAGTCCAATTAAGCAACCTTGGAATACAGCCCTCACCTGGGCATGCAGACGGGACGGAACACATGTAGAGATCTTGTCACTCAGATTCGCCACGGGGCAGACAGCCATGTCTGGCCGTCGTTCTGCAGGGCAAGCGCGCAGGATCACCGACCTTCTCAACACTGGAAGCCATCAGGGTTTTTGGTTGGTGTCATTATTATTAATGATGTGCCAGGTGAGGTGCCGTCTTTTCCGTGTGAGAGCCGCACTGCAGTCCTGAGTACCGGTGATAACGATGATGATGATGATGGTGAGGAACGCACTTGAGCGGCGTGGTTTCACACAAACGCAAAAAGGCTAAAAACCACCTGCCCGTGGGGTCTGATGAGACCGTGACTCTGGCGTGGATAGTCGTTCGTCTTGTCATGTAACGAAGGCACTTGCCTCCGTCGATAGTACAACACGCCAGATCGACCTCTCCCTCCCTCTCCCACTACCTCTTTCAAAGTACTCAGGGAGCGCTGCCTCCGATCCAAGACATCTTGCATACATGAACCGGACATCATGACGCTAGGTCACTCACTCGAACGCGCCTTGTCGCGGCCGACGGCCAAGCCATATCGGACCCGGAATGTGCAAAACGAACAGTTCCATGTAAATCAACAGGGTCACCTTACCTTCAGCCCCGGTGATATCGAGAACCCTAAGGAATGGTCCACTGGTCGGCGATGGTATATCACCTTGGTCGCGGTGTTGATCACTGTGAGTATTCGTACTGCTCTATGCTTCACCGTTCCATATTCAATAACTGATCGATATCTTCAAGGTCAATGCCACTTTCGCATCTTCCGGCCCTTCAGGCTGTCTGCTAAGCATCGCCGATGAGTTCCAAGTATCTGAGGAAGCCGCCGGACTGGTTACCACGCTCTTCCTGCTCGGGTACTGCTTCGGTCCTCTCGTATGGGCACCTCTCTCGGAGTTCTACGGCCGACGATATATCTTCTACTCAACCTTCTTCCTCTACTTCGTCTTCAACTTCTTATGCGCCTTCACGCCCTCCTTTGCTGGCCTGCTCGTTGGCCGCTTTCTCACGGGCACCCTCGCCAGTGCCGGTCTGAGCAATTCTCCCGGCGTCCTGGCTGATCTCTGGGGTGCGGTGGAGCGCGGCAATGCCTTTGCCTTGTTCTCAGTGTGTACCTTTGCCGGTCCTGCCCTCAGTCCGATCATCTCCGGTTTCTTCCAGTTGACCCTGAACTGGAGATGGTCGTTCTACGTTCTGATCTGGTTGGCGTTTCCAACGCTGCTCCTCATGCTCACCATCCCTGAGACGTTGCCATCCCAGGTGCTCTTGAACAAAGCAAAGCGCCTTCGCCGCGCTAAAGTGCCGGGCTACGAAAAGATCATTGCACCTGTTGAGGCATCCGATCGTAGCCTTATGGGGATCTTCAAGGTGGCCCTCATCAGGCCGTGGATCATCCTACTGGATCCGATCGCATTGTTGACGGCCATCTATCTCTCCATCGTCTATGCTCTACTGTGAGTTTCTCGTCGTGACTTCACGTCAAGCCGGCCATCCGTGCTGATTCAGTTCTACAGATACATGGAGTTCACAATTTACCCTGTAGTCTTTCAGCAAAAGCGCGGCTGGAATTCTGGCGTCGGCCAGTTGCCGCTGCTGGGTGCCATGGTTGGTGCCATCCTCGGTGGCGTCATCGTGTACTTCGACTCTCGCCGTAACCGTCGACGGATGCTGGAGGGCATTGAACTCACACCCGAGGGCCGTCTTCCTCTTGCCATGTTTGCAGGAGTCTTGTTTCCAGTCACGATGTGTGAGTCCTCCATGCTTTGTCGGAAATTTTCACGAATCTCTACTGACGCTCTGTCCAGTCTGGTTCGCCTGGACTGGCGAATTCGACTCGATACACTGGATTGTACCGACATTGGCCGGTGTTTTCCTCAATACAGCGGTTATGCTTATATTCGTTTGTTACTTGAATTATCTCACGGATACTTATTTGATGTACGCTGCAAGTGCGCTGGCGGGAAACACTATTGCACGTTCAGCCATGGCAGCAGCGGCACCATTGTACACACAGCAGATGTTCTCGGCTCTGGGCGTCGGCGTCGCAGGCAGTATCATCGGCGCAGTTGCGTGTTTGCTGGCCGTCATCCCTTTCTTGGTAAGGATACTCACCACACAGTACGAACCGGGTCCAAAGGTTGATATGCTGACTTGTTATGGTCACAGTTCTATCGATATGGCGCCCGGATCCGACAGAAATCCAGATTTGCGCCGACCGATGATTCCCCTGCGCCTGATTCGGGTAGTGGTGCTGGTATACCCTCAACGACTGAGGAACAGGAACACTCGTCAGAAAGTGATGCGGAGCGGGGCCTCGATGAAGTGGCAGGTGTTGCTGATGGCTTGGAGCAGGAGGAACATCTCGAGAAGAAGGAATCAAGGGGGAGCCGTGGAGGCGATCCGTATCTCAACGCCGATGGCATGGAGAAAGCCGAACGATGAGAGAGAACTTCGATGCCATGATGATTGATGACCTGAAATTAGCGCCGGCGTTTTGATTTCAAAAATACCTAGGGCAATAGATCTATTGAAAGATGAAATAGAAGCATGATCAATTCAAAATCGTCTGCGTGGGAACCAAAGCTCCTTATACCACCTCTGACCCTAGTGAAAGGCAAGATGTCCCTATCTTGTCGTATATCACCATTCACATCACCCCAAATACTCTATTCCTCTCTGGAATACCGCACCAACAAACTTACATGTCTCAATGTTCACCACCCACAACTGGCTGATCTGATGAGAATCGTCACATTCCACCAGGTCAGGACGCAGTTGAACATTATGCAAATTCGTTGCTCATTTCTTCAAATCTATGTATGCGACAATGCTTTTAAAATTCTATCATATCTCATAGTTCACGCCGTGGAAGCAGCAGCAGTCCCATACGGCACTGCATCCAAGCTAGTGATATCGACATATCCGTACTCCTTTCCATCCTTGTTATTTCCCATCTTCTCCCCCCAAGTTCCCATGTCTTTCATGAAAGCCTTCTCGTTCTCCTCGACCGACAGATCAATCGGCTCGTGATCCTTGCCAATCTGACGAATCTGCGTGCCGGCCGCGACGTTCGTGATGCCGAAGTTATCTTGGTCTAGTCGCTGCTTGATCGCGCCCTTGATCTTGCCGGCGAGGACATCGGCGCAGAACCGCGGCTCTTGGGTCAACGGGCGCGCGAGCCCGACACCGTCGACGACGTCCAGCGCTGAGACCATCGCGCCCACCGTCTTGAAACCGCCGGTCACGTAGGTCTTGGTCTTATTGAGCACCGGCGCGATGAGATCGGCGAATTCCAGGAAGAAAGCCTCCCGCTTGCGGGTGCTGTCGCGCTTGTGGCCGAAGCCGAGGGACTCGTAGGTGCCGCCGCTGAGCTCGACGAAGTCGAAGCGGTTCTTCTCGAGCAGTGCGCACAGCTCCTTGGCGTCCTCCGGGTTGAAGCCCTTGTCTTGGAACTCCACGCTGTTGAGCTTGATGCCGACGATGAAGTCGGATTTGGTGCGCTTGCGGATGGCTTGGGCGATTTCGATGATGATGCGGCTGCGGTTCTCGAGGCTGCCGCCGTATTTGTCGGTTCGCTGGTTCGTGCTGGGAGCCAGGAATTGTGCGAGGAGATAACCGTGAGCGGCGTGCAGCTCAATGCCGTCCCAGCCGGCTTTCTCGAGGTATTCGGCGGCGTGGGCAAATCTTTCGATGATGTCGTGGATCTCTGCTTCTGATGCCGAATGGGGTTTAGCAAAGGTCATACCCATGACTTCGCCTTTCAGCTGCACATCCGAGGCGGAGACGGGGTCTTTGTTGATTTGTTCGATGACTTGTCGGCCAGGGTGGCTGACCTGACCGACCATCAAGTTGCCTTGGGCTTTACCCTGCGTGGCCAGGTCCCGGAATCGTTCGAACCGCAGGTCTTCGTATGTCGCCTCCTTTGGAATGATTGGGTTTCCAGCTGCCTCTAATTGGTCGTAGTCGATCATGATGTTTCCTGAAAGGATCAAACCGATGCCGCCTTCACCCCATCTTCGGTAAGCATTCACTAAGTTGGTGGAGGGAATGCCTCGAGCCTGCAGATTGTGGGGATCCCAGGAAGAGATACGCTCAGTCATAGCGCCTTTCAAGAATCGATTCGGGGCAGTCTTGCCGCTGAATTCGAACTTCAACGGCTTGCCCAAGGGTGCTGCGTCGACATTGTCGGACTCGTAACGAGCTGATTGTGTCATATTGATAGATCTTGTGAAAGACTGGAGAGTATGAGAGGGACAGATTGTTTTACACAAGTTTGGTCGTTGAATTGGATCTATGGACCAGAACAATATATATCTAAACCAGATGAATGCCTAAAGAGCTCGCTCCAGATGGTCCGAAGACACCGAAACGTCCGAAAGTCACCATGGATTTGTAATGTCAATGGCGGGTCATTCGCGGAACAAACAATTCGTCATAGGCGGATACTGTCGAAGGGGTTTGGTGGATGATTGGTAAGAAATCTGGATCTAAAAAAGAGGCGAATCGAGCGTGGAATTTTATTCTTGTGAAGGCGCGATGACGATCGTGGATCGCGCCCCGACGTCAACATTTCATTATTCACATGCATTGATTATTATGCATTCACTCCACCTCATTACGAGCCTGAGGCATAAGAAATTGAGTGCATACCTAGGTACACTTCAGTCGGAAGTCTCCAGGTCTGGTATGGATCCGCTGATCTTGGGGTAAAACAAAGTGTCTTGCGCAGTACAATTTAGGTAAATGCAGACCTCTCAGGTCGGGTCGCAGCCACTCCGGGCCTGTAGAATCTCAACGATGATGGAAACTATTTATCATAGGTCTTCAGCCTGCAAAAATCCATTTGTACAGTCTCTTACTGTTCGACCACCTATAAGCGCAGGCTGAACCCGACCTACTCTGCGCCGTGGTTGAGCGTTCAACGAGCGACCACCTACTCCGCTCCCACGTTTCAACCCCCTTTTCTTAGAGCCATGAAGACCGTCGGCATCATCGGCGGGCTGTCCTGGCACAGTACGCTCGCTTACTACGAGATCATCAATCGCCAAGTAGCCCAGAAACAAGGCTCTTACAGTTGTCCAGAACTCATCTTAGTGCAAACCGATTTCAACATCATCATGGATCACGTCAAGTTCGAGCGGTGGAACGAGATTGCAGAGATTCTACTGGTGCTCGCCCGGAAATTAGAGCAAAGTGGTGCGGACTTCATGATCATTGCTTGCAACACAGTGCACAAGGTGGTACCCTTAATCGAAGACCAAGTAGGGATACCGATCCTGCACATCGTAGATGTGGTTGCCAGCAAAGCGCTGAGTTTGGGTGTGCGCCGCGTGGCTTTGATCGGAGGTCATACCACTATGACAGACGGATTCTTTGCCGATCGTCTGTTCGAGAGGCAGGTTGAGACGTTGCTCCCAGACGAGGCCGATCAGCGAATGATCCACCACGCTTTGGAAACCGAATTGCTATCTGGAGTGTTTCTCCCGGCGACTCGCGCGAAATTCGAACAAGTCATAGATCGTCTCGTCCAGCGAGGCGCTGGTGCTGTGATTCTTGGCTGCACAGAATTCGGGAAGCTCCTCCCACCCGGGACTTGCAGCGTTCCATTGCTTGACACGGCGCAGATTCATTCAATGGCGGCGGCAGAGATGTCACTTACGTGAGTCGTCATGCAATCATCGGCTTTCAAAAAACTTCAATGAGCAGGTTCCTCGCCTTCTCCGAGCCCATGTCTTCCATCTGCGATAGCTCGTATCTCTTCAGGTCAATGTAGTGGCGGACCAAACGCTCGCCAAGCATTTGATCGAGGCCGCACGAACTGTCCTCTAATTTCGCCAATGACTCTGATAAAGATCGTGGAAGTGGATCATCTTGAATATCTGCCTTCGAAGACGAAGCGTCAGGCCAGGTTAAGGGTGCCTTGTTGGAGATTCCAATTAGCCCGGCGCTTAGTACCGCCGCCAAAGCTAAGTATACGTTTGCTGTTGCGTCCATGCCTCTTATTTCCCAGTGATCTGGGCGGATCCTCCGAATGGGAACTGTTCGGTTTTCTGTTCCCCACGCGATCCGATCACCGGCCATCCAAGGCGCTACACGATCGTAGGAGGCTTTCTGCGCGAGCAAGATCGCCCACAGGTTGGGCAACCGCTTGAGGATTCCGGCGAGGAACCACTCTTCTTGATCAGAATTTGCATGCTGTATCGAGATATGCATGTGTTGTCCATTCATCTGCTGCCCTCCCGCCGCCATGGGCTTGGGGGACAAAGTCGCCGTGCCTCCACGACTATGAAACGTCTCTTTGAGAACGCTTCGGACCAGCATCAGCTCGTCAACGGCTTGAAGTGGAGACGACGGTGATAATGCAATCTCATATTGACCGCGAAGTCCTTCGGGGTGTAGTGATGCCACACGCACTCCCATGCTGCGGAGCTTTTCTGCACACTCCTCGACTACACTCCAGCAAGGATCAAGCATGCCAGCAGTAGCGAAGTGACCAAGCCCGTTGCTAAGCGGTACCATGCCATCTCCTCTACGGTCTGCCTGCTTCATCACCTGAAATTCCACCTCAAAGCCGACGAGAAATTTGAGACCCCATTCATCTTCTGCTCGTTGAATTTGTCTGACAAGAGCTCCACGCGGGCAAAGGTCCCACTTGGAATTCAGCGAGTAAGGTGTCGGCCCGCAGTAGACACCACACATCAGGATCAGTGCTTTCGGGTTGGAGCTCAACCTTAGTGATGACCAGTCAGGGACAAGCCAATGTGTGCCAGGATAGTCTGTACCAGGAAGCAGAGTGCTGTCTATAGCACAGTGGAGAGCCATTGGAGGAAGGCGAACGAAGTTATCTTCAGCGAGTAGTGAGCGACATGACTCAACCATTAGCGATTTCGCGCGGACTATGCCAGCATAGTCCACCCATTGGAATCGGACGAACGCGACGCTGGGATTTGCCGTTAACAGGTCTTCGAGTAGAGCTTTGGGGTTTGATTCAAGGCATGTTGTAACTTGTAAAAGGTCCACTTGGGTGAATTGAGCCATGGCCGGAGAAAGAGCTTGAGGCACAGGTATCCTTTGGAGGACGCTGTGGAACTATTTTGAGGACCCGCGGACGGTCCCAGCTGACTATAATAATAAACGCATGTCTTAGTACATTAGATGTGGACACTCCTAGTGTCCTATTAGCTGCAAAGAGTGTAAGTCCCCGGGCCCAGATGATTTTGTGATATCGATGAAATAAATGATGAACAATGAGTGTACGACCCTGCGATTCACTTTCAAGTCGAAACGCCACAGAACACCGCACAAGTCCACGTAAATTCCACACCTCCGTTGCCAAACACAACAACTGGACGCGAATTAACCCTCACGCATCCACACAGCCAAACATGCAAAATGAAATATAATCCAAGACTCTGATCTATTATTAAATCGACAGCAGCATATTCAAGAAAGGCCGTATAATCCTACCATATTTCCATCCTGAACAAAAACAAAATGCAGCCTACCCATCGCCTGCTACTCCAACACACTCTCCGCCTCCAACAGACCCTCCGCCTCACGCTCTTCACGCGGGAGAATTGCTCCCTCTGCACCACGGCCAAAAGCGTGCTGGGCCGCGTCTGGGACGAGCGACCCTTCGAATTCCGCGAGGTCGATGTCATGAAAGCCGGCCAGGAGAGGTGGAAGGCGCTGTATGAATACGACACGCCGGTGGTAAGATCTCGGGATTACGTTATAAGAATCCCGATCCCTTTCGGTTAACGGGGAGATTTCATAGGTCCACATCGACCGCATTACTTCGACTCTGTCAAGCGGAGCGCCAGAGGACGATGAGACGACGATGACGACGACGGCTGCAGCGCAGAAATTGATGCATCGATTCGCCGAGGGCGAAGTTCACAGAATCATGGACGCGGTCGAGAAGAACCGATCGTGAAGGGGATTCGGACCGGAATAGGTTTGCAATTGTTTTGTTACGCTTGTCGGCCGGCGCGGTCGTTCACTCAATGCCCTGAGTTGTTCTATGTTATTATTATTTGATTGCCTGGGTGGATCTGTGTTTGGAGATGCCCGGGCATGCTCCGCTTCGCAAACTATGTATTTGTATCGTCTCTTGGGAAGAATTCGCAATTGAGGAGAAGGGAAAGAAAGCAGGTCAAGGCATTGGGAGGAGGAGCGAGGGAATACAATGCAGAAGGGGGTAGAATTCTGTATTTGGGTCGTGATAGCAGTGGTCGCTGTGTAGGTAGGGCTTGCAGGATGCTATAGGCCTTGCGATATTGATCACATATACCCTCTCCAGGTCACGACAAGGACGTTCCGAACATTGCTGGTTTTGTTTTCAGTGATTTTTCAATGGTAGAAATGGTATATGAGCGGTAGGAGAAACGGGACGAATCCCGAGAAGCCGGTTTCACAAACCACGGCAGTGTATCAACGAGCATTCGCAAAAGCAGTGCCAGAAACTGTTCCCGAGCTCCGACTCTTGTCTATGTAATTATGATGGACCTAGGCTGAGGCTGAGGTCAATCACATGCCTTATCCCCCTCTCAGAGACATATGAGCATTTATGCGTAGTATCGAGAACCATTTCCCTTCACCCTTGCGTATTGAGGAATCATACTCTGAATTTCCAGAGCAGATCTCAGGCAAATAGTTTCCCATCACCGAGATGTGCAAGGCCACCCTCTGGCGCGATTTTAATCATTCCTCCGCCCACCGACGCTCACGTACCGGGATTTCCTTCCCATCGCGAGCCCGTGATCCGTCCGTCTCCGCCTTCCACGACCAATATTCGCTCAGCCGCAGCTCGGCATAACTGGCGTAGTCAAAGTCGATCTCGCTGATCTGCGCCTGGATCAAGGCCCAGATGCCCCAGAAGAGACCCGGGATGCCGCGGAAGTCATCGACCTGGGCGAAGAGCGTGTCGATGTCTTTGTCGAGATCTGAAGGAGCGGGAGTCGTTTCCTTGCCCGGGGAGTGTGCGTAGAAGGATGCGACGTAGTGTTGGAGAAATTCCCGACGCTGCGATCGAGTCGGGACAGCGCCGTACTCGCAGTCGAGTCCGGCCCATTCGGCGAAATGATTAGCCAGGTCGAATGCTGCGGGACTCGGTGCGGCGTATTCGTAGTCGATGAAGTCCACGGGTCGCTCGTCGTCTTCAGAGTGTCCATTGGTGGGACCTCCCGACTCGGCTCGTGGTGAGACAATCACATTTCCGCAGAGCAGATCGCAGTGTCCAAAGATGTAGTCCTTTCCCAGCAGTCCTGGGGTGTTGGCAAGCTTTGCCGTGACTTCTGCCACCTCCCCGCCCAGAACCTGTATCCGTTGCTTTTGTTCGGCCGTGTCGCTCGGAAGTGCCTCCAGCCATGACTCCATCACAGTCCAAGGGTTCGGGATCGGACGCAAGCTCTTCGCTGCGGCAGAGGAGTTGCAGGACTTATGATCGGCGTGACCATTTATCGGCGATGTCGTCAGGAGTGGAGTCACGGGGAGGCTGCCGTGCCATTGTCCGAGTCGTTTGGCCACCTGCCGGTAGATCTTTGGTTTTCTCAGGTCCTCTGGTGTGCAGACCTCGCCCTCCACGAACCTGTATAGCAAGCCATTTTCGAATTTTGCCAGTAGAGCTGGTGCAAGGCCGACGTCGGCGAGAAGTCCGTGGGCCCGTAATTCCCTTTCGCGATTGATCAGCAGCTCGGTGCCTTGACCGTACGCGCGCAGCAGAATAGCGTCCTGGTCGATCTGCGACTTGGTTTGTCCCGGCCGTCTCTTCACCGCCTTGGTCAATGTATTGGTGATGCCTTCTGTGAACCGGATGAATTCAATCGGCCCATCGTCTAGCGCCCATTGCGGACAGATCTCATGCACCAACTCCAGGGCGCTCTGATCCGCATTGGCATTGTCGAAGGTGAGGGGAATATGCCGCAGGGTCCGAGGGGAGTCGATGTGAGGCGGGTGTGGGTCGGGAGAAGCTCGTGGAGGAGTAGGTGACATTTGCTAAATTCGGTCAAGGGATCGCGGCCCTGTTGGCATTATCCGCAGCAGCACAGATCGAAAAGGGATCGCCGGAGGAGGTTTCGGTAGTGGTGTGTCAATGGGGATTCCAACAGAGGTTGAGAGTGATGTCAGAGCAAGAGCGGGTGGGATCGAGACAAGCTCCGAGAACAAGTCTTGGGTGTGAGGGTGTGCGTATATATATGTATACCTAGGTATATACTAGGTATGTGCCCAGGTGTGTTTCCAAGGCAAGAATTCATGCGCCGGAGGAATCGAAGTCTTCACTCTTTCCGGCCGAGGGACGGTGGTGCTTGTGTGGTGACAAGGGAGTGTGCCGGTGGAGTTGTATCTGCACCAGATGTATACAGTACAGTATGGAAGCCAAGCGCTTGCACGCGTGGAGAGTGACGACGGTGGAGACGAGTATAATGGTGGTAATGGAGTGGGTGCTGGTGATGATGTTTTTTTTGGACTTGCCCAGGTGGTATCACAATTGGAATTATTCACTCGAGAACTCCCTTTACGGCCTTCTTCACCCATCGAGACTCTCACCTTAGAGCACCTCGCCTCCTTATCTCATCCACATCATACATACCACGCACACTGTATACTCCCATGAGGTACTTCAGTGCGTCCACGTCTCCGTTTGGAGAAGATTGCAACGTGAACAGAACGTCAACGTCCAATACACCGTTCGCGCGCATCCTACCCGCGGGCGGTATCGATAGCGCCCTTTCACATGTGTCCAGGAGGTGGTGGAGGTGGGCGCGGGCGCGGGCATGGATCACCGTCTCCGTCGATTCGTCTGCGCGAATGCGGTCTACAGCAGCATGTCATTGTCGCATATCAACACGAATCGGCATCAAACCCTGAGCATGTTCCATAAGAAATCCACTGCTAACGACAATTGAACCCTGCTCGCCTGAGTTTTCACCAATGGAAAGAATGTCTCTTGAGAGATAAGTAAATATCATTACATGGAACGGCCACGATTTTTTATTCTTCCAGTACCTGAGCCTGACGTAGGGGGAAAACCGGGGTCAAGCCCGCCCGGGCCATTTCGATAAGAAGAGGGAGAAGACGGGCGTTTCAGGGGACCACCGGGGCGAGAACAGGTTGCTGTCTGCACTCTGCACCTTTTTTTTGCGTCAACCACAGTACTGTACAGTCAGTCCACTATTTCATATACACAAGGAGCGGGGTGTCGTGCATGAAATTCGGGCGCTCCACCACCACCATTACCACCACCACTGGGTACGTGCATGGATATTCTCTACGTTCTACAGCATGGGCCGTGCTGGCTGCAGTGTGGAATTCCTTTCATTCCTGATGATGAATACCGTACCACCTCGCCCAGTTGAACCTCCGCCAGTTCCTCCCGAGGTCGATGATGATGGTCAGGGGATGCGATGTTTCAATACCACAACATCACTGGGAAGAAGCGATCCGATGTGCTGTCAATGGACTCCAAAAGCCGGCTCCGCAAATGACGCTGCGTCGACGAACGGCGCGCAGATCCGGGAAAATTCCAAAGGGTTCCTCCCAGAATTGGCGCAGTCCAAGGTTCTCATCATTCAGGGACAAATCGGATTGGTGCGAGATCGATCGTTCCGGGCGAGATTGGTCGAGGTGAAGACGACAGGCTATACATAAATCACGCATCTGATGTCGACAGGCCATCGTCCAGAATCCAATTTCTCTGAGAATAACGTTGGTCATTCACCTTGCTGGCCCGAACACCTACCTGCGCGACAATCCATGTGCTGCATGTGTGGTCCCCCACGGCCAAGTCCATGGAGAACTGCAATGCATGAAAGTCGTGACGAGCAGTGGTGAATATGCCTCTCCTCCCCAAATCTTGTCACCCAGCGTGCCGAAGATGCCCGCTCTAAACTATAAAATCGGTTCGAGCAAAAAAAAAGTTCTCTCCTAGTGGCAGAGGTCACGCGACCACTTTCTCCTCGGGTATCGCACCAGTGTCAGCGTGAAATGCATACCATCTTAGCGGCCCAGAGCGAGGCCGTGGGTAGTGCATGCTTTGGACGTGGGCTGGCCGTGCGGGTAGATGAAATGTAAACGATAATGGGGTGCCCAGGCGGGCATCATAAGTATACCTAGGTCTGTTTGAAATGTGATAAGCACTGCACTGCACTGCACTGTACAGGCTATCTGAAATGACGGATGCGTCATTCCCGCAACTCGAGTCTCAAGATAGCCGACATCGCATCTCACTTGACATCGAGACCGGACTGTAGTGCATCGGGTGCTTTGGCATGTAATGGAACACCATGCCACGCCCATCATCGGCCACTGTCCGCACATTTCGGCTGATGAACCAATGTCCACCACCACCACCAACGACGTGGTTTCAATGTCATCCTCATCTGCACTCGCGCTCCGGACTAGCCTCGATGGCGCATGAAAAGATGATCATATCAGACGTTACGTTTCAACGTCTTATCATGACTGACTGCACAAAGATGTCTCAAGCTTCAATGTGATGATACAAATGGCGGCAGCGCAGACCATATGCAGACCCCTTACCCTTCACTCTCCTACCGACATCACAAAAAAGAGAAATGGAGGTACACTCGACGAGACAGAGTAATGTATGATGAATTCCAGCATCGAAACTTTTCTATAAGTGAACTGCGTTTCTTCCAACGCTCACGCAGCGACTTTCAACAAGCCCTTCTCCTCGAGGTACTTTGTGATGATGACCACCGCCTCCTCGACGCTCGTGTTCGCGGAGTCGATGTGGATCTCAGGCTTCTCCGGCGCCTCATACGGTGCGCTGATGCCGGTGAACTCCTTGATCTCGCCCGCGCGGGCCTTCTTGTACAGGCCCTTGGGGTCGCGCTTCTCGGCCTCCTCGACGGAGATGTCGACGTACACCTCGATGAAGGGCAGCGGCGAGTCGACGTTCTTGGTGTCGGCGTGCAGGTCGCGGGCGAGCTGCCGGTCGGCTTTGTAGGGGGAGATGAAAGAGGTCAGAGCGATGGTCGTTGAGTCGGCGAAGAGTTTGGCGACCTGGTGAGAAATTTCAATGCCCGATACATTATGGTCGATGAGTGATCGCGCTGCTGTCGATCGATAATTTGCTCCAGCTTACCTCTGCGATACGTCGGATGTTCTCCTCGCGGTCCTTGGGCGAGAATCCAAGGTCCTTGTTCAACCCGAAACGGACGTTGTCGCCGTCCAACCGGTACGTGGCGAGGCCCAGGTGTAGAAGGTGTTGTTCCAATGCGGTGGCGATGGTCGACTTGCCTGAAGCGGACAGGCCGGTGAACCAGACTGTGGCACCCTTTTGCTTGCGGAGCTCACTTCGCTCTTGACGAGTCAAACCGGCGTGCCATGTGATGTTACTGGATATACCTTGTCAGCAATCGTGGACTGAAGACAAGCATAGACTTTGGAATCTGTGCTATTTTGGGATATGTGAATCGGGCGAGATACGCACGTGGCCATTTTCAGGTTTGTGTATGTGCAGGGTTCAATGTATAGAAGATATTCTCTATACTTATTGAGGCGGCGAGAAGATTCTTTGGTTGTTTTTCAGACGTGTTGTGCAATTTGTGCAATAATGAGTATATCGGAATGTGTCGGTGTCGCCCATCTACCACACACGCCGGTGCCGGTTCCCCTCCAAAGTCAAAACTTTTTGATTTGATGTGGGGGTATAGCATTGCGTCAGTGAAATCTTCCAGCACGCGAGCCTTGCGACCCGACCCTGGACGACCTGCCTTATCGGCATGCAGGCAGGCTCGGTCCGATGTAAAACCACTACCTAGTCAATCCGGCACCGAGTGTGTATTTCCAACGACACTTCACTACCATCAAGTTCGATGGTCGTGGGTGTCATATGCGACTCCATGTTTGAAGTCGTGCTCGGTGTCTGTCAACCTTTGGGTAGGCAGCAACTAAGGGTGATATGCGACGAGCGGAAGTAAGTGATAGACTTCATTCTTCGTTCGTGAGTTGGAAGTCCTCTCAGGGATAGATAGAGCATCTAAATCAACTCTTTTCTCGTTGATAACAAATTGACAAGACAATGGTCCTCTTTCACCGTGATCTGCGACTCGGAAAGACACCGAACCGATTGAGATGTGTGTTACGCTTGCCTGTGGACGGCAATGCTTACCGTTCGTCAATTGTTGCTGATTATCATGTCGGCAATCTTGTGGCTCCAAGAACTCTCAGAAATCGATCTTGGTACTCCTCATCGCTTCCATCTCTCGGAGTCTACACTGCCATGGTAGGGATACAGGCTAGTATTTGACCTGAGAATATTGAATATTATTCAGACAAAGAGATAAATTGTAAGGATGCATCTTCAAGTCTGCGTGTCGGGCTCGCTCGTGACCTTGACTACATTCCGACGATCGTCTAAACACACCCAACCACATAGACGAAGATGGGTCGTCATGTCTTTCAGCGATTGTTCCGACCTCAATATAAGCCGCCCAACAATGCCAATTCTCGCCACTTCCACAATGAGAGCCCTTCCAAAATAAGACCCGGTTGTACTGGTGGGGAGTTCACGACAAGCATGGGTGCCTGCGCATCTTGTGGTCGCATCGTCAAGCCTGATGCCATTGCTGCTGCCTCTCCCGAACAATGGGTAGACTTCACCAGGCAACGTCACAAGGGAACCGCAGCAGGCGACCTTCACCCGCATGAAGACGAACGCGAAGTGAGACAAGATTGGACTGGCAACAGTCTCAGGCAAGACTCTTCACATGCCAGAGCATGTCTACAAGAGATCGACGGTCGATTCCATCCCTTCATGATTTTACCAGAGACATGGATCAACAAGCGCGATCCACCGAAGTGCATCTTCTCAGACGACGAACTCCTCGACTCGCTCCGCCACCGCGGTCGCTATCGTGATTGCGGACCCGCAGCAAAGTCTCGCACGACAGACGGTTGCGGCCGACAGACAGATACCAACGGGGAGATACGAGGTCAGACTACTGACGAAGGCAACGAGTCTGGCCAATCCGAAGAAACCTTGTGCGATGAAAATGAGAACGACCCGAGCGCGTTGATCCGGCGCAAACTTGCATCTTCCGATGAGCGTCAAACCTGATCTGCCCAACCATTCGAATTGTCAGCGACTTATACACCATTTACGAGAGGGGATTTGCGAAACATAGAGCCGAACAATGCCATTCTTGGGATATTGATGATGAAAATTGCTACATTAGAGATCGGTCAGTTATTGGGAAGAAGGAAGGATGGAGATTTGCGGAGCGCCCTTGCAGCCGGAATTTTCGTCTTCACGACGGATGCCGCATTGGCAGTGACGGCTTGATAGCATGTTGAAATGTGGTGGAGATTTATAGCTTTGCAGACATATCAAATCAGGAATGAAATCAGCGCTCCTTGAAGTACTTGTTCGGCACAAAGGGCATCTTGGTCACAACCGCCTTTCTCTTCTTGCCTCGGACAACGACAAATACCTCCGTTCCGGATTTGTGTTTGCCCTCCTTGATATAACCCATTGCGATGTTCTTCTTCAGCGTCGGGCTTGGGCATCCTGATGTAATCTTGCCAAGCGAATTTCCATCGGCGTCGACAATCTCCGCGCCTTCTCGTGCAGGAGAGCCCTCGACGATGAAGCCAACACGGCGACGAGACACACCCGCGCCACCCTTCGATGGAGCGACGAGTTGAGGTACAATGGCCTCGGCTCCGTTGAAGCTCGCTCCTGGACCGGAACGACGAGATTGGGGAATGATCCAGCTGAGTGCGGCTTCCACTGGTGTGGTGCTATCATCGAGATCGTGTCCGTATAGACACATGCCAGCTTCGAGGCGGAGACTGTCTCGCGCTCCTAGACCTGCTAGTCGTAGTTTCTCCGGACCAGCGGTGTCAAGCAGTAATTTGGTGACTTCGACGGTTTGTGCAGGATGAATGGAGAGCTCGAAACCATCCTCGCCGGTGTAGCCACCTCTGCTCGCAACGATGGGTAGACTTTCACCAGACGGCAATGCGAGAGTTACAGTTTTCGCGTTACCGAACCACCAGTTGTTCACGTCGACCTTGCAAGTAGTCGCCAGGGTAGATTGCAAGATCTCTGCAGCAAGCGGTCCTTGGAGTGCGATGAGACCGTATGGCTTTCCGTCATGCTCGAGATGTCGTACCTGGACCTGCGGATTGACGCTTTGGTCCCATTTTTCGAGCGCTTCGGTAAGAAATTTAAAGTCTTTGTCTCTGCAGCCGGCGTTGGCGACCAGGTAGAAGAGATGCCTAGGGCCTGCCTCCAGGCGTGTGATGATACAGTCATCGCTAATTCCTCCGGTGCCTGGGATCAGCAATGTTGACAGAGCGGCTTGCCCGGGTGCGAGGTCCTTCACTCCAGACGGCGTAAGCGTTTCAAGAAATGCTTCTGCGCCGGGGCCTTCGACATGGTATTGCACCATATGTCCAACATCGAAGATAGAGGCCTTTTCGCGGGTCCAGGCATGGCTCTCACCGACCGACAGGTCGGAGTATTGCACGGGCATAAGGTAACCGCCAAACGGCACCATTTTTCCACCCTTTTGCAGATGCAAATTGTAAAGTGCTGTCCGGCCTGGGTTCTCTTCTGTATAAAACTCCGGAGCCGGTACTATTGACGAGCTTTGTAGGCGTCGCTGGGTCTTGAGCTGAAATCTCGGCCTCATGGGCACACGGCTCGCCTGAGCCACATGGCTGTAGGCATGAGATTGGCCGATAGAGAGACAGACGGCGGGCCTTGCTAAAGTGCTTTGGGCTTGCTTGCACACCGTCAAGGAGCTCTGTAGCGATCGCGTAGCGCGTGAGGCAGATCTGCAGCACGCCATCTTGAGTGGTCTTCCCGAGGTTCAAACACTTGCTACAATTGATGTCCTAGCCTATGAGTAGGACGCTGTAATATGCCGCGCAATTCTCACAGCGGGTAGTCGAGGATTGTGTTAGATGATGTGCGGTCTCGACTGCGCAAAGATATCAAAGTAAGCTCTAGAGCCGAGCTCCAGCTAATAATGTCCGGAGGCTGGAGGTCGATGTCCGATCATTCCAATTCCAATGGGACGCGCCCCACACGGGCAAGCTTTCCGGCGAACAGCGTCATTCCACTCCATTGCCCAGCACACCTAGGTAGGCAGCTGCAGCCAACCGTATTGAGCTTCAGTGCTGGACATAACTGATCGTGAAATCACATTTGAGGATTGCACATCCGAGCAATTTTCCCAGCCTGAGTGACCTCAGCTTGACGAGTTCCGCGATGCCGTCGCAAACGTATTTCTTGGTCTCTCTACCGACTTCCATCGCACCCTCTGGCGACCAGGATGAAGCTTTGACAGCGCTCCGTTCAGCAGTGTCCACGGACAACGGCACCACGATACCGTTCGCCATTCCCGAGCTCAAGGTCGGCACTCTCGATGCGCTGGTACAACAGGCAGATGATCTGGCCAAACTGGAAGCAAACTGCAAGGGTGTTGCGGAAAAGATTGGAGACTCGTTGAGGTCGTTACTAGATGGTGATGAGGAAAAGATACAAGAGCAAAAGGTGGTCAATGACCGTATGTGGAACTCAGAAGCAAGTCAAATGAATGCGTAGAATCTCCGCTGATTGAATGGTGATCTGCAGGACCTGTGGACAAATACCTTCAAACGTTCCAATGGAACAAAGTCAAGTATCGCGCTGACAAGCCCATCGCGGAACTTTTCGACATGCTACAGAAGGAGCTTGCGGCTGTCGACAACGATGTAAAGTCCAAGTTCAACCAATACTCTTCAACCAAAACCTCGCTCGCCACGCTCCAGCGGAGTCACACTGGCAACCTGTCCCAGAAGTCCCTCACTACAGTCCTCAACCCAGAAACACTCCTCAGAGACGATGATTCCGAGTATCTCCAGCAGCACCTCATCGCAGTGCCCAACAATGCCGTGAAAGACTTTCTGAAGTCCTATGAATCAGTGTCACCCATGGTCGTCCCACGATCGGCTCAACTCCTCGCGAAGGACGACGAATTCCAACTTTACGCAGTGACCACTTTCAAAAAGCATGCTTCCGAGTTCTTGCATAAATGCAGAGAAAATCGATGGGTTCCTAGAGACATGAAATTCACCGACGGCGGCCGGGCAGCTGAAGAGCAGGAGATTGCCAAGCTTGAAAAGGATGAGAGAAGGGTTTGGGGTGAAGCATTGCGGCTGGGTCGAACAGGCTACAGCGATGCCGTAATGTGCTGGATCCACGTGCTCACCCTGCGCGTGTTCGTCGAGACGGTGCTACGGTATGGTCTACCACTTGCGTTCGTGTGTGGACTAGTCAAGGTACGTGGAAATCCAAGGGCAAGGCTATGGACAGTCTTGCCTCGGAACTCGAGACTGTCGGCAAAGGGATATGCTAATGATCATGACAGACCGACGGCAAGCGAGCCAAGAAAGCAAAGGATGCACTCGACTCCAGATTTGCAGAGCTTGGTGGGAACGCTGTTAGCAGAGACAAGAAGGGAAGGCCGAAAGCGGACGATGGTGGTCTGCAGCAAGATCTAGCTGGCCTCGGTGGAGATTCCGGATACGAGCCATATGTCTTCTACGAGTTTGAGATCGTGTAAGCAATAGATAGTTGAATTGGTCTTAGCATTGCCTTCTTATGCTTTACGGACGGACGGCGCAGATTGACTTCTGTGACACATGTATACATGATGGACTGGCGCTGGTCGCGGAAAGACAGTCCACACAACCAACAACATCATGAGAATACTCGCTTAGTCTATGAGAGGGCTGACTCGTGCCTGGCTGTGCTTTTCGGGAACGAGATTAGATCATCATGGCTGAAGAAAGGCGCGCCTCACGAACAACCAGTATCATTAGTGGCAAAAGCGCGGCACGGCCAGAACAACGAACAGAACAGCTGCCATGTGATGAGGAATTCTAGGCGTGCAGCCGAGCCTCCTCACGGACCGGGTCCCGTCGCGGTCCGCTCAACCAACCATGCCGAATGAGCGCTGATGCTCCGGGGCTAAATGGCCGTCGCATGGGAAAAAGCTGGGGCAAGCACGTCAACGGTAGAACTAGTTCGTGTGCAGTCGGACCAGATGTACACTCCCATCATCGCTCTCGTTACTCTCATCAATATGGCGTAGTCGTTGAAGGAGAGCATGATGAGTGCTGAGGAAGGGATGGGTCCCTGGAAGTGCGGGGATTTCAGACAATCATGGAGAGTCGATCGTAATGCTGGTTCGCTGCGCACAAAGGATAGAACAGACTCGGTGTCAGTCAAAGGGAGTCTGTATGTCGCGCGTATGACACTAGCCTGCCGAGTCGGACGTGACTTACATGGATCAACAATACGAGTTCTGAAGATGCAATCAATATAACGCCTCAAATCCCCCTCTCGCTGCCAAGCATGAGGCACGCCAACCTTGCAAACACCAAGACATCTGGACAACCACTAACCCCCGCTCTGACCATCCTTCATGATGATATAAACACCCAATGTCTCCAAGGTTCTATACATCGATCTAATTCAAACGCAAATCTTCCTCTAGCAATCGACAGTCTGCGTCAACAAACCTGCCGTTGCTCACAAGTCGTCATCACATCCACATCACCCCAATCTAGACTTCCTTAGACTCGACTGACAATGCGTTTCTCCGCCTTCCTCCTCGCGGCCATCGTGCCCTTCACCCTCGCGGCGCCGATCGTCGAGCGCGATCTCCAGAGCATCTCGAGCAGCGTCGACAACATCATCGCCAAGATCAACATCCTCAGCGACACCGTCACCGGCTTCCAGCAGGGTCAGCTCCTTACCGCTCTCAAGATCCAGGTTCAAACCGGCGACGTCGGCAAGGCCGTCGATGCCGGCACCAAGTGCGCGAAGGCCTCTCAGCCCCTGAACGCGGATGACTCCCTCACCCTGGGCATCAAGATCCTGCTCGAGCTGCAGCCCAAGCTCAACGGGCTCCTGGACCTGCTCGTCTCGAAGAAGCCCGCCTTCAAGAACGTCCTCGTCCTCGGCCTGCTCGACGTCTCATTCTTGGTCAAGGCCGATCTGAAGGAACAGAAGAGCAAGGCCCTGCAATTCGCCGATGCTGTCACCGCGAAGTTGGACCCAAGCTTGCAAGGCTTGGCAGCCCAGACATCCTCGCAAATCGCCCAAAAATTCGACGAGGCGATTGCTGCCTTTGCTTAAACGAGTGCTTCGTTTCGCGCATCTACTGGCGTGGTCGGAGATATCTCGCTATTATGTAGCACTGTAATGTTATTATGATCGCAATCGCGAAATTGAAGAAAGATCCATCTTCCGCAGAGGTCGTCGTCCAAAAATTTCGTGCATAGAGTTTGTGGCCTGTGTCCCCATGCGTGTGGAACAAGCCACTCGCCAATGCCGCTTTGCGCTCACACTGTGAGCAGTGTACAAATAGACGAGACCGGAGCGTAAGCGCGTGTTCCGTGACAAACCGTATACTCAATACACTCAGTGATGCTACGTCTCTAGTTCTGTCCTGCGTATGAAATTGTCGATCGCACAGGTCGATCTTGAAACCAAGCATGCTGCCAGTGATCCGCATCAGCATCAAATTGTCAACTAGCAGAAAAGTGAAAGATGGAATTTTACCAGGAGTCGTTTCGAAGTATCTGGTGGCATGAATCTGCCGCTATTAGCCTTGGACTGTGCGGCGAAATGCGCCCTCGTCACGATCATGCAAGGAGTGCGTTGGATCAGGCCATTTGTCGCACGACATATGTAAGCTTCACCGCTCCTATTGCAACAGCTACCATCGGAGCATAAGCGACAACAAGGAAACATTTGTTGGCCATCATCATCATCATCAACATCATATATTTCCACGAAGGCGTCAAAGTTCGGACGATGCAGAACATATCATGCAGGTTGGGTTTCAATGACGTGGAGTGTCGCCTCTTCACCCAACGTTTGGGCGGGACTTGTTCAGAAGCTGACCGGCGCCCGGTTGTATTACACGTGTGTGGCGTTAAAGCTCGCCAATTTGAACGGAGGAAAGCAACGCCTGAGGTCAAGCGGGGGTGCCGAAGCGTCTCGAGAGAAATTCTGACCTTGAACTTTCGGCTCACCGGTCGGTAGTCATTCTGCGTGACGATCTCCATAAGCCAATTTATTGGCACTTCTCATGCTGTGCGCAGGGTACACGAGCAGCAGCAACCATCAATAATGATGAGATATGCGGCATCGAAGGATCGGTGGGCGAAAATAAGCAGGCGAAGCTTCACAACAATCAAAGCCATCGTCCACCTCATCACATTGGTGCCCATCAAGTCCGGTCACTGGCACGTCTGGTGATCGTACACCAGGCGAGAAGGGAAAACGTCGTCGTCTCACATGGAAAGTGGGACACGGCCAAAAAAGCCCACTCGGCTCTGGACCGAACGCTCCGATCGCAGGAATTTGCATTGGGTATAGGGCACACTCGCATGATTTATCGCGGCGGAGGCGAGGGATCTCGAACCTCAACATGTCGATCAGTGCCTGCTCGATGCATGATATGCCACTCGCCATGTATGCATCAAACGTCCACACCTGATGACAAGTTCGATACTATGCTCTAGTAGTATGAAGCAGGAGAGTACTGTATGGACTGTCCTCTGTCGGTGCGTAGGGCAGCAAGGTGGGAGTTTCGATGGACGCAGAACTAAGAATAAGGCGTGCCGCAGTGGGTCATGGATGGCCGGGTGTGCATTAGCTTCATAATCACGCGCCCAACATCGACAGCGCTCGTCGCAATGCTGGACTGCATGGACAGGGCAGTGACGGGGCAAAGAAAGAACCGAGCATTCGGTGGACGGAGCGGCGGCGATGAGGGCATTCTACTGAGGAGTGTGAGGGTAATTTTGCTTCACCCAGCCCCCGCCATTCCATGCAAACCTTGGGAATCTCCAGCTCCCCATGTTGGAGTCACCCTGGTGTGATGATGGAAATGCATGTCACCACCCACCACAGGACGTATGGTAGGATACATCTACCAGGTAAGATACAGTCCTACTGCTCCCGCCGGGTGCGAGTATGCAACGCGCACAGCAGGCAGGTGATTGCGCATTGTTTCCTTCCTAGTGCCACCACTTCGAGGGACATCCTTCGTCTAAAGTTCGGCTGCGGGTCATCCATCGATTGCAGGAGCTGAAAACTAATCACTCTATTTCTGTCCTGCATGATCCTCGTCTTTTCTTCTCATCACCTCCTCTCTCCGACTCTTACTTCTCGGATTTCGGGCTTGGAGAGAATCTTCCTTGCAAGTTACGCTGTTGTGTGACCTGCACACAGACGCTGTTACGCATTCACGCCCTTGCGCCCTTCACACATCTAAACCTGGGTGCCCCGCTTCCTCCTACACTTTCTGTCGGTCAGCACCGAGTGTAACACTGCCACTCAATCGCAATCAATCCACAGTCGCCCGAAGACCTCGCGACATTATCTCGGGTCTGTCGCTCGAGCCGATCAAACAGTAGAACATCTGGTCACGGACGCGACGACAATCAACAAGTGCTCACACCATGGCGAACAATTTCTTCGGCGACTACGATCGCTATGACGATCGCCCAAGAGGTCGTGCGTATGGCCGCGGTCGCTACGAATATACCGAATACGGGCGAGAAACCTCCCAAGGCCCTCAAATCAATGTGTACAACCGGGTAGACAACGATCAGCAGCAGCGGCCCTCAGCCGCCCCTCCTGCTCCGGCCCCTCCTCCACCTCCACCAGCGCAGCCAGCATATCCTCCTCAGCCCATATATGCGCAGCCGCCATACATGGCTCAATACGCACCACCAGCTCCTCCTCCCAATTTTTTTAACATCATTCCTCCCTATGCACCCGCTGCGGCACCGGCACCAGCACGAAGGTCTCCCTCACCGGCACGCCACCGCTACCACGGTCTCGGGGAAGATTTAGTGGAAGACCTCGCGGAAATGCATCTTGGCCACGGCCGATCTCAATCACGAGCTCGCGCCGAGTTTGACCGCCAAGCTGAACGCCAAGCTGCCCTTAACGAGTATAAACTTGCCGAGCGAGAACAGATGCTGAAAGATTTGCAGCTTAAGGCGGAGTATGAGAAAGAGAATCGGCGAATCCGCGACGAGATAGCTTTGAAGAGGATGCACGAAGACGATGAGCGTCGTCGGGAGGAGGAGCGCAAGGAGGCCGAGTTCAAAGCACGAATGCTCAAAGCCGAAGCCAAGGCTCGCGATGATGCAGAGGCTGCGAAACTGAAGGAGAAGCTCTGGGCTGACGAATATGAGCGCAAAGAGCGAGAGGCCAAGGAGAAGAAGAAGGCCGAAGAGCGGCGCATCATAGAGGACATGGAGCGCAAAGAGAAGGAGAAGGAAGAGGAAGAGAAGCGTCTGATCCGAGAGCTGGAGTACCGTAAGCAGGCCCAGAAGGAGAAAGAGGAGAAGATGTGGAAAGAGCTCGAGGCCAAGAAGAAGGCCGAGAAGGAGGCCGAGGAAGCCCGAGAGAAGGAGTATGAGCGTAAACTCAAGGAAAAGGAGGAGAAGAAGAAGGCCGATGAGAAGGCAGCAAAAGAGAAGGCCGACAGAGACTTCCGCGATCGCCTGCGTGCGATGGGTTATTCCGAGCACCACATCGATGGTATGATGGCTGAGGACAAAGACAAGAAGACTGTGGTCGACGTGCATCAGACCAATGTGAACATCTACCGCCCGCCAAGTATGATGCTCACTTCGGGCCAGACCCTCACATTTCCCAAGATCCGCCGGGAGTATCTCGCGGCGGAGACCTTGGCCCACTTCAATCTGAAATGGGAATACGACCGCGTGAGTAGTGGCCATTCCTCTTCGCAGAGCGAGACGGTCCGATGACTTCTAAAGCACGATTACTGACTCGGATTCGAATCACAGGACAACGACGACTACATCATCATCCTCCGCCACCTCACCCGCGAGGAGACGGAGCTCCTCTTCGAGCACACACGCCGCCTCCGCGCTGGCACCCTGCTGATCGAGTCGTCCGGCAGCAGCAAGAAGAAGCACGAGTACGCGTGGGTCCGACACCGATCCAAGAGCCGCAACGGCCGCGGCGAGCGGGTGGGCATTCTGGAGCTCAAGTAAGTAGTGCGATGAGAGGGTTGAAGCGGCAGGGGGGAGAAGAAGCACCGGGGCGTCGTCGAGGCGAGAGCGAGTCTGCTAACGTTGTGGGTTTTTCTTTTCCGTCGCGCGTGTGGGCGTTATGATCTCGTTTCGACTTGGTTCCTTTGAAACCCCTGCCTTTTTTTTACTCTGCGCCCTTTCCTTGACCTTCTTCGCGACCTTCTTTTTCGGCTCTTTCGGCTTTTCCTTTCTCATGTACGGCGGATGCGGACTCCGGATTTCCTCTCGACTCGAATCTCTCTTGCGATCTTTTTCTACATGACGACTGTGATGTTACAGCGATCTGTTTTCGTATCTATATACTCTCTCTCTCTCTCTCTCTGCTCGCCAATTCCGATCTCTCCTTCGACTCCGACGCACATCCTCTCACAAACTGTGAACGACGATCCTCGCATCTTTCTCCGCCTATGATCAAAAGTCGAGGGGCAACGGGACCGGGGGGGGCATTGGGATGTTGAAAGTGGGCGACTTGATGGGTATCCGCAGACACGAAAATCGGAAACCAACGACGATGCCCGTCGTCATATACAGCACCAATTTACTAGCTGGAAATGCAACATTTTTCACACTGTTCATGGACTCTTGAGAGCTTCCGCTGACCGCGGCTGACAACGACTGGGATGGAGATCAACGGCCATGATGTCATGGCGGGTCGACGACCAGGTGCTCAACGCGCGCGCGCAACCCGGCGGGCGTGGAGATACTGCAGCGTGTGTGTGTGTGTGTGTGTGTGTGTGTATGGTAATCGAAGCATCGAGGGACATGCGACAATTCTTTCCCACCTGCGATGTCAGCTGCTGTGTGATGCTCCGCGCTCTCACCTGCATCATTCGATGTGAGATTCCGGGAAGCTGGGGAGGGGAAGGGAAGGGAGAGGTCGGAGAGGAGGTCCCGTCGTGTCCCTGGAGCACGTGGACAGACATTTTTTTTGGTGATGACCCTCTCGAAAACACACCCAGGTGACGTTTTGGCTGCCGTCCTCTCTCTTTCCCTCGCAATACTCGTCGTCGCCAGCAGCGCCTTGTCATTGTCGCAAGGCGACCCCAATTTTGTAAATCGGTGCAAAGTTCCCTCAGGGTATCTATCGATTAATGTTGAGGGAGCAGCTCACGGGTGATGATGGGTAAAGAGCCGAACTGAGGGGGGGGGTGAGGGAAAAGCGCGAGGGAAACACCGTGGAGCCGTCTCTCACAGACGTATGAAGCACGTGCTCCGGATCGGTGGGGCGTTGAGAGGTTCCAATCGATGGCGTCTCACCCTGATCCGCCGGCAGATGTTCCTCTCGGAGCTGGAGTGCATGCATCTCTCGTCTACGGTATGGTATGTATGCAGCTGTTGAGAGCGCGTGCTGAGGGGGATTTCCCAGGTCTGCCCTACCGTGGCCGTGCCTACATTCCCTTGGTCGTGCATTTGACTGTGCTGCTGGGCTTCCCAGCCGGCTGGATATACTCACTCACTTACTGTGTATATGTATGCCGGCGGCGCTGTGGTTTCCCTCGTCGTGCGGTCGTCACGGCGTCGCAGGTCATCGCCTGGGTCCACAATGATATAAACGACATTGGTACACAGGGCACTCGAATGGGGAACATGAAATGGAGTGGTGGAGTGGTATTTCCCAGGAGAAAGTCTGATCGCGAGAAGACGACGATGAGGTGAGGGCACGAGAGACGACGCCCGAGTCTGAACAGCGACCTCCAGCACGTGGGCACGTGCTACTGCTGCCGCGATGGTCATTGGCTGACGGAGGGGGGGAGGGGTGGGCTCTGTCCGTTCCTCTCTTGTGCACGATGATGAGATGAGAGATGAGGGAGAGAGATCAAATAAAATAAAAAAAGTCGAGTGTCGCAGAACAGCAGCGTTTCTGAACGTCGCATATGCATCCAACCCCGGTTGCGGCCCGTTTTTCCAACCAGTCGCTCCCGCCTCGTCTTCGCTCTGATCGCAACAGATCGACCCGGCGAGTGGGACAGAAGGGAAAATCCAGCGAGATCCGCACCGATATCAGAATGGAAGGGGAGTTACAAACCAAAAACAAGAAAAATCAAAAGATGGGGTTTACCGCCGCAGCCAGAGCATGGAGGATTTTCCGTTGGACCATTCTCGGCTCGTCGCCGGACAACGTGTTGGTGCTAAATCCAGTCCCGCCTGGTAGTGTGAGGTTTCGTTATCGCCAGCTCCTGCGAATGATGGCACGCGACACCGAGGCGTGCGTGGTTTTTCGAGAGGGAAATCATTCACTCTGCTCTCTCTCTCCCTCGCTCTCTACATTATGTCTCTCTTTCTGCCTCTACGTCCGGCGTCTGCCATGTACATACGACGTGCAGTACGTCGTTGCGGTGCTACTGCTGCACGATGCCGCCGCCCGCTTTCCTGGTCAGTGTCGTCGCTTGATGCTCTCGGATTGGGACGCGCGTGCCCTTTGTGAGCGGATGCATGATGCGTGCGATGAAGCATCTAATTTCGAGTGACTGTCGTGGGCGACACAGCCAGAGTACACGGGCAAGTCGTGGCTTGATTCTCTTCCAATGCAAGCAGTTTCGCGCGCAATGGAGAGAGAGAGACTTCGAGATCGAATATCGAGTAGGGAAACCGACGAGGGGAATTGATTGATATGAGAGAGAGAGAGATTATGGTACTGCGTGGTGTCGTGTGTGTGTGTGTGTGTGTGTGCATGTGAAACGGGGGACTTGATGGCCCTATCGCCCGCAGCCCCAATCACGACAAGTAACAACAGACCGTGAATTGGACGGCGACGACTACAGTACAGTACAGTTCGAACTATATTGTTGCCCGCCACATCGTCTCCATCCGTGCTATCGCTAGACCCGTACACATACACACCCACTTGGAGACCATAAACTGCGGAAAGAGAGGAATCCCATGCACAAGCACGCAACGGTCTCTCGTCACGCATCCCCACCGCTCGCCTGCAAGTGGCCCTTGACCTCCTCCAACGTCGTCACAGCCTCCTCCTCCTCCTCCTCTCGTCGTGTGTCCAGGCGCGGGTCAAGTCGCATGAGCCCATGCTGATCGCCTCTCCTCCTCGGCCTCCTCTCCCTGGTCATTAGTATAGCTTCCTTCCCATACCTGCTTCCTGCTGATCCTCCTCTGGGAGAAATCGCCCACCACGAGTTCTTACGCAGACCAACTCTATTACGCCCGTCGGCCTCTGCCTGACTTTCAATCGTCGAGCAGACCCGTCGCCGGTGGCCCTGTCATGCCGCGACCTGCTCCGCCGCCCACGCCGGGCTCCTCGAGCGACATTCGTGGTAAAGAGGGCCTGTTCGCTGCCCCGTCCTTCCAGCTACCGCCTACTGCGTTCCAAGAGCAATCCGACCGGGCGAGCAACAGCTCGGCGACGACCCCCTCGGCCAATGGCTCCGACTCCTCCTACCAACCCTTATCACCACATACAAGCGCCGACCCGTCGAGGAAGAGGACGGCGAGCCAACAGGTCGGCGTCGTCACCAAAGAGGACTTTGCGCTCCCTCCGCCGCCCACGCGATCCCGCAAGATCATCCAGATGAAACCTCGCGAGAATGAACCGCAAGAGCCGCTCCCACAGTCGGCGACCGTGTCGCCTCAGATCGCCGGCAAGAGCCCCGCGAACAATCAGGCTGCTGGCGGGAAGAGGAAACAGAACAATGCCGGGACCACAGCAGCCGGTCGCAAGATCGCTCGCAAAACAGCACATAGCCTCATCGAGCGGAGGAGACGGTCGAAGATGAACGAGGAATTCGGCGTCCTCAAGGACATGATCCCAGCCTGCAAAGGGCAGGAGATGCACAAGCTGGCCATTCTACAGGTGAGCCTTCTGTGACATCGTGTGATAGGCTATGCCGAAGCTGACGATCCCCAGGCGAGCATCGAATACCTCCGGTACCTCGAGCAATGCGTGTCCGACCTGCAGGCGCAACACCAATCACCTCGCCCGCAACCCCCACCGCCGGCGCCGGCCGCCCGCTCCCAGGCCATCGAAGACGAAGACGACGAGGACGAGGAGATGGAGGACGACCACGCCGACCCCAACCACTCCGGGACCGCGACCAGCACGACGACCCCGGCCATGTCCGCATACGAACATTCGGGCTCGATCGTGTCGCTCCCCTCCCTCTCTCAGATCACCACCAACGCATCGACCAGCTCCCCGTCGGTGTTCGCCGCCGGCGCCGGCCGCCACTACTCCATCTCCTCGGCCGCCAGCCAACCGAGCTACTCCCCCTACTTCCATTCCAACCAGACCTCCCCCGCCTTCGGTCCACAGCTCTCTCACCTCTCCGCGGCGCCCTCCTTCGGCGGCGCCTTTGGCCTGGGCAGCCCCGCCCTCAAGCCCGTCGACTCGTCCGCGTCGACCCTCCGCCAGATCGCCGAAGGCGCCTCCGAGCTCAGCGAGAAGCAGCGTCTGACCCCTGCCGCCGCCGGCAAAGCCAACGGCAAGTCCGGCCGGAGCGAACACGAACTGGACCAAGAGGCCACCGCCGCCCTGCTGATGCTCAACAACGACCGGCGGAATTGGCGAGCCGGACAGCAGCACCCGCCGCCGCCACCGCCGCCGCAGGCACAACAATCACTCCCGCACCAGCCGGACACGGACCCGACGAGCCGATCCAACACCGGGATGAGCGTGCGGGATCTCCTCAGCGGTTGAGGAGGGGGGGGAAAGAATCCGTCCCCCCCGCTCCCTCTCACTCCCGTTCTCACCGCCCGATGTCGCCGCCGTCGTTCGCTTCTCTCCCGCTTTTAACGATGCCAAAGATTTCCCTTTCTGTCGACACCTCATCTCTCTCTCTCTCTCCCTTCCCCGACGAGCGGTACAACGTCGTCGAGGGACGGCGATGTCTCCCGGGATGCGGTCGGATGTCTGTTTGTTTGTTTGCTTTTTGGGGGGAAGGATGCGAATCCAGCTCCGTTCAGACCGGATGGAAAGATTACTTCTTATTTTTATTTATTTTTAGAAATCCCACCATAGACGAAATACATCAGAGGGAGGAAACTCTCCAGGAGACTACACGTAATTCTCTCTCCTCCCCGAGTCTTCCGCCGCCATCGGGACGGCTCACGTGGGCTTGGACGGATCATAGCGCTGTGACGGGCGGGCTGCGGGGACCGCCGTCTTTGCTGCCGAGACACGGTCCGTCGCTGATGTCGAATGTTCACCGATAAGAAGAGGCGGAAAGAATACAAAGAGAAAAAAGTCTCATTATCATCAACCCATTCGAATAATCGGATACCGTCGGAAAAACGACTTCTAAGCATACCGCAGGGGGAAAGGGAATTGGTGGGGGGGAGAGGGGAGAAAAGAATTCCACGGGTTTCCTTCCTCGCTGGGTCTAGTTGTCGTCGCCGTCCTCCTGCACGCTGCCCAGCCCCTCGCCGCCCTCGCCCTCGTCCTCCTCGAAGGTGTCCCGCGGGACCTGGTACAGGCGGATGGTGGGCTTGTTGGGGTCCTTGACCAGGACGTATTTGCCGTCGGTCTCGGGCTCCTTCATGACCATGTCGACGAACGTCCGCACGATGGCCCAGCCGTTGTTGAGGTTGAGGTTCATCTGCGAGGCGAACTCGCGGGGCTTGTAGCCGAGCACGCCGAGCACGACGTGCTCCTGGGTGGATTTCGGGTTGAGGCGGGAGATGAATCTGTTGGAAATGGAAATCGTCAGTGGGGGAAACTCGGAACATCGAAGAAGGGAAAACCCGAAATCACATACCCGAGCTTCATCAGGTCGGCCTTGGCCAGGATAGACTGCACAGTCCATCGGGCAAGCTTGCAGCTGTTGTTCTTCATCTCGGTCGCGACGACGGCACCACGCTGGCTGGCCAATTTTGATCGCCAGTCCAGTGCACCACCGGAACCTTGTGCCTTGTTGTCGAACTCGTTCAGCGCCTTGATGGTGAGAAGTTGGTCCTCGCCGTTGATGTTGTTCTTGACCACGGCGTCCAGTTCGGTCCGGACAATGAGATGGAGTGGCTCTGCGTCGGCTTCGAGCGAAAGATCGAATCGGCGGTACTTGTAGGCCTTGGAGGCTGGCGGATCGGTCTCTTCGGCGGCGTTGTAGAATGGGTGTTCGTTGTTCATGTCGTACTTGTTGGTTTCTGACTCGTGGACGACTTGTGATGGGAAGACGTTGTTGATGTGTGTGGCTTCCTCCTTGAGAGCACCGGGGCTGTTGATCTGGTCTTTGTTGCCCTCGCTCATCTCCAGCGGTGCATCGGCAGCGTTCTCGTTGACGGTGACCATGTCCAGGCTGCTGCCTTCACGCTTGTCGATGAAGACTTTGCCGTTCTGCTTGACCATGATGATGTCCCAACTGTAGACGCTGCGAGGGGCGCACATGAGCATGGAGAGGATGTTGTCAGTCGCGAAGATCGTGGCCTCATCCTTCTCGGCGAGTTCTTGAATGACGGGATCTGAAGAGGTGGTGACGTTGTATGCAGCGCGATCGAGGACGGTCAACTTCCGTACGGATGTGACCGCACCAGGTTGCTTGTCGTATGAACGGTCGTAGTAGTACAAGAAACCATAGTCGTCGAGATCCTCGCCCTCACCAGTGTCCAGGTTGAGCTTCGACAGACGGTTGAAGTCAATCTCCTCCAAGAGTCGCCATGAGTCCTTGGGCTGCACAGATGCCTCGCGGTTGCGCTGTGGCTTGTCGTAGTCCTTCCAGCCGAATCTTCCTCCACGTCGACCACCGCGACCACCGCGCGCATCGTATCCTTGTTGGCCGCCTCGACCTCCACCAACGCGCTGGAAGGTTCCCCGACCGCCTCGCTGAGCCTGAACACCACCCCGTTGTCCACGACCCCGAGAGAAGACACCTCCTCTTCCACCAAACCCGCGCCCTCTAGTGCTGGTCTGCGAACGATCGACTAGCGAGAAAGTGTTCTCCTCGTTCTGGCCCTCGATGTTGAAAACCGACTGCAAGCCACCGGGACCGGCACCGTAGATCTGATCGCGGTAACGGTTGTTGAACTGTTGTCGTCCACCTCGCTCACGGTCGCCATCCTTGACGGTCCAGTCTGCCATGCGACCCAGCTTGTCGCCTTTGGAGAATGGCGCATAGGGGACGCCATTCAGGGTGGTTTCGGTGGTGGTCGGTGGTCCCCAGTTGTCACCACCTTTGGGGAGCGACTCGATCAGATCGAGAAGTGACGCGGGAGCCATTATGTCGATGGCAATTGTACCTTCTATGGACACTTCTCAGACGCCGACAAGGTTGTAGGAGTGTCGCTGGTGATCGCCCCACCTCCGTCAAATTCGAAATCTTGGCGTTGTCGACGTCTCTTTGTGGTGGGGGATAGGGTTGGGCTTGCTGTTCTGTTGTCGAAACCGGTGGGACTGTAGGCCATTCGTATTCATTTGATGTCGATATCAATGCTCCCGGACAGATTTTGCCTGGCTACTGCCTCCATCTTGTCCAGTGTTGGAGGAGTATGAGAGCGGTTTCAACGATTATCATGAAGTCGGACAATTCGATGATCCTGCTGTTTCTTTGGAGGCTTGGATATACGGTCACCTGAACGAAGCCAACTCAACATTTTACCTGAGGCGAGACCTATATACCATTGACCTCATGAGAGACCCATTTTTCCAGTGTTAATTCAACATCAAGAAACACGATCCCTGACCGGGTTGTATCTCCATCTTCGACTGCGTATTTCAGCGCGCTCATCATCTGCAACGATGAAATTATGAACGAATACTACGAGGAGCTGCTCGAATAACGCCGGATCCCAACATGGACCAGACAGGGCCCCATCTAGGCTCGGGGCTGATAGCTATCTTACTGATCACAAGATCCCGGCCTGGACCAAGATTGGTCTTCCAATGTCCTCCTCTTGTGAAGTCCAAAGGTGCGCGGCCGCAGCCAGTCGCTCCGGATTCGGACGAGGAGAGCGACGAGGACGATGTCATCGATGAAGACCGGGCCTCTGCCATGACCTCTGCCGCGAAAGTAGCCGCCACTGCCGCCATAGACGGCGAGAAGTCGCAAAGCACCCCGAGTGCCTTGCTTGGCCACTCCGTGGAGACACTGGAGAAGCTGCTCTCACCAGGTCGATGGTCTGATGGTAAGAAATTTGAGATTAGTGTTGACGGAGTAACTTTCGTGGGCCACCCGGTCTACGCCTTCGAGGACGGACGATGGAACAAGGATGAACATGATGCAGGAAAGACGCCACGGCCAGGCGATGAAACGGAGGGCTCAAAGTTCTTCAAAGCGACGGCTCGAGGCAAGGGGAGATCCTTTCATGACTATTCTCCCATCCCTGGGAGTCTGGACTCATATATGGGCCCAAGCCTGGGCACTTCCATGGATAGCACGTCTACAACATCCGGGGTCGTTGCAGATCAGATCAACATGTTCCACGTGGTATTTGTTCTGAAGTCGAGCGCCCATCTTGCGAAGGATGAGACCTTTGCCATGTACAATGATCACGCGAGAAGGCTCAGTCGAGCGCTGCACTACTGCCAGAAGGAGTACAATTATGTCACTGAGCAAACTCGGCGACTAACCGCGCTCAAGCTGAAAGTCAAGTCAGCTGCTGCGACGGACTCCGATTCCTGGGCGCGCATGATCGAGACCAGCGAGTTGGCCTGGGCATTGCAAGAAATCTATTTTCAGACCCGGAAGGGCGAGATCGCAAGCTTTCGGCTTCACGGGATGGAAATCTCTCTTCAGCTAAAGAATCGATTCCTTTCGGATCGGACCAATGACCATGCGGACAGCAAAGAGCTCTCTCCATTCTCAGCACTGCTCCTGTTGGTGCCGAAACAGGAGCTGTTGGCCGAGCTTTTGCATACGGATTCATTGCTTCTGGCGTCCTTCATCCGCGAATTGAAGCCGACCAAGAACCTCTTGAAGCATGCTGCCATGCTCGGCGCTCCCATCAAGGACGTCCTCTACTTGGCGCACCATCTCATCAAGTGGCGGAAAGCCCGTCTGTTGCGGATGCCTCTCCATCAGCGAAACATCTATGCCATCAGCTCGACGGCGCCGCTGTCGGACCTCGACGTGCACATGGCCGAGTACGAACTCCGGTTCCCGGGTCATCTGCCAAGTCTACCGAGCATGCTACGGGTTCTCAGCGGGAAAGCGATCCATTTCGGCCAACTGCCCCCCAGCCGTGACCACCGAATCGTCTACATGGACATCCTGGCGTTCCTGGTGAAGCATGGGTTCGTCAAGCAAGTCCTCACGCACGGATGGCTCCGGGTCCCGCTGAACTACGAACCCCCCTCCTCCGGCGACGAGCACGAGAAGCACGACCGAACACGGCCGTTCCCCATCGCGAGCCTCCTATCGCCGCACCTGCGGGCCGCGCCCGAGGACGACGAGACCGTCAGCGTCAGCTCCGAACGCACCGCCCTCCCCCCGACGACGCCGGCATCGCGCCCCGCCACCGCCACCACGGCCCACAAATCCAACCAGCGACTCAGCACCGCCACGCAGTTCACCATCCCGACCATCTCCGGCCCCGGCGAGGAACGCGACGCCCACGCGGCCACGGCCACGGCCACGGCCTCCACGATCATCCTCTCGCCGTCCGACCCCTCCAGCGGCGAGACCCGATTGATCTCGAAGGTGAAACGGGGGCTGGCGGCCGGCGGCGGCGGCGGCGGCGATGCGGAGAAGAGGGGGGAGCTCCTGGAGCTGATGCTGCCGCACCTCGACGGCGACCATTGCCTGGAGGAGATCGCGGCGGCGATCGGCCGGAAGCGCGCCCGGGTGGAGGAGTGTCTGGCGGAGCTGGAGGGCCAGGGCTTGCTCGCCAGGGTGCGGATCATGGAAGGGGAGTGACGTGGCTCGGGGCCCGGTACGCCGCACACGGCGGTGGTCGGGTGGGGAGGTCGACGAAGTTTTCAGTCGCGCGCGTTCAACGACATGGCCGGGGGGAATGAAGCAAATGGATCGTGTTTGTTCGTACAGGAAAAAGACAAAGAACAGGAAAACGCCCGCATGATCGTCGCCCCATCTAGAATCTCTCTCGCTCGCATCCTCCTCTCCCCCCGTGGCCGTTTCCTACCGTCTCATCCCGTCCGGTACTCATACAACAGATGGAACACGAAGAAAAAAACAGGCGATTCCCGATGATGCATCGATATCCCCCCCATCCCATCCCCTCAGACGTCCCCGCGCATCTGGCGGAAGAAGTCCATGACGCCGGTGAAGACGACCAGCAGGATGCCGCCGCCGGGGCCGAGCCGCAGGACCTTGGGCAGGAAGCCCTTGTACAGGGCGCCAAAGCCCTCCTCCCGGAGCACGAGGCCCAGGGCGGGCCAGGCCCAGCCGTACTTGGGCACGCCGCCGGCCACGCGCGGGCTGTTCTGGATCCGGCTCTTGACCACGTCCATGGGGGTGTTGAGGATGGTGCCGACGGTGCCGCCGACGGCGCCGGAGATGAGGTCGTTGCGGATCTGCACCGACCGGTCCTTGGTCGGGTTCGGCGGCAGCATGGCGCGCACCTGGAAGATGCAGCCGAAGTAGCCGGCGTTCCAGAGCACGTGGCGCCAGACGGTGGACTCCGTGCCCTGGTAGAGGGCGAGCGGCCCCTCCTCGCGGATGACCTTGGCGACGCAGTCCAGCAGGCCGTTGTATTTGGCCGCTTGGCTCTTGTCTGGGGGGAGGCGGAGTCAGTGGAAGCTCTTGCGCGGAGTGATCTGGGTTGCGCTGTTGGGGAAATCTTACCTTGGAGACGGATCTTGACGAGTTCAAAGGGGACGACCACGATGGCCTCGGTCGCGCCGGCCGATGCGCCGGTGAGGATGGAGAGGGATTGGTTCATCTTGGCGACGCCGAACAGGTTCCTCCAGACCTTTCCCCACTCGTCGTTGGCCGCGAACTTGGTCGCGCGCTTGGGCGCCTCCATGAGGATGGGCGCGGTGATGCCCCGGTAGAGTCGCGAGAAGCTTTCCGTCGCCGTCAGCCTGGAAGCGCCGAGGAGGAAAAGGCAGAACCGTAGACGTACCCTTCATTCCTGACAATCTTCTGGAAACAATCCACCATGCCGGTGTAGTGATCTTGACCGGGTACCGGTACCCTGCCTTGAATCTGACTGCGAGCGCAACCAATCCCACGCGTGTCAGATAAATAAAAAGCGGGTATCTTCCAAAACCCTCAACCTCTGTTGTGGGGGCCTTTCGGCTCGCGGAGCGCGCTCGCGATGGGATTTCTCTTACACTCGAGTCTTGACCACGTCCAATGGGTACATGACCAGGATCTCCGACACACCGGCCACCGCACCGGCGGCGAACTGGTAGACGAACGGCAACGGGCGTTCGGTCGTCATCTCGTCTGTTGGCGAAGATGTGGGTGTTTGGTGGGTGGTGGTGGTTGTTGTTGTGTCGCGTGCCTTTCGGGGCGGAGAGAAGGAGAAAGCTGTCGGGCGTGTGGTGGTGGTGGTCAAGCTCCGATATCGTCACCTCGGCTGTGCGGAAAAAAAGTTCTTATCGGGCGGGGATGATGGAATGAGAGGGCGCGCGCAAAACTCGAGGTGGGAGCAAGAGTGGAGAGAGAGAGGGAGAGGGGATCGCACGGGTTTGCGATCGACGCAAAGAGAAACAGGAAAGAGAGAGAGAGAGAGACAAATATAAATCGTGGAGGAGGTGTCACTGCCAAAGCAAAGAAATCCTTTTCCAATGGCAGTCGCGCCTATCGGTGGAATCAATGGGTCTGGCTCATGCGGGCGGGCAGTCGCAAGCCCTCATCAAATATTATTATTTACTACACTCCAGGTGCCGCTTGGTTTGTGCCTGACTCACTCGGCTATCACGCCGAAGTTCTCCACCAATTGGGGCTTGCTGGATTGGATGGACCGAATCGATTTCAACATCGAATTTCAAGCTCCATTTGTCTCTTCACAATAATAAACCAAAAATCCCCATCGTGATCACTGATGTATTCGCGACTTTTCTAAGCTTGGAGATCACAGTATTGGGCCTCCGTCTATGTATATAATGCTGCAATGGCCGAAAGAAAAACGTAGCACATCAAACGATAATGGCAATCGAGAGTTAAAAGGACAATATTGATGCTTTCGAAGGAACATGCAATTGATCAACAGCTCTCGTCACGGACCGGAAAGTGAAGTGCACTCTCCCTGCGTGGTATGACTCCGCAGAGCACATCGAATTGCTCAAGCGCGCTTCGTCCTCCTCGCGTGCTCATCGGCCTTGAATTGGAAGATGCTGCCATCGAACGCACGACGGACGTCCTCCTTGCGCATGATGGCATCTTCGGGCCAGCAGAGCATGTAAAGCGCATACCCTGAACGGAACGAGCGACTCGTCAGTACCTTCGCTGCCCGATCGAAACCAAACCTAAAAAAAAGAATCCCGACAAAGCACAAATTCGGAATCGAAAAGATTGAAAAAAACATCTGGGAAACAAAGAGAGAGAAACACTCACATTCCAACGCGGACGCGGTCCACCCGAATGGATCCACCGCCAACCGCTGACCGGACAGCATCCTCCAGATGTCGCCCGTCGTCAAACCGCCCTTGTCGCCCCGGTCATACTTGGTGAAGATCTCCTCGTAGTTCTGCGGGCGGAAGCGGCCCTCGTTGTCATAGGACCCCGAGTCACTGCCGTGCTTGTCCTTGTGGATCTTGTCCAGATAGATGCGGAAGAAGGGATCCGGGAGGAGGCCCGGCAGGGTCATGTAGCTGAGCGCGCCGTGGATGATGAACATGGCCAGCAGGGCCAAGGGGACGGCCCAGCCCCAGGCGCGGACGCCGCGGTACGTGTCCCAGGGCCAGATGATGCCGTCGGCGTCCTTGTCCCAGTAGGCGCAGTGCTGTTGGAGGACGGTCTGGTCGGCGTGTCGGGCCGCGTGGTCGTCCTCGGTGGTGCCGTCCGGGGCGTCGGCGGTGGCGGCGGCGTTCGCGCGGGCGACGCTGGGGTCGGCGAGGGGAGAGTCCTTGGAGGGGATGTGCAACGGACGTTGTTGGGTGACGGGGACGGTGGGGATGCTGGTCTTGTAGGATGGCTTGGTGGAGACCTTGGCCTCTTCTTTGGGGATCGCCATGGGCATGATGAAGGTGGTGGTCCGTCGATGTGTTGTGTTGTGATGTGACGGGAGAGGGATATCTGAGGATGAGAAGGGAGAAAGAGATGTGACAAGAGTGAGTGAGTAGGAGTAGTGTGTACCTAGGTACGTGAGACAATCACCAACCAACCTGCCTCCAAGCAATTGAATTCATGACTGCGATACCTACTAGGCCCGGGTAACAAGGAAAGAGCACGGGAGGGTTCGATAGGTATGGGGTAGCACATGGATGCTGATGATGACCATTGGACGTATCACCGGTGAGATGATCAATTGATTACCAGGCCGATCGTCAGTGTGTGTGTGTGTGTTGAGAGGGAAGGCGATGTGAAGACCAGCCGAGAGGGAAGTGAAGGGGATGTTTCCTGACGTGGGGATTCGCTCATCGTTCCTGCCCCAGCCAGCCGCAGATGAGCTTCGTGTGGGTTCTTTTTTATTGATTTATTTCACATGTCAGAAACATCCAGTCTCTCGATTGTGCTGCTCAACAGACATTTGCTGGGCCTTCGCTGCACGCCTTCCTACCTACCTACCTACCTAACTAGCTAGGGACTGTACATGCGGGAAGCGTATCCGAATAGATAAGATATTATTATATAAGATATACCACAATGACCTGATGGGAGGCCCACTGGTGGTGATTACCCATCCATCCATAGGTTGACTGCATCTAACACGTGCACATCATAATGATAATAACAATCAAATTAATCAAAATAATACAGGAATGACATGTGAAGAGTGGCACGGCAGAGGCAGAGAACATCACATCATCCATCTGAAGACGCGCGCCGGGCCGTTGTCGAACAGTCCTCCTCCGGGAATCCATGACATCATCCTCCCCCCATCATGTACAGCACGCCATCCATCGATCATATATGCCTTCCGACGCCAGCCGGCTCAACGTCTCCAATACTTGGCTCGTCTGTAGAGAAATCATTATGGGAGAGGAGAGGAGAAGAGAGAGAGAGAGAGAGAGAGAGAGAGAGAGAGAGAGAGAGAGAGAGAGAGAGAGAGATCAGGACACGTCGACATCTGGTCGACTCGGCCGCCATGGAGTATGAAAGGTATGATCCACGCGCGTCGGTCTGGTCTGGTCTGATTGTCATCATCATCATCATCATCATCGTCATCTATTTCTCAAATTACGTTGTAATAAATGTCCATCCAGGCGGAGAGATCCGCAGAGTCTCGTAAATTCGTCTCCTCGCCCCCCAATGTGTGCGAATCCGTTCCCCTTTTTGGTCTATCGAGTCCACCACGCTATGCAAAAAAGCAAAATGAGGAGGAAATAAAAAGAAGAAAAAGAAAGAGAAGAGAAATCCCATCGCCAGGGATTTCGAAAACATGACCAATCGCTCGAAAAAAAAGCCCCGCGGTTTTTCTCATGCCAACAGAAATGATAATACAATCGCCGAGATCCCGATCACCATGAGATGCGTGTCGTGGGGTTTCGCAGCCGCCGCCGCCGCCGCGCTCGTCGTCGTCGCCGTCATCCCCCCGGAACCCTCGTTCTTGAAGGGCGAGTCCGTCGTGACGGCGCCGGTGCTGACGAACGTCGTCCGGTCCACGACGAGTCCGTTGCTCGCCGCGCTGATGGATTTCCCGTCGGCCAGGGTCGTCGCCGCCCCGCCGGGTGTCAGGGTGAAGGTGCTGATGTAGATGGGACCCCCCGGGCTGGACTGGGTCGCGGTCCGGGTCTGGCCGTCGACGGTGACGACGAACGTCTTGGGCGCAGTCGAGCCCGGATTCCCGCCGGTCGACTGCGGGGTGTTGGTGACGCCTGCGCCGGTTTGTGCGCCTCCGTTGCTCGGTGTATTCCCCGTGTTTGAGCCGTCTCCGCCATTCCCGGAACCCTTCCCACTGTTTCCTCCGTTATCCGATGAACTGCCTCCATTTGATCCCGATCCGCCGTTGGGAGAACCGCCTCCTTGTGGTGGCAGATTATCCGCGATAGCCGTCGCGGTCGCTGTCGGCACCGTGGCCACAGAAGACGGCGATGCCGGTGCCGTACCTCCATTCGGGGTCGAGGTTGCTGTCGGAATAGCAGTGATATATGTCGGTAGCGTCGCTGACGCGGCGGACTCTTGCTGCGTGAGAGCCAACGGAGGGTCGTACAGTCCGCCATACCACAGTTGACAGCCCTCAAAACTCGTGTGCAGATCGCGAATTCCTGGTGGAATAGCCAGTTGTGGCCGGAACTCATTCTCGTAGATGACGCCGCATCGGAAAAAATCCCCGGCGCCTTGGCATCGCGATTGTCCGTTCCAAGCCGACCACGGGATCGGGGTGGCAAAGTCGGCATAAGACAATGGATACCCGGTTTGCTGGTCAGTCTGCATGAAATGCTGGAAATGATCCTGGGAGTATCGCAAGCTCAAGACGGACTGAGAAGGCATGGCCAGGACGGCGTCGTATACTGAAAAGCCGGGATCTGTCGTGCATCGCTTCTTCGCGTAAACGGTGGCAATGGAGATATATGCAGTGCCAGAAGTGAATGTATGCCCGTCGACTACCGCCGTCACCTGACCTGTGTTCGGGCTATCGTTGTGATAATCGGTCCCAGTGTACGCAGTAATGACCGCGCCGGGGCCATAATGGGTCAATGATGCCGAAGGTGTGCTGGCGCACATGTCCCGCGTGGCCGTGGCGGGTGGAGGGAAGTAGATGAGCTGCACGCCTTGACCGTACATGGTGCATGGTCCGCATCCGTATATCTCAGACGAGATGGCCGCGCCCAATGCTGATTGACTTGAATTGATGCAAGGCGGCCTCTGCGGCATGAGTGTGGGATAGGGAGGCATATTGCCGATGGAAGTGCTGTATGCTGACCATAATCCATCGCAATCATCCGGCTTGATGGAACATACGGGTCCAGCAGGGCGGTAAAAGCAAGATCCATTCTCGGTATATGTAGCCGTCTGTGTTGGTCGCTGTATAACCGTGGTGGTTCGAGTGGATATCGGGATGGCAGGTGAATAATTCACCCGCGGGTAGCCGTCACACAGAGTGGAAGCATTGAGGTAGCTGGTGATCGCCGAGACCAAGGTGCCACCCAATGTATAGGTGGTCGTGTCCGTGAAAGCGTATTTTGAAAGGACTGAGCTCGTCACGGAGGCATAAGAGGTGGATAGTGACGAGCACGATGAGGCGTACTCTGATCCGGTTCCGGTCGGTGCTATGGGCAACGTAGTGTTGCTGGAAAAGGATATGGTGGCACAGACGACGCGTGAAGGTTTTGTTGTCACTGAGGTGAATGTGCTGGTTGTAGTGCCGGTGACGTTGCTTGCTTGTGCCAGATTTGCAAGGTGACCGAAGACCATCAGCAAGATGCCGGACGGCAAAGTGAATATGCTCGCCATGGTGTTCAGCAGTCCCGTATGCCTAGGACGAAGTAGAATCCCTCTGGTCTCCTCAATCGACCAGGTTTGAAGCAAGAGATGGATGGCTGAAGCGATTTGCCCTGGCCACAGCCAGCGTTGGAAGAGTGCGTGAATCCAGTGCGTTTGAAGAATAACCAAGATACCCGCCAGTCGGCAGTGGATGGACGTTCAGATGCGATGATGCTTCGAATTATTATTATTCATTGTCGCTATACCTGGAATACGCCGAACGATGAAAAGCATGATGCGGCGAGAAACATTTCCGGAACAATTGACAATTTGTGAGATAGATTCAATCGGTCGGGGAGAGCACTACTAGATAGGCTATTTTCATGGTTAGGGGAGGGAGGGCGTGCACACTTGCGTGGACTCCCACACGCGCGTTACATCATTTCTGCGCCCGATCTCCCAGCTAGTCCTGGACCGGACACTGCCGAACATTGGCAAATGCTACCTTTTTCCTCTCTTCCAAGGTTTCTTTCTTCTACAGTACATCTCATACATGTCTGGCATCACAGCCAACGTAACCCCACCTGCACCCAGGTATTGCCACATATACTCTTTATGCCATTTAGCACAGCAGCAGTCAAATATTTTTTAATCACAGACACCACCAGCGTGTTTGTAGTTTGGGCGATGTGAAGGAAAACTCCACAGGAACGTCGTCGTCTTCGATCCTCTATGGCATGGTCTCGGTTGTACGAGTATGTAGACTCAATCAATGTAGAGTGGAGTCTGTGCTGGGGAATTGATGGGAGAGAGGTCAGCAGCGTTTTGCTGCCATCATCAGTCCGCGTTGCCGGAATGCGCTACTACACACTGTACCTAACGGCTTCGTCCTCAGATTGCTCCAGGCTCGTATTCGGTGTTGGCTTGGGACTGCGCATACCACTACTGCACCGTACCGTAGCAATTCATCTGCCACCCAGGGTCCGGCTTGCTGTCGATCCGACGATCCACCATTTTCCAACTCGATCCTGGTCACGCTGGTGATGCTGTCAATCCTGACAATCGTGCTGGAGCGGGTTATTCTATACATGTAGACGGGGGAGATCTATGACACGCGATGAGCCGGCGATGCCGCGACAGGAGCTCTGTCCTTCTCTGAACGTGGGATGGCCGACAGACGGACGACACCAATGACTGCCCGTGTCGTCCAATGTGGTAGCTGCCAACATCCTCTCGACTGTCCCTTCATCAATAAGATCACCATGTGTGCGTTTCCTCCCAGTTTCGAACGAGCGGGTGGTGGGCTGTAAGAAGCGGAGCACATGGGGCTCAACACCACCTGTGGCAGCCAGAGAAGCCCGGACAATACTCCAGGGCTGTTGTTGGAGTGCATCTCCCGAAGTGTGTAACGTCATCGCCCGCCGCCTAGCTCAATCTAACGTACATACTACTGTTGTAACCGTTGTCAACCTCTATAGGGCTCTCTCTCCGCCCGATACCACCTCATCCGGCGCAAGCGTCTGGATGCCACTCTCATACCTAGGCACTGTTGAATAATAGATAAAGGTCGATCTGTCACATAGTCCCAGTATGCAATCATTGAACTCCAAATTTCACATCGTTCGTGTCGGCTAGCGACTCACGAGCTCTCCGCGTCTCGCTGTACGTGTTGCTCACCCACCCACCTGCATGTATGCCTATGTATTGTCGCCGTCGCCGCTGCTGCTGTCACCGCAGCTAGAGATCGGGCTCAAGCACAGTGCTGTGCATCGTGGACCCAGGCACATCGACCGATATCCGAGGATTTCCTTGTAGTTCTCCGCATGATATTGGTTGTTGTCGAATGCTCTCTTCCCGGACAGATTTCCAGCATTCATACTCGTGATCCTCGAAAGCAGGGTGACTCCCAGTCGCAAGCCACGAGCCCGGCGCCCTGGGCCGGTTCGGCTGTGAGAGAGGGCTGAGAGGAATCTGAGCGACGCGTCCGCTCCGGCCCGTCGCGGAGGCCTGTATATCGATCCCTTGGACTTAGCACGCTAACAATGAGCCCTGTCTGACTCAAGCGCGTGCTCACCTGTCATGTAATAATCATCTGTGCTGCTGTCATAATTAGATACCCTGCATAGTCACCTCGTCGGCCACGGCATTCTCAATCGCGTCGTCTTGCGTGACCATCGTGACGGCAACCATGCCTGAAGTCAAGTCCGAGGTGAAGCTCGAGATCAAGCCGGACCCAGACTCGATCGGAGCGCAGGTGGATCAGGACGCCGACCAGTACGAAGAGGACCTCGATACCTATGTCCCATCGAAAGAGGACCCAGGTCAGGCATGGCTTGTTCGTCTTCCAGTTGACATGTGGTCAGCATGGCATTCGATATACCAGGATGCAAAGGAGGACGAGTACGTGCAGATCGGCAACCTGCGGGTCTACGAGAACTCCGAGAAGATTCAAATGACCTTGGATCCCCAATTTGAGCAACACAAATCGATATCCCGCGAATACAACCTAGACGTCAAATCCCACAATTACCGAAACTCGGTGGCCTTCTCGGAGAAAGACAAACCCGGTCAGCGTGCGCGTCAGAACAACAAGCCTGCCGCCGGCGCGAAGCCTTTTGGCATTCAATCTAAATTCGATCGCTACGGGCTAAAGAAGAGCGGCGGCTACCGCTCATCGATACCGAAACAGACCGCATTGGCGCCGCCCATCGCCAACGAAGCGAGTGTGATCGCCGTCGACAACCTCGGCGACTTCGCCAAGGCTTACCAGGCCGCGCTCAAACCCCGAAACACCACCGTCTACGAAACCGGCATCAATCGCGAGTTACACCCTGGCCGCAACGTCGCTGCTGCCTTCACATTCAGCTCGAAGCCCAACAAGACGAGCAAGAAGAAGAAGGAACACAAGGACAAGGCCGTGCGGATGGAGAAGGGTGCGCTGTTCGACGAGATCTCCAAGTGCTTCGAGCAGTTCAAATATTGGTCACTTAAGGCTCTACGGAATAAATTGAAGCAGCCGGAAGCATATATCAAGGAAGCGCTGGACGAGGTGGCAGTCCTGATCCGAAGTGGTGATTTCGCCATGAACTATAAGCTCAAGCCGGAGTACGAAAAGTCGCAGATCGCCAACCAGGACGCCGTCAAGGATGAGATTGCTCCCAGCATGAAGAGCGAGGACGACACAGATCAAGCTACTGGGGATGAGTTGGTTTCGGACGATGACGATGTCATGGACTTCGAGGACGTCAAGATTGAGAACACCGGCTGAATGAATTCGCTGCACCCTCTTCAGATACGTCCAGCCTTCTCGTCCGTTGCTTGCATTCAAGGACTCGGTCGACTCTCGTCTCCAGGAGTCGGCTCGGCAAATGAGCGTTGCACATTTGTGCGTTCCACCGGCCGCTCAGCACATTTTTCGAATGCAAATTCTCGCTCGGTGGCTTTGCGACGGGCCACGGGCATGGCCCAGCGCCAGTGAAGGCCACAAGGACAGACCTGACAGGGGCGCAGATATCGCATCTGTGGATGGGGGTTTGATCAGGACCAGCTTAAGCGGATGTCTCGTTGGTAGCATCAGATGGGACAACGTTGCAGGGACATGATTCGAGAACTGGGTTTTGGACGAGATATGTACATAGTCTAATCCACATGTTCCGTCTCTGCCACAGTATCCCGCCTGCGTTCCGCGTATCCCGTCCATCCAGCGTTAGCTTGAACGAACACCATCACCACCGCCAAACCTGCCGCTGCCAACCAAAGCGTTCTGAACGCCTGCTCATATCCCAACACTGCAATCTCATGCGTAGCCCCTTTCAATGACCCAACCAACGCCGGCGAACCTGACAGACGACGGACGAGCTCCTCTCGCTCCCCATCGCCTTGCTCCGCGAATCCGCGCCGCAGAGCGCCATCCAGCGCCCGCACGAAGACCCCACCGCCGATCGCCGAACCGAAAGACCCCGCGAAGCTCCGGAATGTCGTCAGCAGCGCAGTCGCGATGTACGCCGTCTCCGGCGGAATGATGTGGAGGAGATGTGCGAGGCTGTAGTTCAACGCGGCGCCCGTGGCGAGACCACAGATGAAGAGGATCGCCATGATGGCTGCGATCGGCGTCGCGCGGTTGGCCAGCAGCGCGAGCGCGAGCACGGTCGCCGGGAACACCATGTAGCAGATCAGCGTCGGCGTGTAGTAACTCCCGCGACGGCGGATGTGGAGCCAGCCTGCGAGGAGGCCGCCGAGGGCGAAGCCGGCGTTGGTGGGGATCAGGATGGTGCCGGCGAGGGCGGGCGTCCAGTCGCGTGAGACGAGGGCGTAGGCTGGCGTGTAGAAGAGGACGGCCCAGCGGCTCATCATGTAGCCGACGGTGGCGAGGCAGGTCGTCATGAGGCCGCGGGACCGGAGCAGGGAGATGGGGATTATGGGGTCCTTGGCGAGGTAGAGTTCGTTGAGGACGAAGGCAGCTGCGGCGATCGGCGAGAGTAATAGAGGTAGAAGGGGAATTCGTCCCGGTGAGCTCAGTGAGTAGAGCACGAGGACGATGCTGCTGGTCAACGACAGAGCACCCAAGTAGTCTATTTCTGCTAAAGTCTTGCCTCTTGAGGATTGCGATTGATTGCCGGCATTTTTGGAGAAGAAGTCTGCTGGGATAGCGAGCCAAGTGATCAGTCCACTTGAAAGGAGTAAAGGCGATTGAAGCCAGAACAGCGATCTCCAGCCCAGAGCTTCCAATAATGCACCTGCTAGGACTGCACCCACAGCTACTCCAACAGTGAAGCACGAGTTCAAAAGCCCAACCCCCAGTCCTTTATGTTTTGCACCAGACAACTCCAGCACAACCACAACCGCGCCTGTGACAATGCCGGCTGAGCCGATTCCAGTCACGACTCTGCCTACAATGAAGGCCGCAAAGGTCGGTGCGAGCGAAGTCACTCCCGTTCCGACCGCCGCGATGACCGCTGCAATGGGTAAGCATATCCGTGGCGAGAGGATATTGAGGAGCTTGCCAGCCAATGGAGATAAAGCGGCGCTGGTGATCAGGTATGAGGACGTGAACCATGTCGTTTCACCGAACGCATCGAGGTCTTCCGCTATCGCGCTTTGAGTGGTCGTCAGAAGACTGATGTTTATGGTCTGTAGGAGAACCATGCATCCGATTCCGCTTGCACAGGCTGCGATGCGAGCTCGACTCAACGTCTTGCTTTCTTGATTGTGGTCGTCGTCGTCGCTCCCGGTGCTTCCACTAGATCCAGGCAAGTCATTTGACGTAACGTTGACTGATGTATCGCCATATTCTGGGGGCGCAAGCAGTGGCGTCTGCTCGGTCGGAATGAGTGCTTCGATTTCTGCCGGAGGATATTTCGTTGTGGACATGGTTCCTGTGCTGTTGGATGCCCTGAGATATTCTTTATGTCCCTGAGCCCTGTGCTTGGATGCGCCCCAGCGACACCACTCGCATGTTTCCTCAAAAGCTCTGGTGAACTTGTATGTGCTACTCAATTCCAGGTTTTCTGAGTGTTGTCAATTGCGTCCCTTCGTCTCACTGAAATGGATGAGGCAACAATTCGATGAGGCTCGGATTACGACATCTCGGTCCCGCTCCAGCCCTGGAGGGCTTCCGTTGTCCCTGGCCCTAGCCAGTTGGTGAAAACTGCCCGCGGCTGCCTTCCACGGAACGTCTCATGCTCGTGGACTGGTTGAGCATCGCACCGGGTCAAACTGAGCCCTATTGCTACATGAATTGCAGACCTCACCTGATCTATTGCCTGTGATTACGACAAGATACTATTGAATTTAGGTGAGACCTTCGCACTTCCAAACAAACAAATACAGGTGGTCGTTGCATGAAGCTCGATCCACATCTCATCACGAATCGGCGCAAGCTGCGCACGAGCGAACGAATTGCTGACGTCCGTGCATTACAACTGGATCAGCAAGTCGCCCCTGACTTGGACGACTCATAGGTGCCGCATTGCATAGACTGACTCAAAGACGGCAATGACTGACTCATGAGCCGGAGTAGCATATGTTATCATCGACGGCGAACACAATCAAGTTTGACGCCTATCTCATCTTTACAATATATTCCAGTTATCAGTGATGAACCTTATCAATGCGCTCGGCAACCAGCTGCTCGTGCAGCAGTTGGACCGTCATCCGCTGGTCACTCTACCCTGTTTAGGCCTAGAAGAATGCACCCAATTTCGCACGCGCCGTTGGAGAGTTGAAGTGCCAGCCGACGAGCGAAGACAAGGTTGCGGCAGCCGGCCGAAGTAATCGTGGGGCCGCCCGATGCTCGAACTGAGTTGATTTCCACCATGACGATGGATATCAGAAGCTTTCTCTGCTTTGCAAAGAGGTTCCATTTGTGTTCAGCTTGAGGCCCGATCATACGACTACTTTTGCGGCCTCAGTTCTCGAAGCATCGTGGTGATCTCACAACGACGCAACAGCGGAGAAACGCTAGGAGGTTCTGTCCTGTGAATCACAGGCGGCGTACGTACGCCTCCGTTTGTTCAGAGCCAAGCTGGTGCTTACGGCGCACCCGAATCAACGGCCTCCTGCGTCATGAACGTCTTCGATACTAAGTTATCGGGCTTTGTAACTGCCATTTTCGGTTGACGACGAAGAAAATCTTGCTTTGCTCTTCTCTCACATCACGCAAAAAGGCGGATACGTTCGCGTCAGCAGGGCCATCTCATGCCGAGGACCCGAGTGAACAAAGAACTGCATTGTTTCTCGTCCCACCCTCCTGATGGCCTCTCCGAGATACGTAATTGAAATCGCACCATTGAAATGTCGGAGCAAAACCCCTTGCGTTCCACTGCGGCAAGTCTCACACCCTCTTGCAGATGCTAGGAGCAGTGACGGTCGCTCAGCGGCAGTGTACATTCAGATACATCGGTAGTCCACATCCTAGGTCCTTGAGCGATACCAGTCACGAGGCGCGGTAGGCCAGATCTTCTCAGTTGCACGGTGCTCGGACCAGGAACAGCTTTGCTTATCCTTCCGTGCCGCTCTTGCATTTCAATCTTCTTCCGTCGAATTTGCTCGTTCACGGCTCACCGGCCTCCTCTCGCCGAGTCTGCGACTGGCTGCGGTGGTGCCATCGCGGTTTCTCGGCGCCTGATCGCCATTCACCAGCAAATTGACTTCCAAGCAGTGGGGCCTCCGAGCAATGAATTGCTACACACCAAATCTTCCGATTCTCCTCCGAATGTCCAATGGCAACGATGTGTCGTACGCCCTGCTCTGGACCTCTTCACTTGCTCGATTGAGCCATGAAAACTGATACAACTATACCTCTTGTCCTGTAATCTTCCGGCGGCCTGGTATGACAAGAGAGGGGCTTTGGTACTGAAAGCAACGCAATAAGCCGACCTCCCCTTCCTTCTTGACTTCTAGTGCCATGTCACTCAGAAGTATCGATTCAAGGATGGCGGATCACACGAAACATCATCCCTTGCATGAGACTTGCACAATCACATCACGAAACTTTGCTACCTCTGAGCGGCGGTGAACCGTATCAACGCCAGCGCCTTCTGAGGGAGATTGATGGATTTGCTCGCGGATCTCTGGATATAAGTATCATGTTCGAAACTCTTTCAGTTCCTCATCTGTTGATTCACCAAAGCTCCTCATTCCCCTAAGTTTCTTCATTTTCTGCTCGCAACCAAACAATTTCATCAACCTTTTCTTCCTACCTCAAACGGAGCACAGCTTTCACATATCCCTACCACAATGTTTGTTCATGATACTGGAGATGAACAGAATGGGTTCGGATTCGAGTCCGGAGTCCTGCCCAATCCCACGTTGAATTCGAGGACCGATGTCTCCATTGGCGAACAAGATCATTTGAGCCTCTCAATCATCCCGGCCACGTACAGTTCGCAAGTTCTCCCCTGGTACCCTGGTATGAATCAGGCCGAAGACGATCAGGATGGCGTTTTCACCATCGACGACATCCAGTTTCGCGAGAACCGGGGGTCCACGTTGCAACCTCTAGCACTTGATGGGTACCCATCTATTCCTCGCCAGTTCGACGGCTCCTTCGAGGATGCCCGGTTTTTTCCGACAGCAACGCGATCGCAATTTGCAGCGGATGGCCTCGTCCACTCCTCCCGTCCCACTTCAGATCGACCTGGCACATCTGGCATTGCGTCCGATTCTGGATCGAATGTTGCGGACCTATCAAGCGGGACCTCTGAAATGTCGACCTTTGAGACTCCCTCGAATAGAGTACGAAACAGACCTTCGCGTGGGGAATATCCTTGCCCGGGCGCATTTGATAACTGCACAGGCCGATTCTCTACCGCGAGCGTTGCCACCCGCCACTACATGGATTTGCACATGAGGTTCAAAAGATGGATATGCAACCAGCCAGGTTGCAGAGCAGTCCGGGGGCACAGCGTTGACATGGCGAACCACCTCTTCACACACGGCTTTGCCAAAGATGAAGATCGTTTGAAAGTGACGATCGATGCCTGTTACAGGCAAGGAAGTCTTCCGTGCCCGCATTGCGGATTTGTTTTCCGCAGCGAGCCCGCCACGGCCGCCCGGATCACCCATCTCGAGCATATGAGGATCCATTGGCAGGAGCGTTTGGCTTGGGCTTCAGCAATTGCTGAGTAGGTCTATCTGAAGCTGCAAGGCCGGTCATGTGGCTCCAAGGAAGAAGTTTGCAGCACTCCAACTTGTGATCTGGTCGACAATGGACGAATGAGGTCTAGAGTCTGTATGGTTTGATGTTCTTACATACAATCCTATGCTAGAATTGATGTTTATTTGCGGTCTATGTCCTCCCTCATCGCTCTCGTAGTGTCAAGTGAGTTCCACGTCCAGTCATGACACTGCTGCAACTGCTTCCATCGGGCCCATGTTGAACCTAGCTTCTCCATTATGTCACAGATAGATGACAATATCCCCGCCTGGGTATCTGTCTGACTTGAATTCCGTCCTTCACGCGCAGCAGACTTTTTGGAGTAAAACTCGAGGATACATGTATGAATGGCAGGTAGCATCACAAGTGTGGAAGCTGAGTCTACGCACGCAGCATCAGCACCAGCAGCTGTAATTCTCGTGACGTCGACGAAATCGTTGCTTGGTGGCCTTTCAATCATTTAGCCACCCGATCGCTGCTGCGATGTGTCTCTCGTCACGGGCAAAACGTGGTTTGTCACGGTGCACGAAATATCGACTCGTTGCCTGGTTGACGCGCTACGACGAGAAGCTCTCTAGAGCTAAAGGGAGGAAACGATGTGGCGGCAAGTGAATTGAGGACCTTGCTCCACTCCCAAAGGTTGGATAGGCCGTCACTGTGAAACGAGTGCGCGCCCCTGAAGCACAAAATGTGATTTCAAATTTCTCTGAGCGGCGCTTCCAAGAGGCGCCATTTGAGAGGCTGCCACACCACTGACATCGCGATCTCTGAAGAGTCCACGGGTATTATCATTCGTTTCGAGGCGGTACATAAGCAACACAATTCTTGATTGTTCATTGTACTTTCCGGTGCACTCAAGGCAGTATGCTTGTCTTCTTGTCAACTTGACCGTCCAAACACCATCACGCTACATCGTGTGCTGCGTCGACCTAGAATTTTGTGAGTCTACCACACCTTTCTCGCCAGGGTTTCGTTTGATGCAGTCTTGAGGCGGGAAGGATCTCGACTAGGTGCATGAGATCGCGGCTATGCATCTGCCGGGGAATGAGGCCACAGCGTACGGGACTGGTCGGTCGGACTGCGAGGAGGCATCTCAATCCTGTTCGTGACAACCCTGGACGGCCCAGGATGGTCATGTATCACCTGGGCACTGATCAAATTTTCCCTTTAGTGCGGAAATAGCAAGATTGACAGCACAACTTTTGCTGGATAATGTGGGCCATGGAGCAAGCGATCATGCAGCCGATCACATCCCTTGTCTCGCCGAACGTGCAAAGATGTCACGCTGATCTCATTTGAACAACGACCTCACCATCCGCATCGATCCACTGCAAGCCAAGCCGCCGCACTTTGCTGTTGCTTGCCACGTACAGCAGCAAATACACATGTTTGACCACCTCTCCCCAACAGTAAACACGGAGCGGCGGCAGAAACTGCGGCGATCCCACAGGATTCTCAGGAGGCTGGCTGCTGATTACATCGTGACTTTCTTGTGAGCACCAAACGCCCCAACCCGCACTCCCGTTCCCAACGACAGTCTCCAAGGTACTCCAAAATTCTTCCTCTACGTTCCGCGGCCAGCCACCACACTGTACAAGCCAGTGACCACGCTCCAGCGAATCTATCTGCCGTGTCATGGACAAGGGCTTATAACACACCGTTACTGATTCGTCTTGTTCAAGAAGACGCAGAGCGGGAGTGACGTGGCTCGTATACTTGGCGAGCGCAGTCGGCGGATTCTGTGGCCGGATGGAACGCGATCGGAATACAGAAGTGTGTGGCTCGTCGGTTGTCGCAGCCGTGGTCACATTCGCTGGAGAGCTGTGGGCCCTCAGCAAGGGTGGTGCAGCTTCGGGCAAAACCTCAGGCGTAGCAGACACAGGGTCGAGTGCGCTGAGGGAGCGCTGTGGGGATGCCGGACGGGCTCTTGAGACCTCGGAGTCTGTTAACGAGTATGAAGAAGGCAACTGTGAGTTCCCCTCAGTCACGTCGTTGTGGTCCTGGCAAGAACGCTGGTCAGAATATGCCCGTTCTGTAGCTGAAATCACCTCTTCCCGACGACTTGAGGCCTCAGCATGCTTCTGTAATGTCAAGTCTTCATCTGGCCTGTGTGTGGTGGTGACTGTTAATTGGCCATCCTCCTGGCGAGCCGTGTTCGGATGTGTCGAATTTGCAGGTGCCCGACGCAAGCCATGCGGAGCCAGCGCAGCAGCATTCAACCATTGACTATCCAATGCGCCGATGGCAAGCTGCGTATCATCCAAGAATACAGGTATAGGACGTTGCCTCTGTCCGCCTGATGACTCGCGAACATCGAAAACGTTCTGGTCGTGAGCAGAGCGATGGGGCGATGCCGCATCAGTCGACAGGGCAATTCGAGAATATGCAGCCTCTGGAAGAGCCTGGTATGCACGTGCTTGCGCGATGTATCGCTCATCGTCGGCATGGCTTGTAGGTGCGCCGGCATGCACAAGTAGTTTAAAGTTTGATCTCATCTCGGCCGCCGCAACAGTCTCGAGCGTATCGCCCATCCATGCTAGCGGATCCAGAAGACGCGACGCTGAATCTTCCACTCACACACAGCAGAGTTTTAGGCGGATATGCTGTATCATATTCTTGGTTCGCATATGAGAGTTCTTTTTCTCGAGATTGTTCTTTTAGTAGCTCCTGGCCATCATGCCTTCCAAGGTTGGACTGCATTTTATGAGCGTCGCGGCTGTTGCCGTTTTTATGACATGCATATTTCACACAACAGGAACGAGATCTTCGAACGGATTTCATGCAACAATGACCTTATAGCTGAGACACGAAACAAGTCCCTAAACATCGGGGAGTCGCGGTGGAGAGCAGTCGGATGTGGACGGCTTGTGCACAGGATGGCGAACAGAACTCAAAACTTTAGCACACGACATCGACGGAAACATCATCGCACAATTAAAGGCGTTTCGGCCTTCGACATGCCAAGCTCATGACCTTCTACTCAATTTGATTTGCTCTGCATCTAGTCATGGTTCTTCGTAGAGCGTGCCATCGTTGTCTTTCTTCGTTGTGCGCCAAGGTGTGAGCTTGTGCTGCAGGCCTCGTAATTCCGCCAGCCATTGCCGATTCAGACAGCAGCATTATTCCCGGCTCGTCCCATTCGTCACAGACCGCTGTTCATTAAGCGCCGCTGGCAGCGATTTGGGCCACCTTCCATCAACCTACCCCAGCGGTCTATAGTGCCGAGAAAACAAATAGCTGCCGAACTGTGTCAGCGAAGAGCTGGCGAAGGAAACCGGGAATGATACAACTTACGTTGTTCGTTGCCGCAATGGCAATGCTGTCTTCTTGCGGGTGCCAGCTCATGTGCAGGATTTTTTTGTTGAAATCGATCTGGTCGGCGTCAGTTTCCTTGCGCATTCGTTGAGCGCCACCGGCAGGGCTATTCGCGCGGCTTCCCTTCTTGCCGTCCTTGCCCGTTCCCGGGCTTGAGGCGGAGTTCATTGGTGTCGGTATTCCGACCTTCTTCGCCTTGAAGGCGCTCTTGTCGGCTTGTAAGACAACTTCGGTGTCCTTTCCTTCCTCCGACGGATAGATCATGAAGTTGTTGTTGTATGACCCGGTCATGACGTTCTTCGCGTCTCCGGAGAAGACGACCTCGAACTTGTCAAAGATGCTGTCATTTTCGTAAGTGTCACAAAGTCTGGGTCGGAGATGTTCGTGAATTGGAATCGTCTTCACGGGTTGTCGTTCCATGTTCACATCCCAGATCTTGACGGTGAGGTAGTCGCGTGATAATATGTATCTGCCATCGTGAGAAAATCTGACGTCTGAAATGGAAGAAATGATTTCCGAGAAGAATGAGCGTGAAGCGGGATCTTCCTCTTGTTCGAATTCTGTGTTGTCACATTGGTTAGCCTAGAGCGCAGTTGCGACATTTGCGATAAACATACGTTTGGCATGCTCATCGCAGAGCGCCTTCTGTCGCATATCTGCGAGTTTGATCGTGCCTTTGCTCGAAGCGTACATGAACCAATTGCAGCTGGTCGGATGGAATTCGGCAGCGGTAATGACTTCTGTGAGCTCTTCCATGTTCGCCGGCTTGATATCCACAATGTTGAAACTCTGGTCCTGAATGTTGAGGTTCCACAAGTTTATCCGCAAGTCATCTGAACTAATAAAAGTTTCGCCATCACTGTTGACAGAGATGCTGTTGATGTGATACGCATGAGCGTTCGCGTAGACTCTCCGCGGCACAGCCGCAACAACTGTGTCGTGGTGGGTCATGCGTGGGAATTTGAGATCGGCAGCACTCCGGAAATGGCTTGGATATCTGACTGGTCCGCCGCCATTCGCACCACCAGCTCCAGCAGGCGTCAGCTCCTGGGATAGATTGTTTTCGGCGACAACCTTCAGGGATTTCTCAAAGACCTTCCATAATTTGATGGTCTTGTCGTTTGTAGAGAGCAGGTAATGCGAGGCATTCTGTCGTCGGCACCACTTGATTTTGTTGATTTTCTCTTCAATCTCAAGCGATTTTAAATAATCGAACTCCGGCTCATGTGACTGAAACTCGGTGTGAAATTTGTATTCGCAGGTCTTCTTGGTCTCGTTGCGTTCGAAAAGGACGACTCGTCCGCCCTTATCACCTGTGGCCAAATAGTTTCCTGTTTGATCAAACTCGACTGTTGAGATTATGTCGGCTTCTGTGATATCTTCAACATCGCCCTTGTCTCCGAAACATCTGCCAAGACAACGTTAGCTTCATGTGTGATGGTGACTCCGCTGGAGCCAGGTATTTGCATGGTGTGGTGGCCGGAGGCATGGTTGTAGAGCTACATGGCGAAGTTGGTCTCCAACGCGTTCGCTTGTGCTTGAGGCAGCACATGCGTTGAAGCCAGGGTGTGCGACCGATTGTTCTCCGCTCTGTCGATGAAGTCCCCACTCCTTCCCTTGACGTCTGGCCGATGACCACCCTGCACGCTCTTTGCCAGGATATCCGATTAATTGTGGCATCTTTCCAAATTTTTGACGGGCCAGCATAACCTCCATAACTTGCCCCAACAGCCCTCCTTGTGGAACATCCTCATGCCCAGTGCCATATGAGAGAGAACATGCGGTGAAGAATCCAGATCCAGTGTACTGCTGAGCAACCCATGCACGGCATGAAAGGCGCCAGGCAAATGCGAGGAAGTGTAGAAACGTCGCGTCACTTACTGAGTAAACTTCCAGGTTGGCTGAGCCGTTCCATCTGTTGCTTCCACCATCTTCCTGTAGTCCTTCCCGGCAGTGCCAAAGCTGTGACTTTGTGCGAGGTTTTGTGCAAGTCGTTTCTCTCAACGCTCGTCAATCGGTACCGATAGAATGTGGGCTATCGAATTTGTAAAGTTGCTTCGTAATGCAGAGCAGGTGTTTGTTGAGAGCGGTAGAGCAGAAATGCGGCTCTTTGGTGGGCAGGAAAGCGGCGACGACGTCAGTTGGATGTGGCAGGGACCGCAACGCCTGCGTGAAGATCTAAAGTCCGGATGAAAGGGTTGTGGAGATGACGCGCAAGTTAAACCAAGCGCATATATTTTGGGTGATTGTGAAGTGTTTGTTCGAGGTGGTGGATGTTGAGATATCATTCATTAGTCATGAAGCTCAGAGAGTTTGCCTGTTCCATGTATATATACACAGTGCAGTGAGCAGCGGCGCCCTCGTGCTCACGAACTCATCCTCAAGCTTCTGCGTATTCTTCGGGCTTGGCGGGGCGGGGCGCTGGACTCCAGAGCATCTCCAGTGGGAATTTACACCACTTGGAACTGCACTGGACCCATCCTGCCCGAATCCCCCAGGGCTCTCAGGCAACGGGAATACAGCACAATGAGGAGGCCAGCCAATTGGTGTTCATTCCGCGTGGGCAACCTAATTGTGATAAAAGAATACCAGTATTTCGATTTCATTCAGGTCTGGAGAGTCAGCCAAACCTTTCCTTGGTTCTTACACTTTGCACATCATATGTACAACGATACAACAATAGCAAATCTATATTTTCGCTGTAGGCGCCCTCATCACATTCATTCTTCCCTTCGAGCTCAGCAACATACGTCTCGCGCGGACAAGACGATCCAAGGAATGGGTAATGGCTGCCCATACTCAGAGCCTAAACTGCACACCGCTTTGCCCGGTTGCATGTACAGTACCTGGATCGGCGGGAGCACATGTGCAAGGTCCTGTGGGAATTTCCTGGTGGCATGATGGAGAAGGAATCCGTGGATCGCATTCGTCGCAAAGTTCTAGATCTTCGAGATGACCAATGTTGAGCCTGTAAAATACTGCGACCGTGTCGCAGAATGCGCGGCTGACTGTCGATGAATGTATCCTTCAGGGCCGGTTGCAACGTGAACAAGTGAATATTTCTCTTACCTACACAACGGCGGTCATTTCAGGTATGAGGTACTTCTGGACCTGAAGACATTCGTGATCTACACTTACGGCTAAACGAGGTACATATTATTAGTGCTCTCGGGTATTGAGCGACATAAGCCCTCCAAATCAGAACAGCTTAGCTTTCGTCTCAAGGCCACGAGTGCGGGAGACACTACCACATCGCGATCGGAACCATCACCAAGACTTACCTCAAGTCACGAATCAATGATGGCTTTGTCATCAAATTCGTATCTCCCCATCGCCGCTGGTGTCTTCGCCACGATCTTCATCGGCTTCGGCATCAATGCAGCGGTGAATCCTCAAAGTGCTTTGACATTTTTCGAATTACAATACCCTACGCCGACTAGCATCAAGGATCGGGAGCTCCTCTCAAAAGTCAAACTTGCACTCGATGCCCTCTCAGTCGTGTACGGGGTCCGTGACGTCTTTATTGGAGCCGCACTCTACGCGACAGCCCTCTATGGCAGCAAAGAAGCTCTCGGCTGGATCTGCGTGGCGGCTGGCCTGACGGCAGGTGTCGATGGAGCCGTGTGCAAGTTCATGGTTGGGAAAGGCGAAATGAATCACTGGGGATATGCCCCGATGGTGGTCATACTTGGGTCTCTGCTTTTAGGTGCCGCAGATGGGACTCCACTGGAGTCCCTGATGACGCGCAACTGATCCATCAAGTCAATAGGAGGTCTTCGTTGCTTTTGCTTGGAAAGCTTTGTTGCCTTTTCACCGAGAGTCAAGGAGGGTCTCCTGAAACCGCGGACGTCCAGTATATCGAGATCTTCTAACGCAGAAGCCTGGCGCCTTTCCGTGATGGAAGTTAGTCCGCACTTCAAAGAGTGATCATCTCGTGTATCACCATGTGTGACTCATTGACTCGTTTCCCATGTGATTTCATAGAAGCCCTGGTCACTTTTTAAAAGCCGTGGCGTTTCAGCTTTGCCGAATTTTTGACCATATTGCAGCAGCCTTTTGAGCCTTTTGTCTGTTGCGCCACTATCTACGCCCGTAATGTTAGCCTCTCGCGCAGCTGCAGCCTCCAGAAAGACGATGCATTCAGCATTGCTCTGCTGCTCGTCCATCTTGATAGCTTTGGCTTGCAACATGGCAAGGCCATCGAAAATGTTGGGAAAGGCGGGCGTCAGGGAAGCATTGATCTCAGCGTTCGAGATCAGGGTCGTCCCCATGTCTATCACACTCTTGAGCTGAGCGATTGTAAGTTGCGGGCTGCGTAGAGCCTGCGCCTGCAAAGACAGCCACTCTCTGATAAATTGTCTCTGTGCTTCTAGGCTCAAGCCGTCGGATTCCGTCGGATCTTCATCGCAAACCGGGCAATGGCATTGAAATCCCCACTTGCTCATCCGTGACTGTCGTTCATCTCGAGGTAAAAGAATGTCGAAGTAAGATATTAAGATTTCCTCGCCAGCATCTAATGTGCGCAGCGCGTGCACGAACATGCGGCCTTTTTTGTCTCCTTCGGGATCACGCCCCGAAGGATAGTAGCACACGTGGGCGTTCGGCATACAGGAATGGTTGGCTCTAGCTAACAATGGGAACAGGGCTCGGTGACGCGCACCCTGTCCATCGCCAGTATCAACGTTGAAAGCATTCGTCTGCATAATGCTTGCCACCCTCTTCATGTTGAGTACGCCATCGTCTCCGTGTATCTTGTGGAGTTCGCGACTACGCATTTTCTCCACAAGCAAAGCGTCCCGCGCCTCATTTACCGCACTTCCGAGAGTCAAATATCGCTCCTGTTGATCGGCAGACAAGTTAAGATATTGTGCATAGAGTTCCGGGAGGTCATCGGTAGGCTTCATGAGAATCATGGCCTTGTCGGCTATGATCACAGAGTGACGGGTAATTTGGCGAGCAGCAAACAGGCCTAGACCGCGGTCGGCGCCAGAGGCGTACGTTTCCACAGATGGCACACCAAAAGGTAGCGACGATGCAGGGTTTCGCGTCAACAGCCATGTTTTTGCCGCGATGTGAGTTCCATGTAGAGACATCTTGCGGTTCGAAATTCTCGTTTCACGCTTGTACTAGCATCAACGGCGTCCTCACTGTGTCCGAAATCCCAGTCATTCAGTCTTGCGTCGAAGAGCTATGTCCTGATATTGCCGTGATGGCGCGAGCAGTATGTCTCATGCGTGTTCTGCCGGCGAGCACGTGGTCCAGGATACTTGTGCAAAGATGGACGACGCGCACTGCCAAGCTAAAGCGACGCCATGTGGACGAAGAGAAAGCTTGGTAAAGCTTGTCGAGTAGGTCGCGTGTGTATACAGTATCCCAAGGCTGACTTCTGTCACATAGCCCACCGATGCATTCGCTCTATGCATGGCCGCGCGTTCGCATTGACGGACAAACGCCATAGATGCAGCCGCATCTGTTCCGGAAGATTTCTCAATTCGACTTCGCGAGATACTCATTAGCCAGGTGTGGTATGGCCACGCGAGCTGACATGGTCCGTGTCACGAGTCTGCGCTGATCTGCGCTGATCGTCTGATACCCTGTGCAGGCTGGCAGGGTACTGTAGTACTCATAATGTATCATCGCCTACCCGCTTTCGCAGGACATGGCCGCCCACACTAGAACGGCCTTTGCCCACGCACGGCACGGCTGACGGACGGACGGATTCGCCGACCGAAAGAAATTGTGGCGTGGTCATGTTGTCTACGGTCTACGGACTAGCTGAACGAAAGCATAGATAAGTCGGGCGATTAGCCCAGCTTTCTCATTTTGATCAGCTTTTGCCATTCCGAAAACATGTTTCGCAAAGACAAGACCGAAAACGTGCTCAACAACACGGGCTCTCCGCCCGAGTACAGCAAGGAGAGCGCGACCATTCAAGGTGACGCAGCGCCCGCTACTGGGGTCAACCCTTCCACATGGCAGCGGATCTGGCCGACATTGGCATGCGGAGCCGGATTGTTCTCCGACGGCTATCTTCAAGCGGTCATTGGCCCAGTCAACACGCTGCTTAAGAAGCTCTATCCCAATCAATATGCCAATAGTTCAGCAGCCCAGAACGTGACGTCCATTGCCTTTGCAGGCACCGTGGTGGGCCAGCTGCTCTTCGGATACACGAGTGACCACTATTCTCGGAAATGGTCACTCCTTATCTCGACCATAATTTTGTTCGTCTTTGCTGCACTTGGAGCAGGTTCTTATGGTGCCAATGGTAGCATTCAGGGCCTCCTAGCAGCTCTTACTGCCTATCGTTTCCTCCTCGGCATTGGTATTGGGTATGTATGAAATGGCTCGACACGGTCGGGAAACAAATCAAATGTTAACATCACACAGTGGTGAGTATCCTGCTGGATCTGTAAGCGCAGCAGAATCTACTGCCTCTATCAAGGAAGGACAGCGCAACCGTTGGTTCTGCCTGTTCACCAACACCCAGATTGATTTTGGCTTTGTCGTCGGCTACATCGTGCCTATGGTCGTCGCTGCCATTGCTCCAACCAATTATGAGCTCATCTGGCGATTGTCCCTCGGTCTTGGTGTCATTCCGCCGCTTTCACTGCTTTATCTCCGTCTCAAAGTCCAGGAATCCGAGTCCTTCTCCCGAGGCAGCTTTCGTGGACAAAAGACACCTTACTGGCTTGCACTCAAATTTTACGGTCCACGACTCTTAATTGTGTCCAGCATATGGTTTATCTACGATTTTTTGAGCTACCCCTTTTCAATCTATTCAAGCGATTTCATCGCGACAATATTGGGGCCGGGAGAGCATGAATACTGGAGAATTTTTGGTTGGGGCGCCCTGGTCAACTTTTTCTACCTGCCAGGTGCTATCTTCGGCGCCTTCACTTCGGACTGGATGGGACCACGATTGGCCCTTTTCGTGTTCGTTATTGCGCAGGGTATCGTCGCTTTCATTATGAGCGGCTGCCTTTATTTCCTGGAAATGCCCAAGTACGTGGGCGCTTTCGTGGTAGTCTACGGAATCTTCCTTGCGCTCGGAGAAATGGGCCCTGGAGATAACATTGGCCTCGTTGCGAGCAAGACCTCTGCATCGGGCATACGTGGCCAGTATTATGGTCTTGCTGCAGCTTGTGGCAAGATTGGAGCATTCGTTGGCAGCTACGTGTTTCCTATCATTCAAAACGATGGTGGAGGAGAAGATACTTTGCAGGGAAAGCAGTATCCTTTCTACGTTGCGGGAGCTCTATGCTTTGTCGCTGCCTTCTTGGTCATGCTATTGCCGAACATCGGCCAGAACACTATTCAAGAAGAAGATGCGAGATTTCGTGCTTACTTGGACCAGCATGGATGGGACACATCGGGTATGGGCTTGAAGGGGTTTCAGGAAAGGGACGAGAGTGAGGTAAAGCAATGATTCGCCTGCGACCGACATCAAATTTGAGAGAAGTGTATGAAATTGAGAGTTTTTTGTGACTGCATCCTTCCATTTGGTGGCATCATACTGTAGATTGTTATAGTTGGCATTTTGTCCAGGTGTGGTCGTCCTATTGTCCGCCTGAACGAGATCCTTGTCATCAGGGCTCGACTAGGCTTCAAGCTGGAGTAGAAGTTTTGAGCCTCAGGCACCCCACATAAAGCTTGCGTTCATCGACAGTCAATGCGCGTGTGTTGGCAGCGCAAACCGTCCAAGTATTTCACCTTGTTGAACACTGCACACCTACCTCTCTCCGCGCTTTGGGCACTGCTATCGCCTATACATAGAAGTCTCGCAGGCACAATCCAAAATGCCGACCCCCGAATCCGCCTCCTTCAAAGCCCAAAAGCCCACCGTACCGCCGACCTTCGACGGAGTCGACTATGACGACAACAAAGCCTTGAAGGCCGCACAGGACGCCATTATCCGCGAGCAATGGGTACAGAGCATGATGGCACGACTGATCAGTGAGGAGATGGGCAAGTGCTACTACCGCGAGGGCGTCAACCACCTGGAGAAGTGCGCGCATCTAAGAGGTAGGTTTTGAGAATCAGCGAAGTCAAGGGCAGACGGCGAGCACTTGGATCGGAGCTGCGAAGACTTGGGGCTGACTGGTCGAACAGAGCGATACCTCGAGCAATTGAAGCACGCGAAGATCCGGGGTTTCTTGGGACAACAGCAAAATTACATCTCAAAGGAGGACGCTTGATGATCAGATTGAACCAGCAGAGGCGAGGATAGAAAGAGCTAGATGTGTGAGCACATGCATGCTCTGCTTCGTTTGTTGTGTACATTAAGAAGCGGACGGGATAAGGGTGTAATTGACTATACGAACACAGGGCTTTTTGGCCGATGGGGGCAACGCCCTTCGCTACTTTGAATGAATTGCCTCAACACGAGACATGGACAGGGCCTGTCAATGACATGGAAGTACCATACTCCAAGTGACCCTGAGTGTGCGAAGTAAAGGCCATGGTCAACGCATCTCCAGCTTACACAATCCTGACAGATGACCATTATACAGCCTGGCTTTGCTGGCGGTCGTACCATTCAGGCTCCTCCCTCTGGAGCAGCGTCGCAGCCTTCTCAACTTCCTCGGCTAAGCCCTGCACGTTTACGTCCCATGCTCGAAGATCAATTGTTCCGGTCTGTCGTCCGCCATCCTTGGTGTTGAAGTGAATGATCCCAGCAATCTGGTCGATACTGCCAGGAAGGCGATTGCTCTCGATCATTCCTGATGCGTATGCCTCTGCCCGCTCACCGTTAACACCAAGCAATGCTCCCAATGCTGCGAATGTGATGTTGGCGTAAATTCGAGACACTGCTAAGACGTTGTGCTCAAGCACAGCCTTGTCGAGTACAGTGCTCCCATCCGATGTCTTGGCTAGTTGATGTTCCTGTAAGCCTGCCGCGAAGTTCTGAACTTCTTCCGGCTTCAAGATCCGATCCAAGAAAATTTTCTCAAGTATAGCGTGTTCGGGTGTATCGACGGCGCGGTCGTCCTTGTAGAGTTTCCCGAGCTGCCGTCCGCGCAAAGGTCCGGCAGGCGCCAAAATCGCACAAGTAATCGCTGCTGATAGTGCTCGTAGTCTCTCCTCTTCGTCTATGGCAGTCTGATTTGAAATGGCGAGGTACGCCGCTGATGCATCCAGGAAGTTCCGTTGTGAATCGCTGATGCGGGCTTGTGCGAGTTGGAACTGTAGCCGTGTCACTTGATCTGTAATGTTGTGATAGATCTGTTTGATCTTGTTGAGGTAGGTGAGTGCGTTGGTGGGATCCTCTTCCTCTAGGTAGCAACGACATATGCGCATCCACACTTTGGCTTTCTCATCATCTTGAACTGATCGCTGAGATGACTCGAGAAGGATGGTCTGCAGCACTTTGGCAGAACCGCGATAGTCTTCAGCTATTTCGAAGGCATCTGATAACGCAAACTTCAGCTCTGTGTCCTGCTGTTCATACGAGACGACTTTCGGCGCAAGGATCTCCACTATTTGGCTCCTGCACATACGTCAGTCATGCAGATTATCATGGTGATTCTATTCAAGAGAAATACCCTGCTTCGATTTTGGTATCGTTATCTGAAATAGTTCGGAATCGAGTCACGAAAGATGTCAACAAAGGTCGCGAGCTGATGACACCGATGTTGTCTGATGTGATGCTTTGCACATATGCGACCAAATTTGATCCCAGGTCTTCGTTCTTGGCGATAATTGAATCAAGCAAATTGTTGTAGCCTTCAGGTCGCTGCGTGGCGGACGCATTCTGGAGTTGTTGCAGCTGAGAGGTGACGTCTGCCATATTGGTCTCCGGGCGCGTTCAGTCGATTGATGGTTTCGTTCACGCAGTCGTGGAAACACTCCCTTTCCGATGCTACAACGCAGGGGCTGGCAACAGGATCTGTGTGATTCTTGATCGTTGTGATCAGCTTTGAAGCGTGGCACATGTCATCAGAGCGACAGCGAAGTGCGCGGACGTGAGCGTGTGGATGTACCCCACATACCGGCGGTCGGTTGCTTTTCACATCGGAAAAGTGTACGGGACTTTTGGCGACTGGCATGCTTTGTGTCGCAACACTACTTAAATTATGAACAATGAATCACCAATTTCTCGATTGCACGTAGTGCTCACGTCAACTCAGATATGGTCAGAATACGACAGGTGCGCTACAGCATTCTCTAACAACCCACGGGACGCCTCGCTTGAACGCAACAAACAGGGAAAACGGTTCCAAAACAGCTTTGGCAAATCATACAGCCACCTTCGAACGTTTCGGCGTGTCAAGCGTGGTGTCCTCTTTGACGTCCACATCCATTGCGTTAGCATCGCCGTCAGCGACGTCGCGGTTTCGTTTTAATCCTTTCATCTTGCGCGTTTGCAGCGTGGTGAGATCTTGCTTGCCAACGTGAATACGGCCCAGCTTGTCGCCGACTGGATCCACCTCAATATTCTTCTTCGTTTTGGGCTGTATAATTGCGGTTAGTATTTGCCTCATGATAGCGATCTTTGAAAGTGGTGAATGGTGCATTACCTCAGAGCTCCTTGGTTTCTTCATGGCCTCCTTCCACATGTCAGGATCAGCCTCTTTTATCCGACCAACGCGGAAATCTATCCTTGGTCCCATCTCTTCGACATCCACAGCGGGCAAGTCCGATGTGCTCTTCTTAGTCTTGATCAAATAGCATCGCAGGTGGATCATCGGCTTCACGCCTTCCTCCTCTTCCTCGTCCACCGAGAGATGGATAATGTATTGCAGACCCTGTACATCGATGTTGGTGGCATCAGGTCCCTTGAACAGGTCGGTGAATATGGATTTCGCCAATGTATAGGCATTTGCCGTGGGGCTGTCCCATGCGGAGCCAGAGAAGGCCAGCATTGGCTTGAGACCAACCGCGGTTTTGGTGTTCCGGAACTGTGTCAAGGTACGAAGCGTCTCAACATCAACTAGTAGTTCGAGCATATCCAGCACTTTGTGATCGAAGAACCGAATGAGAGTCAAGCAATTCGGTCGCTTCTTGCTGTGGCTGCCGTAGACTGCGAGACTTGCATCGTTCTTGTCGGCAAAAAACTCCAGACTGGAAGGGTCTTCGAATGGGTGAATGTCGTTCTTCTTGTCAAATCTGACGCAGAGCGGTCGTTTCAGCGAGTGCAGATCTTTGAGCACGAGCTGCAGGACCTCAGTGCAGGTTGTGTAGCGAAGGAAAAGCGTGACTCGAGGATTCTCGACATGTTGTGGCGCTTTGTTGTCAAGAAATCGTTTTGTTCGAGCATTCTTCGGCTTGATCTGGCGAAGCGGAAGGTCCGCTGCGCTCTGTTGTGTCAACGCCATTGTGCGATGGCGCAAGTTTTCCCAAATTTTCACGACAGGAAATAAATGCAACTACAAAAGTTTCGCGATGCGGCTATCGATAGGGCACGAGACTGGTTCTTGGCGTACCTGAAAAGCGGAACGCTCAGGCCCTATCGAGACTGGCGGCGGGACGGAAGCTCTTATGTAAGCCAGATCTTCCACCTGGGCAGTGACCAAAGTACCTGGATAACCCTAACAATCTCTCCACGGATCTACCTATATGGACCAAAGGGCACCGGAAACTCCCACAGAATGCTACCTAGGTACTAATGATAAGTTCGGTATGTGAAATTGTTGAAGTCTTAGGACTGAGGGTATCTTCGTGAAAGAGGATTGGTTTCTTGCACACGAGTGACGAAAGTGTGAGGGCATTCGTCACTGAACATTTAAGGTTGGAGTTCGGACATGGTGCCCAGTGATGGCTCACTCGAAGCTTCAGCTGGAATAGCCAGGTGGTGCTACTCGTTATGATCGTCTTGCGAGACAGCTATTCCAGTACCTAGTATGTTCGGTTGATGGGTCAACTTTTGTAGACAGCCGCAGTGACATCCTTGTGCACAACATGACCGCCGCCCGATCACACGCGCAATTGTCCTGTAGTCGGGCTTTGGCTCAGCGTACCTCGTCATGGCGTACCCAGATGATTAGCGACATGATTTCTGGCCCCATTCGAGAGTTTACTCCACAATCATAGGCAATCGACATTACAAATTCCGCGGATTAGTCGAATTCGTAATGATGCCTCTCACCTTACCCCGACATTTTAGTATGCCGATGCACTGCTGTTTGAGAAGCTTTCCTTGTGCTTCGCGTTGAAATATGCTTCGGCTAATAGTAGCCGAAGCCAACGGAGTTCGAACCCAAATATTGACAGGCTAGTCGAATCGTGGCTCAACTCCACAGCCTTCCCCACAGCGTACGCATGACATCAAAGGTCTCATTGGCTACGGTCCTTCAATGCTTGAGTCTTGACCATTTCGAGCAGGTGCATTGTTTTCCTCGTGTCATCCTCGCTTGGCGCATGCTGATTGATGTTCCTTGGGTTGAAGCGTGCGGAGTACAAAAGCAAGCCTTGGTCGGAAGCACTATTCCAGCTCAGCATCTCGTCAAAATCTTCAAGCAAACATGGCACATCAGGTTGCCGTGTTCGCACTTCTATGCGCATTGTGCAATGCGATCTCCATTCCAGCTCCTTTCGAGATATCGTCGAGGGCTACCTCGGAGTCGTACGCACCATACAAAGTGCAATGCCCTTTCATCAAACCCCAAGTCAGATCAGCCAACTCACTCGGTCCCAGAGAGTCTGCGTATGTTGCTCAGCGACAAACCCTCGCGGATCAAAACCTTAAGTCTTGGTTGGACAAGGCGTTGTCGGGCTCGACCGCGACTGGGGGATGCAAGCTTCCACGAGTTGCACTGGCATTGAGTGGTGGCGGACCCAAAGCTGGTTTGACCACTGCTGGTGTTGTGCAGGCTTTTGATTCACGAGACACCAGCAATGGAGTCGGCGGTTTACTACAGGGCATGACTTACGTATCTGCGTTGTCTGGAGGCTCGCTTACGCTGTCTGGAATGATGGTCAACAATTTTGCCAGGATCTCCGATCTCAAGACGAAACTTTACAACATCAATTACCAGAACCCGTATCAGCTTCCCATTGTAAACGCTGATCAGATTGTAAGTCAAAAATGATGAACGGCGGTTGGTCTTGTGTTTGACTTGAGATCTAGAAAGCGGATATGAATTCTAAATTCAACGCTGGTTTCCGGGCGACCACCGTCGATGCATACGGACGCGCGATTTCTTACGATTTCATTGGCGGTACACAGGGCGGCAATGCACTCACCTGGTCGAATGTTACGACGCTGAGCGCGTTCAAGTCGCACGAAATTCCGTACCCGATCATCACTCTCACCGATACCAATGTCCCACAAGGTGAATGCTTTCCCAGTCCCACCAATCCTATCTGGGAAGTTGGGCCCTACGAGTTCGGCTCGTGGGACCAAGATGTGAATGCCTTCTACCCAACGGAGTATCTCGGAACGCCGGCGCCGACTAGATGGTTTTTCTGGCAGAAGTCCAGCTGCATCAACGGATTCGACAATGCAGGCCTGATCACCGGCATCAGTTCAGATACCTTCGTCAGTGGCAACACTTGTGCAAGGAATGGAACCGTCAAGCCTCTGGCCGGACTCGGACAGGTTGTGAATGATGTCTTTGGAGGTCCGAACCTCGAATCCAGTCCGTATGGCATCGTTCCCAACCCTTTCTATCACAGTAAACGCGCGGGTAAAGTCAATGAGCGTCAGGACTTGTACATGCAGGATGGCGGATACACAGGCCAGGGCATCCCCATCTTCCCCTTCATTCAGCCAGAGCGGCAAGTCGATGTGATCTTCGGTAAGATATCGCTCTTGCTGCAACGACAAGCCACACCGCTAACATCAATCTCCAGTCATCGATGCCACCTCCTCTGCTCCTACGAACGTAACAAACGGGGCCTCGATATACCGCACCTATGTCTCTGCCAATTCGACTGGCCTTACAGCCATGCCTGTGATCCCAACTCCAGAAGTATTTGCCGCGCAAAATCTGTCGTCGCGGGCACAATTCTTTGGCTGTCATGACAAGAAGGTTTCGACGTTGATCTATGTACCAAACACCTACGAGTCTGGGATTTCCAGCAGCTCATACTTCTTCACGCCCGAACAACTGGAGTACACCTTTCAAGGAGGTGTGTCGATGGCGACACAGGCCAACAACACGGAATGGCCGGCCTGTGTAGCATGTGCTGTGCTGCATAAGACCTCGAACAATCTTCCGGCAGTCTGCAACGGGTGTCTGGATAAGTACTGTTGGACTGGCTGATCGCCTGGTGGCCATCCTATATCTATGAGAACTCAGTAATACCAAAATTTATTTCAAGTTACATTCATACCTAGGTATGATGACTAGATACACCGATGTCCAAGACCACGAATAGCGCGCACAAGCATAACGCTGCAGCTTCTGCCTGGTGGAGACCGAGATGATCATCATCAGTAGATGGCCCTCCAAATTCAGACGCGCCAAGGTCGGGCTAGAAGCGGTTGAGTCGTTGTGCTCGGAGTATCATCTGCTCAAGCACGAGCGTGAGCCCGGTACCAACAGTGCACAAGGCAGGCGTCACTTCTCGACATATCGAATAATGAAGATCGACAGCATCGCCGACATGGAGTGTATAAGTGCCTCGCGGATCATAATGTTTCGTCTCCTGTTCTACATGGAGTCCAAGTGGATGTGCTTGCATTCCAGCATTGTATAATCTCCACAGCATGCATTGAACATGTTGACAATCTTGGAATCGAACGTTTCTCATCCGGCTGCTATGAACAATACAATTGGGTACCGCCGCGCCGGCAGATCTGTTGAAATTGAGGAAGATTGATCAATGCACTGGTGGCCGCGTAACGGATTCCACGTCCGCATCACGTGTTTGCGCGATGCAGGCCACAAATCCCGCGTCATGGCGGACCACGAACCCTAGCTCAGTCAACGGCCCCTGAAACGAGAGCGGCGCGTTCCTTCCAACTACATTTTTAGGTTCTTCGATCGTTCCTTAAAACTGACCTTCTCCGCTGCGTGGTGTTTCCGTTTCATCATACTTGCCTACTGAGCAATTCCTGAATCACCTATTTGGCGTCTTGCACTCAGCATACGCTTCCTTTCTTTTGAACAAACAATCGACGCTCCTTAAAACTGCTTTGAATATCTACGGCATCTCGTCCTACATCCTACCTTTTTCTTACCCGACAAACATGCGTGCTTCTCTGGCACTTGCAGGCTTCGTCCTGGCGGCGACCGCACCGCTTGTTGCCGGCAAGGGCACCCTAGGCTTCGCACTCGGCACCAAGAAGCCCGACGGCTCGTGCAAATACCAGGCTGATTACGAGGCCGACTTCGACGCCATCGCTTCTGCCTCCGGCTCCAAGCTCGTCCGCGGATACTCTGCCGACGATTGCAACTGTGCTCAGCAGATTCTTCCGGCTGCCAAATCGAAGGGTTTCCAGGTGGTCCTCGGTGTATGGCCGGATGTGGAAGAGAGCTTGATCAAAGACACGAATGCCTTGACCAAGTACGTGCCACAATATAAGGAGCAGGTTTACGGCATTACGGTGGGCTCGGAGACTATGTACCGCGGCAACTTCACTGGCCAACAGCTCCTCGACAAGATCAATTTCGTCAAGACCAAGCCCGAGCTTGGCTACCTGAACAAAACTATTGGGACAGCGGATTCTTGGAACAAGTTTGCCGATGGAACTGGTGATGATCTGGTCAGAGGGGGCGTGACCTTCATTCTCGCCAATGCCTTTGCGTACTGGCAAGGCAAAGCCGCTGGCAAGGATGCTATCTACACATACTTTGATGACATCCAGCAAGCACTAGCTCACGTCCAGAAAATCTCGGGTAGCTTGGACAAAATCGAATTCTGGAACGGAGAGAGTGGCTGGCCCGCTGACGGTGGGTCTGACTTTGGCGCTGCCAAGGCAGGCACCTCCAACGCCGCGTCATACTACAGCGAGGCGGTCTGCGGTCTCTTGGACTGGGGCGTCAACGCTTTCTACTTCGAGGCTTTTGACGAGTAAGTACCAACCGCGTTGATGAATGTAGGGTCGACAGCTGACAGTAATCACAGGCCGTGGAAGCCAGTATCCAAGGGTGACAATGGCTTAGTGGCAGACGAGACTCACTGGGGTGCCATGAACGCCGACCGCTCGGCTAAGTTCAACCTCCAGTGCTAAGCTTGCGACTTGACACAAGTGCTTTATTTCTTGGCATCATGCAATGATAGTCATCATGACAATCCTAAATTGGCGTTGGCGTGTAGAACACGCGGTTTGATATTTAATAAGAAATCAAATGTAGCCGAAAGTCTTTGATAGATTTCGCGCTCAAGGCTCGACCACGGAATGCATGCAAAATTTCATCCCGTCCTCGTACGATGTGCAATGCGCCCAACTCCAGAACTCCTGTAAAAGTTTGCCATCAATCGTCGAACCCTTCGAAATCAGCGTTTTCCCCCTCGTCTACTTGGTTGGGTCTGTCTTGCATGTTCACATCTTTCCCATCATCATCTGTCTTCTCAGGAACCTTCTCGTTCTTCCAGTCTTCCAGTCGCTCGTCTTCAAGGGTTTCTTTGACCCTTTTTCGAACACTTGTCGTTAGCGTCTCTTTGGCCAAATCTCGAAGTGGTGCGATGAAAGTCTCCACTAGCGCCGTTCGTGAAGTATCTTCCTTGTCCAGTTCATCCACCCACGTATCCAATACATGCAGCCGCAGTCCAACTGGAACTTTGGGATCGCGAGAGTTCAATGGCCCTCCATCATCTCGAAGAATGGCCAGGTAATCATCGTTGAGCTTCCACTTCTGCCCGCGAGTGCTCAGGCACAACTCAAATCCTTTCCGGACGTAGCATCGGATGAGATACAGGTATTTGTCCAGACGCAGACTGTCGATGGCATTCCATTCCCTACTCATGATCTTCCAGAAGCCCTCAATGAAGTTCAATGTGTTCTCACGTGTTGTGAGCACATCCACAAGACCGGCCAGATTGCGCGCGAGCCGCTGCTGATTCAGCGGCTTGTCGGACATGAACATGCAATAAAACAGACCCTTCCATAGTTTCAGACAGTCGAGAGGAGTGAACGCCGTGCTGCGACCCAAGTACAGTCGAAGTCTTTCGAGCGCCTGATCGCGAGTTTGCCGATCTGTAAATTTTTCACTCCAGGTCAGCTGTGTCACATGCGCCAAAGGCCAGCTGCGCAGGCGCAATACGTACTGCTAGAAGCTAATTGCTTGTTGAACGTTTGCGTCGAGGACGCTTTGTTTGCGGCGACAGCAGGCATTTTTAGAGGCGCGTGTTCTGCCTTCTGGTGCTCGTGTGTTCTGAAACTTGCGAGGCTGTGAAGATGAAATTTAGTGCAGCCGGACTTAAGAGAGCTAGGATTCATTAAGGCCGGTATCTTTAGCTCCCGCAATGCAAACAACAGCACTCGCAACCAGCACGAAAGCCACTGGCTGAATGGCTTCAACAACGCTCATTCACATGTCATCACCGCCTGCCTCAATGTACGTAGATTCTTCTCTATTACCGCCTGTTTAGATCTGCCCCCCTTGTTCGCTTAATTAAATTAATTTCGGTGCGTAAGAGAGGCCCCTTGAGCCACAGTCAATTACACTATAGCAGAGTTGTTGGAGTTGTTAGAAAACACTTGGTTAGTTGTTGATAGTCCTATTACTTGGGTATTAATATGTAAGAAAATCCTGAGCGTAGAGCCCGAACTGTTATTACAACAGAAGTCCTCGAAAACTACTACTACTATTTCTCTCTATATTAGCATCTTCACTTACTAGAAAGGTAGTAATTTTGACTTAGACCTATTATACTCTCTAATACCGTCTTAAATTAGTACTAGATCTCAAGAAATCCTTAGATATAAACGCTTCTAATCAATTTATAAGCCTACCTAGGTACATATCTTGAGTAGATTGGCAGTCAAGCTAATCTCAACCTGCTTAGTCATCGACGCTAGTGTACACGCTAAAACTTTACTTCCCTTCACTTTTAGTTAAATCAACACTGCTTTTAAAGACAACATAAGGCCTCCAACACTTGTAGTTTAAGCTATTTAGGTGCTTTGAAGTCGCATCTATCTAGATGTAGATCGACGAAGCACGGATGAATTGCAAAATGCCAAGCTATATCCAATCAACAAGACTTACTCACTCCGTGTACTTGGAGGATATCGATTGCATCCTTTGCCATCGTTCTTTCAACGGAGTATGTCCTAATCAAGATTTGGACCTTGGCTTGTCTAATTAATACGGGAATAGGTTGAACAATTCCTCATCCGATGGAAACATGTCACTCTGGCATCACCACGATCAGCTGTAGTATCATGGCATCCAATCTCGGAATTGTCAAGATGCTTGCAGTTGGTCCAAACCTATGTCGAAGAACAAGGAGTTGGCGAGGGCAAAGCGTCTGGTCTTCAGCTGCCTCTGCTGCCGACTAGTAGGAAGAGAAAGACCCCAGACCACGAGCACGAGCACGAGCACGAGCACGAGATAGAACGATCACAAGTCAACATTCGGGGAGCATCTGGCCTGCTTTCCCCATTGCCTTCACATGTCGGCTCTGTGTCTCCGAAGATGCTTTCTCCAGAATTTGACGTACTCGTGTATAATGGTTTCTTAAAACGCAAATGCGGCCGCATCTTCGCTTTGCATTTGCGACGATTCAGCGACAGTTTTACTGAGATTGATGCGACAACTTTGCCAAATGCCGACATGACCCGAGCCGCGAGGCTAACACCATTGGTGTCGACTGCACGAGCTATCCGGTTAGGATTTCTCGAGAAGCTACGACGAGTGAACGGGCTGTATCTCGAGAACAAGGTCAATAGCACCACGCCACCGCTGCACTTTCGATTTATCAAAGAATACGTCTTTTTGGATGACGAGCTCCAGACCTCAAACGATGCGTTTGTAGGTTGCCAGCAATGTCGACCGAACATGGGCCAGAATATTGGCTGCGAATATACTCAGAAGTGCGATTGTCTCGAATACGCTAATGTTGATGAAGAAAAGCTGAAGAGCACCAACCTCGTCATGTACAATAAATACATCGAAGACCTTAAGACTAGCGGCCAAGTCGACACTCTCGGTCTGCCGAAGCGCTTTCCTTACACGAAGCCGAACCTTGACAATCCCAACGTTCCCCAGAAGTTGCTCGCGTACTACCGCGAATCACGATATCCGATCTACGAATGCAATCACAAGTGCAGGTGCGGCCCTCGGTGCAAAAGTCGCCTTGTACAGAAGGGCCGCAAAGTACCGCTCACAATTTTCAAGACGGACAACAAGCGTGGGTGGGGCGTGTATTGCAACGAAGACCTCGTTCAAGGCCAATTCATCGATACCTACCTCGGAGAAGTAATCACAAGCCAAGAGGCTGATCGTCGAGAAGCCGACAGCGGCTCAGAGAAGAACAGCTACCTCTATGCCCTTGACAAATTCGTGGGTGAAGGTGGGATCACTGAAGAGAATTGCTTAGTAATCGATGGGCAATACATGGGGGGACCGACTCGTTTCATCAATCACAGTTGTGAGCCAAATTGTCGACAGTACACGGTGTCGTACAACAAGTATGACAACAGACTCTACAACTTAGCCTTCTTTGCGTACGAGAACATTCCTGCAGGCGTCGAATTGACGTTCGACTACATGGACTTGGACGAGGTCGAAGAGGATGAAGCAATTCGACTTCGTGAGGCAGCGATGAAAGATCCTCGCAACGCTGGCAGGGTTCCGTGCAATTGTGGAACGGTCAAATGCAGGGGGTTTCTATGGGATCAATCGCGAGACGAGGCGTAGTGATGTCGTGAACGAGGTTGGATGACTGTATGGCGCTATGTACCGAGCACGGTGCTTTCTGGATGCGCATTATTGATTTGGATGATACCCCCCTTGCACTGTTGTGATGAACTGCGGAGTCGTCGACACTTGATCATGCATTTACAATCTTATCGATGGGGCCGGAGTTTATGCAGCATTTTCTGTTTTCACGGTTGCGGGCGACGAGCTATGGACAGCCAGAAGACTTCTGAGCTCAATACTCGCCGTCGCAGTTTGCTTGCCGAGTCTCCAATGGCCGAGATCAACGTTGTATGATTAGTCATAAGATTTTTCAAAGAGGGGCCTTCGATGCGAAGTTTCCATGTCCATCGAGTGTGACATATTGCGGAATGTAATAAATCAAATGATGTTGTTATAGACGAGAACAGAGTGTATGTTATTGTGAATTCTCAAGCAAAGGAAGAGATGAAGTGCGATGCCGAAAGTCTGTCTGCGCCCTGATCCTTCTGCGCAACGTTCTCGATGCAGGTCTTCCGCTGGTCTCCGCCCAATGATTGCCAATGACTGGCACCAATGAAAGCCACCCCGAATCGAGTCCGAAGCCATTGAATTGTGCATCACCATCTTCCGTCTCGCTTGTTTTTGATTAAGCACGAGCTGCATTCATCAAGACCAGACTCAACACCCCATCTACCAGCAAAACTCAAATTGAACACGCCATGAGTACCTTCGGAGGGCCCGGTGGCCGTCAAATCATCTCCAAGCCAATCCCGCCTCAGCGTGGCTCTTTTCCCTTGGACCATGAAGCCGAATGTCAGCCGATCATGAAAGATTACTTGAAATGCTTGCGGCAGTACAAAGGCATGAACGACGATGTCTGCCGGCAACTGAGCAAAAGCTACTTGCAATGCAGAATGGAAAGGTAGGCGCTTGGAATTACAGAGGCGATCACCGCACATTCGGACAAGGGACTAATCGATGATTTGCACTGTACAGAAACCTTATGGCACCAGACTCGATGCGGAATCTCGGCTTTCAGGAAGATGAGGCTCAGGGTGGCAAGCAAGCGCAAGGCAACGCTGGACAAAATGCGAGCACGGCAGACAAGACCAAGAAGTGAAGATCAGATCTTCTGAGCAGATGTGTTGGTCAACAGGTTGTCCGACGTCTTTGACACACATCGGTGTTGCAATTCGGATGGTACTTCAATGAAAGCGATGCCCATACAACGCGGCCGTGCAGCTCTAGAGATTTGCGTCATCTCACCGTGCGCCGCGCACAAAGGCTGCATTTCGCCGCCGTAACCTCATGAAAAGGGATTGAGATGACCAGACAGCCCAGGGCTACAAGCTGCGTTGGCCACGAATCGCATGACCCACCGATCGGGTCGCCCGCCTGGAACGAAGTGTCGGAACATGACTGCGAGAGATGTGGAGGACGGGCAAGGGGCACAGATGTTCACGCGTCAGCATGACCAGTTTCTGAGAGCGCGGCGAGGTGGCTCGAGATTTACGAAAAATACAATTATGGCGAGGAATCGGCAAGCAATATTCGTTGGCAAACCTTCAATAGACCACTCGAGCTGCCGGGTTGTCGACATCGCACATAGCAACTGGACGGGAGAAGCCCATGCGACTCCGGCATCGTACCGGAAAACGCCATCAACCAGGTCTCGGCGTGAGAAGGAACAAGAGTCACATATAAGAGGAGTGAAGATTGATTCAGGAAATGCCCATGACATCTTAACAACAACATCCATTATTGCACCTGCAGCCTGCACGGCAGCCGTTCAGGACACATCTCAAAGCAAAAAGCACAAGAAAAGTCAAACGCGATTGGGACAACACAGCCCAACGGGTAGATGAAAGATCAAACAGAATTGCAAACTATGTGACGCAGTGCCTTCCCAGTCAAACCGTAACTCCGAGGGTCACTCAAGTGCCCTAGCCACAGTCCGCCCCTTTACCACCAGAAAATGCAAACAGAATAATGCAGAGAACAAAGTACCCATAGCAAACAAACAAATGATCAAGCAACGGTTCGCATAGCTGACCCGTGTAAATGTCATAGAAAAGGTGTCGAAACGGCGATAGACAGCCATAGTCTCGAAGGCATCGTGAAGATGGTTCATGGTGATTTTGCGACGCTGATATGGTCCAAGTCTAGATTCTGGTGGACCCCGAGATTGGGGAGTCGTGGCACCAGACGAAACCATGTGGTGGTTCACGACCGTGTTGTGGAGGGTGCGAGTGGTCGAAGAAGTATGGCGAATCCGTAGTGGAAGTGCGACCCTATTGCAGATCCATGTCGTATTCATCTTCTTCCTTGAGGTCATTGGACGGTGACCAGAATTGGGCGCCATTGTTGGCCATGCCATTACCGAGACCATTACCCACGGTTTGGAAGCCAGGGCTGATAGGCGGAAGGGTGCCGAGTCCGTCTCCGTTGCCGATGCTGTCTCCGGCGACATTGGTGAAGCCGGGCACTCGAAGCCCAGAGCCAGACGCGCGAGAATATCCGGTGAAGCCGCCTTGTGATGCGTGCTTGTTGAGAACTTCGCAGATCTCTGATCGCATACGGTTCTCTTCCTCTGTGACTTGGAAGGGCCACTCTTTGCCGACCGACTGTAGTATTTGCTTGAGCTGCTCCTCTTGGGTCAACTTCTGGTGCATGTACCACATCATGTCGCGAGTCCATGCGACCGATCCGTTTAGGATGTCACCCTTGTTGGGTCCTTTGTCTTTGTCATCCATGGGGAAGCCCTGAGTAATACCAGTGGCACGTCGCGCCGAGGGTCCGGCGAGCAAAGAGGAGGCTGGGTTCGGTGGCGACATGCCGGCGTTGTTTGTGATCGAGGGTGAGAGGGGTGCGTTCGTCTGAAGATGCTTGCGCACTTTCTCATCTTCCAGTCTGTGTTGTGGTACCAAAGTTCCAAGATCATGGATGCGTTCATTGATGTTGTCACGTCGGCGGCGCTCAACCATGTTGTGAGACTCTCGCCGTCTCCGTCGCTTGGCCTCCTGGACAGTTGATGGACCAGTTCCAGGCTCCATCTTAGTCGGTAAGGATGTTCCACTTTTATGGTAGCCATTGTTGTTCTTCAAGACTTCTGAGATCTGAAGATGGTAGGAGTGAGGGCCGTTAGGCGGCGATGACATGGAAGGGGAACCCTCCCAGCTGTGGCCACTGGGAGTGCTGTCCCAGTTAGCGTTCCCGACGGAGTTTTGCTGGCGATGAGCGATGGGTTGCATGCCCGGATGAGAGAAATCCTCGGAGACCTTCAGCGTCGGCGTGGCTGGCGAGCGAGTTCCGTTGAGCTGTTGCATGTTCGGCCGGAATCCTGTTTGCTGCGGCAGGCTCTGTGTGCCAGCAAATTGTTGCTCGTGCATGTTGGGCCGGAACTGGTTGTAATTGAAGTCGTGCACAAACGGAGACTGAGTGGGTCCTCCGTCAGGAGTATTGGAGAACAAACTCGGGTTGGCCTGAGTCTGCAAATACCCTGGCATGCCCTGGTTGAAGTCGAAAGTGCCATTGTTTGCTGGCTGGCCCGATTCAAAATGCAAGTCAAGCAATTCGTCGTCCGCAATACCAGCGTTACCGCTGAAGGACGAGTAGTTTTGCGACATGCTGTTCGAAAGGCTCGCCGGGTTGATGTTGTTGTTCATGTGCTGGCCGTTCATGTTCTGACCATTGTTGGTGTTGAACTGAGAGTAAGACGCCGAGTCAAAGAAGTCGTTAGGCTCCGCCTTTATGTATGGTGACGTGGCGCTAGCCATTTTGGAGGCGTCGAGGGTGTCGCAGTCAAATATGAGCTCGATTGGTGAGTCGTGTGGCGCTGGAGTGGGTTCTGGGTCCTCGTAGGGAGGAAAAGTGGTAAGGAAATTGACTAGACAGGCACGAATCAGCGATGACCCTGAAAGCGTTTCGATACAAAGCAAGCACGCAGGCGGGAGGCTTGTGGGAGAACCTTTCTTTGCCCACCGCGAGGTACACGGCCATCAACAAGGATGTTGTTCACTTACGAGCTGCAGGCATCCCACGTCTTGATCTGTGCAAGACCTTGTTTGTACCTGGTAGCTGGCTTCTGTCCTACCCACAGACCGGATCGCAATGACTAGCCTGTAAGAGAAGTCTGTCTGATTGTATGTGTCCGATGCGACGAGTTGAAATGCCCAACGTCGTCTTTTGAAGGTCGCGAGAAGATGGCGTCAGCGATGTGGGGTTCGTGGAGTGTGTGAAAGTCGCACGACAGTAGCGACACTTGTGTCGGGCGAGGGGCGTCGTTCCTCAAAGGTCGCAACAAGGGGATAGATATTGGCGACACAGGTGTATAGGATCTGTGAAGTGTGTCGTCAGTTGACTTGTTCGGTGCTGGCAAGCGACTGGTGAAGGCTCGGGCTCAGGCTTCCATCGGCTTATGCACGAAGCGATCCACACAAGCCGTTTGTGCTACCAACGAGCTGGCTGAGAGCACAAGCTCGCATGCACACGAGAGCATCTCAATAGGAAGAGTATATTGTACCATATGCAATAGCACAGGTTGTGTCGGGTACAGAGGTTCGCCAGTCTTGCAGGTACGCACCAAGTTGACGCCAAATGCAGGGGTGAGAAGCAGGGAAAACTCACCAGCAAATGTGCACTTATGAGCCGCTGCTCGGAAAGAGAGAGCTGCAAATGCAGCCCGAGTGTTGTTTGTGAAAGAGGTCAAGAGACCTTCGAGTTTGAACCTGGAGGATATTCGACCAAGAGGGCGTGGTGTCCTCGACTTGGCTGTTGGCGGCGGTGAGCGGCGACAATCCTCCTGGGCTTAGAGAAACTGGCGGCCCGGATCGAGGAGACGAATCGGTGTCGCTGCCTGCGACTGACCTCACTGGGCGGTAGCGAGGCGGCTTTGGCGGCAGCTGTGAGCCGGCACCGAAGTGGCAGCAGTGAAGTGAAAGGAGATTGAAGTCGTGGAAGGGGAACGCGAGCCAGGATGGTGACGAGGGCAGTGGTATTCTTCTGCTCGGAGCGGGCGGATTGGAGCAGCGTCAGCGTCACTGGTGCGGCGAATTCGCGTGTCCGGCGCAACGGCGTTTGAGTGCGGGTAGGAAAACGCGGGGTAGTGTTGGATGGAAAGCGAAGGGCCGTTTTTTACCCAGACGAGGCAGGTTCGGAAGCTTGCCGATGAGACGCGTCAAATTGTATGGGAAACGGGCTCTCTGGCAATTTAATAATTGGACGAAAAGCAGTCGAGTGCGTTCGAGAAGTTCGGACTATATCAATCAAAGGTGACGGGGACCCGAGACAGTACTGCAAGGTTTCTCTGTCAGCTAGGGAGCGATGTATTATAATCATCATGATCAAGTCGTGCGACGACGACCCCCTTCGCTTCTTACCTCTTGGTCACGGAGATGGTGGTGGAGGAGTCGGGGGCGGTGGTGGTGGTGGTGCGGGTTCCGTCGATATTACTTGAACGGGAATGGTGTGGTTATATGTATAACTTCCAGAGCGACGGAAAGGGAGGCGCCAAATAAATCCGCAGCGGTGACGACGTATGGACACTTCGCGTGCAGATCTTGGAAAACTGTTGACGGCGACCGACAAGAGTCTAGGCGACTTCTGAGCAGCTTCTCGTCCTTGCTGAAGGCACCGGATGTTTTACTTCGCCCACAAACGTCTGGTGTATGGGTGAGACGGGTTGTTGGTCGAGGGCGATGTGAGTCAGCGGCTTGGCTTTGATCACCTGTGGGCACGGCGGCGGGCCCGGAATGCTTCGAGAAGGTCTCTGGTTGGCTGTCGAGAACACGGAGACTACTGCGAGCAAGACGGAACACTGTCGCGTGGCGTGGCGGTATGATGATCGATGTCGCTGGCTGATGTGTTAACATTAGTTATTCGGTCTCCAATATCCAACATGCGAAATGCCTTGATCACTAACTGTTGATCGTTTCTGCAAAGGCGTACAGTATGGACTTCACCACACTAAGCAGTATAGGTGTCGATGGTCGTTTGTTCGAGAGGATAGCTGCTTGTCAGATCAAGTGCCCGTGATATCAGTTGAAACGGCAAGTGATGGGGCGCTGTGAATGATATAGTCGGCTGCGAATACAATCGATCACTTCCAGTGGAGTTCACTTATCATCTAGTCTCATCAAGCCAGATGCGACCGGCGACCCGACTTTATATATCGCCACGGCAGGCGGCCAACAAGATAGCCATAGTATGTACATCGGGGTGTGCCTGCGCCTGATTGATAATAATGGTGATGTCGATGATGATGATGATGATGAGGCAACACGCGCAACCATCTCCGTTCGCACCACCACCACCACCACCACCATCATCATCATCACCTACACGACCACTACATGTCCATATCCCTCCTCCATCATCAATTAAATTGGCTGCTGCGATCACTAGCGAGATATTCCGTCCAACACGGAGTCCGGCTCGAGTATCTGGACAGCCTCCACCATCCGGTGTGCGATGCATCCGGCGTGCTCCCTTGTTTTACCTGGTTGTGGGCGTGGTGATCCATTGACTCATTCGGCTTTGGTCTTGATGTCAACGGCTACACACAGGTGTACAAAGCAGGCTTGCGGACCGATGGTCGGCCACAAGGGCGCGCACTTGGCTCGGGCACACACTCCAGGGAAACCCCCACGTCTGGACATTTACGAAAGGGTGTTGTGTGACAGCCTTTCCGAACCGGATCGCTCGTCAAACGAAGGCCGATAAGCTCGTCTGTCCTGGTAGGCTTGGTACATGACCATTCACGAGACTCTAGACTACGCGTCAGGTCGGAGCGGCACGATATGGATCTCAAAGCTTCTTAGTCTATATCAGCCACATGAGCGCGTGCGATGTACACCGGGGCACTTTGGCACATCTAGGAAGACGAGCTTCTGGTCGTGAGGCACGCATGAGACTGTAACATGACGGCAGCCTCAAATTTCACCTCGTGCCAGAGTCATAGCGTGATGGGGGTCCAAATGGTATAAATACATCTACACATCAGACTCATCGCCGATCGACTTTCCTCAACTCCTGATGGACGATCTGTTGACTCTTGCCCATGGGCCACTCAACCTCTGGCAAGGTTTCCTTCTCTGCGCGATTCCTCCAAAGTCCATCACACGCCACACACCATGCAAGGGAGATAGTGGCCATGCTCGAGCCCTGACCCTCCTGGGCGTGATTGAGTGGGCGAGTGTCTTGGTATGCACAATGCAGGTGTCTTTCCCTACCTAGGTATGTGTGTGCCTCGACCACACTGAGAACACGCGGGGTTCCACGCGTCGATCAGCCTGTGCGCAATTACTGTTCCGCATCGTGCATGCAGTTGTCCGCGAAGTTGCGAGATCTGCGTACATGTCTCTGCGGATCACATCTGCGGACCCTTCAGATCGACAATGTTGCCCAAAGGAATACCCGCTGTCACAGGTTTATATGCCACTACAGCTGCATTCATCGCGCGCATTGTTGTTTGTCCGATCTGATAAATGGCAAGCAGTTGTCGAGGCGCCGCGTTCGAAGTCGATGTCGCGTCTTTCACCAGCTGGTGACGATGGAATGTGCAGGTGTTATGGCGTCAATGATGCATGTTGTGATCTGTCTGCGAAGCGGACGAACACACTGGGTTCACGGCGTGATGATACATTGGAAACAACCAATGAGAATGCGACGTGGGTCCCACGCAGCCGACTCCATTGCCACTCATGCCTTGATATTGGTCGACACTGATTGAACCAATATTTGTGAAAATGACCCTGCTTGGTACACAGGCGCGCTATAACTTCCTCGTCCAGAGAATTATGAGGGAGGGAGGTCAGAGTAGTACGGTGGGTGTGATCTTCAACCAGGCGCTCACGCATCACGAACCACACTCGCGAGAAAAGGCCTTCCAAATTGATGGAAAGACTTAGGGCAAAAGCCCGTACGGGAGGGCACACTGGGCACGCCCGCACCCTATTGGCGTGGTTTGGCAATAATGTACTCCAGCCGAACTAGTGCCCAGGTGGTCATGTCCACCACCACCGACCTTGGAAAGTCTGTATCGTTATTGTATCAAGCTAGCACCTCGTAGGAAGCTGTGACAACAATCAACGCCGCCGCATAACACTTTGGGACACCACCTTCGATCTGCTGGGGGCCGATACACTTCTTTGGTGTCAGCCTGATACACAGCATCCTCCTCGAACCACTGAATCTATCAACCGGCTACGGATATCGCCGGCTAGTCTATGACCCGGAAGAACACGCGTTTGACCAATAGGCAACAAAATTCCAGCTACAGACGACCAGCTCACGGAACAAGTGAAGAGACGCGCGGGACGTCCTTCTGATCTTTCCGACGACATCACATCGCAAGCCACTTGTTTGGCAGAGTTTCGCGTTATCGATCGTTATCTACGAGTTATTGCGCTGCGCCAACATGGCTTCGTCATCGTTCAGAGACAACATGAATAGCTTAGGCTGGTCACGTCGCGAGCAGCCCTCTCATACCAACACAACAAAGCCACTGCTGGGCGGCCTGTCCAGATGGAACCCTTTCGGCGGCGAGGGAGGTCTGAGCCTGCCCACAACAGAGGGCGAAGGACCAGGCGCGCCCCTTCCAGCACCATCGCGGAGAGAAGAGGAGGAAGGCTGGTTCGCATGTAAGTCTTGAAACATCTCTGTTCACCAAGGAGAGCATGGCGAGGAGGAACTGCCAGTATGCTGCGCACTTGTACCTACGCACGCATATGCATGGCAGCTGCACGTTGAGCGTGGGAGAGCTTGCACGTCTGCAATGCCGTCTGCCAGTCTCGTGCCCACACATAAGACTCGTGCAAGCTGCAAGATGCGTGATTCCGCTTGGTTGCTCGGGCGTGATGGGATTCAAGTTCCTGCGTTTCTGCGCCGGTGCACACTGCATGACACATGTGCGTCCGTTCTAGCATTTACTCTCTGCCGGCGTGCCCGGCCTTGTCGGCGACTGTCAATGGTGTTCTAGGACGACCAGACTAACGTATTACTTGCAGTGAGCCGTTGGGATCGTCTACTCATATTCGGAGGTCTAAATCTCGCGGCCCTTGTTCTTTTCATGATCTGCTTCGCGCTGCTACCAGTCATCGCGTTAGCATCAAGAAAGTTCGCGATTCTGTAAGTATATGCCCCTTTTCCGACCCCGATACACTCGAGCCCCCTTCCTGAATTACGGTCGCGATCGGACTGGCCACACTGGAGCCCACCCATGTGTCTGGCTGCCAAGATCAAGATGAGCGACCGCCCAATCTGGCTACGATGCTGCGTGGTGCAGCTCGCGCATCCCACACAACACATACGAGCTTCCAACATTACGATGCGTATTGAGCTTGATTCATCAATCTTATGCCAATCATGACCACGCGGTATCGACGACTAGCACCCATTCAAGGGCGCCGGGAGGTCCACGGACGGTTATGCAGTGGGAGCGCCCCGCCTGACCACCCACCTTTTTAGCGCGGTTGGGACTCTGGGGTACGTCCAGCTTGTGCGAACGTCCACAAGACCTGCAGCCGTCCGCGCGCCCGCTTCATGGCTGCCAGCCTGGAGGGAAGAGGGAACGTCGGTCTCCTGCATTTTCCTGTCGCTCACCACTGCATAATCCGCTGCTCCTGCGAGGACGATCTCATGCAACTGCACTTTAAGCTACCGTCTGGGTCTGGCCGAAACTATGTGCCCATGTATTGCAGCGTCGTCTTATCAGCACGCAATGCGCCCAGGTTCATAGCTAACTGCTATCCCCGTCCGCATATGAACACTTGTGAGACGAGGCATTTTGTTCGTTGTTCGTCGTCGGCCATGACGATGATCTCGTATCTCCGGCACAAGTCAGCTTCGAGCTTCGCATACGAGAGTGCATTCTTCACCCCTCCACCTCACACATCTTGGTATTCGTCGCCCGGTGAGCTGCGCTAACGATTGATCAGATGGTCGATGGCATCCCTGCTATTCCTGGGCTCGTGGGCAGTCATGATGGGTCCACTATTATATCGTAAGTAATGCCTCTAGCCTCTTCTGTCCAATTTGGTGTGCTTATCGAAGGCGCCTCGCACCCTTTCGGCGAAATCTCCCTTCAACCCTGTTTTGCAGATCTGGGTTGATGGTGATGGTTGCAAGTCTGTTTCCTGCTTCACTTCCGGAACCACCCTTTTGTGTCTCCGATGAACATCAACTACTTTGTCGAGCGCTCACTAATTCGCAATACAGTCCGTCATCTGATATCAGAGGAGCGTTTGCCCTTCACTGCGACATACTTCGGGAGTATCGTGCTTACGCTATATTTCGCCATCGGGGTAAGTCTGTCGTCGTATCGGCTCTCCACCGGAGCTCTCTTGCGTTCAATTCACACTAGCACACATATCGGATCTATGCCACCACCTTTAGAAGGCTTGTGGTCACACCATGGTCGGATTGGAGGCCTTCGATGGTCGCAATATCTGTGGCGGACGTTGTCGTTTGACCTCCACTCCTGCCCCGACCGACTACTCGGAGCGCATATGCATACTTCCCTCACTCATATCCATCCGGGATGTGCATCGCGCCTCCTGCCTCTAGGTACTCTCCAAGCGGAAGCCCCATCCTCGTTTTGTTATCTGCTCAGCATCATTCGTATGCCATGACTCTTGGTGAGAGACCTGCTGACCATATCTCCAGCTGCATAGTTCTATTCTTACCGCCTTGACTGCCATCATACAATTATTGGCTCTGCTGTGGTACCTCGTCAGTTATTTCCCGATGGGCTCATCGGGGCTGCGCTTCGCCGCCCAGTTTGGCGGCAATCGTATTGCAGCTTGGATGACTGGTTGAGAAGGGAACCAGCTCTATCGCGCGATTGTATGCATGTAATGATATGAGTTGCGCGACGCGGTCGTGTAACAACTGTCTCGTATACACAACCCAAAACCTGATTGTATTGTGCCTTTGCGAAATCCTGCTCCCCAGTACCGTTGTTTGACCGGAAGACGTGCATGACAGGATCCAGCGACCTCTGTGCCTCCTGATCGCTCGAGGTGGCGTTCGTCGTTCTGGTCCAGCCCTCCCTCACGGGTCGACGGCCGCGCGCTACCGGAGGAGCAGATCTGGTATTTCGAGACAAGTCAGATTGTGGTCCTGCGCTATCTCTCGGGGTCATGTGGCTCCTCCCGTTCGTGGCGCCTCGTGGGCCCCCAATTATCTGCTGCGGTTCTGTTTCACACTCTTTGTGGCGAACACCTTGGCCCGTGGTGGGACTTCCAAGGTTCCAAGGCTGTCGATTTTTCACGTCCATCGTTGTCGTCTGCCTGTTGACTTCGCTTCCCTTGACCGCTCTTTCGGCATTGTCATCACGACACAAGGCTTTATTCACAAACGAAAGAGTGGTCAGGAAGTATGGTTTTTAATCCTACGATTACTTTGTCCTGTCTGCTTTCAACGCGACGGGCCTGGTGATCACGGGCCTGAAGAGTCGAACCAAAGACGAGCAGCTCATTGTACACACAATCAGACATTGACTCGACGTCGTTGCTGTCGTCCCTACATCCGGGTAATCGTTCATCCCTGTACACCATTCTGAAACTACAATCCGGAGTCAAGCCGGAACAACGTTTACGTATGCAAGTACAGGACGAACAGATTTTGGTTCCACCATACATAGCACAGAATGAGTCATGGTGATGGGCGGGAGCATCTGAATGGGCCGCTGCTCAAGCATCGAACGGATATCATCGATTCCAGGATCGAGAAACATACAGTTGATGTTCGCCTGCTCGTGCAACCAACACATTTGATTCCGACCGGAACCAAATCAGGCTCCCAAGTTCCGCTTCAAGACCGCTGTGGAACGTGCCATGGCCGCTTTCAATGCTTACCCGCTCACCCATTGGCAGGAGAAGGATCGCGACGCGTGGAGGGCAGCCCAAGGAACATGTGAAACGTGTGAAGGAATGACCACTGCCGCCGCGCACTCACGACCATGCAAGGTCGTCATACCGATCACAACGGCGCAGGCTCTGGAGCTGTAGCACCTCCGACTTTTCCATGTCGTCTCACCAGATCCAGCACGTGGCGGAGCCCTATTTCCAAACCGCCTGGGACGTCTCACGTCCGCTTATTCAAGGAGTTCGTGTAGACGTGACACGGCATTGAGTGACACGGTCTAAAGCGAATCGAAGGGCTGCAAGCTCTGTATTGTATATGCATGTCTGTAGTGTATTCTAGCTGTTACTAGTATGGAAGTATAATTGAACTGCGAACATTGAGTGATGAAAGTCGTCGATGTGCATAATCGGGAGCATCGGAAGCGGGCGGAGCCGATGAAGCCATGTCTTTCTGAGATATCTCCGCACCATGCGATACATCCAGCTTGCCCAGGTGAGAACGCTCTGCACAGTCGACATGCGATGAAACCGGAGACTGGGCCACAATTTTCGGAATATTCAAATTGCCGGAGATTCTCCATTCGAAAATCTTGGCTTCGGATCGAGTAGGCCTTGGCAGCGCGTAGCGTATGGCGGGACATTTCCAAGTTTCTGTAATGACAATTGTCCTACTGTGGATCGTGAATGAGCTTGTTCGAATCCGTCACGGTGACGGTGCATTCTCCGAAACCGGATGACATCAACGTGGTCACTTGAACCACCCTTCAATTGATGTTCGTACGGTATCGCGCTTTCCATAATGTCCGCCTGACACAAGCGAAGCCGACGCGGACGACTCGTCCTCTACATGACAACAGGCGAGCGTAAATAGACGGAGCTCCTTTTCTTGTCCTTTCCCTCGTCAAGTCCACCTGGGCATGATGTAATTCTTGCGGGGTGCATACACAGGCGCTGGAGTGGGCAATGCAGCTAGGTTCACAGCGTGCTGGTCGCAGAATTGTCCAGCCGTGGACAGAGTGGGCAAGTGTGCGCCTTGGGCTGAGACCTGACTTTTTGCCTTTCCTGGGATATGCCGCGAATAGGGTGTCCAGGAGGATGCTGCAGAATAAGGTCGGTTTCGCAGTTGGCTCCAAAGAGGGTCACGATATTGCGAGGTCTTCATCTGGCCGTAATGTATGCTCATGTGCGTTCAGACGCCACTGAGCTCGCCATTGGATCTGCCCGCCCGAGGAGAACACTGCTTCCAATATCGTTTGGCGCACCAAGATTCTCGGCGATATTTATAAAAAGAAGTATCACGCATTGCCGAATGGTCCAACAATCTTCAGCCCGCCCGGATCACCAGCATGAGCGATTGCGTATCTGTGCGGATGCCATGATGCCCATGTCACAGGGTTGACAGTGTCCACGGTGTGGACGAGATCACCGGTATCGACGTGATAGATAGCCATGCCTTTGTCGCCATCCTTGGATCCATCCTGGCCAGCGCCAGCCACCAGATAAGCACCATCGAAGCTGAAACTCAAGTCCCTGACTGAGGAAGTATGATGCATCAGTGAATGCTCGCAGAGCCATGTCTCCGTGTCCCACAGAGTGATCATGCTGTCGCTGGCACCAATTGCCACATAATTCCCAAGTGGAGATTGCTGCACAGCGTATGTATCTCGGGTGTGGGCTTTGATTGTGTAGATAGGCTGCATGGAAGGGTAGTCAAAAACCACTACTGGGCCATCGTGCGTAGTCGCAAACAATTGACGGCCAGAGTTAGAGAAGGACATCATGTTGAAGTTGCCGTGCTCCTTCACTGGCGTGCGATCGGTGTCGATCAAATCATATTTCAGAGCGGCGGAAGAAGCAAAATTGCCTCCTGCAGTGTTTGTGATATCGAGCAGCGGCAAATTTGATCTGCGAATATCCACCGCATGCACGACATCGTCTCGACGACCAACTAGCAATTGTGTCCCATCCGGATGCCACGTAAGGAAGAGGCCCTCATCCCCCAATTTATACTCTCCCGCCTTGCCTGTCGTTCCACCTCTTGCTCCTGCTGCGGCACTTCCACTTGCTGCTGCGGCTGCGCTCCCTGGCATGCGAACATCCCAGACCTTCACCATGCCATCGACACCTGTCGATGCAAGCAATCCTTCCACGCATGGGTTGAAGGTTATTCTCTCGACCAGTTTCCCATGAGCTCCTCCCTTTGCGCTATCCCGCAACTCAGTGCTCGCGCGGAGCTCGGGTCGCTCGGGATTCCATACGCGAATGTTCACGCTTGTACTGCCGGCCAAAAGCGCTCCGGTTGGGGACCACGAGATCGAGCGTATGTTAGGCGCAAGTGTAGTGGTCGCGCGGCCGCCGGCAGTTTCGGAGAGAACCTGCGCCTTGGAGTTTTTGAATGCGGTGGGCAACAGATCCTTGCGCAAAGGCCGCGCTCGCATCGGTGGTGCCATGATGGTGGATGGAAGTGGAAGTAACTTGAGGCTCAGACGGAATTTCAAGCTTGGATGTTTTCTGTGATTAAATTTCTAGACCGGCGAGAAATGGGACACAGGGTAAGCAGGACGTATTGGCGTTCTCACGAGGCGGCAGCAATTTCAAGTATGCATGTTGCAAACTCTACAGGTCACATCGTCTGATGAGAAGCAAGAAATTATTTCATCATTCAAGCCATTCATGCAAGTCAGAGCTTGGGTCCACCAAGCTTGGAGCAGCTTATCGACAAGCGAGGGAAGAAATGAGCGTGTTCAGGCGGAATCAGCTGCACGCAATGCAGCTGGTCAAGACAATGACCGCCCCGTGTCTGCGATTACCATCAAATGGATGATGGCAGTGCATCGTGTTGCTATATGCAATATGATGGTGTGATGTTTCTTCCTTTGACGACACATAGTCTGATCTAACACCGCAATACAGGAGGAGGTCATGCGACATGGGGCATATGAACAACGCGGGCGCATTTGCTTTTGCTCCGCCCGCTAGCAGATTCATGGATTTGTCCGGCCGGTCAGTTCTGGTGAGATTCTTTGCGTCAACGCCCGCTCCAGAACCGGTTTCTCGCCCTGGGTTTGTTAATAATGTGCATTGCATGGAAGCAGGTTCTCCGCACATGGCTCTGCATCATTGTCCCCTGCTGCTGAATACTAGATATTGTGCCTCTCGATACATGGCACCCAGACAGGCACATGCAGTCAACGGTGCGATTCACCATACATTATTACATGTAGATCTCACTTGGATTCAGTCGATGGCGCTGTGATGACGCAGATTTAGAACCAAAAAAATCGATGAGACACACGTCCCCAGTTCAGGTTTAAGATTCACCATCGGGAAGCACGCGCTCCGCGTTCAGCTACGCATCCCGGCCCATCACTCATCGCTTCTGCTTGAGATCCAGATTTATTAGATCTGCTGGACGTGCTTCCGACGGAGAATGATACCACTTCACGCAGATCTCTGCTTCTCTTCGGATGCAAAAACGTATGCCAGACCCGCAAGGTACACAGTTGATCCCCGGCACGCCTAGGCGGGAAATTCGGTCGTCGCCCTGCTCGCCGTCTGCCAGGCCGAGCTATTCCCGAAGTAGTTGCATCGGTGTCAATTTAACCGCGTCTCGCCATCATCATCGCTGATCTTTCTCGCGCCTTGATTGACTGGCAAGACTGGCTAACTAAGTCAAAGTCACGACGTGACCATTCGCCACCGCGGGCCTCCGCTCGATCCGTGGACACTTCCGCTGTGGTCGCCGCTAGAATGGAGGATCATGAAGGCGAACGTCGTCCAGATTTAAACACCTTCGACTCTTCCGGCACCAGCTCTGTGGCCGAACACGAGGAATACGTCGACGTCGCAGATCCCGACGGCGACAGCGATAACGAAGGCCTTTCTTCTCGTAATTTCTCCGCCGCAAGCACAGTCGCGGGCGATGCTTATGATGAGGTGACGCCGCTGTCCAACTACTCGAGCTACGCGTGGTCCTCCGCTGCCGGGTCCTCCAACAGTCGATCGGCAGGAGGTCGTCTTTCCAACTCAATGGCATCACCAACAAGTGCATCATATGAGGTACTACCACCATTGTCGACTGGAAATGGAGTGCCAACGCCTCAATCTCGCTCGGCTCGGCCTGGGAACGTACGACAACCGAGCAACGCATATGCGCCGGCTCGCAGACCACACCAGTATTCCATCAATACCGGCACCCGACCGCGGAACTCTTCCTCACATCGCTTGATAAAGCGCAACCCGAATGCAGAATACCGTGCCCAGGAGAAGGCATATGTGCAGAGGATCAGGCAGGACGTTCCCGAGAGCGACTTATACGGAGAGATTCCTACGCCTAGTCTAGACTATGATACTGGGACTGAGTCCGATGAGACTTCGCCCACAGGGACAAATTATGGCGATTACGATCCTCCAGAGGTCGACACACTTCTCTACTATGGAAATGAAGATGTGGAGCCGTCGATCGAGGAAATGAAGGTGCCCGCCAACCGGGAGCGGCTGGAGTGGCACGCTATGCTTGCAAACGTCCTGACCGGCGATGTAGTCAAACAGGAGAAGAAGCGACTGATAGGTGGTCTGGAGCAGCAAGGCGCGGATGCACTGAAGGCGGAGATCTGGACAGGCGTGCGCGCCAAAACCTGCGGACGGACACTGCCCCACCAGAAACGCCTGATCGAGGATGGCAGGGTTGCTGCGACAGCGACTCTGGAAGACATCTGCTCTTTCGCCATCAAGGGTGAGGCTGAGGTTGGAAAGTCGCCACTAGAGCAGGTCCATGAGGTGGTGAAGAAAATCGAAAAGCTTGAAGCATTGTACCCGACTCGTCAGGCCTTAGAGGAGGCGCATCCGAAGGCAAAATCGCCAGCCTATCAAGAGACTTGTGATGCTGTGATATCGTGGTTCAATACCACAGAGCTGCTGAACACCGAACTCATGATTCTGCAGAAGTGGGTGGGCAATCCGGAACTCGATTTCACCAAGCCACGAGAACATCCCGACGGAGAGGAACAGACCCATATTTTCGATGAGAGCTCCTTCATTGATCGTGTGCTCAAGGAGGATGGTCTCAAGTCTTTGCAGGGTAAAGACAGTCTTCTGAATAATCTCAACAGCGCGATTGAGAAAGCCAAGGCGACATTGATAGCTAATGCTGCTCTGTTCGCGGCCAGGCATTTGCCTCCCTACATTGAGGAGCTTCTGATCCTCATCAACTTCCCAAGTCGTCTCATTCAGGAAATTATCCGTCTAAGAGTGGCATATGCAAACAAGATGAGAGACCCAGCTTTCAAATCTGCAGTCACAGCCGGTGCAATGACAGCGGAGCAGATGATCCTACAGTTTCAGATTTTGCTCCGGCTCGCGGTACATATCAAAGGAGTGTATACCAAGACTGCCCAACCAGAGCCCGGATGGGACCTACCACCCTGCATTGACGACAATTTTGACTCCATCATTCTCGATGCACTCAAATTCTACTTCAAACTTGTTGACAGGAAGCTCTCCGCGCACAAGAATACCTTCAAAGAGGCAGAAATTCTGGAACAGGAATGGGAGTTTTCGATGCAGCTTGGTCGACAGCTCGATGGCGGTGATGTAGAGGTTGCGGAACAATTCTCCAGTCTCACATCAAAATCTATGGGTCGTCTCGCCGCCAACTTCGAGCAGGAACTTTCGCGTCCTCCTGATGAGGTCTCGGGCACTGGCGAGGTCGACAAGCGTTATAAAGCACTCCTCGACTCTGTACGTGTGCGTCAGCGAAAGATCTTCCGTTTCAGCCGTATTCTCGCTCAGAAATTCGAGAACGCGACCGAGTACGCAATCAACATCGACGAGGAATCCTTCGAAGATCTACTTCACGATCTCAAGTCTACTGGTCACGTCCTGGTCGATATGCCTGGGGATTCAGACGACGATACAGAACCTGAGACGAATTTCAGGCCCGGCTCAAAGATGTACTTCATCGCAAGTCCATCCCTCAAGGAACGTCCTCGGGCTATACAGAGCATGCTCGGTACCTGCTACCATGCGGAAGACGGGTCTGACGATCCAAGTAACCCCTATCTCCTGGTATTGAAGCCCGAATATCCCATCCACTGGGAAGGCGAGCGTGTGAAGGCCGTCCTGAGCACGTCAAATGCCGAGATGCTCTCCAATCCGAACTCGCTCAAGGTCAGTGTTGGACGCATGCGGTTGGTCGCTGATGGCAGTCAGCAACGCTTGTCCAGCGCCAAAGCGGCTTTCCGAGCGTCGACTCGACAACTGCCGCTAAACACACTGGTGGAGCAGCGTGCCAATTCGCCACGAGTGAACAAGGAACTGGGAAAGATCAGGCAGACGGCCCATCAATTGTCCAAGACCATCATGGATTCCGTCGCGATCGTGCGATCTCAGATCGAAGCTGCGGGAACCAAATGGGTGAGTCAAGAGCTGATCCAGACCTGCTTCGCTTTCGCCACAGAATTCGGACAGCGAAGTGCCATTCACATGGACGTTCAGATGCGCGCCATCAACCAGCATCGATTGACCAAACTTGCGCTTGATTGGGTATCGTTCATTTGCGATGATTGCGTGCCTAGTGACCGGAAAACGTTCCGATGGGCGGTGGTCGCTCTGGAATTTGCTATGATCATGACCAGAGGCCAGAACATCCTCTCCATCTCTGACGAAGAATATGCCAGACTACGACTCAAGGTAGCTGGCTGCATGAGCTTGCTCATCTCACATTTTGACATCATGGGTGCACGCAGTAACCTTGCGGCACAGGCTGAACGGATGAAGTTAGACGCAGTCAATGGGCGGTTGAAGTTTGATATGGCCAAGGTGAAAGACGACGAGGAAAGCGCAAAAATCGTGCGCGCACAGTGGCTGGACGAGCTCGAGAAGATCGATCAACTTCGCAAGGACAAGGAGGCGGAGCGGCAAGCCCTGGGCCGCGTACTGGAGGATTCGAACGAAGCCGATCGTGCCCTCACCTATCTCAGCGCTAGCGCTGGCAATGTCCACTTACGGTGGCAACAAGGTCAATTTGTTGGAGGCGGCACATTCGGTTCTGTTTATGTTGCGGTCAACCTTGACAGCAATCACCTCATGGCTGTCAAGGAGATCAGGCTGCAAGACCCGAAAATGATCCCAACTATCATTTCCCAGATCCGCGATGAGATCGGTGTGCTACAAGGACTCGATCATCCTAACATCGTACAATACTACGGCATCGAGCCTCACCGAGACAAGGTCTACATTTTCATGGAGTATTGCTCTCGTGGTTCCCTGGCGTCACTCCTCGAATACGGTCGGATTGAGGACGAAACTGTCATTCAGGTGTACGCCCTGCAGCTCCTGGAAGGTCTTTGCTATCTCCACGAGGCGCACATTGTCCACCGCGACATCAAACCGGAGAACGTTCTTCTCGACCACAACGGTGTCATCAAGTTCGTCGACTTCGGTGCTGCCAAGGTCATCGCGAAGCAGGGCAAAACAGTTATGGCCGACCGCCCGGACGCGAAGGGCGGCAAACAAGGTAGCATGCAGGGCACACCCATGTACATGTCTCCCGAAGCCATTAAGGGCGGTCACCAGCCTCACGCACGTCTTGGTGCTGTAGACATTTGGTCTCTGGGCTGCGTGATTGGTGAGATGGCTACCGGCGCGCGACCATGGGCCAGCTTGGACAACGAGTGGGCCATCATGTACAACATTGCCAATGGCGACAGTCCCACGCTGCCGACCAAGGAGCAACTCAGTGATTCCGGGCTTGATTTCCTTCGGCGCTGCTTTGAGCGGGACCCTGCTCGCCGGGCCAGTGCTGTTGAACTCCTCCAGCATGACTGGATCCAGACCATCAAGGTACAGCTGAGTCTTGAGCCGGGAACTCCTGCGACGCCGGCATCCGAAGTCAGTAGCTTCACAAGCGGGGCGTCCACGTACACACCAGCCAGCTCTGTCAACGGAGATCGTTGATTAGTTTTATTTTGGAACGGGACTGGCATTTATGCGGGCTCCCGGACGCATCTGACAGGCGTATGGCATTCAGGCATTTCGTTTCATCATTCAATATTCTTTGTTCTTCATTGGGTTGGCGGGTGTGGTTTGTGGATAGCGTTTGGGGCAGGCGGGCGCTTCAGGATGTTTATTTTGAGTTTGTGATTCATAGGCTTGGATGTAGATGATGCCTTGCTGTTGGTTTCGATTACAATCCACTTAATCATGCATTCGTCTTCTACCTGATGAGCCACTGGTTCCTACGTGTGTACTGCAGCGAATAACGTGTATCCCCCACTATGCCGCCGAAGTTGAGTCGGACCTTGGCTACCCACCTGCCAGTAGTCATCGTCGCGGCACACACTGAAGCGGGTTTACATCACACGTGCACCAAATTCACACTTCATTATTGAACTCAAGATAACTGTACAGCATTGAATCAAGGGGAAGCTGCAAGTCCGTTTTATATATTAACCTGGAGAAAAGGTATGATCTATCGGGGATAAAAGCGGACTGCAAATGTGTACTCTTGGGGTTCACATGTGCATGTAACCCAAACCCTACCATGACAACCCTATCGCGGACACAGAGAGAACTTCGACCGCTGCTTGAAGTCAGCGTCCATTAAGACTGCCGGGTACACCCATAAGCATGTCACGATCGCGACAAAAATTGGAAATGTGTTCGTGAATGTGACAAATGACCATGTAGTGGGATCGAACTGCGCACTCGCGGGTCTGTTAAGTGTGGCGCATGTGCGCGTGGAGACCAGCATCCGCCCATGTCTCGAGTCGTCATCCTAGATCCAGTGTCTCCACAACGCCACGCCATGCCCTGGCGTCACACCATGCCATGCCGCTTGTCGGTTGGCTCTGTGCCTTCGCTTCAGAGAGGTGCGGCTCAATGGTAGAGGGCGATATTATCTTCGGTGTCTGGGTCTGTGCAATCCTTCGCTAAATAGTTATGATCACAAGTGGAGTCGATAGCTGCCGCAAGGGGAAAGGGATGCGGTATTTGGCTGCCGAAGACCATTAATCGTGACCGACTCCTGTAGCCTTGAAGCATTGCGGCCATCCGATGACGCGAGTTTGAATGCAAGCGAGTTTAGATTCGCAGCGCTCGAGTCAGTCTGTGGGATGCAACGCTTGTCAGACGGATGTTGATAAGACGACAAGACACAGAATGCCGTGAACATGATATCAAATTCGATTCAGGCGCCTAGATGTCGCGGAGCACCCTCAATATTGGACATCGAGGTGGAAGCAGGCGCATGAAACGCGAATGGCAGTGCAAAGACAGCGATCAGCCCGACAAAGAACGTGTCCTCGTCCTTGAAATTGATATATTCCTCCTTATCGCCATTGACCCTGTCATGCTCCACAAGCTCCCTCCCGGCGCGTCAAGCTTCTGTTTGGGCAAGGCTCAAATGCAAAGGTTGCGCCTGTGGGACGATTGGACTGTATGATCCTTTGATCCTAAATGCCTAGTGCCCCGCTCGCCACGACCCACCCTTGGCCTACATGACCGGCCTGCTGTTCACTGCCGTCATGTACCATCGTGGCGGACATTACTCGGGCAATGATTCAAGACTACTTGTCTACCAAGACGGAGCAATGGAAAATATTCATCCGGTGCAACACTTGAAGCTTAGTATGTAGAGCTCTCGGGCTGTGCGTCTGTGTGTAACTGGTAGCTTGGGAATAAAAACAATGTCGAGCTGGCTCTCATATGCAAGGTCATACCTTGTCTGTTCACCTTGAATTCCAATTAATACTATTTGAAAATTTGGACGATCGAAATGACCGAAGCTGAAATACAGATTCCAAAGAAGGGCAAGGCTGCTGTCGTCGTCAATGAGGGACCCGATTTTCACGTCGAAGTCCAAGAAGTAGATGTGCCTGAGCCAGGTGAGTTGGCCACTCCTTGTGACGAGTCACCATTGAGCACATCCATTGACGAAAAATTGCAGCCGATGATCAACTCCTTCTGAAGCTGAATTGCACTGGCCTCTGCATGTCCGATGTCCATTTCATGATGCATGACTGGGCTCCACCACCCATGTCAGTATTTGGTACCAGGTGCGCGGGTCATGAAGTGAGTGTGCTCGATGCCGTCCCGTCATCTGGGCAACCATACTGACAAATTTTAGGGTGCCGGAGTCGTTGTCAAGGTAGGAAGCGCAGTCAAAGGCTGGAAGGTTGGCGATCGAGGTAAGTCGACCTCCCGAGCACATTATGGAAGAGCATACAATTGATGCTTGATTAATAGCTGGCGTGAAGCCGCTTTGGGACGTCTGCCGCAACTGCGAGGAATGCTGGACCGGTCGCGAGAACTACTGCCAGAAGGGAGTCTACACAGGCCTCATGGTGGAGGGAACCTACCGAGAATACATCGTTTCTCCTGCCAATTACACCAGCAGAATTCCTGATGGGGTGCCTGATGAGGTTGCTGGGCCGATCATGTGCTCCGCAAGCACGATGCATCGCGCACTCGTCGATTCAAATTTGAAAGCCGGGAGCTGGGTTTGCTTTCCCGGCGGTGGAGGTGGTGTTGGACTACAGGGCGTCCAACTCGCCAAGTATGAGGAAATGCCATGCACAAATACGATACAGGGGCTGACAAATTTCGCAGGGCTATGGGAATGCGACCCATCGTCATCGACAGTGGCGAGCAGAAGAAGAAGCTCTGCCTCGAGCTTGGCGCCGATGAATTTATCGACTTTAAAGAACACTCCGACGTCGCCGCCAGAGTCAAGGAGGTCGCAGGCGGCGTAGGCGCCCATGGTGTCCTCGTGACCGCTTATCAAGCATACAAAGGTAAGCAAGAGCCGTCACCTGGTCGGCTCGCTGCGGAGCGACTGACAAATGATGGGCAGACTCAATTTCGTACGTGGGAGATCGGATAGGCGCAAAGATCATGTGCATCGCGCTACCACCAGCAGACACGATCACTCTTGGGACGGACCCGAACATCTTCGCTTTCAAGAACCTTACCATCACCGGTACTCTCGTAGGCACGATGCAGGATACGGCGCAAGCGCTGGAGTATGCGCGCCGCGGTCAGCTCAAGGGCATCGCAGAAGTGCGAGGGATGTCACGTTTCGACGAGAGCGTGCAGGCGTTGCGCCGTGGCGAAGTCGCTGGCCGAATCGTCATGGACTTTAACAAAGAATAGTCTGCATCGGACAGACCTGGCAGGAATTTCTGGACTGCTGTCGGCTGCTCAGAGCGCAGAGATGGCTTGCTGAAAGTTTGTATGGATCGTTAATGTACATGATCCCAACTGCGAAGTAGGTAGTCTCCTTCGTATGCCCGGAAAATACTTGATCGGAACGCGATAATGTGATATGTTTCTGAATAGCGCCACGGACGCAATCATGCAAGCTGAGAGCATCGGTGGTTAGCAGATGAGTCCAGATGGGATGGTATGTATGATTGTGTTTCAAAGCCTAACCCAGATCAATGTGGATATTTCTTCACCTGTGGTGATGGTCGGGATGTCAGGATGCAACGTCGACATCTCGACACATCCCCGGAAATCATATAGAGTAATACAATAACAGTGATAATGCGAGGCGGTGGTATGCTCGAGAGAGATGGCCAACCAGTGGACGGGTCGTTACAGTATTATTATGGATAGTGATAGGGCCCAGATCTCTTGCAGGTTTCTAATATGAATTAGTAGTAGTATTGGCAGGAAACAGACTAGTACTGGCGGAGTAGTGTAATGAACGGCGGCAAGCAAAGCGCTGAGCACACACCACCACCGCCCATGCATTACTACACACCTGCAGCGACGCAGCACATACAACCACCGCCAGCAACCGTCGCCGTCACCGCCGCCATCCTCTCCTCCAGACATATAGATTTGACCGCGACGGAGACCAATCGTCGTCGCTTCACATCAACAAACAAACCTTGGAGTATTTACAGACACTGCTGGCTGCCGACACCACACTTCGCGATCGAAAAAACGAGCAAATCTCCCACACGCAAAAAGCACTTCTCCTAGGCTCATCCGTCGCTAGCTAGAGTAGACCTTGTTCGCGTGTCCGCGCTCTGTCTGCTACCTAGGTATTTTACCAGGATTTCACGTGCCGTCACACCCAATCGTCCCTGCAAACCACGATCAACGTCTAGAAGCAAGCGCCGCCCTCTGCCCCGTCCATCACATTTCCGCCATTGCCCACTCCGCGCCGTCCACGCTCCTGCCGCTCAGTCATCACCGCGAAACCTCGCCGACAGGGCGACGCGAAACCTCGTGACCGTGAGAGCTTCATTTGCGACTTGGATCGGACCTGTTGCTTTACCTGGTCAAATCGCATACAACGGCGTCGCATCGTCTCTCATTCTCTGACGTCGACTTGACCTTCAACGTCGCGCAGTAGACACTCGAGTTGTAGTCTCAACCGCGCTCTACCGAACTCCTCCTCAATTCCACAACAACCAGCACAGTGGATTCCGAGATCGAGACCGATTCGGCCCGTACGACGCCCTCGCTGCGAGCACACACCCCTCACGGCAAGACAGTTGTCGACGCGCAATTCAGCCTTGATTTGCAGACAACCTCCTCGGAGCGCCAGGGCCGACCGTCCTCTGCTTCGGTAGAATCGCCTCCGCCTTTCTCCGCGCACAACTTCCCGTCTCGCTATTTTCCCGCACCCTCTTCGGCCGACCCTTACAAGACTCTTGTAACCACCCAGGGCGCCTCAACCTCTCTCGCCGCGACCGCGCCATCCGGTCCAGCACCGCCATTTGAGGAGTCCAGCGTAGCGCCCGCTACTTCGAGTGTCCTCGCCGAGACCAAAGCAGCGCTCCCAAGAGATACCAAGAGCGGATCGTCGAGTAAGGATCTCGACGACGGCGAGCCTCCACCACCATATACCGAAGGTTCAAGTCCACTTGAGGGCTTCACATACGTCATGGCGGCAGCAGGAGGTGCAGCAAGCATCATCACGCAGGTGCAACAGGGTGGACCAGCGCCGTTGAACACGTCGCTCGCAGGTAAGGAGGAGCTCGACAAAGGCGATATGGTACGAATGTTGAGCAGCTTGCTTTGTCTTTAGGCACCGATGAGAACATCACTCTCGAGCTGCGGTAAGGCACCTGAGATATGCTACTGGTATACTCGCATTTACTGACACTGCAGAACAGAGGTACTCGATTCACAATCTCGCGAGATGAGCTACTCACTCTACCCGAATTTGTTCTGCTATCATTATTTCCCAATGGTCTGCTCCCGGAGAGCCACATGAACCAATACCACGAGGGCGATGTATTTCCCGTTGACGTAAGGAAGCCCCATAAACCCCAAAAGACCCGCGCGATTGTGCAAGCGAAACAGCCACAGATCACGCTACAAAACATCACATCCATGCTCTCCAATTCAAATGCATATTTATCTGACATGATTTATCGCTCACAGTACGATCCGATCTCGCTGCAATACATGTTGGAATTCTTCCGTCATGTTGCCCAGACCATTCCTCAGTCATCAGATGAGGCCGGAGCTGATACGCTCAATACGATGCCGATCGAGCCGATGGCCGGCAATGCGCGCGACATGCTTCAAGATCGCGCTGGGATCATCGTTCTCCGAGAAGATCTTGATTTCTACGCAATTCCGCCCCGAAAGGACATTGAGCAACCGGAGATGATCGAAGTGAAGCGTGCAGCTAGCAGGGCCCTTCTCAAACAAGACGGCATCTTTTCGGGTCTCCGGAAGAGCAATGAGCCAGGCACCACCGAGCAACATCTTATCGAAATGTTGACTGCCGGGTATGATAATTTCCGACTCAAGTGGGCACCTGACGATCGATGAGACCCATGACTGACATGCGATGTAGAGGTTTCGACCACGAAGACACCTGGGGCCACCGCGCTGCTGAGCCCAACAAGGCTGTCATCTGCTCCATCGCCCTTGCGCGGCTGCGTACCGACATTAAGGGTGAGTCGGCGGGCTCCGCCAATGCGGTGGGCATGGCGCAGAAGCTTCTGCTCTTCTGGAGGAAGCCGGCGCGTCGATGCTGGTGGGAGGGTGTCGAGCTTGACAATGTTGAGGGCGTGGAAGGCAAGCTTAAGGTCTGGATCCGAAGGGTGTGGACATTGGAAATGGTACGTGATACTACATGCAACTTTCCAATCCCTTTTCGAAACGAAGCCTCGACTGACTTGGACATTCTAGAGTGTTATTGGTCTCCGCTGAGTGTCCATGAGCGCATGGCGCGATCATGGATGCTTCCGCGTATTATGTTGCGCTGGCACATCTCGTCGCCAAAACACGTGAAACACGTCTGTCTTCATGGATCATATCGGATCTGCAGCTCTCCAAGTCGATCCCGGAATTCAAACATCTCTCCTAAAATTGCTGATACTGGGAACTACCTAAGCTATCTGGACACACTCTGACCTCGCGCCCGGGAATAAATGAGGACTTGGATCGCTAAATGGACCGCTCGGTACATGTCCAATAGATTGCATATTTTTTGTCGTCGCATGGTGTGAGGGGGAGTATGGGTTTGACATCGCTCGATCGGGATCATCAGCCTAGCGTCCGGTGAATGTTTGCCGCCCATTCGTCACGGGTGGATCATCGAGGAGGAGAAGCGAATGGGGCTCGAACTGTTTTCTTTTTCTTTAATATAAGCAGAAAAAAGCTGTACATTTTTTCCTCTACCTGGCTTTGTGAAGCCCCCTTCTTTGTCTCGAATGATAGTACATCCTAGATCAATCGCCACCGAGGTAGAGGATGCACGAAGGAACATCCCGTTGGAAGCAGCATGGACTTCTAGGCTGAGGTCATCGTCGAGAACTACAGCGCGAAGAGTGAAAGAGTTGCACCAGGTTCGCCGTGAAAAATTCATCGAAATGAGTCTATGCAGCCCACGTGGACACCGTGGGCGTTCCAAGTCGTGATGTCGTGTACCAAAGTGTATCATAACAGTCGCCCAACCCAAAGAATCCAACATGTATGTATGTGCCCGATGTTCCGTATATGATTAGTTTGTCGTGATCTCCAAAACGAACGCCAAGCTAAAATGCATCGCGCCGTGCGTACTCTCTTCCATCTCTTGAAATGGCAGTAGATGTTGAACTTTTGAATAGAAAATCAAAAGGGTGTAAATCAGGTCTCCGACGTCGGGTCGTTAGTCTCCCCACAGGATCTTGCTCACGGGAGTGACGGCGCCATCCCCCTTCTCCACCCGACCGTCTTCCAGCTGCCGCACCGGCCGGACCATACCCTTGTTGAAGATGAAAGTCCCAGCGATGCCGAACTTCATGCACGCACAGAACAGCAGCACCGACGTCGGACTTCGGAAGTTGAGCAGGGCCGCGCCGGTGAAACTGCCGGCCTCCATACTCGCGAAGAACAGGATACGGCGGAGCCGTTTGGTGTTGCGTAGCGCGAACAGGTCCTTGTCGCTCATGAGCGCGACCAACGCGCCCGTGATCATCGTCGTGTTGAGCTCCGGCATGTTCACATTCAGGGCCGTGGCGATCTGTCCGCTCATGGCAAAGGCCAGCAGGGCGAGGACGCCGCCGGCGCCGCCGCCGACGTTCGTCCGGTTGGTCCAGTAGCGGACGGCGGTCGCGCCGAGGATCATGAAGGCTTGGATGAATTGGGAGATGGCGAGCCAGATTCTTCGACGTTGGCGGCTGACGCGGCCGATTTGGCCCCAGAATAAGGCTCCGGCGAGGAAGACGGCCATGGAGATGCCGACGTTCTGTTCCGTGCTGGTGATGGATGGGTTGCGGAAGGCGTAGAGGGCGAGGAAGAGGGCGTTCCCGGTTTGTTTGGTAGTGTAGACGTTGTAGGTGGTGAAAGTCATGGCATCGAGTGAACCGGTCACGATTGTCATTAATAGTAGTTGCATCTCGAGATACCTGTCGCCGGCCACCTCTTGTGTGAAGTACGTCTTCCATGCTCGCTTCGATGGGAAGTGAGCTTTGTGTCCTTCCTCTTCGACGATCGTGTTGTCGTCGGAGATCGGATCCTCTTCGAATTCCTACGAATGTCAATGAGCGAGGTACTCGTGTGAGAGACAATGACAGCAGATACGTACCACGTGAGGTTGGTCTCCTCCTAGGTCGTTTAAATCATCGTGTTGAATGATCTCCTGTGACAAGGCTCGATTCAAGGCTCGATTGATCTGTGCTCCGGTCGGTGCTCGTTGGCCTGGTGGCCTTGGGGCATCGAAAGAAAGTGCTGAAGGTCGTGGCTCAATGGCAGGCGTCAAATTTACTACGCCGGCCTCGACGTCGACGTCTCTACTTGGATATGGATGCAGTAACGACGCCCTTCGAGGTATATTTGTGCTGCTCCATGTTCTGATGCGTTCCACCATGGAGTTTGTCCGATGGGTCAAGCCCGGTCGGTCATCAGGTGAAGCCATGGTCGAGACTTGTGCTGGACAAAGGACTCAACGCGCTTCGAGGAATGGACCAAGTCCGAGCAACTGATGTAGAAAGAACATAGCACGCACGAAAAGTTGAGTTGAAGATCCAAAGGAAGACTTCTCCACCGAACATGCAGCATGCAGCATGATGGAGACAAGTACCCTTAATCATGTAGGGTATGATAGTGTATCCGTTAGGCTACTTGTAGCTTTTGCTCGAGCGCCTTCATGCTCTGGGCCCGGGATGTCGATCGTGCAGTGGAGGGAGAGGGAAAAGCGACCGAGTGGTTCCTGGTGTGGCTCCGTTCTAGCTCTTCTCGACCGTTTGATGCGCTCCGGTGGCCTCGAATATCGGGCAATGAGCGAGGCGGCTTTGCGAAATCACCGCAAAACGCGAGATAAGCATTTCGTCGTTGGCCCTGATCGGCTTGTCGTGCATGGGCTTCGGTGGTGCGGTGGTGCTACTACCACCACCACCACCATTTCTGCAGTCCCTCCCCCCGATTCCAACAGATGACGTCTGCCAGCAGGATTCCCGGATCGTTCCCACACCGAAAACAGGCAGCGTGAGATCTGTGTCGGATGTACTTGATTAACCAACTGTATTCACACAACAAGGCAGGCATGTTGTGCATGGTTGTTATTGTCATTGCCATCCTGAATGTATGCTGGGCAATAACCACATGTCGGTCGAAGTGTGTGCGCATTGAATGTACTGTGCCGCCATCACCACCGTGCGCTCACCTGGGCAGGATCCGAAGGATTGCGGTTCGCATCCATTGTACACAAGTACTGCTTATTACCTACTACCTACCTAGGTGCTCCTTATTATGGTTTTAGAATAAAGCACCCATTAATGCCCTGGCCTGAACCGATCATCAATGTCGATCAAGTGCAGACAGACATCCTGTTCATATCAGATCACAACCCTCAAGGAACAATTCGAAGGCGAATACTCTTCGTCTCAAAATCCGGATTGTCCATGACACTGCGCATCTCCTTGACTCATGATGAGCAGAGATGATCCAATTTGTACGCGTGGAAATGCATTGCATTTATCTTCCACCATGGCAGTCATTACATCTGCCAAGCACTGAATCGCGCGAACCTGTACACAGTCCTTTCTCTTATTTAAACTTTTCCCATCGCTTACCGTTTCTGCACTTGGGCGAGAGTGATGAGAGCATCATTTCAACCGTCGGCTGGCGCACAATCACACTTCTCCACTTCTCTCCCGGTGTCCATCTTCGCCCGTTGCTCACTTGTTCCCACGGGCCGACGCCTGAGGTCTCTTCACGCTCACCATGACGTCTCGGACAGAGGAGATCTGCCAGATTCATCCTCCTCAACCAAAATATGCCACAACACCGCTCGTCACATCTACACCTGCAATGCATACATAGCGCATACTCATTGCTGGCATCTCACAATTTCCTGCGACATGATCATGAGTTGCGGGATAAGGGTCCATGCGTGCACCGAACCGCGTTGCGATTCATCCGATACCCCCATCGATCTTGCTACAGTGAAGAATGTGGCCTGGTGATTGTCCTCGGTGTTTCCGTCCACTGCATAGTGTTGTTGCTGTCTAGATATCATTGAATTCTGTCCACTTCCTACTGCAACTTGTCTTGTGCTAGAGGGACAGTATGCAAGCGAAGGATGCACGACATCTCAACACCGAAATACCCAAACCCGCGTACTTTGTCATTTCCCGAGGGATCATCACGCCGGTTGAAATTCGGCCGGGGATTCTCGCTCAGCTGTTCTTGATCCCCGATGAGCCCATACTTTCACCGCGCGCTGAGACAATGTCGCAAGAGCCAGAGATCCAATCAGCTGGCCAGACCCGCCATCGTGAGTGCGTCCGGTCGCCGGTGGCTTTTGCCAGCGTCCACCGCCCAGATGAGCCGCCGCACTGTGGCTGTCGTAAGGCTCTCTGCGTCGGCTCCAATGCCCGCGGGGCTGAGGAGATGTGTGGTGCGCGTTCACGCCAGGTTTAAATAGTGCGCGCGGGCGAGCTGCGGGCTGACGCATGCAATGCAATGCCGCGCATCGCCGAGATATCGACCTCGCGTCGCTACTGCAGCATGAGACCCCGATGGTTTTTTCCGATGTATCCAACTCGTCATCAGGTTCTTGGACACAATATTATTGTATGCGTTGGAAGAGATCCATCATTCACAATTCTGGCCATCCGTGTCACACAACGGTCTGCTGCAGACACCCGGGTCTTCGCGAGGCCGAAGTTCACGTGTAAAGAGTTTGATTTTGGCAGTCCTCAAGTTTGTACTGTGACAAGCTTGGAAAAGTCCGAACCGGGGTCAGTGGGAAACAATACATATACTGATCTACCTAGTAATGGTTGTTGGCTCCCCGGCTCGCATGACCACCTTCATGCAGTAGGTCGCCTGGCTAATAAGGCACACTCATCTTATCAGAGCCTGCCATCAGACTGTTGATTGTCATGATGATTCGATTACGATCATCGCTATCTGTTACCACGACATTGCCCACCACAATCTGCACCTTTCTGATGTTTGCAGTCGCTTCCGTATTGAGCTGTCCCAACCCTAAAAGGATGCTAGCCTTTGCATCCCACAGGCCGGAGCGGGTCATATCGGTCCAGCTGATCACAACCACCTTCAATCTTGCCATTGTCGAGAACAAATTGCACAGATAAGAGACACGCCGTCGCAAGTCCAAGCACAATGACTCAACGGATGAGTTCAATGTTTTGTCTCCGATGATGAACATAACCTCAACCTTGGTGATGTATTCTGCATCGCCGTCCGAGATGCGTGGATGATCGTGATATTGCCATTGACGGAAAGCGCGACCCAGCGTGAACCTCAAATTGGTAGTGCTGTAGAAATGATTCCGGAATTCATGGGCTATTTGAGGATGAATGTCGAGCACGTCTGGTGATGGCGGCCAGTGCGAGATTGATGCGAAACCTACCGACGGTACCGGCCATGTGAATACTCTCTCCTCGATCAGAGAGTCGTAGATCTGATGCCGGATTTCAAGAGGAAGGTTGAATATTGAAACACGAGGTGGCGGCCTTGGCTTCATCTGGTCATTTGGCATTTGTGATCAGGTTGTTCGAACTGATTGTACGAGGCCACGCTGTAGAATTCGCCAATTCCAGTCAATTTGGCAATGTTGGTTCTCATGAGACGACAATGACCCATCATGTCGAGCAAGTGTTGGGTTTACTGAACCACACGCGCGGGCATAATAGTTAAGTCCTTGAGTTGCTTTGTGATATCACTCCATCCGGAGATGCGGTATCATGAGTACGAGCTGGCGAGGGACCTCACGAAGTTCACAGATTTGAAGGCTTCTCAAAGCATTGTTATGATATCTTGAAAAGTCCGCATCGTGATATGACAAGCAGATCGACATGAGCTTGTCCGGGCGGTTGTGAGCGTTGGTGAAAGCACGGACCATGACCGCGTCTCCATCGAGCGCACTTCGTGAAGCGCGTCATGTCGTGCGGGACGTGCAAACTCTGGAAACGGATCTGGAGGGATCGTGAGAGCACTGTCCTCAACTACAGAAACACAGCTATGTCTGTTTGCGAATGCACGACTTGAAGCATTGTTGGCGCCTGTCGGAATCGATCATTCTTACCGTGGAGCATGTCGGAGCAGAATACATCATTGATACCAGCGACAGATAGACGCCAACATGCTACACCCAGTGGAAAATTGTCTCGGAAGCGGGCACGGGAAGAAACAGATGAGATAGAAGTCGACAGACGGCCTTTTTCAATACGCGTACGTGGAAAAGATTGTATACGGAAAAGGTCATCGCTGATCAGACATAGCCGGACGCCGAACATCCTTTTTCCAAGTCACGCACTTTCATACCGCTAGCTTTGCTTCCCAGGTCAAAAATATCCTTTACTTGCCTGGAGACGATTCAAGGCGGGAGCAGTCTATTCGCGGCAGACATTCCCATTCTTGAGTCGAGCGACGAGTACGACGAAGACCTCCGAGTTCTGGTCGTGCATGAAGAGACGGAACGGAGACATTATCTGGTCGAACGTGTTCAAAAACGGAGATATGCACTCTGCCGTCTGGCTTCTTGGTTCCGCGTGGAGGATTTCGTAAAGCTGGAAAAGCCTTGCGACGAGTTGTACGTACAGAGCAAACGTGTTGCGCGGGATGTACCTCAATGTGGCGGAGCATGGTGGGCTAAAGCGTCTGTGTCCGTCGAGCCCCCGGTAGGCTGCGCTGCCTCAGCCAAGCCGCCCAAAGATGCGACAAACGAGGCCAAGACAGTCTGGCAGGCGAACGCCTCTCCTGCCGTTGGAAATTGTGCCGTACCAGACAACCAAGATTCGTTGGAACAGTCAGCTTTCCGAGTCGAAGCAAACCCGGAGGCGGATGAGGAGGCCTCGAAGCTGGATGTAGACCGCACTCAGAACCCGCTGGAGGAATTGACAAGGCAGTATCTCGACGCATTGTACCTTTCAAGAACATCGCTGGCGTATTTCAGCAAAGGTCCAATGGCGCGAGCGAGAGCAGCATTTTCCGGAACCACAGATTCGAGCGGACCTGTCACGGATCTAATAATTTTCTTGCGGGGCGCAATCCTATCATCAGACGTAATGGACAAGAAGTACCGTGAACACATTGCAGACCTGATCAAAGAAGTGTCGCCAGATGGTACTGCTGATGTGAAATCGAAACCGTCGAAGAAGAGGAAATGGAAGGCAAAGCGAGACAAATTAGGATTCTTCACAATTGAAAGGGAAAACGCCGAAAAATGGTGGAAGGTGATCGACGAGCAGATGAGTCCCACTCAAGATCAAGACACACATCTACACAAACACACGTCGCGCTTGCGGAACCGCGAGATGTTTCTCCAGATTATGCTCATCTTAGAGATCCTGGCTCTTGAATCGACTGCATCGTTGGAGAAAGGTTCCGATGATCCGCAGACGAAAGAATATGGGGAGCAAGGTGATGCGAAGCGCAAGAAGAAAAAAGAGACGGACATCGGTGCCGTGCTCGAGTCTCTTCTAGATCGGCTGTGCATTTGGTATTCCCTGGCATCCAGCACGCCATCCAAACCAGAAGCAGGGAGCACTGGAAAGAAGCATGATCCCAGTGACGAGATGCGCGGCTTCTGCACTGAAATCATCATTCCCTTCTACATGTCCAGGATCCCGCAACAAGCGTCCATGGTGAGCAAGCGTCTTGGGGGACCGAGAGGTCCCACAGTACTGGGCCGGAAGTCCTCAGATGGCCCGAACAAGCCGGGAGAGCCTGCGTCTCGCAAGGTGCCTGAGAAGAAGCCTAGAAAGCCTCTGACCAGGGTATCGACTGATACGCTCAACCAGGTCGGCAGGCAAGTGCCGTTGCTGCAGCGATCAGCCACCGATTTAGAGCCTCCGATCAAGCGTGAACGCAGCGAGACCCCTCGATTGATGGCTGATGTCCCACCTGCAAGGTCACGAAAACATGCACCTGGTCCCGTATCGACAAAGCGTGCGAGCTTGCTGCATGAAGTCAGCTTCAGCAAGCGCGAAGTCGATCTCTCTGCTATGTCGCAGGCAAGTGAGGCCAAAGTGCGCAAGAAAGCTGAAGTTGAGCAGAAATTGCGGGATGCCATCAGCACACTCAAGAAGCCCAATAGAGCGTTGGCCATCGAGGAGGTTGCCAAAAGCACCGACGAGAGCTTTGCGAAGGCGATTGCCAAGTCGAGACCGAGCGTTGGTCAGCGCAAGGCATCTGAAAGAACGAACCAAATCATGATCACGGCTACTCCTAGGCATACTAAGTCCTTCTCCTCTCGACGCCAACGTATGCAAGCCGAAGAAAGTTCTTTGGAGCATTCGGAGCCAACGCCTGCTGTGCCATCGTCTTCTGCTCGGCTCAAAGCTGGCATCTTTCAGATACCTGGTAGCACTCCAGCGGTGCCGCAAACAGGTCACCGGTCGAGGACCGTCGTGGATGTCGCTGACACGCCATCCAGAGGCTTTGCTAAATTTATGCCAATGGGACTTGCACGACCACCAGGTACCCTGCTGGAATCGCCAACGGCAATGCGAAGCGCGCCGGTCGACCAAACACCGATACGCTGTCGGAAAATGCCCATGCTGTTGGCGACCCCCGCAGCCAGATACTCACTGTCTCATCGCCGCCCTGACGAGAGCCAGGAAGAAGAAGAAGCAGCTCATGAAGACTCGGCATCAGACGTACCCGCGGAATCAACTTCTCAGTCTAGAGAGCTGCATATGGTTGGACGCGAGCGTGGTTCGAATACGATTTATGATGCGTTGGGTTGGGATGACTCTTACGAAGATCTCTTATGATGTGATTGATCCATTGTCGGATTATGCGGAATGTCGGGCCATGCATTCTACGATGTTGCAAGAAGCTCAATAATTCATGTCAAGTTTCCGTGATGACGGGTTGTGCTTTACTTATATTATTGATTGGTAAAAGGACTGTTGCATGACAAGCATGAAGAAACGAATCAAACTCGGGTTATTGCAGTTATTGTGCTTCTGCTACGCATCCAACGATCCCCCGTGCCCATTCAAGAAAGGCGATGTCGAAGGTTGAGAACGATCCAATGTTGTTAGCATCAATGCCACTGACCTTTGGTAGGTTGCACGAGCCCGTCACTACCTTCACCACTCACTTGCTTTATGCTCCATCACGAGATCTGCACTTCTGACGGCATGGTCAAACCCGTCGCTTCATGCTGATGCACCATTGCTACTGTCTATGCTCTTAGCGATGGATGTTTTGCGGTATCGTTCTATCGTTATTCCTCCTCATCGCCTCGCGAAGACACACGCCCGCTCTGATACGCCGGCTCCTACAGACACAACATCACTCAGCTCAAGCAAGTCGACTGATACACACTTGCCAGATCCATTGGCTCCAATTTCGAGCACATCACGCGACCCGAACGAGCCCAAAGTAAACGTGGCCGAGATGCAGAATGACATGAGCAAGACACCAGCATCTCACAAATCCACCAAAGTTGATCGTGAGCGGCACGAAGATGCATATCACACCGGCCACGGCACGTGCACAAATTGTGCGTCACTCATGACAAGGATCACTCGTCTCGAGAAGCAAAGTGAGGTAGCCACACAGCTATTCGCGCGACTCATCGAGACCTCACGCGAGAAGGATAAATCAACACCGCCGGAGCAGATTGATACATCGGTCGTTGCAACCAACAAAAATGGGCAGTCATCACGTGGCGAAGCGCCACCAACATTCGACGATCTCCAGGAATTCTTCGATTTCATCGAAGCCGAGCAGGCGCAACAGAGACACGCCATCGATCGTTTGCAAGACCGAATGAATATGTTCGTGGAGCCGATCGCGACTCTTCGCCGGGACGTAGACTCCTTGTTTGCGTGGCAACAATCCGTCATTGAGGAAGAAGATCAGAAGAAAAAACAGAAGGAGACTCAAGCGAAGCTAGAGAAGAAGACCAGAGTGGCTTATACTGATGCTTGGAAGGTGGACACGCGGCCGAAATCTCAATAGAAGTTCAAGTCTCGCCGCAGGATGGATTTGGTTGGAGCCCACTGTTGCAAATACTACCCGATCATGATTTCTAGTCTCTCAGTAAAGAAGTGGAATCCTGATACTTTCAATGCTTTGATGAGGTTCACCATCTTGTGTGGGGGAGAACCCTCAAAGTTTCGGGGAGGCAGGCCTGTGATGTGACGATGTTCGCAGGCGGGGCACACTGGACTGTCCCCGCGATATCAAACATCCTTTAAAACAAATTCATGATTGCTAGGTAGTAGAGAGTGTTCCTGCCCGGATCATAGCTTGTCCTCATGTCGCATGGGCGGTTGTGACATCAAAGTGCTACCGACATCTTGAACTGCGCCTGAGGTGCTAGGTCGTGACAATAGTCTAGATCCGGTTGGAGCCGAGCCAACCGAATGGTGATCTCAATATCAACCATGATGGTCAATTCGTCTGGCGAGTTTCGCATTGAGTGTGAACAATGTGGATATCATAGTATTGGCTATCCACAAAGGAAGTATTAACTAAACAGTCGTTAACCCACCTCTCGATCCTATCATGTCAAACATGCGGACAGTACAAATTCGTTCCACACACGCAGGTATCGCAAAGGAGGTATCTCTGACAGCCGCCAACATATTATGACCATGCGCGGCCAAGGTTCAACGACAATTGTGCGTCGGTGACTCATGCAGCCTCGGACGAGAATGTGGCGTCGCGCTTCAACCAAAATGCTTGAGTCCTTCATCGTTGCTTGTCGCGATGGACCATGATCAATCCGACGTATGCCACGACTCGATAGATGGCGCCGATAAGAAAGAGTACCCTATATGAAGAAATAAAGAGTCAGAATGTGCATCTCGTGGCAATGCAATAGCGTAAAGGCCGTGGGGCTTACCCGACATCAAGTGCATATTGTCCGAGCGTAAAGCCGACCGCCTGGCTTGCCGTGTCGATCATATACAGATAACCAAGCGGAGAAAGGTTTTCCGTCCAGTAGCTCTCTGTGAACCAGACTCCAGGCGAGGCGCGCCACAACCATTCCATATGCCAGCCTTTTACTGTTGAGAGCGGTGGCGCAACACCTCCCAGGATGCCGATGATGAGGGATGCCAGGACGGCCAACAGCGGTCCATCTTCACGCTTGACGAACATGCTGACGACGCTGGCCAGACCGTAGATGCACCAGAAGTACATCAGGTTCACAGTGAACATCTTTCCGAAGCTCATGAGAGGCGTGGCAAGCACGCCCATGAAGACGCTGAAATGCAGACTACTCAAACCCAATCGGATGAGCGTGGAAAGGAGCTTTCCAACATAGTACGCAGAGCGCGAGTGACCAGAAGCTGTCTCGCGGTAGTACATCATTTTTTCCTCCCCGAACACCCAAAATCCTGGTGCCGAAGCAGCTAGTCCAATTGCCATGGCACCGAGCAAGCCGACCTGTGGTGTGCTTGCATAGTCGACGGCAGGGCTCAGGATTGAGAAAGAGTTGTGATACATACCTTGGAAGAGCCGACCTTCAGCAGCAAAGGCGGACAGGCCAATGATCAGACCAGCTAGAGCACCGACGCCGATCTCAAAGAAGAAAGACGTTTTGTTTCGGACCTGCTGCGTCATGGCCCGCTTCCAGCAATAGTAGACTTGTGCATACCAGCTGGCTCCCCTGGCCTTCATTGTCGCTTTGAGAGACGTCTCTTGCTCTGCTGTTGAGCTCATGCTGTGATGGCTAATACGACGTTGCTGCTGGGTTTGAGTTGGATCAAGCATGCTTTTGCCTTCCAAGAAATATTGGCCTTTCTCTTTCCACTCTTCAATCAACGTGGGAACATCACTCAGTCCTTTGTTTGCACCAACAACATATTGGGCACCATCGCCGGTGATGACATCGATCAAGGTATCTGCAGGGTTCGCTCGTGGCGGGAACGCAAAACCCAAGCTCTCAAAGTATTGCTGAACCTGGTCGGTGGCGCCACTGTAGACGGATCGACCTTGGGAGAGGAGAAGCAGCTGGTCGAAACCATAGAAGATCTGTTCGCGCGGCTGGTGGATAATAGCAACGGTCGTGACACCCAGGCGACTGATGGCTCGTATTAATCGCATGATACTACCAGCGCTGGTAGCATCGAGACCACTCGTGGGTTCGTCGAGGAAGATGGCCATGGGTGCAGAAGCCAATTCCATTCCGATATTGACACGTTTTCTTTGACCGCCAGACACGACTGGCCGGGTTGCATCTCCAACTCGCGAATGTTGGACATGTGTGAGCTGCAAGCAAGCAATCAGCGCGTCCACGTGGTCTTGAATAGCCTTGTCGCGCCACGTTGACGGAAGCCGACAGCGGGCGGAATGCAAGATGTTTTCTCGGACAGTAAGTTCAGGGAAGACAATGTCATCCTGCGGAACATAACCGATGAGCTTTTTGTACTTGCTCATGTCTTTCGTCCATCCGTTGATCTTGATGGAGCCACCGGTGGCACGAGCCTTGCCCATGAGCACATTGAGAAAGGTGGATTTTCCGGCTCCTGACCCTCCCATAACACCCCAGCAGCTTCCTCGTGGCATGTTGCCAGTGATACCTTGCAAAATCTTCTTACCGCCTTTGGTGGTGAAGGAAAGGTCCTCGAAATCAAAGCTCAGCCCGATTGATGCCGTCTCGACGGTTTTGCTCATCGATCGGATGAAGCGCTGCATATCAGCGGAGTTATGGTAATCATCCTCTACAGGATCATCATCGTAGAGCAGAGTCGATTCGTCAGAGTCGTCTGTAAACCCGTCATGATTATCAACATGTCCGCTGGCTCGACGAGCATGTGTTGGCGTCGGTTTGACCGTGATGACTTCTGGAGCTGTTACCTGTACATTCGGCGACGGGGATCGGCCCATCATTGCAGAGGACTTGAGAAGTTCTATGTGTTCCGCGGCGCCATCTCCACCTTCAAGTGTTGTGTACCGCTTTGGTCGGGCTTTTCTCCACCTGCTGATCCCGAAACCGATAATGACGATCAGTGCCACTATGGCATCGACTGTCACCATGACAGCCAGGGGCACCATCTCTATCTGTCTTGCAGCACCTTCAGCACAAATTGCTCCGTACGCACACGTGAACGGCTGATAGGACCCTTGCGGGCAGAAGGTTCCTGCAGCACATTTGATCTTTTTCTTTCCTCCAGCTGGACAATAAAAGCCCTGATCACAGAGGACAGGCTCTAAGATACCTTGTGGATCGCAGCCCCACTTATGGGCGCGATTTCCTGCACACTTATAGCTTGGGTGACAGTATTGAGGTGGGTGTTCATTTGTGGAGTTTGGACCTGCGAATGTTAGCATCATCGTCGGAAAGTGGGCAGAATACGAGAAAGAGTGGACTTACAGAAGAAGCCGAGGTTGCATGTATCGTTGGCGGCTAGTGCCATGGGCAAAGCACTGTCCGCGTAGCATCCTCTTTGTGTTGAGTTCATAATTCTTGCAACTGCATTGAACTCCATTCCTGTCATGTTTACCTTCGCCAGGTCCGGATTTTCCGCAAGCGCCGTGCTGTACTTAGCCGATGCATACTGCATGTCCGAGCTGCTGTCCTTGCCCCAGTCATGGGTCATAACATCATTGAGCCAAGCTGGAGTCGTCACTGTGGGATCCGCCGCGCCCATGACTGGATTGGCCTTTGGCTTGTCGTCACCTGCCTGTGGCTGGTTTCCGTTTGCCTTTGCCTGATTGGCATTCTGCTGGTTGGCGTTCTGCTGGTTGCTCTTCTGCTGGTTGGCGTTCTGTTGATTGCTATTCTGCTGGTTGGCGTTCTGTTGATTGCTGTTCTGCTGGTTGGAGTTCTGTTGATTGCTGTTCTGCTGGTTGGCGTTCTGTTGATTGCTATTCGCCTTCGGTTGGTCGCCGTCTGCTTTTGGCTGGTCCTCACTTGGCTGGTCATCTCCATCTACCAGTGCAGCCCTTGGACTCAGCTGATGCTGATCTAATGCATTGGTGAGAGCACTTGCGGTCGATCTGGGTCTGCTGCCGCCCGCGCCCTGTGCGGGTGTCGCCTTCCGGGAAATGTCAACAGCAAAGTCGTACAGATCGGCATCGAGCGCAATCGAGTCGATGCCTGTCCTAGGTCTTGTCTCGGCTTCGTCAAGACCCATGGCATCCAGGACTGCCATATTGAGGTAGGAATCGGCGAGTTCTGATAGAAGTTGACTGAGTTCGAGCACTACTTGTTGCGTACGAGACAGAGCTCAGCTTCCGGTTGTTGTGCAAATAGTGCTGTAGATTTACAAGTAGGTATGCAACAGCGCCATCGAGCAATGAAAGACAGAAACAGAAGGATGCTATGAAGAAGGAAAAAACAATACTTAGACGGGAGATGAACGAGGAATATTACTCGTGAAAAATATGTTTACAGCAGTCCTACGCCGCAGCCCACCTTCTGTGCATGCTGCGGTGCTATCGATGGGTCTCATCCTGTGAATGGTCTTGTTGTGATACTCACCGACTGTGCCTCAGAGGTTAATTGCATCCCAAGAATAGCACACCAAAGAGAGGGATGAGGGCTTGTGACTGGCGGCAACAGATTAGATGGAACCCATTCGGATGGTGGTACTTTGCGTTCGTGCCGCATATCTGGTTCAGTCTGATCAAGACGTGGCGCGGTCGTTGTGCTGTGCCGTCGACGAGCAGGATAGCGGTTTCAGAAAGCCAAGCCTCTGTGAACTTAATCTTCCAAGGAAATGCGAGTCTTACGGTTCGAGGGAGCAAAGCAAAGTCTGAAGTTCCTCATACTAAAATTGAGTCAATGCCCAGGATTGTAGTAGATGCTGAACGCGAGGTGTTTGTCGTGTCGTTAGAAATCTCGTCGGGAGACTCTTGAACATGGCACTGTGATTATCGCCAGGGCCAGGTGCATTGCAGGCAAGCAAGCTGCCCCGGTGGACTTCAGACGTGCAGCTTCCGCCTAGGCAAGGTTTCAAGGTTGTTGTGTAGATATAATTAGCACCTTGTAAACCCTTGCTCGAGCGGAGCGGACCGTCTCGGCGGAAAGAAGGCGCATCATCGGCCGCCTCGCCTTACCTTCCAAGACTTTCGGCTTCGTCGCAGATACAGAAAAAAGTTCGAAATCTTGGCTTTAGCCTCCATGCGTTCGTGGAGAGCTTTCGCACGGCCTTGACTTGGACTTCAGACAATCGACAAGCCATCGCCACAACCCACAATGGCTGCAATCAAGAGGAAAGAGGCGCCGTCAAAAGTGATTGCAACACACAAGAAACACAAATCCGGCGAGGACAAGGCAGTAAAGTCTACAAAGCCACTAAAATCCACAAAAGCTAGCAAAGTCGCCAAAGTTCCCGTCAAGCCACCAACGCCGGAGGCTTCTGCGGATGATGATGACCACGGAGATGGTGACGACTTTGAGGATTTTGACGAGGAGGGCGGCGTAGCTGTTGAGGTAGATGGTGACGAAGATCCTTCTGTCCACCCTTCGCGCCGCGGTCATGTCTCTGGCAAGCAGCAGAATGGCGCAGGCAAGGATTTCAAATTGGACAGCAATTCCGCCGAAGCACACGCAAAACAGAGGGCGCTTGCAAAGGAGCGTAAAGCTGCCAAGCCCAACGCCGACTCGATACAGGAAGCGAAAAAGATATGGGAGCGATTACGCCAGAAATTGAATGTGCCAGAAACGGAGAGGAAAGAGTTGCTGGACGAGTTGTTCGGGTTAATGCAGGGTCGTATTCGGGACTTTGTCTTCAAACATGACAGCGTTCGAGTCGTTCAAACGGCGGTAAAATACTGCGATGCCAAACAATTGAAGATCATTGTGCAAGAGCTGAAAGATGATGTACGAGCATTGGTGGAGAGCAAGTATGGAAAATTCCTGGTCGCGAAGATGGTGGTCAATGGTGACGAAGAGGACCGAAAGTTGATCGTACCACAATTTTACGGCCATGTCAAGAGATTGATCAATCATCCCGAGGCAAGCTGGATCGTCGACGATATCTACCGAAATGCCATCGCTGCACCCGAACAGAAGGCGACAATGTTGCGAGAGTGGTATGGGACTGAATACTCGCTCGCTAATAGAAACATTGCGAATACCTCTGGCGACGAGATAACATCCGATCTGAAAGCGATCTTGGAGAAGAATCCGGAGAAGCGCAAACCCATCATGGGATACCTTCACCAGATGATCAACAACTTGATCCAAAAGAAGATGACTGGTTTCACGATGTTGCATGACGCCATGCTGCAGTACTTCCTCGTTCTCACCCCCGGCGGCGAGGAACACACCGAGTTTTTGGAGACCCTCAAAGGAGATATTGATGCCGAGGAGGCTGATGGAGGAGGCGACCTATACAGGAATTTATCTTTCACCAAGAGCGGTAGTCGTTTGGTGTCATACGCCATCGCGTACGGCTCAGCGAAAGACCGGAAAATGATCTTGAAGTGTTTCAAGGACAACATCGGCGTCATGGCAGTCGATAACCATGCCAAGCTTGTGCTCGCGGTCGCGCTAGAAGTCCCCGATGACACTCGCAATGCCCTGCAGATCATCTTGAGAGAATTGCTCGGACTACAGATCGAAGCTGAAGAAGCGCGTCTGCAACATCTCGAGGGCTTGTTGGAGGACGCCAATGCTCGCCTTCCACTCCTCCTCCCTATCGCGGGAATGCCGCGCTGGCTGATCAAAGACGACGGCGACCGTGCGTTCCTCGAAGAAATCTTCCAGATTCGCGAGACGACCTCCAAAAAGGCCGCTGCGACCCGCGACCAGGAACTGTGCACAAACCTTGCCGGCCCGCTCCTCGACCTCATCGCGGCGCGCGCCGACTCCCTCGTGCGCTCGAAAACCGCCTGCCCCGCCATCTCCGAGATCCTCTTCCACTGCGCCGGTCCCAGCCGCGAAGCCGCCCGGGACGCAGTTGCGCAGACCGCTGCGGATGACCCGACCGCCGACGGACATGTCGCCAAGGACCCGGCCACAAGCCGGTTGTTGAAAGCGTTGGTCGCCGGCGGGCCTTTCGAGCCCGCCGCAAAGAAGATCCGGCTCGTCGAACCCCGGCTGGGCTTCGGCGCGGCGCTGTGGCCTGTGATCCAGGACGACGTCCTGGCATGGGCGTGCGGCGAGGCGAGCTTCGTCGTCTTGGCCTTCCTCGAGAGCGAAGACGTCTCGGACAAGATCAAGACGAAAATCAGGGATGCCCTGCGGAAGAACCGCAAGAGCGTCCAGGCTGCGGCCGACGGCGCGCGCGTGGAAGATGACGGCGCCAAGGTCGTCGGCGAGGAAACGAACGGGGAGAAGAAAAGGGCGCGGAAGCCGAAGCAGGGTCGGTGGAAGAATGGAAACGCCGGCGCGAAGCTTTTGCTCGAGAGGTTAGACGCATAAGGAGCGGAGCAGGTCTTGTCCGGAACTCGGAGAGATTCCTCCAACAGCAAAAATGATGGGCGGAGTTAATTTGTGTATCTTATGAATTGTGTATAGACGTCTAATACGACGATGATTGCGACGGCTGTTTTCAAACGTGCCCGTGTCTCTCGATACCGGTGCACGAGGGGTGGTCTGATTGCTCCCGAGCGCGGATCACCCTCCCGTCAGCCAATGCAGTAGGGGATGATTTGAAGCAAATGAGAAGAGTCGAGATGATGCTGGAATTCCAAAGAAATTTCATTCAATCGGCCTTATTGGGGTATCACACCTCATGCACTACAATGATAACAATGCCGCCATCGCTCTTCGCTGGAACGGTCACTATGCAACTCTCAATGTACTAGCAGATTGGCCATCTGCTGCCTCGTCCGCGATCCTTGCCGTGCTCTCCTTCGTCTTTTCTGCCAGGGTGGCATACACATGGCTGTTCTCTCTTCCCTCCTGTGTGCGCATGTGACAGTCCCTTGGACTGTGGGTACGACCACAATCATGCCGCGCTTCTAGCCCAATTTGGAGGACTCGTCGTCGTCTTCGAAGAAGGTGATGATGGCGCGAGCACCGCTGGGTCCCAAACCGTGGGGTGGGTAGCAGACTAGAATTGACAAGAATCGTTAGTTTGGAAATAGAAATGATAGGGAAGCCGATGTTTGAGAACTCACCATAGATCGGATCCTCAACAGCTCCAAGCTTCTCACGGAATTCACTCTTCTTCGTCAAGCCCAACTCGGACGAGATGGCATTGTACGTCCGGCTCAGAACCTTGAACCGCGTCCCCTTCAAGTTGTGGCCAGCGGTCAATTTGGATGATGCACCACCGCCAAAGGTGGCCGAGGTGGCGCCAGCAGTTGCACATGCCTTGAGCGCGTGGAGCACGAGCATCTCGATGCTGCCCGAGGGCGCACCGGGGAAGTCAAGTGCGAATTTGACCTGCCACCCGTGTTCAGGCGACAGCTGCGCGAGGATGACGAGACCGCAGATGGTCTGGTCCGTGGTGACTGCGTAGTGGTACTGTCGGTGGGCCTCGTCTTGCCACGGGTGCACGTCTGTGAGATGCACTTGCTTGCCTTTGCGGTTGGCCAGCCAGTCTTCGATGCGCTTGTCGATTTTCTGGCGGATTTCGTCGGAAGGAGGCGTGCCAATGAGGATGTCGTGGATCTTGACCCCCTCCTTCTCCGCATGGCGGACCTTGCGCTGGACGTCGGGATCCTTCACGGCCGGGTTGTTGCCGGGGTCGACACGCTGCTCGGCGGCGGGCGAGAAAGTGCGCCAGTCAAATTTGGTGGCGAGAACTTCCTCTGTGGCCGCACCGCAAAGGAGCCATAACGGCTTGGTACGCCGCTCTTTCTTGATGTATTTGAGATATCCGCCGATGACTTTTGTATATTGAGACTGGTGGCACAGCGGGTCTCCGATAGTGATGGCGAAGCCGTTGTGCGGGACGAAGCCGATAGCAGCACCCGTGTATGGCTCTCGCCAGATCTCAAATTTGGGCTCTAGCCAAGATGTGTTGGATGCATCTCCATAGTTGGCAATCAGGTGCTCCAGAGGCTGGAAATCCATGTGTGCTGCGGCGCGATCTTGGCCTGCCCACGGCGGGTGCAACGTGCTCGCTTCGGGATGGCGGAGCTGCTTGACGGGGGGTGTATATGGCAGCGACTTGGGATCCCGTGCGAAGAGCGTAGCGTGTCGAATGTCTCCCAGCTTCAGCATCAGCATCAAAAGACGTTCCATACCAATGCCAACACCGCCGTGGGGAGGCGTGGCCCACTCGAATCCGCTCATGTAGTCTTCCATCGACTTAGGTTCCATCTTCAGGTCCAACATACGCTTGGTAAGCATCGTCGCGTCGTGGATGCGCTGACCGCCCGAAACGATCTCCTGACCGCGGAGAAAGATGTCGAATGAATTGGTAAGCTTTGGGTTTTCAGGATCTGGCATGGCATAAAATGGTCTGGCCGAAGCTGGGAATTTATCCAAAACGTAGTAATCGGTACCATACTCCTTCTTGATGACCGCACCAAGGGCGATCTCGTCACGGGTGCCCAGATCCTCGTCCTCTGGCAACGGCTTGCCAGTCTCGTTGCGGTATCCAGACTCGTTGAGCAGGCGGATGCCCTCCGCGAAAGGAATGATAGGTGTCTTGTCCAGCCAGACAAGATCTTGCGCCGGGAACTGCCTCTTGACGACTTCAATCTCGTTCTTGTAGTTGTCGTAGACGTACTTGAAAATGGCCTTGAAGGTGCCGTCCACGGTGCGCAGGACTTCGTGGTAGTGCTCGTCGATCGCCATTTCGATATCTAGACCTGTAAACTCGGTCAAATGTCTATGTGTATTGCTGTTCTCTGCGCGGAAGACTGGTCCGATCTCGAATACGCGACGCATGTCAGCTGCGATGGCCATTTGCTTGCCCAATTGAGGAGATTGCGCCAGGAACGCGGGTCGACCAAAGTAGTCCACCTTGAAAACACTCGCGCCTGATTCGGAGGCGACACCTTGTAGCTTTGGGGTGTGAATCTCAACGAAGTCTAGCTCATGGAGATGGGCCCGGAATGCCTGGCAGATGGCGGACTGGATCCGGAAGATGCCTTGCGAGGTAGTGGTACGTAAGTCGATGATCCTGTTGCCTTGACGGGCGCGGTCTGACACGCGATGACGGGTAGTGCCTTGCTTCTCCGTGTCCGCACGCGAGACCTCGGCCTCGTGGACGGTGAATGCCAGAGGCTCTGTCGGTTGAGCCTCGACGTGCATGTCCTGGATCAGGATCTCCAGGTTGTGGATCGACACACCCAGGATCTCGCCCTGTTTCGCTCTTGGCTCTTGAATCAGACCCTTGATCAATACCACGGACTCTACGTGTAAATGTTCGGCCCAGTACAGGAAGAACTGGGTAATGTCGTCCTTCTCCTGTAGAACGGCCTGGATGGTGGCTGTTTGTTGTCGGAGCTCGAGGAACAGAAGGTGAGCGCTCAACTTCCTCAAGTTGTGGATACGGGCCCGGAAGTAGACTGTCTCGCCGATTTGAGTGGACTTCAGCTCCCGAATATCGACCCGTTGAATGTTCTTGGGCTCTCCAGCATAGGAGTTGACAGGCAGAACGCCATATCGAGCCCGCTGTTCAGGAGTCTCTTCCTCCGCAGCCTTCTTCTCCATGTCCTCTTTTCGCTTCTGCTCCGCCTCGACACGAGCCTTGACCTCTTGTCGTTGGGCCTCGCGCTCCGCCTGCTTCTCATGCTTGCGCAGCTGGTTCTTGCTCATAGGCTCGCCATCGCGGTTGAGCGGCAGATCCTCGGTTGAGGAATGCTCGCTGTCCGAGCCGGAACGGATCTTGCGCCGCAGCAGACCGAGAGGGCTGTGAGAGATACGATGACCGCCATCCTTGGATGTACGGTGTGGTGAAGAGCTCCCACCGAAATCGCCAGATTTCCTAGGAGTGTCGGTCGAGGAACGACCGAAACCGATTCCGGTAGAGAGGAAGGATCCAGAGCGGCGTGGGCTCTCGGCGTCACTGTTGGCACCGGAGGCGTCGCGGGATTTGGAGCTGCTGCGTGGGTTCAGCGCCGTCAAGGCTTTCTTGAGGGACGACATGCGGGGCGGATGTGAGTGAGTGGCCTCGGGGACTGCGGAGTCGGGAGGGAGGTCACCCGTAGAGAACCGAATAGGTCGGTAACCAACACAAAGTCAAACCCCGGCTGGTCAAGGATGAGATACTGCTTGTGGTGCAAGGAAGAATGAGTGTTGGTGGTGGGGTTTCGAGAAACGCAAAAAAGATGAACAAGAGCGCGTGAGCGAAAGTGTGTACAGTGTGTACAGTATTGGCTGTGGGTGAGGGTCGGATAGGATGAGAGGACTGGGAGGAGAATTGTTGCGCGAGCTGGTAGTATATACCTAGTAACAAGAACAACAACCTTGGTCGGTGGTGGAGGTGCCAGTGTACAGCACAGTGCAGCACAGTGCTGTGCCTGGGCAGGAAGCGAGCGGGAATGACGAGCTATAGACGTCGTGATGACATCCGTTCATCACAAGGAAAAGCCGAGTGCAGCTACAGGACGAAAATATCCATCCACTTGGGCATGGATCCTCTATTCCCCCACCTGCACCCATCAGATTAGACCGATGTCTACCTCCAGTACTTCCCACCATCTACTGGACTCCAGTGCATTCCAACGTTGCTCGTTCTGCTCATGTTATTGAATTAATGCCGATTCACCATCCCGCTTCACGAGTCCGAGGCTCCATCGGATCATCCCCATAGCATTGAGAGGGAGTGCGTATAGAGGGCACAGCGAGCAGTAAACAACAATGAAAACCTGATGATTGACTTAGTGGGCCATGCGAAATTTGGCAGTGCACACGGTACAGTGAGCGCACGGCGAGCGATAAAAAGCCGCAGAGTCGATCCGAGTGATCGTCTTCACCGACCATCATGATGCTGTAATGTTGACCAATGTTTTTCGCGACGATTATACGGTCGACGCACAATGATTCTTCGGATCGCGATGCCATGATACTGTACAATTTGCAGTACGCGCGAAACTTTCGATCATGGCAAACTCTTCCACGAGAGTCTTCGACAGTGGTGGTATCAATCAATCAGACCAGAGGACTGAGGGGAGGAGGACTGTATTCCCCCCTCCAAAGACGCAAGCTTTCAGGCACAGACATTTTTCCGCCCGAAAAGTTCCCTCCACCAGATCATTGGACCGTTACGTCATTGGTCACCACACAATAACGACGAAGCCTGCCGGACTGAAATTGTCGTGTCAGGGCTTGTGACGGTCGGCATACTACCTAGTAGTGATGATTCCAATAATCCATGAATCCAAGCATTCGGCGGCGGGACCGACCACAAAAGACTCCTCGTGAGATGGAGCATTGCCTAGGTGTCTGGCTTGATGAGTTGCGAAGGAAAGTCTACGCGAGCTCACATGTATCCCCCCCGAGAAGCCTCCGAAAGCCGAAAGCCAGAGTGTTGGCCCGCGGCGTGATGTTCATTAGCGATAACCAATAGCGCCGCCGAGAGAAAGGCTTATGTCGTGACGACAAGCATCTCTCTATCAATCCATGGGCGACAAAAGGATAAACGCCTTCTAACAATAAAGTTGGATTTTTCGACCGGTGGATTTCGGTGCTCCCTCCGTCACGGATACGTCATGTAGAGTACTTACCTAAGCATCCATCACACGACTTCTTCATGTCCACGTCCGAGTTCGCGTGATGAGTACCTTGACAGGCAGGCAGGCATGGTCATGTTGACGATCTCGATGGCAGAATGTAAATTCTTCGGCCCGACATGTACTAGGCATGGGATTTCTGCAAGAATGCTCGGAGAAAGACGATATGTCGAGATGAGATGAGAAGTTCCCTCGTTTGGTGTGGTATATAAATACAACATTCCATGCCCATCCCCGTCCACGATATTTCCCGTCGAATTTCTCCAAACCCGGCCATGCGCCAAATATTTCCCACAAATTCCCATCGTCGTCATCTCATCGTCGTTATCATGAGTGGGCTGAAGAGAGGAGAGGTGAAGGTAGGTAATTCACGTCCCATCTCACGTATACGGCCTCAAGTTCACTGATGCCGTTGGCGGAGATTGTACTTACGTGCAGGACTTTTGTGCTTCTCAGAATCAACGACCAAACTCTCGGTCTGCATCTCTGAGCTGTTTCTCAAGAAGTAGAGATTGCGTCTTCGCCGAAATTTGGAGTGCCATGAGCAGACCCCAATCGTGTCGCTCCCCCCGCGGTGTCATTTTCCGAAAAAACAAGTGTGCTGCGAAACATCCGCCTGCCTTGAGCAAATCCCGAGTGTTCACTAGCAGTATCATAGATTGTTCCAGCCACGTAGGCTCCATTCTCATAGCATTGATCCGTTGTTGGGCGCACCCATGAAGACGCTTGCATTCGCACTGCTGTTCGCCGTAGGTTGTTGCTGTTGCGTGACGTCCATATTTAGGTCCAGATTCATTGGCCAGAACTGCGCACTATCCATGCCGCCGTTACCACTACCTTGGATGTACGAGTCCCAGGCACTCTGTTATGATATCATGTCAGCCAGGGATGCCTCACGACACGTTGTTGAACTATCACTTACCCAATCAATGTCGGCACCTAGTCCGTCAGTGCCGCCCATGAGACCGGTCATGCCTCCAGCTGCTCCGCTGCCCTGCACGAGCATCTGGCTCATGGGACTGAGCGGGCCGCCGTGAACATCCCCGCCGGAGTATCCAGGAGTCAGACCCGTACGCTCCGGTATGCCGTTGTCGTTCAAGAGACCAGCCATCCCCATGGGGTACTGCGGCGATCGTGGTTCGCTTGAGCCGGTTCCTCCAGAAGGCCCAGAGGGAGGACCATTCATGACGAAGCTCGGACCCGGTGGCATACCACCAGAGGAGAGCAGGCCTAGCGTCATTGCCGCCGACTGCTCCGGCGCGAGATCCTCGATCTTGGCGCCGTTCGAGGATACACCAGTAAAAGTGTTGTTGAAGGAGGTCGGGAGAAGAGGATTGCTGGGTTGGCCGTTGACGTTGTGGCTCAATTGTCCGTTAAGCTCGTTGGCAGCGCCTGTAGGCGCTCCAAGAGCGTGAGTCTTACGGCGCTCAGTGATTGGTCGAATCTTCTCCACCATGACGCGCAGCGCGTGTGCACCCTTGTATGCCTCCATGCTTGCATCGCGGGCTTGGTCCCAAATGACTATACAGTGCTCCACGGCTTGCAACATCTCTTCACGCTTCCCTGGATCATAGAGGTCGGGCACCGATGCTGCCGCGCCAGGCTTACGGCCGTTGCGCTCCTCGCTAGCGGTGTGGTGGAGATCAGAACAGATCAACATAGCGGCGAGGAGGAAATCGTTGGTGGTGAGGGACGAGATCGACCATTTGACAGACCGCAGGCGCCCACCCGGTTGTGATTCTGCATGGAGGGTAGCCTGATGACCGAGTAGTTCTAAGGATGCATCCAGACATGTTCGGCGCGAATACGCATATTTCGATTGCTCCCGCCCTCGCATGATGAACTTCCTGTGCAAGACGAACAGACAACGTAAGAACATCATCTCCAAACCAATGCGCTGCATGATCAGGTTCGCAGGGTCTCGGGCTGATTCGGCAAAGGAGCGGGCTCGCAGCAGCGGCGGATACTGCGCGCGCGTCTCCCGGAGCTCGTGGTCGGCCTTCATGGTCTCCTCGTAAGACATTGGATTCGTCAGAGACTGAGCGCGTTCGACTATCCGGCCGAAAAGGTAGTTCATCTTGGACTTGGTAATCATGTATGACATCGGGGTCGCTTCTGAGACAGGCCTCGAAGGTGGTAAAGCTTTCATATCCTCGAAGAGCTCGTCATCGTACAGGTTCCGAGGAGATTCAGTGTCCATATGATCTGTCTTGATCATTGCTGGTAGACCGAATTGGAAAGAGACGAGTGAATCAAAGCCACAGATGAAGGTCCACACACGCCGTCGGATCTCGCCCTGGAAGGGTGTGATGGCCGGATGTGGAGCAGGATCGCGATGATAGCCCATCCGCATGGCCAATCTTACGCAAATGCTGACAAGCAGTAGAACTCCAGGCTCGGCGTCTTTGCTTCGCCCATACTCTGCAAGCATATAGAGTACCATAGCCTCGAGCATGTGTGAGATCGGCTGGGTGATGTCCGCAAGCTGCAGACATTGCGCAGTCAGCTTGCGATATTCATGGGAGAGATGCAGACAGCGGCCACGGTATTCCGGGGGCTCGTCGGCAGCCCTCGAGTACGACTGCAATGCCAACGTCATCATGGAAAAGTTCAGAGCAAGCCAGACGACTGACGATTCCGAGGGATTCAGCCAATGCTTGTGATATTGCTTCTGAAAAGATGGACCGTGGATGATGTGTACTGATGGGTCGTAGGCGTTGAAGTAGCGCGCGATCAATCTGTCCGCGTCGACCTTCGGTGGATATTCAGCGAGAAGTTCTGACTTGTCCTTTGGTGGCAAACTCTGAAGAAGAAACGCCAATCCATCGTTGGCATCGCGCACTTGCGATGCCTCGTAAGTTGCCATGCGCTGTTTGAAGTCCTCTTTGTGGCAATCGAAGTACTTTTTCACCTCGCTGATCTCACAGAGAATGGCGTACCAATGAGCTTCGGATGCAAATATTGCTTTCGCGCCGTCCATCTTCATAACTCCAATTCCGTGTGATAGGTTTTCCACTTCGCTTTCCTCACCTTCGCCCTCCTCTGTGATCATGTCTATCGGCGTGTGGTCTGAGACAGGTTCCGACGCGGTACTGAAGCTTTCACTCCGACTCGCTGCGATGGCGGCTTGAGCGACCGCGGTCGGCGCGCCCGACGCCCCACTGGTCATTAATGAGAGGACGAGGCCTTCCAGTCGATCGATACGATTCTGCATGTCATCCGATGACGCATTCACGCCCGCCGGGCTCCCTCTCTTTCGCGTTCCTGGGGAGGCATAATTGCAGGAGGCAATGTCGCCACGTTTAGTACAGTTATCGCATGGATGTCCGCGATTGCATTTCAACTTGCGGTGTCTGCATGGCGCACATGACAACGGTACGCGATTGCGTTTGCGCACCACGCGGTAGGGATTCCCGTCGGGTGAGGCCCCATTGTTGGACGAAGTAGACGAAGGCGGCGTGGGTTGATTCTGGGCTACCATCTTGTAGAATTTGATGGATGCCTTATACGGTGTCACTTCACAGTCCTTCAAGCGAGGTGTGAAGGAAAGGTCATGCGCTGGCGATGACAGGGAGCGGCGCACCAAATCCACGAATTTCGACTGGAGATAAAGGTTGGTTATCGCCGGTGACGATCAAACCGTGTCCGCGTATGTCGCATATGTTTGCCAGATGCGCCAAAGAGCCTGCCAACAGTAGCGATCGTAGGATGTCGAGTTGTGACTGAACTTGTAAGAATGGGGATGGAGACAATCTTGGAAGAATTGGGAATTCGTAATTTCGTCTTCGCAGGCTGATAGTCGGTCGCGCGTGTGGAAGTGCTGACGATGAGTGCTGAGACGAAACAGCGGGGCAGTGTGCGGGAAGTGACCTTTGGTCGAGAGAAGGTCGCAATAAAATCGTCGTGTTGAATCGACTCTACTGGCGATGGGACAATATAGGAGATGGGATTTATAGCATCACGATGATTGATGAACCACAAATTGCATGCGAGGCTTTGATGAGAAAAGGATGATGCAGCTCTGTGTGCGTGTGTCTACGGGGACTGTACTGTATGCGTGGTGGGCGCATTAGTACAGGACGAGACTGTGTTCGGTTCGGCGATTGTGGTCAACGAACTGGGGGGCAGCTGAACGGCCGCTTAGTCTCCCTTCTAAACTACTACGCCGCAAAGAATTATTGCTTGTGATTACGCTTGATTACGCTTCGACGCCTATCAGGTGCTTGTAGTGCTGTACCTACAGTAGTCCCTATCAAACACGCCCCACGAGGATACTGTAGTCATATCATATGTCAAGTGAAAGCAGAAGAATTCCAAGGTTGGATGATTGACATGTATCTCCCGACCGGATTTACCAAGCAAGTACTGTATTCATTGTAATGAGGACAATCTCGTGTAGAGCTGTCGTCTCGGTTCACTGCCTAGATTGAGACGTACGCATCCTAATAGGTACTGTCGGACATCGCAATGCGCTTACCATCATTGATTGCCACACGGCTCGAATCCCTCTCATCACTCGATGCTTTGGGGTCTTGTATCAAACATCACGTGTCGCACAGATGTGCTGACCATAGCCCGAGGTGTGAGTCACCTCAGAAGACGAATGGAGAAGTTTCTGTCAGAAACGGCGAATGTTGGGAGGATTTACAGGACTGTACCTAGTAGGTGCGGACAATTGGAAGGACGCATGGACCCTGTCAGCATCACCGGACTTAAGCGACTTTACCTCCATCTCGCGCACGTGTTGCACTTCACGTCGGTCCAGGACAGCCCAGTCGTGGGAAGGCATGTACATATCGCACTTCGTGGTTGTATAGCCAGCCCGTCAGGCGCCGCCTCTTACGATAAGCAAGATTGTTGCGATGCTGTGTGCGCACAACATTGCGCTGGGAGCAGGAAGGAGCATACGGACATGAATCAAGCTTTCCAAGGGCACGCACGAGGGTACTTCACCAGCCGAGCTGGGGCTATTGCAGCGCTCGAAGCTTGTCGTCCAGCCCAAGCTCTACGGCAGGCGTTCGTTGCATCATTCATTAAATTGATTTCGTACACATTGACAATATTGATACATGAAGACAGATTACCGCCCAACCACGCAATCTGGTCGTTATCGACCATGTTGGCCAGTTCGCTATTCTGCTCCCGAGTCCAGCGGCAGCTTGAATATCGATGTGAGGCTTGGCTCGCCTGCTCCGACGCGCGTGGAGTCCAGCGTCCAGTTCGAACAGCCGAGTTTGCTGAAGTTAGTCACTCGCTTAGTGGCCTCCCAGCATTTCTATATAGATCTTCTTTCCATTGGTCATCTCTGGCAGGGCTTGATCATTGATCATCCGAATGAAGGATCCGACCAGTACACAAGCAAGGTCTTTGACGAGATGCACGTCCCGGTCGTAATAAGTAGAATCGCCCGAACGGCGCAATTCAGTTTGCGAACAGGCGTCCACTGTTTCTTGGACGGCTTAAATTCATGCTGCGAAGGCTTCTCCTCTAGCTGCGGACACACAGGCATCCTAGAACTCTCAGGTCGTATCCATGCTAGTATTGCCATTGACTTGCTGAGATGTAGGGCCCGAAGTTTCACCTTGACCTTGAACGGCGAGCTCGCCGACCAAACCCAACAGCCGGGCATAAGGCACAGTGACTCGCTGCAAGTCGCGGAACTTGCCGAGAACTACCACGACCTCCCTCAGAAGATCTGTTCGTTTCCATCCAACGATTTCCTCTGTGGGGCTCCATTCCACACCATTGCCAGGACCCGGAGGACCATCGGCATCTTCACCTCGTGGCTGTTGGCTCTCATCGTCCTCGCTGAATGCGCTTCCCATCAATCCTGCCAGAAGCTCCTCAACCTTTGCTTTGGCCCCCTCGCTTCCAATGCGTTTGGCGTACATAACAAGATATAGCTTGAACTCGTCTTTGGCGCCAAGAGTCTGCGCCGCAGCGAGGCGATTCTCAAGGTGCGCCATTGAGATGCTGCTTTCCAGACCTTCCCAGCCCTCTGCACTAAGAAGCTGCTTGACAAGCCGTTGGAGCGCGTACGCACGTCCTCTGGCGAGCGCGGCAGAGTTGGTATTGCGTTCGAGGAATGTTATGATGCCCGCCGAGATATTCTCGGGTCGGATTCCTTCGGCAAGATCAGTGTTAGTCGATGACTTACTCGCGCTGTTCGATGTAGCGGTAGATACAGGTGCGCTCGTTCCGACGCTGTTCCAGTACTGGCTACCGACTGCCCACCAAGTCTCACTCAGCCGTTGCCAGACGAACATGTTGGGATTGTAGGCAAATCCATCGCCAGAGCTCATCCCCACGATGATCTTGCCAATGCTGTTCAACCGAGCAAACATGACACTGGGTCCATGTGTGACGTGAGTCATTTGGCTCTGTGCCGCCAAATCCAATGCAGGGGCGAGGCTCACGGGCGGATGCGGTGCACTCATTGTTTTCATATTCCAGACGTAGCATTGACCCACTGCTGTTACTGCTAGAAGCCACCATCCTCGACAATCCAAAATGACAGGTTGGGCTTCAAGCACGCAGGGACTGAGCAAGCGCCGACCGGCGGGAGTCCACACGTGCAGACTGCCGTCCTCACAAGAGGCGGCCCAAAAGTTAGAGTTTCCTGTCACGAGCAGAACTGCTTTAGGGAGAAAGTCTTGCCACAGAGTCTGGCCGCGTCGCGTAAGCGTGATGCGTGTTGGATCTCGATCGACAGCTCTTCCCGTCCGGGATGGTCCTGTGGCATTTCGAGCTTCGAATGCAACAGCGTTGTCTCCTTCAGCGGTCTCTTTACCTTCAGCCTCTTCCAGGGGCCGAAGTATGACACTTCTGACCTGGGGAATCGCAAGGCGGATGCTGCTAACAGTCAAAGCCGGATTGACGATGGCAGGTCGCAGAACATCCGGTACATCATTTGGTCGTTTCGACACTGTTGCAGCATTGGCAGGCACCAGGCCATTCTCAGTGTTGCTAACAACCGGCGTTGCCCCGGACTGCTGAATGGCCTGTATTCGGGTCTCATGGCGTTTCTCTTCACCGTCTCCAGCGTCTACTACCTCCGCATACTTGCGCTTGTTACCGATCAGGAGACTGGCCAGTCCGCCCTTTGGCAGACCATCGTATGGCCTGCTAACATCGAGAATTTTGGCTGGCTCGTCAGAGGGTCCGGTGCCCAAACGAACAGCCTGCTGGAGCTGTGGGCGGGGCAAATTCGCTTCGCCTTGGTTGGAGGAACTGAGAAGCAGGGGAGCAACACGCTTCTTACCGTCTTTGGTAATAGTGATGCGCTGTTTGAGCTTGTCGACCTTCTCGACCTGTGGATCTTTGAGAGCCGGCGGAGGCGCAATCACGGGTTCGGGAGCTGCTTCTTTCGACTTATCTTTTGCTGTCTCTGTTGCCGTGGTGTCCACCATAGGCGTGTCACCATTCACAAAGATACCATCGGGCGCGGGGCCGTCTCCCATCAGCTCGCCCATGCGACCTTCGACGCCCCTGAGCTCACCAGCCTTACTTCCTTCTTCCAGCAATAAGGCGTCTGTGTTTTCCACGATGCCTACCCTACGTCCGGCTCCGAATTTTGATAATTGCTTGTCGTATTCTATCGACGGTGCAGGAAACCCCAGCTCGCCCTTATCAAAGACAAGAGCTCCTATGGATCCATCTAATGAGGTGAAGTACAAAGTCTCGCCGTCGGGACTCCATGTTAGATCGCTGATAGCTTTTGCGCACGTCTCTGAAGTCGTCACATACGGTCGGGTATAACTAGTATTCCAAACGCTGATCGTCTTGTCTTGTCCGGCGCATGCAATGATCGTTTGTGTGTGCGGTGACACATATGTCTGCGGGTCTATGTTTGCAGGCGTCGGCTGGCTGCAAAAAAGTCGAGGAGAAAATGCACAGACTTCAACAGGCCCTTCGTGACCGATGAGATTGATCTCGCTGGTCCAGCTTCCACGAGCAATGATTGCGACTGAGCTGACAGGGCCATTGACCGCATTTGCTGCTGCAATATGCGCCCCTTCAGGACTCCAGGAGCACCGCCTGAAGTACGTTGTGAGCGGAGAAGCGTCGAAAGGTCCACTGATCGTAGTTTCTAACATGAAATTGCTGGTCTGGTCATGTGCTGTTGCATTTGCTGACGGTGAAGTGAATCGATATACCCGAATGCTGCGGTCGTCGCTCGCCGTCGCAAAGTACTTGTTGGCAGGATCGAAAGTAATGCCTTTCACGTGTGATTGGTGATGCAATAATGTTTTCAAACGTTCGAATGTGCTTCCTGACCACACTACGACCTTGCTGTCCAGCCCGACTGACACCAGTATTGAACTGTCACAGCTCCAACCCAAATCTTGTACATCATTGTCGTGTCCAATCAGCCTCCGGAAGATCCTCCAATTCTCCGCCGGCGGTGTCTCGTTGCTTCCAAAAGTTGCGTGCGCAGGCGGTCCCGGATCCAGTGTGTAGACACATACTATCTTGTCGTCGGCGCCAGATGCGAGGTACTTTCCGTTCGGACTAAAGCGCACTGAGTGAACAGTGCCAGAGTGATATGACAAGCTGGCAAGCTGCTTGGGTTTGGTGTAGGAAGGATTTGATGCATTGAGAATGGCGTCGGTAGACCATATGCGAACATGACCATCACCAGCCGCAGTAGCCAGACGTGATCCGTCCGGCGACACGTTGCAGCTATAAACCTCGTGGTCTTTCTTCTCTCCGCCGTGTATCAGCCAAGACGGCTTCGTGAACCGCATGGTGTCTCTTTACTACCGATATGGAGTGGTATTTCTTGGTTCTACGATCGCATTTCCGTCGAGAAACATAATTCGGAGGCGTGACAAATTGAGTTGTGGTGTGTATGAGGTGAGCAGAATCATGGATTCCCTGTCGGAGATGCGCTCGAGACGAAGCTCGAATTGGGGGACGCGTTCCGCGTCAGATCACGTGTCCACTCTATGACATCTTTCCCGCGGTCAATGCCGATGATTTCTACGCAGTCAACATCGTGTTAACCACCATGTGACAATCATCTGAGCTTGAACTTGCCAGCAACGATGTCCGAGTACTGGAAATCGACTCCTTCATATTGGTGTAAGTTTTGCTCTCAATATGTGCGCGACTCGGCGATCGAGAAGCGCAATCACGAAGCCAGCATCAAGCATCAGAACAATATTCAGCGAAGTCTTCGCAATCTGCATAAGAACCACGATCGGGAGGAACGAGAAAAGCAGCGAGCAAAGGATGAGGTAGCGCGGCTGAAAGGAGAAATCCCACCACCAAGAGATGCAGCACCAACGGTCCCCGCGACTACAGGCCCGTTATTGACACCTGCTCAACAAAGGAAAGCACATGCAGAGCAGCTCGCCAGCCTTGGTGTTCTTCTTTCGGGAGAATTAAAGCGAGAAGTAACAGGAGTCGGAGAATTCGAGGTTGTCAACGAACGACAGCTTTACAATGGTGGAAAGCCAGTGGTATCGACAGTGTCGCGTTCGTTGGCGGAGATCCTAGCCGAGGAAAGATCAGGCGGAGGAGCGAATGAGAATGAACCCGACGACCGCCTCAAGAGAAAAGCCGAGGATGACGAGGACGACGATGAAAACACAAACCCGAGGGATGAGGAGGCACGGCCTAAGAGACGAGCGTGGGGAAGCAATTTCAAAACTTATCCAGGGCAGAAAGAAGATGACGATGTTGAAAATCTGGACTCGCTGCTCAGTGGGGTGCGAGCTGCGAAGGCCACAGTCGCATTGAAGAAAGAAGATTCGGTCCCGACAGACGCCATCAAGGGCGAGGGATTACAGTTATCAGAAGAGACTTCACCAATCACTGAAACGAAATCCAATGTCACAGAGCTCAAGCAAGAACCAAACAACGCTGAAAATGCACAAACGGCTGTAATCTTCAAAAAGCGAAAAGTAAAAAAATGAATACTCTGTTTACAGGGTGCCTCATCCGCCAATGAAGGTTGGCGATTCTGTCTGACCGACTCTTGCAGTGTGTCAGGTCTGGGTTATGCCAATCGTATCCTCGCGCACCGAGATGCCTGGTCTATCTGAGAACCAATTGGTTCGCGGGTACTCTTCCAGATCGATTGTTTACACAAAAAGCTGGCCCCGGCACCTATGCGGATATAGTGACCATGATCACGACTCTGCACTATGGCTAGATTCTCGCGTATTCAATCCTTTGGCCACGTCAAACGGCCTCTTCCTGATCGGTCCTCGGATCCAAATGCCTTTTCTGGCCATCTACACACCACATGATGAACGGCCCAGAGTCCGCTGCTGCCTCTGGCACAAATGGCTGCCACCAACGCCCGATGATCATTTGTCTACCTGGCAGCATCACGCCTTCATAAGCCCAATGCTCGCGAAACGTTCCGCCTGCCTCCAGCTTATATTTCATCATGGTGACCCGAATGAAGCCCGGAATACCGCTCTGAGGTGGCAGCGCAGTCAGGTATCCATCCGCATGAAAAACTTCCGCGTCATCACCATCTTCTTCCTCGCCGAATAACTCACGGCACGTAATTCTTTGCGGAGGGAAGGCCAGGGTTTGAGAGTTGTCAACAGAGCGATCTTGAGACCGCGTGACATTGCGAGGGCTACCTTTGAGTGGGGTCAAGCTATGCAGACAGTCCTCGAACTCTTTCGGCCAGGTGTCGTTCCCTTTTTGATTCATGCTGAGCTCCCACTCAGGGAAGGCATCCTGTGTTGATTCGTACTCAAACTCGTCTTGCCTCAACGCGTCATCCGAAGGTCCTGCACGAAGCTCCGCTAGATGGCCCTGGTCGATGAAAGCAAAGCAGGTCTTCCAAATTCGTCCGAAGTGCATGTCGGAAGAGCTCTGAATAGGATCGGGTGAGATCGGGCAGTTCCACATCTGGGGTGTGTCATGCTTGTCCAAACCTTTAAATGCAGGATACAATGTGCATTCCTCTGACCTGATCATGTGGTACTTCCAGAAATTGATTTGATGCAGCACCCAGGGCATGTCGACCACGTGTCCATCACGACCGTGAAAAATAGACCACTGCCGAGGTCCCGAATAAGCTGCTTGCTGCGATTGAGGAAAGTCGAACGCCTGGGGATCTGGCGTTCTCAGATCAAGAATCAAGGGCGCAAACACAACCTGGACAGTGGCTAGAAGTCGAGTCCGACCTTTTGCTGCATCACTGTGAGATGGTCGCTTGGTTTTGTTTTGGTTTGGTGCGAAAATGTTCTTGAGAATAGTACTCGCCTTCAAAGCGAAAGTCTCGAGATGTTTGATATTCGGAGAATGGTCTCGAGGATGCGCCTGATCTGAGGACCATGATTCTATACACACTACATCAGCAATCATTCGCATGGTCGATTCGCTCGCACGCCAGCCCGGGAAACATGGTCGAAGACACAACTCACCATTGATCAAGTTTCGAATCACGCCCAGACATACTTGCTCCTGTCGACTTCGTCCAAGCTCGAACTTTGGTGGATCGTAGAGCCAACGTTTCCTTTGCTGGTATGATGCTTTGCAATATAAGTTATTGAACAACCCGAGCGGCTTGTCGAAAGATTCGAGAAAACGATAGCGCCAGAATGAACAGCCATCCGCTTCGACAGCATCGTGCAACGAACGACACACAAGTCTGAAGGCCTTCAGATCATCGTCCGATTCCAGTCTGCGAGCAATATCTTGACGAATCTGTGCAATAATGCAATTGTTAATGCCGACATCAAACCCTACACGGACGTCACTGACCTCGATGGGAAGTGCATCGAAAATGTTCGGCCCCGGCTGTCGCTTCTGCTGGAACGGCTCGGATTGCATAGGCGCATCGCAGGCGTGCTGGAAATGTGCCATTAGTGGCTGCGGTTCGTGAGTAACGAGCATGTTCAACAATGATCACGCGGTGGCGTGGACGAATGGTTCTGGGCGAGAAGACAGCGTGATGGGGACTACTTTCGGAAGCTGAACCACAGCGAGCAGGTTGAACAGTGAGGAAGAAAGTACTGAAGCGATAAAGTGTCATGCGTAATCATAGCATGTGATTGTGCAGGTGATCCGTGTCGTCGAGCAACTTCACGACACAACAATGCCACGAGCTCATTCTAGAGTCTCGAAGTCAATTGTATCGGCCTCTGGCTTGTGACAATAGCGAAATTACAGCTGAAAGGCTTCCGCCCGTCAATCGACTGGGAAGGCGCTATGCGTGACTACCACCACTTCGGAGTCGTTCGTTCCTTCCAATAGATCGCAGCTGCAGTGCCCGACAGGTAATGAATGTTGGAATCAGAAGGTGTCGTGCAGTTGAAGAGCCCACAATTTGAAAGGCCCTCTTCCGAGTAGCGCATGTCTCTTGCGAGCTGTTTTTAGCATTCACTTACGATTGCACTGCTGCCATAACAGTCGCAAAGCCAGATTCATTAGCTCGTGTATATCCTCCGAGGTAATGAAACACCTGTCGAAGTTCTTCAAGTTGAAAGTCAATCATGGCTTGCACATCTATTCATGGATTATGGTATCAATTGTACTTGCTCGTCAGTTTCCAGATCCCCTGCCAGCGCCCCGACCAGCGCCACCACCTCCCATGCCACCCATGAAGTTTCGAGCCCTGTGTGCGTCCTTGTCAGTAAAACAGTCAGTCGCATGAGGTGCCGATATTTTGACTCACATATCGGCCATAGCTGGGTCGTTCATGAGAGCGCTCAAGTCGGGCATACCACCGCCGCCACCTCTGCCGCCTGCACCGCCTGCACCGCCTGCACCGAATCGCTCTGCCATGTTCCGTACTTGCGGGTTGCTCATGATGTTGTTCAACATGTCCGGGTTTGACATCAGATTCTGCGCCATCTGTCGCATCATGGGATTTTGCATAAGACCTGCGAGATCTGGCATGCCCCCGCCACCACCACCTAGCAACGATGCAAGACCGCCGAGATCCGGCATCCCACCTCCACTTGCGCCTCCTCTTGTTGCGTCTGGTGCACCGATGTCGTCATCGTCAATCTCATTAGCACGCAGTTCCTCAAGCTTCCTCTTCGCAGTCTCAAGGCCCTTCTTCATTGCGTCGCTACCACCGCTACCCTCGGCATCAATTCCAGATTGGTAGGCATCTACTGCGCCCTGTGCATCACCCAACGCGAATCGCGCAAGACCCAGGCGAGACCAAGCTTTGGTGTACTTTGGGTCGGTCGCAGTGGCGAGTTCTGCGTCGTTGCGAGCAAATTCATGCTGGTTCATGGCGCTGTAAGCAGCCGCACGGTTGGAAAGATAGATTGGGTTGAGCGGGCTGATCTCTAGAGCTTTGGTGTAGTTGTCAACAGCGGTCTGGTAGTCCTTTTTCTGCATAGCCGCGTTGCCAACGCCCTTGAGCTTCTCACTCTCATCAGTTGGACCACCCTTTCCAGGTTCGGCATCAGCAGGACTCGGCGCAGGCTTCGAGGAAGCCGTCGTGTTGCTGCTGCTGGCGCTTGCGCCTGCGCCCCTGCCCTTCAGCTTTTCGTAAACTCCATAAATGCTGAGCAAATTTTGTCCTCCCAGAGCGTCCTTGACGGCAGCTTCATCGGTAGGATCAACATGAAAGCACTCCGCTATGCAGTTGGAAGCAATTTCGATCGAGTCCGCATCTTCGGCCTGTAGGGTGCCGTCCTTGAGAGAAGTCGACAGGAAATCAAGGATGGCTAGCGCCAATCGCTTGCGAGAATCTGTGGCCTATGACATGTTAAACCTGACAAGCTGGAGTAGTAGAATGCAGTGAACGAAAGCTCACCATGATTGAAAATCAGATCACGCTTATCCGTCGAGGACGAATAAAATTTATTGGATCAACTCGACTTCGCAAGTGACCCGTGGACGCTCTTGAAATTGTAATTCATAGGTCTGCCGACTCTCGACCAATCACACGTCGTGGCGACTGGCGACTTGCGGAGGAGGGGCAACAGCGGGGTGCAACAGACACGAAGTCGCGTTTGAACGTGTTTGTTGATACTCATCAAGGTCTACACATCACGTTAACTAATCGGGTCGCGTGTCTGACATCATTCACGATGTTCAAAAAAGAGTCAGTACGTGTCAGATTGAGGTCTAGGTAAAGATGCTTGGCTAATCAACTCGTGACAGATTCAATGCCGGCGCCAAATCGAAGGTGAAATCCTCTGTACAGCGTGCGATCCGGCAGAAGGTCATCGACACATATCCGCGCCTTGAACCACATATTGATGAGATCATGCCCAAGAAAGAACAACTTGATCTCGTCAAAATTCCAGACCGAGTGTCACTGTATAGTTCCAGCAACACCCCATTGTTCTGGCAACACATGGATGACCCGATCATCCCCCACCTCCATATTGTTCACAAGTACCCATGGTGCTTCAAGAGAATACGTATTGATCGCGGCGCAATCCGATTCGTCTTGAGTGGAGCAGCGTTGATGGTGCCCGGACTGACATCGCCTGGCGGAAGGTTACCAGGATCAGATGGGGACTACAGCAACGACGGAGAGGAGATTGAGGCAGGCGAGGTTGTGGTTGTCGATGCTGAGGGCAAAGAGAACGCGTGCATGGTCGGTGTCTTGAAGATGGGCACGGCTGAGATGAAAGAGAAGAAAAAGGGTCCAGGGATCGAAAATGGCCATTATCTCGGTGATGGATTGTGGTCATTGACTTTGAACTGAAAATGCATTTTCCACGACAGTCACGGTCTGACGGACCAAATTTCCAGTAGTGGCTGCTGAATGCCGTCGTTCGTGGTGTTAAATTATACACAGTTGCCGGCCGAACGGTCATCTCACGGTCGCTTCAGCGTATTCCAAAAACAATCGCAAGGCATATTCAGACCGATCTGAAGGAATTCTTTTGCCCCCGAAATCGTTCGTTGCACACCCGATTGATGGAAATGCACAAGACTTGCATGCTTGGTTGTGACTCGGAACCAGAGTTTCAATATCTTTCACAGACACGTCCAATGAGTTTGAATTGTGCTCAGCAGTCCCGCCGCATAGTCGTAACTAATTATCGCCGGCGTAGTCCAATATATGTCTCTAGCACGTAATATTATCGGCAGAGTCCATTTTGCGTTTCAGGGAGTCTGCGGGTCGTGTACATGCTGATAGCTTGGATAAGCTAGTGTTTCAAGGCTGACGATCTTTCCGCCACTGCAATGAAAAATAATCAAGACCAACAGCAGGCGAGCTTACTGAGGCCGCCCTACTCGTAGCTTCTGAGGACAATCCACTACCTGATCCTCTGCTGCCAACCCTGCCTGCCGATGCTGCGACGTCTTCGATGCTGTGCTGGGCCACAACGTCGTCCACGCTTGCAAGCTGTGGCGATACGCCATTGCGGGTCCCTCTAGACAGACCTGCTTCTGCCAAAGCTGTCGAAAGGGTCTCCCCAGAAGCATCAATCCCAAGCAGGAAGCGTGACACCTCCATGCAGATTTCCCATGCACCGTCTTGTGCGGCCAATCGTAACAACCGTGCGAATTCATGTACCTGGAATTCTTTATCTTTGGGATCTTGTTCGAAGGCGTACAGGACGAGCAGGTAACCTGCAGCAGTGTTCCACTTGTTTTGTGCCAGCGATTGCTCGAAGAGACTGAGCACGGGCGGTAGATATGAGAAAAGCGTCTCCCAGCTGCGCAATTCGGTTTTGCGGGTGCAGTTGACAACAATGTCCAAATACGACTTGAATGCAGAGAGAAATGACAACACCGGCGGCAGAAGAGCTGTCTCGGGTAGGGAGGGTGGATTATCCACCTCAGCATCCAGAACATTGTGCAACAAAACTTCAAGACCGTGTGAGAAGTACGGCAAATGCTGGTAAGAGTTTGACAAGTGCAGAGCAGCAGGAGCATTAAACTCGCCGAGGTGGTACTTCAACAGATGTGGAAGAAATAGCTGAGTGCGCGCGGCGTGGCGGAAAAGGCTGAAGTTGATGTCGCGACGTTGGATCAGCTCGCTGTCGATTCCAGCAACGATTCCCTTAGCGACCACTGTACACAGAGGGTAGAATTCGACGGGAATTGTTACTGCTTGCGGCAAATCCCTTTCGAGGTCGTTAGGGGCACAGGCCAGGACATCCTGGACGTCTGACCATACATTCAGACTGGTGCCATCAAAGTACCACATTGACTCCCGCAGGCTGTGTCCAAAGCTTGCGCCAAAATCACGGGCATCTGTACCTGGTGACTCGGCCTGCCCACTGCTTAGTGAATTCGAAATGCTAGGCTGGTCGCGCAAAAGTAGATAGTATTCCACGTTATGCGCGACTAAGCGCATATCATATTTCAATTCGCCTCGATCGTTGGTCGAGGGCTGGAGGAGGACCAATTTCCCATCAATCAGAAACAGTACCGATGCAGTCGTGACGTCTTGTGAGGGATCGCCGTGCTCTATTTGCTCTTCTGGAATGACCCAGCTGATAGCGCGGACGCGAGAAGGCGCTCGTATGATACCGTGGAAGCCAATTTGACCCATCTGGACAAGTCGAGCCGTAGTGTTTGCACCAATGACAATGACAAAATGTAATAAGGTGTTGTCGTGAGTAAAAACAAGTACGGAATCGGAGCCCGAGACGGTGGTTGATATTGCTGGTGCGGGCAAATCTTCGATATGCTGGATGTGAGTATGGCTGAGCGACTTGTCCCTGGAGTAAAGCCGGATCTGGGGCTTATTTGCAGCTTCCACAGATGCTATCAGAATGTGCTGGTACCAACACATGCCTCCCCGGACAGAAAACTCATTCTCCGCATGTGGATCGTCAAAAGTCTTCCAACGATTGCTCGAGAGACTGTAGTGTGCAAGGCCTCGACGACCAGCGACTGCGACATATTTCCCGTCCGCAGATATGACAGCTTGCTTGATCGGCCATTGTTGTGTAAGATAGTACGAAGGAATTTGAATGGTCTGTAACAGAGGCATGTCTGAGGGAAGGGACATTACGTTCTCCACTTCATGCCCCTTGTAAACCATAATGCTGGTGCTGGAGAACAGTAATCCACGAGAGACATTTGGTGGTGAAAAGCAGCTTGTGGTGGCGCTACGGGCTACGTTCAGAAACCACAGCCGGTTATCGTTCAAAGGTAGCAACGCCAGCTCGCAGCCATTGCCTATCCAGAATGCGCTTTTGATGCCCTGAAGCCACGACTCGTCGTTGGCGGATGTCAGTTCCTGATCATGACTGAATGTGTTTACCCCTGGCTTTCCATATACACTCCATGTAGCCCACCCTCTCTCGTAACCAGCAAAAAGGCAGTAGCCATCAGGAGAATATACCAAGCAGTGGAGACGACCGGGGCCAATTGATGAGATTGGTGTTTTCACTTTGTGCGATGGAGCGATGTTTCCGATATGATCTTTGACCGCATAAACATCGATATTGCCGTCTTCGCAGCCAATTGCTACGAGCGAAAACTTGGCATTGACTGCGATGCGGACTGCCCTGTCTTGGTCCGATGTCGGTTCTCGAAAGCAGGTTCCGTGGAAAAGGCTCTTGGGGTTGTCGGGGTCGGGATTTGCACTCGTTCTCCTGGTGACTGCAAATGCACGTCCATCACTAGTGATCCATGTAGTCAAGTCCATCGGACGGTCGTGAAGCATTTCGACGATGGTACACTTCTTCCCGATCCAACTCATGCGATTCACAAGCTCGGTACTTGTTTGAGACGAACCGCTTTCTGCCACCCAACGAATGCATTGCAGCGCCGAAGGCTTCTGGGTCGCGACCACTAGCTCATCTTCACGTGCCAACACGTTGCTAATCCCAGCATCGATACGCACCACCATCCGAAATCGAATGTTGACTTCGCGTATGCCATCGCCCTCGCCCGGCCCACCACTCACTCCAGTAGAGTTTGGTCTTTTGAGGTTATTGTAACCATCGACACTACTTTTCCGAGTATGCTTGTTCGAATCGACTATGCGTGTCTCATAGACTTTGACCGACGGATCCGTAGCCAAGGAATAGGTGATGAGGTACCCTTGACTAGTTTGCAGGACAATGATCAGCGCATCTGGTCGGAGCAACAACGCTGTATTGGTCCCGTATGACTTGATTGACTGATGCGATCTCTCAATCGCTGCAAGCGCGACCACAGGCTTTGTCTGCCATATGGTCAAGGTGTGTCGAGTGATCGAAGCGAATATTGCGCCTCCGCGCGACACTTTCACATCTATTATTTCATGCTCTTCAAATTCAGCATCAGCGCCGGCGCTGTTGACTGCTGGTGTATCTATTTGAGGCGGTCGATCTGCGCCAGCTGAGGACGAGGTAGATTCGTCGGCCGGCAACCCATCCCGTGAGACTTCAGACCTGGACCGCAAGACCGAGTGTTTCGTCAAAGCATAAACATTCGGGGCCGCGAGGGGCCAGTACATGGCGTCAGGAAGTCGCGCTGGTTCGGCATTGAGCGGACCTCATTCTCTTGTGAACTGCATTAAAAGACGCCTCGGTGCGTAGCATCTTCTGGCTCACATCATAGGACTCAATTCAAGGTCGGAGGTCGCGGTCAATATCAGCGGAGCCCAATGCGTGTCTAGTCGGCGGTGGTCCACCTCCATAAACTGCAGTCACGGGCGCGCTGGAATGGGCCGAGCCGAGTGATTGACTGCACAGAACTTGGAACGCTCACTTGTGTACTGGAGGGAGGGGCCCCACCTTATTGTTATCTAATATTATTGAAGACTACTCAGGCAAACCACCAGCACGACATTTGGTGAGTGCGGACTCGTTACATGGTGCGGGCGGCGATTCCCATATTGATAAAGACAACAACACGATTGATTTTTACGCGAAAAATCCTACCCTTTGGTGACGTCGAGAGGAGCCGCCGACACAAGTAAACGCCAACCTTGCACAGCGATATTTGAGATCACCATGGAACACGACTACGCGAGCGATACCGACAGTGACTATGCCAGTTACTGGCGCGACTGGGTAAGTCATGACTTTGCTTCGTTTCTGTCGACAGCAGTCTTGTGCAGTTCGAGTCGCACGCGAGCCGTGACCCTCCTGGGCGGAGTAGCCAGCTGTCACTATACTGGTCATGATCCAGGATGTCAGTGGAACAGGTCGACGATCCATATCAAGTCGGTGTTCGTGATCATGATCATGCGGTCATGTATCAAAGCAGCCTTTGACCAACATAGAAAGTGGACATGCACACCATGAGTCAAGATTGCGAGCTCCCTGCCATCGCCTAAACAATTTCTTGGGATTCGTGAAATTATGCCATGGACCTGCGGCGTTCATCATGGACCACCGATTCCAGCTCGGACGATTCATTTGTGTCGTCGTCACTCTCGCTGACTTGCATGCCACAGTTTGTATCGTCGCGAGGAAACGAATATTTCTGTGAGATAGACGAGGACTACCTTACCGACCGTTTCAACCTTACGGGCCTCAATCTTGAGGTCACATATTACCAATACGCCCTCGATCTCGTGACCGATGTCTTCGACATGGACGTGGACGACGACATGCGAGAAGCGATCGAAAAGTCTGCGAGGCATCTCTACGGGCTCGTCCACGCTCGGTACGTCGTCACCACACGCGGTCTCACAAAGATGGTAAGTGACTTGACTCCCAGCTGATACCGTGGGACTCGTGATTCTGACGATGCGTAATCTAGATGGAAAAATACAAACAGGGCGTCTTTGGCAAGTGTCCTCGGGTAATCTGCGAGTCTCAACATTTACTTCCAATGGGTCAGCATGATCAGCCTGGACACTCCCATGTGAAACTGTACTGCGCCAAATGCGAGGACATCTATAATCCAAAGTCTTCGAGGCACAATTCGATCGACGGCGCATACTTTGGTACCAGTTTCCATAACATCCTGTTTCAAGTATATCCTACACTGCAGCCACGAAAGACGCAACGGAGATACGAACCTCGTATCTATGGGTTCCGTGTTCATGCAAGCGCCGCACTTATGCGCTGGCAAGAGGAACGGCGTGAAGAGCTGAAGGAACGCTTACGTGATCTATCTCTTGAGACTGGCTTCGAAGAAGAGGACGAAGGCGACGAGGAAATTGAGAGTGAGGACGACGAAATCGACATCGAAGAGCAGGACGGCATCGACGATATGTTCGAAGGCCAGATGCAGCCAGTCGCCTAAATTGCATGTACTACTCCGCCGCCGTATGTAACATGCTCGGAGGCACGATAAGTACGCCACGCAACGAGCGTCAAACATCCGCTTAATTTTCATTGAGCACAGATTGACCATTGCGACCGAGGTGTCGCGAAATTGAGGAGATGCACGCCTGAGGGGTTGTATCGCGCCGAATGTCTTTTCAACAACAATCTCTTCCAACAAGCTGTTCAGTGTCAAGATTGATGCTCACCAAAGTCACACGCCCGCTAAGTTCAGACGCCGAGACTTCTCATTCTCATCAAACATTCTCGCTACAGCTTCCAACCTCTCCTCCGCGCTAGAATTGTTTCCTGCCGGACGGCCAAATCAGATATGATTTCCTCAGAGCCTCCACCAACGACCATCATGCGCAGATCACGACTCATTTGCTCAACAGTCGCACCAGGGCCTCCCTTCTGGTATCCAGCTCCTCCTAGCACCTGCTGCGCCTCTCGGTTCGCCAGCTCCTGTATACGTCCACCCTGCACCTTCGCTAGAGCGATACGACCAGCCACGTCGGGGTCCTGCCAGCCCTTTGACGACTGCTGCACGGCATAAGCTATCTGTTCAAGGTATGCCCAATGGCTCTCGATATACCGAGCAAGCGTGGTGAATTTGGCAGCAATGATTTGATTCGAAATCAAAGGTTTGCCGAAGGTCTCACGTTTGTGGGCGTACGCAAGTGCAACCGAAAGACACGTTCGCGCCTTGCGGTTGCACTGGACACTCATGATATATCGTTCGCGGTTGAAGTTGACCATGACGACGCGGAAGCCTTGGTTCTCTTTCCCGAGGAGGTTTTCCACCGGCACTCGCACGTTGTCGAGCTCGATCAAGGAAGCACCGCCAGCCTTCTGACCACTGTTGGGGATGCGGCGCATGGAGAGACCGGGTGAATTCATGGGAATCACCACTACCGATATACCTGTTGCCCCGGGTCCGCCCGTCCGGACGGCGGTCGTCATGTGCGTAGCCCAAGGTGCACCAGTGATCCATTTTTTGTAGCCGTTGACAATATAGAATTTGCCATCGGGAGTCTTCTCGGCTATAGTCTGAATGTTCGCCACGTCGGAACCGCCTGTAGGCTCTGTGATGCCCAAGCAGAAACTCGTCTCCCAGTTGAACAATCCCGGCAGCCATTTCTGCCTCTGTTCCTCCGTGCCGTGATGAATGACAGGCGGAATTCCAATGACGGACGCTCCTGCCAAACTGATCAGACACGCGCCTTCCACCCGTGCTGTCTCGTCCGTCTGCACTAGAAGATGGAAGGCATCGAGCTTGTCGACGGAGATACCGGCCGGATCCGGGATACCATCAGGCTTGTACTTTGCAGGCACGTCTGCGAAGGCGAAGCCGGATTTCGCCCACTTGAATGCCTGATCACGAGGCGCTTCGCCGGCCTCTTCCCATTCCAATGCGTCTGGGAGGATGTTCTGATCGATGTACTCGCGGATGGCGTTGCGGAGTTTCTTGTGGGAGTCGTTGTAGTATGGCGATGGGATGCCGTGATACCATGCTGGCTCGGCCCAGGGCGCGAGATCCCCAAAGGGCTTGTCTTCCGCTTGGGACGGCATGATAATTATTTCCTGTGGACGAGAGATCCGATGTCTAGCTACCTAAGTAGGTAACAGGGCTTCTCGAGTGCTTCGAACCTGTGGTCCGGCTCCACTCCAACAAGATCGACAGGAATCCTTGGTGGCGACTTTCGACGGATGAGGGGATCAAGAGGGCTTAAGAGATCACGGGAACAACATTCATTTCGAGGGCGACGGTTCCTTGATGTATTTATCAACATTGGTCAATCCCCTACTATGCGCAATGGCTGGACCTCTAGTGAGTGGCAGTTCTATACGGCTGTGGCCAATCTTTCTAGATGCGGAAATTCATCTACGAGAGGGCAAAGCCCGGCCACCTCGGCTCCTGCCGGTGGAGGTGTACGAGTCTGTATCGACGACACGAAGATCGCTACAATGAACATCAATCTCCATGGTTCACATTCGTCCTGGGCACCGGTGTTATACTCAGATGAAACGTAGATCTTGCGACCAAAGAAAATGAAAATCAATCAGCTCGATTATCCAAATTTCCAATGAAATGGTTCGTATAAATTCGTTGCTTGTTGATAAGTCGACGCGGCAAAGCAACAACAGAAGTGACAAGCAGCAGCCCATCGCCGGAAAAGGCGAGGCATTAATTACTCCGGCAATACAGCCATAAATTTGTCGTGTTGATATTTCCTCCCCATGGCGGATCGAGTGTACACGGATTTCTGCGCCGACCACCTCATCGCCCGTCGAATGACGAATGGATTTTGCGCCCCCCTGAGACGAATCCATTGCGACAATTATTAGAACTTTTCCTCCCCCTCCATGCAAAATCAACGCAAAAGAAAAAGGGAATCCAGAACGCCCATCGAAATCAAAAAAGAGTGCCGCCAAAGATTGCGATGATCATGGGAGCATTCCCGCAACTTGCTTCCTCAAGCAGTCTGTCTGCGTTTGTCCCGGTTGAAGTGGACGGTGCAACGGTCCTCTCTCCGATGATCTTGCTCTGATTAATATATTAATGGAATCGAATAAAAGAAACGAGATGAAGGATTTGATGGTACAACGGCAGCCCATCAGAGACGGCGGTCAGGGACCAAGTTGCGCCGATGATGTTGGGTGATAGATATGTCGTCAGTTGGAGACAGGCCTGCAGCATTCATTGTGGTGCTGAGTCTTGCCGATGCCCTGATCAGACAATCTCTGGGAGAGAAGTTTGCAGAGCATGCAGCATTGTGTGCGATGATCTGGAAGTAGTGAAATACAAAATAGCAGGTGGTGCAGAGTGCAATGACTCATGTCAAGAGCAGAGACGTTTTGGCGCGATCCGCACAATTTGTGCTCAATAGGATCGCAAAGGAAGAGACTTCACTCTGGAGTCTCGTGGTATCAGGTGGCGAGTTTGACTCGGCTGTGCAAAGAAAAAACCAAAAAAAGTTAAAGAAAGTCCCGTGGTGGGGTTTGCTGTTTGCGCCATGCCTAAGCATCATGAGGATAGCGCCGAGGCAATTCAACGCAAACGGCGAGATGTTTTAGGAAAGGTAAGATCTGTGGTTTCGTATCATTGACCGTTGAAGCTCTCTGGGCTGCTCGAGGCCACTGAGCCCTTCTTCGATTTCTCCTTTTCGAAATGCTCAGGGCCGTGGTTAGAGAATGTATAATTTTTGGGGCCGGGATCGGCTGCCTTTCGGGGCAGCGTCGCTTGCTTGATGTCCTGTGGTGGGCTGTATTCATGGACGAACAACTCACTGGCTGGTGCAGATGCGCTAGAGATCTTATATAGATGGGTATTGACTTCGGCATTCGGAGAGCCGTTTGACGAATCTGTGAAGTTGAGCTGCCCTTGCGACGACATGTACATCTGATTCTGCAGCGCATTGGTCTCGTTCGCGGGAGCCACTTGGGGCAAATGTTGTGATTGTTGGACGGAGGCGGATGGGATCTGACCCAAGTTGGACAAGCTCGTGGGCGCACCTGCAAAGGTGCTATCAGGCAGTAGCTGAAACTGTGGCAATGACAGCTCGGGCGGCACACCACAGTCAGAAAGTGCAAATTGTGGGCCAGGAAATGATGACATCATGCCCAAGGAGTACTGCTCGTCAGACAGGCCGGCAGTAATAAAATGCGAATTCTGCGGCGAGATGAGCGGTTGCATTATTTGCTGGGTAGTGGCAACAAATGGAGGAGGAGGTGGTGGGGGCATCGAGCTGTTTTGCTGTGGCAGAGAGTATGCGTTGGCAGAAAAGCATGACTGTGACGCAGGCGCCGATTGTGGGGGCGTGTTTTCCAAGATTGTCGGCCCTAGACGACCTTGGATGAACTGTTGATAGGGATGACTCGTGAACATTGGAGTCGAGGGCGGAGAAGAAAAGGCCGGTTGTGACGAGGTAGTGGACCCATGCATGAAACCACTACTGTGCTCGGCATCGGTTTCACTGATGCTGGTGTGCCGGCTCAAGTGCCCGACAGACGACCAACCAGCAGATTGCGGCTGTCTACCATACTCAGCGAGCGTCATTTCAGTCGGCGAAAGAGGCGTGGGGGGGGCAAGGCTACTTCCAGCGGTAGAAGATGTCGATGCATGACGGAGCGCTTTCGGGGAGCTTATGGACTCAGCAAAAGTAAAGTTCAGCGGCGAACGCTGCGCAGGGCCAATGGTGCTGCACTTGGCAACTCGTCCGTTCGTGACGTTGTTCATTGCCATATGCGACTGAATTCGTCGCAGTGGTTGCTGTCCCGGTTTCAGACCTGGCGACGGAGATGCGGGCCCGGAGGCACCGCTGTACGAAGTGCTGCGTAGTGACAAGGCTGCTGGCCGTTTGACGTGACGCCGTGCTGCGATGCTGGACGGTTGCTGCGGAGCTTTGAACTGGCCCTGCAATTGTGGCTGCGGTGTTTGTAAAGCGAATTGGCTCATCTGCTGAGTGAGCACCACACTGTTCTGCGAGTCGCGACGCAGGAAATCATCCTCGCCCGACCATGCCAGTGTTGCATCGACCGACAAATGTGCGGATTGCAACGCCTGCTGCTGGGCCTGTGCTTCGTGGAATTGCTGTTGAAGAAGGCCGTGCTCGATGGGCTTACTCTGGCCTGGTTGCCATTGAGAAGAATCCGTAAGCGACTGCTGGGCAAGTTGGGATTGTGATTCGGACGTCGACGTACTGCAGCTATCCGTCCAGTCGACTGGAGATGCAGAGAAAGTGGTCGAATCGCCAACGGAGCTAGATGTGGGATAGTTGGATTGATCGGAGGGATTAGAAGGTAGTGAGGAGTCATGGCTAGAAAGGGCGTCGCCGTAAGCACTTGGGAAGACATTTTCCTCCTCGTGGTTCCAGTCTTGCCCTTGGGTAAACGTCTGGGCCGTAACTTCTGTAATGGTGGGTTGGCTGTCTTGAACTTGGTTGAAATGACCAGGCGCTTGCATATCGTTACCGCCTTGACTCAACGCATTGAATTGTTCCTGGGTCAGCGTGAGCCTATTCGTCTCTTGCGGGCTGTCGAAGATGTTTTGAGTGAGCGGGACCTGCAGACTGCCGCCTGGATACGAATCTGCTGGGCCAACACTGAACATGGTTCCTGGATGGTGAGCGCCCTGGTATTGAGCCAAAGGCAGGCCTCCGAGATCGAAGCCAGCCCCGAGGTGTTCCTGTGACGCGCACTGCTGCATCATGGCAAAGTACTCGCGTGAAGCGAATGCGGACATGTTGTCGGAATCGGAGAAGGTATTGCCATTGTTAGGTGGGAACATGTTGAACGCGCCTGCTTTCTTGGCATCCTGCTTTGACTTGGCGCGCCGATTTTGAAACCAATTCTAGAGAAACACTGTCAGCATACTATCATAGGAGCGAAATATAGGCTTCCGTGAGCGACATACGTTCACCTTGTCCAGCGAAACATTGAGCGACTCAGCAAAACGCTTTTTTGTGACGGTATTCGGCTTGTTCTGCTCTTGATAATGCGCCTCTAAGATATCGTGCTGCTCCTTGGTGAGGCGCGGCTTGATGTCGCAGGAGATTTGAGGCGGAGGAATCGCAGTTGCGTAGTAGGCTGTCTTTGGGTCCGCCATGACTTGATACGGGTGCTGAGCGCCATCGAGGTACGAGTCGGTATTATCCGCATAGATATGCATCCCTGCTGGAGGCGCGAAAGCCATATTCCGAAGAACAGGTCTATAGCCGACGTCTCAAGACTAGAGACGAGATGGCACCGAGAGGCGATGAGATTGATAGAAGTGGGACTATGCCCCAGCGACGAGTCGCTCAGGGAGTGAGGGAGAGCGAGAACGGCAAATGCGAAGCGAATGTGGGTGAAATGCAAGGAACGAACGTCTGACGGTAGGCCGCCCGTGGTTCAGACCCCGATGTATGCCTAGCAACGGGCGCAGGTGGGAGCACGATGCGACGTTCCAGGAAATAGAAGCCAGCCCTGAAGTTGGCGGACAATCGCTGAGCAGTGGGAGTCCGGTCCGGGGAGGCGGCGCGCAGTTATGACAGGCGCGATAGTAAGGTCGGCAGGATTCATGCGTCGCCGAGTCGAGAATGATAACGAGAGTGTCGGAGGTCCGAGAAGGTAATAAGATCGATCCGCGGCTGCTAGAAAAGGGCACCACTTGGAGGTGGATCAAGTGGACCTAAAGTGAGGAGAATGATGGAAACCCGGAATGGTGAGGAGAATGATGGAAGCCCGGAATGGTGATGAGGGCGGACGTCGTTGAGAATCGAAGGCGACAAAACAGAAGAAAGGAAGACGCCGTGTTTCCGTGATTGTCGCGGCAGTGGAATCACAATGGCGGAAGGAAATGAGCGCGATGAAGATCACCGGGCGGTGGTGATGAGAGAAAGAACGAATATTGGGATGTAGTGGTGGTGGTTCATCAGCACAGCGAGTGAGAGGGAGATGAGGAGGAGGGCGGACAGCACCTGCAGTACTAGGTATTCTACAGAACGGCCCCCGGGGTAGCGCTGTAGACGCCAGCAGGAAGCCAGTCGATCCTAGGAACACACCACACCACCATCACATCGAGTATCAACGAATGGCTTTCATCACGCGCATTCACCAATCGCAGCTGTCGATCCATACATAGATGGGTTCGAGCGTCATTACACCACGGTCGGCCGGCTACGCAGGACAAACCTTTGGGCACCTGGGCAAGGAAGGACGCGGCTTTGTCCGTCTACCGGAAGCGACAACGGAGGAGGAGAAGTACCTAGGGAGGAGGAGGATGGGGACGTACGAAGGCACGGCGGGCAGACATATGCACACGCATACGCACACGCACACGCACGTTGCTGCAGCTGAAAGAGAGCGAGAGAGCGAGAGAACGCGAAAGAGAGAGAGAGAGCGCGCGCGCTGACCGGACAGTGCCCACCCACAGCAGGTGTGTGAATGGGGGGCCGACCAGTTTGTGGGTGGGTGGGTAGGTGGGTGCAGGTGGATTCACTATCCGGTCCGGCAGGTTTTCAACGCAGACGATGATGAGAAGCTGTAGGGCTTCTCCTTCGCTCGCTGTTCTCAGATACAGTACTGCCCAGGTGAGTACTGTACCTACCTAGTACTGTTGGCCGCCAAAAAAACACTCCGGCTTCCCTCTCTCCTCTCCAGCACCCAACTGCGGGTCGAAGTACTTATCATTCATTGGTCCTGGCCATCTAGGTACTGCCTGGCGCATTTTGGAGAAAACAACGTCGTCGATCATGATGATGGCGCTGTTGACGGTGTTGACGATGACGATAACGGTGACCGTGATGTTGTTCGCTGTTCGCTGTTCGTACTGATGACTGCATGTGTCGTTCCGCTCAAGGGCAAATGTCCACAGTATGTATACTATGCTGTGCTGTGCTATGCCTGTTGTTGCCCTGCAGATACTCATCGACTCATCGGGTTCCAAGTGCCTGCAGCATCATCATCATCATCATCATCATCATCCGTCAGTCCATCCGTCCGCCGGTCCGCTCAACCACTGATTTTGATCGTCATCGTAGGTGTGCATGAACAGGCCCATCCGAAGCTGTACGCACACACACACACAATCTGCTGTGTTCGAAGGTGTGGGAACTTCACTGCCCGTGCCTTGCTGCTCGCTGGATGCCGCCCACCAGACAGGTCAGCTCACCTTCTTGGCGACGCATCCATTCCTTCTCAAGGAACTGCGCTCGTTCAGGTCGTGTCAAAGTCAACAGAGTGACCACCGTCGTCAATTTGCCGTGCGCAACAATTGAAATGGCAATCTCGAAATGCTCAATTACCAAAGTACCTGGGTGTCCATGAGCGATCGAACATCGTCATCCGCAGTCTATCGTTCCAAGGTTGGCACTACCCATGATTTCTAGCAGGAAAGGACGGCGACGGCTCCTGCCATCTGACATGAGTTACCGTCGAAAACGCCCCAGCGGGGATGATCACTCCTCACAGCGACGGCACATTTCCGGATCGACCTCAGAGAGCCTCCATTCGTTGGCATCCGAATCATTGCCGAGTTCAAGTTTTTGATGCTCGTCCCGTCTTCCTACATAGTCGTATTCTTTTTTACCGCACTAGGTATCCATAGATCTTTGTATTGGTGTGTTCACTATCACACTACAGTGCATGTGATGGACTTATTTCTTGCTCAGCTAGAACTGCCCGCAATTGGCTCCTCGATGCGATGCTTTTGGAAGGCCAGAGTCATCAGTCCATCCAGCGACCTCCCGGACAGATCCAGTATTTCCTCAACGACCGGGAAGAGACAAGCGAAGGTCACACATGAACAACGTTACAACCCGAGCACGACCCCCTCAACCAGATACGTCTGCCACATCTAGCCGTTATCACGCAGTGACGAGCGGAACCGTACGAAGAGCTGGTCTGACAGTCCGAGTCTGAACTGTGGTTCGCAGCCGGCGCAGGGCACGGCAACGCACCAGATCGTGGACTGACGAATGGATGTGCAACCCAGCGTGCCCGGATATCCTTTCACGACGGCCATATACACAATCAGCAGCAACACCTCGCTTAATTCCTCTCGATTGTTCCTTTGACTCGTCATCTTCAGCTCTTATTACCGCGTCACCTTTACGCAGGTATGTCGCCTCGTCATATGCCATACTACCTGCAATTGGATGCTCGACCGCAGAGGTCCAGGCATTTTAGGCGCTCGGAGTTCGCTGCTGCGCCCGAGCAATGATGAACAAAACACTCCCTTCTCAGAAGGTCGATTATAAATAGCAGCGAACGCGTGTCAGATCCATCTAGACCAGACGAGGCCAAGCATCCCAGGCCTCTGATTTGTGGCCACATCAACATCATTAATGTCGGTAGACTATTGACCGCACGGGACAAGCGCAAGAGGAATCACGTCGTGAAAATGCGATTGACGCGTCGAGCTGCTTCCCTTCCAATTTGTGTAATGTCCGCTGAAATGACGCTGGCGCCCCCCTTTCTAGCAATCGGAGCCCGAGGCTGCATTCGCGCCGTCACACACGCCTAATTTGCCATAATTTGCAGTATTTTCCCTGCGAGGACGCTCTCCGTCCAAACATACATCCAGCCAACCTGGAACCTGACAGTTCTCTCCGATTCAGAGGCAACCCAGTAATTTGAAGTTCGAAATGGACGTGGAGCTCATACATTATGTGGTCACAAGGAACGAGAGACACCATGCATGCGACGTCTTCACGCATCGGCGGTCAACGTCCATGCATATCTCAGCATGCCCATGGCTCGGCCATCATCAGCACACATCCATCAGTCAGATCTCTCTCATGACCACATGCCGGCCAGACAGTACCAAATCTCGAACTGGTGGAGTGCGGCATCGAGCGCTTTCCCCATTGGCGCCATCCCCGACTTGGAGCTAGCTCGACCCTTTCAGGAACGGCACGAGTCATCCGCCGGCGCTCGCGGAGAGAAGCGGGGGGTAGCAGCCACTCGCTCCTTCTCACGCTTCCTCCTCTTGCACACCTGCACTTTGCACAACATCTCAAGGGTTACTCTTTATATAACTCATCAGGTGTGACAGAAAATCTCGCTCGGCCTTTCTTGGGGGCGCACAGTACCTAATTAGAGTACCTAACTATGCATGTAGAGGCAGTACAAGCCCCCAGGTGGTGTCCTCTACCGACGGGCTACAGACAGTACTTGATATCCTAGCATGGAGGCGTGCGTGATATTATGCGCAATGCGTGATCAGCCTCGCAGTGCATCTTGCTTCCTTCCCTCGTGGCTTTTTGCTTTCTTGTAGCGTTTATCAATAAAGTTTCCCGCTGTTTAATTGCACGCGCTCGGAGATCCCAAAAAAGCGCCGGGGTCGGACTTCGTTCGGACAGCGTGGGGGGTGGGACTGAGGACGTGAGGCCGTTTGCTTTCTCCCCATGTCTTCGGTCTCCCTCGCTCTTTCCAAGACACATGGACCGGAACGACCACTATCGTCGGTGGTGTTCCCGATTCGATGGCCGGGAAATTTGGAAGTGCTCCATACTCTCGAATGCCCATGATCCCACCTCTGGATGTCTAGCCTTGCGATGCACGAGCGCTGGCCAGCCGAATCCATCGTGCTTATCTCCTCCCGATCCACTGGAGTGGGTTCTCGACCTTGCCATCAGCCACCAATATTCCGTGGATTGCTTGCACTGTGACAGAAATCTTCGATGGAGGACTAGCCCTCGACGGTTCGAAGTCGCTAGCTCAGATTACTGGCTGGCTGTTCATCGACTTCTATCATGGACGAGGTCCAATTCAAACATAGACTCGAGAGCAATATTGGGACGATGATTGTAGCATTTGCGCTCTCCGGTATGGACTCCTGCAAACTCGCTCGCAGTGGCTCTGCTCAAACGAATCGCGAGATAAAGGCGGCTAAATCTAGGCCTCTCACAAGGCGCAGCCAATATTGATTGTTGTCACACCACCAAAGCCTGCCACATTCGTGGTCCCTTTGCAACATTGGGCACGATCTATCTTCGGAAGTTAATCACATCACCAATCGGTTTCCTGACAATCCAAATTTCATCCGACGATCGCGGGCGTGCCCAGATACTGTTCCTGACCCCAAGGCTGTCGATAGCAACCCCGGAACACGCTTGTTACAACGGTCCTGTAACTGCCGATAGATCTTGCAGAAGCAGATGTCTAGTGTCCCCTGCTTCTGTGCAAGCAGCCATAATTACATCATTTTTCCATGAGCACTTCAAAGGCAGATACTGTAGAAGTCTTGTCGCGTCGACGATTGAAGTCTACGGGTCGCTTCGCTTGTCGTCATGATGTGCAGATCTTATTACCATATCCCTATTTTGGAATCGGTCAGATTCAAGGGGGGCTAATCCGACTGCCCAGGTGCTTAAGCGATTCGAGCAAGCATGACACTCTTCCCTCGCCCTCCTGCACAGATTTGTTTCTCTGATTCAAATTTATAAAATGTGTATGATCTAGAAGACCAAACACATGTGATACACGTCTTTTACACATGCCTAGTAGTATTATTTAGCTGGAGAAGACTTCATAGAAGTAACAATCATCTGATTGGTCATCGGGGCCTCACCCCATTTCTACATTGCGACGGTATGCGACAAACACATCCGACAAGTCCACAACTTTGACAACGCGGATCTCCGGGATGAAATGCGAGTGAATATTTTGTTTGATCGCTGTAATCTTCAGCTTTGTATGTCGTGCCAATGACTGCATGTTCATGGAAGCGGGAGAGGTCTCTGCTCGGCTTCTACGGCCACCTGCACGCGCGCAAAATAAATGCAAATCATACATGATTACGAATCGCAAAAGCCTCTCTTATATTTCAGCTATATGTTCTGCGCCTGCGGACGTGCCGCCAATGCCCATGGAGCGATCCTCAATCTCTCGCTATATCTGGTGGGTGAAGCACCTGTTGTCGATACTTATCACGCTGCCTAGCGCGTCAGATGCTGTGATTCATAGGTATATGAAGGATATGGAGGAATGATATAGCTACTGTACGTCGCTACTGTAGGTACGCAGCTGAGAATTGCGCCAAATGTTTGTTTAAGCATAGCTTAGGCCTCGTGTAACGCCCGGACCATCCTATTGGATCGACTTACGCGGCCATTCCACCTTAAGCTTCAAGGCGACCTCTGGAGCGAAAGCTGATCACATAGGCGGAAAAGATGATAGAGATGGCCTGACGTCGCCGTCACTTTCGCATAGACATCATCCTCCATCAACACACGCCAGGGAAGCAAACGTCAAGAAAGCAGCGTCAGTCAGGTCACATAGTAACTTTCATTGTTGTTGTTCACGAGCCATGCCAGAGACGTTGTAAGTGCAATGACTCCTCCTCGGAGCTCGTTTCCGCCGCCCAATAGATCACTCTTGTTCGCATGCTGAACGAATTCACACAAAAGTGCATTCCGCCGAAGTGAGACCGTAGCTCAGCAGGAATATGAGCAGCAGCTTCACGATCAGGCCAATTTCAGCGTCGCGTCCAGCGAAGATCTCGACAAGGATTTGGATAAGATGACCGTTCACGACGGGGATAGCAGCGCAAAGGCCGAGAGCAGCAATGCAAGCATTGTCGATGAAAAGAAGAAACATGGCATCAAAGGCGCCTTCCGGGGCTTCTACAAAAATGTCATCAAACCTGCATTTCCAGAGGCCATTCAAGATATCAAGATCATGCACGGCATGACTGCTCTAGAGGCTCGAGTAAAGAAGGAAATCGTCGACTCGAATCTCTTCCCCGAGGTGAACCACGTAGCAGAGGTCCGCCGAGGTTTGGAATTGTGCCCAGAAGAGCAGGCATTCCTCGCGAAGCGCAAAGCTCACGTCCGCGATCACTTTGCCAAATATCTTGGCCTTGATCCCTCCGAAGTCGACCCGCGAGATGTCCCGGTTGTCTCATTCGGTGGCAGTGGTGGTGGTTTTCGTGCTATGCTCGGCTGTTCCGGCTACTCCCAGAGAATGAAGGATACTGGCCTGTGGGACTGTTTGAGCTACGTCTCAGGCGTATCAGGTTCGTGCTGGTCGCTCGCTGCATACTATACCATTGGTAAAGGCAGCCATCAGAAAGTGATCGATCACTGCAAGACGCGCCTTGCGCCTTACCATCCTTTGTCGGGCGATGCGATCCGCACTATCTTGAGCTCGCCAGGAGGTGCTCGCATCACTTTGGGTCCCCTGATCCAGAAGAGTAAAAGTGGCCTGCAGACCGTAGCCATGGATTTATACGCCGTGTTCACTACGGGTTGGATCTTTTTCCAAGAGGATCCGGTCAACGCTCCAGGTGGTCATGCCGAGAAGGAAGTGGCCGGCGCACAGCGCTCGTGGTACAAGTACTCTTCCGCTCGTGAATACACCGACAATGGTGGCGATCCGTTGCCCATCATGACTGCAATCCGACATGAACGACCCTGGAGGGACTGGGTTGACAAGGAACATCCCTTCAAGGAGCCGGATCACTCGACCGGAGAACATGCCGAGGCGCCTGACGCGTGGTTTCAGTGGTTCGAGATGAGCCCGTACGAAGTCGGCTGTGATGAAATCGAGGCCTGGTGTCCTACTTGGGGTTTCGGACGCCCATTCGAAGAAGGCAAATCGACGATGCAGCTGCCAGAGCAGTCTCTTGCTCTACTGCTGGGCCTTGCCACGAGTGCGCCAGCGGGCCCGCTCACGTCATACCTCTCCACCGTTAGTCGCAACTTACCCACGGGCTTCTTGGGAAACTCAGTGCACAAGATGGCACAGACTGTGGCGAGATTCTGGGGCAAACAAGGCACAGAAGAGTTTTCCAACCATCACCCTCTGCATGCATGTAACGAGCACAACTTCATGTTTCACTACACGCCGTTAAACAAGGAGAAGGGACGGCCTCCTGGCCTGGAGAATTCGCCCAGAATTCATTTGATTGACAGTGGAATGGACAACAATTGTCCGACGTACGTCTTGTTGCATCCTGCACGTGAAGCGGATGTCATCATCAACATGGACGCTTCCAGCGACGTGCAAAAGGATACATTCCAAGAGCGAGTAGATCAGATCGGCGGCCGACGAGGCATGAAGTTCACCAAGAGGCACGACGTCAAAGCCGGTGAAGATCCTAGTGATCCAGGTCGCTTTGATGGTCTGTACGCCCAGATCTATGACGGAGTGCCGTGCGAGCGACCAGCGACGGTGGTCGATTCATACGGCCGAACAGTCACAAATCCCCCTGCTCCGGTGTACAGCCGCGAATGTACGATGATCTACATGCCGCTCCTACCCAACGAGCGCGTAGTCCCGGACTTCGACCCGTCGACCGCCAAATTCTCCGGCTCGTACAATCTAGTCTGGACTGCTGAGCAAGTCGAGACACTGATCAAGGTCTGCAATGCGAACTTCAACGACGGTGAAAGCACAATTCGGGAAGCTCTCCACGAGGCCTGGTTGCGTAAAAAGGCCTTGCGAGAGGGGACCTACAAAGGACCTGCGCATACCGTGCCAGCGTCTGCGACAGCCCAACGCCCCGTGGATGTTTCGACTGAGCAGCAATCCACTGACTCGTCTCTCCCGGTGCAGCCATCTGTTGTGCCAGGGACGCAACAGCCTGTCCAGCTCACAGCAGAGCAACTTTCCGCCAACCAGCAAAGCGCAGGCGGCATCTCGGCTCCAGCAGCCGTCAACGGACAGGCAGCACGGCCTCAAGGAGTTGTGGGATCCGCAGATCAAATGTCATCACACCCCGCACACCCGACGACGTCTTGATTAAGACGTGATCTAATGACGAAATGATTTGGAAAGCAGGCTCTCGTAAGGACTAGATATATGTGGAACGAATTGATGACCATTATTTCTTCGCGTGCAAATTTCCCCTCTCATCAGTGACTTGACAATTCTTCTCTAGGTCTGATGGGTACCGACAGGCGTACAAGCTCGGGTCTTCATCCTTGACCCTCAACAGCACTTGCATATGGCGGAGACTTCTACAATGTGACATGCAAGTTGAGTCACACCGAGTCTGTCCTCTGACATCCCCATTACTCCCACAATCCATCTCGGATCCTAATCTTGACTAGCCCGGTCCCTGTCTGCATTCCGATGCAGTCGATGCTGTCCAAATCCTTTACAATCCAATCCGCCCCAGCGGTTTGCAGTTCTGCAAAGGAATGCGTCGTGACGAGACCGAGGACATCAAATCCTGCCGCCTTGCCGGCTCGCACTCCCGCGGGAGCGTCCTCGAGTACCAGGATCCGCTTGTTGCTCGTATCGTCGAAGCCGAGCCGTTTCGCACCGAGTCGGTAGCATGCTGGATCCGGCTTTCCCTTCTCGACCTCCTCTGCCGTCACCATATGCTTTGGCTGGGCCAGTTTCATTTTGTCGAGCCAGCCCGTCACGAGCGGGGTGGTGCCCGAGGTCACGATCGCCCAGGGCGCATTGAGTGATTGCAGGCGATCAAGCAATTTACGACTCCCGGGCACTTCGACGGCGTCGGAGCCGTAATCGATCGGGATCCGACCCTCGGCTTTGCAAACATCTTTCCACATGATGATTCAGCCAGGATCTCTTCGGTTGTATGGATTGGACTTTGTGCGGCTTGGATCATGACTCATGGGTGTGAGAGGGCCAGGGAGGTAGCTTACAGTCCCAGTTGGCTAGGTTCGGCGCGAGGATAGACAGGACGTCGATGCTCCGCCTGCCGTGCGACGTTTTCAATATCTCTGGTAATCGTCTGTGGTCAGCCCTCTTCAAGATGAATGCCGTAAAAGGTGGTTGTATAAGCGATTGATGACATAAGGTCATGCTTTACGTACCATTGCCATCAACGCCAATGTTCTCGCCCATCTGTAACCAGTACTTGATAATCGCCGGTGTCGAGTCAATGATTGTGCCATCCATGTCAAACAGCTGTCGAGTATGTTTCGTCAGTAGATATTGAGCTTCGTCTGCCAGCGTCATTGTAACCATACCAGAGCATCGAAGCCGTGGGTCTCCGGGGCTCTGATCTTCACTTGAGAGTCTTCCATGGCGAATTCCGTGCCTTCGACAGGCTCGCTGTCTTTGGCTGCGACTTATTGCGATTCTAAGCTCCTGTATCGGTGTATGTTGGCGAAGCAGTTCGACCAGTCTTTCCGAGAATCCGATGAAGTACGGGGTTCGAAACGAGCGTGCCCAACCTTTGATCCCAATCACTACTACAATATCGACATGTTTGAGGTTGATCATGGGTACGGCGATGCCTCGCCTGCAAGTCTACAATTGGGTTGATAGGGTTGTACACCAACCCTAAACAGCCCCAAGTCCAGGGCTCACGACCTTCAAAGGTTCGCATTTACTTGTGGCCAGTGAGCGGTCGACAAAAAGCCATCTCCATTTTTATAGGCACACCTCTGCACTACAAACGTGGACCGTGAGCATTTCGATCGATGTCTCTACCTGCGAGAGATCGGTCGTCTACCATAGAATTTTATTGCGCTCCCCACCCATGCGCTCATAACATCATCCTGGGATTGTCCAGACCCAGCAGAGGTTGATACCATCGCAGGGTGCTCAAAGTGTGACCTCACCAATCTTGCTCAGACCCTTCAGCGAGCCGAGACTGAGTGCTAGGCCTTGCGAACGGCTGCGTATCCGCATAAATCCAGTGACAGGGCCATTCTCGCCCTCTTTCTCAACGCTCAAGTTGGCAAGAGCATCCTCACCTTAGAAGCAGAATGTTAGCAAGCCATAAACAAAACACGGGAGCATACGGGAGAAACTTACCAAAAACGCTTCGTGCATACAAGTTGGCGCTCAGGAATTGACAATCACCCTCTAAGCTAGCCTCTGGTGTCAGGCACGACATATTCGTGACCTTCATCAAGCGCTGGAGGAAATCCCGCAGGTTCGTATCAGCAGGCATCTTCGTGTTGATGTTGACCTTGTTCTCCCACTCAAACTCTGTCCACATAGCTCTGAACTGCGTTTCCGTGCAATGCGCTGGTTGAATGTAATCCATGATATCAACGTGAACATCGTTCAGAATAACGACGTTTGTTTCAGTGGACGACGGGCCATCGTACACAACGTTGCCGAAAATGACGCCGGTGTCCGTAGACGACACCTTGATTGTGGCTTGGACATTGAGGAAGTCCAGCGCGGGCAAATTTTGCGTTATCGGTCTCTCGACCACCTTGAGGTCTCCCAATGTTGCGAACTCAACCGAAAGATTCTGCAATGTCTCGTGCGTTTGGTTGACAAGGAGAACATCGAGAATGATATCGAACTGATTGACCTGGACGTACGCCTCCGCGTAAACCGGATCGGAGAACCCAGTCAATTGCACGACACGGCTTAGCTTGGAGCTCAATCCTTCTGTGGAAGTGTCGCCGCCTGTAGCCTTCTCAAGGTCGATCTCGATCTCGTCAGCTCCATCCACGGCGTTCTTCTTACTGAGCTGGCGTATGATAATCATGTCATCGACCTGGATGGCACTTTGTGCTTTGAGAACAGCATCCTTTTCGGCCCTCTTTTTCTCCTCGACCTGGACCATATCACGGAAAGCCTTCCTGGTGTCGTCCAAAAATGCGGTCTCGAGATCTTTCTTTTGTTGAAACTCAGCAAGAGATCTTACGCAGGACATGATTCGGTCAATGGAATCTTCGTCGATCGGAGCCTTAGCGAATTGAGACTGTCCAGCGCGGATGATGGAGATCATAATCAGCATAGCTTCGGCTCGGAGAGCATTTGTTCGAGCGGCATCCTTTGAGATCTCTGCGTGGCGCATGACAAGCTTCGTGAGAGTTGAAGAGAGTACGGTGGCCAAGAAAAAGTCGCCGTCCAGGATGAGCTGCCGCAATGGGGGCTTCTGTGCTGCCTTGACAGCCTCGAGCTTCGCATTCGCTGCCGCTTGGCTTGTAAGAGCACTCTCAGTGGCATATGTACCGTCGGCAAGTACTTTGCGTGATCCTGTAGGCGCAGCCGGCTTCTTAGTACCATTGGACTGATCCGGCAAATCTGACTCTCCATCATTTTGTTCTTCCAGAAGCCTAGCCTCCGATGCAACGATCGGGATCTCTCCGAGTGAGGCTCGTATCCGTTTCCACGCTTCCCGAATATCGTTCTGCTCGAGCGAATATTCACCAACGATCCAGAGGCTACCCCTGTAGACTTTGCCGGCACGAACCTCACTCAGAGTCGAGACCAAACGTTCCACGATTGAACTTCGCATATTTGGGAACCGCTCGACGACCTCCTTGACGAATGATATGACGTCCACAGCTGACGCATTGTTGAAGTCAGAGATGAAATCCATAAGCAATCCAACCACGCTTTGGGCAATCTCCGAAAATTTGATCGCGCACTGGTGGATGGAGTGGATGACGAGTGACCGGTACTCATTGTTCTTCTCGTACTGTTCATCAACAGTCTTGGCTAGCTCCTTCTTGAGCAGCATGACCACCTCTTCCACGTTCTTGCTCGAAACCATGTCCATCGCTAATTCGAGCGACTTCCGCCTCACGTCCAGGTCTGGACTTGACAACACACGCAAGATCTCCATGGTGAGATCATCGAGCACGCCCTCATTGGCTTTGCGAAGCTGGTTGACCTTCTCCAGCACAATCAATTTCACGTTGTTGTCAGACTCCTTGATGCTCAATTCTATGAATTTGCCGGCTGCGGCTTTGATCGCAACCGGGTTATTTGTCAGTGACGTTAGCGAGGATGCTGCCTCGTAGACAACCGTGGATTCTTTGGCCTCGAGAAGGTCGAAAATGAGTCGTAGATACCGAGCTTTGTTCTGCGAATTAGTGACAGCGTCCTTGCGAATGAACTCAAGCTCGACCAGCTGTAGAAGCTCGCTGGCGTTGGGGATTCCTTCAAAAACGCCACTCAGGTACTCAAGCGCTTTCTCATGACTGATGCTGAGCAATGCTGCAAAGGCGTTACGTTTGCACGTGTTGTCACTCTCCGATTCGAGGAAGGCTTGAATAAGCTCGGGCGCGTCCGGCATGAGTGCTTCGTTGTGCTGGAAGATGGCGGCAATGGCAAAGACAGCGTTCTTGCGGACATAGGAGTGTCGGTGCTCCAGGCACTGGCGGGCAGGCGCAAGCAATGGTTCTATGAGTTCAGGCTCCCGCAATTTGCACAGGTAACGCAGCGTATTGCCGCGAATGAATTCGTTGGGATGCTGAAGGTCCATTCGAATTCCGTTGCTAGTACACCAACCATTAGTCAGATGTTCTGAACTTCAGACAGGATCGGATGGATTATACCAAACAAGAATCATCTCCTGCTTTAGCTTCCCTGAGCTGTCCAGCTTAGGGCAGATCTCGTAATATAGATATAATAGCTTTTTCAATTGTTTGCTCTTCGACGGCATGACGAATCGAATGATGTGCATAAGAAGTGAAGGCATTGGGTCGCCATTAAGCATCACAGTCAAGATGCGCTTCATGGTCTCAACCTTCGTCTCATCCGTGCCCTTCTCCAATTGGTTCTTAAGCTCTTGCAGCGATGGTTGGTCGGCTGTGTTGTCCGTATGGACCAAGCTGTACGAGCTTTCCAGAAACGTCGCCATGCTGGGCAATAGGTGTATGTGAGTGTATCAGAGAGATGGTGTTGCAAGTTGCGAGCGCTACTCGCTGCTGCCAATTATCCAGCCAGCGCTCTGCGCTATTGACACTTGTCCCGTAGGTCGTCGAGTCCAGTGTGAAATCGTAATGCGAATGAGCGATTCGGACCGGCTGCAGTTGTGAGACTCGTGGAGCTGCAGCACAAGCAGAAAGATTGTCGTTGCTCGGAATCGTAAAGAGGTGGGCAAGTCGTGAACGTGTCAATCTTTGGACCCTCGCGCATTGCCTGCAGGAGTTGGAGGCCAGAAATTCCTCAGGTTTCAGCCTTGGCAGAGTTGCCCGCTCTCTCCGCCGCTTGCGCGCCCGCCGCGGTGCAGGCATTACTACGGCTCACCATCTACTGTTAATCTTGAGTACAGCAGTTGTCGCAAAAGACGGACAAAATGTCGGGCAACGCCGAGCCTTTCTACGTACGATATTAGTAAGTACCAAACAGAGCATGAACGATTCTGCTCAAGGATCTGAGTTGTGGGCAGCTCAGGGCACTCCGGACGTTTCGGCCATGAATTCCTTGGTCAGTAGAAAGATATCTTCCGGGTAACAACCAGTCTTAGCTGACCTGCAGAAAGAGTTCGATTTCCGTGTTGTTGGCGATGGTCGATCAGCCATTGCTCGCTATGCAAACAACTCTAATTATCGAAATGACTCCCTTATCCGCAAAGAGAGTAGGTTGTTGAAATATCGCAAGAATCCAGCATCGATAAGAAACGTTGACCGTGCTTTGACAGTGTGCGTGAGCTCATTGGTTGTCGATGAGATCAAGCAGATGATCAAGGACAGTGAAATCATGAAGTACACACATGTCAACCCAATCGGAATTCTTGAGCCTCGAGCTGATTCGTGACAGAGAGGATGATACCAAATGGCCGCAGAAGAACAAAGATGGTCGTCAAGAACTCGAAATTCGTATGGGAAGCTCACACATCTCTTTCGAAACCGCAAAAATCGGCTCGATAGTCGACGTGGATGAGTCTGAGGATCCCGATGGCATGCGAGTTTTCTATTACATGGTACAAGATCTGAAAGCTCTTGTGTTCTCACTCACGTCGTTGCACTTCAAGGTTCGTTGTCCAGTCTCGAGAAACATCACACCGGAACTAATGCTTGTAAAGATTAAACCAATCTAAGCAAACGGATCGCAGAGAGCGATGGAAAGCCCTATGCTATATGATATGCGCAGGACCAATTGCTCCGATGAAGTCGAGCAGACATGTTTTTGCGATGACGGGATTTAATCGTTCCTTACACCCGACACGAAAAGATAGCAGGCTCCATATGAGCAAGTCACGTTTTGCTTGCTCCAAAGCACCGCTGCACACACGCTGCAATCATGGCCGACTGGCCTCCGAGTCCATTTCGGTCTAAAGTCAGGCACGTGCTCCCCGTGGGGGATCAGTGGCGCGGAGGCCAAGGGTCAGGTGGAGCCAATCACAGGTTGGGAGACTTATCCTTTGACGGGTCCGCAAGGGTGCAGGGTCATCCGCTTCTGGATCCAACGATTGAATACATACATACACTCCCATTCTTCAAGTTCTTGCTGAACGTCATTTGCAAAGTGTTGTGTGAAGTGTTGTTACGATCGCAATTTCCGTTGGCGCCCTTGGGTTTCAATTGATTGTCGACAATCTGTTAAGTATACACAAAGGTTGTCGGGGCTCGGCTTCCTGATCTGCGCTCCAATCGCCGTCACTGCATTGCTCGCACAGCGTCACGCGAGCCACTATGCCGACTCCCAGAGAGAATGTTATAGCCACATGTCCAAGACTTGGACATGAATCATCAAACTCGGCACAATCATTGTTGAGGATACGCAGGAATCAAATAGCAGGCCGAGATTCAGATCTCCACGGGCCTGAGCAATCACTGGCACGCGAGCTGGAATGCGCCATACCTGACACGAAACCCGAAGAACACACCGGCATACTTACGCCGCCACCGAGCGAGCCAGAATCAGATTCCGGCGACTCATCATGGACGCGCACTGAACAGCTTCCGCGAGCTGCAGTGAGGGAAAAGAGTGAAGAGAAGAATCAAGAGGAGGAGATACTGCGCTCAGATGGCGCTCACACGCCACTGTCAGAAAGGCAGACTGCCGATGTTGTACAAAACACAGACGTGGGTCTCGTTGAGTCAATGTCAAGCGCGTCAATATCTCCATCACCGCGATATCTCCATTACTCCGAGTCACAAAGAGATCGGGTGAGTCACTGCGCAGAGATGTTGGTCTTATGAACTGCTTCGGTACTGACAAGCCCTTGAAGCGAAGGGAAAAGTTGACGACGTCGTTTTTGCGTCCTGGCAGCAAATTTGTGGGGACGCAAAAGTCCGATAGGCAGAAATATGAAGTGTCAGTGGAAATTAAGGATGTGGATCTGGAGCAATCTTTCCTCTGCGGCTATCTTCGAATACAGGGTGAGCATAGATCAAAAACCTCCAAGACCTCGGTCTAAAGCCTTAAGGCTCGATTGCTGACAAACTCATTTCAACGCGCAGGCTTAACAGATGAACACCCAACATTAATCACATTCTTCGAGGGCGAAATTGTCGGACCCAAATATCAATTCAAGACCTCGCATAGTGGGTGGAACAGCGACGACAAGAACGACATGGCCCACTGGGGCCTCCTACCCAAATGGAAACAGGTAGCAAAGGCTGCGCGCCTTCCCAACTTCACAGTATCCAACCATTTGCAACGCGAGCAGCTTTGGATGCGATGGAAGGAGTATTTTCTGGTGCCGGACCACCGGGTGAAGACCATCTCCGGCGCGAGCTTCGAAGGATTCTACTACATCTGCTTCAATCAGTGTTCTGGCGCTGTCGACGGCGTATACTTTCATCGCAATAGCGAGAAATATCAAACGTTGCGGCTCGAGCACGTCGACGATCACGGATGCGAGGCAGCAGTAGAGTTTAGATAACACATGCGCAACATTTAGCGGGAAGTTTGGTTCGGATCGTAGGCAAAGGACTTTGATACGGACGAGGTGTTACATGACGAAGTAAAACGGCATATGAAATCACGATCTTCAACGTCTCATATGATTATTTTACAGAGCAACTGTAACACTGCTATGGGGTGGTGGCATGAATGCGAGGGTATTGCAATTCTTGGCGTGTGCAATATTCAGTTTTGGGGTGAGTTTGGTGAGGATTATCATACACATCTTTGCATCTGCATCCCGAGTATTCATCAATGTCAGGTAAAGTAGGATGTTTGTCGATATGAGTCTTCACTTTCATCAGCTTGTTCAGGCCAACCTCGGGCTACACGTACCGAGATGCACGGGCCGTGGCCTGTGCGGCAGATCGCGAAGTGAAGCAGACCTCCGGCTGAGCAGATGGAGCAGGATCTCATCACGTCCGCGCTGCCCGCTGCCCGTTGCCCTGAATATGACTGACGGCGCGGAACAGGGAAAGTCGTTCTCCATCGATTCACGACCAAGGTACGGTCTCTGTATCTGCCAGGGGTCCACACACCGAAGGAGCAACAATCGCTCGCCCGCGATGGGTCTCGCGGCCCATGATCCGAGTGCTGTAGTTGTTCCATGGTATGCAATAGAGGCAACGACGGACAACTCAACGCTGTTCTCCAGGGCTCTTCACCACAGTCAACTGGTCTAAGACGTTGGCTGCCCGTCCGGACCTGGCTCCAGGACGGCACTGTAGTGAAATGTAAGTGGCCAGACAGCGGAATAACCAAGGGTGTCGTGTGGTCGGCCTTTGAGGTGACTACCTAGTACTGAGCTATGACACACTGTACATGGTAGGTACAAAACGAGAGATTTTTATATTGCATGTATCACTACGCACATTGTCCAAGGATTCATGGATAGCCACGCGCGACTAGACTAGACGTGCAAGACGAGCGATTAATTGCCATCGTCTGTCTGCAAGTGGTTGAGATTGTACACATCCCACATGTACGTGGGTATCCGGCGGGCAAAATCAGGTGCATTCGGCATTCAAGGCATGCACATGCATGCGCGTGCCGACTGACCTAGGGGATGGGCATTGTCCTTGTGTTGTGTTTCGAACATGATTGGTAAGGAGGCGGCTGGGTCTATTTAAACAGGTGTTTGGATCGGGTGCGGAGTCCGCAGTTCTCGAGCTGGAGCTTCCGATCCGATGATGTCGAGATCTGCTGCAGCAGAAAAGCTCGACGGGTTCTGATCCAACTCATCTAAAAAATGGTCGGATCTGCAGTCGGACTTCAGGGTTGACACATCTGCGAAACCTCGATTGATCAATTATTCTAGATGACAATCGACAACCATTGTCGACACAACCATTTCCTGTTGTGTCCATCAGAACGGTCAATCAACGCTGCCGTCTGCTCGATGTGGTTCCATATATGCTGCAAATCCTGTATGCTTATCCATGGCGGTCGATAGTCAAGATTCAACTCTTGGCTTTTGCTCTGTTGTGTTGCGTCCGGCCAGCATACCTAGGTAGTGCGGAGAAGACTCCATCCAGGTCACACAAGACTCTGAGCTTACAAGCGGGTCAGTCGGTCTCTTAGTGAGACGCACAAGTATAATCAGCTTGTGTAGAAGAGTGGTAGTGGAAGGTGCCATCGCATGAAATCCACAGTATTGTGCTGACAATGCTGCACATCAGCGCTTTCGGCCTGGTTGGTGCAACTGTGTACATAACAGCACAATTCCCTTCTCCCACACACTGCAAGAAATCTCTTCACTAGGAGCCCTGGAGCTTCTCAGTCTTTTGGACGATGATGGACAGCCACCATGTAGGAATCTCATCCACCGGAATGGCGAGTCAAACATCTGCCGAGTACACACGAGTGATTCTAATCGGTGGCCTGTTGATTTTGTTCGAGTGTGGGAGTGACAGAAGCCCCAAGGGTTCCGGTCTGTTTTCGGCGCCAGGCAAGCATAATGTTAGGTAGGCAAGGCAGGCAGCGGTAATGGTTGTGCTCCGGGCGGGCTCCAGTTCAAAAAAAATTCCAATTCCATCATACAGTGTGTTTTAGCAGCAAGCGGGCAGGACGAAACCGTAGCCACCAAAGCCAACGCTGGTGCTGCAAAAAAGCTCACACAAATCTTGACCCTCCCACTATCCATTCCCACTACCACTGATCCCACTGCCATTACCGTCATCACCGTGTGGGTTTATTTCTCTTTTCCTCTTCACTCATTTCCCTAGCATCAGTCTCCGAACGACGCTGCTGTCAGTGCTCGCTTCGATCTCCATCACAGCAGGCATTGTCCCCATATTCATCATCATCATCACCTCGAAAAGCCATCTCTCGCACCATCCTCGCCGTGACTCGGCACTTTCCTGGCATCCGCAGGCCGCCCCGTGCTCACACGATCTTTTTTCCAAAGCCCGGCACTCCTCCGATCTTCCACAGGGCGTCATCCTCGGGTAGGTCAATTTCATCCTGATCTATTCACTATCTCGTTCAATGTCATCCGAGTTCGACTGCGCTCGTATTGATCGTTCCATTTCACTCCTACCAAAGCTCGATCTCGGCTTATTCTCTGACGCAGCAGCTCCAGTCTCCCCGTCCGCTTGCGCAACGGCAAACAATTATACTAGGTCCTTGCTGAAGTCAGCAGTTGCATCAAACCTAAACGTCGACTCATCGAGACACTATCGTGCAATTCCCCATCCAATCCAATAAGGACTCATATTCAACTTTTCATCAATCCCCTCGATTGAGTCACTTCCGTCAAGTTTGCTCAGCATTCGCCGATCTGCCTGTAGCCATCATTGCTGGTCGCCTGTGCTCGGAACAAACCTACTGGAAAGGCCTCCAGACACGCCCGACTGGGCAGCCCGATCCTGGGAAGCGTGACAGGCCGCGTTCAATTCATCGTCTTCGCAGTGTTCGGCACTGTGGTTAGAATTGGCCATGGCAGTTTCCACTGCATCGAGCCCGAGCGGCTTCTCATACGCACAGGCAGCTAAAGGTCGTGCCCAAAACGCAGCATCACAACCATCCAGCAAGACCAACTCAGGCCTGTCCACACCTGCGAATGGTGGACTACCAGACGCGAGCACCACAGGCAATTGGGCCGATGAAGCAGAGAGCGTTGCTGATCAAAAGATGGAGAAGGAGAGAGATCTACCACAAGAACAACCGCCCACGCTCTTGAAGGACAGCGCGGTAGAGCGTATCAAATCCCAAGAGTCGAATAGCAATGTCGCTTCTGGTGCATCGTCCCTGGATCTTGTCTCGTCAAGCCTCACGGACAAGACGGATGACTCATCTGCTGTCACCAGCGTACCTTCGGATGCTACCTCTGCCTCAACCTGGGAAACGAAATCCCAGGCGTCAGAAGGTGCATGGATAGCAGACCGGGAAAAGCGTCAACAGAGCTCAAGTCGAAGCACCGACAGCTCAGGCAAGGCCAGTACCGTGAAGGACGGCAAAGCCCAGCAAAAGGACGGGAAGGACGCTGCCCCCGCCCGGAGTGTGCAACAGCCACCTCCAGTTCTACATGATGCTCCAGCTCCTGCTGTTAACCCTTGGGCCAAACGCGCCGAAGACGCCAAAGCGAAGTCATTGGCCAAGCCTGCCACTACGGACACCACCACCAATGCACTATCGCGAGTGGATGCAGTGAAGCACGAAACGGCGAATGAAGGGGCTAGAAATTCGGCTCCACAGAATGAGCATAAGAGGTTGCATGAGGGCAAGCGGTCGAACGATTCGAGAAGCAGTGGCCGTCAAGGCTCCAGGCCAGGCTCCGAAAACTCACGAGCGGACGTAGCCAACGGTAGACCAGTGCAGCGAGAACACCAGAGCTTGCCCAATCTTACTGCAGTAGCTCCGCCGCCACCGAATAGCGATGAGAGCTCATGGCCCACTCCTGATATCGCGCAACATGACTCCCGCAAAGAGTCATCGGCGGAGAAAGATACGAACGAAATGGCCGATGGTGAAAGTGTCAACGGCGCAAAGCCTCGCGAACGCTCAAAGTGGACTGTCTTCCCTGTCACCCCAACAATCAAATGGGAGACTGAAGAAATGAATCGCCCACCGCGCGAACGTACGCGAGGTGGAGGAAGTGGCACGCGAGGCCGTGGTGGCTTTCGTGGAACCCCTAACGGATTTAAGGACGGTGGGCGCGGGACTGCACGATCTCAACATTTCTCTGGCGAGGTCGAGGAGAACTCGGCTGGTGATGCCGGTAGATTAACGGACGAGAACCGGGAGGGTGTGTCTCCACCGGTCCGATCAACACCACAGCTATCCAACCGCAGTCAGTCCTTGGACCGTCGAAATCCCCGCCATCGACCGTCGCCCCCCAAAGGAACGTCCGATCGCGTACACGATCGCGTCTCGGGTGGGCCTGAAGTACCACGCACCGGGTCGCCGAGATCGCAGGAACCCAACTCATCTCAAGCGTCCGCTGAGACAAAAGCGACTGGATCGGCAGCGCAAGTGACAGGATCACCTGATGACGTGCGTGAAGCTGGCCTTCATGGTGAAAATGCCAGCCGCAGGGTAGCTTCGGACAGTCGCCGCGAGTCACGAACATACGAAGGCCACAACAACAATAAGGAATGGACTGGAAGTACCCGAGGCTCGAAACGAGGCGGTCGCGGACGAGGCGGATCGCGCGAGTTCTCGAGCGGCCACCAAGCCGCTCCAGCTTATCCTCATGGGAACAGCGACTTTGCTGGCAACGGCAACTTTTCTATTCCCCCGTCACCCAGCATCTATCACAGCCCGAGAGGGGGTTTCGGATTCCCGCCCGCTAACCGTGGCGGATGGCGAGGCGGACCTCGGGCTCACTCCATTCCTGTCGAGAACAACACCTTTACAGGTCAGCGATACAATCCTTACCCACATCCTGGACAGGTTCCACCACCGTTGCAGAACGCCTTCTTTACCCCAGTGTATGAACCAGTCTACAACAGCGTGCCCATGAGTGCCGTCCCGTATGCCCAGGCCATGGACCACCAGTACTTGCTAGGGATGGTCAGCACCCAATTGGATTACTACTTCTCCCTCGACAATCTGCTCAAGGACACTTTCCTACGCAAGCACATGGATTCGCAGGGATTCGTGTTCTTCGATGTGATTGTCAACTTTCCTCGCGTCAAGAACCTTTCGCCTGATCGAGATCTGATCAAGGCTGCTTGTCTCAAGTCCGAAATAATTGAAATTCGGGTTGGTGAAGATGGCAAAGAGCGGTTGCGAAAGCGCGAAGGGTGGCAACAATTTGTGCTTCCCATGGATCAACGAGAGAGCACTTCCCGAAACGATGGTCCCCAGGTGCTTCAGCGCCCCGAGGCTCCCCAGCTCCAGCCTTTCTGGCAAGCGAATCCATCTATACAGTATCGTGGACCTGCATCCGCCGGGCCAGTCCAGCGCGCGTCATTTGACATCCCGCCCTATGCGATGAACGGCATGGTTCCGCCGTTCTCTCCCTACCCTCACGACCCTCAAGACTCAGCTGTGTTTGGCGAAGGCACTGAGGAGTTGTTGCGTGGCAGGACCATGAAGCCATCCGCCAAAGATTTCCACGGATTCCCAGGCCAGCAACCATTTGCAGATGCAAGGCAAAGCGAGCCAGATACATTTCTCGACCAGAACGTCAATGAACTGAACGTGATCTACAAACCGAATCCAAATCCTGGTCGTGCTCCATTCCACTCCTCATCTTCGCGAACTTTCTCCAATGGGTCTATCGACACGCGCAACATCGCGTCCGAGATCGAGAAGCTGTCAGAACACCCTGAACCTGCAACGACGAACGGAAATACGGCGGTGAACGGAGATGCTGAGCACCAAGATGCTAGCGCCGCGTCCAACGCGATCGAGCCCGAAGTGGTGGATAAGAATGCTGAAGTCATCTTCCTGTGGCTTAAAGATCAGGTGATCCAGCAGGAGGACATCCCGAAGGGCACGCATGTGCAACCCTACATTGCACTTCGCTCAGAAGCTCTTGCTCAACGCGAAAGAGGCGCTCCGGGCACCTGCCCGCACGATCTCGACATCCTCTACAAGTTCTGGTCTCACTTCCTGATTCGCAATTTCAATGCCCGAATGTATGCCGAGTTCAAGTTTCTTGCAATCGACGATGCGCGTGTCCGCGACAATACTATCGGGCTGACACAGCTCGTCAACTTCTACGTCAACGCCCTCAAGAGCAACACCCATATTGTCCGCGATCTTGTCGTTGCCGACTACATTGACTTGGTTAAGGATCAACCGCCGAATTTCCAGAATTATGCATTCAAGCAACTGCGTCAGGCATGGCGTGATGGTGCTACAAATCTCAAGAACCGTAAGAAACTGACGCAATACGTTGACGAGCCCTTACGGGCACAGCTTGAGTCCTGAACACGTTGCATGAAATCAGCGACATCGGCACACCACGTCCGATGTCCATAGCCATATCAACTTCATCACGACAACCAAGTTCCTTGGCTGTCACATTGCTCCATCATGAATATCGAATAACCATCTTGGTTGTGTCTTCGACATCAGCAAACGGTATCCGGCGAAGTTGCCGAGAGTCCGTACTCGCCGATTTCCATCAGCCTGGGCATTCGTCCTCGGCATTCGTCACTATGGGGCTTCGCTCAGGAGACAAGCATCAAAGCTAATCTTGCTGCCGATCAGCTTGGTCGAGTCAGTATCGGAGTGTCGCTGTTTGCCCGGGCCATTTCTTTCACTTCGGCTGTTCATCTGGCAAAAGCATTCGTCTCTGCTACTATCTTTTCAGCGTCTTCATTATTCTGGTGCCGGGCCTTGGCATGAAGGACGGGATATCGCCTCACCGATGGTCTGGACATGCGTACCATTTTAAGCGCTCACCAAATTTCGGGGGTTCTTTATTGGTTCTGGGAAAAGGGGTGGTTTTGATTCTGAGGGCGGACCGGTTTTGTTTTTGAAACATCCTGACGGAATGTCACTATCCGGCATCTTGCTTCTGCCTTCTACGCAATCACATTTTTCAAGCTTCTTCTGCTCGCAGCGCCTTTCTCGCCTGAATGGGCCGAACACTCCTTGGCGGTCGATAGTCTTAGACTGCATTTGCGTCAGCAACGCTGTTCGGTACAATCGCAACTCATCGATCTGGCCAGATCCAGTTCTGCTCTTAAGTTTTCACCTTGATTTACAAGGACTAATACCGATCCTGTGCGCCCTGCTCAGCGATTTCTTCGATTCGGCACGAGTGCTTGAGTATCAACAATTCGTGTGTGTCGCACCTGCTTGTCAGAGTCGTTGACTTCCATGTTCAGTGCATTCTCAGCTTTGCTTCGGCCTGTTTTGTTTTCACGGAATCTTGGGGGAAAGAGCCACGTCCAAGTTCATGTTCAATATTTGGTCGTTACAGCTTCAAGTGATGATAATCATTTGTGGCTCGATTTTCAAGTTGGCCTTGTTCGGTCAACGTTTGGTGATGAGAGAGGCGCTCTCCCGCTTGAGTCGTTTATCCAAATGGATGGCTCCACCCTCGACGCTTGATTTAGCCGTCACTAGCACCGAAGAAGTGTCCGTATTCAAAATTGGTATCGCTCGCACCCAAATCCATTGATGTGCGGCTTAGAATCGAAAGTGTCTCAACGACGTGAATGCTGCCTCAGGCATTAATAAATCTGTGTAGACTACCAAGGTAGTTATGAAAGTGTCCAAGTGAACTCTGGGTGTAATATTGGTGTAACTGTCAACATATTGACTCAACTCGAAACGCAAAAGGCGAGAATTTCAAAAACAACAACATTGATTACTGTTCTAATAATCTGGGAATATTACGCTACCTCTTGTATACAATGGCAGGTCCTGCCAGAAAGAAGCAACGACGAGAAGAAAAACAAGAAGGCGAACTGCCCCAAAAGAAGTATTATCGGCAACGAGCCCATGCAAATCCGTTCTCCGATCATGACCTGAAATAGTATGTCGATGCAGCCAATCTGCCCAGTCTCATAAAGCTCACATGGTAAAGTCCAGTAAGTCCGGCCGATATGGACTGGACTCAGCACTATCCGGCATTCGCTGAAGCCCACGATGATGATACTGGCGTGTCAAGGAAGATATCCAAACAAGTGTCAGTCGCAGATATCGGCTGCGGATTTGGAGGTTTACTCTTCGCCTTGTCCCCAAAATTACCCGACTCTTTGATTCTGGGCCTAGAGATCCGAACATCCGTCACAGAGTTCGTGCAGGAGAAAGTCAAGGCATTGAGAAAGCAGCACGAAGGCATAGAGGCTGGCGATGCGGCTGTGCCATCGATAGCATCTCGCGCCGCACCCTTCCAGAATGTCTCCTGCCTGAGGGCGAACACCATGAAGTTCCTTCCAAACCTTTTCCTCAAAGCCCAGCTCTCCTCCATCTTCCTCTGTTTCCCCGATCCGCACTTCAAAACCCGCAAACACAAACAACGCATCGTCAGTACCTCGCTCGCGTCAGAGTATGCCTTCGTCATGCGGCCCGGCGGCAAAATCTACACTATCACGGATGTGGAAGACCTACATTTGTGGATGGTCGAGCACTTGGCGGCGCACCCGAGCTTCGACCGGGTCTCTGACGAGGAAGTCGAGGGCGATGTGTGTGTTGCGGTCATGAGGACGGAGACGGAGGAAGGGAAGAAGGTCGAGCGAAACGGCGGGACGAAACATGTTGCAGTTTTCAGAAGACTACCGGATCCAGAATGGGTCTGAAGAAGCCTGCTTGGAGCGAGCGATTGTATGATCTCGACTAGGCTCAATCACTGCGGATATATCGTGTCAGAGTGTTCCCCTTCGTCGCGGGCCGTTGCGGGCGATCATCAATCTCAATGGTCTTGGTTTGACATCGCTTGGAACGCAGCTCGTGAACAACCGTGAGTCGAACAATATGCAATGTTTGTCAAGTACCAAGCAAGTGATTACAGGGCCCATAAGAACTAAAAATCATCCATGGTGCATATAAGTACACAGAAAAATACAGCCCGCGAAGGTTCATGGCTTCGGCTCCACCGGCAGAAGATATAACAACGCGACTATCCAAGTCGTCTCGGTTTTTTACCTCTCGTGCCACCCTGCTTCAATCTTGTTGTATCCACAACTGTCTTGATGAAATTGCGCAAAAACCGTCCTTCCGAGCCCAGGATAGCCTTGGACACGGCATCTCGACCAGAGCCATATCCTCTGAGCAGGACCGTGATCTCCTCAACGTCCGCAAGCATGCCCTTCTCTTGGATGTATTTGAAAGCGTAGGCAGCCAGTTGATAAGCAGCATCATATGATCCTCGTCCGCCCTTTTTGAATCCAATGTTGCCTGTGCTCAATGTGAGCAAGGTTTTGCTCTGTCTGTTGATCTGAACCTGGCTGAGCGGATTGTGGGGATCAAGCGCTGCAGACTGTTTCGCTACTTCATTCGGCGTGTGCGTGAATGTGATATGCGTGTTGTGTCGATGTGAATATACATGCAAGCTGTGTGTGCCCTTGCTTGGCCTCAGTGTCGAGTCGGAGAGCATTCCGTGGTCGGGAGTCTCAGCGACTATGGCAGCGAAATCTGGTCGTTTTTCCTGCCCTTGACTCATACGTCTCTCGTTTCCCGTTCGACCGTAAATCCTGTCATCCCTAAGGACGGAAGTTGTTGCTATTGAGCGACGTGACTGTTGTATGGCGGTGGGCAGAGATCGGCGATACGACTGGAGGAGGACAGAGCCGACCGACTTGGATAGTGATGGGCCTGCCATCGCCTCATGCGAATACCTGTTTGGATGACGATTGGTCTCTTTGTAACATGTCACGAAATTGTGAGTTGGATGCGATGAGTTACATGCAATTGCGGCGGTCTCGGGAGTCTTGGCACTCTCGGCCGAGGGCGGTCCGATTCCATGACATTTCCTGGATGCCGGCATCACGAAATCTTCATTTCATCTCTCAGACAATCACTTTCACCGATTCGATCGCGTTCGATTGCTCCAATTTCCTTCTGGGGTGCGGCTCGTACAGGAATACAGATGATGCAGACCCGTACGCTGCAGACGCTGTCGCGGCGAACAGGAGGCAACTTCCCGCGAACGATTTCATCACATCAAATTTTCATCTCAAGCACCCTATCAAGACAAAAAAGAACACCACAAAGCCTACGCGACTACAGTGCAATATCCAGGAGGGGTCGACGAGATGTGGCATCACAATCATTACCGTCCTTGATCACACCACCCTACTTTACACCCATCTCATACAACCTGTCAGTCGCCTCGTCAAGACATGTCTCGTTCAAGGAGATGCGAGAAGAGCGTGCACGTCAAAGAGCCGGACAGGCGCAGCCAAAAGAAGAAGCAAAACCTTCCCGCAAATCTGAACCCGAACCCGAGCCTGTAAAAGCTGCGGCAGAGGAGTCAGTCGAAAGTGAGGCTGACAGAGTTTTTGCGCGCGCCAAAGCTGCACATGATGCAGAATGGGCACGGACTGAGGAGCAGGAGAAGAAGAAAGAAGAAGAAGACGAGGCCGCTGCTGCAGAGGGCGCGGAAGGCAAGCAGGGACAGAAAGAGAAGAAAAAGGATGCAGAAGCTCCACCGCCACCACACGGCAACAAGACCCCTTGGCAAGTTTTCACGGAGACCTTGTCAACTGAGTTCAAGGCCAGCAAGGAGTGGAACGAGAGCACAAAGGAATTGAGTGGGAGCATCCATGATTTCACTCAGAACCCGAACGTGCAGAAAGCTCGGAGTGCATATACGAAGGCAGCAGAAGCTGCAAGCACAACCACGGGCAAAGTAGTCATGGGCACGGCCGGCGCCATCGGTAAAGGTGCTGCTTGGACGTGGGAGACCCCTGTCGTACGTGGCATCCGTGCAGGAGCAACAGCTGTTGGCTCCGGAGTCGAGAAAGTCACGCGACCAGTTCGCGAAACCGAGGCATACAAGAACGTGAAGGAGGTTGTCGACGATGGATCTTCGCAGCGGTACGGCGGATGGACGGAGCGCGAGGAAAGAAAACAACGGCGTGCACTGCGCGATGCCAAGATGGGGTACAAGCCACATGAGGTCCATGACGAAGACCCAAACGCCGGCACGAACGTAACACTTCATAAAGACAGCGCATGGAAAGAGTCCTGGAAAAACTTCCGGGAAGAAAGCCCGATGATGCAGCGTCTCTTCTCTATGGGATCAACATATCGCGAGTCAGAAAATCCATTCATCAGCACGGCACGTGGCTTGAGCGATCGCATTGCTGGCTTCTTTGCTGAGAACGAGACTGCGAAAGTTATCAAGAAGTTCCGAGAGATGGATCCGTCTTTTAATATGGAGCCCTTCTTGCACGAGATGCGCGAGTACATCCTCCCAGAAGTCTTGGAAGCCTATGTCAAGGGCGATGTTGAGACGTTGAAATTGTGGCTTAGTGCCGCGCAATTTCAGGTCTATCATGCTCTGATGCAACAATACACCACTGCTGGCCTAAAGTCTGACGGGCAGATCGTCGATATCCGCAATGTGGACGTTCTAAGTGCTAGAATGCTCGAGCCTGGCGACATTCCTGTTTTTGTGCTCATGTGCCGGACACAGGAGATCCACGTTTACCGCAATGCCAAAAGCGGTGAACTGGCTGCCGGCATGGAGGATAAAGTGCAGCAAGTCACTTACGCGATCGGAGTGACCCGACTTCCAGAAGAGGTCTCAAATCCTGAGACCAGAGGCTGGAGGTTGATTGAGCTCCAAAAATCTGCGAGAGACTACATGTGAGAAACCGCTGGGGGCTTTTGAGGATCAATGGCCGACTTCTCGGCCATACAGATGAGAGACTCGGGCTTCTTGGTGGACTGCGCTTCTGCCGAAGCGGGGATCAAGTCTCCGAAAGCACTCGAGATTCTCCAGACATTGTACAAAATTTATTCAGCGCATGGCTCTTCGGTCTCTTTGCGGCCTGGGAGGGACGGCGGCGACCAATGAGCAATCGTGGGTTTGCCTGTCATTATGTGTACCGGCAAAAGACCTGACGGAAATCGTCGAAAATGTGGGATCATGTATCATTACTTGTGGGAACATCATCAAGCAGTGGCGTTGAGACCTTGGAGTTCCACTTGCAGAGCAGCCCTGTCGGTCTGATCTCTGATTGTACAACAATACCTTCCTCCTTGACTCCGCTCTTCTTATCTTCACCACGATGTTTTCATAATCAATCTTATCGGTTTACCATTTTGACGTGAGTGACTTCGCTTGGACGGAATATCAATTAATATCGGTGGCTGAAGCCCCCCATCGTAACAAGGTCTTATTGGCTCAACTTCCAGGCCAAGCAAATTGTCCAGCACGCTGCTACGGAGGTGGTACAGGTCAACCGACTACAGCTCGGAGAGCCAAAATGGTGTCTCGGGATTAGTCATTCAGAGTAGACACTTGGGCACTATTTACTCAGGCAGGGTCAGGTGCATTCGTCACAAAGTCATTCAGTAGTGGCAGTGCGGTCGCCCAGCGTCGCGAATTATTACTCCGACCTGGAATATTGGAAGCACTTTGTCGAGCGCGAACGGCACCAGTCAGTCGTTGTGGCACTAAGAGTTCGAGCAGCCCTTGGAATGAGCTGAAATTATACCGGGGAACGTAAAAAACAGCAATTGCCCTTGATCGGAGCATTGTGGCCTCGCGAGTCTATCCCTGCCACCAAAGCCGTTCTACGCAAGTCCCACAATGTTCTCTTCGGCGCTGAAGTCCTTCACCTCGAACATCTCCAGTAACTACACTCTATCTGCGCAGCCCACTAGCACCTCTGGGCCATGGAAAGTCTTCGACGCGAAGCGCAAACAGAGCGGCAAGGCCGCTTCAGTCTTTGTACTAGACAAAAAGAGTCTGGAGCCGCCTGGAGGAGGACTAGGAGGTCGTAGCAATGCCAGCTCCACCAAGCGTCTCCATGAGGAGGTTCTCGAAAGACTCAAGAAGGAAGCTAGTAGCCTGGCGCGCTTGCGACACCCCTCAATATTAGAACTGGTTGAGCCGGTCGAAGAAACCAGGAGTGGAGGGCTGATGTTCGCAACAGAACCAGTGGTCTCAAGTCTCGCAAGTTTACTACAGGAGAAAGATGAGCAAGAGAGATCCGGTGGCGCTGGTAGCCGCAGGACTCGTCGTGTTGTCGATGAGTCCGAAGGTGGACGGAAGACAAGGGAGTTCGAGATCGATGAACTAGAGATACAGAAAGGTCTTCTGCAACTTGCGAAGGGACTGGAATTTTTGCACGAGAGCGCTGGCCTGGTTCACGCCAATCTCACACCCGAGGCCATAATTGTCAATACGAAAGGTGATTGGAAAATTGCAGGACTTTCATATTGCGGACCGCATCAAAGCAGCACCACTGCCACTTCCCTGCCTCCGATAAATCTGCACGAAGTGCTCAATCATGATCCTCGCCTTCCTCGAATGGTACAGCTGGATCTCGATTTCACGAGCCCCGACTTTGTTCTGGATAACAGTCTTGTCCCTTCTTCGGACATGTTCAGTCTGGGTCTTCTCATAGTCGCGCTATACAACAGCCCACATACGTCTCCGTTGAGTGTCGGAGGATCACTGTCTGCATACAAGCGCGCTTTTTCCAGTTCTTCCAGCATACCGACACAAAGCAATAATTTCATGGTGCCGTCGTCGCACCCCCTCCCTCACAAATTGGCCTCAGAACTGTTGCCGCGACTTATCACCCGAAGGCCTGCACAGCGTCTGTCAGCGCGCGAGTTCCAAGAAGCCAGCTATTTCGATAATATCTTGGTGTCAACAATCCGTTTTCTCGAGGCGCTGCCGGCCAAGACCGCGAGTGAGAAGGTTCAATTTCTTCGAGGTCTTCCTAAGATTATGTCGCAGTTTCCGAGAAATGTGCTTGAGAAAAAGGTCCTGCCAGCCCTGCTCGAAGAAATGAAGGATAAGGATTTAATTGCGCCAATAATGACCAACATGTTTGCGATGATCAAAGCAATGCCATCAGGCAAGCGATCATTCACTGAGAAGGTCGTGCCAAAACTACGGGAAATATTCATAACTAATCGATCCGCTGAGCGAGATACGGCTACTGAAGCAGGGCTCATGATCTTACTGGAAAACATGCAAACCGTGGCAGAGAATTGCTCGGGCAAAGAATTTCGAGATGATATCCTGCCTATTTTGCACCTATCGCTTGAGTCGCCCACTCATGGCCTTGTCGATGCTGCGCTTGGAACCCTACCGCACGTACTACCCGTGCTTGATTTCACAACCATCAAGAATGAGTTGTTTCCTGTGATCGCGACTGTCTTTGCGAAAACGAGTAGCCTTAACATCAAGATTCGAGGTTTGCAAGCCTTCTATACGTTGATTGGAGGTACAAACTCAAGCGATGAACCGGATGACGATGATCTGAATGGCATATCGATGTCGAACCGGAAACCCGCTTCCACGTCAAGCAGCGCCATCCTGGACAAGTACACGGTGCAGGAGAAAGTCGTCCCACTTCTCAAAGGTATCAAGACGAAAGAGCCCGGCGTTATGATGGCCGCACTGAAAGTATTCGGACAAGTTGCGCGGGTCGCCGACTCCGAATTCCTCGCGATCGATGTTCTGCCCATCGTCTGGTCCATGAGTTTGGGGCCGTTGCTCAACCTTCAGCAATTCCAAGCTTTTATGACATTGGTCAAGAATATTGGCGAGAAAGTGGAAAAGGAGCAGACGCGAAAACTCCAAGAGACGTCAGGCAACAGTGCCGCTGGTCGATCGACTGCGCGGCCGAATGCTCCGGGACGATCACAGAGCACAGGACTTGATGGGTTGACCATCGGCGGAGACACTGATTTTGAGACATTAGTGTCAGGAAGAAAACCTAGTGGCGGAGGTGATCTTATGAATGAATGGGGCGTTTCTGCTGCTAGACCGATCGCTACACAAAGCACATCATTCACGCAAGCTAGCAATGCGACTCCGACGTTCTCGTGGCAGACACCGGCACCAAAGCCGTCGACTCCTCAACCACCCACAGTGTCCACGATCAGAGCACAGGCACCTATAAATCGCACCGTGACACCCGATCTCGCGTCTTTCACGAGCCTCACTCCGAGCAGCGTCTTTTCTCAGCCATTGCAGCCTAGTCGACCAGCTGCCTCCACCACGATGACACCGGCCGCAAGCGCGCCATCGAATGGAACCAACATCGATTGGTCTTCGGCTGCGAATAGTTCTGCCGCTTGGGCGAGTCCAAAGCCTGCTCCGACAACCACATTCAACAGCAACTACCCCGCGGCACCTCTCCAGCAGTCGACTTCATTTGGCCTGCCGCCTCCACCTACAGGATCGCAGACATACATGCAGCCACAGCAGAATGGGCTGTCGAGTTTTCCGCAGCCGATGGCGAGCCGCCCGCAGCCGGCCCAACAGTTTCAGCAGAACGGTAGCTCCGGACACACGCAGAAGACCGGCCTTGATAAGTATGAAAGCCTGATATGATCTGATATCAATGTGTAGCGTCTTGGCTCGGCGTCGGACAAAAAGCAAATGGATTGTACTAGCAGCCGCAGAAGGAGTCTGATGACCATACGAACCCACAGTAGCATGTCCAAGCTGATCGTAAAAGCAATTGAACTTCATGATGCGACGCAACAGCTCTTCCGCCGATTGTGATTCATCACACTCCAATGCACTCGGTGCCAAGTTGAGCCGATGAGCCTCTCAATGATCTCGACGCCATAAGCGATTGTCGATTCAGGACGCAGTTATCCGATCAGCACATGGCTTAGATCTATGTCCATCTTTCTATGAAATTTCGAGCTTGTTGCTAATCTGCATCAACCTTTCAGTTCTGTCAGAGAATCTGTCACAGGACTCATCGCGTGTACCTGGAAACTTTGGAAGTCAGGCAAACAGCGCCGTTGTTCCGCCATATAGCGGCCTCGAGGACTCGAAAATCCGTCGTGCACCGTCTCCAGGATTGGGAACGAAGTTTGCATAACTTCAATACCTCAAATTGGCACTCAGCAGGGAGACTAAAGGAGCCGAGGATTTCTCGACTGGAGTAAATGGCTTTCACCTTATCAGTATCGTGTTCTGTGTTACACAAGACCGATAAATCCGCGACGGCTTTGCAATTGGTACATTGTGGCGGCGTGTGTAACACAATCTGTGGTATGTTCGAGAGTTCTTGTGCGAGTGACCAGGGCGTTTCCCACTCAATGCACTGAAACGCTGTGCTTGGTAGGCACTGCGCTGTGACGACACATTCAGTTCTCTGTCCACGTCCCCCGTCACCTCCAGTGTTCTTCTCCAATTTCAGGCTTTCGTCCAAGTGAAGTTGCTCAAACACTCGCTTTGAAACTCTCTCGCTATCTACTCTCTTCTATTGCATGGTTCCTCACGGCCACAATATCTTCGCTCTGAATCCATCTCACGTGCGAGGAGCGCGCTCCGTCGCTATGATGGTCTCCGAACCATCGCCGTGCACATCATTGGCTCCATCGACGATAGCTCCAAGTTCTGCAAAGGCGGTTGCGGTCCATGAACCTCGCGGCTCCGTATTGAAACGCGTCCAGACAGCCTTTCGCAGCTTCATGGTTGTACGGTCCTTGACCAAAGAGCAGGTGGATTCCTTTATGAAATCCTACATCATATACGACCTAGACTGGGAGAATGAGCGGGAGATGATCAATGTGCTCGGGCCTGAGTATCAAAAGAAAGTGGGAGCATGCCTCTCTGACTACTATAGCGTTCTCAATCATCTCTGCGCCATCGGCGAGCTGGAAAAGATGTACATTCCGCCGATCATGGATCCTACACAAGGGATTAGTCAGAACCAAATCCTCTACGAGAAAAGCATTGCTGTCGAATTGCAGTTTCCACCCAATGCCCGCCTGCTCGATCTGGGCTGTGGGCGCGGACGCGTTGCAGCTCATATCGCAGGTAGCACTGGCGCCAAAGTGACCGGGATCAATATCGATGCCGATCAGCTCGCCAGCGCAAAGCTATACAACGAAGAGCAGAATTTATCGAATACCTTCGTCCGGCACGACTTCAACGAGCTCCCACTCCCATTAGCAGATAATCAATTTGACGGCTTCTACCAGATTCAAGCCTTCAGCCTCGCTCGTGATCCCACCTCGTTACTCCGCGAGATCAACCGCGTGCTGAAACCGGGCGCCCGCCTCTCGATGCTCGACTGGGTCCGCCTGCCAGCCTTTGATACCACCAATGAGCACCACCAGCAGCTCATGCGCAACATCAAACCTCTCATCGGCGCCGTCGGTACCCCGACACCCGCCAGCATGCAGAAAGCCCTCGAGGCCGCCGGTTTCCGCATCGTTTCCATGGGCAATGCCAGCCAGGACGGACTACAAGCGCCGTTGATCGAGCGCGCCGAGGCGTACTTTGAGACGGCCAAATGGTTGCTCAACCGGTTGGTCGCGCTGCGTGTGCTCCCCAGGCATTTCAAAATCCTCTTCGAGCGGCTCACCAAGGACGGTCGATCATTCATCGAGGCCGATCGTGCTCGCTTGATCACGACGAGTTACCATTGGGTGGCCGAGAAGCCACGGCCGGGAGAACGCGGTGTAGTTCGTGCGATGAGGAACGAAGAGGGAAAGGAAGAAGAGCAACGTGGTTTGTCAGCGGCGTCGGCTACGACTTCGGCGGAATCGTCGTCTCCAAATTCGTCATCATCGCCGCCAGAGGATGATGTTTAAGAAACGCTGGTGACAATATTCTCGTTCTCGAGAAAGACGATGGGCATCAAATAATGGAACAGTAATGGATCATCAAGGACAATAAGAGCAAGTCGTGCAGTTGACAAAGGACAAATTCATTCAAGGCATGATGGATGATAGTACATGACGTTTCCGTATTTCTCCTCCATACTCCGTGATAGCGTACTTCCCGAATGATGGCCAAGGCTCGCAGTCTCTGAGGAATGCTCATCGCATGGCATCGGATCCGAGGTTCTCGTCTCGTGATAGTGACCATCATCAAGATTCCATGTACTCACTAAGCCTCCTCTTCGGTCGACTTGTTCTTCTTCTTCTTGCCTCCGCTGCTGGCCGGTGCCTCACCCGTAGCCTTCTGATGGACGATGAATTTGGTGTAGAACTCTTCCTTATCCCACTCGAACCCAGCGAGGTAAGGGTTTTCGAGCTCATCGGCAGCCTATCAATGTCGAATCGTTAGTGAATCCGCAAGAAGAAGGGTTGTGTCTGGAAAAGTAGGGGGGGGGGTGCGAACCTTTTTACGGAACTGCTTGTAGATGGCATCGCAAACATCCTTGATGGTGACGCCGTGGTTGTTCCGGGCAGTCACCTCAAGACCTAGCGGCCACCTGAGGTCGATCCGGCGGATTGGTGGGTGGCATACGAGCTTCTTGAGATATTCCTTTTCTTCAATGGTGCTGGGTGAGGTGTTGATCTTCCTGTTGAGAGTTCACGTCAGATGATATTGTCGGTGATCAGAGTGATCAGGAGCTATGAAGCTAGGCTTACCAATTCAGCTTCTGTGTCTCCGGTGCCAGCTTCAGGTCGACACCTTCCTTTTCTGGGCCATGTGTCAGCAACGAGGTGATTTCGGAATAGCAACATATGTAATCAATGATCATAAGCTACTCAAATTGAACCAAGGCTGTTGGATCAGGACTCAAAATACATTGGATAGAGGACACTTACCAAGATCGTAGATGCTGAAGACACCCTCTACAATGCTGCTGCTTCGGCGATGTTTGGGCTTCACGTCCTTTGGTGAGGCCGGAGTGGTGTCATCGACGGCTGAGTCGACTTTGGTCAAGACGTGGTGATCGTGAGATTCTTGTACTTCGGCGGACATGGTGTTTGTTGATGCTTTGTTTGGAAGTAGAAAGCTGATCGATCGTGGTGATTGTGACCGAGTCCGGGCGACGATGAAATAGAGAGTCACAGATGTTGTAATGGATCACGAGCAGAAGTGATGTGTTACCACTTGCTCGTTGATGATCGAGTCGATGAAGAAGAGTAGTGAGAAGGCTGTTAAGAATGAAGAGGATGGAGAGCAGAAGAGCTGAGTGGAATGCCAGGCTCTTAATAAAAGGATAGCTCGAGGTCAATCAGGTGACTGCTCATCCGGTGCGCCGTCATCGTCACCATCATCACCAATCACAAAAGCTCACATCCCAGGCTCCTTTACACCCAAAAGGCTTACTATGGCTGTGTACTCGCATTGGCCTTGAATCAACAGGATAGGGAGAGAGAGGGGGGCATGCACCAATGCGGTCGTCTACTGCTACAGTATGATGAGTACCCAACCGAAAGGTGATCCTGACTTACGCTGTCGAACCATCGCGCGTGACTGTTGTATTCGCAATCATCTGCGATGGCTTCGATCGGACAGCCAATGGAAAGCTTGTGGCCGGTGGGGTGGATGGATCGCTCTTGCCTTGTGCAGTAAAGGCCGCAGTTGCCAATACTCACGGCTGATGGTTTCATCGCCGTTCAGAATAGTACGGAAGGGATCCTGGAATGGTACGGATGATAGTCCAAGTCACCATGTACTTATTACTGTATGCAAGCTCCAATGGCGAGAAAGCCAGGGTCGGATAAGGTCACGCGATCAGCGGCCGTCGCAGCGGGGCGAGCTGCTCTTTGACTGACTCTCCAACTCGTCACTATCAACGTGCAGTTTGATGAGTAGTGACATGCGTATTGACAATCCACCACTGATCAATGATACCTCATCACCGCTGCTCGAGCTGCAGTCGCTCGTCGTTCTCTCCAGTATCGCAACTGCCGTATCTTCTACGTTCTGGCAGTCCGCGCAGCATACAAAAGAATGGCACCAGACGAGCTGTGATCATCGACTTCGGGGGTAATGCAGCACCAGCGCAGTGAGCAAGGTCCAGACGGTGGCCATGAACATGGTGTCCATGCAATACGAGCAGGACGAGACGTCAACAGAGCACCGTGGGCATCACAGCTCTCTTGCACCACATCCTATCTAGCTACAAAGCAGCGTTGATAAATGGAGTCAGGAAGCACGCGACGTCACCCGCAGCAGATAGCTTGACTGCAACAACAGCAAGGGCTACGAAAAGAGACAAGTTCCGTTCGTGCGGCAGGTACGTCAACGCTTTCCTCGACTAGCTTGCGGCTCCGTCGGCCGTCGCATGATAAAGGAATCCGGGGTAGTCGCGCCCAGACTACCGTAGTACCTATGTGGCCGAGGGTTTCATCCTCACCTGGGCAGCTTCCAAGGTTCGATCTTATCATCAGCAGGTGGTCGCCGAATGGAGCAAACAGCTCCTGCCAGCTGAGCGTCGTGACCCCGACAATGTCATCCTACCTAGTAATCGTCCTGCTTACGATCCCGATCTGAGCTTGTCATATTCCCAGTAGATCGAAAGGAGAGGGATCCCCGACCCGGCAATTCGTAATCGGCATTCCAAGAATCCGAGCATCGTAGACAGCGGTGCGTATTCGCGACTGCTTGCTCGGGAAAGGGTATCGGTTTGCGACCGTCCAAAATTACTTGCATCATGCAACTCGCACCAGGATCCCACACCCCACGATTCACCCGACAAAGACGATGAATGGGTCGCTAGGATGAGCGGAAGTTCGGGCATCGCACTGAACAAACGCTTGTAGGAAGATGCCCAGGTGATGGATGACATCGTGCAGAGACGCGTATCAGGGTGCGTTTAAAGCATGCGGGGAACGAAGCGAATGATGGCGCCAGCGGGGTCTAGCGTGTACCTTAATCCTCGCCAATTCGTCGTCCACACGTCACAGGAAATCCCTCGATCGCGGGAAGGAAGTCGGAATTTGGGTCGATTGTGACCCGGAGCTCGCATTTGACGAAGAGACATCTGAATCGGTCGGGAGAGAAGTTGATTTGAAGACGTGATATCATGCTAGCCGTGATATGTATCAGGTCCCGATGCCATCGTGTGCTAAGCTTCACATGGACCACGTCCAATGAGCGTTAATCTGATACAATCTGCACTGAAACTCGAAGGTATATTTCAAAGATCCATAATAATCACGTTCTCATAAAATTGATATGGAGTCCCGCAGCCAGCTGCGAGACATCCGATGCATGCATTTGGAATCGCAACGATCAGGAAAGCAATCAGGGTATCATCCAATGCCTCCCGAGGGAGTATCTCACCCGGAACAAAATGCGCAAGATCAAATATCGAGTCCTTCCAATCGGGACCCATCCTTCCACCGACAACAACCCAAAACGCCGATTAAAGTGCAGAGATGAACAATTTCAATCAGAAGTCTCGTAAGACAACTCAAAGTCGATCACAGTCCAGTGATCTTCTTAAACCATCCACCGGCCTTTTTCGCACCAGAGAGCGGCGCAGCGGCGGGTCTCGCGTCACGGGTATTCATATCGCCATAGCCCAAGCTATTGCTAGGTCCGGCATAGCTTTGATGGCGACGATGATGTCCACCACCAGAAGAGCCTTGACTGCCAGGATCGTCGCGGCGAGAGCGAGGGGCGCCGTCCGCTCGTCGACGGCGCATCTCTCGCGCTGTGGTGGCGGGATCGTTGTCGTATGGGTCTGGGACGGGGTCTTCTCCATTTGCCATGGCCGCGAAATGGACGGGGGCGTCGATGATGGTGCCCTCAACGGGCGGAGGGGGTGGTGGTGACGACGCGAGACCGGCTACCCATGAGGCGGTCTTGTCGCCGCCTTTGGGACGCATAGCCGCGACAAATGGCGTTGTGGCGTTGTACTCTGAAGCGCGACGGGATGCGCGGCGACGCTCACGGTTCTGATCTGCGGCGGAGGGTGTAGGCTCCTCGGCCATGGAACGACGCATACGACGCTCTTCACGGCGAGCGCGTCGCGCTTCTTCATCCTCGGTCTCGCGAGCAACATCAGCGGGTGCCGCAGCGTGTGAACGACGACGGTCGGTCTTGGGTCGCATGGCGGCAGTTGCCTCCTCAGCAGCACGTAGACGTTCTCGTTCGCGACGTCGGCGTTCACGACGCTCTTCCCGCTCGCGTTCTTCCTCGCGCAACCGAGTCTCCTCTTCTTGGCGGCGAGCTTCCTTCTCGGCACGGCGGGCGCGACGCTCTTCCCGCTGGCGCTCCTCCTCTTCACGTGCTGTGCGTTCCTTGTCCTCGCGCTGTCGCACTGCACGAGATTCCTCCTTCTCGCGGCGGCGAACTGTACGAGCTTCTTCATCAGCGGCCTCACGAGCTCGACGTTCATGGCGCTCGCGGCGTCGAGCGGCATCTGCATCTTCGGCATCGGTTACAGGCGCAGCGCTAGCATAGCCGTCACGGTCGGTCGGTCGGCGAGAACGGTCAATCTTGCGCTCGTCACGACGCAGTCGCTTTGCATCGTCCTCGATGGCAGAGCTACGTTTGCGTCGAGATGCGTCATTTTCACTCTCGTATTGTCTGCTCGTGCGGCGTTCAGGCGGGGCAGGCTTGTTTGAGGAGAATGCGCCAAGGATGCCGCCCATGATTCCAGGCTTCCTGGCGCTGGATGTTGCCCGACGGACGAGCGATGGTTTTTCGAAGTCGTCGCCATTTGACGGAGCGCGAACGTCTTCGGAACGACGCGGCGCATCGGTCATGCCCACGTCCTCGGATGGTCCGAGACCACCAGACATGTATGTGGCCTCCCGCTTCGGTCGGCTGGACCGCTTACGGCGTTCACGCGGCTCGTCCAGATCTTTGGCTGAGTCTTCAGGTCCCTCTGCAGTTATAGTGTCTTCTGGATCGATTGCATATGGATCAGGAACCCTGCGCGAAGATTTCTCACGAGTTGATTTAGAGCGACCGAGGCCTTCGCGTCTTGCGATCTTAGCCGGCATATCTCGGTCCTCAAGCGGTGGCGGCGACTGTAGTCGGCCTTCATCGGCAGCACCGGAGATGTGTCGCGAGGTGGATTTGCTGGCCGACATTGGCGGGCGCGTCGATCTTGACTTTGAAGGCGTCGGTGCTGCACCGAACAGTGCGAAGCCACGAGACGCACTCGGCGCCGCCTTTGATCGTGGGGGCGATGGACCCTTTCCACCTTGTTCAGAACCTGAAGACTTCGATGCGCGCTCCAGCGGGTCCTTCTCAGAAGCTTTGCGTGAGGATTTCGATCGGGAAAGGTCAGCGGATCGCTCTTTGGGGGGCGAGACATCGACTTCGTCCGATTTAGAAGGGGCCTTCTTTGCGAGAGGCGGTGCTGCAGCGAATACTCCCCACGACGAGGACTGTTGATCGCGAACAACCTTTGGGCGCTCCTTCTTGAGTGTCGACGGCTTGAGTTTCTCCTCCGGTGGCGGCGTCGGCGTGGGAGCTTTCTTGACAACGGGCGCGCTTTCTACTGCAGCAGCATCATCATCGTCATTATCACCCGGGTCGAAGAGATCAGGCACTGGTTCGACAGGGGCCTCGACAACGGGCGTAGCCTTCGATTTCGACGATTCCTTCTTTGAGGACGACTTTGATTTCTTGTCCTTCGAAGATGACTTTGGCGGTGGAGAGGCAGATTTCGTCGCCACCACCGGCGCTGGCTCTTCGATCTCATCGAATGGATCGTCAGTGGGAAAGCCGCCAGGTAAAGGCGAGTGAGGTTTCTCAGCCGCTTCTTCCTCGGCAGGTTCCAGCGCTGGTGGCTGTGGTGGAGGGGCAGGCGACGCCTCTTTCTTCTCCTTCTTGGAAGATTTCTTGGACTTCTTTTCAACGACTGGAGGCGGTGTCGGCACCTTCTCAATTACCTCTGGCTCAGGTTGGACTTCCTCAAAAGGAGCTTCCTCGGGCTCGTCCTCCATAGGATCAGGCGTTGAAAACCAACTGCTGCTCGTTGTCTTTTTGGTCTTACTGCTTGCAGTTGGCTTCGTCGAGCTCTCGGCAGCAGACTGCAAGGACTTGATGCGATCTGCAACTGTTGAGGAGGAAGTTTTGGTCTTACTCTTGGAACCCTTTTCCGTGGTTGTCACTTCGGGTTCCAGCTCTTTCGCTTTGGCTGTCTCATCTGAGTCAATTTTACCGTTTGTGGCCGAAACGGGTGAAGTTTTCTTGGTCGACTTGAGTGATGAACCCCAGAACCCCCAACCGCTTGAGACCGGCTCTGGTTCAGGTTCGTCAAGCAGATCGAAGAGCGGGTCGGCAGCTGGCGCTTTCACCGGTTCCGCTTCCTCTTCCTCAACCGGAGGAGGAGTTGGCGGTTTGCTCTCTGCGGAGGATTTTTTGCTGGCCTTGGAGTCAGACTTCGAGCTCTTCTTTTTGCTGTCCTTTGACTCTTTAGCTTCTTTCTCCTTCTCCTTGGCTTCCTTCTCCTTGGCTTGCTTCTCCTTCTCCTTCGCCTCCCTCTCCTTCTCCTTTGCCTCTTTCTCTTTCTCCTTCGCTTCCCTCTCCTTTTCTTTAGACGATTTCTTCTTGGAAGAGGTCACTACAGGCACAGGAGCGGGTTCTGGCTCTTCGTTGAAATCAAGCATGTCGACGTCCGCCTCCTCTGCGAGTGCAGCCGCAAACAGCGCTTCGTCTTCTGCCTGAGCTGCTGCTAGATCTGCTTCACGCTTCTCCTTCGCGGCCTTATCTTTTGCCTCTTGTAGCTTAGCTTCTTTCTCCTTCTCCTTCTCCTTGATCGTCTTCGCAGAGCTGCTTGTAGAAGCTTTGGTGCTGCTGCTGCCCCACATGCTGCCCCAGCCGGAAGAAGCAGTCGCAGACTTACTGGAGGACTTTTTATCCTCTTTTACCGGAGATTCTGCACGTGTTGGAGAGTCAAACCCGTCATCCTCTTCACCTTTGTCTTCCGATTTCGCGGAATCCTTGGATTTGGACTTCTTGATAGGTGCCTCTTCGACCTTAGGCGCATCCACGGACTTCGAAGATTTCTTGTCTGTCTTGCTGCTTTTCTTCTTTGAGGAAGTGACGGCCGCAAACCCCCATGTATCATCAGATGGTTCTGCAGCACCCAGGAGATCGAGCTCGGGTTCGGCCTTAGCTGCTTCGATGAGTGGGACTTCTGGGACTGCAACAACCTCAATTGTGCTTGTCTTCTTCGATCCTTTCTTTGCTTTCTTGCCTGACGTCCACGCATCCTCCGTTGGCTGCATTATGTCGGCGCCGTGACTGGTTTCCGTAACCTCGATGATGTCATTGACCTTTTCTTTCTTCTTGTCCTTCTTCTTGACACCAAAAGTCCATTCGTCGGCAGCTTTTGGCTCATCAACCGATTCGGGTTGTAGAATGTCCTTCTCAGAGACGGGATCAACCGAGTCGGTAAGATCAGTGACTTTCATCTTGTCCTTTTTCGGATCTTTTTTGCTGCCCCATCCCATCCAGTCGTCAGACGCCGCCGGCTCCTCTGCTTTCACGGGTGGCGCAATTTCTTCGGTCGCAACGCCCTTCTTGTCCTTTTTCTTTTTCTTTGAGGTGTCGCCCCATCCACTACCCAGCCAATCGTCCGCAGGTGGTTTGGTCTCGACTGCTGCGACCTCTACGACTGGATCCTTTGACGGCTCTTCAGTCCAATCGAAATCGAATGCAGACTTGGTCTTGGTTTTCGATGGTTTCTGGGCCGTACCCCACCCATCGAATTCATCCGCTGCAGCAACTGGAGCAGGCGGTTCAGGTTCCGGTGGCGGCGGGGTCGCCTCCTTCTTCTCTTCCTTGGTTGCGGTTTTGTCCTTCTTGCCCTTCTTCTTGTCCTTGGAAGACGTGACTGCTGAAAAGCCCCAGGCCTCCTCCTCGGCGGGCTTCGCTTCTTTGACAGGTTCAGGAATGGGCTCGGGCTTGGGTTCAGGCACAACGACAGGTTCGACGACAGCTCCGCTTTTCTTCTTGCCCTTCTTGTCCTTTTTCGTACCAAACGAAGCAAAGTCGTCTTCTGCTGTTTTCGCGGGCGGAGGCGGCTCGATGACAGGTTCCGGTGCCGGTTCGGGTTCAGGCGCCGGAGGCTCGGGCTCGGGCTCAGGTATCACTGCAACTGCGGCTTTACCTTTCTTCTTCTTGGCCTTGCTTGTGCTTGGGGCGAAGCTTCCCCACGGATCTTCTTCAGCTGCGGGCGACGTCGCCTTCGCGGCTGGCGCACCAACATCCAACGAGAGGTCATCTGTGGTATTAGTGAAGCTAAGGTCGAACGGATCCTTTTTCTTAGTGTCCTTATCCTTTGACTTGTCTTTCGACGTCGAGGAAGACGTTATTGTGGAGAACCCCCAGTCGGCTTCGTCCTTCTTCGCCTCGACAGCTGGCTCAGGCGCAGCAGCCGAACCCCAACCCGAGCCCCATCCGAACATGAAACCACTTCCTTTATTCTCACTCGCAGCCGGCGCAGCGTCCAGGTCGAAGTTGAGATCGCCTAGGCGCGGCAAACTTAGCTTGTCATCGTTCAGGCTGATATCTGTAAACTTCATGTCGTCTTTGGTTTCTTTAGTGGCTGCAGGTGGCGCAGGCTCGGGTTCATTCTGCGAAACATTAGAATTGTAGTTGGATACGCGCTAGCAATCGCGAAGACGCCCTGAGGTACAACAAAATGACGAACGTTCCGCCTCTGAGGAGACGTGTCGCTATCGATAGGAGAGCGGCTGGTAGGAGGCGAAATTGCGGAGGTCTAAGCGTCGTACATCCGGACGGACGGCAGCCGCGTCACGCGACTTGCGATCTCTCCGCAACCAGGATCGACTCAGTCGACATGTCCGACACGCCGGAATTCCGTGGGAAATAAATTTCCGAGGCATGAAAATAGACTGAAAAACCACATACCTTGCCTTTTTTGCCCTTTTTCTTCTTCGTCGTGGGAGCTGCGGTGAAGCCCCACGGATCTTCGGTAGCCGCAGGTTCGGGTTCAGGTGCCGCTACTGGCTCTGGCGGAGGCGGTTGAACGACTGGTTCAGGTTCCGCCTCGAGGCTGAATGGACTTGCTTTCTTGGTCTTGTCTTTCTTCACTGTAGTGCCGAACGAGCCCCAGGGATCGTCGTTTGTTTCCACAGGTACATCCTTCGTCTTCGATGCCGAAGTTGTTGTCGTTCCGAGATCAATGGTTTCCATAGCTGGCTCCTCCTTGGCCTTCTTACCCTTCTTACCTTTCTTCGTGGTGGTAAAGCCTGCAAAGTCCTGAAGTCTAATGTCAGCTTGATGAGTCAGCTCAAAATGACGTCCGAAGTCTCACATCTACTGGCGATGATGCTGCCTTCGCCTTCTCCTGCTCCAGCTTTTCTGCTTCCTCCGCAGCTTTAGCTGCCGCCGCTGCTTCTTCTTCGGCTTTTTTGGCTGCTGCTGCTGCTTCCTCTTCAGCCTTTTTCGCAGCCTCTTCCTCCTCCTGCTTCTTCTTCGACTTCTTGGCCTTTTTACCGGTAGCAGCAGTCGCCCATGCATCGTCCTCGTTGTTGTTATCGTCACCGCCTCCGCCGCCACCTCCTGCACCATCGTCACCACCGCCGCTTCCTCCAGCTCCACTCCCTGAATCACCTGCACCTCCCTTATCGCCGCCTCCATCGTCCGCGGGCGTCTCTTCCTTTTTCTCTTCATCATCCTCGAACCATTTCGCTGCAGCCGGTTTCGCGGCTGGGGCTTTCTTCTTTTTGGCACGCATTCGCACGTTTTCGCTCGCAGAAAAGTCGACCTTCACGTCGAATGGTGACTGGGTTTGTGACGTTGGCTCCCGCTTTCGCTGCTCTCGACCATGGAGAGCGGAAATGTGAAGACAACACACATCCTGTACGACTGCGACGGCGTCTGTCGCAGTATAATCCGGTGGCGCATCCTGCGCGCTCTCTTCATATGACGGTGGAGGGGCGACGTCCAGCGCCGTTGTGCCCCGATCCGGTCGGAAAAGATCGCGCGGCTCGGATTGCTGCTCACCAATAGCTTTCGAGCCGGTATGTGTCGTTATTGATACATTATGATTACTCGCCACATCTCCACCTAAGCCCGTGAGGCTTTCCCAGAAGCTCACGAGGGTGTTGATGCGCGATCGGAGATAGTTCTGCTCATCCAAAGGGGTGATTGGTGGCTGGCGGACGCGTTTGAGCGATTCGCAGGCACGGAGGTCTTCGTTGTACAATGCTACGGCGATGGCCATTGAAGGAGGTCGAACCGAGTTTCTCTTCGTGCTGCGAGGGCGGGATCATTGAAGGCAGATTATCTGTGCTGTCGATTTCGTTCCAGATCGCGAGAGGTTCAAGGCGCTCGAGTCGTCCAGTAATGAAGAGTATCGATAGCAAATGTAGCAAGGGTCGTTTCCACGTCGCAATGTTCGACGCGAAAAATTCTCCTATGGTCCGGGTGCGAGAGGGGTGGGATGCCGCTGGGATGCGGTACGTATACAGAACCGTTAGCAAGACGGTGAAATCGTTCGGGCGAGGCTGGGAAGCCGAAGCTGTTTGGTATTGATCGGCAGGTGTGTGAAGGCGCGAGATTAAAGTGACTATACAGAGATGGTTGTGACTTCCAAGGTTTCCAGGACAGGAATGTTGGTTCGGATGCACTCGTGAGCTCTCCGGCAAGACCCCTGCTTGCGACGACGCAGCCTGTCGCGACGAGTCTGGCTGCTGGCTTTTTCGCGTGGAGGTGGAGATATAATCGAGTGTGTATCAGGGCCAATCAGTCGTTCGGGGAAATTTTAGCGGGACTCGCCAAGGCGAGCAACTGGAACGGGCGTATGCCGTTTGCCGATTGCGGAACAAAAAAGTGTTCACACAAGAGACAGACTCTCCCGGCACCACGACGAGCAGGAAAGGGAAATGGCAATAAAGCCAGTAGATGTTGTATAGGGACAACAACAAGAAAGGAAGCACAAAATAGCTTCACGCTTCCAGGAAGAATGATTGAGTCAGAAGAAGGAAAGTCATGTTTTTATTGCCATGCAGGAAAGGCATGGCTAATCGAAGTCTATTGTCTGCGTGGTTACTGTCCCACACAGGACGACTACTTTTATTCCAATTTTACTAGGTACTACACTACAGTATAGGGAATAGATGTAGTGGTTGCTGCAGCCCAGCATGCATGTATGAATGAGGAGAGCGTCTGCTTCTTCACCCACCCTCTTGCCTCTCTTCTATGTATGTACAAAGACTTGGTGAAACGACGAACTGCGCACAATTATCGACGACAATGATACTGGAACGTCGAGCATGTGCTGCACTCCAGGGCTGTGACAATCACTAGAAAAAGTAGCAGAGGATAGCTCGCCAGAGATCCCCCTCTTCAGTCGTGTCACCGTACGTCGCTGTATTTGTCAAGCTGCCAGAACAAGATGTCGCACGCGTCTGCCACAGGTCCGAGATGTCTTGCCTGTCAACCGCGCGCCAGTCCAGTTCGACACTTGTGCGCTTTTTATGAACATAATCGCGCTGTTGGGAACGACGACGACAACATCAACAACGGAAACCTGCGTCTGCTCCCGCCGCACGCTGTCGCCAAAGCATGACGGCGGAGATTTTTCTCTCATCAGCCATTGGGCCGGCAGGCGTCAGTCCAGTAGCTACTTTAGGGAGAGGGGATCCACTTGGGATCTATGCTATCTTCACCGCTAGATCTTGTTCAGTTGGTACGCATCGCGGCACATGATATTGGCTGTCTTTCATTCTTCGCAACGCGGAGTTCGTCGCGCGCGGCAACAAGCTTGGGTTCTCGTTGTGCGACAACCCGTTGAACGAACAGAGCATCGAGTACATCACGCGGACTCACAGCACGAGGGATCGAGTGCTATCCTCCTCGTGACAGAATCTGATGATACCAACTTGATCCTCTGTGCCGTCCCGTCTGCTCTGGTGAAGAACTGGCGCTCGTGCAGTAGTGTCCGTCCACCTTGGGTCAAGCGCGGGGAGTGACAGCGAATCCAACGGCGGCCTTACCCACGTCTTGCCTCTTCGGTCCGTCGCTCGAAATACTGCAGGTGGGCTCCTCTACCGCCTTTGTGACGTTGACACCCATGGGCACACCTGGGTACGACAACGTTGAATGGTAGCGGGACGAAAAGCGCGAGCAGACAGATCGGAACGCTTCAGCACATGCCTACATGCCATTCCCTGCGAGGGCGATGTCGTACATGATCGTGCGTGAACCCTGAGCCTGATGACAGCACAGGAATCGGACATATCGTGTGAAGCCGGCAATGCGGGCATTTCGCATCGGAGCTTCGACGATGGCGTTACTAGATTGGATGGGGAGACACTGGTCTAAGAGATGGTACGGCTCGCACGTGAGCGACGGTCGCTGTCTCGCTTCAATCCACAAGTATCCGCATGTCGAGACATATGAGGAGACGATTTTGCCTCGACCATGACCTGGAACGGTCGGCGTGATTACCTTGGCAAGTTGGTCTCGGTGCGGACGCAATTGCAAATGTCGAGGTGCGGCACACACATCGCAGACAGGCGGATGATTTGACGCCCAACGTCCAAATGCAGCCGATCAATTGACATCGACTCTTCCCGTTGATTGATATATTCAAGGGTCGGAGAAACACGGACACTTTTTCGCTCACTGGGCCCGATATTGTCTCGGAATCGTGGAACAAGCGAGACATGACAACCAGTCAGGATACGCCCAGTCGATGAGTAGTGGGCATGTGTGCATGCTCTTGTTAGTACCTACCTAGGTAGGTAAATACAGTACGATTCTGGCCTTACAAGCACCGAAATCGGGGCAGCTTCACGCGTCACCACGCGTCACCCAGCACGAGTCTTGCGATGTGGGCACCATCGTCATCACATTTGAGGGCCGGCCTCCAGTCCTTCCACGGAAATCGATGACCTTGTCACCCACTGTCGTCTTCCAAACACATCCTGCAGGTGGTCACGGCAATCGCCATTCCTTGGAAGCATCACTGCCAGCGCTGAAACGGAGGGCCACCAGTTTGAAGTTCATTCAAGCATTTCCATTTCATCATTAGTGTGGATATCTGAACCCATCATTATATCACAGATCGATCGGCTTCTCATGTACAACGGTACTCGCGACCATGCAGAGCTCCTGACCTTTCTTGCAAAGAGCATCAACCATATTTCGTCCTGAACTCTTGGTCAGCACCTGCGCCTAGAATCCGCAGAAGACTGCCATGGCTGCCATTGCGCCAGCGCCAACAAGAGGGACTCCCGTGGCAGCAGCTGCGCCAGTTCCAGAAGATGTTGTGGCCGTCGAGGTGACAGTGGTTGCGCTGGCGAATGTGACAGGGGTCCCGCCCGAGGAGGTTATGGAAGTCACGGTACTGGTCGTGACAACAGGAATCACAGTGGTGCCTGTGGTGGGTCTGGAGGTCGGTGTGGTCGTGGCCGTGGCCGCAGCTCGAGTAGACGTAGGGTTCTGTCCCGACGTCAAGGTGAGAGACTGACCAGCGGCAAGTGTCGCTCCAGCAGTATACGAAGTGGTGGTGAAGCGGCAGGTCTCAATGATGTCTCGGGCATCTGCTCACGTGTCAGCAGTCCGAATCACGATTCATCGGGGCTGAGCCAACGTTCGATCCATACCATTGTCGTCTGTCTCAACACTGCGGATGCATGCCTCACACAATGGCACTTGGAAGTTCGCGTTGGGGTAGTTGCACACGCAGCCGATATAGTCATCATCGTCGTCGTCGTTGTTGTTGTTGTCGCCGATGCGATCGCAGTACTGTGTCAGAGCCGCGACAGGGTTGCAGACGTCACGGCAGCGAGCCGGAATTTGGTTGTAGTCAATATCCTGGGCACGAACGGCCACGGATGACAGGATCGTAGTGAGCACTGGAAGGGTAAGTTGATAACGCATGTTGACTCGATTATTTTCGGAATGCTATCGATGATAGTTCAATTGGAAAGCAAGTACAGTGAGTGATGTGTGGTGATGGTGAAAAACAACAATGCGAGTGAGGACCAATGGATATATAACCAAATCAAACTCGAATGCAGCTTCTCTTGTTTTCGCTGATGCGCCGAGCAGAGAGGCTCGTTTCCTCCTCGTCACACAAAGACGCAAGCTCACTGTGGCTCGTGAATGCTTGAGCAACCCTCGTACCTATGGCGCGGGTGACGACGCTGCGATTCCAAGAAGGACTACTGCATACCAAGGCCTTTTCGTTGACTGTTCAGGTCAAAATGCACGAAGATCGAAGTGCTAACGAGGAGGAGTCAATCTGCCATTCCACCGTCTTAGCAACTCTGGCCTGCTAAAACGGTGGATTGGGTTGCAAAGCAGACCCTGTTCGGGAATCGAAAAGTCCTACCAATGTGCAATAGAGGTGAAATACAGACCAGAGTCATTCGCTCTCCGGTCAAACATTGTCTGAGCTCGTGGCCTGCATGTAAATGCATAGCGGAGATATACATGAAACGTCTGCCAAGCACTTGGCAGCGGAATTGGGATGCGGTTATTGGGAGGGAGGCCGAGTATCCGGCAGCTGCGCCCCGCTGTGTCGACGTCAGCGTCGCGATCAGCATACTGAGCTGCAATGAGCTTCTTTTGGGACCTCAACAATGGCAGATTGATCCAAGAACAGCTCTCATGAGCATGCGTAATCTCCCAAGACATCGATTTGAAGCGATGACTGCGCCCGTTTCATGACGACGATCACGATGACCACGAAGGTACACTCGAGCGAAGACCAGGGAGGGAAGTGGTTAGATTGCTCGCTGGTGTTGATAGTTGGAAAGCACTCACAAGAGCGGCATTGACGTGTAATACCGCGAAGATCTGTACCGTCACTTTATGCATCAGCGTAGTATCCAGAATCATCAACAAGGCCTATCTGCCTGGGTAATTTTTGTCATAGAAGCGAACGAGCCTGCTGATGAGAACGTTCCTTCACTGCATAATCGTGACCTTCGAATTGACACATCATCTGGCCAACACAGCTTTGGCGGTGCCCTCCAACTCCACGTTTCCAGCCACAGCAAGCTCCTGAATTCCTTCACTACCACTACCGATCCTGAGCCATGTCTCCAGAAGATCGTTTGACTCCTTAGGCTTGATATCCGGCGATGCCGTGCCAACAGTGATGTGCGCTGTGATATTGGCCGAGCGGAAATGCTCGCCGCCGTCAACAATAGGAGCTAACCGTACGACAAATGCCATGATTCGGTCGTTCCAAACAAGCCTCTCCAGCTTGATGTAGCTTTTTCCCAAGGGCGCTTGTAGATCCACGAATGCTCGCTCCGCCGTTGGCTTCGACACTTGCTCGTAGATAGTGTTGAGGTGCTGCCAGATTTCTGGACAGTCACCAGCGCTGGCACGATGGCACAGCGTAACGTGAAATGCGGCTTGAATACGACGCTGCTGCTTCAGCGCGTTATACATTCTGGCCACATCAGGAGGGGCGCCGTGAAACATAGCGGACAAAATCGCGTTGATTCGAGCAGCAGAAACTGTTATGCCAAAGTATTCGACCTTGGGCGCTTTGGGCGGGCCAGCAGGTGCCACAGACTTTTCCGCTAAACGATTGTTCTTGTTGCTCTTGTTGTCATCTCGGCCCTTGATCTCGTGTTTCAGATCAACGGTATACCCATGTAGGGCGGCGTCGATAGCCGCGTCCATGTCCTCTGCCGTCGGCATACCACCACCGTCGCTGGCTTCACGCGCGGCGAACAGTCTAGGGAACTCTACATACAGTGCACTGATGACTGTCTCGAGGTTCTCTCGTGATGACGCCAGAGGATCAAGATCGATCACGAAGTCAAAACCATCGTCAGGTGGGCTGTCTTGCCTGACCGGCTCGAAGCGGTGCAAGAACCCCTCCATGATTCCGATGATTTCTCCCTCGCCTTTACTTGTGTGAATCGTCTGGTGGTTGTCTCCCCTGCCAAGTACACGAGCTCGTAGTGTAGTACGGATATCGTCAATTCGATCCCGATCGTGCACAAAATGTAACGCCACATATCGTGCACGTGGGATGATAGCCGAGATGTCGGTGTACAGCTGTTGACGCTCTCGTCTTTGATGGTTGTTCCGATCCGCTATCATGACTGGGTGATCGATGAGGCCTTTCGAACAGGCATTCGCAAAGGCCTGTGGCTTTCGGCTTTTGACTGTGATGTTATCATTTTGAATGTGACCCCAATTCTCAAAAAGCTTTGTGAGCGCAAGAGCGATCGTAGTTTTACCGCAGCCAAGTGTTGCAACGGGTACAAGGACGATGTCGTTCTCGGCCGTGGCATTCGAGACCTCTGCTCCCTCGGCTTCTGCTTCCTGTCGAATGATATCGTGGCCATTAAGACCTCGCGAAGCGAGGAAAGCGTCTCGCAATTTGATGATGCCATGATTGTGCATGTAAGCTTGACCAAGTCCCTTATGAGCGTGCAGCTGTTGTCGTGCGAAGAGGAGATACTCCTCGGTGATCTTCTTATGGTTGCGAACTCGTGGTTCACGACCATTGATGATGGCCTTCGTGCACTCTCGCCACTGGCGGTACATCAAGTATGGCTCCTCAAACTTGTATTTGAAGAACCAGTCGTGCCACTCACCAGTACCATACTTTGACTGGCAGCGAATGACGAATCCCTCTGTGTCGCGGCCGGCATAGTTGCCCGTCTCAGCAACTTCATCGAGGAAACTGTGAACGTCCTGAACGTTATCTTTGAGGATGTACATGGTTTTTTTGAATCCCCATTCGTCAGCAAAGGCATCGACCAAATGATGAGGGTACGTTGCAAACTCGGGTAGGTTGAGGTTGATACCATGAAGGTAAAGACCAGCGGCTTCTGGGCGATACTCCAACACATGCTCCTCGAAATCGTCGTCACAGAGTTCGGCTACTGCGGTCGCGTTCATCTCTCGTAGTCTCCGCGCAAGATCGGCCTTGGTTTTTCCGACGCTGGCGAGATGACGCTCAACCCACCTCTCGCCCGCCTCTGCATGACTGAGGTCCGTGTCCGAACGGCTTCCCGTGGAATGCTTGCTGCAGACGATGATATCGCCCGATTCAAGGCCAGCGATGAAAATGATGCAACCGTTTTCTTTGACACTCAATTCGTACGGGCCTCGTGTATTCTCCTCGATGTTGGGCCATTCAGTCTCGCGCACCTCTCCATGATTGAAGAATTTGTCGTACCCTCGAACGACGATCTCCGGGTGACCATGATCATTTCTAGCTGTGAAAAGTCCTCGGGCGTATGTTGGTAAATTAGGTTTCTTGTAGTCCCAGTCAGACATTTTCCAGGAGTCCACCTTTAGCTGGGTTCCCGTCACGGTAAAAGTCGCTTTCTTGCATGAAATGCCTCGTTGTTTTCCCTGACTTTTCTTGGCCTCCAGTCCGCGCAGCATCTCGGCCACCTGCTGCACATCTTGTGGTCGATGTGGCGCTGTATCTGTTGAATATGCCATTGTCGAAACTAGTGTATCGTGCAAAGCAGACAGCAATATTGAAATTCGAACACCAATATTGAACCAATGTCTGGAAGATGCAGACCAATTACTTCAGGATGATCCGATCAACCTTGCAAGACAAAAACTTGGCAATGTAATTTCCAGGCTGGCAGTATTTCGATATTCGTGGCTACAGCAGCTGCCATGTGATATATGTCACATTTGCATGGGGCGCAGTTACTAGAGTTGTGGCTATAATTTTGACTCATCGATGTTTAAATTCCAGGTCGAGACACCGCCGTAGTGGAGTCGCGCCACAGCAAATTCGGGTGGCGGCCTTCATCGGAAGCTTTTGTCGCATGATTTAGTTCCAAGGTTGCAACCAAAATTCGCAGTTACCTGGTAGACGTGCATGCGTTTGCTGATGAGGTATTGAGAACAGGATTTGGCTGTGTGCTCGAAATTGAGTGTAGTGAAGAGTACGCCTCAAACATTTTAACCTTTGTTAGTGGTGTCGAGTTCTGCAAAACATCACGCACGCATTGTATCCTCACGCATCTGGAGTTGTCTCTATTCATCATTCCAGATGCTTTTCCCAGGAGAACGCCGTTTTGGAGCTAGAAGATACCTCAACCATGCAGCCAAATCCACTGAACGCCATCGCTAAATATGCACTGCCTTTTGTGCTTGACAAGTCAAGAAAATTGTCCAACAATGACATCCTCCTTTTCGGACGCGGTTTAGTAAAATCAACGCCTTGGTGTGACCTGTGGCTTCTGTTGCAAAAATTTCGCGCTGTTCTCCTGCTCCTTCCAATATCGATATTCTCGATTCCATGTATCGTACCAGTACTGCACATCTTTCGCGACGCCGTCTGGCCCTCTGGCATACATCCATAGCGCGATGCCGATCAACCCACCCCAGAATGCCATTCGCCGAGCCACCCTCAACCAGAACACCACCGAGTTGTAAAGCATGTTGAGGATCTGGAGAGAGACGAGGATGACGACCAATAGAAGTGCGATGGTGGTGAGGTCAGGACTAGCAGAGAGCTTCGATAAGAGGATCTGCGCATATCCCTGTGCTGTGTTGAGAAGCCGGTAGCCTTGTTGAAGATACGATGGCACTCGAAGTCCATGCTCATGGAGAAGGTCCATCGCCCAATCTACACCGAAGACAATCTTTAGCTATAGGGTTGTGAAGATACCGAAGATGTCGCGCTGAGAGGCTCACCTGGTATTGTGTCCATTTTGTGTGTGAATGGCACTCGATACTGCTATATTAGCCTTTACAATCGTTCTGAAGCAATATGCGTAGCGGTGGAGGGCGTATCACGCGCCGAACGAGCTGCTCATAAATTAAGTTGTGTTTCGCGATTGGGCACCGAGCTCAATCATCTCGAACGTAAGTACATCAACCGAAGACCGCCCAGGCGTATGAATATGGCCTGAGGCACCAAGAACAAGTCTGGATGAAGAAACAATACAAATGACAGTGAACAGAAATTGAATATGTTCCAAGGTTAAATTTGAACGCGGGCCACTCCTTCGTCAGAGAGCCTAGGTTATACTGCAATGGTTTCAAGTGAGCAGACATACCGCGTCGGCCAGCGTCGAAGCTTGAGAGGTCAAGCATGCACAATTCGCTACATAGGCCCAGTTGCAGCGAAGTCTGGTGAATGGCTCGGTGTTGAATGGGATGATCCTTTGCGCGGCAGACACGATGGAACACATGCAGGTGTAAAATACTTCACATGTATGTACCTTTCGAACACAACAAGCTTGGGAGAGCGTTCAAACTGACCGTTCAGGAGAGGCAAGAGAAAGGCATCCTCGATCGCGGCCTCGTTCCTCAAACCTGATCAAGCATGGGATCCTCCCCGGACCTTCCTGCAAGCTTTGCGTGAAAAGTATATGCCTGAAGATGCGGGCACTGGACAGAAAGCCGTCTACTTCTCAAGCAAGCAAGCCGAGGAGATTGGGTTCGAAAAGTTTGCCGACCGGCAGGCTCGACTTCACGGCATATACGTCTTGGTGCTCGATCGAATGCAAATCCGACACAATTCTGCTGATGGGGTAGATCTCGCTTCACAGGAAACCGACATCGTGGCCAGCTGCTCGCACATTACAGAATTAGACCTCAGCGGTAACCTCTTCGAATCTGTGGACGAGGTGTTCCGACTGTGTGCTCTGTTTCCTAAGCTCACACGCCTAGTGATAGACAGTAATCGCTTTTCGACACTGGACTACTCGCCGGACCATGCGCCTTTCAGCCGCGTCCGCACCCTCAGCTTATCAGATACGCTCCTGAGCTGGCCAGAGGCCGCAGTTTTGGCGCAGAAATTTCCTTCATTGACCGACATGACCGCCTCCAGCAACGAGTTGGCATCCTTGAGTCCTCAGATCTTTCCTCCAGCTCTGAAGTCTCTGGACATCGCGACCAACGGTTTCACCAGCCTTGATCGTCTCGTGGGTTTATCCACGTTGCACAACTTGCATTCCATTGTTATCAAGCACAATCCGATCTCGCTGGCCATCTCGGCAGAAGATGTGACTGTCGAGTTTCCCTCCATCGTTGAAGTCGACATGGCGCATAGCGCGGTAGCTTCTTGGTCTTTCTTTAATCAATTGCCGAACGTCTTTCCTGGTATGCGACATTTACGAATAGCCGGTGCACCGCTCTTCCAGTCATTGCGATCAGCAGATGACAAACCTCTTAAGGCAGAAGACGGCTACATGCTCACTGTTGCGCGGCTACCACAGCTCAAGACCCTGAACTTCAGCCCCATCACCGACAAAGAGAGATTGAACTCCGAAATTTATTATCATAGTCAAATCGCGTTGGAGTTGGAACTTGCCCATGCATCCGGTGTCTCTCCCGCCCGAGATGCAGCAGCATCCAAGACGGCCATTCTCGCACGGCATCCTCGATGGCTTGCACTCTGCGAGGAGTATGGTGACCCTGTTGCGCCTGCACGGCCTGATGACGCCACTGGGACTACTGGTACTCATAATTACAACAGGAATCCAAATTCTCTTGGTGCTCGGTTGGTTCACCTTACCTTCATGCTCAACACTGAATCTGCGCCACGCACGATCAGCTCAGCGACGGATTCAGTGGGAACTTCTCCAACAGACTATCTGTGGATACAGGAGCTTCCTCGTGTCTACGACATTTATTCTCTTCTGGGTAATGTCGTCGCTCATGTAAGCAAAGAAGTCTATCCATCCGGGAAGATCAACCCGTTATGCATTCGTCTCTTCTGGCTATCTGGCGAATTCCGACCAAACTTACATGGCGAGAGAAAATCCGATGACAGCACGAAGTTGGCCAAAGAGGCAAGTTGCACCGTCGACAGCACGCACGAAGGTGCGTTGGAACCTGGTGTGGTCGATTGGTGGGACAGCAGCGAGGAGGACGACTCAGATATGATTGCAGACGATCCTGCAGACTCGATGCTCCCGGAAGAGGTTGAGGTTGAGTTACTACCTGGCACCCGCTCGATCGGATCATACATCGAAGGTCGCAGAGCACGGATCCGAGTATTAATTCCACCAGCGGCGATCGTGAAGGGTCACGGGTAGAGGACATACACAATTCATTGTGACGTCGAGAGGCAGGCACTGCCGCCCATATGAGGAGTTACCACTCAATGTGAAAACAATTCCTAGGATTCTGACATCGTCAGGCAAATTGTCGTTGCTACACATGAACGCGTGCGATCTTGGCGTGGCCGCCACTGCAAAGTCAGCCATGCGCTTACACTTCCTCGTCACCCTCACAAAATAATTAAAAAGCCTATCAGGAGCAGTGTCAACATCAGGACTGTCCAAGGAACTTTCAAGGTCCATCCCGCCGACTGATTACATGTCGTAATTAGCGTTACATTCGGGATGGCGCGGCCGACGCAAGTGTCGAACGTGCTGGAGTCGGCCGGACAATAAGTGAAGCAGTTGTCGTGAAGCTGTACCTAACCAGCACAGCAAGTGGTGGGATTCTGGATCGACTGAGACGCGGTCAATTGACGCCGAAAAGCTTGTATGCGTTGTTGTTGAACGCAGATGGAGGCGATTCGGGTTGAGCAGGTTTGGTTTGCATACTACAAGGATCATGTTAGTAATGTAAAACGAGAATACATAAAAGCATGGGTCTCGCAAGGACAGGTGAAGTTCGAGGCGAATCTGGCCATGACTCTGGTAAAGGCAGCTACGTGCAGAGGTAACAGTGGCTTGCTCTAAAAGAACCATCACAAGATTCTAGTTTTGATGCGTTCTTCATGCAGTCTGCCTCGCTCGCGGACTTCTTAAACGACATCTTGCTGGTTTACATAGTACTGTAGATCAGCGGAAATGCCACGATGTTTCCAGGGAGGTGAATTCTAGTGGTCCAAAGTTACATGTGAGAAGCACGTCGTTGCTCCAAGCTTTGACCAATGTCATCATTTCCAACCTACCAACACGTGAGATTCTGTCAATTTCAATTTCGCGATCGGAGCGAATATGTTGGGTTCTACAGTACTTACCTAGATAGGTACCTAGGTAGTTTCGTTATGGTTAGCGTGTCGCGGATATAACAACAAGCATCACACAAGATCCCTCATCATTTCACCAGATCTACATGCCGATATGCCGGCCCTGGCGGCCTTCATCTCTGCTTTTCGCGCCGCATCTGGCTCATTTTATTCCCTCTCCTCTGCCTAAACCTCGTTCTTTTCCTACATTGACCGCTTACTTCGTGTATAAAATTTTGCATTTACTGCAGACTTTACCTACAAGACCAGCTCTACCTTATCACCTATAATAGCCATGTCCGTCGTTACCGCGCCTGGTGCCTTCGTGCCCTTCACCCAGACCTTTGTCCAGGGTTCAGTCACCACCGCTATCCCTCTGGTCGGACAGATCCTCTACAACGGCAAAACCAACTTCGTCGGCTACGATGCTGGTTCAGCGGCGTACATCGTCCCTAGCACCGCTTCTGGTGCGCAAGCGACCACCCTCGCCAACGGCAACACCTACTACATTACCTCCGGCAAGGCCCCGACCGGCTACACATTGACCGCCGGCGGCGCGACCACCTCGAGCGGCGCAGCTACGACTTCCGTGTCCACCAAGACCAGCTCACCTGGAACTACTAGCACATCTCCTGGTGGAATCGCCGTCACCGGGTCGGCGCAAACAACGACATCGACGTCCTCACCCACGGGCAATGCTGCTGTGATGACCGGACCAGCCAGCGGCATTGAGGGATTGATGTTGGGCTTCTTGACGATGATGCTTGGTCTGTTGATTTAGAAACAGCGCGCGATTTTGCGATTCATGAGTCATTCGCTCAGATAACCGACATGAGATGAACGTTGGATAGACTAATAATGTATGTATGTAGCATCATGTTCTCCATAAGATAATGCTAGAGAGGGTCGGCTTTTGATGAGCTCGAGATATGTCGAGCTCTTAGGAGCCTGACCTTGGTTGAAGCCTGGACATGGCACAAACGATCTTCATGTGACTCCATGCCACTTGCTGTAATGTGGAGCAGACGCACTTCAGCAACCGTTCATCAAGGTTTGATCCGCGGTGACACCAGCCAGCCATTCATTGCGACAATGGTCCTGACCAGATTCCAATCATCATCTTTCCCAACCCAATCGCAAACCACGACTCCGAGTGCTCCACTATCAGTAGCAACCCCATCGCTCGTTCCCTTAAGCTCGCCAACTGCACCTCCATCGACCACCGTCACATGCCTCTCGCACAAGAACGCCGTGACCACCGGATTAATTCGCGCAGCGATCCGTTCAGGCCAGCAACCAACATTCCACAAATTCGAGCCCGTGAGGAAGTTGAGAAACAACGGCACGGAAACACTCGCATCCCGGCTCAACGCCGCTTTCCCAATCGCCGCACTCGCCCTCTCGAAATGTGCACAGCAGTATTCGATCTTCTTCCTGATGCTCTTCGGCTCGAGCACATCGCAGAAATCCTGCACGCATACATGCCCGGACAGACAGGACGGCGAATTATGGATCCAATTGTCCGCATCAAGACCCAGCCCTGCACTGCTCCCGTCGTGATTCACGCCCTGATCATCGTCTAGTGCAAAGCGTCGGAGAAGGACGATCTTGCCGCGCACCTCGCCTAGACTTGGGATTCGAGGCTCCAAGTACCATCCGTTCACACAAAGATACCCCCGCCGCAAAATCCTGGCGAGCTGCGCGTCCGTTCCCGGCTTACCGAGGCCTTCCCTCTTGATGGAGATGATGACCGTCTCGGATGGATGCTCGCGCAGGAAGGCCTGGATGTCGTCGACTAGCACACGAAAGGTCCTCGGCCGACCCGTCAACGCGATCGGGAAAGCTCCGTGAACGAGCAGGAGGGCTGCGGTATCATCCGCGGTAGTGCTATCGTGCGTAGACCCAGCCGGTACATCTGCGATCTGCACGCGGACGTCGAAGAATCGGATCCCGTTGCGTAGTTGAGTGGCCGGCGAGACGGCCTGGCAGCGGACGCTAGGCAGCGCGATGTGGCAGGTGGGCGTGTTATGTGTGCCAGGGATGCTCAGATAGGAGAGCGGCGTCGAGCCCGGGAGTTCACGCATCCAGTCATCCAGCGGCGTATCGGGAAAGATGACAACAGAGTCCGAAGGTGGGATGAACAGGGCCAAATAACCTGGTGCTGCATCGCGAGTCAAGAGGACTGGCGTTTCTGATCCAGACGCTGATCTTGGTATGTCGATGTGCCACGTCGCGTTGTTTGCATCGGCGACTTGCAGGGTTAGGCGAATTTCATTCCTCTGTTCGTCCGTAACTTGCTGAACAGTTGTGGATATAGACGTCCATGGTCTGACAATAAGTTCTAAATCTTGTCGTCTGCCAATTTTACTCTCCTGACTCCCTTCATGGAGAGGTTGTGTGGTGACTACATGGCTGCTCGATGTGATACCTCGGATGAATTTTGTAACATTAGAAACAACAACATCTGTAATAGCATATTGATTTGTCCTGAGAGATGGATCGTGCTGGATATATTCGACGGATTTCAGTATCAGCGAGCCCGTCGTAAGGTTTCGCAAGGTAAATGTCTTCGTCATTCCCGTTCGTCCAGTCCAATGACGAGTCTTGTTCCATTCCATTCATTGGCAATATGCCTAGGTATCGGCGCAAATTCTTTGTGCCTCAGGCAACAACTAGTCAAGGCATGACAATACCACCTGGGCATGTGTGATTGCAGAGTTCATGAGCGTTCGTTCGGTCAAAATAAATGGCTTGTGGGAAATCTGAATGAGACTTTCGACTTGAAAAACGGATGACGATGCTTGATCCTGCTCGTTGGTATTGTGGTCAATCATTATGCTCTCAAGATTATTAGTACTCTCATCTTCATACACTATTCCAAGATCACTTGTCGTGAAGATAGCAATCCTTCTTCCGACATGGGGTATTCTTCCAACAAACACGACCTATCCACTCGTAACATTGCTCGACACCAGAGCCTCCTTTTATGCCTTTGTAAATTTCTTGCCTTCGCTGAACTCGGAAATGTTTCCACCCAGATAATCTTTTCCCTTGGCGAAGGCCACAACGAAGCCCGGCAGTCCAAAGCCATAGACCGCGCCCACGCCGGTCTTGGGTCCGATCGGAACGACGTGCGTCCCGTGGGGCTTGAAGGCGTATTTTCTCTCGGAGAATTTGCCCACTTTGGCATCCTCAAAGAGGTCGTGGGCGAGGTTGGCGCCCAGCACAGGCAGGGAAGTGTACATGTTGATCACACCGCCATTGTCAACACCGGCCACGTCACCCGCCGCATACACCCGCGGACCGGCGGCATCGACGCGCAGAGTGGACTCAGTGGTGGCAACATGGGCCGTGGCGGATTTCAGCTGAGCGGGAAGGAATTCGGTATTAGGCACAACGCCGAAGGCCGGAATGTAGGCATCGCAGTGCAAAACGGTCCCATCGTCCAATGTGACCTCAACCTTGCCATCCTCGGTATCCCGGGAGTTGCTGACTTTGGTGCTGTATCGGACTGTAACGCCCACTTTCTTGAGCAAGCCCTCGGCCTTGGTCGCGCGGGCTTGAGACAATTGAGGGAGGAGTTTTTCTGCTCCAGTGATTAATGTGACTTTCGCATTGCGGCCCTGGAAGCGGCTGCCGATCTCGCCAGCAGTCTCTACAGCCACGGGCCCACCACCACCAATGACGACGTCTTGAGCCGTGGTCAACTTGACATTCATATTTTCCAGAGCCGTGGTGGAGATTGTGTGGTCGCCATGTAAGGTTGTCAAAGGAGTTGGTGAGCGAACTCCTGTGGCGATTATGAGAGCGTAGTAGTTCAGCTCCTCGATTTCATCATTTGGTAGGGTGACGGTGACGGTGCGATTCTTGAGATCCATGGCGGTTGCGGTGCCATGGTGAAAGGAGATGGAATCTTGGAGGTCGGTGTATTGCTTGAAGCCGTCCATGACGGGCACAAAGTACTTCTCATGTTTAATCTCCTCCACGGATACTATGGCGCGAGGCGCAGATATGTTCCACCAGAAATGTGTCGAAGGACTGACGATGTGGAGGACATATTTGACGTTCTCGACGGCGGAAAGCTTGGGCAAGATGTGTTTGCAGACATAATGGGCAGTTCCCAACCCTGCGAATGAAGCCCCCAGGATGACGATATTGCGAACTTCCGCCATTGCGATAGTGCCCGGCTGGTGATGCGATATTTGGTTTCTTGAATGAGGTAAGGATGTTACGGTCTTATTGTAGTTAGATCTTGGTTGTTGACGCAGCTATTTTCGAGGGCAAAAAATCAAGGTAATACTGTCAGTTGGCGACAAAGGATTTCACTCTCACTTCCCGGACGTGCAAATGTAGTACAAACACATCATGACAAGGTTCGAGCGTCCCGCAACGTCACCAAGAGATTATCAAAGACGCATGTCCTGTAGGATGCATGTTCGGAACGTTCCTCGGGAAATCCTCCCTCGTACCCTGCGGGACCGCACTAAAGGACACGCGAGAAAGCGAGGCAATTTCCCGTTCCGCTACCAAAGCGGATCTTTTCGGCCGGTGCACTGTTGCATACTCTCAACACCGGACATGAAGATCTTTGACCACAGTCTTTGGCAATATCAAGGCATCCGGTGTTTCTTTTGCCTACGATTTCGAGAATACTGGGATGTAAACTGTCATGGCATTGTCGAAAGAACCTATCCTTTGGCCAACTCTGCGACCAACGTAAGGAGCATGTTCAGAGGTATACCTGTGTCTGTTATTGAAGATTCGGACAAATTTATGTGGTTCATATCCGCGTGGCTTTGTAACGTAACCACTCCGACCTTTCAAGCTTCATCTGGGCAAGGCTGCCTGTCTCGGGCTCGTGGAACGCTGAATGTTGGGTTGACTTTCATAGAAGATCTATATATCACTGTAGTGCTACTGGCCTGACACGGTGATCCTTGGAAGCCTTCAACCCCCGTGTGCGACAATATCACTGGCGTTATGCTGGACAGCCGGAAGCTGTTTCATCACCATCATCTACGTTGGGGCCGACTATACCTCAAATGAATTCAACAGTGCGACTCAAGATGACTTCCACCCAAATTCGCCAGCGACTCATTTTGGACATGATGTTGTTTCCCACCTGCATCAATTTAATGACACAGAAGGCTGATGGGGGGGTACTGCTCGAGCGTGGGTATGGCTAGGGTCAGACAGCCCCAACGCCAACCCTAGATATAAGTTGTGCCTGGCGTGCCTTGCAGCAAGCAGGCAGCCCGAGAAGAGCACAGAAACACCACTCTAGGCTAAAATGCTCTGTACGGAAGTGATATGGCGAGAACGCTCTTCGCCCAACTCAGACAAGCCGGATACCGTTACATTTATCAGTATCTTATTGATGAAACCCTTAATGTAATACTAATTACTCTCAATTATTACAGCCCTGGAGATGACATTTGTGCGGAGTCGACGGTAAGCCAGTGCCCAGCTGGGCTACGGTCCTTCTTAGCACCTCCTTTTGTTGTTCCCACCATGGAGCAGGCAGCCGTGAACAATGCCAGTCTTTTCGGGATAACGTGGACAATACACATCTGGCCCCTTCATCAAGCGGGATCAAATCAATCACGGCCACACGGGTGAGCCCATTCTTGGAGTCCAGGTATCGTACGGACGGAAGAAGCACGATGATATTGGGCTGCTGTCCTGAGTGAGGATCAATCGCAATGCGGCTTGTTCTGGTGTGCCAAGTCATCACCAAGAAATGATCGATCTTCCCAGGCCGTCGGGCCTATACTCCACAGACGCATGCACGCCCGACGCCCGCGGAGCGTTACCAGCTTGAAGCACGTGTAATGTCATGATCGTCAACAGCGTCCATCAGAATTATACAGGTGTGCGGTGAATTACCGCGTCCCGTCCACTTCGGCATATGTAATGACACTGAGTTAACACCAGTATCATCATCATAACAAATGGTGATGGTGATCAACCTTGGAATGCACTTGGTCAGTGTAGGTGTGTGGTGGTAGGTATTGTCCAATTATTATTTCCCGTGAGCTGTACAGACCACCTGGGCGGTGTGCATGCTGAGCTATACTCACGGTGGGGACAGCCACGTAGGGACATCTGGTAGAGCAGCCGTTCACACATCTACGCCCAGTTCACCGCTTCCCCAGAACTTCGCCAGACCACCTGCGGACATTTCATTCCCTCCCGACCTTCGCTTCCCTTTCCCTGGTACAGTACCACGCCGGCTGCCCTATCGCTCCTCTCGCGCTGCTGTGCCTGACCAAGCGATATCCTGTCATCCTGGGGGAAAGTGTGGAAAGTGTCTCTTCATTGATCTTCATCACCGCACCGTCGTGTTCGCTGCCAATGCCATATTGCTATTACTAGTCTTTCATTGAGTCTTGTGTGCTGTTTTTATATATTTACTACTCGCCTCGTTCGATTTCCCTCGTGCGCGTCATCGCCGCGGAAGAGTAGGACCCCTGCGTCTTCTCTCTCTCCTGGACAAGTCCGCGCGCGCACGCCCCCAAAAACGGAAAAGGAAAAAAAGAGTTGGCCGATCGCGTTCATCAAGGACAGGCACGCAGTTCCCGATTACACCACCTCCACCACAATTCATCCTCCCGACATTGACGCGTCGGGTTGTTGAGGAAGTGCTGTGCCCTGCAGTCATCGACCGACCTGATGAGCGATAGATAGTCGCTCAGTCCGCCGTCGACACCGTGGAAGGTACGCTCATCTCAGCAATGTGTGCAACATCAAATGCGCCGGATCGATGAGCTAACGATCCCTTCATTGGAAATAGGCACAAACGACAGACCGTCTGTACCATCGAGTCCGCCGCTGCCGTCGTCGATCCTCCAACATGATCTCCGCCTGATCGACACATCGTCGTTGCAGCTGTCGTCGTCTTCTCGTCCCAGCCAGGACTCGCTTCTCAGCCCCGAGACTAAGCATCTCCCGCCGCCTGTCACGCCTGCCAGTCCGAAAAGCAGAGATACCACGTCTGATTATTACACTGCTGCTTGGGGATCTCCGTACGACTTCTCTCCTTCCGCCACGAGATCTGTGCAGACAGCTTTCTCTGCACAAGCACCAACGAGCTCAGATATCAACGACGAATCTCCTGATCCGCGATTTGGCTTGGAACATCTCATTCCACCTCGCAAACTCGACGACGATTCGCCGGATCCGCGCTTTGTTTTGGAACACCTGTTTCCCAGTCGTCTGCGCAACATCAACACTGCGCAGCCCGGACTGTCGCCGCTTGCCAAAGTAAGCCGACATATAGAATACGACGATCCGGTTGATCCGGTCGATCTGTCCATCACTCCGCGATCGAGAACACAGCGCTGGGTGGATCTGCCCAAACGAGAGGAATTCTCGGAAGAGGACGACTTTGTTGGACCCGTAGTAACGCCGAGGTCGCAGCAGAAACGTTGGACTCAGCTACCTCAGCGGGAAGAGAAGCCGGTAGAAGCCACAGATTGGTGGAGCGAGGAGTCCGCGCCTGCATCGGATCAAGAAGAGAGACCGGTTCGTTCTGAGAAATCGGCGAGTTCCGAACGTCGCGGTCATCGGTCGCGAGAGAGCAATCGGACACTAGATCAACAGTCGTTCTGGGATATTCTGCGTGAAAAGCGAGGAGACGACATGTCGAGCCTTTTCGCGTCTCGTTGGGCTGAGACACCTCCCCCGGCGGGAGACTCTGGTTTTAGCCCTCCATCCAAAGATGGCCAAAACGACAACATCGGCCAGAAGAGCCCAGAGAAGGTGGAGCTAGCAGATCCTGCATCGATGCGCGCTTCAAGATGGGCAGACACACCTCCACCAAATGATGAGCCCTTCCTCCCATTGCCACCCATGAAGCCCGCCAATGGAAACATTTTCACCCCAAAGCCCCCCGCAGTGCCCGCAAAGGACGATGTCTTCATGGAGAAAGCGCCGCAAGTGCCTCCCAAGGACTCGCCTGTACTCAAAACTGCTGCTCCATTGCCAGCTCCCGAACCTGTGCAGCCATCCGAGAAATTAGTCGATGTACCCACACCGACGTTGGAGAAGACATCATCAGATTCGGAGCTTGCCAAGCCCACTGAAGCACCTGTCACTGAGCAAGTGACCGAGCCTGTTGTTGAGCAGGTGACACACACGCCTGTGGAGGAAGCAAAGCCTCCGCCGGTTCCCGAGAAGACGCGCCTACAGGTTGGGCTTCTTCCACCGTTGAAGAAGTCTCTCAGCTTCCGTGGCAGGAAGGTTCACATTGCAATTCCGCGAATCGACTACAGTGCAGCAGGTCTGCCAAAGCCGATGACCGAAGAAGAGGTCCGAAGCCGATTGCAAGGATTTGAAGAAGCAGGGTATAACACGAAAGGCTTCGACCTTTCTCATGAGCAAGGTGATCCGGTACAAGTTCGACCTATGTGGCCTATCGAGTCAGACACTCGGCACGTAGACAAAGAAGAGGTCAATGTTGTTCTACCAGATCTCGCCAAGTGGAGGGCGTACCAGGACTGGCTGACGGAGCAGAAGCTCGCTGCGCTTGGCGTTAGCACTGGATTCGATGAACCAGTGGCGTCGCAGGACATGTCTAGGCAATCTTCTGCGCAATATCCCCCACTGCCGTTCTCACCACCGATTCTGTCTGGTTCTGCACAGAGCATCGGACGGCCAGGCATGATCCGAGGTCACTCGCATGCTATGTCGGTGGCATCTCCTGCTTCTCCAGTCAACAATCCTTTCGGTCACATGCACCGTCACTCGACTGTCGCCGGATCTATGAATCTTGGCGGCATGCAATCTTCGGTGCAACAGGGCATCATTCCTGGCATGTCTCCCTTCAATCCCGGCCTGTTCTCCTTCCCCGGACGCAGTGCGTCCCCTGCGCAGGTTGCTGCACTGCGATCGGAGATTGGCTCTGCTCGTGGCCCAGGTTCGCCCCTCAGCAATGAGGTATACTTGCCGCATGATATGAACGGCTATTTCATGGATGGACAGCGCTCCCGTCAGCACTCGTACTCACAATCGATGTACCAACCCACAGCGGGTGGAATCGCCAATCCATTCGTTTCTCAGATCTCGAGCATACGCGCTACTCCTGCCTTGCCCGAGCTCCCTGAGGACGAGGATGAGGATGAGGAAGAACAAAAGCAACCCAAAACGCCCGAGCCGGAAACGGAAGACGAACCTCAGTCTTACGTACCGCCTCACAAGCGAGCACAGGCTGATGCTGAGATCATGGTGCCAACACCGCGCGGCCATCGCCACAACATTAGCGAAGGCCTGGAGCGCGATCTTCTTGAGCGTGAGCACCGACACCAGAATTCCAGGGAACACTGGATCGAGACCACGGAGGAAGAGGAAGAAGGATCCGAAGGCAACGGGCGTCGGAAGTCAAGCATCATGGAGGCCAAATCTTGGCGCAAGCCCTCATTGCTTGCTGAGGAGAAGGAGTCGCCTGCTACCGCCTCTGACGCGCCAGACGTGACACACAACCGCAAGAAGAGCGGAACAAAGCTGAACGTCAGTGCCACACCATTCACTTTTAACCCTACCCTGGAATTCAAGCCGTCATTCCAATTCAGCGAACAACCAGCACCGGCAGATTTTACATTCGGTATGCCACCACCTCAACCAGATTTTACCTTTGGCACGCAGCCTGCGACTTCCGACTTCACATTCGGTTCGATTGTTCCTGTCACAAACGGATATGCTAGTGACAATTATCACCACCGGACACGCTCGTCTGGCAATTTCAATGCTGCCGCCCCTGTATTTACACCCAAGATGCACTCGGACTTCAACTTTTCTGCTGATGGACCCAGCTTCGAGCCAAGCGCCGCTGCACTGGAGCCTGGTTCAATCACCTACGACCCTGCCGAGAGCAATGAAGACGCTATTTTTGGCCGAGTACAGATCCCCGACATCGTCAAGCCTGCGAGAAGATCGAAAGCAGTTGCAATCGTTCGGCCAGAGGATCCTTCATCTCAGTCTGGTACTGAGTATGAGGATGAAGAGGGCCGAATCGCCCAAAACTCAAACCCAAAGAAGCAGCGCAAGGGCGGCGATGACGGAGATGAAGTGCCGCAATTTGCTGAGCCTACGCTCGCGCCACCTCCTCCCTCGAAGATTCTGGGCTCGAACGTGGACATTCCAGTTCCGGCAGACGCGAACATCTTCTTGGATGGCATTATCGAAGAGGCAGAGCATGTCGAACGAACACCTCCAGCTAACGAACTTCCCACTGCTGAGGCGACGGTACAGAAGAAACATTATCACAAGCATTCTCACTCCCTGTCAGGTGCAGCGCGTCCTTTTGTGCCTGGCTTCTTCACAACACCCGCGACTGTGACTGCGCCCGCAGTCGAGCTCGAGCAGACCACGCGTGACCATAAACACTTTGCATCCATCAGTGAACTGGAAGAAGGGGAACTTCGAGAGAATGATTCGCAGACCCTTTCGCCTACTTTGACAATGGCAACATTGCAACCTAACCGCGATCGCGACATTACACCCTTGGGCAATTCTAAAAAGCGTTCCTCGCCTTTCCCGCACTCAGCCAATGACCGTGTCCCTGAAGATGCGCAGCCTGAACCTTCATTCAACGAGATTGACGCAATTATGCAGCATCTCAACCATGAGCCCGTGGCTGAAGAGACACAGCGGCCCGCCGACATCGAAGAGGACCAACCTCGGTTGCCTCCAAGCCCTGGTTCACACCCGATGCCTGGTGTCACGTACTTGGCAGGATGGCCAAGAAGCGATGCTCCAAGCCCTAGCCCTCATCGCCGTCATGCACCTTCATTTGACCATATCAACCGCACAGACAGTGCTGACCAGTACCGTGATGACTGGCAACATGTCAACAGACTCAACAAGGCGGAGGAAGTGCCTACCAGTGACTGGTCAGGCATCCTCTCACCGCCGGACGAGGAGAAACTGCACCAGCGCAGCAGCTTCTTTGATAGCCGGATTGACTCGGTTATCAGCCGTATTTTCGAGGAGCGTCTCCAGCCACTCGAAGACAGTCTGCGCAGTCTTCACAGCTCCGTCACTAAGCGAACTCGCTCCGATGATCGACAGCACAAGCGTGGCTCCTCTAATGTTCCCAGTGATGCGGACGATGAGGATGATGTGGACAATGCCTACCTGCAACGCGCCATCTCTCGTGGTCGGGATAAGCGTGTTGACCAAATTAAAGCTGCTGTGGCAGAAGCATTGCGCGAGCAGAGCCCCAAACGATCGGATGCTGCGCTTGAGCTCGCTGACCTCCACTCCGTTCTGGCGGACATGAAAGTCTCCTTCGCGCGTGCGGCCTCATCAAGTTTAGAGCTGGATGACATTCGCGTCCTCGTAGACGAGGCTCTCCACCGTCAAACACAGGCCGTCGTACCTGCCGCCCAGGACGAGCCAAGTAAGGGTGAGATGCTTGTGCTCGAAAATCGACTCAACGAGACCCTTGCTGGTGCATTAGAGGAGGCTAATCAGCGCCGCGCCGCCGAAGAGCGCGAAGCGGATGCTAGGCGGCTCCTTCGTTTGGCCGAAGAAGAGCTACGTCTTGTTCGCGAGACCGCCTCGGACTCGAAATCGCGTCTCCGTGCCATGCAAGAAGAGCGAGAAGATATCCTCGACCGCCTCCAGAAAACTGAGCGGGAACTCCGTAACGCTCACGATGACCATAAAGACGCCGAGGATCGCAACGAGGCGCTTGAGGCCACACTCGCAGAGTACAGGACTTCTAGCAATAAGTGGCGACAAGAGATTAGCGAAGGAAATCGTGAACGGGAAGAGCTTCGCGCCACAATCGCTGAGCTGGATCGTCAAGCGACTGCTAACGGCCAGAGCGCGGAGACAGAACGGGCGAAGCTCACTGCAACCATCGCCAATCTCGAATCCCAAGCAGTCGCCGAGCAAGAGAAAGCTGCAGCGGAACGTGAGAGTCTCGCAGCAACTATTTCGGCTTTGGAGGCACAAAGTGAGAAGGACCGGGAAGCGGCAAAGGTGGAGCGCGAAGAACTTCGTTTCGCGGTCTCACGTCTTGTGGCCCAGTCGAAGGCCGAGCAAGAAAGTTCGAAGTTTGGCGCACAAAAAGAACGCGAAGAGGCAAATGCCACCATTGCGACACTAGAGGCACAAGCGTCGCAAGCGCAAACGGAACGCGAGACATCTCGCCATGAGTACGACAAGCTTTCTGCCCTCGTCGTCGAACTTCAGGTGCAGATTACCGAGAACCAGGACGCCTTCGCCGCGGAGCGCGAGCAGTTCTCCGTGATGTCCAGCACATTCGAGAACCAGGCCAAGGAGATCGAGGAAACAAGCCAACGCGACCAGGATGCCCTCAAAGCTACGATTGCATCCCTCGAGCGTGAAGCTGAGCAAGCCCGGGACGCAAGCCAGCGCGAGCAAGAAGAGCTCCGCACCGCAATTTCCAAGCTCGAGCGCGAGGCAGAACAGGCACGAGAGGCGAGTCAGCGCGAACTGGAGGACCTTCGTGCAGCAACAGCCAATCTCGAGCATGAAACCGAACAAACGCGAGAGACAACTCGACGCGAACACGAAGAGCTTCGCGCTGCCGCTACATCGTTCGAACGCGAGGCCACTCAAGAACGAGAAGGAAGCCAGCGAGAGCAGGAGACTCTTCGAAGCGCCATTGCGTCTTTGCAACGTGAGCTGGAAGCTGCGCATGAAGCTTCGGCACGTGAACGCGACGAGCTACAAAACACTATTGCAACACTCGAGCGTCAAACCGAAGACCATCGTGAAGCTGGCTCTGGTATGAAGCGTCGCTTGGAGAAACTTCACTCCGACCTGGCTGCGGCAGCCGGGCAATTAGTCAGCGAAAAGGCACTTTGGCAATCACGCGAAAACGACCTGCGCAATCGTCAAGAGAGCTTTGAGCTACAGAGAGGTGCCGAGGCGCGGGAACGCGCCCAGCTCGAAGACGAACTTCGGGCTGTCCGTTCATCGGCCCTCGAGGTCCCAGAGCTGCGCCACTCCCTCGAGCAGGTTCGCAAATCAAACGCATCCCTTGAGGAATTGGTTCGCAAACTGCAAGGCGACATCGTGGAGCAACAGAATCTGGCGATGCGCTTCGAACGCCAATTCCACGAATCTCAGGAGTCAAGCCGTGCCGAAATTCATCGCACTCGGATGGCGCTCGATTCTGACATTGAAGCTGCCAATCACCAAGTCAACGTTGTGCGTGCAGAACTCGAGAGCGATCTTATCAAAACCCGCACAGAGCTCGAAAATGTCCGTATGGAGGCTGAAACCGCGAAAGCTCGTCACGAGCACCTCATGGAGCAGGAGGAAGCTGCTCGACGTGAAGCCCTGCGGAAGGTCAACCACTCCAACAGCGTGGCCTTGGACGAGGCGCGACACAAGTACGAATCTGCCACGCAAGAGCTTCAGTCACAACACGCCCGTGCACTCAAACATGCGCATGAAGATCGTGACCGTGTGGAATTTTTCCTCGGCGAGCGACTCAACCTATCCGATGCCAAACTGCAACATTACCAGGATAGGGTGGCGCACCTGGAGGAGCGTCTATCCGTGGCCAAGTCCGCTGCTCAGGCAGCCGCACAGAACGCGCAGACCACCAAGGCCATCTCTGTCGCGCCGAGCTACCCACGCATGCCCGAAAAGGTCTCGCCGCAAGCACTACGCGAGTCTATTCTGGTTCTGCAAGAACAACTACAAGAGCGTGAAATTCGCATCGAAACCCTTCAATCTCAAGTGCAGGAAGAAGGAGTGGCCAAGGTCAAGGAGCGCGATACTGAAATCGCCTGGCTTCGTGAGCTTCTCGCCGTCCGTATGGACGAGCTGACAGACTTGGCCAACACACTCGCTAGCCCAGCTTTCAACCGAGAGGCCGTTCGGGATACTGCGATTCGCATTCGCGCAAACCTTCAGATGGAGCAAGAAGAGAAGGAGCGATTTAATCGCCCCCCCGCGCCGCAGAGCGTCAGCGGCCAGGCTTTGGCGAGCCTTTCGAGCTTTGCGACCCCCAAGCTTGCCTCAGCTTTTAACAAATGGCGCAGCACAATGGAAAGCTCCACACTGAAGACGCAATCACGCTCGTCAAGCATGGCCGGTCGCTCAGCCACCCCTTCTCGCGGTCAACAACCACCCTCGCGACGCCCAGCAGCAGCAGCACCAGGATACCCTTCTGGTCTGATGACTCCACCAGCTACGAGCATTCGAACAGCATCGCCGGTGGCTGAGCTGTCGCACAAGCTTGGCAGCACTGGCAGCCACGCGGCACCATCGGCCGCGAATCCTCGCCTGCACCCTCGAACGTTCTCTAAAACGTCCCAATTCTCATCACAATCCCATCTCGAGCCTGCCTCAGTATATCTACCCAAAAGTAGACAGTCATCCAATAACACCACCACCAGCCGACTGGTTTCAGAGACACAACAGCCACAGCAGCAGAACAGGCTGAATGACTCCAATCTATTCCGCGAACAGAGCTACGACCGTGATGCAGACGAATCACTCGCTGTAGCGCATATGCCTACTTTCGAGGAAGACGAGGACGACGAGCCAGGCGCCAACGACGACAGCCTCGAGGACGTGGTCGACTCACAACCGCCTGCTTTCCGAACTCTCGACGACGAATTGGAGGACGAGGAGGAGTACGACGAGGATGAGCGTCACCACGATGCTCAATCTTTGACTGCCGCAGCCGATCGAATTGAGGCATAGATTGCTCGCAGCTCCGGCACGATTCCCGAGGAACATTGCTCATTACATTTCGACCATCGAAGTCGACGACAATGATACTGCTCGTATCATCCTTACTATCTACATTTCCTTTGTTCAATTTTCATTTCGCCATTTTCGCGGTCTACCTTTCTTTCGAGTACATCGATCTATACTTTAATTTTGGGGTTTTTTGGCAGCTGCCCGGCGAGACCGACGGCATTTCGCGCGCTTCACTGCTTGATTTGATTGATTGATTGATTGGCGCGACAGATTGCATCACAATGATACCCGATCGCTGCGATCCCTCTCACAAAAGCTTTCCCTCATTCATCTCCGCTCTAAAATTTCGCTTTGTGGTGGATTCTCGTTGCCGGAAAACACATGAGAGAAGGGGTGTTTGTGTTTTCTTTTTCTTTTGCGGTCACTCAGATTGTTGGAACAGACCTTTATTCTCTGCATTCGTTTCACGTTCTTTTCTTTTCTTTGCAGATTTGTATTTACTCCTTGTTACTTATATGTCTTATCTCAATTCGCCATCTCAGAACTTTTTACCAAAGCAATCTTTGTGTTGACGTGTTTCACTTCGTGGAAACCGAAAGTCGAGTTTGTTACGATATTAACATTACTCAATGTGGTTCACTGGATTGATCGTCCAGGTACAGCTCTACGCAGTGTTTACCTTATTTCCATTCTCACCTGTCCTGCTATCCTATGCCAGCTTTCTCAAGGCATGCAGGATTCCACTTCGACGTGACCTCGAACGCGCAAAGAATGATGTTGTCGTTTGAAATGGAAGAGTAGGAACATTGACGAGAGAGCTCGAGGGCTGTCGGAATATTTCGTGCTCAATCTTCCGACGCATATTGTTGTTATCGTAACCGTCCACTTTACATACTTAGGTAGGCATTGGTCACTGCCGGAAGGTCGCGGTTCTTCCCAAATGTGAGATTTCGTCACGGACCCTGCTTTGTCGATCCAAGTCCTTACACGTGGAAAGTCCGGGAATCCGCTTTGATCTTCAAATACCACCTGGGCACTCATCCACGCGACATTCCCATTTATCTTCGTCGCGATTTACCCGTGGTCCATTGGACGGGACACTGTGCGGTGGGAGATCTTGGATTTCAAGACAGTGCAATTGGGGCAAGCAATATCCTGTCGTCGAGGACAAAGACCGTAGAAATCCCCTCGCTCACTACTCAGCATGACGACACCGGCGCCATTCAAGTCCTCTTTCCCGTGGCTGCCGGCGATCCCATACCCGCCGCCCAGAGAAGACGGTTACTGGGCGCCTATCACTTCGACTTTAGATTGGTGCGAGGAGGTATGTACTTAACCCTCTTTCAAGATTGAGAGGAAGTGAAAGAATCGAGAAGCAGAACTCGAAGTGAAGCGTCACTGTCCTATCATGGGGTGGAGCGAGGCCAATAATCCAATACACGAAGCCAATGATATCAAATCAGTCTATCCTGGCAGACGGTCCACGCGAAACGCGTCGCGAGCAGAATGATTTTTCAGTGATACTTGCAGATGGCTTGTGTGAGCAGAATTTATGTCGAACGATACTGATGCTGTTGTCAGAATTATTATGCCACGCACTACTCTGCCGAGATTGTCAACACCTTGACCAATCTCCTGGTCGTATATCTCTCATGCAAGGGAATGTACAATTGTTACAAATATGGACATGAACTGATATTCTTGGTCACGTTTGCTGGGTTCCTGGTCGTTGGATCGGGCAGCTTTGCTTTTCATGCGACTTTGAAGTGTATGTCCAGTCCCCTTTCTCCTTGCTGAGCTTTCCACAGAAGCAAGGAATTGCATTGAAGCGATGCAAGGAGCAATCTTAATGTAGGCATGAAGCGAGAAGAGATGGCCTCGGGAACAAAGCAATAATGAGCCGTGATGACCATCCGCATCGAACTCAAAATTGAAACAATCCCTGAAAGGAGCAGGAAGAGTAAGAGGAAAAGCGACCTATTCTAACATGCTACACTCACAGACCCTATGCAGCTCGTTGATGAACTCTCCATGATCTACACAACCTGTCTCATGCTTTGGGCCACTTTTGAACATGGCCGCTCCCGTCTTTTCGGTGTCCTTTGGGGACTGTTCGTCGCCAGCCTCGCCATTTCCATCACGCTGTACTATCACTATCTCCAGGACCCGACTTTCCACCAAAATGCTTATGCTCTTCTGACGGCCATTGTCCTGATTCGAGCCATGGTGATGCAGGAGCTCTATCTACGACCATACTTCCAACGTCAACGTCGTGAACGGGAACAAGAACGGCAGACGGGTACAATCAAAACGGGAGCTGCCATCTCGGACTCCGAACTAGCTCGTCGCGAGAAACGCGACAAAGAGATTCTGATACGCATGTGGGTCTTGGTGGCGTGGGGACTGACAGTCTTTCTCGGCGGGTTCGCCATCTGGAATCTCGACAACATCTATTGCTCGAAGCTGAGACGGTGGCGTTACGACATTGGCCTACCGTGGGGCCTCGTTCTGGAAGGACACGGTTGGTGGCACATTGGAACGGGATTGGGAGCCTATTCATACATCGGTACGTGGTCTTGTTCCAGAGCACAAGCGAAAGTGGAGAAACCGTTCACTGACGAGAACTACTTTGCTTCCATTCACAGTCTGGGGAATCTGGCTTCGTCATTGCCTCAATGGAAAGCAGGACGAGTATGAATTGATCTGGCCGAGTATCTTCACCTCGGTACCGCGACTGGTGCGGGTTGAAAAGGTCAAGACTAGATAATCCTCGTTCAAAGGTCGTGAATATGGAGGTCGAGATATGCTGGCTCATTCATCGCCGCCCCCTGGAATTCTGGAAGCATGCCGTTCTCATGGACCTTGCGAAGTCTCTCTCTAAGTGGCACGAGTATCTAGAGCAGTCTACATCGACTAGAAGTTGGGTCGGAGCCTCTGATGGCGGCTTGTGAAGTCACAATCCGCTCACTCGAGAATAATCCAGGCAGCTCGGACGACTGAGACGTTCCACTTTCAATCAGCGCCTCGTCATGGTGTCACCGTCTGGTCAATTCACGTGAACGACGTCCAAACATTATGTGGATGAGTAATGTTGAGGTGCGTGATCTAGCTTTTGTCATGTGCAGGAGAGAATTTTCCCGCATACAGTGTATCATGCAAGCCATCTTCACGTGTCAAAACACTACCGCGGTACGTACTTTGGTTGGACCTTTCCAAGCATCGTACTGTACCTGTCTGGTAGAACGGCGCAGAGCAAGCTCCGCTCAAGAGACCGATCTCTTTTCAGATTTTACTATGTTCCGGCTAAAAAGGTCTATCTTGGTGAGGATGCGGAACACACACAGTAGAAGTGCTGGATTTGCAGACCGCCTGCTGAATTGCTGGATATAGTGTGCATTTGGCACGGACATCAAAATCCGCGATCCCGGCCTCCGATTCCAAGAAATGAGGCTGGAAATGGAATCGGCACGATGGTCTGCTTCTCAGTAGCCACATGACTTTCACAATCGGGACTGCATCGTCATCGGCGATGGGCAAACTTCGGAGAGCCAAGAAGCACGCATACCTAGGTATTCACAGAATCCTTTCACCGGGAAAACTGGACATGAAAGCATGTGAGCACCGTGCTCGCCTTGGCGACCGTGCCTCCTTCCGCCTCTGAGAAACCAGTTTGATACGAGTGCGAAGAAGGGATTTGGGATCATTTCCACGCGACACGACATAGTGATGGCGCCACACCCTTGGGAAGGAGTCATGGAGCCCAGGATGATTATGAGGCAATAAAATTCGCGGGCCACCTGGGCACCGCGCGGACGGCGTGCCTAGGCTGCCCGCCGTTTTGCAGAGGGGACGCGGAAAAGGGCTACTCTCCGACTCCGACGACTTGAGGCTCTGTCTGTCATGTTCGTGGTGGATTTTCTTTCCCTTTGCTAGCGCGAACTACACCAAAACCTGCCGAGGCGGACAGCGAATCTTTGGAGGTAAACAATAATAACAGGAAGGGTCTGCATTATACAATATCGTTTCGCTCGTGATGTTTAGGTGACTTCCACTCATGGTCATAGTCGACATCTTACCAGCGATTATTCATTGTGCTCGTCGGCGCATCCTGAATGGACTACACACAGACTCACGATCACAAGCAAACCAAGAAAATTTCCCCCGAAAATCGATTGGTGCAGACAAACCGGTGGTCTCTCGTTCAGAATTTCCAGCCCTCAATGGCCCTTTTCCGCCGTGAACGCTTTCCTCCCCCCCACAAATTCCACGTTTTCCCCGTTTTCATCAGAGGGTGCCGTCGTGTCACCTGTCATTCTTCGGGAAATGCTGCTTCGGCCGTACGGGCAAGCATGCAACAACATGCTGACACGCAGGTGCCCAATGATCCGCCGTGAAGTTCATCCCCAGGGTCGTCCACTCGAGAACGCCGAGTCGACCGCGTGATCAAGGTGTAATCTTTCTTTCGGCCGTCGCGACCACGACGTGTCAATACGAAGAAGACGGCGACGACGAACAAAGTCCACCGGTGTAATGATTTGCGCGCGATGTTGCCGGTCTCCGAAGAATTGGCGCATTGCGACTAAGATCAATCATGGTCCATGACTGCATGGTATTCATTTGTGTCACATGTGAATCCTCCAGCGCTGCACTATTATTCGAGATCGCTGTCCATCGCGAGCATGATGAAAGCGATGTCGTTGCGGAGCGGGAGGCGATAGACTGCACTGCAGTTGCTCGCTTCTCCGCGTGTGAGTGAGTACCTAGCTAGATTTCAAAAGATGAAACCCGTTGATGGTTCAGCACAAAACGCAGAGCCAGTATGACGTTCTTTGTTTTACTTTGATAGAGACGTTTGAGCGGGCGAGCTTGGATCATTGGGCCTCGAGGTCGACGATCAAGCCGCAGAGCACGTATGTCAACTATCCCACAGTGAGTTCTTACGAGGTCATCATTGCAGCGGGATCTGGGAAGATTAATGGTCCGATTGTACTGCAATAATAAGTTGGGAGCTGTCCTTCACAGCGCGTGGTAGCTCCCTCCGGCTGTGATAGCTAGAAGCAGACATCTGCCCGACATTTTCAAGATCCTCTCATCATCGATGTCTGGTGTTTGTATCATCGGGGTATATGTACGTATTGCAAGGTGTCAGACATGTACAGTACGAGGGAAATATCGCGATCTGGTAGAAGCGCGTTATGCGCGTCATGAACGTCGAGATTGTCTTCCATTTGTCCACTGTACATTCGAGTCGTATCGGCAGATGACGAGTCGAGCGTGGGAGAAACGTGAGAGGTCCCCAGCGTGCTACTTCGTTTGTACTTTCGACACAGAGGTATTGTACCGTGTGTATCTAGCTTTCAAGACCTGCGTCTTGAAGATTGATCAGATCAATTACTTTTCTCCGGCGATACCGGGGCATGATCAGGCCCAGAAGGGAGCGGTGCCGGAGAAGCCAGCATCAATGAAAACAGTCAAGTTACCTGGGGAGAGAGGATGGACGACCTTGCAGCACATTTGACTTCTGCAGGGTACACGCTCTCATTTGCGTGCGCCGCGGCACCAGCCGCAGCTCCTAACAAATTGACTGCAGAATGCACGCACCACGCCGAACATCACCCCACACACTGCTAAGATTTTCATGTGAGACGCGGCGTTCACTCCAGACCGAGCCACCGAGAGGACACTACTCCTGAAAGAAATGTAGTCGTGAGACACGCGGTCTTTATGCGCTCCGATGTCTGGGCTGGGGTGATCAGAAGGAGATCGCAGAACCTCATCTCTCTGATCATTGAGAGTGCGAGAATCAAGGGTCTTGGAATCATGGGCAGTGCTGTGGTCCACCGAGACGTCGCGTGCACAGCGACCTAGGCGTTGGCAAAGATTGAAAAAGTCCTTCCTTGCCGAGGACGCCCTGCCAGTGGTGCCCGCCTTGACAGGGGTTTGTTACTTCTGGACAGCGAAAGAAATTTAAAGTTGGAGGAGAAGATCGAAGCAGATCCCTGACCGACAACTACGTGGCGCCGGCCTGTGCGTCGGGCGATCATTTTCAATTTCATGGAGAATGGACGCCCAGACGCCCCTTCTCTAGCCAGGCACCATCGTGAGAAGGCCAGGGTTGGAAACCAACAGAATGCTTGGAAGGACCACGACGATGGCGACGGGACAGCATTTGAGCCGCGTCCGGAGCCATTCTCGATGATGATTGTTCGGTGAACGACGAGGAGGACGTGAGACGTAGTTGTTCCGGACGCGATTAGATGCGAATGTCTCCCTCACTATTCTTGTGTGTACACCATGGCCAACTATCGAATCTCGTTCATTACAAGCATGGGATATAATCTCGGCGATGTCAATTTGGAGTCTTGCGGACAGCATTGATCGACCGTGGAGATGTGAAGATCGACGGACTATGCTGTTTGTGTCGTGTTGGCTGCGTTGGCGGGAGGAGGAGAAGAAGATTTGGCAGCGGTTGGTTAGCGCGATCGCCATCGGGGTGCATTTTGAACATTCTAGCAGCGCGCTGCGGGAGTGTACCTCGGCGGGGACTTGAGACTGACGGTCCCACAACCAGAAAATGAATGATGCTGGAACCACCAATGCTTGCGACACAGGTGCGACTGTTTGGTAGACGAAGCAGGGTAGGTGTGGGGTAGAGTGATGGTCCAAGCGACAATGATTCTGAGGAATGTGGAACGTTTGCGGGCCATACGCCCAGGAGCCCGTGTGTTGGCTTTGTGCCAGGATGATGATGATGATGATGGACAACCGTTGTGGTCGGCAATGGTGCTAGCACAGAGCACTGTTTGTCGTTGCGGCGGTGCAGCGTTCGATGTTCATTTGGAGTTTCAGAACTCGAGGCATTCGAGGCCATGTCAAGCGGACTCTACTCCTGGCGATGCCAGACGAATGCTGTAGAGCAATTAGTTCCGCCAATGTGTCTCATATGAGCATTATCTTCAACAACTACAATAGGGATGACTGTACACTAGGTCAGAATGTACAGTAGACTCGGGATAGAATTTCATAGGCATGCGCCAAATTCCCTATTTCCACTGGTTGCGACGAGTGCACCTCCATGCAGTTAAAAGCCTGCATGAGGAAGGATTTTGAGTCGCAGACCATGAGGAGGTTGTAGTTCACTCGGCGTATGCCCGTTCTGTCCTGACGGCGCATGTGACCACATGACGGGCAAATTCCATCCCTTTGACTGCTGCATTGTCTTGGGCACTGCTCACTTCCAATGGAATATTTTAACGAGGAAAGCCATTCGATTACAACCCTGGAAGGCATACGAAAGGCGGCAGCTGCATACGAGCAAGACCGAGCATGCTCCTTTCATGCAATAGACAAGCGGGAGAAAACCTGTCAAGCGTCAAGGACATCCTCAAGCTCCGTGCAGTCAGTGACAATATGTCCGTTCGTGAACATCTAGACAAAAATCTATCCCATGTCATCAAGGATTTAGACAATAGAGCACCTGATGTCTGCCATGTACTGTATCCATGTACTGTATACTTGTAACTCACGCGTGGTGGCATCGAAAGAAGACAAACCCGGTGAAATTGGCATCATCTGTTCTGCCCGTCATCGCCTCCTCTTCACACTAGCATCACGGCCGTTGAAACTGGTCTCGCTTTCCCTCAGACCGCAGCCCTCACCAATCGAGACTGTGTGATGTCCCGCTGCTGTTCATTCCAAGATGAGCCTGATCGATGCTCGTAGACATAAGAGCCTCGAGCCTGACAAATATGTTCAAGTGCTGTAAACGCAGTTGTGAAAGTCTGAGACGAACATTGATGACGGCAATGTGGTGGCATCGGCGGCGGCGGCGTTGATCGTGGTGGTGGGTGCGGAAGTGGTGTGTGGTGGTGGTGTCGGTGGTTTGATGATGGGGCTCTCTCATGTGCATGTCATTTAGAACAATGGCAAGCTTTCTGACCAACGACCTCTCCTCCACCACTACTGTATCTCGATTCTTTACTAGTAGGTATTGTGTGTGTGTGAAGGCTTCGAGTCTGCGCAATCTGAATTCACGCGTGATGATTTATCGCTATTACATTTTCTGTATATCATTCCCCGTGTGCCCTCTTCCTGTCTCACTTGCTCCCTCTTTGCGACTTCGTTCCTCTCATGCGTTGCTGCACATTGCACTGAAACCCATTCTGCCTCTGGACCTCATGACATCTACTGTATCCTCCAACCTGGCCGTTACAATCTTTCTTCTCTCCGCCGACAGTGAGATTTTGACAAGTCGGGAATAATCGATAAAAGCAACCAATCCCGCCAGATATTCGACCTCTCGATTCGACACTTCATCATGCCCGTTGGCATCAAACCCTGTCCCTCCGAGGGCTCCTCCTCACCTGCCGACTCTACAGAGGCACCACGCTCGCCCAAACGTACGGCGGCCGACGCCGGCCTCAATGCCAATGGTACACGACCCGCAAAAGCCGTCAAACGCAGGGCTTCCAAAGCCTGCCAAAGTTGCCGCGCCCGCAAAGTGCGCTGTAATGTGGTCGAACATGGCCCTCCTTGTACCAACTGCCGGCTCGATGAGGTAGATTGTGTGGTGTCGGAGAGCAAACGCAAGAAGTGAGTTATGCTCTGAATTACACGAATGGAATCTTTTCTCGACATTGAACACCAGTTTCGAGCCAGCCCGGGGAAGCAAATGAGCATCTGCTTACACATACCAACAGGAAGTGGACCGCAACCAATGCTGAACAGGCTTCGAAACCCAACTTGAGTCACCATCATGACCATAAACCCATCGTCCTTCCAGCGCCCGCACAGCCTTCATACGATCCAGGTCGGAGATCATCAGAGCATGTCCCACACACGCTCTGTACGTGTCCAAATTCCTACCGAATTCTCTCGTTGCAGTTCACTGACCGTCCCTGGCACAGATCAAAATCTCCCACCGCGAGATGGACACTCGTCTGGGAGCACAACACAACCACCAATGACCGATCTTCTCGCAAATCTCCAACGTCTCGGTCATCGCGCTTCAATCTCACCATCCATCTCGCAGGCTCCAGCACAAGCCCCGACCTTTTTCCCACCTCAGACGCCCTCCTACAGTTTGCCGCTCTACATCAAACCTTTGCCTTCAAAACTTGGATTAGATGATATACTATATCTGGAAAAGAAGGGAGCATTAGCGATTCCGCCGACGCAGATTAGAGATGAACTGCTGAGGAGTTATGCAGAATTTGTGCACCCATATATGCCGCTGCTGGATATTCACGAGCTGGTCGCGACGATTGATAGTGACGATGGTGCGGCACCGATCAGCCTGCTGCTGTTCCAAGCCATCATGTTCTCCGCCACCGCATATGTTGATCTTCGACATTTGCGCCGAGCAGGCTATCACTCACGCCGAGACGCTCGACGGGAATTCTTTCAAAAGACACGACTGTTGTACGACTTCGACATTGAAATAGATCGAATCTCGCTCATCCAATCGCTCCTGCTGATGACTTACTGGTACGAGACGCCTGATGATCAGAAAGACAGCCATCATTGGATGGGAATTGTGGTGTCCTTGTCGAACACGATTGGATTACATCGCAATACGGAAAAATCGACAGCGATGGATGATGCTCGAAAAAAGCTGTGGAAGCGGATATGGTGGTCGACGTACATGCGAGACCGACTTATCGCTCTCGGCATGCGACGTCCCGTGCGCATCAAGGATGCGGATTTTGACGTTCCCATGCTCAATATTGATGACTTCGAAGACGCCATCTTACCTGATGGTCCCTCGTGCATTCCCGACAATTGTCGAGTCCTTCGCGACGCAAAGATCCAGCGGCAGCTCGCCATCATGTGTATGGAAAAGGTCAAGCTCTGTGTATGCATGAGCCACGTTCTCTCGGTACAGTACTCAGTTTTGAGCAATAACCACGGCGTCTTGAGTGAAGAGGGCAGCACGATCACGACGGTCCGCCTGGCGGCTAAGAAGCGAGACCCTGAGATTTCCGAGGTGCAAAGCTGTGACCGCGAGCTTACAGAATGGAAAAATGGTCTGCCTGGCGATGCACAGTACGGAGATTCTTCATGGCAGGAATTCGAAGCGGGCGGCAATGCCAGTGTTATGCTGAATCGCGCTCTGTTGTTTATGATTTACTATGCCACGCTGTCCGCGCTGCACCGCCCGCAAGTGCTGCCCTCGAATGCTGCCCAGTCCCGAGCGGTTCAGACAGACATGTTGAATCATTCGCGCAAGACTGTCCGCCTGGCCGCAACAGAGATTACACGCATAGCCAACACCATCTACACGTCGGATCTGACCCGCTATCTACCGACGACGGGAATAACAGTCCTGATCCCAGCCATCATCATTCACTTGCTCGACATCAAGGCACCGGATGAAGCCACTCGGCGGGCGAGTCTTCAAGGGTTCTGCCAGTGTATGCAGGTCTTGGGCAAGCTTCGTGATATCTACGCCGCAGCGGACTACTCCGCCGCTTTCCTCGAGGCTGCCATTCGCAAGGCCGACATCTCACTTCCATCAGCTTGCCTCCCTTCGGGTGGCCTCCCCAGCAAGGGAGGTGACAATGAAGACCTGAAGCAGTCGTCCTCACGAAATGTGATTACCTCTACACAGGGACTGGTCGATGCGGGCCGAAGAATTGGTCTGCTTGGATTGGCATCTCCTCATGCGCGACCCAATCCCGGCGCGCTGACCCCACCGCCTGACGACAGCGGCTCTGCTTCGTCCTTCAGATTACAACGTATGCCCTCCTCCTCTTCTTCATCTACCTTTTCCAGTCAAAATCAACACAAAATTCACCCGAACGAATCCTCTCCATGGTTCATCACGGACGCCGCCTTCGCTCGCACACTGAACACCTTTCTAGCATCTACACCTCCGACGGACTCCGATTTCCAAAACCCGTTAAGCGATGACAGCCATTTGAGCGCCCGTCAACGCCACGGCTTTGATCCAATGATTTCTGCGCAAACCCATCAAAATGTCTCCGGGTACAGCCAGCATCGGGGCTACCAAAATCACCACCATCACCACCACCATCCTCTGCTTCCACGACCGCCTCACATGACGACCACGACAACAATGGCTACTCCTACCACAACTGCCACTGCGGATGCGTCGTACATCACGATTCCACAGAATGGTCTGAATGATTTCGACTCGAACGATAATGATTCAGACATGCTCGATGCCGACCTGCGAGGTCACGACAACCAAGCGTCCGGGGATGATGATTCTGATTTCGACTCGTTCATCAACCTCGACGCCGCTGGCGAGGTCTTGTCCTTGGACGAGGGTGCATTTGCAGCGATGTCGGGAGAAAGCGGCGGCTTTACCATGGACATGGATTGGTTGAAAGGAATGAAGGAAGATGGTGGGTTGGAAGAAGCTGGCGCAGAATTGGTAACGATCGAAGAAGTCACTGGTGGTGAAATGGAGGCAAGCGCTTGATGCGGGAGAAGACCCCCGGGGAGACGTATCGCACAAGAATTTCCGGTAAGAAGAAATTACAAGGGGAAAACAATGAAGCAGGATATGATTGAAGCAATAGTGAACCCGCGTCGACTCGGGTCACAGCACGATTGACGCGGGATGGGACCTGTAATGATACGAATATACATGAAGTGGCCGGATTTCACGACTCAAGAGAAGCATTGGCAAGGGTCGAATGATAGAATATACATCACATACATACACGCAAGGTCATCGGCGATGACGACGATTGAAAGTCATTAGCACACAAGACCATAATCGTAAGGACTTTGGATTTTTTTTTTTGGATATCACTCAAAAAGCGTTATCTGAGGTATCATTGTTTGTTTGAATTTGAAGCGAAATACTAGAAAATGCCACTGCTGTACGATGTGTCAATAACTCTCCGTTTTCTTCGCCGTGATTCTCAAGGCCTGTCCGAAAAGCAGAAACCCAGCAGCAGGCGAAGATGTAGCCTGACGGATCGTCCCGCCGTGAATTTAGTCATCAGGATCGACGACCTCTCATTCTAGGTAGCACCCGAAGTGTCAATATTATACAGCGCAGTACATGAGGGTTTCAAGTTGACCAGATCAATCGCAACATCTACCGAGAACTAGAGGAAGCGACTTGCCATCCAAGACGAGAGAAACACTTTCAGGGCAGGACTCTGTCAAGAAGCAGTCCTCTCGTGCGAAGGAACTGCAGGTGAAGAGGTGGTGAAGAACAAGTCTCCGAACGCCATGGCGATTCCGAACGAGAAACTCCAACAAGTTGAGTCCCACCCGAATTCCAATCTCGATTCAAGAGAAAAAGCACACGGTCTCTCCTTCTTCCAAAATCTTTGTTCGGAAAAAAATAGATCATCCAAACTCCAGATCCCAACTCACAAACTTCCATCATCAACCAAGACCCCTCCTCCTATCCCCACCAAACCCTTCCCTTTTTACATATTCCCATCGCCTCTCTTCTCATGTGCTCGAGATTCTACAGTGATTGTTTCTCGCTTTCTCAAAAACTCCTGACATGAAGACAATTCCCTAACGAAATTGGGAATGTAATTAGCTCCTCCAAGAAATCGAACAAAAAGCCGCCTTCTCCCAACAACAGCTCGGCATCGTGCGCGCGCAAATCGCCGCCAAGACCCGCGAGAGCCGGCTCCTACAGCTCTCGCAGCAGGAGCTCGAGGCGCTGCCCCGGGAGACGCCGGTGTACGATGGAGTAGGGAAGATGTACGTCCGCCTCCCTCGTTCTTCACATGCGAGATCGCCTGCATTTCTCCTTTTCTTTGTATTTCCGTATGGAACATCTCATTCTGATTCTCTGCTCGCTAGGTTCGTCTTGACTTCCACCAAAGACGTCTCCACACGCCAGGTCAAGGAGGCGGCGGATCTCAAGGCCGAATTGGCCAATCTGGACAAGAAGCTGAATTACCTCGAGACGACGTTCAAGAATAGTCAGCAGCATATGGAGGCGTTGTTCCGTAGGGCCGGGTGAGGCGATGACATTCGACGACTTACTGGGGCGTTGAGCGATCGACGGGGCGGCGTTCTAGCGCCGGAGGGTCGATGCTGGGCATGATGAGATTGTCATGGCATGTGAGGAGGGAGCCACGAGCTTTCTCGACTGCGATGCGGCTGAGTTCATCAGATGAGAAGCTCAGCACGATTATGAGGACATTTTCACATAGAGAAGGGCACAGAGAGGGAAACTTTTCGAAAAAATCGAGCCAGGAAATGAATTCCTGTTTACTTCCAATTTTTCTCGTGTCGGACTGTGCGATACGACTGACGGGATTGGCGTCAGGATCTCTCTACAGTCTTAACTCTAATAGTATATCCTCCCAGCCCTTCCTCGCACGGTCTTGACGACGACGCCCATCATGTCCACCCACACTACCTACACCGAACCGTCTTCCTGCACAAAGCCGAAGCAATATTCAAGAAACGCGCCGCTCGTAAGGAAAGCGCGACTCTTAGAATCGGCGTCCTCCCCAGTGAGGGTGGCGGGGTTCACGTTTGGCGACCACGGCAACCTCCTCCTCGACGCCATCCTCGCGCTTCTTCAATACCTTGCCGCCAACGCACTGAGTACCAGCGGCAACGCTTTGCCAGACGACGCCGCCGTGGTTGCACAGACCGAATTGGCCAGTGCCGTTGCAGACGATCTGACCGTCGTTGGCGGAGGTGCAGGATCCTCCAGTTGCGGCAGAGCCACTGCTGGGTGGAGACGATGCAGGAGGGTTTGCAGCTGGAGGAGAGTATGATGGGGGTCCCGAGGCAGGAGGAGAAGTGGAGCCACCAGAGCTGGAGCCACCAGAGCTGGAGCCAGCGTTAGTGTTGCTGCCACTGGCAGAGTCAGAGTCGGAGTTCGAGTTCGAGTTCGAGCCAGAGCCAGAATCGCTGCCGGCGGCGGTGGTGGTAGGTGCCGAAGTTGCGCCGCCAGTGGCACCTCCAGTTGTCTTGGTGATGATGGTGATGAGGCCAGTCGGGCTCTCAACGCCCTTGTTGCCGGCAGCTGCAGTGTTGCCACCAGTAGGAGCCGGAGCATATTGAGTGGGCTGAGTAGCGGCCGTGGTGGTCGCAGCAGTGGTACCAGCGCCCGCAGTGTTTCCAGGGGCAGCGTCACCACCAGAGTAAGCCTTGGCGGCGGCACACTTGGGACCAGTGGCAGAGATGAAGGAACCGGGAGCGCTGGTGTCGCGGATGACGTTCTTGCCGGGGTTGGGAATGATCAAGTTACCGTTCTCAGCAACAGTGCACTCTTCCGGAGGCATGTTGACGACGTAGAGGTCAGGAAGGCTGTTGTAGAAGTCCTTGCCGCTGTCGGAACCGCCCGAGACGGTGATCGGAGCACAGGACATGTAGATCTCCCGGTTGCCAATGCGGTTGTTCCACACCCAACTGAAGGTCGCCTTGCCGTTGGGGAAGCCGGAAGGGATCTGGAACTTGAAAGTCTTGGTGCCGTCGTTGCCGTTGCCGACGACAGGGCAGCCACCTTCAAGGACCATGATGTTCTTCCAGACAGAGGACTTGGTGGGTGCAGTGTCCAGGGTGACAGCCAGCTGACAGGTACCACCACCGTGACTGGCGGAACCGTTGAAGCTGAGAAGCTGGTCCTCACCCACGGCCATGTTGTTCATATGGTTGAAGGTGTATGACGACGGGCCGGTGTACTGGCAAGGGAAGTTGGAGCCGTCAGAGGCAAGAGGAGAGGTGGCCATGTACTCAGCCGAAAAGGGTTGAGGGTTGGCCATGACAATGTGAGCAGCAGCCTGGCCGAGGAAGGAGGCCACGGCTAAGGCCTTGACCATGGTGAAAACGGGAGACATGGTGTTGATGGAAAGATCGAGATGTGATCAGTGAGGTTGAATGTGCAATCGTAGAAAAGATCCCTAGAGCCAGCTAGAGAAGATGTGTCGACCCGATGAAGGAATGTGGTCGTCTTTTGTACAGTTCGAAGATGCTGTTGAGCAGTGGAGCTTTTGTCTTCCAGAGATCGTGATTGATTGATCGGTTGAGAAGGCTTATTTGAAGTTTGCAATGGGGCAAGTTTGAGAGAGTGTGTTGCGCACAAGAGACCAGCTCGTGCAGTGAGAATTGAATTCGTCCGGCGAAAGGAAGAGAAAAGCTCTTTGTTGTTGTTGGATAGAGAAAGGGAAGGAGAAAGAAGTGAGGTGGCGTCAAGGGAGGGAGTTATATAAGAAAAGAGGGAGGAAGAGCATCGTGAGGGAGAGTGACGGATTTGCGTGTGTGTGTGTGTGTGTGTGTGAGAGCAAGTGTGTGTCGTAGTGAACCGGCAGGTGTGTAGGTGCCCAGGTGTGTGCGCATAGTGAGTAGCGTGTAACAAGCAGTGGGCGGCAGTGGGAGTGAATGGGGGAGTGTGTGTGTGTGTGTGTGAGAGCAAGTGTGTGTCGTAGTGAACCGGCAGGTGTGTAGGTGCCCAGGTGTGTGCGCATAGTGAGTAGCGTGTAACAAGCAGTGGGCGGCAGTGGGAGTGAATGGGGGAGGTGGTAGAACGGTGGTTCATGTGTGTGTGTGCGTGTGTGCATGTTTAGGTGTCACGACCACTCGTTCTCTTCGTCATACACAATCACCACACACTGTCTCCACTTTGCCCGGACAATACGAGCACTCACCTTCCACGGCTGTCGAAGATTGTTTGGGCTTGTCACCATCCAAACAATTTCTTGACGGATTTGTAGTTTGTCACTTGCCTGCTGCGGCGTCATCCCGATCCGACATACAAAGGTCAGCCGCAGTGTATACGGTGGGTCCACAAGCCACGACCACCGTACGAGTTGAAACATGCCCACGCAAGACGGTCATGCATTAGCGACCTTACGCGTCAGCGATGCGACCGTGAACTACGCACGAGTGGTGTAGATCTTCTGATGCAGAAGATGGTGCAGTTCGTGTTTGTACGCGCGCCCATGGTCCAGACGTGAAACGCGCGAGAGAGAGAGTATAAAAGGAAGTCGTTCTCGATGTGTGGTTAACCGCCCGCCACTGTGGCAGGCGAGGGAAAGGGATGAGTGGGCATAGGTGAAGAAGTTGTCCCCTTCTCTGTCTGAAACGCGCGCGCACCCAAGCAGCACCCAGGTAGTGATGATCGTCTCTCCTATTCTCTCCACAGTACCATCGAGTGGTTCTCTTGGTATCAATTTTGGGGATACTCGTGGACACACGAAGGAGTTCATGAATGAGGGCTTGGAACCAATGATGTCGATGAAACACGAACGATTGGTAAATATCAGGGCAGCAAGCACGTGCGGGAAGGGGCGGGAGGGCTAACGGAAACAAGGGCGGCTGTTTCACCCATCAATCCGGCACCTTCACTGGCTTTACGAAAATTAGTTCCGAGAGTCTTGGGGAGATCCACAATTCTTGGGAGGACAATGCGCCCCTACATGCAACCTTGGACCGTTGTTGGACACTACCGCTACTGCTGTTGTTGCAGTTTCATCGCCGTTGCATTGGTGATGATCATGATAGTACCTACTGTACTGTACTGCACTGCCGTGCGCTTTTGCGTCCATGTCCCGGACTCATCGTGCTTCATGCAGGCGAATGTTTACGTACGTGATTTCTCGAGGGGTTTCCTCTCGGTTCGGCTAGTGGGCAAAAGAGTAGATCATAGTCCTGTCGTAGCTCGATCGGCGTCGAGCCCCTCTCGTCCAACCATCCATCTTTCCACCTTCCCGGACCTCCTCGGACCTGAGCCCTTTGTTAGAATTTGGAAATCCTCCCGACATAACGTCCTGCCACACATCTCCGAAGGTTGTGATGGTCTTTCGGGCAGCGCAAAAAGAGGTTTGATCCAGGCTAGACAACCCACATGCTCGGAGATGTCGACAGATCGGGTTCTTCTTTCGGTCATAGGCATATGAGTTATCTAGCATGAATACAGCATGACAATTTTCGCCAGCGTCCCTGAAGGTCGTTGTGAGGCTTGGAGACAATGAAAGTAGGGCACGTGAGAGTCGTGCGCATTATGGGCGTGGAGGCAGCCTTCCAGCCAGCTCCTGGGAGCGGGGCTCTCCTCGTATGTAGCCTGCTGCAGGTACTGTACATCTCTACGCGCCCACCACCGTTCCAATGCTAAGCGCGCGCCTGCATATTGTTCAGCAAGGAACATAAAGTCGGGGTGCTCGAGCAAAACTCCCATCTCTCGTTATGAACGGGCCAACCGTTGACAGTGCACAGCTGAGATCCCAAACTCACTGTCTACATGTGTTTCATATTGTCGCTCTCTTTGTCGAATCATTTGTATGTGCGGTGACAAATGCGACGATTATATATGTAATTATATAGCACACGGTCGCGCGCTCGCCAGAGGCGTGGACCGTTAGCACAAGGACCACAAAACTTCTCGCCGCGACTGACATCTACTGCATCAAAGGTACACCTGGGCATGTTGTGTGCGCGAGCAGATAATGCGATCGTCCGGTTGTGGTTCGGAACCTTTCCAAATCCTTACTTTATAATCCCATTCTATACATGACCGTGAACAACTGTCGATCATCCAAGTTGTCGGCCAGGATGGAAACAAGCGACGGTTCTTCCACCTTGGGTTCATCATCCTCCGCTGCGAGCTCGACCACAATTGACAGACCCCGTCCCGCAGCGGGTCGCAAGATGCACTCCTTTGTTCCGGAACACATCCATGAAATTCTTGCTTGGTTTGGAGACAATGCGCAACCATGGTGGATGGAAGGTGACAAGTGTCAGATGCACATACGGCGGCCAAACATCTGTCGGGTTCTAATTTGTCGAGCTCAGAATAAGGGACTGGTGATCTTGATGATGATCTTGATGATCGCCCAGCTGTTCGCATAATGTTATGATCTGGTCATATGATGGCTTTGGAGGGAGATGGTCTGATCGTGAGCAAGACGGCCTGTTGAGAACTTTATGTCAGGACAATTCGGCCTTAGGCTTTGTCTATTGATTGTTTCATCATAGGTATACTGGTGGACACTTCAAGCTGAGCAATCGACAGCTTGTGACCTCTCTTTTGAACTTTGACCAGCTGTGATGGACAAGCAGCACGCGACACTAGTAAGAGATATGAAACATCACACTACGTGATAGACTACCGTGGCGAATTGAGATGTAGAACTCACATTTCAAAGGCTTGCTTATGAGCAGCTGAGGAAACTCCCACCTAGATACAATTGAGATTCAAAGTCACGTGCTGTCATGCAGCTGGAGTTGAGTTTCTACGGCTGGTCATAGCGTAGAGGTAGAATTGCAGAGGCCCGCGTTCATCGCTATGGCTCGCCGTATACCACACACTCCCGTCCGCTCCGTCACGTCGTCGCATCCTCCACAGAAAGCTCATCGCGTCGTCCTGCGTGTGTTAGTGGCCCTGAAACCGATCAAGCAGGAAAGCCCGGACGGTATTGCCAACATCGCGCCATTCGACCTTCGATCATCACTTCTCCTGTCAATTATCCCGCTGGTCTGGATCGCGTCGTTGAGGCGACTCTGATGATGTCGATATCGCAAGAGATTCTTACTAAATTCGATTGACCACGTCCACCAAAAGTCGTCCCGAAAAGAATATATCAAACGAAACACGGCCGTCGATTCTTGAGCCCGTGTACCTACTACATGCGAGGACCATAGCTCCGCTGGTCACACGGGAGTAGCAATCCTCGCGTCCCGCGTCTTCGAAGATGGCGGCCGTAAACGTCAATCGCGTCAACGCACCACAGGCATTCGTGTCGAGTTTCGCTCCACGCATTCGTCAATATGGCAATTCCCTCCTCACACCCGTAATTCCTCAGAGTGTTGTACCGAATGTCAGGACGACGAAACGAGGCACGACCGCGATCAATTATGCGGAAGAATTCGATGAAGACAGCATCGAAGACTCCGATAACCCTCGGCGAGCGACTGGCCTACGGACCGCTCAGCAACGACGCGATGTAGACCCGGCGGTAGAGAAGGCGAAAGAGTTAGGCAAGGAGGCTACTGCGCCCGTCGAGGTGCAGGGAATATGGCGTGACTGGATGGGCAAACCGAAGCGGACCATGACAGAGCGACAACTATACCTTCAGGCCGTTCTGCCGACCACATTGGTCCCGATTCGCATCGACCTGGACGTGGCACCGTTCCGTCCTGATGCTGCGTTACCTACTCCGGCCAATGCAAAAGATTTCGGGATCGATGAGAACCTTCCGGCGTATAAAGCGCCCGATGTCACACCATCATATAGGCTGAAAGACAGCTTCCTATGGAACTTGCATGAAGGCCTGATCACTCCAGACATGTTCGCTAAGGTTTTCGTTGACGAACTGGACTTCCCAGTCATGCGAAAACAGACCATGATTGCCGAGATCGCTCAGCAGATCCGGCAACAGCTAGAAGAGCACGCGGCCGCGGCCCTACACCCACTGTTTCAGCCTCAAACCAAAGAGCCCACTGCACAGACAGCTGCAGCGCCGACTCCATCACTACGGCATGCCATCTCCCGTGAAGATTCATCGACGCCCATGCAAGCGGATACGCCGAGATCGCCTCATCCAAACAATATTTCGCTCGTCAACGGCCATCACTCCGTATCCGGCGCGCAAACTCCGCTTGCTAATGGCACCTCAACACCTGCAATCACCGTCACTGCCCAGCGTTCTCAACCAGAGGAAACTACATCCTCCGTATTGAATCCTCCAGACACGCATCGTTGTGTGCTCAACCTCTCGATAAATCTTCAAAATCGACTATACACCGACAAATTTGAATGGTCGCTGCAGCACCCCGTCGGGTTTGCAGAAATCTTCGCGAAGCGGACGTGTGCCGACATTGGACTTCCCGGCGAATGGGTGCCACAAATGGCACACGCGATTTATGAGTCCAGTCTGCGACTGAAAAAGGACATGATTGATAACAATTCAACACTTGCGGGAGTGGTGGGTAGCGGCGTTGATGGCTGGGGTGTGGTCGACAATGAAGCTTGCGAATACCACGGGACTGCAGAGAGTGCGCTCGGTGTCGGCGCAGGCTGGCGATTTGATGAGGACGGACTTGGATATGAGTGGGAACCTCGGATTGAGGTTCTCAACAAAGAAGAAATCGAGAAACGGGAGGGCGATCGTGAAAGACAGATCAGGAGGCAGAGGAGAGAAACGGCGAGGTTCACGACAAATTACGCGGCGCAGGCAGGCGGGATCGGCAGCAACGACTTCTTCGCGGGAGGCTTGGGAGCTTCACAAGGACCAAATGGAATCGGGGGCGGAGAAGATGAGCGCATGGGTCGTGGTGAGAGGTCGAAGAAAAAGCGACGCTTCAGGAGCCTTTCACCTGTCGGGCGCGAAACGCCCGAAGCTGCTGGTTTTGGTGGGACTTCGGCACAGCTCACTGAGGGCGAGAGACAGTACTGGACTTGCTCACACTGTAACATCTGGGGACAGGCCGTGTGGGGAGTCAGGGATGGGCCGAAAGGTCCAAGGGTAGGTTTTGTTCTGGCGCGATCAGCATTTGTTTTGTGCGCTTTGGCTGACAGGGTTCTTCTTAATAGACTCTCTGCCACAACTGTGGCTTGCTGTACGAACGTGACAAACGCCTCCCGCCGTGGAGTCATCGGCTCTTCGCTCTCGAGAAAAATCAAGCTACTCGCGAAGCCCAACTTCCTCCTTCCTGGCCGACTCAACAACCTCCAGCGCGTCCACTTCAAACGGATCTCGCCGCTTTCACAGCTTCGCAAGCTACTCCTGCTGCAGCTCTTTCGACATCAACGCCAGGCCGCCTCCCACCGTTCCGCGTCAACAGCGCGAACTCCGCCACGCCAAGCCACCTCCACCATTCCTCTTCCACTCCCCACCACCACTCGCACACACAGCACCACCCGCACGCGCATCCGCACGCCGACGAACCCATCAACCCCTCTTCCCACCTCTACACCGGCGCCTCTGCCAATGCGAGTGGTGGACAAGGCCAAATATCCGCCTCGACCCTCGCCGATATTGTCAACTACGCAGAGCCTGGCGAGGACCTCGACTGGACGCGCATCACCGAACCGCGCGAGCGCAAGCGCCTCCAGAATATCATCAACGGTCGCAAATACCGCGAGCGCCGCCTTGCTGCGGAAGGCCTCGGCGGCTCCGGTGGCAATTATCCCGGTGCGGCTGGCCAGGGTAGTTTCCTGAGCATGGGCTATGGCGCTCGTCAGAGCCTGTCCGCCCCTACGAATACAAATACCGGAACTCCTGCTCCGACCACCGCCCCGATGGGCCAGCAAGCTTCAGCATCATCGCCAGCGCCGCAGAATAACAATGCGGCCGTGAGCGCACCGGGCGGGCTCCCGATGGTGCAGGGAACAAACACGCCGAGGTCGTAGATTGACCTCACGACAAGATTCCGTCTGTGTCATCGTTCATAACCTTTTCTTGTGCTGGATGCTTTTTTAGAGAGCGAGGTGGAGTAGGTGTTGTTGCACCCCGAAACTAGCGTTCGACTTTCTGTCTTGATCTTGAATCTCATAATTAGAAAGAGGGTAGCACTCGGCTGATTGCCGTTGCCCAACTTTTTGTTCTTTTGCTGAACACGTTGTATCATATAGTCAATAGATGTCTGCGTGTGTTGTCGTTCCAAGGAGACAAATGGTACCCAAAAATACTGTCGATGCATGTGATACATCGTGCCAACAATAGGCGGGGCAGATACGTCTAACACTTCATTGGATGCTTGAGTTCATGACTGTCTGTATACATAGGCACTGTTATGACCCCGGACTGGGCATTAAACCCCATCATGTGTGGAACAGACGCTGCAAGCAACGACAAAGCGGCAGAAAGCTTGTGTACACTTGCACCATGTAATATACACTCAATCCATTAGATGTCGACATGGCACGAGCACGATTGCGGTACTGTGTAACGCAAAATGACCATCAATGCGCGTCGCCACTGGCTGGACGCCTTATCATCCGCCACTGCTGTCCTCCTCGCGCTCGCAGGATTTAGGGCGGACGAAGCAGACGTTCGGTCCTGAAATGAATGCATGAGCGCAACATCTCTAATCTCGGCGCGCGATCGGATCAGGCTTTGTCAAATCTGCTCTTCAAATAATGCCAGACGACGGCCGCACTTGTTGCTGATGGTAAGATCGCGAAACGCTGGCAACTATTGCACCACCTGCATTGTGCGAAGTAGACAGTGGGGTCATGGCGCTGCCGTCTAACGATTACCACCACGAACTTTCCGATTTAGACCCCGAGGAAGAAAATCGATCACAAAATGATCGCCTCGCCGTTCCTAGACGACCATTCTTCCGCCAGCACACGGATGTGTCAACGTCCTCGACAAGCCACCTTCTGCCTCAGCACCATCATGTCACGGACAGTTCCAGCTCGTCAACGGACAGGCCCCTTCCACCAATCCCACAGCCTGCGTATGACTACGGGCCGGCTGCCAAAGTTGAGCACAATGATTATTCGAGGATACCTCGGACTTACTGGAACTCGATCTGGCTGCGACGATGGACCTTGATAGCGTTTGCGGCTCTCTTTGCTATTCTCGCAGCGTGCATGATCGTCCTGTGGGCTGCGAACAGAGCCCAGGATGGTTTTCGCCTTACCTTGTCCGAGAACCACTATGCATGGACTTACGGTCCCACTGCGCTGTTGGTGGTAATTGTCAGTCTTTGGCGGCAGGTGGACTTCTTCTGCAAGACAATGCAACCCTGGCATGAACTCCGCCATGGCTCAGCAAAAGCTCAGGACAACGTCCTCCTTGATTATGTCTCGCCGCCGAACTACATGACATTTCTTCGAGCTATAAAGCGGAATCATACCGCCGTGGCATCATCAATCGCTGTATTCGCTCTGCTGAAGTTGATCATACTTCTCTCTACTGGTCTTCTAGTGCTTTCGCCCACGCTGATCGACGGCCAAACGCCAATCACTCTGACTACCAGATTTGACCCCAATGCTGTGCAGCTGACCACCGCTCAGGATTTGGGACTTTACTATGATTCGCCTATCTACCGCAATTTGAGTGGCTTGCCGTTGCAAACATATGCTGGAATGCTCGAAGGAAATGTCTCCGATCCGGTTGGAACTTTAGGCGTTCAAGCCTTTCAATCTTTTGCACTTCCGTCAAATACGCCGGCCAACAATGTTACTGCCGTAGTCGATGTATTCAACCCCAGAGTGAGTTGTGAAGTCGCCAAGACTACGTTGTCCGCCGACAGCTTATCAGTCCAACTGGAGTCATCGACCTGTCCTCTCGGCCCGCCGCGACACCCCATAAATGCAGATTGGAACGACTGTGGAGGATGCGCGCCGCAGCGAATAGAATATGATTTTATGAGAGTCAATTGCTCAGGAAACGCACATCAGAATCTCTCGGCCAAGGTCAACCTGGATGCAACCGTTTCCTTCGACCTTCGATATGCACTAGTCGTACATAACGTGACATACAAACCCATCAATTATTCTGCGTCAGCTAGGACTGTGCAGAAAACTTCTGCAGTCATATGCAAGATCGATTACTCAATCGACCGAAGCAATGTTTCATTTGACTACCCAACAAATTCGTTCATGATCGGCAGCTCTCCACCAGGTGCGAGATTGCAGAATTTCACCGACCTAATGCTGGGCGAGGTCATCTTTGCAAGTATTGAACAGGCGACGAATCTCAAGCTGAACGTGTCAAAGCAACGGGAAGATAACGACTTCCAGTTCAAGACTCCTCTTTATTACGTGCTGGTTCGGACTTTGCAGGGACAGCAATCGCTTGACCGGCTCTTGGTGCCGGAAACCTTGCAGCAAGCTAGTACTCAGGCTTTGAGTGGCATATCCGCACAATTTTTCCAGCAGAGATTTCTCCAGCCAGCAAAGATCGATTCGATCGCGCGCAGAAGGTTTACAGAGGCCCGATTACATGTCACGGCGTCGTCAATCTGGACCATGCTCGCGGGCTTCCTCTTACTGAGTATGCTGGCATTGTACATTGGATTCAGCGTCAAAGGCGATCTCGTTCCTCAGAATCCCACCTTGATATCTAATGCTGCTACGGTACTTGCTGCGAGCCCTTCGATGCGCGAGCTTCTCCGTCATGCAGGAAGTCTGCGGACAGGTCAGCTCACAAGACTCCTCGGTGGCTGCGAATTTCGATCTGTTGTTGGCGAGAGATTCACTGTCGAGGGTGTCAAATTCGCGCCACGATCCAGCGACGATGTTGAAGTCAAGATAAAGAAACATGCATGGCATCCAATGGCCGGTCGTTGGTATTTCATCACAGCGACATTTATCAGTCCTATCTTGATGGTGATTGCTCTCGAGATTGTCTATTTGAACTCACGAGACAACAGTGGCATTGCCGATGTGACCGGTACTGAGGATCGCGCATCAGCGATATCACATTATTTCTCGGCGCTATTGATGCTCCTCGTCGCAACATGCTACAACAACCTCGACTTCACAATCGCTACATTCGCGCCATACAGTATGATGCGCTCCGGCGCTGTGCCAGCTGATCGCAGTGTTCGATTTCAAGTGCTCGGCGAGCTTCCATTTGTGGCTCTGTGGAAGTCGATCTCACTGCGACACTCAGCTTCCGCTCTGTCCAATCTTGCAGGATTGGTGGGCAGCGTATTGACCATCGTGGTCTCTGGTCTCTGGGTCATAGATCGAAGCGTTATCTCTGCGCAGCCAATTCAAGCTTCGCTTGCCCACACTTGGAATGTCAGCTGGTATAACAGCTCGTCCGTCGGTGACGGGGGCGCGGCATATCTTCTGGATCGAATCGACCACGGCAGCGATACCCTCCCCAACACGATTTGGGACAATTATGTTCTGCCCATAATGAGCAACATCACGACTGGCAATAGCCCCATGATCAATCTTGACGCTAGCCGGGGATCGCAGAATTTCACCTTTGAAGTCGACGCACTGCAGGCTGTGTTGGCATGCGAAATTGTAGCTGACGAGTATATCCGCATCGACTTCAAGACAGATTTGACCCACGGGGACTCTGTCCTCCTCGGAGCATCGCCTCCATTACCACCAGGCTGTCGCTTTGCCGGACCCAACGGCACCAATAGCTCCTATTACTTCGAAACCTATACCAATCTGCCGAAAAATGTGACCAATCCACAGTGGTCTGGTGCGTTTTATGATCTCCACCTTGGCCCATACTATTCCGGACCCAGTATTGCAACACCCGGCTTTAGTGAAAGCGGACATTCAAATTCGTATCAAAGGGATAATCCGGCTGGTTGTCCATCAATCGGAGTCATTTACGGGAGAGGTGGGCGTGACATGACACGAAGTGATGTCACAGCCCTCATGTGTTCGCAGAAAGTGCAGCAGTCCACACTCCGCATCGGATATACAAAAGACGGGAGACCCGTGGTCGACAACACGGCTGCGCCTGTGGTGATCTCAGGATCTTCACGTTTCCTGACCAATGGCACAGATGGCATCGATACTTTCCCTTATCGCCCGGAACAATACCTTGCCGGCGACTTCAGCGATCTTACGTATATCGGGGAACATTTGTACCCATTCGATGAGTTCATTGATCATGTGGTTCACGGTCCTAACGGAACATCTCCTGCTGATCTCGCGGGCGTAGCCAACCGAAACACATTCATTCAGGCCGTTGAGCGGTTTTATGCGCGGTATATGAGTCTTGTGATTGACGCCAAATTCCGGCAGCCTTTGAGTGCCAGTAGCGGCGGCTTCTCAAGTACCACTCAAACCAATTTGGTTCGCGGCACTGTTGCAACAAAAGGTTCCCGACTTCAGATGGATCGCACCTCGAAAATAATACTGCAGGTCCTGCTCGCCGCTATGACAGTTTTTGGCCTCGTCGCCTTCCTACTCATGGATCTCCGCGGGACGCTCCCGAGAAAGCCTACGACGATTGCCAGCGTCGTGGCATTCTTGGCTGATTCGGACTTTTGCAGTCCTCAGCGAGATTTGCTCCCTACGCGAGCAGAATGGCTTAGCGAAGGAGAAATGGATCGGTTGTTCCACGGCTGGTTATTCAGCATGGGCTGGTGGCCGGCGAAAAAGAAAGAATCGGCCGCGCAACGCGATTCCTGTGAGGATGATGGCGACAGTGCAGAAGAGTTCGATAACCCTGCTCAAGCAGCTAGCCACTCGCAGAAAGCAAGTGCGGATGGGAAGAGATTTGGTGTGGATGTTGGCATTCCTGAGCAGTTAGGCTATCGGGAGACGCGATGGTGGAAAGTCCGAAGACGAGTCGGGCAGCCTTGGGCACGAATAAGGAACGATTCATAACAATACTTAATGATGGCCAACGACGACAGAACATTTGTCATCATTCTGCAGTATTGAGATTTAGATCATTGCGAATCTCCTGACGTTGTGTTGGGGAGGGCGGAGTGCAGTCCGAATGTTATCTACCTAGCTAGGTAGTGATGTCACTCAACCCTAAAAACCTCCTCCAGATCCTTCCACCAGCCCTTCGAATCTGTACTTCCAATGCTGCCCTCCACCTGCGTCTCTTGCATCGCATCCGTCATCTCCCACCATCGACGGACCTCCGGGTTCGCTCGCATGGCCGCCATATCGCCGTCCCAATCAGAGCCAACGTACTTCATCGTTGCGAAGAGGGTCATCGTCGCCTCATCGAGGAAGATGCTGTAGTCGGTGATGTGGCAGTCTCGAATCTGCTGTACAACCGCCGGCCATACCGCTGCGTGACAGTCTTTATACGCTTGTAGGCATTCGCGACGCAGCTTGATGACCTGCCCGAAGCGCCGCGGAGTCGAGCTCGTCATTGCTGTGATTGCGGGATACGCGCGCGTGTAACAACTAGATGTCTGATGAGGGCGGGAGACTTGGACAAGAAATACAGTAGACTCGACCGACAACGAAGAGTGAAAGGCCTTGGAGCCAGAATATGGTGTGGCGTGAAGTAAAAGTCAAGCAAAAGTGATTGCAACACGGGCCATTGGGGAATATTTCGCAGCGACGTCGTGTCCGACGTGTGCCTAAATGGGTGTGGGGAAGCCCCGCCCGTTCAAAGGCACGTACCGCCACCCCTTCCACACGCCGTACCAGAGATTCAAGGACATCACGAATGACTCGCTCGTTAAAAGCTTCCCGAGGTTCTGTTGCGTCATCATACGACAGAGGGCCTGAAGTCATAATGTCATTATGTACAGGTAGGTCAGTCTGAAGCCCGCAAGCTCAGCAACATTTGCTCGTTTGAGGAAAACAGTGACAAAATCCTGCTCAACATCGCGTCCGTGACGCAAGTCCTTCGCTCGATGTTATCCTGTCGCGATACTTATCATAGATGAAGTGCATCAGTGCATCCGCATCCCTGGTAGTTGAGGCGATACCAAATGAGACCCGGATTGCGCCAGCTGAAGATAAGCCAAGCAAGCGAATATACTCATCAATGGAAGGCGACCTGGACCACAGCAAGCCGCGCAAAGTCTTGACTTGGAGCTGAAACACATTTTCGCCCACGCCGGGGTTACAGAAACATCCCGTACGCAGTGAAATATTGGCGTCCGCTGATTCTTCCGCTATAATGCGTTCATCGATCATCTTTCCTTTTTGGTCTAGGAGATTGAAAGAAATGGTTCCGCCGCGATGCTTCATGGTGGCCGGGCCGTAGACGATGATCATGGGCTTTCCGTCAGAATGACGCGCCTGCTGAAGACGATCAAGACCATAAGCTGTGATGACTTGGACGTGCTCGTGGATTGAGCTCATACCGATTCGATTGACCCAAGAAAGCCCGATCAAAACATCCGGAATGCCATGAAAATTGAGTGTGCCGTCTTCAAACGCACTCTCGTCCAAAGTCATTCGGTGCCATGGTATCCCTACGCTGACGGCTTCGATGGTCCCACCTGAAAACCAAGGTCTTCTGAGTCGCTTCAGCGCATCTTTACGCGCGACTAGACAACCGACGCCTGTGGGAAATCCAAACATCTTGTACCAGCTCATGATGGTAAATTCGGGCTTGACTTGAGACAGATTCAATTCGTTGGTCGGAACATAAGCGGCTGCATCGAGAAGTACGTCGAATCCCCGGGACTGCGCCATGGCGACATAGTCCAACGGATGTCGGACGCCTGAAAAATTGCTCTGCGCCGGAAAGGCGAATAGTCCCGTAAACGAACGGGTCAAGATCCGTCGGCGTGGCTCCAGGGCTCGTTGTAACGCTGCATGATCGATCGTCAGGTCAGGATATACCGATGGGACATAGGTTGTGTGGCATCTTCGTTTCTTCGCATATTCCCGAAGTCCATTGATGCTGTTGTGGTTATCAAAGGTGAGGACCAATTTTCGGCGAGGGCCAAAAGCATATGACTCTCCCACCAGCTTCGCTGCTGCTGTTGCATTGGCCGTGAAGATAACAGCGTATTCTGAAGGGTCTGCGTGGAGGTATTCCAGCACGGCTGTTCGTGTCCAATCGACCAACTTTGTCGCAGCAGCACTTGATGGGCTCTGCGAATGTGGATTACCATAAAGCTCGCCGGCCATACGAGTCTGGAATGCGCGCAGCTGCGACTTGGCGGCCAGAGCAGCTCCCGTGAAGTCGAGATAAACCTGGTTTTGTTCATCAAGATATCCGTATTCCGCTTGGCGAAGCCGTACAAACCACATTTCATCCTTCTCGCCATGTTCAACAAACGTAGCTTCGGTGCCACCTCGCCGTGAGGTGCGCGATGAAGCTGATTCGAAGCTTGCGATATCCAAATTCTCGTCGGAATCCTTCAGAAATGCCTCACTCGCGCGAGTCACCATCGTTTCAACAAATTTAATTTCTCGGCGCAAGTCATTGGGAGCGCAGACGAGATCAAATGTGTGATTGAATTGCGGTGGAGGCGGTGGAGATGTCGACGTTACGTCAGAGGGGATACATACAAGACCATCAAGCTTTCGCATTGTCCCTGCCTCTGCATCGAAACTATAAGCACCACCCAAAATGTTCAACCAGATTCTCTGGTCATTTGGACTGAGCAGATCTCTCGCCTGTCGTTCAACGGCTCAGGTGACGTACAGACAAGCAGGGTAGCTACGCCGAGTCTGACGGCGATGTTTAAGCGAATGTATGGACTTGGCGCCACTTGCTCATCAATGTCTCTCCTAGATTGCCTGCCATGAGCTGTTCTCGATAACAAAACGACGATCCTGGTGCGAAACTTCGGCCGTGGCGTCATTGGGCAGATACGCCTGAATCGTCGATCAGAGCGGTCATCTGTAAGGATTCCAAGTCCTACGATACAAGATCTTCACATTTCAAGCGATAGTTTGGCCCGAGGTCAACGATCGACTGTCGTGTAGCTCCTTTCAGACGAGTGGCCTGCCGCGCTCAGGCAATGAAGATTTGTCGCGAATTTTGATTGATAATGCAAAAGCAAGCAGCTTGAGACCAGACGCCCAAGATTCGCATTACAGTTGCGCCACATTCGATAGGAATATGCAGGTATGTATTGAGTACGTGACATCTATGCAGTAGACCACGAAAAGTGTTGCCAATGGCCATTCACATCTTGCCGATAGACGTCATTTGTATGCACGGGACGTGAATGTACGTAAAGTTTGCGGGAACATCATGGCCGCAATTTCTCCGCACATTAAAGTAGAGCTGGAGATACTTTCGTTGGACAATTCATAGAACACAATGGTCAGGTCATCGCATTTCGCTTGCATGATTCGGGCGAGGAGATGTACTGAATGCGTATACGAGTGCGAGTCTTCCCCGACACTAGCCAGATGCGTCATCTCAATATTATAGGGCCAGGACATTAGAGTTTTCTTCCGATTCGTCCGATAAGCTAAACATCTATTCCAGAGATCACTAAATTCAACAACCGGCGCTATTTGTCGACATGATTGAGAACGCTTGTGAGGCTTCATAATTTTCAATGCAGATCAAACATACAGATCGATCCACAGCCCCATTATCTAGCTCTGCACCGGAGGGTCGACGGAAGTAACGCCTCGATGCCGGCTCAGAGGGCTAGCAAGAAATTTTCCGCCATGTTGACGCTGTCCGACGCCCCTTAACATGGCCAAGTACCACCATGAAATGCGTGAAGGTCATTCGCAGCCGTACTAGGATGCTTGAGCGACTGAGTATGACGAGGCCTCGCTTCGGTGCATTTTCGGCGCACGTTCTTTGCAGGCTTCTATTATGAACTTTCAAGCAATGTCATATGCCTCGTCTGCACCTGGGCACTCGGTAGAGTTTACTTCTTGTGACAATGCCCGACGTCAGGGTACCTTAAGAATCCGACGCAGCGCGCAGATGTGGCTAAATTGACCATCACACCTGAACAAACACTTCCTCACATTCAAAATCAAGGTTCGTCACTAGAAACCGTATTTAAGACAGATATAATAAACGCAGACGGTCTCGAGGGATTGTGTCTGCGTCGTCGGAAAAGATGCTCTCGAGTCTCTCGTGGGACAAAGTCACAGTCGTTGCGCCCAAAAAGCGTGGGCAACATGGGCTCTTACTTGAAAATGTCAGTGGAAGGGTAGAAGCTGGTATGTCGTAATGTTCCATTTCTACACTCAATGTGCTGGTCTTATGCTGATTTAAAAAGGGGAAATGATTGCGATTATGGGACCATCAGGATGCGGCAAAACCATACTGTTGAATCAGCTGGCATTTCGTTCAACCTCTGGCCAAGCGCAATCACAGACACGAATCTGTATAAATGACGTGGCAGCCACTCAGCAACAAGTAAAATCGAAGTTGCGCTATGTGGAATCCGAAGATGTCTTGATAGGGTCCCTGACTGTGCGGGAGACTCTTAATTTTGCTGCTCGGTTCTCACTTCCAGACAGTTCTACAAGGCAAGACCACCAGAGTTGCGTAGACCGATTGCTCCAAACATTTGGTTTAGAAGAGCAGGCTGAGACTATAGTCGGAACCATAGCGCGAAAGGGCATCTCGACGGGTCAAAAGCGCCGATTGAGTGTCGCCTCTCAAATGGCTTTTGCGCCCGATATCCTGCTGTTAGACGAGCCAACGTCCGGACTTGACTCTGCGGCCAGTCTCGGTGTCATGTCATACATACGTGATCTTGCCAAATCAGAGAACATCATCGTTGTCTGTTCCATCCATCAGCCCTCGACTACGACCTTTGAGCTGTTCGACAAACTCTTGCTATTATCGGAAGGCAAAACCTGCTACTTCGGCACCGTCGACGACGTAAGGTCATACTTTGACAATTTGGGATTCAAGATGAATCTGTACATCAATCCCGCCGAATTTGTTCTGGATCTTGTCAATGTGGAATTTGCCATGGATAAGACCAGAGCTCACAACTCACTCGCCCAGATTCAAGAAGCGTGGGCGGAGCGCGAAAGAAAGCAAATTTCCTCTGGTGATTTGAAAGCCACTGCACCTATCTCGCTCTCTACGATGATTCCATCCCATGTCGTTCACTCTCGGATAGGGCCGCGACGGATACTCGCGGTCTTACATCGTAGCTGGATCAAGAGCTATCGCGACATCCTCGTCTATGGTGTTCGGTTTGGCATGTACATGGGCTTATCTATCATGATGGGAACAGTCTGGCTGCGGCTCTCACCTCAGCAGAGCGATATCCAGGCATTTGCAAATTGTATCTTGTTCGGATCTGCATTCATGTCGTTCATGGCTGTGGTGTATGTGCCGGCGTTTGTCGAAGATCGCGCGGTCTACATCAAGGATCGCGACAACGGAATTTACGGAAGCAGCGCATTCATGTTCGCCAACTTCGTTGTCGGTCTGCCCTATCTGTTTCTGATCGCCTTGTGCACCTCGGCTTTCACATACTGGATGGTGAACTTTCGTCCAGCTGGGGATGCGTTCATGATCTGGACTCTCTGGATGTACCTCAACCTCCTCGCAGCGGAAAGTCTGGTCGTTTTCATCGCAAGCCTCGTGCCAAACTTCGTCGGTGCATTGGCCCTGGGAGCGATGGCCAACGGCATTTGGATGGCCTGCAATGGGTTCATGGTCGCGCTGACACGCCTGAACCCATTCTATCACTACGTCTTCTACTTCATCAATTACCAAGCATATGTCTTTCGAGGCCTCCTCACCAATGAGTTTGCTTATCGAAACTACGAGTGCAATTCTGAGTGCTATTGCCAGTACAATACGGCGTTGTCTGGCCAGTGTCAGATACAAGGTCTTGGAGTCCTACAGCAACAGTATGGGTTTGAGGGTGGAAGTCAAGGATTGTGGATTGGGATCACGATTGGAATTATTGCAGCTCTCAGACTGTTCGGTTGGATTGCAATGGGGTTCAGAAGATAGCCATCCTGTCACCATAGCAATGCATCGTGAGAGAGTGCTGTTGATCTTTGACGCCAGCCTTCGAGGAAGGCTCCGATACAATCATGCTGTCATGCGATGCATTCTTGCAGATGGTAGCTTATGCCACACACGTTGTTCAGAACCGGTTTGATGCTATCAACATAGCTTTCAGCTTGTCTCGAGAAATTTGCCGGTTTCATCAGATACAGACTCCATCGCGTGCGCTTGATTTATGGATACGCCCATTGATAAGTACAGGCTCATGCTGGGCTATACGTTGGGCAATATCAGACCCCAAAGCGATAGACGAATGTTCGTGGAATTGTTTGACTCTGTGTGAGTAATCGCTTTACTGCGTTCCAGAATTCTCCTAATATGATAAGTCGGACGTCGGATTAAACTACAATACCCTAAAGTCAATTCCGATCACGTTCACGCAGCGCTGGTGACAGAGGAGGAATGCGAGAATGGAGCGACTTCTTCTCTCTACTCATTATTCTATTGCCAGAGAGAACGTCGAGCTCGTTCTGTCATCGATAAGCTGCACCTGGCCTGTCGAAGCGGCGGAGGATGTGATGTGAGAATACCTAGGTACTCATCCAAATCAACGCGGCCCTCGTTTGAGTGTCGGCTGGGTCAGACGAAATGGAAAGGCGACACCCAGCGAAAGCGATGCTTCCGTCCACAAGTGTAGCATGTATGTATACGGTATGATTCCCGAGGTAGACGCGTCTCATCTTCCACATCGGAAGAGTCATTTATTTGAATGCTACATAATTGATGGATGCGCAATTTTGCCGGAGAGTCCGCTCTTTGATGACAAATGGCCCCGTCCTCGAGGGGCGAGAGGCGAGATGGGTGCACGTTGTCCCCAATGTGTCAATTCGCGGTAGCGAACGCGCCTGAATATTGGGTGAAGCTGCACGTGACCCGGCGAGTCACGCAGGCAAGTGGAGGTCTCGAGACCGTGACGCCCGCCCGGAATTGCACATGATGCGGCTGACGGGCCCTCCCGCAGCAGTTTGATGGATCGGCGGATGCTGCTTTCACATGCAAACTTCTCAACATCCTTGAACCTTCTCTCATCGCTAATAAAGCACCCACATGTCGAATAAAGCTTCGCATCTCTCCGGCCTTCGGTTCCTGTTTCCGAAGCAGTCGTATCCATACACTCCACGCCTCACCTGTCGCTTACTTTGAACGCGATCGCCACAAACATTGACAGACTCTCACCGGTTCGAAATCCAAAGCTGGGTCGCTTGTCCTGCGCAGAACGCCGATCACAGCCGACGCAGCCGACCTACGGCCGAATACTAAGCTACAACTTCACTTCCACCTCTAATGTGGGCTGAGTGACGACACGATCAAGGCAATCACTTTTGCTGTGCACGACATCCATTCTCAGCCTGGCGTTGTGTCAGCCTTGCGCAGTGTCAGAGGGTCGAGAAGGTGTTCTAGAAGCGGGATCAACTACACAACTTCCTATTTCATGTATTAAGTAAGAGTCTGTGGAAGGATACAGCGCAACTTGCTGCGAAACATCTCAGAATTCGAGTTCCCTGCATGGGACAACAATGACAATCTCCACCGGCGCACGTTGCCTATCAAATACACGTTCTCGGCGAACCCGCACACTTCATCATAATCTACTTTGATCTTCTTCTCGCAATTTTGCCTGGTTGTCGCACCGACCGTCACCACTGACAGAACTGTGGGCGTCGCGGACGTATCGCAGCGCCACCGATCATCCTGACCATGACGCAGCGTCTTCATGGTCAACAGCAGATCCTGCTGGCGCAAGATACTTATCCATTCATGCCAGCCAGCCATCAGGCATCCCGAACGACATTACTCGATAATGATGAGCGCGGATACATCGAAAGCTTCTTCGAAAATCCAGAGGATGTTGTGAATCAGTCGAGCCTCTTATCCGACTCGTCTTACGTGCTGAACCCCTTCGCATTTGCTTCAGAGGCCAGTGCAAATGACATGTCACATGTCAGCAATAATCACATGCAGGGCTCTAACAGCCAGATGCTCTACCCTGGCCAACAGGAACACTGGCTCAACGCGACGCATGAGGTACAAAATGCCGCTTCAGCACTGGCAGGCTTCCAATCATCGACTACCATGCAAACTCCGGAGCCAGGCTCCGCCTACAGTGGTTCATGGGGGAACGTAAATTCAGCGAACGGGTTCCAAGACACAGGTGCAGGGCCCTCCAATCAAGCCCAACGCAATTCGTTATACACGTATCCAATCCCTAGCGCAAACTTCCAGCCTCCATCATGGCATAATCAGCAAGTATATCAATACCCCCATCTCCAGCAGCGCGCCCGTCACCTATCCTTGGATACTACCTCCCCTAGGTTTCAAGTACAGCAACGCCGACTCCAACAGTCTAGCATGTCTGCGGTGCTAGATTCTACTCAGGATCGTCCGGCCGCGGTTCGGTTCGGCAGTGATGACAACTTCTCCAACGGCCACTACCAAGTGCCAGTGATTCAGAGAAGCCAGCGTGACCGGAGCGGGGGACTCCTCAATATGCCATTTGCAGCTGACGCTATCCATACCGAATCTCCAACCTCAGCGAGTCCTTCGCGACCCGTACCTAGCAAGCGGCACGATATTGCACTCTCGCGGGAAGGCGACTTGCCTGATCTACCCACACCGACGTCTGCCAACCAACATTCATCCTTGTGGAGCGGTGTAGGTCGAATGACAGTCGAAGTAGACGACGACAGTGACGATCTCCAAGATCAGCAGCCGCGCAAGCGTCGAAAGGCGGCAACAGGCGAAAATGCCTCAAAGAAGAAGCACTCGCGTGATCGATCGCCGGTCGTAGAGAATCACCCAAGCTCCACAGGCGACGCAAAGCGGCGAAAATCTGTACAGCCTCACGTGTCGTCCCCACAAAGTCCCACATCCTCCGGACCTGAAGATGAGGGCGAGGAGGTCTCGTCGTCAGCGCGGAAGCGGAAGGACAAGAAGCAACCCCGGCAGAATCTCTCTGATAAGCAGAAACGCGAAAATCACATCATGTCAGAGAAGAAGCGACGGCAGCTCATCAAGACAGGCTATGCTGACCTTAATAAGTTGGTGCCTGCTTTGGCCGGGGGTAAAAACGGCATGTCACGGTCGGAATCGTTGTTCGAGTGCCAGACCTATCTCGAGAGTCTTATCGTCGGCACACAACAAATCATGAAAGAGTTAGGCATTAGCGAAAAGGAGCTTTGTGCAAGGGTCGGGGTTGAAGTTGGCGCGATATCCCTCGACAGCAACAAGCACCCCGATTGAACAAGAGCGGCGCCAGCCGAAGGGTACCGAAGACTGCTGCTGCAGTAACCGCCATATGGATTCAGGTAGCGCCATAGACAGCGCGAAAATTTCTCTAGTTCGTTTGACCAAGCCCTTGCGCTTGCCACTACAACCACTGTGGTATCTAGGCTTAACACTCGATTTTTGGGAAAGGTTTATCCTTGAAATCGACTTGTCTACACTCGAGTTGGACGCTGGTGGTAGCTGTTCGGTGGACTACATATCTGGTCAGCTCCCTTTTGAACAAAGCATTCCCGACGTGGTCCAAGCGTTCCTGCCTCTTACAGCCCGCGGTTTGAGCAAGGGCAGTACAGAAGTCCTGGATCGATCTCGAAGTGTGAGTGGCGCGAGCGTGATGAATCACATCAGAGAGTGATACAGCCGGATGATCAGAAATCATTGGGGCAAGTCACTCCTGGGCCATTGAGCAGTATCATTGAGTATGTCGTGGTCATTTTGGCAGCCATGATCATAGATCTATTTTGGCATTTTCTTCTAAAGCTATGGTCTGTGGCCGCCTGCATCTTTCTTTCACGCCCGCGGTCTTATGTATTGCCTAAACAGGACTGTTCACTGCGGCGCACGCAGGCCGCCTCAACTATTTGAACGTTAATTATATCTTGTAATACTCGGTTTTGATTGTCACTATTCAACATTGAAAAGGAGTTCGGTGGCCTAGCAACGGATAGTCCTTGTAGTGGCATCCGTAATGAGTGCTAGAGATGGCTGTGACCCCCCTTTGTGTGTATAGGAGGGGCATCGTGCATTATTGATGCCACGATGTTCTCCAATTTGAGGTCTTGGTGTTTCATAACTGTCCCGAGACACCGGGAGAGATGACGCTTCTCCTCAGGTGAGCCGCACGTGGCTCCAGCGAGATCACGTCGATCGGAAAACGGACGAGATGTGCGGAGCGTTTGACGCTGACACAGTACATTGATATGGATATGATTCTCATGTGCAAATATGCAGTCGGATTGCGAATGATCGTATAGCTGGTGTTGCTCTCCTGGCCAGCCTCGGGAGTGATGACGGCCGTCTCGGCCAGTTATGACTTGCATACAGGAAGCGGGAATGAACAAGTGGTACTCGCGCGGGCGATGAAACTTGGGAGACCACCAGGCCGGCCGGCCCTAGTGAAATAATCCAGGACGGGGGGTTCATCGAAAAGTCTAAAATAACGTTCTCGGATTCTCCTCCTTCCCCGGCTTCCGCTTCCATTGGCTGTGACCCTGAGCTTCGAGAAGTGCTTCCTCCACTCTTCCATTTGCTCTCATCCTTTGCTATACATGTTGTACACTTGGGCAGTACACGATATGTTCAGTGCCTGAGATCACATTCATTTCACCACTCGCCATGACTTTCTTTCACTAGTTCAAGGTCCAACCATCATTCGCTTGCTGAGAGGCGCAAAGAAAGTGGAGGAAACAGAATCGCATGGCCCATCAGCAGCAAATCTGACGTTTCAGCTCACGTTTCTCAACCCTTTACACCCCATCCTATGCCATAAGATCGGACAACCGTCGTACGTGTCTGGCATGAGCTTCCATGTAAATCATTCGTCCTCACCTTCATTCCTCCTCCGCAGGCCGGACGGGACGTCACGCAGTGCGACATGCCTTTTCCGAACCCGTTCACTCATGCTCCTCGTCTACCATCGTCTCGAAAGCGCAGCGATCACTCTCCACCCGCCTCCCGCTCGCCCAGCCGAACACAAGCCCGGGACTTTGACCCTCTAATCAGAGATCTCTCACCTTCGGCCACTCTTCGCGCTTTCACGGCAGACCCTTCGGACTTGGCTGCAGTCTCGACCGATATACTTGCCACGAGCGTCCAATCTGCATCATACGCTGAGCGCGCCCTGGGTGCTCGAGCGGCTCAGGCAGCTCTCGATCTACGCACTTGGGTACAAGAGATTGAGAGGTGGCAATGGCCTGGAACGTTTGACGCATTACGGAGGACTTCGACCAAGCACGGACGGTCATCTCAGGATAACGGCGACCCCTCTATTCTAGAAGATGGAGTTGAAGAATATTGGGGCAGTTTACCTGCCGGTTTGGTCCGCGATTATGAGACCCGTGCTGATGAGATAAGCCGGCAATTGGACGAGATAGACGTGGAAGAACTCAAGGAATATGTTCTTGTGTCACATTATCGAGCTGGCTCAAGACCTCTATCATCGGTGAACGAGGCCGATGACCCGAGCGCATCTGCTGACCTCAAAGAGCTGGACGATTACACAGCTGTGGTGACAGCGACCATCTTGCAGGCGCTGCCGTACCTTTCTCGCCTTGGACGACTATTGGACACATGGACCGTTCGCTTGATCATCTTGAGAAGCGCGCCGGGTTTCATCAGGGATTTAAAGCGCGCTCGCACTTCACTGGATCAGGGTTGGGCCAAGATTGCCATGTCTCCAGGCTCGATACAGACCACCAACAGTGTGACATTCGAGCGATCGACGATGCTTGAGTTGAGATATGTGATCGAGCAACAAGTCGGCAGTCTCGGAAGGAGGTTGGATCGATTCCTCGATGATCTGGAGGGTAGGGACGATATGGTTCCGGACTCGTGGATCGACGATTTCGAACTATTGGAGTCTGCCTACAGTGCGTGGGTAGTGCAAGCGGAGCGCAAAGTGCAAGAGATGGAATGGCGAGAGCAGAAGGCGCAGAGTGGACTGGCATCGATTCGCGAGATCGAAAGCCCAGTGATCGTATTCAAACCTGAAGCGGAAGACACGTCATTGGTGGAGACGCCTGTATTGAATGACTCTTCTCTACAAACCACTGCACCCACGATCTCTGTACACGAGGCAATGCAGACCCTTGCAGGGCCACTCAACTCAAATCCACCAGATCTCGCTTCCGAGAATGAGAGAGCACGAAATGCACCGACTGATCCGATCACCTCGATACCAGCGATGACTTCTCAAGAGAGCAATGGAAGTGTCCGAACGTATTCATCCACTCGCGAAAGCTCTCCCAGCGTCTTGGAGCAAAGCTATGGGATTTCTCGACGGTCCTCTGAACGATCGAGCAGGAACATAACACCAACTTCGAGCGCTGCATCTAAGCTAGATATTCCTGATCAGACAGTCAAAAAGCGAGCCGCCTTTCTTAATGACATCGAGCGAACAAATTCTCTGAAGCAATCAAAGAGCCCCGTTCGGCCATTTGAACATGCCAGCAATGCTTTCACGCGCCTCTTTAAGAAGGAGCGTGCTGCAGAAGTTTTGCGGCCGATACGCAGACCGCTGAACGTTCGCTCTGTCTCTGACGGTACTGAAGATGGTGACGGCTCGCCTGGTTCTGCCACTCTGTCTCCTGTGGCCGACGTTGCAAACAAGTTCAACGCAATGTACCTCGAGAATCTGAATGCCACGATCGGCTCTCAACGCACGCCAAAAGATGAGATTTCCAATCCGCTCAGCCGATCCGTCTCGAACCGCTCGACTTCGTTATCACGAGAAAATAGCCCAGCTCCGTTGACGAAAAAGCCTAGAGAGAACGCAATCGGCGTCGCTATCGCAGAACCTCCGACCGCTCCGCGTGCGGTGACAGAAGTCAGGCCATCTGTCGATTCATCTCCTGGTAAAGAAGATTTTCCAAGCAATTGGCCATTGGCGGCAGATGTACAAAATGAGCCGTCAACTGCGGCTACCCGATCGCATCAAGACTCTGCGAAAACCGACTTGCGCCTATCAAGGGTACCGATGCTCACAGACGCATTTGATCGAGTCATAATCCAGGACATGCCCGGTGACAAAACGCACGAAGCAGAAGACGTGGCATTTATTAACGAAGCCATGCCGCTTGGCGAACACCGCTATTTTGTGCCCGCTGATGAGCAGCAGGCCAGTACTCCAGATCCTTTGAGGCCGGATGATGATGAATCGCTGTGGCACACGACTCCCGTGCGGCCGCCTTCACGTACTCGCACGAACAGTGGCCACAGCGCTCGAAGTAACGTTTCGAACGCTCAGCGCATGAGAAGCGGAGAACAGAGCGATCTTTCCGATAGTGCGGCGAATGGAACTCAGCATAGCAGCAGGACAGCCAGTTTGGCAAGTGCTGCCATCTCGCCTCCACAGCCTTCGCCACGACCTGTTTCCACTGTGGTGGAGGATGAGGCGGAAGATGAGGCGGACGACGATTCTGACGGGGCACCATCCTCGCCGATTGAGATTGTCGACGTACAGAGTGTCAGCTACCTTCATGTGAGCCCGTCCAAAGGAAATCACAAGCTCCGACCTCCGTCCGTCGAGCCTGTCATCTCAGCTCAGCGTTCATTATCGGATCCCGCCGTCTCGCCACAAGTGGCACGGCTTGAGCCCCCCGCCTTTCTAGAGAAACTGGAAATCGCCACTTCCAACACAGAGGGGCCTGCATTGGTCAAACGAGCTTCTGTGGCATCGATCGAGGCGTTTTCGCGAGGCGATGTCCGCAGCGTGGACGTGTCAAAGCTTTCTCGACGCAGTAGCACTAGCTCGCCATTAGCTTCTCCTCCTGAAACTCCGATTGTTGCAAGGTCTCCGCCAGATCAGCTTGGTGGTCGCACGTATTTTACATCACAGGCCGCGGGAAATGCTGAACCGGAATTGCCATCGCTACCGATGCAAGATGTGACTGGGCTCTTGCCATTGTCAAGATCAAGCAGCAGAGAAGTGACGCACGGAAACATGTTCAATGCCGCGCCTGTCCGAGATGAGGAATCATCGCCGACAACACCACAGCACACGCCTGGCCCGCTCAATGCCGTCATGACAAAGCGGCAAGGGAAGGGTATAATCTCAGATGAGAATCTGCGTCCGACAGCAATACAGACATACGTCCCAAAGCACTCTTCTTCGGTAGAGGACAGCTTCGACCGGCATGTATCGGAGGTTCTGGAGCGGCTTCCATCTGGTATCAAGTTCAAACCACGTCCCGGTGCCGAGACGCCGGTGTCTCGGTCCAACGAAACGCGAATGTACCCTGCATCACGACAAAAGGGTGCTCGAACGCCCTCGCGCGCAAGCAACATGACGATTGTACCCGCAGAGCAGTCGCCGAAGAAACCCAGCTCCGCGACAGAACCGGTCGTTAAGCTCTACCATCTGACACAAGCTGGCCGGGAAGAGCCCATCAAGCTCTACGTGCGACTTGTAGGGGAGAATGAGCGAGTCATGGTCCGTGTTGGTGGCGGCTGGGCCGATCTCGCAGAGTATCTGCGCCAATACGCTGAGCATCACGGTAGCCGGACTGTCTCCGATGGCAATGCTATTGAAGTGCTGCAGACTGTAAATGGCGCTTCTGGCCAACGTAAACTTAGTGGGTCTACAGCCAGGAGCCCGTACAGTCCCAGCCCTGTTTCCACTCCCAATCGACCCACCAGCAAAGATGGTCCGCAAAGTCGACTTAATGCCACTGGCACGGGAGGCGACTGGTCATCGGACGAGACCCGAGTGGATGAGACAGCTGCGACAGCTGCGACCTCCACTCCAGCTACCATGCACATCACGCCGCATCGCAATGCCATGACACCCACCTTCATCACCCCTCGTGGCTCCCGTCCTTCCACTGCCGACGCCCAACACACCGCCCTCACCGCAGCCACCCGGCCTTCCAGCCGCCTCAGCAACAACGACAGTCCGAACGTCCCATACGGCAGCGGTCGCAAAACAGAAATCTCCTCGGAGCACAAGGCTAAATGGGTCGAAGGCATGCTCGAGCGTGCCAAACGTGCCGGCGGCGGCGGTGGTGGCGGCAGTGTGGCGATCGAGAAATCATCAATGTCGCAAGACGATGACGCGCAGGCTGCCGCTACGTCCGCTGGTCGTGACCGTGAGCGCTATTTTGGCGAGTTGGGCAAGGCAGGTACCACACGTCGAGTCATCTTCCGCTCGGCATCGGCGAGCAGTGGCTCAGTGCCTCCAGCGACGGCAGCGGCTGCTACTGCTGCTGCTGTTGCTGCTGCAAATGGAGCGGGCAACAAGGCGAAGTGATCGCTCGATTAGTCACTGGCCGTTCTTTGTTTTCTTTTTTCGTTCTCATTCCTTGCTGGGAGAGGCTCCCACCTCTGTCCTTTCAGGCACCATACGTGTCGTTGTTTTGTTTCATTTTCTCGTTTTTGACATTGGCTCTTGCACTGGACTCTACACGCATGCGAAGCGCTCTGCTCTTGTGTAAGATGATGGTGGTGGTTGGTTTCTAGACTTTGGCGCATTGGAGTACCTTGTACAATGGCAAAATCAAGGAGGTCGATTATTTTGGAGGCGCTTCCAACGCCCTCTTGTGTTGTTTTGTATGATCAGAGATCGGATGGACAGGAAATTGTGGGACTCACTGCTAGGGAAATGCACAAGCTGAATGAGTGAACCAATGCCATTCTCTATTTCACGTGTGTCCGACGAAGAGAACCGCGATCGCTATCGCGGATGATTCAAGAGTATTCCTCATCATTTTCATTTGACTTTTGCCATGGTCAGGAAAGCAGCGTAAGAACATACTGCGGGCCGTGAAAAGGATAACCTGCGACAATGAACATGAAGCTGCCCAAATGTTGGCTCACTGGATCTGCCAAATTCACGGCCTTCCCTGGGACTAGCTCGGCCGTGAGCCCCATGCAATGGTGGTCTCGCCATACTCATTCACTAATAAGATGTGTGTAAGCACGATAGAATCGCAAGCTTGTCCGAGTACATCATGTGCATCGCAATCTTGTGACATGATGGTCCTTGGCTTCGGCGCCATGGATCATGCGCTAATAAGAGTTAAAATGACTGGCTGCAACAAGACCAACGATACGTAAAAGGGCCTGCGTCAGATTGGTGAAATGAAGGTGCAAACTTACTACAATGAGAGTGTGAGATCACCACGAATGCTTGCTTTGAGCTCAATCTCGATGTCGAGATTCGCTTCCAGTGAAAGCTTCAGGCCATCGGCGTCATTCAGTTGACTCTGCGGCAACAAGTTCGGGTCAGCAACCAAAGGATGATATATGATGGAGGTTTCCGATCAGGGTGTGTCGATGCGATATCGATCCATGTGCTTACATCCTTCGACCCAATCTTGTCGTCGTTCCAATAAGGCTGCTTCGGATTCGAGCCTCGCATCGGAATCTCTCCGCGGAGAGCACGTGCAAGTGTGACGGGACCATTCATTGATGTGCTGTCCGGACCTATTCGCTCGAAAGGCCTCATCTCGTCCCAATCGCCGTTGGCATCGGCTTCCTCGAGCGCCTCCAAAGGATTGGTCCTCATGTATTTGTTATCCTCGAGACCCTTTTGAATTCGCCGCCGACGCGCTCGACGGGAGTGGGAGCGTGACTGAGGGTTATCATGGCTTTGTTCGCGACGCTCTTGCTTGATGAGCTTGTCTTGCTTTTGCTGCTGCTCGTAAGTGCGTTGCTCGGGAGGATTGGTGAGTGACTTTTCGCCTTCGTAGTGCTCGAGCTTTGGTTCCTCGATGAACTCTCGGCGGTAGGCCTCGTTAAATTTGCCGGACATGTTCGTTGCCTCTGTTGGTCGATCGTCGAGGATTTGGGTCAAATGTTTGACATGTAAGCTTGGTATGTTGGGTACAGCTTGTGACAAATTGGCAATTCCGAACGATGGTGTCTTGCACGAGTAGCTTTTGAGCACATGGGTCAGAGCAAAGGCACGACAGCCAATACCGTGCTCTCGTGGATGAACACACCATCAGCTCGCCCTTGTAACGCCAGCTGACCAACTACCTCCTCTATAAGACCGTCATCGCGACGAGGCCACCAAGTGACACAGAGCCCGAAACAGGCTTTCCAGAAAACCACCTCCATATTTCACATGTAATTCGCGCCCCGTGGAGACCTTCAGCGTGCTTGCAAAGCTGACTCGGAACGTCTACGGATGGTTCAATGCAGGTGCTGACAATTACCTGATGAGCCTCAACTACTCCGTGGACTTCCGGTTAGAGTACACCTGGGCAACCTTGCAATGCATGAGACGAGGCATGCCCTTTGTTGCACAACACGGATTCCGAAACACACAAACAGGTTTCTTAGCATTCCTTCAAGTACAGAGATTGACCTCCTGCCCTGGCTTGGATCAAACGACGTACCAGTACTCTCGCAAGCGGTACCAGCAACAAGGCTTTGTGTTCACCACATATCCGACAGTGCAGGTGTACATGCATTATTGTTCTTCCACGCAAGTTGGGGGGTGCATGGATGCGCTATGCGCGTACCTCGATCGGAAGATGACTGTTGTATAGAAGGATTCTGCCTATGATCCTAGTCATCAATGATTTTGCCAACTGGCGTACATTTCGATGCTCCGGGAAATCAGTCCGTGTAGAGTCTTCCTCAATTGTCGTGAACCACTTGTCAATTAGTTCAATAAACCAAGGGTTAGGTCACCGTGAATCTTGGCTTTCAATTGAATCTCGATGTCAAGATTCAGCTCCAATCGAAGGCGCAGCTGTTCACCCTTACTCTCTTCCTCGCCGCCACCCTTCCCTCCTGTGAGACCACCGAGCGCTTTCCCAGCAGTGTCGCCGACTTGACCAGCAGCCTGACCAGCTTGACCAACGGCTTGACCTGCGGTATTCTGTACGAGCTCACCAGCCTGACCGACTGCTTCGCCGCCTTCGGTGATGTCTTCGAGAGCATTGCCACCGCCACCTCCTTGCTTCTTGGCTCGTTGGCGCTGACGGCGTCCTCCAGATACGCTCGCATCACTGCGGGCTGATTCGTTGTCGCTATCCTGACCTCCTCGGCGGCCACGGCCGCGACTTTGGCGACGGCGGGATTGTTGGCGTTGTTGTTGGGGCTCAGCATCTTCCTCGCCGTCAGCGTCAGCTTCTGCGCCCGTGCCGGCTGCTTCTTCTCCCTCGGTTTTGTCGGGTGTCGGCTGTTGTTGCTGTTGTTTCTTGCCGCCGAGCTTTTTGGGGGTCCGTTTGGATTTGCTCGAAGCTTGGGCGCTTCCGCCGGCACCTGCTTCGAACTCACCACTGGCGGAGGCTTGCTTCTCTTCTTCCACCTGACTAGACATTTTGAGCTTGAACGAAGTTGTGTGATTGCGTCGCGAAAGTAGCCGTTCAGTGTAAGGCGGGATATTTGGGTAACAAGCAGTCACAAGATCGAAGAGTCGAGGTTACAATTGAAGCAAGAGGATACGATACGTAGACAAAGCAAATTCAGATTGTGCAAACCTGTTTGTTGACTGTCGTGACGTTGTGACCGCCTTCGCACACTGCCGTCGCCGTGATATCATAGCTTCCGGGCCTGGTGTCCTCAGATCCTACCAGGTCACTGTGTCGATGTGACGCAACAATGTTCACATGTGTCACGAACGGAACTGGCCTATAATGGGCAGACAGTGCTCTGTAGATTTGGCGTTTGCGCATGACCACCTGATACCGTCAGCTTTTACGATGCACTCGCCTCCATATTCAGTCATGCTCTTGTGATGACATTGTTGCAGACATTGAGACTGATTGCGGGTGCATTCCCAGGTACTTATCGTGTACATTCGGGACACGGCTAGCCTCTTGATTGGCTTCATCTGAGCAGTCAATCGCGAAGCACATGCAGCACAGATCTCTTTCCTGGGCCGCACATCTCATAGTCGAACTTGCGTCTTCAACAGCAAGATTACGAGCTCAAATCCAAGTCATTAATTCCTCACGAAGCGTGTCATCGGTGGCATGTTTTTTACCTGGAGCTATGAACATCGTCAGCGGCGACACAAATTTGTACAGGTATTTCCCGCCGTTCGCTCCATACGGATGGCGGACTATTCTCTTGTGTCGATACGTGGTGTCGCGACACGTTCCTGGGCCGATCAGCCATCACTGATGAGGCTTGCGAGTATCCTGTACGATTCGCAGCTCAAGTCATCAAACAACCTCGGCAGAACCGCACAGAGGCCAAGGCTTTTCGGACCCTGCGTGCCTGGTGCAGCTCTGCCAAAGCGCTACACCCTGGATCTGAGCAGTCTTCTATTCTCTATTGCGAGTCGTTGAATACAGCAATCATATCTCACGCAGTAAATCGCGAGGCTCTATTGATACCATGGCAGGCTCACATGATAATGCGACTAAGCAGCGCATCATTGCGCACATGAACAATGATCACCACGACAGCGCAAGTTTTGCTTGAATTCAGAATTTGTGAGATCTCTGTTGGACTAATAACATGAATTTCAGGTCATTCGCTACCTCCAACATTTTGGAAAGGTGTCGGCGTTTACAGCTTACACTGGACGGATGACGGACTTGGATCTCAACGGCCTTGCTCTCTCTTGCCAAGGCAAGACGTACCGCGTTCCATTCGAGCCGCCAATGAAGTCTCTCGCAGAGGCCCGCGAGCGTACTGTCAAGATTGACAAAGACTGCCGCAAGGCGCTCGGGCATTCCGATGTCACTGTCAAGACTTTTGAGTGGCCTCAAGGTGGTGGAGCAGTCGCTGCTGCCCTTACTCTCCTCACCTTTGTTGGATTCAGTCAGCGATGGTGGTTCGCTCCCCAGGTACGAAACCGATCGATCTGATTCCAACACAGTACGCAATTATGCTCACATACATACGCAGGGCATTGTGGAGCAATATGTGGGCGCCTCCGCTGCAGCTCGCATGTGGTCCATCCAACCCTACTTGTTCTGGATTCTTCTTGGAGTCCACGCCCTCGAGAGTGTTGTTCTTGCCCAGACAAAGTTGAAGAAGCACTCTGTGAACCCGAGGTCAACCGTCTACTGGCAATGGATCATTAGCAACACCATCGAGGGATTCCCATGCGGTCTTCGATTCGGCAGGCTGGTGAAGAAGCTTGAGGCGAAGCAAAATCATTAGTATACCACTCGAATCAATCCTCCTGCGAATCCGTTGCGACTCATTCATTCACGAATACCAAACTTTGGAAACTAGATAAGACCCGTAGGGGAGATACTATATATAACGAATTATGTGTTCTGAGGAAATTTTTGTACTGGTGCATGCTGTTGGAGACATGCGAAGATTACGAAGGTCAACGGGTCTTGTTCCTAACACGCCTGGGCAGAAATCACAGTAATAAAACCAGGGTCACACAGACTGTAAAGCTTCCACGACTTTTGTCATTATCAATTTTCACATCATGTTCATCAACACAGTGTAAGGTATCTCTGCCATATCGCCCACAAACCAACTTGCAGAACAACACGTTGACTTGGAAGAGTTCGCTGAAAAAGTCTACAATGACTGTGAAGCCCAAATTAAACTACAGATCACATCGCGACGGTGGTGAGGAAGTGTGAGCTGTAGTGCATGCAGCCTTCCATAAACCGAGCAATGCCCCTTCAGGCAACCGCGCCCCTGGCGTAGGAAGAATTTCCCGCCCTGGGCATCGACCTTAATCACCTCCACGAATGAGCACATCTCGATCGACTCCACGATTGAGTCTGCTATAGTCCTTTGCAATGATCTCATGCCATCTCACTCGCATCGCGTGCCAGCTTACCCAAACAAAATAGCATGATGGGTCATCTGGACGATCTCAACAACTATGTTCCGCTCGGCTGTCTTGTATTGCCTCAACGTAGGGAGCAAACAGAGCCATCACAGACTGAATCGAGATGGAGTCCGGTCATATCCTTGGAGTCCATCTGTGATTTTGAGGCTCCACTGATGGCGGCAGTCACAAAGCTTCTTGAACTGAAATGGGTAAGACTGTACTATTGTCATGACATTTCCTGGACACTTTTCAGATGCTATTTACTCCCGCAAGATACTCGCCTGGGTTTTGAAGACCGGAAGAAACGCACGCCGATCACGTGTCTCGAAATCTTGCTCTCCAACATTTTCGTCGATCGCGATACATGGCATTGCCATCATGATTCTAGATTGACAGAACGCTTTGATCGGTGGGCTACCGTTGAGCCCGGCTCACTGTTCTATCACTTCAATCAGATTCCATCACCGAAGCCCGATCTAGATCTTCTTACGGACAAATATTATCAGGAAGCATTAGAGGACATTTTAGAAGACAACGTACCGGGTCTCAAAACTAATCTGTACCATTATCAGCGCAAATCAGCCGGCTTGATGCTTCAGCGCGAAGCAGCGCCCCAACGAGAGCTTGACCCACGCCTGGAGTCAAGAACTGCGCCAGATGGGACGACGTTCTATTACGATGCTTTCAAAATGGAATTCTTCCGGAGTGCGCGGTACTACGAGGCCAGTCGGGGCGGTATTCTAGCCGAGACTATGGGCTTGGGTAAGACGGTGATCTGTCTCGCGCTCATTCTTGCAACTAAGGATCTTGCGGCGCATATTCCACCAAATCATGCTCTAAAGCCAACGCGTGCGCGCTTAGGGAAGTTAACTGAAATGTCGGTCTCAGTCGTTCACAGATATTCAGTCCCTTGGAAAGTGGAGTTTGACCGAATGCGGCATGCATCACGTCTGGAGATGACAGGCGCCGAGAAGATACTTGAATCTTCGCCGGCGACGTATGAGATACCCAATGAGCCCACACGCCATCACAGGCGATCGTTCGTCTATGTGCCGCCGCCACGGACAATGATCGTCTCCTCCACGACGTTGGTTGTGGTTCCACGGAACCTGTTTTTGCAGTGGCAATCCGAGATAAGAAAGCACGTCGACGATGAAGGCCTTCAGGTCCTCGTCATGGATGACGCCAAGAAGGTGTTGCCTGCGCCTGATGAGTTGCGCAGCTTCGATATTATTCTCTTCAGCCGTAACCGCTTCGAGCTCGAGGATCAAGATGGACAAGATGGACAGAAACGACGAATGACACCCAGCAAAACAGAATCCTACTGCACCTGCCCATATATCGGGTCCTCGAGAACACGGGATTGCACATGTCTGAAGCCCGAGATGTTATACAACTCACCGCTAAAATACGTACACTTCAAGCGTGTCATCGTCGATGAGGGCCACTTCTTTGGTAACAGCAGTAGCTCTCGCTCGACCGCGACTTCGGTCATAGATAAGCTGCTGACCGTGGACCATCGTTGGGTCGTCTCTGGGACCCCCGCCAAAGACCTGCTTGGCGTAGAGGTTGATCTGTCAACCGCCGAAGATTCCTGGTCGGCTCCAGATTCCAAAACCGGGCGCGAAATGGCTCTGCAGCAGCGTAAAGCATTCAGTAGCGAAGACACCAAAGGAGCGGTTGAGAGCTTGGGATTACTCGCCTGCCATTATCTCAAGATCAGACCTTGGTTCGGGAGCGACGATAAGGCCAGCTGGAAAAATTATATCTTCCGCCATGAAGAGATCAAGCCCAGAACGAAGTCAGGGTACACGCGCACTCTACGACGCTTCCTCGAAGGTAATGTAGTGAAGACACGCCCTGAAGACGTTGAACGGGACATAGAACTGCCACCTCTGAGATCTACCGTAGTGAAGTTGGAACCTTCATTTTACGATAAGGTCACTGCAAACTTATTCACACTTGTTCTCGCGGCAAATGCGGTCACCTCCGAAAGGTCCGACACCGATTACCTCTTCCATCCAAGCAGTCACAAAGAGCGCAAACTGTTGATCACAAACTTGCGTCAAAGTGCTTTCTTCTGGACAGGGTTCAGCGAAGATGATGTGAAGGGAAGTATGAAGAACGGTCGGAGGTATCTTGACAAGAAAGGGACCACGTGTACAATCGAGGACAGGCGCCTGCTCGAAGATGTGATACAAAGCAACGAGCTTGTTACTCAATCAAAAGGCTGGCGGTCATTAAGCCGCTCGCATGAGCTCGGAGTGTTTGTACAAGCTTGGCCAGATGAAAGTGCAGAACATTGGGCGTTCGATGACAGTCGTGAGCCCCTGCTGGTCGGAATAACTCAATTACTCGACGCGCAGGCCTTTGTCAATCGACGATTGTGCAACTCAGATCCCGGAGAAGATCTCTCGGGGGCGGGCATTAAAGCACTAGCGCCATTACGACTCCACGCGTCACCAAATGATACAGCGAATTCAAGTACGACGACAGACGCTTCAGATCCCCTCCCTGCCAAGGAATTGTTCAAGATGTCTGGCATACCAGCTTCCAGTCTTGCTGGCGAGCCACAAAGGATGAAACGGTCAGCATCATCGATGAAACCTGGAAGCAAAAGGAGGTCTGCAATGCCAACAACATCGACAGATATACAAAGCCAATCTTCGCCGAAAGTGGGCACATCGCCTGTAATTTGTTGCTCTCGACCGTCTGAGCCACAGGTGAAGCTCCCGAGCCACCTCGCAAAATCGAGCATCATAGGAACGGCATCTGCGAAGCTGAGTTATCTTGTTTCACAAATCCTCAAGCACCACCAGAGCGAGAAGATCCTTGTCTTCTATCAGGGCGAGAACTCAGCATATTATATTGCTCAAATGCTTGAACTACTGGATATTAAACATGAAATCTACGCTAAATCCTTGAAGGCATCAGTGAAGTCTGATTATGTGGTGCGATTCAACGAAAATGCCGAACAGAGGGTTTTGCTCATGGATGTGCATCAAGCTGCTTTCGGCTTGAATTTATCCTCGGCCTCCCGCATTTATTTTGTGAATCCTGTTTGTCGACCGAGCGTTGAAGCCCAGGCTATCAAGCGTGCCCATCGTATTGGTCAGACTCGTACTGTGTTTGTAGAAACATTAGTGCTCAAGGACAGCATTGAGGAAAAAATGCTCGAAAGGTCAAAGCGGATGACGAGTGCAGAACACAACAATGCCAAAGACTTGGAGGACGATGGCGGCATTCGCGTAATCATACAAGACGCACGTGTCTTGCCGATTGCACCTCAGGAGCATTCCGGAACTGGACAGATGGCACCATTGGACGAGCCTCAACAACTGTGGGGCCTGCCAGCCAGAGGGCACACACAGAAATCTGACTACCACCACGAACATTGGATGTCCATTCGGACTGTGGATGTAATTCGATCCACCGAGCCTACAGTTTTCACAAATGCAGAAGAGAACAACAGTCTCTCTCACAAACGTAGTCTAGTTGACACCGGTTTCGAACTGAACGATAATCATCCAAGTACCGGTGCTCGTCAAGGTCAACCAAAGAAATCAAGAGTCCTTCGCATCAGCGCGTAGAATGTGGAGAATTGAACAAATGCTTTCTTCTACTGCGACGCATCGCAGTGATCACTGCATTTCAGATGCAACACTTGCCATTGGCATCCCATGATCTGTCACAGAGTAGCAGTGCACAGTCGGCATCTATTCGGCCCCATCTCTCTTTCCAGCGCGTGGCGCATGACGGCAAGCCTATTGTACACAAGGCAATGGGTAGTATGAGTCGCACACTACTTACAATCCTACACAAAGAAATTCTCGTCGTAGGCAGAATACCTCGATAGACCGGCAATGCTTCTTCGACTCCCTCGGGAATATCTTGCTTTTCAGCAGTCAATGCATGCCATTTCACATCAAGAGCTCTTGAATTTGACTCATCGCACGCTGACCCCACCCATGAAGCGCGCATTTCACTGACTCCACGATGCGCTCCCCTTCGACTCGGCTGGCCATCTGAGGGTTTGGTGCTATTTTTCACTGCCGATCGACCTCTGATAGCAGAGGCTGTATCGGTTCGGCTGCATTGTGCGCAAACCCGCCCAAAAGAATTGAAACATCAAGCGTACTGAAGAAGTATTTGGACTGAGTGCGACAGACGTACGGAAGATGTGCGAAAAATCAGCCAAGATTTCGAGTATGACAACGAGTTGACCAAGGCTACCTGAGTGGATCACAGCTACACATGACCGCTTCGTCCTTTCGGCAGTGCTCAGGTGTGCATAGAAATCTATTCAGTGGGCACCACCACAGGAATCGCTTACAGATAACGATGCGTTGTGCCCAGCGGCTCGGAAGCTCTAAATTGTGGCACATTCCTATATTGGAAGCCACCATCAATTTTCGCGCATCCACCGCACATCTCAGCAGACATCACTCGGAGAGCTGTAGGTCATTGTGTGTTTTCGTCGAGCAGGTGAATGGCACAAAACATCGCATGAGGGTGCCACTACATGAGAGCTGGCCCCTTGTTGCCGAATAAGCAACACACGGTCACTACATGCGCTTTCGCCCACGAAGCCCGCTCATTATTGCCTTCGATCTTGCAAACAAAGGGAAAATTGAATACATAAGAGGCTCTACAATCACGGTAGATGTGCGCTGGCATGACTCGTGATCGGTTTGAAACAAAGACTTTTGTCCATTCGGATGCTAACAGGCACTTCGACGGACCAGGTCTATTGCCAATGTTTCGACAGCAACATTTCAATCTTTCTGATGTATAGACGTGGGCCAGGTGACATTCTCATCGTCAGATCGGGCTGAATTTGGTGAGGGAAAATGGCTGCGCGCCTTTCAATGACTCTTCCGTTGAGCTTCCATAAAGAGTGCCGGGTGTGTCGCTCACATTGTATTTCTGACGTAAAGACCTTCACCAAATGCACCAATTGTCCGTAAAGTCTCAACCACCCTCACAACGGACTTGCGCGAAAAGGCCGTGTGGCAGGAATCTGTCAGCATGCAAAGCTGTGTTGACAAATGCCCAACAGTTTCACATCATGGCATTCGTTCAGATACAGACCACACATCACCATGCTCCCGCACGAGCTGTAGCTCGACATCCGATGAGCTCAAGACGCCGATGACTCCCGGCCAGAGTCCGAGTTCACCATCGCTGGAGAAAAGCTCCGTCGGCCTTCATGATGAGCAGACGCGTGACTCTGAACAAGAAACCCAAATTGTGCTCGAACAAAGCATGAGCCAGGTCAAAGAACCGACCACGCTGTGTATGTGCCCGGCGAAGCCAAAAATCCCACGCCCGCAGAACGCGTTCATACTATATCGTAGATGGCGCCAGCAGCCAATGTCAGCACAGTATCCTAACGAGTCCAACCCGGAGATCTCTGTAAGGATTGGACGGGAATGGACAAGAGAACTCTCCGAGGACCAAAAAGAAGTTTGGCGTCAACGCGCCGAAGAAGAAAAGGCTCGACATCATCGAGAATATCCAGGTTATCGTTATCAGCCCAAGCGACGAGTCAACCATACATCTGTACTCGACCTCGGCGCCATTCCTTCCAGTGATTGGCTTCGTTGCGAAAATTGCCAGAGGTCAGTCAAGCCTCCGTTAGGCTTACCACGTCGAGCTCCTATCAAGCCAGCCAGTCTGAACACGCCATCCGCAACGATAGAACGTGCGGAGCTCGCTTTGCGACAGAAGCGCCCGAGCAGTTCTGACGTTCATACCATGAGGTCGGAACCTTTGCAAGTTCACGTCTCACAGGGCGGACTCATGTCGCCGAGCACTGATCCTAAACGTCGCCGGCTTGATCACGGGTCGCGGAATGCATCTGACGGGATTACGCGACTGGAGCACTCTTCGAAGATAGCTTCTTCTCGTTCATTATTTTCAACATCGACACACCAGGCCGGAATGCGGTCGCATTCTGATGGAAAGTATGGCACTGAACCAATGTTGCCACCCATTCGAAGCCCGGCACAAATTCCAATGGCTGTATCATCGCTGTCGTCCTTACCGCCAAGTGGTTTCAGCCAAGGACTTCGTGACCCTGTCGAAATGAACGGGCACAGCGCATCATTGATTTTGCCGCCCATCCAGAACAGCCAGAGATTACAACCAGCACCGGAGCGAGGTGATGCTCCTCAGGCATTCCTGTCAAAAATCGACACCCTCCGCAACATCACGCGACCGACCGCAGTATCTGCGAACTGCCAGCGCGGGCCTTTGATTTCCATCGAGGGCGAAGACGCTCAAACCGTCATCGAGCTTGGCATTTGGCTTCGTCGGAAATTGCGCATGGAAGACGGTCTCGATGTGAAGGTTATCGAAAGTCCGAAGCTCACCATCAGCAGCGACAAGAAGGTACTCATGGCCCAATATCATTTTCTGGTAGCCAGCTGGCTTCAGAACAGCGAATGTATCATGGACTCGCTCAGATTTACTTCAGCGCGCACGACTGCTGCTATGAATCCTGGACAAGAATCAGACGCATCACATCAAGCATTGCCCGTTGCTCTCGTCGCCAACTATTCGCTACATGCCACGGATCTCTTCTGCAAAAACTTCCCGCTCTCTCCTGATGACACATACAAGCCATACGACCATTGGATGTGGGCCGCATCGCAGTGGCGCGGTGTTTGTAGTCCAGACTTGATAATCTATATTTGCGATCCGCGACTACGCTCCGGTGGTCACGCTGCTGCCGTCAACACATCTCAAAGAGACAACCTTTTCGTTGTCGATTTGGCGCTCACAAGTGGAGAAGAGCTGAGAGCAGATCTAGATACAAATGCATTGCGGCGGCTGCAATTTGAAGTTCGTGAATGGCTGCGAGCATTCCACGCCGAGACCGGCCGTTGATGGTACGACATGAGGAAGAACTTCATATCACGCATGGATCCTATCGTCGCTCGGTTCATCGAATATACCATACTGAGGGCATACATAAGGACTCGGGAGACTGGTGTGTTGTTCTGTGGGGCTGATTTCATGTATCATCTGTAACCAATAGCATATAATAATATCGCATAATTTGGTTCGGTCTCAATGCCATTCAATGAGTGACATAAATTCATCAACCTGAGGACGCAACAGTATTGACCGAGGTCGACGGTGCACCCCCAAACATGCCTATGTCACCGTGCATAACAAAACACCAGCCGGACTCCGCTTGCAGAAAGGTACAATTCATAGTGTATTTTCACATGCCAGATTTCACAGTAACGTCCTGTATTGTACTCAGGCCCTGATGCACAATCTCACATACTGGTGGAGCTTTCTTTCAGCTGATCACTCGTCTCACATCATGTGCCCGTCTATCGTTTAGCGGCCAATATTGGTCCCTCTGATTCACACTGATGGAAGCCTTTCTTTCCCCGAAGCCTGTCTTCAAGCCTGATTCCTCGACGGGCCAGGCTCTGCTACTATTCTTGGCCATGCCGCGTCCATGATTTGATAATACACCTGGCAATACAATATAGAACCATCTTCTCTACTCCGACATTGCTCACGGCCGAGCCCATACTTCGCACCCGGGCACTCGGCATAGGACCCCTCTCATGTTGTCGTCTTGCCGGAGCTGGTGATCCGTTGCGTTGTTCTCGGTTCCGACCTGCTGCACTCCCGTCGATATGATAGGTAAGTCTAAGTTTTGTTGGCTTCGTACTGGCCGTTATGTCAAGTGCCATGCGCTCACGACTTGTCGCATGCAATAGATCATGTTCTCGGGCGACCCTCGACCCGGTTTCGCAAGTACCAGGTCTTCGCCATAGTTCTACTCTGGAGTACCTACCTGTACAAGTCGGATCGTCATGGTCCACCATTCGTCCGCAGGATCTCAAAATGGCTCTCTGCGCGCTTCACCCTCCACCAGAGCTTAATCGTCTTCTGTCTCTCACTATACGTCTCCCGTAATTTTGGAAGAGTTGTGGGCCTGGAGTCGCCAGAGCCTTTGGCCAACCTCTATTCAAGGGAATACTTTCGCGCGACATGGATAACCACGGCGCTGGACGCCGGCTATTGGACGGCCATGCATCTGAAGCCCTTTTGGTTCCGCGATGTCTGCAGTGTCATCTTTACGTTTTACTACTTGGCGTGTGCGGAGCAGGCCGACGAGGTCGTGAGAAGAGTTCGGGGTACAATCACTGTGGAGCATTTGCGTATCAGCTGGAACAAATCGCAGACGCCAATCCTTGGCTTCGCAACGAGGCTGCTGCGACCGAAATTCATCAAATTCCCTCCGAGACCGTTTATGATCGACCGGCCTGCGGCAAGCGACTATAGACAACCTGTGGAAGCCGTCTTATATTTCGATGGAAGCATCCGGGATCTCAAGAAGCAGGAAAAGATTGTGCTCGATATTCCCGGAGGTGGCTTCGTCGCGATGGGCCCGCGCTGCCACGACGACAAATTGCTAGCATGGGCTGCCAAGTTGAAGTTTCCAGTGGTCGCGTTAGATTACAAGAAGGCGCCCGAGTATCCTTATCCTTATGCGCTCAACGAGTGCTTCGATGTGTATTACCAGATCGTGGCCACGCGCGGTCGATGTGTAGGCTTGTCTGGGGAGGTCATGCCGCGCATCATCGTTGCAGGAGACAGCGCGGGTGGAAATCTCGCAGTGGGGATGATCCTGAGATTGCTTGATGGAGAAACACAACCGGCCTGGATCTCGGGCAACCGAGGGAACCCCCTGCCACTGCCAGAAGCGCTAGTTGCCACATATCCTGCGCTGGAGATGAGCATTGGTAGTTGGATGAATGATGAACAGTTGGCTCTACTCAGAACCCCGGAGCGACGACAGGAGAACAAGAAGATCCTCGAGCGCAAAAAGTCGGAGTACCAAAGAATAGCAAAGACACCGCGCGGATCAGACGATGAAGATGACGAAAATCGTTCAACGAACCCGTTCGAAAAACCGAAAAAAGCTAACACGCCAGCTCTGAGGGTTCCTCGGACTAGGCTCGCGATGAGCAGCATCATTTCGTATTTCAACGACCGCGTTCTGTCGCCTGAGATGCTACGAGCCATGATTCTCCTGTACGTCGGACCTCACAACAGGCCTGATTTTGAGACAGATTACTATCTTTCACCTCTCCGCGCTCCAGAAGTGCTCCTGGCTAAGTTCCCGCGAACTCTACTCATGTGTGGTGAACGCGATCCTCTCGTGGACGACACTGCCATTTTCGCTGGCAGACTACGCAAAGCGCATCTCCAAGAGTTCAAGCGTCGCCAAGAACTCGGTCTGGAGTCTGATGACGCGGTGTTCAACGACAAGAAGCATGTCGAGGTCGTCATGGTGGACGGTGTCAGTCATGGCTTCTTCCAGTTCGTTGGCGTTTATCACAAGGGATGGGAGTACATTCACGCATGCAGTCAATGGATGCGAGATGTGTTCGACGAGCACGACCATGATCAGTACGATGCGCAAACCCCAGCCGCATCGGCATCATCAACCAGCGTGAACGATTATTTTAGCTATTCCAAGTCGCGCCGGAATTCGGATGCAAGTGACGATCGGCCGCTGGAAATTCCCTCCAAATTACGCATGACTCAGATAGACGACTCTCACACGAGGAAATCGCGCAGCAAGCGCAGCACTACGCCCGGCCGAGGCGCCATCAACCGGATAAATCATCACAAACCCGGCCACAAGAGCCCAGCGAGCAACAGAGGTCTGATATCGAAGCTGAGCTCGACAGAGGATTTGTTGGAAAGGCGAATGAATGCTGTGACCGACAATCTTATGGATCCCGGGGCAAGGGCAACTTGATGTGTGATGTATTCAATAAACTCTTACTGCAGCCTTAAAATATCGGCATACTTGTGACTTTTTAGATTCCGCGAAACGTTTCCAGGAGTTCAGGTGGCATCTTCATATTTTGAAAACAATTGACAATTTTACATGGATACCGACATTGACCGTCGAGAAGCCTGGTAAATCATCTTTCCAAACTGCAGACTCTGGGTGAGCAAACCCGTGTGCATTCGACACGACTCTTTGTCGAAGTTTCACAATGACTTGGCTCTACATTCGAGCTTTCGTCCTACGGCTTGCGTTTCATTATCACCTGCACGGAATAGAGGTCTAAGGGATTTTATGCCGGTCTCCCTACCTACCTAGTAGGTAGAGGGAGGTGATTCATGCTCCAACCATTGATCGATCCTCTGGTGCCGTGAATCTGCGAGCTGGCGATGGGACGATAGCAACCCTAATCACCGCCGAGCGCGCATGTGAGAGAACCTTTGAAGCCCTGAAGTGCGGCGGTCAGGGCTTTCGGCGCGGAAAAACTCTTCGGGCTTGGCGCACGAAAAGCTCGTGTGCATATACTACATTCAAGTTGCGACAAGATTGTGAATTACCGACGACAATCAACGCACATCACCATGTCGCACCGAAAGTACGAAGCGCCCCGTCACGGTTCGCTGGCATTCTTGCCACGCAAGCGTGCTGCCCGTCACCGAGGAAAGGTCAAGAGGTATCGTAAACACCAGATCACTTCATTCGCTTCGTTCGCGGAGGAATTCACATTGACAATTTTCCAGCTTCCCCAAGGATGACCCCAAGGCCAAGGTCCACCTCACTGCCACCATGGGCTACAAGGCTGGTATGACCACCATCGTTCGTGACCTGGACCGTCCAGGCGCGAAGTTGCACAAGAAGGAGATCGTCGAAGCCGTCACGGTCATCGAAACTCCTCCGGTACGAGATTTGGCGCCAATACCGTTTATGGCATGCGCTGATCCGTACACAATAGTTGATTGCTGTCGGTCTGGTTGGATACATCGAGACTCCCCGTGGCCTGCGCTCGTTGACCACTGTCTGGGCTGAGCACTTGTCCGACGAGCTCAAGCGCCGATTCTACAAGAACTGGTACAAGAGCAAGAAGAAGGCCTTCACCCGATACGCAAAGAAGCACGCCGAGGAGGGTGGCAAGAGCATCACCCGCGACCTCGAGCGCATCAAGAAGTACTGCACCGTCGTGCGTGTCCTTGCTCACACCCAGATGCACAAAACCCCCCTTAAGCAGAAGAAGGCCCACCTCATGGAGATCCAGATCAACGGTGGATCTATCGCCGACAAGGTCGAGTTCGGCCACGGTCTCTTCGAGAAGCCCATTGAGATCGACTCAATCTTCGAGCAGGATGAGATGATCGACGTCATTGCCGTCACCCGGGGTCACGGTTTCTCCGGTGTCACCAGCCGATGGGGCACCAAGAAGCTGCCGCGTAAGACTCACAAGGGTCTCCGAAAGGTTGCTTGTATCGGTGCATGGCATCCTTCACACGTGCAGTGGACTGTTGCACGTGCTGGTCAAGACGGTTACCACCACCGTACCTCTGTCAACCACAAGGTCTACCGCATTGGCAAGGGCACTGATGAGCGTAACGCCACCACCGACTTCGACCACAGCAACAAGACTATCACTCCGTAAGTTTCAGCCTTGTCGCCTTGCGCAAATTGCATGCTAACCTCTCCATTTAGTATGGGTGGCTTTGTCCGTTATGGTGAGGTCAAGAACGACTTCGTCATCGTTAAGGGTTCCGTTCCTGGTACTCGCAAGCGTGTCATGACCCTTCGCAAATCCATGTTCATCCACACCTCCCGCCGTTCGCTCGAGAAGGTCGAGCTCAAATGGATCGACACATCAAGCAAGTTCGGTCACGGTGCATACCAAACCCCCACCGAGAAGAAGAACTTTGTCGGCACCCTCAAGAAGGATCTCGTTGCCTCATCATGAAATTAGCGAACTTTGCATCCTGGGACATTTGGGAAAAGGTGGCGTCATGTGTATTGAGCTTCGAGCGAGGATTTTTCTGCCTCATAACGTGATAGTTGAGTTATCGAGAGACGAAACAAAATACTTCAAAACTCGCAACTTTTACAATGTGCTTTCGTTGAAACGTAAATTTCTTGACGGGCATTGACTCAGTCCTGCGCCGTTTGAATGTCTCAAATCCTGTAGTGCTGAAACTTTTGGCAATGCCTCTTGCTGAGCTGTCGACACGATGAGTTCTTGGTGGTTGCGAAATAAGTTTTCGTTGTGCAAGAGCGTTGGAAATGGAACACCATATACAGAATTTACTGCATTGACAACATCGTCTGCTTCACAAGGCGACAATATCAAATGGGCATGTGGTCTAGTGGTATGACGGCTTCTTAGCACCCCAGCAATGGCATTGACTGGAGCAGGTCCTGGGTTCAATTCCCAGCTTGTCCACTTCTTTTGCTCTTTTGGTGTTATCTGGAGGTCTCGCACAGTGCGCTAATAAACCACACATCCCATTTTTGCCATTGTGGGATCCCAGTGCGCAATTTGACTTCACGCAAATTTTACCCCTCGAATATACACTAATCTTGGAATGCGGCACGTACCGATTGGCGCTACGTTCTCCAGCTTCTCGGGGGTCCCCTCCGCGGCCTTCGGCGCCGAAGGTCCAACGTCACTGGGTCAATCACTTTGTGGGTTACGCTCAGGAGTTGGATTCACGACGATCGTATTTGTGAGCGTATAATGAGCAGAACAATCTAAAACAAGGACAGATCTAGTCCCTCGGAAGAGTCTCGCGAAATTCTCGTGGTCTGGATCCCGAAGTTCTGGCCTCGCGCAACAGTACAGAACAATCCCCCACGCCCTACTCACCTCTCTGTAGAGATGTCAGAGTATACCCACCATGATAGACCATCGATTGGCATCATTCTCAACTTTCTCGTCCCGATCCTTGTGGTCGGCCGGCGCCTGTTCTTGGGTTGAGCCAAGGTTGAAGAAGCAGCGCATCGCAAGCGCGACAATTCCAGGCTTTCACTAATTGCCGCCCCTGCTGTTCTCGCACGTTGCGAAAGCATTGCTGTATCCACTGTTATCCGCCTTCGGAACGTGGTTGATCATTCCGCAGTAGGCGGCATGCAAGTATTTGCCCTTGATTTGGCTGAAGGCTCCAGTGTATGTCTGCTCCTGGTTTGGGTCCGTCACAAATTGGAAGAGGACGCGGTCGGGTCCTTGCTCTTTGCTTCCGCCCTTCCAGACTTGATCACTCCGCAGAATAGGATACTCTATAAATCCATAGTTGAGTTGTTTATCAGTCCCGTCCGAGCACTCGGGAAGATTGAAGTCCGCCCAGGAGGTCGTAGTACCGGATCCCTGGCCTGGCGTGTTCTGGTGTGGGTAGGCAGCGCCCTTTCCGTTTCTCTGGTACTGCATGCCGCTATTGATTGCGTTGACTGCTTCTTCGATGGCCATTGAAATGGTACTGTCCGGGTAGGTTTTAGATTCTGGGCCATTGTTGACCACAAGGGTACATCTTGGCGGGGATTGTGGGAGGTTCCTGATCTCAATTGTACGGGTGACGAGAGTGGAGTTGGTTTCTACTGGCTGTGGGTAACCGAACGCAAGCGAAGCTAGTTGGAGGCCAATGGCCAGAGTCGCTGAGATGTGCATGGCGATACGGGTGGGCCTGCGAAGGGCGTTCTTTGAAGACGAATGCGGGTAGAGTGGAAAGAGTGAGGAGTATGGTGACTTGGACGATTCCTTCGAACTCTCGACTTCCAAGAGAGCTTTATAATAAAGGTCTCTCAACTTTGCTCATCACATTGTCGAAGCTGATGAAGGCAGTGGAGCTGAAGCTGATGAGGCCCGTCTTCAGCCGCTTGGATGCCAGACCTCGATCCGTAAACGAATCACTTTGGTGCCTTGAGCGAAGGAATCAGCGGGTGCCACCAACAGAGAATCGTTTTTAAACCTCCCTTACGGGATCGCACGGCAGGGCCACTGTTTCGAGTCCGTAGCAAGACGGCTACGGTAATGGGACAAGTATCAATGTCAGCATCGTCATGTCCAACAGGTCATGGGCATTCCTTGCAATCCTTCATTGTAGGATCCCTGTTGTCGGTGTTTAGATCATCGATACGGATTGTCAGCATCGTCATGTCCAACAGCTCATGGGCATTTCTGAGAGATCTTCATCCCACTGGTACGATTGCCCCTGTCTGTGTGGGGATCGTCGATACGGGTTGTCAACATCGTCATGTCCAGTAGTTCACGAAACTCTTTTGGAAGGCTTCATCGTTGGATCACAGGCGCAGATCAGTCTCAGACCCGCGAGGGTTGTTTCTAAGTTGGGTTGGTAACGCGGATGCGTTTTCGTTACTGGTCAGGATTCGACTCACTACTGGGGTACTTTGAATTATTAGGGCAACTCCCACTTCGCGGAGAGTCTTTCCGTATTAGGAGAGTGTTTGTTGATCATCACGCGTTCAGCCGCGTCCTTTTATAGCTTTAGAAGGAGTCTGAAGGACCGTAAGTGGTGGCGTCTGTGCGCGTACGTCACTTTCCGGCCGCGTGAAGCAAGGTGCTGTAATCCAACACGAAGTTCAAGAACAACAAGGAGTCAAGTCCTTTAGACCCTATAGCCAATAGAGCGCGGGTCGCATCGTTGGCCCAAGCAAGCGTTGGCTCAGTGGACGACGTCGGCGATCTCAATGCCGAAAACACTGATGATGCCTGCCATTCCATCACGGACCTGGATGATGATATGCTTGGCCTGGAAACGCATAAATAAGATTCAATGTCCACGCCCATTGAAGGTCTGTATCCCACAACAAACAGGTATATCAAGTCTTCTACACTCCATATTCATTACCGAACCGTCTCCATCCAACCAATTTTGACCTTCAAGATGCAATTCCAAACCGCTGCCCTCATCCTGGCGTACGCTGTCTCCGCCGCCCTAGCCGCACCGGCGGCGGCGAGTGAAAGCAAAGCCACCCTCTCTTCCGACTACGTGGAGCTTTTCCGCGAATCGGCGAAGCAGTCCAATGGCCACCTCGTCTACTACGGTCCTCACGACGGGACCAAGAATGGATCCGTCAGTCTTCAAGCTCGAGCCGACTGTCCCACGGACACGGCGCCAACCTGCGACAGCGACAACGGGGCGAAGAACGATGTCTGCACCAGCCTCTATAACGAATTGGTCGACGACCCGGAAATCGGCGTTCCGGAGTCGCCCCGCCAGATCTGTTACAACGGCGATGGAGGCTACTGCTGCGTCTCCTGGCACAGTGTCGTCCCGGGCTTGGTGAAGGGCGATCTTGTCCCGTACGTCCAGCGGATGCTCGATTCGTGCACGCAGAATGGGATTTCAGGCAAGACTTATAACGTGAACGTCCATGAGACGTGCACAGATGTGTGTCTTTCGGACCGTGGCACTCACTGCTAGAAGTCTGGCGCCGATGGTCGAGTCCGAGAAGTTGGATGTCGGAGAGGTTCTGAGCTCAGCTAAGAACAATCTCCGTTTTCAATTCATCGATAGATAGTTGTCGAAATGATATTGATGTTTCAATCGAATTGTGCCCGGACAATTGTGAGCATATGATATGAGGAATTGATGTTTGCTTGCGATGTGTCTTCAACTCTCAAATAGCTCTGCTTGCAAATTCTGGGTGCGTTTTTGGAATGTATAATCCCAATCGCGGCTGCTCAAAGTCTAAAACGTGCAGTGGGCTGCTATGTAGGTACTTCGGTAGCTCATGCCGTCACGTCGAGAAATCTGAGATCGTACATCCTCCATCAATAATCTCTGAGACTCTCGTAGAAATTCTTCAGATTGCTGAAATAAGTACGGCAATGCTGCTGTGGATCTTCGGCCCACTGGTTACTAGATTTCTCCCACCGACTGAAGGTATACTATTCATCAAACGCCTTTAGCCTCCTGGAGTTCCTTCATCACACGCGCTGCTGCACTCGCGTAGCCTCGAGTTTCAGCAGTGACCTCTGGCCCATCTCCCCGTGAAATCGCGTTGAAACGTTCCAACCAAAACTCCCAGCGCGCCATACTGTAGCCGTTCTTCCCATCCTTCCAGAGACATCCTCTGAATTGATTTCCTACCTCGTCATTGTCTTCTTGGCGCGAAAGCGTCCAGATCGCCCCACCGGCGTGAAGCATCCACATGCAACCCGTCGAAATCTTGGCATCAACCGTCTGTGCTCCGTGATTGTCAGGCAATGACGCCTCCACCGACTGAGACAATTTCTCAGTAGGGTCGCTGGTAACCTCGTATCCGAAGTCGCGCCCTAGTCGATTCCACAGGCGGGCTTCGAAGCTGTTAATGTTGATATACTTTTCAGCTTGCTCGGGGTCGGATTCGAGGTATCGGTGGTAGTCGCCATGCTGCATTCCAAAGGAGCCGAAGAATCCGATTCGGACGACTTCTTCTTGGCTCTTGTGGAGGAGCTCGATCAAATCGACGAGATGCGGGTGAGTAACTGGGGCACGGGCTGCGAGGCTGCTGAGTCCGGTATGGATATCCTCCAGGTATTCGGAAGCCGCATTCGACGGTCCTTTCGCCTCGAGACGCCTGGCTTGCTCAACAAGCAAGTTCACGACGCTGAGTGCGCTGTTACGGCCCCTGATGAGATTGAGAATGGCCATCTTTTCCTCGTTGGCGTCAATTTGGATCGCATCTGCGAGGTAGCTGTCAAGCTGGGACGTCATATTATCCGATGTCATATTGGGTTAGTCTCGCGTTATTGCAGGAGTTCTGTGAATCGAATCAGATTGGAATTTGCCAAAACTGTGCACGTGAAGAACCCCGGTACGAGATCCGTACTTGAGGTTTGGATAGGCTCTCACAGAGCTTGAACGTCATCGGGCAACTACGTCATTTGAAACATCAAACGTTGCCTGCCATACTGAGTAGTATGCCAACTGATGAATGTGATCCTACAGCTGAATCATTGCAGTAATGATACCAACAGGTACCAACACTACCTGCGGTCATCGAAAGGAGTGATCCTACGGAAGGATTCAATTAGCGCAGCCTAAATCCACCTGCGAATATGACTCGTAAATATTGCCTCTTTCGTACAATATATCAACTAGGGCAGGAATCTCGTTGCGTTGCGGAGGTGGCGGCCACGCGGGCTCCCCCGGTTTCTAGGCACTTCAGCCTCTGACTGTAGCAACATAGTTCGGCATGGAGCGATCGTCGATGAAGGATTCCTTGGAGGACTGTCCACATCAGTGCAGCTAGGAGGTAGTTCCGCTAGGTATTCAAATAGCTACACCATATGCCGCATGTAGTAGGCTGTCACAAATGACGTTCCTTGTGACGGAATACCTTGCTCAGAGCTAGCCCGGGTGCAATGACGGTGCGGCCATGAGGCCGTCGATCCAGAATTTATTAGAAATTGACGACCGTGCGGACCTCAAGTCGGACATCAACTACCTTAAGTAAGCCATGGCGGCGTGGACGCACTCCTTACTAGGTAGGTTTGCAGATACCTCTGGCTTAATAGCGATGGACGATATTCCAAGGTAATCACGTACAATGTTGAAGTCGCGCATGTTGGACAAGGGATGTGAGACGAAGTCGGGCTTTAGGGTTGGGGCTAGCAAAAGTCCTGGGACTGTTTCCGCGACAGCTTGCACATACACCATCAATGATGCATGTTGTTCCTGGTGTATAACCCATTTCAATGAAAAGCGGACTTGAACCGTCCTTGTTTTGGAGAAAAGCTGCGGCGAAGCTCTAATAATCCCGTTCGTATTGATTCCTTGAAATCATGCAGAAAGCGTTCGCTGTCGCTGGTCCGGTTTTGGCCACAATCTTTGGCGTTTTCACCGGTTCGTACACAAAGATTGATAACGCACTGCCGCCGAATGATCTCGCGTGAACTCACACATTAGCAGTGTACACCTCATTTCAGCCAGCACTACAGCAACAGAAGGATGAAAGAGAAGGCAATTTTGCGGCGCAACATATACAACCGGCCAACAAGGATACAGCCATAAGCGATGCGATATTGAGTGATCTCAGGGAGGTCAGGCGAGACGTGGTTGGAAAGGCTGAAAGAGGCGGCTTCGCCTGGGGAATCCGACAAGCTTTGTTCGGGCCCAAGGAGACATCTTCATCGGCGCAACAAGTGCCGATAGATGCTGGTGCGGCGCAGGTTCCTGCTCGCCCAGAAGATTCAAAAGCGAGCGGGTCGTCCAAGACATGAAGAATACACACGTAACTGAAGCCGCTCTCTCCTCGCATATATTTCAATGCTCGGGGGACCAAAGCTCGACAACCTTGTTCAATGCACTCGCTCAAGAATGAGATTGGAATCTATCCACGACACTCGAAGGGCCGACGCCTACGCAAAGTCTTCTTCCTTGCTCTCGATCGTCTCCTTGACCCGTAGGAGCAATGTCGTCTTCCACTTGTCCAACTTCGACATCTGATCGAATTGAAATAACTTGTCCGCAAATTTATCCTGGTCACCCTCATCGACAGCCTCCGTCAGATCACATAGTAATTGGTGCTCTCGGGTCTGCGAAAAGCTCGGGTCAAGGTCGCGGTATGACTCCAAGGCTCGGTTGGTGGCGACTGAGTCGGCGTTTGCCAAATGGCAAATACCGGCCTTCAAGAAGTACTCCTTCACGGACCACTTCATGAGGTTGTTGTTGATAGCTGATTTGGCGATTCGCTCGTAATTTGAAATTGCTTTGAGATAGTCACCCTCGAGCGCAGAGAGATCAGCGAGTTTGAGGTACAACTTGTTAGCGAGCCTGCAAAGGTGCGAAAAATTAGCTGGTTCCATTTTCGTGACAGACTGGCGCCCAAATGAATTGACTTACTGTTCCGCATTGTCATTCTCGTACCATCCCGCAGCCGTCTCGTACGCTTCCATGGCCCTCTTCTGATCACCGAGTTCCAGCTCATACACTTCTGCAATGTTCTGTTTGTGTGTCGCCGCTCGTCGAAAGTTGCCCTTCATTGTGTAGTGATGGATGGCTTGTTCCAGACAACGAGCAGCGTCTTCGGGATCATCTTTCCGATACGATTTGAAAGCCTCTACGAGAGTGTTTGCGGCGTCATCAGGCTCATTCAGCTTCTGCTGCTGAATCGCTGCTGCTCGTTCGAAAGCCTGGCCGGCTTCCTTGCCAGATTTCTGCATGCGGAAGGCATTTGCTGCCTGGGTGTAGAGCTCGACAGCACTTTCTAGCTTCTCCGTTTTGCCGCCAAAAAGAGAGAATCCACCACTCGCAGATTGCGCCGTCTTCTCCGCCTGAAATGTCCTTTAGCGATGTTATGAGGGGTGGGCGGGCATGTGGTGTCCTACTTTTTGCAACAGTGCTCTCGGATCTTGCGCCATGTTCGTGGTATCGGACGCGAATATTGATAGGTGAGGATATTCAGAATGCGCAAGGCCCAGTATTCCAAGTGTCGAAGCTGGAAGTTGCTCACAGATCTCCGCTGTTCTGCCAGGTGAGCTTCGCCTGACCACTGAGGGCATACGATCACCGGCGGCACAACCCACCTGCACTCCAGGCAGCGTATGACGAAGCAGGGTCCGCCAACGATCGCGGGCCCAGCCGCCATATATTGACTTCGCGCGTCAAATCGCGTCCCCCAAACACGAGCCAAGGTCACGGATTTATGATTTTGTAGACGTTCTATTTTCATATCACTATTTCCCCCAGACCCCATCCATGTCTATATTCAGCAATTTTTCATAATTGAGAATAATGCCAACGGAGTCAAATGAAGTCTTGGCAGGCTCGTGGCGAGGTGCAAGATTCCGACGATGAAAACCTCCACGTGCAGCCTGATGTGTTCGCGGATTCAGATCGACCGCGCAAACGAATCAAATATGACCATTCGAGAATCACCGGAGCTTCAGATGATGACACAAGTGAAGATGAGCTCGCCTGGACGGCGCCAAAATTGGCTGCCAAGCTGTACGGCCAGAATACGTCGAACGCCCAAAACTCAATTAGATCACTGGAGACTGGCAATACCAATTCTATATTTCTGCTCAGCAGAGAGAGAAATGACAGCCAGAACGACGATCAAAATGGAGTCGATAATTCTGCCAAGGCAGATCAACGACCCGCTACACCTAAGGCTGGAAGAGCTAATCCCTCGCCCGAGCACTCTCAGTCAACTCCCCTCAGCGTCTTGAGCGTTTTAGACATGATGTCGTCGCCTCTGAGCGAACCGGAGAATTCTCCCGTGGCGCCGATCGGTTTTGTTCTTCTATCTCCGTCGCCGCAAAGGGACAGTGCGGGCCTGCCCAGAATTCATTTCGAGCGCAGTAATCCCACCGAAGCTAGCGCAAACGCCGACAATCCACGATTGTGGATGTACGATAGACGGCGAAATCTGCGTGCGCGGCAGGAGAAGCAGCTGCATCCATACATGTACGACAAGGCTCAATATCAGAAGCAATGCCGGGAGACCGGAATCAGGCCCGTTCGTCTGGAAGAACAACATTCGGCTAAGCCAGAGACCCAGGATCAGGCTGCGCCAAGCAGCTCCTGTGGCAGTAATGTGCCGAGCAGTCGGTCCAGTAGCCAAGACGACTCTTTCTCGGGGCTGGAGGCGAGCCATGATAGCCTCACTTTTGACGCTTTACCAAATCTCGCCAGTGTCGGTCCGGGTCTCGGATATTTCGATGACGCTCAGCCATCCTCGGACTCAGAAGAGCGAACACATAGTCTTCCCAGAGCTGCAAGACCGGGCGCCCTACCTCGACTGGGACGTATAGAGCAAAGACTTGATTTCGCCGTTGACCCAGCTTCTATAATGCAAGCACCTTTGTCGCCTTCGGAGACTTCTGACGATCCGGAAGACCATGGAAAGTCATCAGGCCTGCGGCCAGAGAGACGAATCTCTAAAAGAGGTTTCAGACTTCCGCCTCAACGGGCTGTGACTTCGCTACCTACTCCAGACGTGTCTTCTTCCGCCAAGCCACCCTCCCGAGTTATCGTATCAAGCGCTTCAACATCTCCAGAGCCTATAGGGGCTAGTCGCTTGGCTACTTCGACTGTCGATATATCATCTGAGGAATCATCGTCCGACGAGCACACCGATGTTGGTGTCGAGATCGAGATGATCAACTTGCAACGTGAAAGGAAAAGAATAAAGGGAGTTCTTCCAGCTTCTTGGCTGAGAATTGATCTGCAAAGTCGAAAAGCTGAACAGCAAGGCGTGCCGATGATGAACAACGATAGAACGACCCGAATGCCCACTCCTCAGAAGGGAGTCGCCCGCAGGCTAATGAACAAAGAAGCAAGGCTCCACGATGACTCAGTGTCTATAACGATATCTGATGGCAATTCGTCTGACTCGGAAATCATCGAGCGAGACGAAGCGCCACCGAGAATGCAGCAAACTACTCTGGTGATGGGAGGGATTGACATGCAACCAAGACTATCACGCGCAGTAGACGACGAGATCATTGAAAATGATTGGATCGACCCCATGCTCCTTAGCGGAACCTCACGACAGCGCATACGGAAGAAGCCCTTCAATCGGCAGCCACGCATCTCGGACATGTTCGCACATTCGACCCACGATCAAAATTTACTCTCCGAGGAGCGCACTGCCAAAGGTGGCGCGAGAAAGCATGCCGCTGGGCGGCGTCTGCCGACAAAAACATCAGGGAGGTCTCAGGTCAAACCGCCATTACGAGCCCGGAAAAACATCAATCTGAGCATCGTGGACGCGCCTGACCCTGATGACGGTATCAGAGCGCTCCCTCAATTTGTGCGACTTGCTCGACGTCAGGCTCGGAAACAACACGACCTTGGCAGGCAGTCTCCAACTGGGAAATCACTAAGGCTCGCCACGTCAAGTGAGACTACAGAAGCTTTGGCTACGCTCACTGCATGGCGCAAAGGCTCGATTGCTGCTCGTAGATTAACACCGCAACAAGATCTCACACGTACGCCTTCAATTCCGGCAAGGAGCAGGAGTCGCGCCCTGGCTAGGGTACCTCTATCGAGAGTCTCTTATAATGCGATCCGTTTTCCTGCCAACTATTCTCATAGCTCTTCGGCGAAGGAGCAGGACGATGTCGACTTGATGCATGCCCGTCTCCAGGCCGAGTCTCCTCATTCGCAAGGGATGGCCACCGATTTGAACACCCCGTGTCGACGTGAGCCGCCGAGACTCTCAACAAAACCGTTACCAGTATCTCGTTCTCGCGTGCCATTACGACCTAAACAGCAGAATCTGCGAGCAGCTCAACTAGAAACGCTGGAAAGTGCGTTTGACGCCGCACATAGGACTGCAGCCTTCGAGCGACGGATCCGCGCCTTGACCAACCATGGCGCATCCGCAATTCAACCGCTCGCCTCGCACGGCGTCTCACTTACAAGGTTTTTGCAGGAAGCATCTGGGTCGGAGGTCGTACCTCCAGCACCCAACGTCGAGCGTGAAGTGGTTCCGGAGAAGCCGACTGCCCATCACAAAGTCCGACGCAGGTCGCGCAAATTCGTGGCTCAGAGACTCGATGCAGAAGCGCGCCGTTATCGTCAACCTGACGCAGTCTTGCCTGAGGACAGTCCCGATGTTGGCGTTACTGAGCGGAGCCAGATCGAGCCAACTGCCGAGCACGTTCTTTCTGATCTTTTACCCGCGGGCGCGAGATACTCGCTCGATTTTGACATCTTCCCGTTGCATGTGGGCACCTTCTTCCACGAAAGCACCTTCATTGGGAGTGGTGATTTCAAGGCTGCGCTCGAAATCAGTGACAATGGAGCTGGACGGGGCTCGGGAACTGTGCGAATGACAATTCAGAATGACACATTCTTATGGGGAGCATGGAATGAGGATGTCGCGTCTGGATTCGCTAAGATTCCTCCGACCATATCGTCTATGTTCTCAGCCGTTCAGTCCTTTGATAACAGTGCAGACTATGCAAACAGCGTCGCGCACACGAGTCACCGCATAGACTCCTTGCTTCGACCTGTTTTACTATATCTATCCAAGGCTCTCCATTTCTTGGACCCTCTAGATCGAGTTGCCTGTGTACAAGAGGTGCAGCATCTTTGTTCCAACCTGCTCGAAGTCGCTATGGAGACTCAAGTCGACTTGTCAACCAGGAAAGATCCAGAACTTCGGATATTGCAATTCGCCGCCGTGCTCGCTTATCAAGCACATTCCATATGCCAAGACCCCGTATGTGGATCTGCCCTCTTGCAAAGGTGCAGCCAGAACCTAGAGAAGTGCATTGCATTCTTGGCTTCTAGTGCTTTCAAAACTAGTCTAGAACCTGTGCGCGATTTGTATGACGAATTCAGGCACACGATCAATCGCGAGCAGGGGGTCAAAGACCAAGCCAGCATGTTCAGCTGCATCGTGGTGATGAACCAGATTGTACGTCACACAGACAATCTCGCAACCCGGTTCTGGAGCCTGATGCCCCCTACCTTGTTACCGGGCTTGCGACCTGGTCCCCGAATGGCCGAGCTGGAAAAAAGTTGGTACGACATCTTCACTGTTCTGCCTGCGTTAGAGATTGACAGCGCTGGAGTGGCTCGCGTCGGCTCTAGGCTCCAAAGAGCGGAGGAAGATTGGAGCGCCATCGGTAAATTGATCAGAAATGTGCTCGAGCTATACGAGGGCTCCTGTCGCATCCCGGGATCTAGCCTGAACGATTACATTCGAACGATCCTATCAAGATGTTCACTGCTTATCAGCCGCTGGGGATGGCGCAAAAGCGAGAGTGTTTTGGGCATCATATATGATTTCTTTGCTCGCCGAAAATTCTCTCTGCTACACAATGAGGACAGTCGAGGATCACCAAAATTTCTGGAGAGGTTGCACACACAGCCCTCGCTCGAAATTTCTACAGACGACCGATCGTTCCACATATTCTTGAAGCTAATCGCCACAAGCTTGCTGTCGATGCGCAAGTATCATGTTTACGATGACCGGAGGATTGGTGCGATTGCATGGCGATTCATTCCTAACCATCAGCGAACGTTTCTGAAAGATGCCGACTTGCAGCAATCGGACCTGGATTCTCTGCGTAATCACTGCGACCTGCTTTGCACCTTATACTATGCCTCACCTCCGGCGAACAGAGTCTCTATTGAAGTTCTTCAAGGCATTGTTGACCACGCCAACTCGCATCTAGAAGCATGCCGTCTGAGTGTCCGGACTTGGGCAAATGTGACCACCTTTCAGGCATCTACCTCGGAGTCAATTCAAGTTCTTGATCCCCTGCTTAAATGGCTCGACGCCATCATTTCCGCCACAATTGTTCAATATCATCTCGCTAGATCCGAAGTCGAAGTCGCGGTCAATAATGCCGAAGGAAATGTTCTCATGGGAAATGCTTACCGAGAGAGCGTTATAGCCAAGAACCAAGCCAGGCTGGGAAGCATCCTGATTGAAGCTTTAGTTGGTGTACAAAGAGCCTTGCGTTCTTCGTCCAGCGTAAAAGTGGCTGAGTGTCTTATTATGCGCGCTCCTTTGCCAAAGATTCTCGAACTGTTTGATCCCGCTCAGCGAAGATTGCTGCCCGTGCTCAGTGAAGTCATCACCACCATCAATGCCTTTCTTGATGTATACAAGGACACACGCCAGATTTTGATGGAAGAAACTCAGAGCGACGATAGCCAAGACTTCGGAGATCTCGGTGCTCTTCACGAGCTGATTGCAACAGAAAGCTTCCTTGAGTCAGACGGTCTCGATGCCGTGGATGCGATCTACAGAATGACCAGCCAATTTGTGTCAAACGTCATCGGTGCTGACATGGCCAGTGACGACGAACTTCTGCAAAAGATTCTCGACGCGTGGCTTCGGATGGGCGATGCGCGGGTGCCGGGGCACATACTTCGAAGACCAAACTACATGAGCCAATACAGTAATCTAGGGTGGAACCAGATGCGTGAAACAGCGCAGAAACGCAAATTTACCCCGTACATCATTGCGCGTTTTGTCGAGATAGCTGAGCACGACCAGGAAGCAAAGTGGCCGATCTTCACAAGCTGGCTCGTATCTTTGGTGCAGCGTGAGGCAACGCTTAAGTTCCAGCACGTTCTCACGTCATCTCTATTGAATTGCTGGAGCACAGAACCACTACTGCAGAATTTGCCATTCTACAAGGATGCTCAGGACGACAAGTTCAAAGTCACATTGGTTGTGCTGCGCGAGCGAAGGCTGCTTCTGATCTCCGCCGTTCTCTCCAACATCAGAGAGTCATTCGACGACACGGTCTCGGAGAATCCGCGAGGGGTTCAAGAAATCCGCGCGAGATATGCTGCTATTCTGGGCGACGTGATGCAAGCCATGAAGACCAATTACCAAGATCTTCAAACATCGGACCGGACTGCTGTGGCAGCTGTCGACGTGCAAGGAGCATATGTCGAGTTTGTGCACCATGTCGTTTCGTTCCTACAGCAGTATATTCTGGACATTTGTACTATCGACAGATTCTTCACGGACTCTGCGGCGTTCCCGCTCCCTGCAGCTGATCCTACATATGTCGTCGGTAGGTTGAGAAGCTACATTCCAAAGCTGAATCAGGCCAGAACGAGGAAGCAGCTTGTGATCTTCCTTCATTCTGTCAGCGAGAGAGCTGCTATTGAGGGTCATCAAGTCTACCTCATCAATCAGATATCTTCATCGATGTTTGGCATTCCTGAGCGAGGGAGCAAAAGTACGCCCAGCCTGCGGCATATCTTCTTGTCTTCTATCCTGCCTGCATATATCGAAAACTGTCTGATCAGCGAGAGCGGGTGGGTGTTCACGATGCCTATTCTCCGAGCATGTCAGGGGGTGCTGAAAGATCTTTACTATCACGTGCGCCTAGAAGAGCCTGCGAGCATGTCGGCTGCCGATGAGATGCTCACATCAGTGCTGCAAAGCATGACTAGTCAACTTAACGTCATTCTATCACAGCCGGATCGGCTGGCGAAGCAGCACGTGCTCGCAGTAGTCTCGGCCATGCTCGACATCAGTATCTCCTGCCTGCCACTCACTTCATTCATCGAGCCTGTCTCGAGCAGCGCGAATCAAAATCGAATCTGGGACTACTTCGAGGCTATTTCCGCGATAACAAATTTCATGCAAATGCAAATGGACGGAGATGTGGACGAATTTGATGTACCACCCGTGTTGACGCACCCGCGCGTCCTTTGCCCGTGGCCTGATACGAAGGCCTACACAGAACAGCAGATCATACAAGCGAACACGGACTGTTTCAACCAAGATGGGCGATACATGATTCGCAAGGGCACTGTGCTGAAGGAAATGCACGTGGAGACGCTGGACTCCGCGAGCGAGCAGGGCAAATTCCGTCGCACACTTGATGTATTCCGGACGACGCTGGCTCGAGCCAAAAGAGAGTGGAGGGTACACGACGCTGAAGCGCAGAATGTTTTTCTACATGGCCTGGTGGTGTGAGATCACAGTCCAGAGGTACTTACTGTATAGTCTTTAATGATAGTTCTGGAACGCTGTGCCCTTTGAAAATGCAGCAATAACGCGTTCGTTTCGAGCATGTGCGAAATAGACATTGACAGATTGTTTCAATCATGATCGTGAGAGCATATCTTTTCTTCGATATGCGTCTAACCATCTATACACAACGCTATCTTGTAAAAGTTTTGATCGAAAATCTTCCACTTTATACAGATACATGACTCCTCTCGGCCCTGTGAGGATCGATCTTGCGAGAAAAGATTCAGTATGCATAAATAGATGTGACTCGTAACGCCAGGTATCAGGACGACGCCGCTGTACCCGTAGAAAAAGAACCTTTGCCGCCGCCATAAAATTGCTTCCATCAAACCCTCAAAAAGCAGTAAATATCCAATAAAATGCAGACTCCACGACCAACACGCTTATGCGTATCGCACGGTCGGCGTCCGCGTCGCGTAGCCCGGCGCTGGGATTGGCGGGCCGCCCCACTGGCCGTCATCGTATCTCTGAGTCGGACTTGAGCCCTGGTTGTACCAGCCCTGGTTCGGTGGGGGTGGTTGCTGGCGCATGGGCGGCTGCTGTTGCCAGCCTTGCCAGCCGTTCGGCGGTGGACCGGTGGGTGACATTTGCGAGACGGGCTGGTGGCGCTGCCGACCGCGGCAGCAGCGGACAAGGCAGACCAGAATGGAGATGACGATGATGCCGCCGACACCGCAGGCGATGCCGAGAACGAGGGCGCGATTTTGTTCGAACCAGCCGGAGAAGGAACCGCCTTGGCATTGACCCTGTGGAGAAAATGTCAGTGAGCCGATTCATGTGAAAGTTGGGATGATGACGAGCTTCAGTGGGCGACTTACATTGTAGCATTTGCCTCCGTTGTCGCAGGAGGTGCCGTCGAGGAAGTATTGATTGATTTTATAGCACTGGCCGGGTCCAAACGCGGAACTTGTGCAACTGATGGTACAGCTGCCACTGTCGCAAGCATTGGTGTCATTGCCGAGGGCGTACTGTCCTCCCATGACAGTCTTGCACTGTTGATCGCGGCTTGTGCACTGTCCCGAGGCACATTGAAGTCCGTTGCCACAACTGTCACCGTTGGGAGTCTTGACATCCGTGGGGCAGAGTGGCGAAGTGCCAGAACAAGTCTCCTGGGGGTCGCAGACGCCAGTACTCGCGCGGCAGACGGTCGAGGCAGACGCGAACTGGCAGCTGCGACAACAGTCTTCATTGCGATCGTCACAAACAGAGCCAGTGGTGAACTTGCACGTAGTTGGGTTGCAGCAGCGATTGTCTCCGCAACTCGCCGTACCACCACAGTCGCAATCTTCGCCCTGTTCGACAATTCCATTACCACAAATTGGGTCGCTGACGGTTACGACGCGGCGATTGTCCGTCAGGCAGGTGCTGTTGATAGCATTCCGCGCAAGCGCAGTACAAACGTTGCCGACCGAGCAAAGACTGAAGGTATTGAGGTTGGAGCCGGAGGAAGGATTCATGATGTATTTTGCGCCAGCATCACATTGTGTGCTGCTTAGCGGACAGCACTGCGAGGATGCAACGAAGTTTTTGTCTTGACACATCCCACTGTCGCAATCATGGACAGCACCGAAAGTGTGCCCGGTCTCGTGCGCAACAATCTGCCACTCACTTGCTCCAGATGTTCTGACAACGACGTTGGCACCCGCATTGATGTGGCCATCGGCTTGCGTGTGGCTTCCCACGGCGCAAGACTGGCCGAGCCAAGCCAAGCCAACAGTAGTGGCCGTGTTACAGGTCGTGAACAATGTCCAATGGCTGTTGCTGTCTTTCTGGGCACCTCGCCATGTGGAGAAGTAGTCGAGTCGCAAATTGACGTCTACACTACCTGAACAGGCCTGATTCCATCGTGTCGCATCCGCAGGTGTTCCGGGACAAGTCGCTTCGGAGACGATGATGTTCTGAACGGCCAGCGTGATGCTGAAGGTGTCTTCCCAAATCGCGGACGCCAAGTTCATTTGTGTCAGAGCGTTCTTCTTTGCTGCATCGGTCGAACTGAATTGGGAAGTGTATGTGCAGTCCGTGGCGACACCGACTAGAGCAACTTTACGAGTGGTTGGGCAGCCTACCCTCGAGCCAATCACACCTGCCAAGTTGGCGACTGGACCATTTCCACCTGTAGTCGAATCCAGTTGACGTTTGTTGAATAGGCTCGAGAAGTCCATGCGGCCGAGAAAGCCTTCAGATCGCTTTGCCATGGCCAGGAAGACAGGATGGTCAGGACGAGTGTTGAAGGCCAGCTCGTCGGCGCGGCAAGTCCGCGCCTCCGCTCGGGCTTGTCGTCGGAGGTCCTGGTGCTCAGGGATGTCATCCATGATATCGGAATCGCGCCATACTACCATATATTCCTCATCCTCGTTAGCCGCAACGACTACCTCGGGGTCAGCTGCGTGGCGAATTTGCGAGTAGCTGGTCGACGTCAAGACATGGTAGTTGACGTTGTCCACGACAAAGACACCCTCAAAGATCGGCTTTTGCCCATCCTGCAGAACAGTGATACGCGCCCAACCGGCGGAATGCCACTGATCAAGTCCAGTGCTAAGACCTTTCACCCATGTATCGCCTAGGAAGACCTTGTGTTCGGAACGATCGATCACTTCTGTCCTGCTTATTGTTCCATCTGCCGCCAAGTATTGGACTGAGGCTCCTTCTCCCAGGATATCATGATTCGGTTCTAGTCTGAGCTTGACATGAAGGTCGCCCTGGATGTTGAAGAGCAAGTTGAAGTTGGACAGAGAGGTTACGCGGGTGGTTACTGTGGAGATAGTCGCATTCTGGATCGTCGAAACAACACTGATGGGGTTTCTCGCAGAGGAATGTGCCTCGACGGATGTGGTGAAAAGTAAGGTGGCGGCGAGCAGAAGCGACTGCCGAGAGAAGAAGCGCATTATCATGCGATGTGGCGCTGTGATGCCTCCAGCGAGCAGACCGTGGAGATTGAGGAGAGGACGTGGAACGAGCCCGAGGCGTTGATGTCGAATGTAGGATGAAAGAAGATGTCCCAGCAGCAGGAATTTGGGCACAAGAAAGACGGAGTGGTATGAAACAACTCAAAGTAAAAGAACGACGATTAATAAGAATAGTAACGAAAGGATTGCATACTGATGCGGCGAGGACGGCACAGTCAAACGAGTAGAGAGAGTGTGTAGTGGTGGTGGTGGTGGTGCAGGACGCAGGCACAATTGTGCTCACACACCCCGTTCACAAACAGAGTGACGGCCCGTCGTGCTTTGTCCCGCCGCTGTCAGTTGGTGGCTGTGTGCATGTCCCGTCAAATCATCCCGTACTGAGTCTACTCCACTGTGCTGGGCACTCTCCAGTCTACTGCAGGCGAAGAACTGTGCCCAAATGTTCTCTACTCTTTGCCTCCTCCCGGAACACGATTCTCCGGCGAAACGGTTTTGAATCGTTGCAGTGCATTGTCCGACCGATGATTACGAACACGCACAGCACTTGACGAAATCGATATGTTACAGTACATACATGTAGGAGAATGTCATATAGAAGGTGCTGTGCTATTTACGCGCATGCAGGCCGTTCCTCCTTCATTGACACAGCGTGAAAATAACAGGCGCTTCGCATTGATGAAACGCCTGAGTCTCGTTTCTGATCACCGCCCCGGGCTCATCACATGGCCGGTAGGCAATTGCGGGAGGATCGGTCGCTCGGTGCAGCAGGTCAAATGCATGCAATTGGTCTAGGTCGGCCTTGGTAGACACGCGTGTGCCAAGTGTCAGGCGAATAAGCCCGGCTAAGGTTTGACTTCCCATCTGCAGGACTGCGGTGCGGGTTTCTCTTCTGCCGGAGAGAAAAATGATGAGTGGAGGGCAAGAAGCGTGGCGTTCTGGCTGGAAGTTTGGGCGAGAACCCTCCGCGGTAGGCAGAGAGCGAACTCTCCTGGATTTTATTAATAGAAATACTGCCCGGGCTCTCCAATGCGGCACGACCATTCGTGCAGATCTAGACTGAAACTACCGTAAAATAATCAACACTGTGCCGCAGGTCTCGTGGGGATTCTTCACTGGAACGCAAAACGATAACGAATGTCATGGGAAACAGAAAGATGCTAGTGAAACAATATTGTACATTGTTGTGAGCCGTACACAAAAATCTCCCCTCTCTCTCCCCGTCCGGGTCGCCGGTGTACAGCCAAGCAACCCTGACAGCGGTTAGAGCCTGGGCATTGCGTACACGACTTCTTCCACCTCCGTCATTTCCAAGATCCGCGATCGCGCGCGGATCTGGACGACCGGCCGAAGCGGGAATTTCAAAACTACCTAAGTACTACTAAATCATTACATTACAGCAGGTACGCTGCCGGCCGCGCGGTATGCGTGCTCGGCATCGTCATTAGAGCATAGTGGCCATGAGGTGACAATCGCGTTCTTGATCAGATCCAGGCCGTTCATGGTCGTTCAGCTTCGGATAAGACGCGATGGAGCAAAACCTTTGTGCATGAGTCATCCTTCAACGTTCAAGGCGGAGGAGGTTGGCGCACTCGGACAGACATCTCATCCACGCCAGCATCTCCTAGCCCAAAGCCATAGCCCGCCTTCTTCTTCTTCCCGCGTCCGTCTCCGTATTGTTCATCGAATTTGCGGATTGCCGTCAACGAGCTCATGTCCTCGCTAATAGAGGCACTGATTTCCTTGATGGCCTTGTCGAAATGACGTGGAGCCAGGGTACGCTTCTCAGGTAGCTTGAATTCGGGATCGTTCGATTTCGATGCCGCCAATTCGGACTCTTCGCGGACACAGGCGAGAGCTGCTGCAACGCACAAATTCTTCAGGTCAGATCCGGAGTAGAATGCCGTCTTTTCCGCCATTTCGCCCACAGAGACAGCGGGGTCGAGCTGTTCATCTCGAAGGTGGATCCTGAGGATGGACTCGCGGTCTTTCGCGACAGGCAAGTCCACCAGCAGTCTCCGCGGCAGGCGCCGGAGAACGGCATCGTCAACGTCGAATGGCCGGTTAGTTGCGACCATTATAAAAACGTTGTGGAGGTCCATCCCGTCCCATTCGCGTAGGAATTGATTGATGATTTCGCGGTGAGTGTTTCGATTGCCGGCATTGCTCCGGCTCCCGAAAATGGCATCAGCCTCATCGATGAAAACAATGCACGGTGAAAGCTTTTTCGCTAGACTGAAGACGGCTTTCACCATTTTTTCTCCTTCACCAACATATTTGTCGTAGATTTGCGCGCCGCTCACCTCGAGTACGGCAGCCTTGCACTCTTTGGCGACCGCCTTCGCGAGCAGCGTTTTACCGGTACCTGGAGGGCCATAGAGCATCAGACCTGTAAGTCGGTCCTGAGCAAGGATGCCGTACTGGAAGGCATCCGGTCGAGTCAAAGACAGTGAAGTCAGCGTCTTCAGCGATTCGATCGTCTCAGTCGGGGCGTGCACTTGCTCAAAGCCGACCTTAATGTTCTGAGGATCCACCACGCCTGCCAATAATTTGGCTTCATGGGCATTGCACTGCTTCTTGAGTCGTTCCATCCGGACTTTCTCCTTTTCGCTAGAGGTGGCTGTGCTACCTGTCAAAGCTTCCTCCGACGATGTTCGGGATATGCCTGCGGTAGCTGCCCATGCCTGAATAATTTTATCAACGGTGTCGCAAACTTGTAAAGCGAGACCGATATGCACAGGGCTGATGTTGTCAGACCTGGCATGGCTCTTCGCCAGCCCAATCGCAGCCAAGACGACGCGCTGAATGCTATCCTGCGACAAAACTGTCGCACCAAGTTTCAGCTGTGCCTCACCCATTTGTTCGAAGGCTTTCTCTCCGGACAACTCGATAGTCTCCATCGGCCGGAGGCGACGTAACATGCTCTCCATGTGGCGGAGATTGATCTCGACGATTCTTCCGTACATGGATTGCCCAGTTGATGGCGTGTCCTGGAATTTTTTTGCTATTGGAGCGAGCGAGGATATCGGCGGAACTACTAAGTGGCGAAATGGCAAGTTGATACGCTGTTTTGCGTCACCAAGCCAGCGGAGCATGTCGAGGAACTCAGTCCGTGGCGCCGAAATTGCAGAAGTGCCGACGACGAGAATATTTTCTCCCGCCTGGCGACGCTTCCGTGCCAGACGGACGATGCGGCGGATCATCGTGTTTCCTAAGGATGTTTTGCTGATGTCTGCCAAATCGCGCAAGTGGATAATCTTGGCTGGTTTCTCTTGGACTGATGCCCGACCTAGGCCTTCCGGCGTTGAATCTGACTCTTCAAAAGTATACGACCCTTGGAGTTTCGACTTGATGAGTTCGTCAGAGAGTAATCGTGCAACATCGGTCCTCCAAATATTGGGGGTACGGAAAGCCTCGTCAGAAGCGTTAATACCATGATTAGTCTTATCCAAGGAATGGTCCGAGGAGTGTCCCCTAAGTTGTGCATGAGAGGCCTCAGCGCCTGTGATCGGGAGAGCATCTCTCTTACGTTCAGGCGCGTCGAGCAAACCGTCAAGTACGGCGACCAATCTTGCGTCGTCCCATGAGACGCCTGTGTCTCCGTCTGGAGAGGAGATTCGTGATGAGTTCGAACTTGAAGCCGACGGTCGAAAGTCCTCTACAACAATGCCAGCGACGTTGATACTGCTCAACGCTCTATGCAACTCGTGTCGTCTTTCGAACAGAGCTCTTCTGATACCGTCAAGATTCCCGAAGCCTAGCCCTGACGGAGCCTGTCCATCTGGGTCGTCATCTTCCTCCTCATCTATCTCTTGTGCTTCCTCTGCACCGTCCTCCTCGGCTGATGCCTCGCTGCGTGCAGGAATTGCAGCAAATCCCTCATAGACTTCATAACCTAGTGACGAAAAGGAACCAGGCAGATCCGAATCTCGTCCGACGAAATCAGACGTCAGCTCGGCGAGGTCATTGACATCCAGGCGGATCAAGTCAGCATCCGCAAGAGCCGCTAGAGACTCCACCACCTCATCCATGCTGGCATGCGATTTCGCATCGGGACAGATCAACGACAAATCGACCCTTGATGCTGCGAATGACGACGATCGATGAGAATCTACCGCTGCGGTCATCCCGGCCCTGACACCAATCTCAGCCTCCAACAGTATCCATCGTAGTACGTTGCAGAGTTCATCTGAAGTCTTCTCCGTTTCTCTCGCCTCTTCTTTGGAGACAGGGCCCACATCGGGCTTCTGCCCAGCTGGTTCCGCCCCCGGCGTCACAGCAGGGGGCTTTGTCAGGGCAGGCTCGTCCGTGGTATCAAATTCCGTCGCTGAATGCTTATCCACATCTACAAGGTCGTCCTTTTGCGGGTTCGCAGCACTCCGGATTGTGTTATATCGAAAATTGAAAAAGTTGCCCTCAGTGGGTGACTTTTGGGGCATCCTTCCTGCACTTTGCTTGGTCGCATCCCTGTCGCGATTGACTGATAATGGCTTTGACGCCACTCTCGATGCCAGCACAGAAGAATTAAACGATGAAGGCAAGGTGAACAATGTGTGGCCGGTCTCCCCGTCAACACACCGCAACACCCGAATCTTTTCCGTGCCGTCGGCCCGCTGCACTGATTCTATCTTCAATTTGACGTTGTATCGCAGAAACCAATCCGGTACTGGAGGCGGCGCAGGGATTGCATCGACTGCGTTTCTCCGCTGGCGCAAGGTCTTCCGAGCCAGTGGCTTGCGGACTTCGTCACTCTCTTTGACATCGCTGCCTTCCACCTCTTGATCTTCCGTCGGTATAGCGATTCCGCGTTTGTGCTGCTCTTCGCTTGGGCGGACCGTCGAGGTAGGGGATGACTGGTTGGGGCGATTGTTTGAGCTGGGGCCCTGGGAAAGGCGCGATGGACCTTGGTGAAATTCGCGACCTGTCAATGCAGCATTGAGCTGACGCCCTCGCGACGTATGCCGCACGCGCACCCCATTGGCGAGACGTGCGCTTTGGCGTGCTATCGCGCGCATTCAGAAAAGAGGTGCCCGACACCGTGTGCAGCGCCGAACAGATGTGGACATGGAGCTTTGAGTTACAGATGTGGATTTGATACTCGATGGCACCTTCAGCCTGCAGGTGCACTTGGTCATGAAAATGGCCCGATTCTACCGAAGTTGTGCCGGGCGGACAATGGTCCGGAAATCCATGGCTCGCATTACCAGCACGGTACACGACGATGAAGGTGCTTGAACGAAATTTGAAAGCTGGTTACCAGGTTTGACGCTCTGACGAGCAGTAAGTGAATATAATTCATGTAAATGTTGGATCAAAAGAAAGGCGATTCCATCACGCCATCTCCAACACTTTGTCAATCCAGCGCTATCCCTATTTGCTACCCTTTGACTCCTTCACAGTCGCGATGATCGTGTCCACGACCGATGGGTCAGCAAGTGTAGAAGTATCACCCAGCTGATCCTCCTCGCCTGCCAAAATTTTCCGCAAGATACGACGCATGATCTTGCCAGAGCGCGTCTTTGGCAGATCAGGCACCGTGAAAACGATCTTTGGTGCTGCGAAAGGTCCAATCGATTTCCGCACTTGCAGGATCAGATCCTTCTTCAGTTGGTCGTTCAATTCATGGCCGTCTTTGATGGACACGAATGCGTTGACTGCCTGTCCAGTGAGCTCGTCACTGACACCAACGACAGCGGCCTCGGCGACAGCCTTGTGCTCAATGAGTGCGGCTTCAATCTCAGCAGTGCTAAGACGGTGACCAGAGACGTTTACAACATCGTCGACACGTCCCCGGATCCAGTAGTGACCCTCTTTGTCACGAGCAGCACCGTCTCCTGTGAAGTAGTAGCCCTTGTAGACGTTCAGGTATGTGTCCATATATCTCTTGTGAGCACCATAGACTGTGCGGGCCATCGATGGCCATGCTTGTTTGAAGGCCAGAACGCCCTCTACATCATTGCCCTTCTTCTCCTCACCGCTGACAGGGTCGATGATGGCGGGCTCGATGCCGAAGAAAGGAAGTGAGGCAGAGCCTGGCTTGGTGGGAGTGATGCCACCAAGAGGCGCAATGACGTGTGATCCGGTCTCGGTTTGCCAGTACGTCTGCAAGAATCGTCAGTATCATCCATCCGCAGACTTTCCAAACTAATGCAATCACTCACGTCAACGATGTGTGCCTCCTTCTTTCCAATGATCTCGTGGTACCACTTCCACACTTCGGCAGCGATTGGCTCTCCAACTGAACCCAGCACTCGCAGACTCTTCATTTGATGCTTGACATGGTCGTCGCCCGCCCGCTTCAGCAAACGGAGAGCAGTGGGTGCGACATAAAATTGGGTGACGTTGTATTTCTCGCAGATTTCCCAGTAGCGGCTGAAGTTCGGGTAGGCCGGTGTGCCTTCGAAGACCACAGTCGCAACACCAAGGACCAATGGGGCGTACACGACATAGGTGTGACCAGTGATCCATCCGACATCACCGCCACAGAAGAAAGTATCCGAGTCGTGAATGTCGAAGACATACTTGCCAGTCGCAGCGGCTCCGAGCAAGTAACCAGCGGTAGTATGCATCACACCCTTGGGCTTACCAGTCGAACCCGAGGTGTATAGCAGGAAGAGAGGATCCTCTGAGGACATTGGCTCCGGAGGGTAGTAGTTCGGCCACTTCTCCGTCTCCTCGTGCCACCACCAATCACGGCCCTCAGTGAAAGGAATTTCGGCGCCAGTTCGCTTGAAGACGAGGCAGTGTGAGACGCCGGGGCATTGCTTCAGAGCCTCGTCAACAATTTTCTTGGTGCCAATCAGCTTGCCGCCACGCTTCCCTTCGTCAGAGGTGATGACGACTTTGGATTGAGCATCGACGATTCGGTCGCGAAGAGAGTCGGAGCTGAAGCCAGCGAATACGACTGAGTGCACGGCTCCGATACGGGTGCAAGCCAGGAAGGCGAAAAGTGCCTCTGGGATCATAGGAAGATAGATGGCGACAGTATCGCCCTTCTTGACGCCCATCTGCTTTAGGACCCAGGAGAGCCTTGACACCTCGCGCAACAATTCGCCATATGTGATGGTACGGCCTTCGCCCGGTTCATCAGATTCGTAAATAATGGCTGGCTTATCTGGATTCTTGGCGGCGTGACGATCAACGCAGTTGTATGATGCGTTGAGTTTGCCTTCCAAAAACCAGGCATTGTCGCCGCCGGCCAGGGTACCTGAGTGCACAGTTTGGAAATCGCGCTCCCAAGTCAAAAGGTCGCGTGCCAGTTTGGCCCAGAATTTGTCGGGCTCCTCGATGGACTCCTTGTACATGGCATGGTAATGGTCTAGGTTGTCAAGATGAGGCTTACTCGGGTGTTTGCTTTCACCGTCGTTAGTCGGCCTGTATGAAGTGAAGAGGGGAATAAGAGGGGTGGCCTACTCGAAAAATGCGCTCGGAACCTGGTAGGTCTCCGCAGAAGAAGATTCTGGGATGCCCTCAGGCTGTGGTACTGTTTGCTCTTCTGACATTTTGGTCGTGTCTGGTCGTTGCTTCAATGAAGAACGGTGACAGAACTAGAATGTGGTTGGTCTGTAGGCGCAAAAGGATGCGATTGATGGTGTACAAGAGCTCGGGAGAGCAACGGGGTCATATAGGACGCGCACGAGAGGCGACGTGAGCCCAGACTCCACTTGAAGTAGCTCCCGGAAGGTCATTCACAAGTCTCGAGACCTACTTTGCAATCCTCATAGCCGCTATTGTTCCCAGTTAGCGGGCAAGAGGCTTACCGTCATGATGCTCTCAGCATTGTAGTACTTCGGAATGGTCAATCACAGTCCTCGTTAGGATGCCTCGGAAGATCGCAACATCGTGATATCATGCTTTGACCGGCCCATTGTCCTTCACACTCTCGACAGAGCCCGTACCTATTCGAGACATACGCAAAGCTCACTCATGGTCGAGGACGCAGTCATTTCGGTCCCGCGAAGATAGCAATCACGTCAACTGGAGACAGCTAATAGTCAATGCCCAGCCGGAAAGACATCATCGCACAGCGATCGTCGTTAGTACATCGAGGGCCATCGGGAAAGCTACACGACTTTCCCTCGCTCAAGCGCTCTTACCCCACCAATGCAAGCCCCGTTTTGACGTCTCGCGCGCGGCCCCCGTGTTCCGCAATGCATCCTTGCCCCAGACATTGGCGGCGCTGCTGCTGCTCCTGCTGCTGCTGCCCCGCCAGCTCGCAAATGGTCTGGCCGTAGAGGCTGCAAGTGTCGAGTCGTGTCGTCGGTTCTCGCTGGTGGGTGTCCAAATTGCCGTCATCGCGTCCACTCTCCTCCTTCCGTCCGAATCCATCCAGCACGCGAGCGGAAAAGTCGTGCTAGACATACCAAACCTCACGAGCGAGTCTAGATGACCCATCCGCGCATGCCAATTTGATTCTCATCGCCAGAGCCATCATCAGTCCAAGCTCAACGCCCATTCGTCAGAGGATTCATGTAAATCATTCGAATACCCAAGCCACCAGCTAATCTGCTTCCAAATACATGAAGACGTCACTATCATATTTGGAACGTATTCGTGCCATGAATCTCTTGTCAATTTCTCCACGACATAATGTGTGTATTCCGGTGCCGAGTCGTCCAGCATTGCGAACGATACGCCAGACTCGGAGACGGCAGTCACTCTTTCACGGGCGTGTGCCTTAGGCTGTACCTTCACCTCATCCCTCACAGTGGTCGGCGATGCATAAGCAAGCGTCGGATCGGATATCATACATTGTATTCTGTTTTCTCGAGTCGGGGTTCACAGCTCTGCTGCAGATGTCCTCCAAATATGCAGCCTGTTCGCCGTGCCAAGATGCCGAGCATAGGATTCCGTGGACATATTGCGGCAGAACATGTAAATATCAGCTGTATGGCGATGTTTCGCTCAGCGATGTACAGTTGTGGTGGTCTATCTGCAGGACAACTTTGACCGGATCGTTTCGTTCGGTACCTATCTATGTCCTCATCACTCGAAATTTCCGACGGCGGGTAATGCGGGCACGAGTGTGAAGACGAGCGCTTCCCTATTAGACAGCGAACAACCATGTTGTTATTATTACGATCGTATCAAATCGGAATCCGGGCCAGGCAAGGGGGTGATCGATTGGCACTCAGCTCAGGCACTACTTGGATGTGCATTGGGGATGCACAATGTCCTCAGGCAGATGAAACGAGTGGAAGACAACCCTAAGCTGACCATCGTTTTGGTTTGGCCAATGCCCAAATGGTTATCAACATCCGATTTGACTAGGCGTCGTTATTACAGTACTTGACGTGTCTCAAAGGTATGTGATGCCTAGGCGACAACCTATTCTCATATATTATTCGATTGACGGGGGTCGGATGAACAAAATTGCTGTGCGACAAATGCCATGCGCGCGTAGCATGAACCAGAGTCAGTCGCCGAGGTATTCTTCAGTCCAGCGAGTGGTCCTGTGGGTTATTGAATGGCAATGTCGCAATGACGTTGTATTCACCATGCCACTGGCGGCTTCTTACTATCCATGGATCATTTCTAATCTGCATTTTTACATTGGGATTATCATAGTCGTTTACTATTTTTATCATCGTCGTTGATAGGATGGACAGAAGATTGATGATTTTTTCCCTCCTGGGCCAAGTCAGGGATTCGCCTGTGAAAAGGGGGTCCGTGTGAGAAAGTGTGTGCACAGTCGCGGCTGCTCTTCGAGGTTTGAGACAACCATGGCAACCTTTAACGGCCCTCGATTGTCATTTCTGGTCGCCAACGCGTGTGAGACAGCAGTTTGCCGTCATTCCCCATAATATCTGGACGTCAACAAGTTCGTCGTCGGCACCCTTCGCTCCTTCATGCCTGCCGACGCGCCTTTGCAACGCGTAAAAATACGCTCGACACTCGCTTCGCACCTTGGACCGACATTGTCCCACTCGCTGTGATCAGTAATATCAGTCGGGCACAGCTTCCTCGAAAAGCCAATTCTTCAATTATTTGCGGACCATGTTCTAGTGTCCCAATGACCCACGAGATCTCACAGAGCTGGCACTCACGACGAATCCCGCATGTGACATCGTGTCTGATACCTCCCAGGCGACTCACTCGCCGACGCATGACTTCTCTGAATACTGCCCGGTGCACATTCAGCTGGCGCATTCGACGACGTAGCCGAGGGATCCTTCATGCAGGATACACATGATGAACGTCAACCCAGCGCTCCGCCTCACACCCTCAAATTCTCCTTTTCTCAAAACTTCCGTCAATCGCTCGCCGACGAAGGCGGTCGTCAAAGCTGAAGAGCCGGGTCTACACCTGAAGAAGGTCATTGGTACCACGACAGCTTCTGCAAATGGATTTGACTGCTTGCCTTCAGCTCGTCAGTTCGCATTTACGGCAGGAGCAGCGGCTGTGCTGGCCACGGTCGATAAAGATCTGAACATCCAACAGCAATTCTTCCGTGCAAATCCGGCATCTTCGGCAAACCGGGACGCGAACACAAATTGGCCAGTCACTGCATCTCCAGGAGATCGAGGGCGCACGCTTGGTTATTTCAAGGATCAGAGCGGTGGAGCATCGCCCTTGAGTGCTTCGTTGCGCGACTGGTCAGACTCCCCAAGTGGACGATCTGCGACTGCCAAGGACCGCGTCAAGGCTGCCACTTCGGTCTCACTGAGCCCAAATGGCAAATGGCTGGCCGTCGGCGAAACAGGCTATCGACCAAGGATTCTTATATTCTCAGCACGAGATGGATCTTCAGAGCTGCCTGTGGCGGTCGTGGCAGAGCACACTTTCGGTGTGCACGCACTGAGCTTCAGCCCTGACTCGAGATATTTAGCCTCACTCGGGACTGTGAATGATGGATTCCTCTACATATGGAATGTAGACGATCGCACAGGCGTACCGATCTTGTTCGCGAGCAACAAATGCACGACAACCATTCATTGTATGTCTTGGGTGGGCCGTAGTCTTGTTACGGTCGGCCTGCGATTTGTCAAAGTTTGGCGACCCGATGAGGAAGCTACGCTTGATTCGCGAGGTAGCGATACTGTTCGTAGTACGACACCGCGACCCAAGATCGAGCTTCGATCTGACTTTGGGAATAGCATTCTTAGTCCTAAGCATAAGGTTCTTGCAGGCAAGAATTCTTTGCTGGGCGAGATGCTCGAGGCAACGTTCATATCTGTGATCGCAACATCTGACTGCAAGGCATTAATTTGCGCAGAAGGTGGTGAAGTGTGTTTGCTTGACGATAGCGATCGGATGCAGACCCTCACCTTCGCCACCACGACTGGTATTCGCATCACCGCAGCCATGATCGACGGGGGTGCACTGCGTGTAGTGGGAGCGGACGACAGCGTCGCTTCTTACGAAGTCCACGATCTCGAAACACTCGCTGGGACGCCAGCCAAGGGATGCCGGCGGACTTCCAACATTTTACCACGGAGTATGCTCGTCAAAGGCACGACCATCGTAGCTACAGCAACTGTTGGCGATATTGTCATCATGATCGACTCAAATCGGATGATATCTTTGTCCAAAGCGGGATCGGATACTGACAACGACGATGAAATCTTGCATCGCCATTTAACCGCGCACGATGATGCTGTTTTGGGTGTCCGTCCTTTCCACTCCAAAATTCTGCCCACTGCCGCCTTTTTCACCTTTTCCGGCAATGGCGCCATGCGCTTCTGGGACGACGAAGGTTGTGCCGTTGGCGGACTCACCGCACCAGTTGAAAGTTCTCCAGATATGTATGGGCAGTCGAATGAGCTCAGAGCAGCAGTTTCCTCCGAGAATGGAGATTATATTGCAACTGGCGACAAATTTGGCTCCATGGCCCTTTTCAGCACCTTCGACAGTAACATGTTACAACAGGTCCGAGCACATTCGACTGAGATCATGGACATCGCTTCCTTTGTCCGCGGTGGCATTCAGTTTTTTGCGTCGGCAAGTCGAGATCGCACTGTGCAATTATTTGCATGTACAAACAAACGATTGGAGCTCCTTCAAACAATGGATGAGCACGCAGCATCTGTCAATTGTGTATTGCCAGCGAGAGATGGAGATCAGCTGCTTTCATGTTCATCTGATCGATCAGTTGTGGTGCGAGAAGCTGTGCTGAGGGACCCTGATAACCCTCGGTCACTCGCATTCGGTATGCTACGCACCATCTCCCTTAAATCATCGCCTTTGAGCATGTGCTTAACACCAGAAGACAACATGGTGCTGGTGTCAGCGGTCGACCGGTGCATATCCAAGTATAACACCAAGACCGGGCAGGCCGACTTCAGCTTCAAATGTTCCGACAACGACAACGGTGAGGCAGCTGTGATGTCCAAGATCATCTACGCCCCGTCGTTGAATGGCAATCCTACCATAGCTGGAGTGTCAAGCAGCGACAAGTCGGTCCGCTTGTACACAGAATATGGCAGCCTCATCGCTCGAGATTGGGGACATACCGAAGGCATTACTGACATTGCGTTCATTTCACCTCCACGTCGAGAAGGTAATCGCGAGTACCGCTCGCCGCACATCGCCACCGTTGCTGCCGATTCTACGATTTTCATGTGGGAAAGCGTTTTACCCAACAACAGATCAACAACAGCACTATCATCCGACAGTGGATCTGGCGAAGTCACAGAAACTGCTCCTGCGGCAACCTTAAAACCGCCGCTTCGCAAGGTGATCTCCTATTCAGAAATATCTCGCTTCCGTCGGGAGAGAGCTGCAGACGAGAATGAGCCTCCTTCACCCAATGCTCTCTCCACATCGCCTTCCACGGTTTCTCCTCCCAAGCTCCGCAAGAAAAGCTCAAGACCTTCCTTCGCCCAGGCACCTCGTCTTGAACCTGCATTCCGATCGACATTTCGCGAGACATCGCGAAGAAGAAGCAATCGACACCGGTCTCCCTCGCCACCAAGCCCGAAGGCCGCAGACAGGAAGGAGACTCGACGACCAGCTCTGGGAATGTCCCTTCGATCAAGGAGCACCGATAATCTTATGCCTACGGTTTCTGCGCCCCCGCCACTTCCCAGTAACGCAACTGGATTCGGTTCCCTCACCGCCTCTACTGATTCCGTTTGTCGAACCTTGCGTGCTTATCGCAAGAAACTCTCAAATTCGAGCGCCAATGAAACCATCTCGAATGAAATCATTCGCGAGCTAGAAAAAGAGCTCAAGCTCACTGCACGCGTTGTCGGCGAGAAATCCGCCGGGAAGACTCTCGACGAGGCTATAATGACCAAGCTTCTGGAACAGGCCAGCGACAAAATCATCGGCATGTTGGATGAGAAGATCAAAGAGCGCGTGCAGGGCCGAGCAAGGGTCGTCAGCGGAGGTGCCGCAGTTCCATCCGCAACGGCCAGTATCCTTGAATCGCCAGCTGAGATCGAGGAGGTTATTCATCGAAGCGAGACGACTCCACCTGGACTCTAACGCTTCTCAATGAATCCCGGGTCCGATGAGTTGAGCAATACATGCCATAACATGACCTCCCTTTCATGACATACTCGCACTTTCTATCATCATTCACGTCCTTGGGCCGCGTCAAATACGCCCCAACCATTTTCTAGTTCTGTACTATTGGCGCAAGCATGGATCGGCGCTCGGGCGTTACTCTTTTCCTTCTCAAACCCTTTCTTCCTTCAGTATCGCTTCTTCTCTTGCGTCGCTCATATGGAGCCTGACGTTTTTACCATTCACGAGCAAGATACCCAGTTATTTGGCGTTGCTGCACGTTTTTCACACACGCTCGCTAGCCCGACGTGTCTTCTATTCATTCTAAATTCGTTGTTTCGGGTATTCGGGGACATGAGAAGGGAGATGGTGTGTCTATGACATATTATGGGCTGCGGGATAAATTCCATAGACGGATCAGCTTTGTTTGCAAAGCGGGTATTGATATTATTCGACTTCCTTTTCGAACACCGATTCGTCACCCGCTCGCTCTCGAGTTGGTAAGTCTGCATGTCGCGATTCGCTCCTCAACGGCCAGCAGCAGAGTTTACGCTCTCCGGATGGCCCGGGAACATATTCATGGGCGGCTGAATCGCTCGGATATACCTCTCACTTGTTAAAGTACGCAGTCCGCACCATTTCGTGCGCTGTGGCAGATTAAAATTTCAAAAGTGGTGCACAGTAAATCGGGCAGGTGACACCAGAACCAACCGTCATCACCATGATTGCGCACGATCATCCAGAGAGGAAAAGTGTGCTCTCCAGGCCTGTAGCCATGCTACACAGATGGTCCCATCATTGTTTGTCATTCAACATCGCTTGGGTGTGCCAGAGTACAGAACTCGTACTCAATTAACGTGGAGCGGTAGACCCAACATCGTGACCAAACTCGTTGTCATTCGAAACGCGTGCCGCTGCAACACGACATCGAGATCTGCCGGCACAGCCTAGAGAGTGCGCCCGGACATCGTGATCTCTGTTGTGCGAAGTGGTAACCAGTACACAAAGGGACACCACCGAAACATGGACGCACACAAACCCATGACCTTTCTTTCAGAATGTGAAGCAACCGGGTTCTGATGAACCATGTAAGATTCTCACAGCTCGTCCAGTGTGAGGAATACAACCTCAAAATGGCGATTTCCAATTTGGAAATGTAACCGTCAACTCTTCAGCGTTCTGGTGCATTGCTGCTCTTTCCGAAAACTCTCCCATCATGGCTGCTGTTGCTGGTCCACGTACCGTGTTTGCTGTGACCATCACAACTGTCACAATCGCGACTGGCTTCGCTGTTCACAGGTTCTGGATTCGAGCATTTCGTCGGCGTGAGATCGGGCTCTGCGACATCCTCATATCGTTCTCCGCGGTAGGATCGCAAAGACTTCCACGTTGACTCTTGTCATATTATCTGACAGCATCACAGTTGCTCGCCTTGGCATTTACCGTCGCTGCCTGCTTGCTAAGTAAATCGGGTGATCACAATGAAGCAAAAGCCGCTGAAGCCGTAAGTGATTCTACCGATGTGCGAACCACAATGGCAGATTCTGGATACATGCTGAAAACCCCCGCGAAGGCATACGTATCGATGATTGTCTTTGATTTTGGTCTATCCTGTGCGAAGATTGCCATAGGCTTCCAATGTCTAAAAGTCTTCACGCAGCCCAAGATACTGGCGTCGTGCTGGACCTACGTCGTAGTGTTGTCAAGTTTTGCACTCGTGACATGCTTCCTTGACATATTCTTATGCCTGCCTTGGGCGCCCGCATGGCTCATTTCTGGCGAAGGTGCTGCATGCCTTGGCCAGCGTGCATTGTGGTCAGTTCAGGATTGCTTCTTGGAAACTATGCTGTCTGGGTTATCGTTGACTCAGAGAAACAGGACCAGTACCGCCGTCGTGAACACTATCACAGATGTAGCTGCCGCTTTACTGGCATTGCCTCTATTCTGGGAATTTGACCTGCGAAGGAGAGATAAGTTCGCTTTGTTATTTGCATTTGTCCTCGGTTTATGTACGTTCTTCCAAGTGATCGAATGCATGAGCCCGAGGCCTCGACTGACCACATGCAAGTGCAGCGGCAATTGCGTTCTCTTGTCTGCGGTTGCAGGATATTGTAACATCATCGTCAATTCGAAAAACACTCAGAGACTCTTTGCTAATCATATGGACCGCGTTGGAATTGAACATCATCATTGCTTGCGCATGCCTGCCGACATTGAGAGACGCATGCTTGCCACTCTTTTGCGACTCCTCATCTCAGATTCCAATTTCCAGACGAAGTCTAGAAAATCCAAGCAGAGCTATGTCCGTACGATCTCCCCTTGGACCACGTCGGAGCACGCCCACGCCTGATTATTTCGACATGGAGCATATCCGACCGGACACGTCCTTATCAGATCTGCCAGCGGGACACATCTTCGTCCACACGAGTTTAGAGCAGCAGGTGGAGCAAGCGCAAGCAGTGAGATCAAACTCTCTTGACGTTGAGAGCATGCGCGCAAGGTTCGACGAGCAGAAATGGTAGACCCGTGCAATACATCAACTTCTAGGCGTGCTGCACATCCGTGCTTGCAGAGGCGTTGCTTCCGGTCGAGCTTTTCCATGCAGGATGGAAGAATATCTTGAGTACGAATTAAATTCGGGTGATTTTGCGGGTGTGTGTGGAGCGTGTCCAACATTAGCCGATCGAAGTTTTGAGTATGACCAATGCTACTCATCTGCAAGTCAGTATGTAGCTGGCTACAGCGATGCAAGAAAAGTTTCGTTCAGCCTGCTCGACGTGCAAATCTTGACAGGGCTGGCCCGAGTTGAGCATCTTGTCTACCCTCTTTAGCTTCTTTGGCTCTCTTCCTCTGTTCCTCTCTCAACTCCATTACGCGTGCTTTGTGTTCGTCAATGACATTCTTGTTGCCCTTCTTTCTGAGATATTTCCGAATACTGCTGTTCTTACCCCGACCTCGATTTTTGAGATCTTCAATGCGATCCTTCTCGGTCTGAGCATCTGACTTGCGATCGAGATCCTTTTCAAGCCGGCGCTGCTCATTTGATGCGGTATCTAAGTTTCCGATGAAGTCAGGGTTAAGGCTGATCATCTCTGGCTGCAATTTGTTGAGTAGCATCTTGACCTCAGCTTCTTGTCGCTGCTTGGTGTTTTCGTACGGGTTGGCTTCCAGAGCGTCAAAGTTCGCTTCTCCAGCACCTGGTACTAGCATGGACGAGTAGCCTGAATCGTGACTGATGCCGAGAACGTCTTCATAAGGACACCAACGGACTCTTTCGGGTGTTATTCCCTGTGCTCCTGCTGCCATGTATGGAGACTTCACTTTGATCTGGTCCACGTCGGAAGTGTGCTTGTTGTAAAGATCCTTCCAAATGGTCGTTTGAGTTCCCCAGCTGACGGCTGTGAGATTACGTTCACTGATTGCGAGGCTTGAGCCTGGTTGTCGAAGCAGGTACTCATGAACAGGCTTGAAAGTTCGGATGTCCCATACAGCCATCTTCATATCTTGTCCTGTGCTCACCATGTACCGGCCCTCCCTGTCCATCGCAAGGGCACGAACTGGTCCTCTGTGGCAGAGCATCTTGGCTAATGGGGTACTCGTGCTCGGAGACCATAAGGACACGGTTCCATTTTGGTGCCCAACATGTAGAATTGCGTTGCGCGGGTTTTGCGCGAGAGTCGTGGGTGTGCCTTGCTTAGTTCCAACCTGGGTGACCAGTTTTCCAGTGCTCGTGTCGTGCCACTTCAACCATCCAGCATTTCCAATCGTCGCCAACAAGAAGTGATACGGCAGAAATTCCATGTGCGTGACTTCGATGTGTTGATCGAGATTATGGATCTCCACTCCGTGATGATCATAGATGTAAACACTGCGCTTTTGGGCCACAGCAAAGTATTGGTTGTTATGGAGCCATTTTGCGTCACGCACAGTTTCACCCAACTGTAATTCACAACCGAGCTTGCCACTCCTCCAATCGAGAGTGGCGACGTGCCCTTTGCGCCCAGCGAGCAGCAAATCTCGCCCGTTGCGAGTGTAGTCATGCACGTATGGACCCATGTTCTCCAGTTTTAACTCGAATCCTTTCTTCGCAGTCTCCACACCGACGCTCTCCTGTATTTCATCCTGTCGAACCTTATACGTTCGTTCGAGCTCGCCTTCAGGTTCCAAGAAGCCAGACTGGTTCTCGAGGAGGATTTCGGCATCTTTGGCTTTAAGCGCAGCATCATTGTACCGATCCTCCAGCGCCCGAAGCTTAGTCTTCAGCTTTTTATCCTTGATGGTCTTCAGTTGTACGCCTTTGCCTCTTCCGTATTGTTCGTTGGCTTCGAGCTGGCGCCTCTTCGCGGCCGCTTGTTCTGGATTCAATCGAGCAGTCGGCGGTCCTCTGCGCCGTCCAGTCAGCACAGTACCGTCTTCTCTGACCAGATCTGTGGTCACAAGATCTGCCATATTTCGTGTGAATCAAGGGTTAATGTCGGGCATGATCACATCGGCATGGTGTTCACCCTTTCATGAAGCTATAGATTTTACGACGGAAGATGCGAAATTTCGACAATCGCTATCGCGGGTAGATCCGAACTACCAGTCCTGAGCTAGCGAAGCTAGACTTTTGGGGGTCCTGCGAAATCTAACCCTGGGGCCCCTGCCTATACCTTCCCAGCTTGGCAATGAACATCGTACATACTTTGGGCATCACCTGTACCTCGGTGATCGAGCTGGCAGAATTGTGTCCAAGACTTTCACTGTCGCGACAACTTAGATGACGACGCTTATGGTGATCGGAATTCGATGTGAGGCCGAGCACAGTCTGCGCTGGGATGTCTGTCGATGGAATTAAGGTTGAGCCTCCTCACTCAGTGAGATTATATAGTCTCTGTGGCCGAGGTCGGCTGCGAGAAGGATGCAGCTCAGCTTCCCTCACGCGTTACCTAGGCAAATTGTCTCAAGTAAAGTCTTAGCCCGAAATTAGCACCCCCGAGCAGTCCCCGACAACTCTTATTATTGACCAAGGATTGAAATCCATCGCCACGTCCCTTTGACGCCCTCCTCTTCTTTTGCATATCCTGAGACTCACGATCTCTATCGGCTCATTAACTACAAACTCGGACAGCTTCCCTTATCGATCCGCTTCTTCAAATCAAAATGCTCGCCAAATCAGCTCTCCAGCGCGCGGCTGCAGCGCCTGTCCGCAGTGCCCTTGCTAAGCAATCAGTCCGCACTGTTTCAGCTTGGTCGCAGGTGCCGCAAGGCCCACCTGATGCCATTCTTGGTATCACAGAGGCCTTCAAGAAAGACTCCAACCCAAAGAAGATTAACCTCGGTGTCGGCGCATACCGTGACGACAAGGGCAAGCCTTACGTGCTACCTTCCGTCCGGGAAGCCGAGCAAAAGGTAGTACAGGCCCAAATGGACAAGGAATATGCTGGAATCACCGGTGTGCCTGACTTCACCAAAGCTGCTGCCCTTCTGGCTTACGGCGAGGACAGCGCTGCGATCAAGGAGGGCCGCATTGCCATCACTCAGACTATCTCTGGTACCGGTGCTCTGCGGATAGGTGGTGCCTTCTTCCAGCGCCACTACCCCAATGCTAAGACCATCTACATCCCCACTCCCTCGTGGGCCAACCACAAGGCGGTGTTCTTGGACAGCGGTCTTGAGGTGAAGCAATACCGTTACTACAACAAGGACACTATCGGTCTTGACTTCGACGGCATGGTTGAGGACGTCAAGAAGATGCCCAAGGGATCTTTGATTCTCCTTCACGCGTGCGCACACAACCCAACTGGTGTTGACCCCACCGAGGCTCAATGGAAGGCCATCAGCGATGCCGTCAAGACCGGCGACCACTTCCCATTTTTCGACATGGCCTACCAAGGTTTCGCCTCCGGCAGCACTGACAAGGACGCCTTTGCTCTGCGCTACTTCCTCAAGGAGGGCCACCTTCCTGCCCTTGCTCAATCCTTCGCCAAGAACATGGGTCTCTATGGTGAGCGTGTCGGAGCATTCTCCATTGTCACTGCCTCGCCCGAGGAGAAGGCCCGCGTCGACTCCCAGGTGAAGATTCTCGTCCGACCGCTCTACTCGAACCCGCCTGTTCACGGTGCTCGTGTTGCCAGCACAATCTTGAACGACCCGGCTCTTAACAAGCAATGGCTCGGCGAGGTTAAGGACATGGCCGAGCGCATCATCAAGATGCGTGCTCTGCTCAAGGACAACCTCCAGAAGCTGGGCAGCAAGCACAACTGGGACCACATCACCTCGCAGATTGGTATGTTCGCGTACACCGGTCTCAAGCCCGAGCAGATGACCAAGTTGGCCGAGGAGCACTCCGTCTACGCCACCAAGGACGGTAGAATCAGCGTTGCTGGTATCACTTCTGAGAACGTCGGCCGTCTTGCTGAGGCCATCCACAAGGTCACCAGCTAGATATGTGCAGGCAGAAAACAAACTCAGCCAAAGAATATTAGCGGATGAACCTAACAAAGATAATGAGCAGCCAATGTGCTGCGTATTGTCGGGCGCAGCTGGTTTGGAGATGTTTTGACGTGAGACGATGTATCAATATGTTCGAAAAAGTTCGCAAGAGCAGGTCCAGCGACACTCTTGTCGCCCGATTTCTGCGGGTGGGTACGATAGCCTCAAGATACCTCAATCTTATGTATTTTCCACATTATCTTCCTCTACTCGTGCATTTAGATTTGACTGCGAAGCTCTCGTGGATGTACCTTGTTGTACGGCCAGAGAGCAGGCCGGAGGGTATCAGGTAGATTCATGTATGTTTCGCATGTTTTCCTTCAGCGTTAATTGTGAGATGTGTCTGCCAAGATAGGAAAGTGCCAAGCGTAATTGTAACGTGCCCAGGTGCAGGCGATTTCGATGTAATAAATTTTAGTAATTCGAGTGCTCCAACCTATTTAGGTGCATGTAGGTGGGCCAATTTCGGGCGTAGCGAAGAAGAGCATCTGTTTGTGCAGAAGCCCATGGCCGATACGCAACCTGGAAATGCCGATATTTCTAGAGACGCGCAACTTCATTTTGCTCGGCGACCCACGACTTGGACTCGTATCTCTCAATCATTACGAGCACGTGTGGCTCTCCCCGCGACTTGGAAAGAGCTGTGACTAGGTGCATTACTTGAATGCTACGCGACGTATTTCTGTCGCGAATAATAAATCTTTCTAGCGAGTCAGTTTACCATCGCATGTGGTGAGTTTCTCGTCACTTGAGTACCCAGCTATCGACCCGATACAGAGTTCCCACGTCGGGACTTCTCCTGTCCACGTGTACAAGCGAACGGGGTTACCGCGCCCGCTCCATTGTGGAAGCACACCTGCATGTAGCCTACTGTACGGGCAACAGCAGGAGGGGGTCATAGTTAGTGCTCCCGGGGCCGGACAACATTGCCGTCGAGGAAGGGTCCTTCTAGAGTTTCGGTGACGTCGTGCGTACAGAGAGGATCTAGTTGGAGAAAATTGCGAGTTTCTTCAGGGACGCAACGTCGTCCGATGAATTGAGAGGGATCACCAGAAGCCGTCTCCTCGTGCCACAGCATGGGTGCCACCGCCGTCGATCAGGTCGGACCGCTTCGTCCGAGATTTGCATAGCTATAATTATGGCATCAACCAGGAAACCAAAATTGATGTGCGTGGAGGGCGGCTTCGAGGATGCGAGCGATCATATGTACATGTAGTAGGCACTAATTGTAATCTTTCCAGGGATTATGATGCACCGGGGCTGAAGACAGGCCGTGAGAATCGATCGAGAATTATGTAGATATCGACTTGGTTGTAAGTTGGCCGAAAATGTCGGCGTCAACATGACATGATGCGAGCATGCAGCAGTACAAGAGAAAGTGTGGGTGTTGAACATTGTCCTGCAAGATCTGTTGGTTGAGATGGGATTTTTTCGATGAAGCCGCATGGCGCTGTCTCAGCACATGCAATGGGCATCATCACATATCAAAGCTGCGACTACACCTGGAGATGCGATGCTCCTGCCCACGTCCATGGCTTGAATGATAGCACCTGGGATGTGGAAGGCGCTGTTGTGTGCCACGAGCGATTTTGCACCTACCTAGGTACGTATGATGATCCACCATTCAGGTCTGATGCAGTGCCTCGACTTCAGATTACATATCACCACCTGGGCAGTGCTTCTTTTGGCGAGTACTAACCTCCACCCGCGCACCTCAGTACCCCACCACGCGTGACAGGCCATGGTTGTGATCTAACGCCTCCAGCTCCGTGGCACCTCCTCCGATATGTGATCCATTCGGACAGAGCCGCTGGAAGGACCACGATCGAGGCCGGCGTCTGTATGTGGTGAGAACAGAAGCAAAGCAGATATGCAGGAGATAACACGACTGCCTCGGCGATGATTTTCTCTGCTAGAGTGGTTGGTGCAGGATTGCCAGAGGTTCACGATATGTAGTAATGATTCCGACATGTCCACGTCTTGTTGCCAGTTCCCGCGCATTCGAGTGTGCGTGCGACGCAAGAACTGGCCGGTTCTCGTCCACGCCCAAGAGGCCGTTGGATTGTAGTTTGCATCACGTATTGGAATCATCCTCTTCACGGAGTTGTGGGTTGGGGAGGTAACATTCCACGTGAACAATAATCGAGACAGCGTCCACTATTGCTTGCACGACACAAAGATTCCGAAGCAGCCCTGCGCTTTGTCGATCTGTTCACGTAGCGTGAGCGACGACGTAATGTGTCCCGCTCTGTCTCGTGCTCGCGATGCACCCCCAACTCAATTGACCATGGGATTACGCCGACAGCGCACTCGAGCATATTTGCATCCTCCTGCACAGCAAACACTTCTCTTCTTGCACTATCCGCTGTCTCTCGTTATTTGACCGTCCTGGCACGCCGACTATTCTCGCCGTCCCTCATACCCCTCCACTCCAAGGCGCTTTCCGTTCGCTGCTGCAGGCCGGCCGAATTTTTTGCGAGACCTCTTGCTCGGTCGTTTCTGACATCATCGGCTGGCTGCTGCGTCACCGGCGCGGCCCACACATCGTGTGTTTTCACGAGGAACTTGGTATCCTGTCCCATCCGGCTAGCGGAGCAGCTCGATCAGTGACACACTTGAGATCACCTGCGACGGCCAGCAACACCTTGCGTACATCGCGGGCTGCGCATCTGGACGACTCCAATCATGCCGGCCACCGAACCAGTGGAGGCGCAGGTATGCTTCGCCGCGAACCATTCTGTTTCCCGCTTCCTTTGCTTCAGGCGCATGCGAACATCGCCTTCCCTTCACGATGGCGAACCATATTCAATGCATAGAGCCTTCGACAGCAAAATCCAGTGCCATAATGAGCAGCAGCTTTCCACTGGCTAATTCGAATCAACTCGTATGCTGACCTTCCGTTCAACGTAGTCTACTGAGCCGAACAAGGCTCCGGCATGGTTCGGAGATGTCATCGATGGACCGACATTCGAGCAGGTAAGGGGCACAGTCGGGCTTTTCACGGGTTTCAATTAGGAGCTAATTGCTCGACAAGATTCTCGAAATGGACGATGATGAGGAAGAGCGTGATTTCAGCACAAGCATTGTGTTTGACTTCTTCGACCAAGCCAAGGTGACCTTCAAAAACTTGGACAAAGCTCTGTACGTCTCCCTTTCCTTGCATGTTATTATCATCATGGTCCTTGACCTTCTCACCTCGTACGCGTACGCAGCCCTTACTGACATGCTCTCAGCGAGGAGAAGAATTTTGACCAGTTGTCAGCCTTGGGACACTACCTGAAAGGTTCCTCGGCCACTTTGGGGCTGACGAAAGTCAAAGACAGCTGCGAGAAAATCCAGCACCTTGGCGCTCGCAAGGATGAAACTGGCAATACTGATGAGCCCGATGATGAGAAGACTTTGAAGAAGATCAAGACGATTATTGCGCAGGCGAAGGAGGAATTCGAGGCTGCAGAGAAATTGCTTCGACGATTCTTCGGACCGAACGCAGGAGCAAGCACAGAAGCAGCTGAGAGCTCCGAAGAAAAAAGCTAGACGGAGTGTCCTATGAATGGATCTGAGTACCCTTGGCTAAATCCCCTCGACCCGCTTAACGAAGTGTTGATCGGCGGTCGCATTCGTACCATTCCACAGCCTTGTGGGTGTCTTCCCACTCTGAGACGTTCCTCACATGAATAGCGATATATGTCGCGTGACAGAGAGTGAGCGAGGCTGGGGGAGGACAAATGCTGATCTTTGCTGATCAGGCTGATCACCGGCGATGATGTCGGAACACCATCTGATGGCGACGTTTTAGCGTAGCGCGCCTATCGGCGTTTGGACAGCATTTGCATACAACGCTCTCGTATTTTTCGTCTTGCACCAAATTCAGAATCTCGCAGTGATTATGTCAGATATGAGTGATCGTCGGCCTTTGCGCGCGTTATGATCCAAGCCCAAGCTGACCAGGTGGAAACCCACGAGAGACTTGCTGTTTGTCGACACCGCCCACGCGCATTTAGTTTACTCGACCCACAACTCGCCCACATCAAGTCACCGGCCAGCGATATCACATGTGCATCGTGATCTGGACGGCGGTGCACAAAACGTCTTTTGGCTACAAAATTGCCTGAGACCTTGAAATCATGGGCTTCATCTCCTCTTCGCAGCTTCGATCGCTATCAGATTGACAACCGTGGAAGCTGATGACCAAATCACCTTCTTCGTAGAGTGCTTATTCGTGTTGTCAGCTTGTACATGACGACGTCGGACATCTGCTCTTCCTCGAACAGAGTTCTATAGTCACTTACCAGCGTCTTTAGTGCCCACCGGTTTCCCCTTCTCGTACCAGTAAGCATTGAACAATTTCTGCGGCACTAGAACCAGACGCGATAGCACTGTCATATGCCATTGAACAATGTGTTCTAAAGCATGTTTTTCTGCCGCGGCGAAATCGTAAGACCGATAGAGCGGATCGAACCACATGTCTAGAAGAAACTTCGCCCAATCACCAGTGCGGATAAAAAAGCTGTCCACTGACAACCCGTCTCCGTCCTGTGTGAGGATGATATCTACATGTTCTCCCTTCATGTTCGGGTGCGTCGTGATTACACTGTAGGGTGGCACGATTGATTGATTGACAATCGCTAACGACTCGACCATGCGCGGCGCAAGTAGTATATCGTGTATACTCTGCGAAGTATTCACGATTAACGCCGAAGAAGATAGATACCACATCCATGCACGGTCATGATGCAGAGTCATAGCGTGTCGTAGTGCAGGTACAAGACTCCAGCTCTGCGGCCACGAGGCCAGATCGTAGTCGGTTGTGTTGGGAAAGAAAGTCGCATACCCGTGCCGAGTGGCATAACGGCGTCGGTTGTCCTTGATGGCTTCTCGGAATGATTCTGATGATTTCAAATCGAGAGTGGTAACAATGACAACAGAGGAAGCCGCGGCAATTCCGCGTGCGCTACCACTATGCGAAGGACGACTGGTGAAATAAAGCAGAAAGACTAGTAGTGCGCAGACGCCGACGAGTGGCAGACCGTACGTCGTGAGCCACCGTGCTCGTTGGTAGGTCACTCGTTTGGATTTGAAAGCTGAGAGCGGCGGTTTCGATGACCTCCGAGGATATGGGAATTGGGTTCCAGGCATTGCGAGTCTTGGTGTACCGCATCAATTCAAGGACCATTCATTTCTTGTTCATATCGCGTATGCTTCTATCTGGACGATAAATCAATATTAAGTCAGCCCCAGGTCACAGTTGCCCCAGAATCAGGGACTAAGAGGTGAGTGTCCGCACTGGTTATTGCGTGATGGCATCTAGTCGGCCGGTCAATCAATGAGGAGAGCGAGTATAGGACAAATTCCAGGAGACCAGGAGATAGACTGGTGTATCGTACACGCGTCAAACCTGGGTCAGGAAGCCTCGGCCTGCTATTAAGTCAAACAGTTGAAATGGACCTCGACAACATAACATACACGAACTGCATGGTTCGCAGGAATGGCAGCGGCTCCTGCCGCATTCTAAAGAAGGTGCTGTCGGACATTTGAACTTGGATTTCCCGTTGGTAGGTAACCCGACGATGCATAATAAGCTCACCACGGACATGTCAACCTTCCATTCCATCTCTAGACACCATCGATCGTGATCTTTTGATCATCACACCACAACAAGACACTTGAAATCTCATTGTCGAAAGCGCAACTTGCATTGCTGCTCCAATCCGTCATCGCGAGCCGCCAACCCGATAGACCACGACATATCCATCACTCGTCTTCTGGATGTGGAAAGTCACTAGAGTTGCAAAACGATCTGCGCTCAATCTCGTTCAGATTGGACGCCAGGATGTTGTGTCATCACTACGGCATATCAGGCCATCGCCAGGGGTTCCTATAGAGTCACGCCGTGGACTCTGCAATACAACATCACGATGGGACGTAGACAAGAGCGTGAGCTCGGCAGGGGCAGCACAGTCGGAGGCTATCACGCCGGCGTCAGGGAAGGCGCAAAGGCTTCCCGTAGTATGTCCTGGATGTGGCGCCTTGAGTCAGATTGTAGAGCCAGAGGTACCCGGATTCTATACCATGAAAGCGAAGCGTCTGCAGACGCAGAAAAAGATAGAGGCAGACAAGATAATGGAAGAAGCAATGTCTCGTATGGCGTCGATAGGTGAAACGCCGTTCGACGTGGAAATAAGTAGCACTAAGGTCTCAGAGCCTGCGTCGAATAAAGTGCCCATCTGCGATCGCTGTCACTATCTGAAATATCAGTCAAAGGGGGCATCGATTGTTCATCCCTCCATGCACTCGATTCGCTCCATCATTGAATCCAGTCCCCATCGTCAGAACCACATTTACCATGTTCTGGATGCGGCAGACTTTCCCATGTCCCTGATTCCGAATCTCATGACTGCGTTGCGGCTACCTCGATTACGGACACAGAATCGAAGATCGAAAACCACGCACTACGTCCGTGGGCGGATTGCTGAAGTAACATTCGTCATTACTCGGTCAGATCTATTGGCACCACAAAAAGAGCAGGTCGATCGACTCATGCCATATCTGCAGGAAGTGCTACGCGATGCGCTGGGCCGTGCTGGCGACAATGTGCGTTTGACAAACGTCAGATGTGTCAGTGCAATACGAGGTTGGTGGACGCCGGATGTCAAGCAAGATATCTGGAAGAGGGGTGGTGCTGGATGGTTCGTTGGCAAAGTCAACGTGGGCAAGAGTGCGCTGTTCGAGGCTGTATACCCGAAGGGAAAAAGCGGGCCCCAGACTGCTGAGTATGGTCGGAGAGCAGCTCAGCTTCTGCAAGCACAAGCATTAGATGCGCCTTCGCAGGCGTCGGGAGAACCGAAAGCGTCTCCGCCGGGGGACGAGGACACCACATCGCTAACGCAAGACGCGGAACAGCAACCGGACGGCGAGCAGGAGACCGCGAAATCAGACGAGCTCGCCGAGCCTGATCTCGACGCACTATGGGAGTCCTCGAAGCAAGAAGGAGTTTCCGCGAGTAAGAAGCCTTCGAACCACATTTCAGACAATGTGGCCCAGCCAGACGAGGAGGAAAGTGATGTGCTGTTTGACGAGGACGTCGACGGCTCCCTCTTACCGCCGCCACAGCCAGAAACAGCATACCCACAGATGCCACTTGTATCTTCTCTACCCGGGACGACGGCCTCGCCCATCCGAGTACCTTTCGGTAAAGGCAAAGGCGAGCTTATTGATCTTCCGGGAGTCGACAGAAGTTTACTGGAGACTCACGTCCAAGCCGAGCACAAGCAATCACTGATAATGCGACATCGTGTTGTCCCTGAGCAGCAACCGCTCAACCCAGGCCAATCGTTATTGATTGGCGGCATGATCCGCATCACGCCAACCACCGACGACAATCAATTCCTGGCATATTCTTTTACACCCCTCAAGAGCCACGCAACTAGTACAGCCAAGGCAATAGCTATCCAAACCGGTATGGATGAGGATGGCCTGCCGTATAGCGGGACTGTCGAAACCATCTCTACAGATTCGGCGAAGACTCTTATGCGAAGCGCTGGTCGATTCACTCTCAAGTGGGATGTTACTAAACAGCGAGCTGGACCATTGACCGATCCTGTGGCTGGAAAAGTGCGAGCTGCGAGCTTGCCGTTCATCGTCTATGGTGCAGACATCCTAATCGAAGGCGTCGGATGGGTGGAGTTGACATGTCAAGTGCGGCGTTTCAGACGTAGAGATCAAGGCTCCAGCTTCAGTCCGGAACGAGACCTGACAAAAGATTCGAACTTGAACGATGCACTCCCCGAGGTGGAGATCTTCAGCCCAAATGGTAAATTTATTGGAATTCGAAAGCCTATGAACGCATGGTTGATCGGTGGTCCGAAGAAAAAGCCACAACACGCTCAACGGGCAAGACCAAGAATGACGATCTCTCTGAAACGACGACAAGAAGGTGGACGACGAGGATCTTCGTAGACCTCAGCATCTGGGTGGTCATCGCGATCGTGCCACAGCCTGCAGATTCCAATCGTTCCACTCAGTCACGTACCACGCTCTTCACATACTCGTCCAAATGTCCTGCCGTTCCTGGCTGACCCCTGTTGGCTGCATGCGATCAGGTTCCGAGTTGCCTTGCACTGCTGAGTCAGGCTCGTTGCTCACGAGCGAGACTTCTCTTGGCATGTCGCTCTCCTCATCCGCCACTGGGTAGGCGATAGCCCGCCGTTGTCGTTGAGCGTTCTCGGCGTTGCCATGGGCGTCCGGAGGCAGGCGGATGGTCGAAGGAAGCCATGGATCGTGCTGCTTGGCCGTGACGTAAAGTACCACCTTGTGAGCATGTAAGCACATCGTCACCATCGCACAAGCTCATTCAGTCGACGTAACCAACCTGCCACAAGAATAATCCAGTCGGGACTAGGAGAAGCAACAAGGCCACCGTCCTCTCTGATGCTGCCCAACGGTTCATGCAGCTCGCGTCGCGATCATATCTCACCATGCAAGTGTCTGTTCCTTGCTGACCCTGTGGGAATGGATATGGCATATCTCGCGGAGTGCGGAACCCGCAGCAATTCAGAGCGTCTTGGATGCGCCGGATTCTCGTCGCGTCTTTGTTCATGTACATTTGCTTCCATCTCTCCTGCAGCGGACAGGTGAGGTCGTCGTTGGAGGCAAGGTGCGTGCTGACCAGCGTCGCAATCACAGTCTCGGTGATGAGGAAGGCCGTGACGAGGATTTGTCCTAGGCGGGAAGGACGCATTGCTGAATCTTCACTCATGTTGCGCTGTTGGACGGCGTCCAAGACTTTCAGTGCAATTCCGCTGAGGCTTGGCAGAACGATGGCCACTGCTGGGATGATCTTTGCAATGGGCAGCGAGAAGGCATTGTTCATGTAAGTGGCGAAGGAGGCAAGGAACGTGAGGGCAATGAGCCACTGTATTCGTATGTAAGATTATTGTAAGATAAACAGAGAGATCTCGTTGAGCCCGTGACAGGCCATGACTATTGACTTGACGTGACTCACAATCAGACTCAGTATGGTGATGAGATTCTTCATTGTCGATCAAGTTGTTCAATCGTTTTCGCTCGGAGGTCGCCGCGTTCATGGGACGAGTTTGGATCTTGTGGTCACTTGGAAGTGAGGAAGATGGTCGACAGGATAATGATGGAGGGAACAGCGCGAAAAAGGTTCCGCAAAAAGACTGTACTGTGCTCACGCCAGGTCCGCAGCATCATATGTGAAACGAGCCGGAGGCTGCTACAATCCATAACTTCTCATGTCACTGATGAAAGCTTTCCCAGGTTGGATTGGTTTTGCAAGCGTCACGCGATCACTTCTGAGCAACGGTTGACGGAACCCCTTCGGAAAAGTCACAAGTAAGGTTCAAGCAGGCTGCGAAGGATTACTCTTGATTTCGGGCAGGCCACACATCAATGCAACCGTGGAAGTTATTGTTCAAATGATTTGCGATTGTCGACGCACAGTTCTCCGCACCTTTGACTTGTCGTGTCACGATACCTACATACCAGTAATGCTTTTCGTTGACCCGCTTGCCGTCGTTGCGAGGCCTCATTTTCTCATACCCGTGCCATGACATTATCGATCATATTCTGGGCTGAATACTATGAGAAATGCGCAAAACAAGAATGATCGACTGGTGGACGCATGATTGGTAAAAAGGGGTATCATTGTTGAGTCATTACATATTATGTTAATTCGTTGCATCGCTCAAGTATGCTTGCTCTCCTTTTGACTCCTCGCTGTACATGGAGTAATTCAATTTTGAATCTTCATCATATCTCATCCGATTAAGTGCTTGAAAGCGTGATCGCGTGATAGGACGACAGCATTTTATTGCTGCACATCGCTTCGTCGTGGTCATAATATCTAGTAGTTGGTGGCAGTGCCAGTAGTAGTAACAGGCGCCGCGGTGTTGTAGCCATAGGGGTTGACGGCACCGGTGCCAGTGGGCTGGGTGTAGTAGCCGGTGTGGGCGCCGGTGGGCTCAACCTTCTCGTGGACACCGGTGGCACCACCGACGGTGGTACCGGTGTAGGCGGTGTCGTGGCTGGGGCGGGTGTCGGGGTGAGCGACACCAAGGGTACCAGCGCCGGCGGCAGTACCGAGCTCGGCCTCACGGGTTGCGTTCTTGTTCTTGCGGGCAAAGAGACCCTTGCGTCTGGAAGAGCCGGAAGTGTAGCCGTTGGATGGGCCGGGGCCGAAGCGCTTCTCCTTCTTGTGGTGACGGACGAGGACGACTTGCATGATGGCGGTGATGAGGAAGACGATGGCGCCAACGATAGCGACGGCGAAGCAAGCCTTGTTCATGCGGCAAGCAGTGCCCAATTGAACACCGTAAGTGACTTCATTGCCCTGGACGCCGTTGGAGGAGAAACCGAAACGGAAGTAGTCGGGGCCGGTGCCGAGAGGGGTCGACACGATGCCGGAGCACGAGCGAGAGCCATCGCGGGTCAAGACAGCGAGGGCAATGAAGCCACCGATGAAAGCGATGTCGAGGACAATGGCGAGGAAGGCGAAGAAGCTGACACCGCCGAGGCAGCAAGTCAAGAGGACGGCGAAGATGGTGTAGATAACAGCGACACCAGAAATGCCTTCCACAGCCTTGGTCTCGCGGAAGATGGGGCGATCGCGGTCAGCGAGAACGGCAAGGAAGTAGCCTGGAACAAATTGTGTTAGTCACGTTGCGCCTCGTCACAACAGCACATTTGCGATCACGTACTGTAGATGCCCAAAATGATGGCTGCACAGCAGAACGCGAGCAGGTAGAGAAAGGATTGGAAAAGACGCAGCGCGCCGCCCTTGAAGATACCCATAACGACGTGTGGATGGAGTGTTGTTGTGTTGTAGTAGACTGAAGGAAGTAAACGATGAAGAGGTAGTGATGAGGATCGGAAAGATGGAGAACTGGAAGAGCGCACGCTTGAACTAAGTAGATATAAGAGAAAGTCGCAATGGAAAGAGACCGGATGTTACCTCATAGGTCTGGGTAAGCAGCAGCACCCTTCCCAGGTGCGACACAACAGCAACAGCGACAGTAGTACATTCAGTCAGTACCTCGGGCTTGGTCTCTATACTAGAAGTGAGCCAGCAGCCCAGGTGCGAACCAGCTGGTGAGCCACCACCGTCACTACTGACTGGAGATCTCTCTTACTTGTCCTGGAGGTTTCCAGGATTCATGGGATTCTACCGTCAGGCACACACAGCACAATTCCTTCCTACCTAGTACAATGATTCTACATTACGATGCCGTCCACAACTGGGAAATATTTACGAAAAGCGCTCGGGCGAGCGCAATGTGCGCGCCGTGGATGCGCAAGGCCTTCCTCATGGTGGTGAAAAGGTTGGTCGCATTCGCCGTCCTTTGACTTTGCAATGGCCAAACGGGAAATTCCAGCTATGACGTCGGGCGCAATTTCCCTGCTTTCCAAGCGCATGAAGCGAGCTTTTCGTCACCAAGAATGAGCCACAGCAGTCAGCAGCTGGTTTGGGACTTGGCCACACTTGGACACGCACGACACCCAAGCAAAGCCACCCGATCGTCGTGCGCCCAATGCCCAGAATCCCAGACCATCATCATCATCACCACAGAAACGTTCCGAAACCTTACGCTCGCTCGCTAGGCTTTCTAGCCAAATTGCTCCAGTCTTTCGCTACTCCACCAATCAGAAGCGTCCGGTCGCCAATATTGTCGCTCGGATGACCTTCTGCCCTTCACCCAGACTGTCAAAGTGTTTCTGGACCAGCACGAGGTGTTCCGATCAGAGACTGCGCCATTCGATCCGAACAACCTCACGCTTACGCGCGAGCTGGAGGCCGCTGATCGGGTACAACCAAGTTTCGGTAGATGGTCAACTCGGAAGGGATCAGTAACCTCCAAAAGACCCGAGATCCAGACCTGCTTGACGACGTTTACCACCTACATTGTCGTCATAACCCACGCTGTCTATGTATGGAGAGCGACGCAAGGTATCGTGAAAAGGCGAGCCACCCTCATCACGAACAGCAGGGCATTCCCTGTATACGTGGCGCTCCTCGCTACTTCCACTTTTTGGACCTGTCTATTATCACGCGCCTATGTTCATGAGATGATGAAACTGCTCTTTCTTCCAAAACAATGAGACCACGCGTCGCTGATGCATAATTACAGCCGACACTACGACAGATTGTGAAACAGACGCCTTGCTGCGCAAAACATGTACTGGGATTTCCTTCGCGCTCGACAAACTCTAGTCGTGGATTGCGCCGGAACGGTGCTGTAGTCGCACACGTGAGCGCACTGTGTGTGTTCCAGGTTCTGCCTAAGTGCACACATGTCGGAGCCGTGCGAGATTGCGTGACCGCAGATGGACGACCGAATACAGGGCTGGAATGCCGCTGTAGAAATATATGCACGAGATGCCTGACCATCAAGGTCAATCTCCTCCATCACTTTAGTTGAATATCTACATGAATGGACACTTGATCACCTTTAGAGACATACGGGGCTTAATTGGCCATTCTTCCAGTAAAATTGCGGCTCTGGTCGACATCACTGATGGTACAATATAGCAAATGCAACTGAGATGGACGACTGCCATTTTCCAAGGTTATCTTCAACCCCGCTCTCCAATCTGGTCCTCCCGTTGAACTGGACCATATTGTAACGATGCAAGACAATGACTCTCGAGCGCTGACCATCACGACTCATTGTTCGATGCTCATGATGAAGAATCTTCAGGCCTGTCGGCGGATCGCATATTCCCAGCACGCCCTCTCTGACAGTGAGGCCAACGCGTTTCCATGCACCAATGAAGACAAGTAAAAAGAATCCCACCTCCGGAGCTTCTCCCTCACCATTAGACGGGTCGCTTCTTCGAATCACAGAAGCCCTGTAATCGTGAGGGGTACCGCGTGCTCTGGGCTGGGACCAGGCAGGCGAGTCTTTCGGCTTTCCTGCTGGTCGCATACGCTCTGACGACACAACTATCGTGGCGATACACTTTTCTACATGTTTTGCTGCTGCGGCCAAACGAGGCAGAAGGTAGGTCAGTCTTCTGGCCCGGCCTGCCCTTGATGTGCAAGGTGCCGGTATGGCTTTCATAGTCACCTGGGTAGGTATATCCCTGTCGCATTCCTGTTCTGGCTGAATATCATCTCGACAACGCCCGTTTGGGGAGATCTCTCACGGGATAGCATTGACAGCATCTCGACATGATTGGGTCCTTGGGAACAAGGAACTTAGCTCACGCAGTTGGAGACACGAAATGACCAGAAGGCACGCAGGTTCATAAAGTTTCTCAACTTCCTTCATGGTCAGTGACCTTCTTAGAACCCGCGCACAGCAACAAACTCATATTTCACGCTCTGCAATCTTCAACTTATGTGAATGGGGTCCCGCCCACGAGCGAGGTAACAGTGAGCATACGGGCAGCAGGAGCGGCGTAAACTGTCGCGATTGAGGCCATCGCAGTGCGAATGCCTTCATCGGTGTCCCCTGCCTCTGGGAGTCTTGCTCACTTTCAGCTGAACGAACCCGGCAAGCGTTGTTGGAATGGAAGTCATCAAGCCGAGCGGTGACTCAACACAATCCTCACGTCGAATGTTGTTCTCATCTTTGCTTATCACTGACACGATCGTGATCGTGAAATCTTCAGACGATATTCGCAAACGCGTCGCTGGTTCGCACAACGATAACATCGCACGACTGCCCGGGCATGGCTCCAAACGCTTCATCCTCACGCTGCGCTACACATACTTTCCGGCTTCATGTCAGCATACACAACGCTTGAGCTTAATGCCGCTCGGTCTCGATATTTGCGTTCATCAGATCGCGTCCATAGGAACAGATGGAGATTGTATCAGACTGTGCGTCATGCCACCGTCATCGCGGCTTCTAGAATGCTAAGAAGCCTCCACTTCCATCACGATACTCAGGCACGATCATGTTGCAAGCATCCGGTGCAGCCGCTTTAGGGCCGATATGGCATTCCATCCGCGATTTGGTACTGAGGACTACACACTGCGAGAGTGGCATCTCGATGTATTGGGAAGCCATTCGTACCCCACATGCGAAGTTTCCCCTTCTGCGTCGACGCATGACGTCACTTCGCCCTCGACGAGCGTCACAGATGAGGATAACACTCTCTCTGCAAGTGTCTGAAGAGACATGTATGCACGTCACTGATACGAAATTTTGAACTACGATATATTGCTTGCTTCAGCTCCCACATGTCGATACCGATCACAACTCCCACTTCAACCTACCACTCGACACTTTACCAAACGATACCCGCTACTTCAAATCGTCAAAATGGTCTACACCGAGGACAACAACACAGCCACTGGCTTCATGATCTCTGATCAGAAGGACTGGCAGTCGTTCAAGAAGCAAGATTTCAAGCTCAAGCCTTTCGAGGACCGTGACATTGATATCGCTATTGAATGCTGCGGTGTTTGTGGTAGCGACGTCCACACCATCAGTGGTATGTAATCCCCATGACCACTACATGAGAAGGGCTGCATTAACAGTATTCATTCCAGGTGGTTGGGGTGAGGCTCCCATGCCCATTTGTGTTGGACACGAGGTCATCGGAAAGGCCGTCCGCGTCGGCAAGGACGTCAAGACTGTCAAGGTCGGCGGTACGTACCTTGTCCAGCTTGAAGTGGACAAAAATATGCGATGCTGATGAAAGACAGACCGCGTTGGTGTCGGCGCTCAGATCCAGGCGGACTTAACCTGCAACAACTGCAAGGCCGATCAGGAGAATTACTGCCCCAACTCTGTTGACACCTACGGCGCGCCATACGCGGACGGGACCATTGCTCAGGGAGGATATGCTTCCCACATCCGCGCCCACGAATACTTCACATTCAAGATCCCCGACAACATTGACAGTACCATTGCTGCGCCTATGATGTGTGCAGGATTGACTGTGTACTCACCTCTGATCCGCTTGGGAGCTGGCCCGGGCAAGAAGGTCGCCATCGTTGGACTGTGAGTTTCGTCGATCCGTGGTCGGACATGACATTTTGCTGACTTCTGCGCGTTTAGTGGTGGCCTTGGACATTTTGCTGTCATGTTCGCCAAGGCTCTCGGTGCAGAGGTATACGTTCTTTCTCACAGCGCCAATAAGAAGGAGGACGCACTGAAGATGGGTGCCGACGAATTCATTCTCACCACCGAGAAAGACTGGTTCAAGCCGTATGCCTTCCAGTTTGACTTCATCCTCAACGCCGCCGACGCCACCCACAAATTCAACCTCAAGGACTACTTTAGCACCATCAAGGTCATGGGTCGCTTCCACAACGTTGGTCTTGGTGACCAGCCTCTTCCTCAACTCATGGCTCAGGATTTTGCTCCCAATGGGTGCTACATTGGAGCCTCGCACATCGGAAATCGCCCTGAAATGTTGTCAATGTTGGAGCTTGCATCAAAGAACAACATCAAGACCTGGGTTGAGAAGGTCCCGATCAGCGAAGAAGGCTGCAAGAAAGCCGTTTCCGGTGTCTACAACAACGATGTCCGTTATCGATACGTCCTGACTGACTTCGACGCTGCCTTTGGCAAGCGTGATTAGATTTTTGAGCTACAAAAGAGGCGGTTATATACAGGAAACGCCCGAACTTAGCATCAGATGTATTCATAGCGAAGGTGTTGGGGATAGCGATATCAGCTTTATGATAATGAAACGATCTTCTCCGTTCATAGATTGTTCTCCTTTGGTGTAACCACATTGCTTAGCGAACTTGCAACCCATGAGTCAATGGGTGCCATCATTCGCGCACTGTACTGCCCCATTCCACGCTGGCCAAAAGCATGTCAAATATCATGTCATTCAGGAAGGGATCACGTCGTAGTTCATGTACTCCGGTTTGGAACTAGGCATTGTGCACCTTGATGGCCAAGTCTAAATGAACGTCTGGTGTACATCTTCGCATACATCATGAATATATTCGATGTCAATCATGCGTTAAGGTCTAACACCACTCTTCCTTGCAGCTCTCCACGATCCATCTGCTCGAAGATCGAGGTCAGTTCTTCCATCTTGCAAGTTCTGAAATGCGTCTTAACCAGGCCGCGTTCTGCGAATTTCAAGGTCTCAATGGCCTCCTTCCTGTCGCCGACCGCAACACCAACAATCGATTGCGCCTTTGCGACCAAAATTTGTGGGTAGGCTGTGGCAATGGGTTTCAGTTCCCCTTCAGGGACACCCACGACCACAAGAGTACCACCAAACTTCAGCATGCCCATTCCACTGCGAAAATCGAGGTGGTCAGTAAGTTCATCTTCCTCTGAAGTCACTGCCAGGTAACACTCACCTGCCATAAGCAGCGTTGGCTGCCGTCAGCACAAGGACGGCCTGCGCTCCAAGCCCGCCTGTGGCCTTCATGACTTCTTCCTCGGCCTTGCCTTGCGTGTGATCAATGAAGATTTCTGCGCCACACTCGATCGCCAGGTCCCTCTTCGAACCAGCATCGATTCCGATAACCCGCATACCGTAAGCCTTGGATGCAATCTGTGACGCCAGATGACCTAGACCACCGCCAGCGCCTAGTAATACCACCCAGTCACCCGCTTGAGCTTTGCTCTTCTTCAGGGCTGCGACTACAGTGAGACCACCGCAAAGTCTACAAGTCGATTCGATTAGACCCCTTCGATACTCACTGGTTTGACTCGCAAGAACTTACAAAGGTGCTGCCATATCGGATGGCAGAGTGTCGGGGATAGGAGTGACATAGCGTGCAGGAGCAAGGACATATTGTTGGAAAGTTCCAGGCGTGTAGTATCCGGAGACCTTCTGGTTGAAGCAGACTCCATCATGGCCCGCAAGACACGCAGGACCTGGAATAAGGCGAGACAAATGGTAAGCAGGCGGATTTCTGACACTTGAGCTGGAGGCAGATCTCTTGACACGTACATGAGTCGCAAGTCGATGCGATCCATTTGATGCCCACTCGATCGCCAAGTTTCACCGTGCTTGCATCGGCGCCGGGGCCCAATTTGACAACTTTGCCAACACCTTCGTGGCCGCCGACCTGTCCAGGTTGAGTCGGGAATGGAAGTCCTGCCCATCGATTGGTCTAAATGATGATCATTGAAGCATTGTTAGAATATTGATCTTCGATCAATCGCCACCTGCGAGCGGTTTGTGACGCTGTAATCTCGATCAGGACGCAACGCACCATGACTCCTAGATCTGAATGACAGACGCCCGAGTGCGAGATGTTGACCAAGATCTCTCCAGGTCCGGGCTCTGGCATATCGAGTTCGACCACCTTGGTTGAAACCTTGCCCGGCGCATCGTAAATGATGGCCTTGTATTTCTGAGGTAGATCCGCCATGTTGATGTGAAAGTGTGATGTAGGGACGATTGCCAACTACGGTCCTTTGAGTCTGATAAGTAACTCGAAGGTGATTCCAGTTCTGAATCCGATGTTCGAAGAGTCACGTCGAGAGTATGGTCTTATATTGATTCAAATATGATAATAAGACCTGCAAGGCAGGCGACCCAGTGACGCCTCCGCCGCACGCATCCTCACCTTTCCGCCGGACCGGCCATAGATAGAATGGCTACACGCTAGTGCCATGTCATGAAGACTCCAAAGAGCTTTGCTTCCTTCACAGTCTGCTCTGACTCTGGTAAGAAACGCGACGGATAGCTGGCTTGGTCGGACTCGTTCCCAGGCGGCCGAGGTTTCCTGCGGGGCTCGGTCCGATCGTGAAGGCGGGGCAATTGAAGCAGTTTACTCCACCACGAGCCAGTGACCTCATCAATTTGGATCAATGCAGGTGCAGCCCCAACCACAACCCTAGACAGAGTGCCACACAAAATTGACACGCACCGAAACAATAACATCGCGACGATACGCTTGATTCTGGCACCCGATCAAACTTTTCAGGCTTGAATGCTAGGCACAACTGTCTACACGCGTTGAACCATTGTTGACAAGAGCGAAATGTCGATTGCTCCCGGCGGCGAACAGAGCCTTCCACGGCTGATCAAGTCAATGCGTCCCACCCTGGACTCTTCCCTTGCGGACGTATTTGTCTTCGCGACTGTCTCTGCAGAATCTGCGCAGGTCCCACAACTGCTCTCTGCAGACATCTCTGCAGACGTGAAGATGATCTTCAAGGAGAACGAAGCGTGGACGGTGATCCTGACGAGATCGCGAGCGGAGCAACTCGGACTGCAATACATCTTTCCATGTCGTCAAATCACTCTCAACGTTCACTCAAGTCTCGATGCAGTCGGGTTCTTGGCTGCAGTGACGGCACGTCTGGCCAAGTTAGAGATTGGTGTCAACCCTGTCAGCGCGTATTTTCACGATCACCTATTTGTCCCAGATGGCAAGGAACATGCTGCCGTTGCTGAATTGGAGAGAATGGCAGCTGAGAGTGTAGACGGGATATCGTAGTGACATGCCTTATTTTGCATGATTCACATGGAAGCTTTTCAAAGCCAGGTCACGATGTGACAGTAAGAGCAAAGCCCTTGCGCATCTGAACGAACACACTGTTCCGGTCTTGCCGGCCAGAATCGCGAAGAACTCAATCATCAAGCATGAAAGTGAAGTCCCAGAAATACCCATCGCTAGAGTAGCAACCATGCCGAACGCCAACCAGAATTATATGACACTCCTCCGCAAAAGCTCCCAAAAGTACACAGGCGATCAGGCACAAATCTCTGCCATGCGACCCAGTGCCTCATCCACGTCAATGCCAACACCGAACTGCTCGATCGCGTCTTGTGCACGTGGGACACCGATCAGGGTCACGTTTCGTGGGACGACCACTTCGCGCACGTCAAAACAGCCAAAGGCAACCAGCCGCTTCAGTGCAGGACAGCTCTTGAAAATACCAGCGATGACGCTATTGTCCACGCGGCTGCAGAAACTAACATCGATGTACTCAAGCTCCGGATATTCCACTGCACCATTGAAAACGTCCAAGAACGCCGAGAGCTCGATGTGGCGACAGGATGCAACGTTAAGATGCTTCAGATTCGGGCCAGAATGAGCCATGAGTGCGATGAACCCAGATGATGCCAGGCCAATAGCATCCTCCGGGCCCAGCGGGTTTGTGTTGTCCACATCGCGCGTAGCATTGAAATCGACGGATGTAAGTGGCGGGTTCGACCACTGTGTGAAAAGCGCCTCAAATCCTCGATCTGTAGCTGTGTCGTTTGGACTGAGTCGCAACTTGGACAGCTGCTTGCACGTATCGTGAATAGCAGTCAGCACAGTGTCATCTGCATCGAGGAACAATTCGAGGGATAATGTGCGAAGAGTTGGGCCACGTTTCGCAATCAGGTTGAGTAGTGTTGGCGTTGGAATCTCGCTAGTCATACGTAGCGACAAATGCTCTAACTTTTCAGCTGCTGAGATAGCTATTAATGCTTCTTCTCCAATGCGACGGCAGTGCTTCAACTTGAGGCGTGTAAGATTTGGACATCGATCAATCATCTCCCGCACGACTGTGTCGTCGAAAGTTGCATCTAGCCATTTTAGCTTGATCACCTCGAGCTTCTGACCAGCTTGTTCGAAGGCACGAAGCCACATTTCGTCTGATACCAAGTTTGCACCATAAAGGTGCAGGTGTTTGAGATTGTGGCATTTATCCAGCATGTACTCAATAGCTGCATCCTTGAGCTGGCAAGCATTGGCGAGCACAATTTTCTCGACGTTGGGTACCACAGCGAAAATATGATGATAATCTTGAGCCGCAAGATTCGCAGCTTCATGCACCACGACTGCATCGAGATCCGGGCGAAGGAACAATGGTAGTGTCTTGGACGTGAGCACACGCTTTTTCGAAAAGATCTCACTAAGTCGCTCGAGGACTGATTGCGGAAGTTCTCCGAATTCTTCTAATTCGTCATGATGCTTCGCGACTGTGCTGATACATAATTGCTGGAGTGATTTGGCGCCGCCCATCGCAAGACCATCTAGGCGATCGCTCTCCATTTTGCGCCTCTTCTTGCCAGCGGGCTTACTCGCCGACTTCTTCTCCGCCTTAGCATCCTTTCCGAGCTCTTTGCCACATGGTGTGCAAACGAGGCCACCTTCCGGACCTTCCTTGCTGTATGGCGTGACGGTAAAGCGCTTGCTGCAGAGCTCACAATGTTCGAATTGCCCAGGTGCTGGCCGGGCCTTCTTGTAAATGTCGTTTGTGAAATCAGCATCATCGTCATCGTCGGATTCGTCGTGCTTGCGCTTCTTCTTGCTGTCCTTCTTTGCGGACGCCTTGGCTTTCTTTATGTTCTCGATGGCGGAATGCTTGCGCTTTCGACTTTTCTCTTTTTTATCCTCCTCCTCGATAATATCGACCGCGACCGCAGCTGCGACTGCCTCTTCATCGTCGATTGTGTCATTTGCAGTTGTTTCAGTTTGGTTTTCCTGAGCAGTTCCTCGCCGGCGTTCATACTCGTTGCGAATTTGTGCAGCAGAGATGTTGTTCGCAGCAAGGAAATCTGTGAGGGCACTCTGGGGCCCTCGAATGCGATTGCCCCCTCGCCTCGCCGACATTGTTGTGATCACAGTGATCTTGGTGATTACAGATTCGAAGAGTGTGGAATCGTTCAATGCTTCGACGACACTGCCTGAGCGGGTGGCAATCGGAGGCGAGCCCTTGATAATTTAGAGTTTCAACATTTGCGACACGCAGGCAGCGACGCGGGGTGGACCCTGGCCGCTACGCGTCGGACTGACGCGCTTGCACGTGGCTTTATAATTGAAGCACAAAGTGAGGTGCGCCCACGGACGATACAGACATCGTTCAAATCGGATGGGGCACTCCGACAGCTTGATAAAATCGACAGTCTAGTGTCTCTGCCTTTTAAGATGGAAGTAAACATGGAACCTTGGAAGGATTGGGCACGTTAGTCATTTGGCAGAGTCAGTATCTGATGAGTCATCGAAGTGCCCCGTCAGATTTGACCGATGTCTATACAGTCATGCTGCGCGACTGTGAACTTGTTTTATTACACATATATAACAATCAGATCCCTGGAACACTTGGGTCTTCAGAAGAAACGCATCTACTGGAATTCCGCCTTGACGCTACCGTATTTCACCCCATCAACTCTCAGCTCAAACACCAGATTCGCGCTTTGAATCTTCATGTGCAATTCAAAATCGAGGTTATCGAACTCGGTCCCTTGAGTGGTAGTCAAACGCGTGAAAAGACTTCTCGGGACCGCATTGAGGTCGGTAGTGAGCTTGCACACATTGCTCAGTGTCTTATCGAGGGCATCCGGTGGAACCTCCGCGTCACATCCGATAAGATCATCTTCAACAATGAGTGATTGCCCTGGTCGGAAATTTCGAGTATAGTGGAAAGAGATTGGCTGGTCGGCAGCAATTGATGTTCCCTGTGGCAAGTTTAGTATACATCAATGAACCTGATATGACACACTCGACACTTACTTTGGCAATATGCCATTGCATACGATCACTGACCATCCATCTCTCCCACAAGGGGCTCCAGTATCTGTCGCTGATGGGATGCTTGCTCTCATCAAAGACCGTCGCGTAGCTTGTGCCGTAGTGCCATCGACTACGTCGCTTCTCTACTACGCTGCCCTCGAGTCCGCGAAGGGCAGCTCCTCGAACTACGGCGGTCCAGGCGTGAAGAGGCTGCAGGATCTGAACACTAGTCTGGGGAACACTACCACCCTCATGAGTGGGTTGTTCGGTATATGCGGGCGGCGGCGATGTGTTGAAATGCGCTTTCAATCGTGTGTAGAGGTAGTTGGATTGCCCAAAACCTCCGACGAGAATGATGCCTGAGACGTGGCCATTCTTCACCTTGATAGAATCTACTTGTCCTTGTACCAAGCTGATAACCTCGTCGATGATCGGATCAAAGATGGCCTTGACCTGTTCCGATGACATGATGAGGAATCCACTATCCAATCCGGCCTCTTCGTCGTCTGGTAGGCCAGGGAACGGTACGTTGACCTCTGTGTGTTCTTCTTCATTGAAATTGCGCTTGACGAACTCCTCGAAGTACTTCAGACCCATCATCCAAGTTTTTGGCTTCTTTTCCCGCATGTTATTGTATCGCTCGGTCCCGATCCGACTTCTGACATGGTCCTCAAATCGATAGTTCAGAAATGCCGATCCACAAAGGCCTCCAGTGCCGACCGCGCTTTCCTCTACCCGTAGAGGGTTTATCTGAGTAACTTTGTAGGCGATCAAATCGACAGTTCCACCTCCTGCATCACACACCACAAAATTGTCACCCACCTGCAGGCCACTAGGTTGGATGGTCTTCAGGGTGTACACTGCTGCTGCTTCCGGCTCACTGATGAGCTTCAATTCATGCCTGTGTCCCATTCCAGCCTTTTCTGCCGCCTGCAAGGTGGCATTCTTTGCAGCATCCGACCATACAGCCGGGACAGTGAGCACGAAGTCGACCTTGGTGCTGCTCATGAAAGTTTCTCCATAGCGTCTCGTCAGTGTTTCCACGGTGTGTTCGTATATCTTGGTGAGATAGTCGGTTACGGCATCCATCACCGTTCGATCATATTTCCGCAGTTGCGCCGCGGTCTCCAATGGCGAGACGAAATGCGGAAGCTTCTGATTGCGATCTAAGAACAGCTTTACGCATCGAAGTCGCGTGTCCTCGGGTTTAAACTGGAATCCCCATCGGACGTGTCTCGTTGGCGCAGCCTTCTTGGGGTTCTCCGTCTCGTCCTCCGAAGCTGATGCGCTACTGGCTGGTGGTTGCACAAGTTCGTATGCGATTTCGGTTGGCACTTTGTCAGAAGTGATGCCATTCCCACCGGGCCAAGTTTTGATTATGTCGACATCGTCAGGGTTGGAACTGTAAACGGTGCTTATTCCACTGTAGGTCGTACCAAAGTCCACGCCGACTACCAGTCTGTCCTGTGTCGTGTGACCATTGGCTGGCTCATTCAGTGAGGTGGCAGCCACTTTGTCTTCCAGGCCAGTTTCGTTCATGATCGCCTCACGATCGTCATCCAGTTGTGCATTGCGAGTCATAATCATTAGGAGAAGCCAAGGGTCACAGGCTCGAGCTGACGACCATAACACTGTAGACGGCGCAAAGCTCCGGAAACATGGAGGTAAGATGCCAGATGCAATGATATATTCGATAGTTTATGGAAATTGACTAGTAGCTACCTATGATGCTCGCGCCAAGTACCTCAGGTGCAATTAATTGATTATCAGAGATTGGGACACGGCCCAATGCGATGAAGAGGGACTGGTGCGACACTGGCGGGTCGGAAGTCAGCCCGCAAATAGGCGGGAGTGGGGGCCCTGCAGTACATACCCATGGACAGAGCAGTATCAGGTGGTTTCCAAGTTCGTCAACACTCTCATTTTCGCTCGAATATCGCATTCCACCTGGGCAAACTTCCAAGATGCTATCACGCTATCACAATAAAACAGCTTGCCCTGCCGCGGCATGCCCGATCAACGTGTGCATCTGGCAGTATGTTGGCAGCCCTCGAGGGAAGTCTCCTGCCTCGCGAGCTCATAAATCTCTTGTCGTGTGATATTTCCACAACATATAGTTGTGACTTGTGAAATTAGACAATCAATTAAATCAATTCATGATCCTTGAACTCATTTCCGTCCGCAGCCAAAATTTGACAAGGAGGTGGGATCGCATGATTTCTCTAACCACCACAGGGTCCGCAGAATGCTGATAATTATAGAGCATTGCAATACTAAGTGGTCGTGTGCACATCGGACAATTATGAACGCTGCAGTGATCCAATGGTGCCGATCAGTGCGAGTACACTTGTAGCCAGGCGGACCATTCCCCGAAAAAAATGTGGAGCCAGACTGATGACTAGATGGCCTTTCTCAAAGGTTGTTCAGTCCATGTACCAGTTCGCCCCGCTTGTGATCGTCGAGAAGCAGCGGGCTGTGAAGCAGGCCGTCCGTCATTAGCTTGTCACCGTGTTTCCGTCGCTCTTGTATCTCAGGTTTTAGTATTCATCTTCCAGTCATGGCAGAAGACAATGCCAGCGCGCTTCCGGTCATTGCAGTGCCATTGCAAGAACCCTCCCTCACGCCAGTAGCGAAAGCACCAGCAGGTGAAGGGGAGCCTCCTGCGACGTCTCCAGTGGAAGTTACCCCAGAGACGGCATTTTCTACATTGGACAATTCGGCGAGTGCCAGTCCCAATGGCAAGAACAATGCAGACAATTTGCGGCGAACAAGCTCCAAAATTGCAAATCTCCGAGCAGCTTTCGAAAGCACATCCAACGGCACCAACTCACTTGAGACGCCGATTAAGAAAAGATACGAGAGAAGCCCATCGCGACCACACGAATACGAGACAGAGATCGCAAGATTGAAGGATCAATTGGAGAAGGAGGCTGAGCTGCGTCAGGCATACGAAGAGAAATGCGCGGTGCTTGAGGAGGCCAATGATGCGGTCACAGCCAGGCTAGAGCATAGAGACAAGGTCTGGGAGTCAGAAATACAGCGAGAGCATGGAAGCCTATTGAAGGAAAAGATACAAGCTGTCGAGGAAGCCAACAGCTTCCAGCGGCAGCTGGCCGAGCTCAAAAGAAGCATTTCCAGTGCCACGCACATCGACAATCATGTCACGGATACAACATTCACGTCAGAGCTGGGAATCCTTCACAGCGAGATACAGAACTGGACGGTTCAAAACTTTCGGCGGGCAAAGCTGGGCGCTTCGAGCGAGGAAACCGACGCACGAATAAAGTCTATTGAGGAGCCACAGGAGAGGGAGTTGCTCTCACAACTTTTCCTGAAACAGTCGCCGACTTCAAAATTGGCTTGTATCCAGACGGCAATCGTCTCATCCATGATGGAGATCTTCCGCCATCCACTATTATTTGGCATGGAATCTCAGGAGGTGTGGCAGCAGAGCGTCAAAACGGCAATAGAGAAGTTGCCCGATGTGCTGACTCCTCCAGCCTTCAACAAATGGCGCGCCATGACTCTGAACAGTCTTCGGCAATGTGATAGCATGAAGTCGTCCATCGATGCTACTGCTGTGGCAGTAGCAGATAAGATATGTGTGATGCTTGGCAAACTCACGGATGCCGAAGAGCACGAAGCTCGCGTTGCTTCTCTAAACTCCATCATCAAGCGCAGCATCGATCTTGCACATCTGTTCAAGGCCCAGCGTGCCCAATATGACTTCGTGCTACCCGGCCCGGGCACCAATTTTGATACCGAAACCATGGAGGACATTGCTGATGAAAAGGATGACTTGAACGAGACGGCAATTGTTTGCGCTACATTTCCTTCGGTGGTCAAAACCGGCGACGAGAATGGTGACAACACGCGTCTCACCAACGTCATATTCAAAGCTAAAGTGCTTCGGTCGGATACTGAGCAGCAATCATCATGATTTCTTAAGAGTGCATAGCTCCAGGTGTGTGAGTAGACCAGCAACGGGCTCAATCCATCTGCACGCTCGGCGCTTTCCGCATCAGAAGGTCTACTTATGCACACAGCCCCCAGTCTGAAATGACCATGCTCTCGCCAGGCACGGCTGCCCTGCCTCTCTTGAACTCACAAAATTCCAGGGTTTCAGAAGACTTCGGGGGTTGGAGAAAGACTTGCTTCCGCAAGAATAGAAAAGTGCATGGATTGCCGTCCACGGCACGAAGTCTCACATTCCTCCAGTATTCCAGTGGAGGAGAGCACCACGTATTGGCCAGCCTTGAAGCGGTCTTCTGACGCGCAGTTTCGATCGTGTGTTTCTGCATTTGATAGATACAGGTACATGTTCGGCAGGGCCCGGACTATCGTGAACATCTCAATGTAAGTGGTGCAACTCAGCGGAGGATGCGTCGACTACGAAGCTTACTGTGGTGGGAGATGTGGATTGAATTGTAGGGATTAGAGCAGCGGCATCAAAGCCTTGCTATCGCAGCCAGCGCACTCCAAGATCAGAACAGTGCAGCGCAGATCCTAAAGTCTTATAATAAGTAAACCATCAGGTTGGTCGCAAGATGATTTCCTGGCGCATCGCGAAATGATAGCAGCTGAGTTTACGCATGGCAATGTCTTAGAAATAGCCATGGCAGAATGATGTGTGCTGATGTCTTGTATTTGCTTTGCGCTGAATTATTCCCAACTACATATAATACAGTAGTCATTTATGTGCGATGTGAGTACGATGACCCACCAGCCGAGAGAGGTCCCTTGCGAGATAGCTGGTAGAAGTAAGTACATACTCAGAATAGCTGAGGCAAGCGATTCTCCATGGTCTTAGAACAAAACGCTCGTCAGACGGGTATCCTGCAAGCCAGTCAATCTTCGCAATTTGACTAATTGTCACACCATTGAAGGAGGCAGTGTCAACTTAAGTTATGCGAAAGAATTCAATCAACGCGATGACATCGTGATTCCAGAGAACCAAAGAAGAAGAGGGATTGTTTCGACGGAAGTACAGGCAATACTATGTCGCCTGGCTATTTTCATGGAGCGAGTCATCGAGATCATCGTCGTCATCACCATCCTGCCGCACATCAAGGACGCGCTCACTCGCATTCTCCAGGGTCCTCTTGCTCCATGCTCGAACACCTTTCCAGACAGCATAGAGAAACGTCACAATGCCGATAACGATCGTGATCCACGAGATCTGTGAGAGACGATCTCGACCGCTGCCACCAGCATTGCTGCGACCCATGACAATGTTTGTGCCGCGCATGTTGAACCACTGGAATGGAGAGAGCGTGAACAAGAATTTGGCGAAGCCAAGTAAGCCCAATGAAGCCATTCCTTTGATGAAATGCTCCACCCAGGTAGTCGGTTCATCCTCGTACATCAGAGACCCTGTGGGTCCGCCCGCAGTTGTGATCGTCGTAAGCGGATCGAGGTAAAGGTTGATGATGGGATCAGCCACGAAACCCAAGACGAAGATGCATGAGACAAAAATGAGGAGAGTCAAACCAATCTGACAGGCTGTACTGCTGAGCCAGCTTGCCCAATTTAGTCGCTGCAGGCGGTACCTGTAATGGCACGTAGGACACTGCCAATAATTACGTTTCTGAAGGGGATCTGCGCGCCGCCACGAGCTCAGGCAGTCCTCGTGCACGTATTTCTGAGTACCCTTGCAGCGACATGGTGACAGCAGTCTGCCTCCTTCCTCACTCTCGTATACAACTCGTGGAGGCGATGCAAACGCGGAAGGCAAGGCGGAGGTTGTAGCATCATGGAACGTTGCGTGGACTAATTCGAGGCAAATTCGGCACTGACGTGGTGGAAAGTGTGTCCGACGGCGTCCCGATGTGGCACCTGCTCGGGTATGATCCTCTCTTGCTGCTGCCGGTTTTTCTTGAGGAGCAGAGTCTCTACGTTCGCCAGCCTGCGCCTTGCTGTCGTCTGTCTTCTGCCAAGCTCCAGGTAGATGATCGAAAGACCAGTCAGATCCAGAGGTGAATGCCATTTTCGGGCAGATATCTGACAAGTTAGGGAAGCTCTGCGAAAGTATCAAGCACAGAGTATCAGCCAATGTCGTGAGCAATTTGATGCTTCAGCAACGATTGCCAGTGCACAGGAAGCATCTCAGTAGAGTCACGAGGGTGTCGCTCAGCGCCTCAGATGTCCGGGCAGATGGTGGAGATGGAGCGAGAATGTCGAAGCCTTCGTCAAAGCTTGGCGCAGCTTTCTGTGCTGTACCTGGCCTGTGCTTTCAGCGGGAAGAGCTTCACGCGTGGCCGCGCTGCCTGCTGTAATGGCAAGTTAGTGATAGCAGCCCTCGAACGAAGCACATACAGCACTGTACATGTGAGGTTGTCATAAACTGTGGACTTCACACATCAACCCATCTACGCTCGAACATCCGTCACAGACACGCCAACGCTTCGCTGAGAATATCTCACACATTTTTTGAACGCCCCCACCAAAGCCTTCCAACGACGACATCATCTGCTGCATCATAGGCCACCATGGCCGACAGATACTCTTTCTCGCTTACCACATTCTCGCCCAGGTATGTTTCCGTTATAGAATTGGGAATGTCATAACGGGCAATTGCTAATGCTGGTCTTACAGTGGAAAATTGGTGCAGATTGGTCAGGACCTCTTGTCTACTGGCATCCACAGAATACTGATATCTCAGCAGAATATGCACTCAACGCTGTCAACCAAGGTGTGACCTCATTAGGAATTAAGGCAGCGAACGGCATTGTCCTTGCTACCGAGAAGAAGTCGTCAACGCCGCTTATCGATGCCTCTTCATCATCCAAGATCTCACTGGTCACACCGAACATCGGCATGGTTTACTCTGGCATGGGTCCGGACTACCGCGTACTGGTAGACAAGGCACGGAAAGTCAGCCACACAGGATACAAGCGCATATACAACGAGTATCCTCCGACTCGGATACTGGTCCAGGACGTGGCACGGGTGATGCAGGAGGCGACACAAAGTGGTGGTGTCCGGCCGTATGGTGTGAGCTTATTGATTGCGGGTTGGGATGATGGCATTCTTCCAGAGCAAGAAGAGCAACAGGCGGCTGAGGATATGGCAGTGGACGGAGCAGAAAAGAAGAAAACCAGCAAGACTGGTGGTGTGCACAAGGGCGGACCAAGTCTTTACCAGGTGGACCCGAGTGGAAGTTACTTCCCTTGGAAGGCTACCGCGATCGGCAAGAGTGCGACAAGCGCCAAGACATTCTTGGAGAAGCGATACACTGAGGGACTGGAATTGGAAGATGCCGTACACATTGCGCTTCTAACGCTGAAGGAGACCATCGAGGGAGAGATGAACGGCGACACGGTCGAGATCGGTGCGTATTTTGCGTCACTGAGACACATGCCTCATACTAACTCAGTCATAGGTATTATCGGACCTCCTGCGAACAATCTGCTAGGCTTCGATGGCGTCGAAGGCGCCGTCGGTCCTCGCTTCCGAAAGCTCAGCCCGCAGGAAATTGAAGACTACCTCACGACATTGTAGTTGCGAGTTAGTTTATGCGAGTCTCTAAACGAAGATGGCGAGTCTAGAATCGCCGCTCTGATATGTATGACTAGACGCAATGAACAATAACGAAATTCGTCTCATTCGCCACAGCACAAGGATTGTGGGTAAACTCGAGCGAGACCATTTTCTGGTGAAATATCCAGCCATGTCCAGATCATATTTCTGCATGCATCGTTGTGTCTTCGGTCCTCTTCAGACGTCGTTTGCGACGATTCTGGTCGTCCTGCCTGTTCTCCCATATCTTGGCGGCATAGTAAGCAGCCTTAACTTCTGCTTCAACTTTGTTTCCGCAGCCCTCAACGGTGAAGACTTTCTCGTCGTCTACGTTGACCGTGCAGGTGTGAGACAACTTATCTTCACTCAAGCTGTTCACATACTTGACCTTTCCTTGGTCAGCGACAATTCCCATGCGCTCTTTCGGCGAGAGTGTCTTGACGCCATGATCTAGCATATGCTGCATGAAATCCAGAATGCCCAGTCTTTTCACAAAGGCCTCGCATACCCTCAAGTCGCCGCCGGAGTCTATGTAGAGCGCGCCGATAATCGACTCGACGAGATCGCAAAAGAACTTGTGCGGGGAAAGAGCCACGAGGTCGCACCATGGGTACTCATAGCCGTGGCTCAGTGCATCTTCAATGGGTCTCCGAAGGGTCTCAAATGCTGCCACAGCCTTTATGCGATATGCCGCGAAGATCGAGCTGGCGCGCATAAAGTCGTAAAGGTGCAATTGTCGCGTGGACGGTTGTAGATCGGGCATGGGAAGTCCTTCGGCGTCATGATCATTTACCACGACGAAAACCTCGTCCTCGGTGGCGTAACGCAGGCAGCAGAATCCCAGGAAATGACTGTTCACGAGCGCTTCGTGCACACCGTGGAGCTGCCAATGCTTCAACTTGCTCGCATGTGCAAACAGCTTCGGGGTGATGATGACATCCAAGACACTGTCCCCCAGAAACTCCAACCGCTCGTACGACATGCCGGTATGACTGCCCTGAAAGGACACATGTGTTGTAGCCTCTACCAGGAGTGATGGGTATCTGAATGTGTGCCCAATCAGGCGCTCCAGTGGACGAAGGTCTGAAATATCGCAAGGGGATAGTCCCTCTACCAATCCGCTGAAGCAGCGATCCATGGGCCACCATGTTTCCTCGGGCAGCAGAAGCTGGATGCAAGCGTGGGCTTTGTTGAGGCCACCGTCGACGTATGCTGCGCCGATCAAGGCCTCCATGACGTCGGCCAGAACTTTGGTGGACATTGATCGCTTCTGCTCTGTAGTCTCGGCAAGCACTTCGCCAGCGTAGATAGGTCGCCACTTGTTCCCAGTGAAAATCTTTGTGAGAATGAAGTGATCAAGACGGGCATTCAGTGCAGCTTTGGAGAGGTGTTTGTTGCACACGATACGATCCTTTTGCTCAGTCAGGTAGTTCTCTGGCCAGCTGCGATGTTGTGTCATGAGTTGCACCTCAGTGATATGCTTCAGGAGGCAATCACCAAGATACTCAAGCCGGTTGTAATCGGTGCTCTCTCGTGCCGGCGGGGAGCTGATAGCTTCGAATACAAGGGAGGTGTCTTTCAGCGCAAGGTCACGCAATATGGTTGTGCAGAGCTCATCGACGAGTAGATTGACATCGACCCTGTGCATAATGCACGGAATGAAAGCGGCAAACTGCGAATACTTGGCTTCAAGAACGTCCATAGTACATTCGCTCGCGTATAATGTGTGCTTCACTGTTTCATCTGCTGAGATGACATCGAGGTTGGCGACCGCGTGGAGAAAGTCTCTTCTCTTCGGGAAGACCTTGACTTGTACTTGTGTGTCAGTCGTTTGAGAAGCATCAGTAAAGTTGCGGAGAAAGAAGCTGCGCCCTGGTATTCGGCGTGATCGGAGCAATCCCCATTCTTCTCTTGGTCGCAAGGATGAGATATCAAGCTGTCGTGGATTCTGTTGCCGTTTGGACAGCCACACATGAAGGTCATCGCAGTTAACAGGAGCAAATATGGCAGGGAAATCGTCGCGCTCTGGCGAGACTTTGTCACCATACACCGCGCGCAATAATAATTTCGTGATTTCTCGCGTTGCTGCGATTTCGGCGCAGTTTTCAAGTGACTTGCCGTCCGATGCATGAACGGAAACAGTGTAAGTCCTCATGTCGTCCCAATGCAACTGAAATGTCTCGTCCGTAGGACGTCGCTCCGGTGTCCACATACTCATGGTAACGAGACATCCTTCAGGACCAGATATCTCAATGATTGACCGTGACCACATGACCTCGGGCTTTCTCAGTTCATCGCATGCAGCCCACCAGACCGGCCTGCGCTCCGAAACCTCTTTGATAGACGGCTGGTCGAGATGCATCTGCCCTTCCTCGGGTCGATTGTCTTTGAACAACGGCAACAAATTGTCATTGACCAGCCCATTCTCATGCAGATTGACGTAGGCTTGAAAGGCAGCATCATAGATCGCCGACCGCTCAGTATGCCATGACTGCTCAGATTCAGCGTGACGCAGGCTCGGATGTACATATGACGGCAAAGTCACTGAAGCAGACCAGAGCTTTGTGCTTTCATCCTGTATTGTGGAATATTCTGGGCGCAGGTCAACGTGGTCAGTGGCCTGTGAAACTCCAACCTGGCAGAAGTGATGTAAATGTGCTTGAGCATTCTCGTGTGTCAGAAGCGCGCCAGTAGACGGCACACGGTACGAATCCCTCTGCGCCAAATCTTCCTGAGTCTGCATTTCGTCAAGGCGTTCGACATCGGCATTGACGTACATCTCCACCATCTCTGCCTCCAGTGCAGCCCAGTCTTGGACATTAGCGCGCAAGTCATCTTTGGGGAGAAAAATTATGTTTGTAGAGTCCGCTTGGCGTGCGCGGCCCCGACGTTGGACGAAAGAGACCAGATTCTGCGGTGGATCATAGCTGATTACGAAGTTGCAGGCGGACACATCAATTCCTATTTCCAGTCACCTCGTGAAATCACGCAGAACAAATCAGATTGAGAGGTAGAACTTACCTTCCTCGAGCACATTGGTCGCGATGATAAGATTTTTACTCCCGTCACGAAATTCTCCAAGGCTGGATTGCTGTTGTTTCAATTCGACTAGATCGGCAACTCTGATTTTTCGACTCGTGTTCGCCGATGTTCCGACGAAGGAGCCGATATTGTAATGGGCCGCGATTTCAGGGATGTTGTTCAGGAGATGACACATCGCAGTAGTCACTGCTCTCTGCTCGACAAAAATAATGCCTCTCATCGAAGTCGAGGCACTCGAGAGCAACGTGGCCACCAATGCCTGCGCTTTGTAACAGGTGATGATAGGTTGTGATTCAAGCACATTGTTTTTGCCTTGAGCGACGATTGATTCGAAGATCTTGGCAAGATGATCACGCTCTCGATCAGTCAGATCATGAAACAGCGGGTTGACAGACACTTCGCATTTCTGAAATTTCTGGATACATGATGTGAGGTACCATTCAGCCATCGTTGGACCCAGTTGCTCTCTCACGGTCGCTGCACGGATCTCGAGTGATACCAGTTGTTCGAAACAAAAGGTCTTGCGACTCCGATATATTTTCGCCAATGCCTTGGAAGATTTGTCATCCGAACAACTCTCAAGATCCAGTACGTACGGATCGGTAGAGATATTATAGTGAGCCACAGCCATCGTCAGAGCAGAACAAAGTGGGCCAGTGCCATGCAAGCTCGCTGCGTGATCGACCTCGAACTCGACCTTCGTCAGCTGGGGGCGATGTACGTATTTTCCCAATTCAGCCCGATGCTGTATCGGGGTGACGATCACGGCATCGAGATTTGCTTCTATCAAAGCTATGTTTTGCTGCTTGGCATTCACCACCGGACTAGCTGTCAAACCAAGGATGTGTGGTGTCGAACGGCCATGGCTTTTAGCAGGATGGTAGAAGTCTCTCATGAGCTTACTCATGGGACTATTCTTGGTGCACCGATGAGCTGGAATGATCGATCAGCAACGAATGACAACACGAGAGGGAAAATACCGTGCAGCCGACCTTCATCAAACACTAATAGCGGTATCTCCTCGATCTTTATGAACCCATGCGTGAGAGCGTCCAGCAACACAGCAGGGGTACAAATCACGAGGCTCACGCCCTTCAGCAGCAGGTCCCAGAGCTTCTGTTCCGACCCTGGAAGTAAGTTGTCAGTGAGAAATTTCCATCGCGATGCGCAAGTGTATGCGTTTGCATTACATTTCTCAACTCCGTCGTTTCCCGTAAGCAAGAGTACATGGTATGCCGGCAAAAGATCCGAAAGGCGTCCATAATGCTGCTGGGCCAGTGCAACGTTTGGGACCAGTAACCATATGGCTTTGCCTGTCACAGATCTTTCCAACTCAGCAAGTATGCGAGATGCAGCGACAATAGTCTTGCCGGACCCAGTGTCCATGACCACAATGGTATTGCGCTGAAGACTGGCCTCAAGCATTTCTTGTTGATATGATCTCAAGCGCATCCCGCCTGACTGCATCATCTCCATGGTAGCAAGGGGTGGCTGCGACACAGCTCAGCTCCTATTGTCGCGAATGTTACGGAACATCGAAAAATTGAAAAATGAGAGAAAGTGATAGGTGCATGCTTATCACTATTATGGAACGGCACCTCCGTCCGGCATGTAAAATGCTGAGTAGAGCGGTGGAGTGTTACACGATTGGAAACTCACTGGAACCGCCTGCATTGTGACATCGATTCGACATCCCGGCTCATGTACGTAGTACATATGCACTGAACAATGCATATGATACATCAGCTCGGAAACTACCCTTGATTCGGTAGATTTGCATCGTGTTCGCCACGGATGATAGGTTGTTGGCCATGCGAGGGATGGAATTCGATGTCAAAACGCGCCCTTGCTATGGATAGCTCCCTAGGTCCAGTGCGACATGTGAGGCGCCTGTTCCTTATCCGCGTGCTCTGTCGGATTCCATGGGGTGTTCCAACGTTGCCTCTGACATTTCATACGCCCAAAAACAGCCCTGGATGACAGGAAGGCGGCCGTGGCGGCGTGCCGAGCTTCACACAAACAGGTGAGAGCTGCCCAAGTGCTGTAGCCAAGGGGCGCGTGGGGGAGAGAAATGGGAATCGGGAATGGCGTCACTGGTCGCCCCAGACAACGCGGATCAAATCAAATCAAAGTCGTTTCTCCGGGGCTCGGGCTGTCTGTCTGGGGACTGTGCAGGTGTGCAGAGAGGGCCCTTGTGTTGTTTTGGGCGCACCCTGAAATCCATTGGAAAGCTGGAGAAAGAGAAGAGATCTCGGCTCACACACACATGCAGCTGTAGGCGAGCAGCACCAAGATCGTCACATCACCGCGCGCTATTGAATTGTACCCCTCTGGCTGCTGTCGGCCTCGTAAACTCTATATTTTATTTTCTAGCTATCTTGCGACGTATGTATATCTCTTCTGCTCTCCCGTTGACTTGACTACATCCAACATTGTTATATCATCATCTTTATCACATTGCGACTCACTCGCCACGGTATGTCGTCTGAGGAGAGACTCAGCTAAGACAGACTGACTCTGGTTGGCTGACCACCGCAAAGCTCCTTGCTCAATCCAAACACTGCTGCTTCCCAGCCGACCCGATCACCTCCATCTATTCCTACTCGCACGACGCGATCTTCTGCACCCATCGCAACACCGCAGTCCTCACAATGCGCGCCTCTACCTTCGTCCTGGCATTGCCAGCTGTGGCTGCTGCACAGCAATTTGCCATTCTTGACCAAGTCAAGGGATTCTTCAACAAAGCCACCGAGTCGCTCTCTTCAGCTGTCGCCTCGGCTACCCAGGCCATTAACATTCCCAACCCTGCCACAGCTGCTGCCGCCAAGGTCGCTGGATTGAGTGTGCGCAAGCTCACGCTTGAGAACCACCAGGAGCTTCTCCGACCAGGTGCTGCGACGTCCAGCCCGGGATTGGAGGCCTGGTTCATCTACGTACGTGGATACAAGTGACACACTGGAAACACACACGAGTGTGCTAACGTTGGCTCAGATCACTGGAGGTAACAAGACCTGCTACGGACTCTGCGAAAATGCCGAAATCGCATGGAACACCTCTGTTCCGCTCATCAGCGCCTCGCCGAATGCGCCTTACCTGGCGCTCCTCAACTGCGAGACCGATCCCGTTCTTGTGAGTTTGCGATTTCCAGCCGATGTGAAATGCCGCTAATTCTTTCCAGTGCTACTCTTGGGATGTCATGCCTCCGCGCTTGTTGCACGTGCAAGTCCCTCAGCCTCTCGCCGATCAGTCTCGTGCCGGCACCATCATCCGCTCGATTCCCGTCAACCGCACCACCGTTACCGCTCCTCAGATCGCCTCCTACATTCTCGAAGAGAAGTATCTTCAGGTAGCGCCATACGCGGGCATTTTCCACCCCTTCGATGGCCCACTCGCCAAGGCCAACCTGGTGAGTAGCTCTGGTAATGCGCAACATGGAAGATATGTTTCTGACGGCACAAATAGGTCGTTCCATTCGGATACGTCAAGTGGGGATTTGCGCAAGTTCCTTCGTGGTTGTTCATGGTTGTGGTGTCCTTTGCCAGCCGAAACTTCATGTAAGTCGAACAACTACAGCCGCATCCGATTGACCAAGACTTTTTGCTAATGATACCCACAATAGGAGCCGAAGACTGCCGCAAGGAGGTGCTCCTGCTGCTCCTGCTGGTGCTGCAGGTGCCCGCCCTGCTGCACAGCGATAAATATTTGAATTCAGCAGCAAATGACCACGATGACCATGGTCCGCGAATGGATCTAGAAAAGCAATAAACTAATTCCCACGAACTCGCTGTCAAATCCGACATCCATTATCTGCATGCGTGAAATTTATTACTGTGAAAAGTCGCCGAGATTTGATCGATCGTTGTGCTCTCCGCGGCACCGAATTGCGGCTTTGTTGCAGGGCCATCTGAGCCTGCTCAACGTATGAGCTGGTCTCGTGCATGATAATCACACCACTATTGCTTTGCAACCAATCTCACAACTCGGTAGAGCTGTCATCGGGCATCGCATCACACAGGGAGGTCTCAGCGACCATTCAGAAGGTAATCAAGCTCAGAAGATCGATCTTTTCCTTTTGCCGTCTAATTGAAAGATTAAGCGCAACACCCACATCGAAAAAATGATGTTTTTTTCTTTGAAAAAGAGAAACACGGTCAGAAAATTGCCTTCAACGTAATCTCCTTCCCGCAATGCATAATGAAACACATGTATAGAAGTACAGGTGTGAAAAGGGCCCCAGGATATGGTATCCTAGAAACTGCACGCCGACCACATCTTTCCGTTTTGGGGAGACCAAAGAGATGGAGATCCGGATCCAAGTACCTCCCCCTCGTAAATTGATCGATCCCGCGATGAGTGTCGAATCCATGCACCAGCCGTACTCTCCACCGAGCGCCGTCATTGCCCCTTACGAGGCGTGAAACAAGCCGTATGAGAACGTGGGGAGGAAGAGAGGAATAAAGAGTGCTCAAGCGAGGGTCATTATCGCTTGTCCCCTGTTCGTTGGCCCGTCGCACCCATTTTAAAGAACACTGAGAAAGAAGAAAAAAGAAGAGAAAGGGCGACCCGAAGAGATGCTGTTTGCCCGCCGCCGCTATGCTTGATGTCAAGGACGCACGCCCGTATCATCATGACGACAGCCATGATTTAGTCCTGCTAAATAATGTTCGAAGTGGATGTGATGGGGCGGCGTCGTTCTCGTCGTCTAACGATCGCTTTTTCTTCGGTGAGCCGGCGGGTGGTTTGGCCGCTTTGCAGCCATGCATGAAGGAATTTTTGGGTTGTTTGTATTTTGTTTGAGACCTGCGGAAGAGTATCTACGTTAGCTTTGTTCAAATCTCGACGCAGGAGGGAGATTACTGACCATAATGTCAAGTTTGGGTTGGTGTAGGCTTGCATGTGCTCGTCGATGTACTTCGTGGTTGGGTATCCAATCGGATCACATGTCAATTCACCGTGCTCGTCCTGGTAAATGCGGATGTAGTCGATGCGCATCACCGCGGGCATGAGAGGCGCCAGACCGGTCAAGTTGAGCAGTGCAAAGCCGTCACTGATGCCGAAGTTGGCAATAATGGACATCGGCTCCTCAGGAATTACACGCTGGCCGATGTTTCCGTTGGGTCCGACTGCTTCGCCGCGCACCTTCCATGTCTTCGTATCGCCCACGTTCCAGACAACGTAGCCGTCAGGTCCGGGACGGTAGTCGAAGCCATATTTCTGGTACGCTTTGCCGTCATACCATTGGTTGTTGAGGTTGGTGACAGTGGACAACGCCTGTTGGAAGACACCACCCTGATAACCGTTCATGGCGCTGACTTGTGGATTATAGACCTCGATCCAGTCCGTGTTTGGCCGCCACAGAACATCGAAAGGTGCCACCTGGTAAGATTGCGAGGCAGAGCCAATAGCGTCGGTCTTGTGGAGTGCATCAAGGTATTCGACCGATGCTTCAATGGCATCGATTTCTGGCGCCGATCGACTATAGCCAGGGTTCGGATGGTCTTCGCCAATGCAGGAGCAGGCCGGGAGGCGCATACCGGGAAGATTGCTCACTCCGCCGGGATCAGACTGGTTCGGAGTGATGCCAACATCACATTCGTTATGGTAGCTGTACGGCCACATGCCATCAGTTGATGCGGCGTATCCCGGACGGCCCAAATTGCCCATGGCCCAGAAACCTGGCCAGAATCCAATGGTGTCGCCACGCCCGGGTAAAGAGATTGAGGCCTCGAGGTAGCCGCCCTTGAAGCAAAGTTTGTTCCATGATTGCAGCATACCCGAGCGATAGTTGAGGTTGTGGTTCTGAAATGCATCGAAACGCAAGTTAAGAGTTCCGTTCGCGGTTGTCGCAGCGTCCGGGTCATACCACTCTAGATCGCGAGTTACGCCGTACCAGATGTCCATAGCCTGCCAGTAAGGATCGTCTTCGTCGTAAAACGTCCTACCTGGCGTGTTGAACTCGTCGCTAAACACGAGAAACTGCTTGTTGCCATCCGCTCCCCACCTCTCCTTCACGTTGTCCGGAGTGTCGGGATCGATCAGTCCATGTCGGATGTTGTTCAAAAGGCTGACCTTATCGGAAATACACATCGGATCCTTCTTGCAACTGTTGCCTCCCGGATTTATGGCTTCTTGCACAAACGTTCTGTATTTCGACGAGTTAGTAATTGCGCCTATGAAGGCAGCTGTTCACAAGCGACTTACAAAATTGGGTATCCGATGAACAATATTAGAATGCCAAGGGTGATGAATAGCAAGCCGCCTACGTTGACCAAACCGCGTCGACTGAATAGCTCCTGACAATTCATTTTTCCGTCGCGGTCGCTCGGATCGGGATTGTGCAGCCAGTCGTCTTTCTCCACATCTTCTGGGAACAGTAATAGGCCCGCAGAAGGCATGATGTTGTATTTTTCGCTCACAGTTTGAGTGTTCACGCCATCTTCATCACTGCCAGCGCGCGAGGGCGCACGAGAGTCATCGAACGGCGATGCGAATGGCCCTCCATACCGGCTGTCTCGACTTCCTGCACTTTCTGACGACCACGACGTCCGCCGGCTGTTGTATCCGCTCTCGCCGGTAGTTGATCTCATCGGGCTCTCCTCATCGCGAAACCGGCGTGGCTTACTCTTTCTAGGAGGCAGAAGGAGCTCGACAGATTCCGCTGGCGCTTGTGAAGAATAAGGCGAATTGGCACCGGGCCGTGAGTTTTGTGTCAAAGAACGGGTTGACGATGGTCGAGAGGACTGCGGATATTGTTGAGCAAAGGGCTGACTATGCTGCGACATTTGAAGGAGGTCATCGCTGCCAGAATTCAATCGAATGTGCGGTGGAGCATGCCTTGGTGGCGGTGAAGCGGAGTCGTGGGCCATGGTGAGGTTCGAAGCTGATTATTTCTTTGAATGGCGAGAAACCGGCCAGAGAGAGTGAAAGGAGGGATGCAAGATATGGCAAACAAAATTTGGCCTTGTATTGGCGCGAGTACGCGAGATGGACGCAGGTCAGCAATCAATGCATGAGTGGACCAGCCGGTCTCACGCAGCTACTGCCGTCTTTGTCTGCTGCTATCCCGATACGTTGATTGAGTGATTTGCGGTGGCACCGTAAAAAGGCCTGCTGCTGGCTCTGGGCGAAACAGTGGCGAAGAGAAGACAAGCGAAGAGAGTGGAGGCGACAGGCCGACGAAGGACGCAAAATCTCTGCGAAAGGTGACGTGCCGCGTGGGAGCGAGAGGCCAGACAGTCTGTCGAGCAAGTGAGTGACGGAAGACAGTTGGTGCAGGCAGAAGGTCGAAATTGAATTTGAAAAGTGTAGCAGATGATGAGCAAGCGGTCGTGCTCGCAGGTGGAAGACAGCGTGGCTCAACGGTCGCGCTGCAATTGAGGTGCAGCTATTAAAAAGGGTGGGACGGCGCGATGCGATGCTGACCAAACACGAGAGTGGAAAAATGAAAACTGTACGAGAGAGCGTGTGCCTTTGAGAGAGGACAATGATGGGAGAGGCTGTGCGTGCACGAAACCGGCAAAGAGATGTAAACTGCGACTGTCTACACGAGAAAGGTAGCAGGGTGAGCAAAATGCGGCGTTGGCGATGGGCTGAATTCGCGGTCGCCAGTAAAGCAGTAGTATAGTAGAACAGTGTGATGAATACGAACAAACGCTCATTATTACTCGAGGCGCGGTCCTGGTGTCCACCCTCGCGTTTCCCGTGCATATTCTGGTAGGGTACATTGCCCACACGAGACCTCCTTACGCCGCCCCAGCGGAACGCTTCTCCAGCACAAGTTGCAGCATGACGATGTGCCATCTACCTGTAGTATGAACCATTCTGAGATCGATTGGATGGATGGCACGATCCTGGCCGCACACTGTCAATCCAGCCTCGCTCATCAATTCCCCCCTCTCCGCCGTTTGGAAAACCACCATGTTAATATAATTATGGTACTGGAGTGGACTCCAGCTTGAGGAGAAATACAGAGACAAGGCTAGGCAGGATGCGATCGGCCCAGGGGTAAAGCGCCTGCGCCGGGTGATCGTCACGGGGCGGTGATTGGTGCATTTCGCAAACTGGTTTGTGTGTGTGCGACCGACGCGCGCCCAGCTTCGCACTGGTCCAGCGATTTCCTACCAATCCGTGCCCATACAAGGCTATTTGAATCGGAATTGGATTGTGAGGATAGGTCACCAACATGCTAATGGGGCCTTTGCCATCGTCATCGGCAGATTCGCCTGCGAATCGTGTGCTTCTCGGATGTTCGGACCTGCCAGCATACGCTATTTCGCCGGCACGACCGGCACAGCCCGGTTCATTGATTACACCGTCCAACGCTCAAACACGCGTCCTGTACTGTGTGGAGAGAACTTCCAGCTCTACCTTTTGCCGTCATGTCCACAGTGCCGCCAGCCATCAACAGGATGATCTTCGTCGCTGAGCGAGCTTTGAGTCTACGATGCAACAGTCATCGAGGCAGCCTATGTCTTGTAGTCAGACACTTGCTAATAATCGAGGAAGGTATTGAAAGTGGACGAGTACTTCTGGCCAGCAGGGTGCATCATAAAATAGAATATGCAGTTCAGACTGCAACCACCATGATCATCCCAACACTAATAATGCTGATGACAATGCCACGCACTTGGGTCGCATGCTCGGAGTCGTTGTCCATCATCTTCGCGTACGTATGGTATCGCCTCCACGTCTGCACACGTCTACCGTTACGACGGCGGGGACCGATGTATCTGTCTTACCAGATAAATCACGTTCGTTGACACGGTACATCAACCGGCGTAAATTCACAATTCTCCGCCCTGCTGGCTCGTGTTAATTGCTTGTCCACGTAGTCTGTTAGTTGTCCCATCTGTATGGCGTAAAGATGACCATTGCGGCATTCGATGGTGTCTGCGCCAACGCCGATGAGAGAGGAGGCCGTTTCGTCACCGCCCGGCATCGACTGACCTATGGAACTCGTGATGATGATAATAATAAGACTATTGGATACTCCAGCTCAATGATTTTGAGGTCTATCAGGCACTTTTGCAAGCATGCAGGTGCCCTAAAAGTGATGGGAGGCTCGATACGTTCGGTCGGCCTCCGAATGGACGCAAGACGGCATCTATTCAGATGCAGCTCATGTCCAGAACGAACGCCCGGGCGTGGAATCTACCTGAGTACTAAACTCACGGCATGGCACTTCCTGGACACAGAACGTAGTGATTTGCCCAAGAGACGCCGTCGTGAAAGCAAGTCGGCTTTCGTTCCGCTGTTTCTATTAAGAACCTTGCAAGGATATTGCTGGTCACGTCGAGTGACAGCTGGAGCATACATGCACACGTGAAGCATGTCCCAGCCTTGATCAGCTAATTACCCGCCTTGCGTTTGCGCTATAGAAACATGCGAGCACTAGGCATTTGTGCCATAGCGTAGATGTGCATTGGCCGATGCTATCTTTGAGGAGCCAGTCTTGCATAATTTATTGCTGGGCGCTATAGACGCGGCTTGCAACAGACAGTATCCCTTTGTCTGACCATTTGCCCTACCATAACGTGCCTGGGAATTCTGCGTGCGCTATACCCTTTTGGTGCTTCTAAGGTGAACCACCCGCAGATGCGCACAAATTTTGCCCCCTCATCATCGATCATGTAGTTGATGTGCAAGCTGGAGGTCATCAGTGCTATTTGCGAGACTCTCAAGTTGTTTCCAATTTGATGCATTAATAAGCCTCTGAAGAACTACCTAGATACTACGACGACTTTGCAGTTTTAAGGTCGTACAAGATCTAATCTGCGATATTACAAACAATTGACAGATAGGATGGAGGCAGATCGTGCTGTCGCAAACCTGGCGCCGGAATTGGAATCCGTCAACCTCAACGGCGAAGCGGAAACGGCCCCGAAGACACCGAAGAGGCGTTTCATTGGCAGAAGAGCCGCAGATGCCAAAGCTGCCGCTCTGTCTGACGTGACCACCGAGCCGAACGCAACAAACGCAGCGTCCCTGTCAATTGAGGATAGTGGTGCAATACAAGGTGCGTTGTGACCTCGCCGCCTGGCCATTTAAACACAAGTCGAAGCACTGGCTGAACACATTGATCGATTTAGTTGCACCTCGTAGACGACCCGCGCGCCTTCTGAACAACGTGCCTGATGAGATTCTTCACAATCAGGACATCAACGATGCCATCGCGCTGCTGCCACGCAATTACAACTTTGAGATACATAAGACTATCCACCGCATCAGAACTGCAAATGCGACCAAAATTGCACTTCAAATGCCGGAGGGCCTCCTGCTGTTTGCAACGACCATCTCAGATATTCTGACTCAATTTTGCCCTGGTATCAGCACTTTGATCATGGGTGATGTAACGTACGGAGCTTGCTGTGTTGACGACTACACAGCTCGCGCCCTGGGCTGCGATTTGCTGATCCACTACGCACATTCGTGCTTGATCCCCGTCAATGTCACCAAGATCCAAACGCTGTATGTATTTGTCGACATTCAAATTGATGTTCCGCATCTGCTAGCCACTATTGAGCGTAACTTCCCTCGAGGACGCACACTGGCTCTGGTCGGGACTATCCAATTCAACGCAACACTGCACGGAACCGCGACGCAGCTGCGCACCGCCGGGTACAATGTCATTGTCCCACAAATCACGCCGCTGAGCAAGGGCGAGATTCTTGGCTGCACTTCACCTCGAATGTCAAGGGATCAGCACATTGATGGTTTGCTCTATCTTGGTGATGGCCGCTTTCATCTGGAGAGCGCCATGATCCACAATCCGACCCTTCCAGCATATCGCTACGATCCATATTCCCGCAGACTGACTCACGAGACATACGATCATGCTCGATTGCTTTCTGATCGCTCTGCTGCACTCGTGCAGGCCCGGTCTGCACGCAAGTGGGGCTTGGTTCTCGGGAGTCTCGGACGTCAAGGTAATCCTCATACGTTGCAACTGATTGCGAACCATCTCAAGGCGCGCGGAACGCCTTATGTGCACCTGCTGTTGAGTGAAGTATTCCCTGGCAAACTCGCGCGCATGCCCGACGTCGAATGCTGGGTTCAAGTCGCATGTCCGCGCTTGAGTATCGACTGGGGCAGTGCATTCGCTCGGCCGCTTTTGTCGCCATACGAAGCACTCGTGGTGTTAGGCGGGCGAGAAGGGCGCTGGGAGCAGGGAGGGGTGGGGAAAGTTCAGCCGACCCTGGCGTCGACGAAGGATGAAGAGATATTCTATCCAATGGACTTCTACGCCAAAGAGGGACTTGCACGGTTGAAAGCAGAAGATGCTGTCATTCCTAGTGAATCATGACAGCAGCAGCGTAAGGGGCACTGGTGTGACGCCTGAGGCGCGTTCTGGGTTGCGGGAGACAGAAGCCGTGTCATCGATAGATTTCAGTTGTTGCACGTACGCAACTTACCGTAGCTTCGCGCAATGTGATTTTGACTTCGTGTCCGAAACGCTTCTCGCTGACAATGCGATCGTAGCAGACAGTACGTATCTATGGATACCTGGGTGCTGTCGAAGTGTGGGCAAGTTGAAGTCTCAATGTTAGATGCTCTTGTGCTGTAGACAATGAGTGACCGAACTTTGAAGGGACGCGCTAGCCGTCAGTGATAGCCGTTTCGGGACACGCTTTGTCCCGTACCCCGATTGGACAATTACATCACGAGGGTCATCAGCTATGACTTCGCGTTAAGTCTATCAGCTAATGAGACTGTCGGCGCGCTTGTATGTGTTCGATGCCGCCGTCTAGCGACACTGCTGCTCAAGCGACATGAATTGTTGACAGGATGCCTCACTCTCGCTCATCGCCTCCAAGATCGGACAGTCTCGCAAATGTAGCCTTCTCATCCAATCTCCGACACCCTGATTCACAATGCCGGCTGCCACTGCTGAACCGTCCAACATCCGCGCATTTGTGCACTGGAATAGACCAACGATATATGCTGGAGAAGAGATTGAATGTATCATCACCTTCAAGAATATTGCCCGGTCATTGAACCACGCTGGACGTGCAAGAGACAGGGTGAAGGCAACGGAGAATGGCAGCTTAAGAGATAGTCGAAGGGCATCCTACGCACAATCGATCGCAGTACCGAGCAGAAAGGGGTCCGTATCGACGAACATCTCTTCTGTTGTGCGTACCCCATCGCAAACGCAATTGGGTAAAGGGCACCGGCCGACTCTATCGCTAAATGTCGTGAGCGCATCATCACGGTCATTGCCACAGGCCGCGAATGCGATATCCTCACCAGCGGTGGGCACCAAAGCAGCGAAGAGCCATGGTAGAACGCTATCAATCATATCCATAGGTGGTGAGAGCCCTGCCGAGATCCGTTCACCACCGAGCGCAGGCTATGGAAGAAGGTCTGGGGGACATGTGCGCAGCGCCAGTCTTCAGCATGTGCCGAGGGCGGGCCTTCCGCCAAGTAGTCCCGCCATAGCCTTCTCGTCTCCACGACAGCCTTCACCGTTGTATGAGACCATCAGTCCCACCTCTACACCCGAACCCTCGGCTCACCAATTGCCGATTCGGCCGGCTCGACGGAAAGCTGGCATTGTATCTGCAGGCAACACGCCGCAAATTGCACGCAGACCGAGTCTAAAGCAGAAGGGAAGCGCAGAATCATCTGGCAGCGCGTTCAAGTTCCCAGCCGAGCCCTCGAACGCCGACTCGCTCAATCCTTCCGAGATCGAGATGCCTAAACCGGCTCGAACGCCAAACAATATGCACTCCAGCCAGACGCGGCATTTTCAACCTCGACCAACTTCGGAAAGCTGGAGTCACCCGGCCAATAATCTCAACCCACTGACCCGTGTCATGTCCGAGTCATCAACTGATGGCACTCCACGTTCCAGTAGTGAGATATATACCATGAGCAACGCAAGCGACGAGACTCTTACGTCGGAGGTTCCTTCTCATCTACATGTTGGAGGTCGACGTGGGCCGAAGGGGTCTTCTTGGGGAGGTGGACAGCATTCCAGACAGGCATCTCGCTCTCCGCAGACCCGGCCAGCAGACCAGGAGACACTCATGATGGCGTATGCTCAGACACGCGGCCACTTCACACTCGACGGCAGCCTGGTGAATGCCGATCCATTCGAAGAAGTCAAACGAAAAGGTGTCCAAGGCGGCGGCGGTGTGATCGGTGTAGAGCGCTCGAAGCGATCTTCCGGGATATTTGGCTCATTCGGCTGGGGAAATCTGGGCGAGTCATTAGGAGGGCTACTGGGCAACGATGAGATGAGTTCCATGGCACAAATGAAAGCGACGGCCGGGACCAAAGAGATTCCGTTACTTTCGACACCACAGAGCCTCCTTTTCGTTGATCTTAAACTTGCTCCCGGTGAGAGTCGAAGTTACAGCTACCGCTTCACTTTACCACATGGCCTGCCTCCAACATATCGTGGTCGAAGCATCAAAGTTTCCTATCATCTGTCCCTTGGCGTTCAGAGACCAGAAGGCCAGGCGACGCGGCACGTTGAAATACCATTTAGGGTCCTTGGGAGCTATGACTCAAGAGGCGAGGCATTATCTCACGATCTAATGCAGCCATATGTCTTGCTACAGGACGCAGCACGCACAATGACGATAAGCCCCGATGTGAATTCCAGCTCGAGTTCATGGCCTCCATTTCCCAGCCGTCTAGAACCGAAGCGGCCGGTGAAGCCTCCGGCACAGGGATTCGAAGACTTTCTACGCTACACTGAAAGGCTACTCGAGATGTCCCATGATCCAAGCAATTCTTCTAGTGCTTTGCTCTCGCCAACATCGCCTTCCGCTCAGAATCTTCCCGTCTCCCGTCAAGGCAGTATCGCAGACCTTGCACCTGCCACAGCACGGGAAGCAATAGATTTCGCCATCATGCGATCCAACATTATCAACGGCCAGCCCAAATCTGTTGCTACGAACAATACTTCTGCCGGCAACAGGCCACTCCCATCAAGCGCCAATCGTTTCAACATCGCGCGAGCCGGTCAGCCCATCTCAGTCCTCACTCTTTTGCGTCCAGCATTCCGCCTTGGCGAGGCCGTTACCGGCATTCTCGATTTCACCACTCCGATTGGCACATCTGCCCTTGCAATCCCGGCCTCAACATACAGTATCCTGATCGAACTCGAGTCTTTCGAAGAGATCGATCCGTCCTTAGCCATTCGGAGTGGGACTTCGATCACCCGCTTGTCGCGAAAAGTACACGCAGCCATGCGAGAGAATGTTCTCTATGCTCGGCGTGTAGCCTTTCACCTAGCCGTTCCGGCTGCGGCATCGCCATCATTTCTCACAACAGGAGTGAGTCTGAGCTGGCGTTTGCGAGTGGAATTCACTACGCAACGAGCGCCTGCTACTGGAGCCACGCATCATCAGCAGCTACCAACGACGTCGGGGTTGGGTCTGGGAATCCAAGGTCACGATAGAGAGAACATGAGTTCGGCGCCACCCAGACATTCGCCAACACACGCAAACGAAACCAGTGCAGCATCTAGAACCATCAAGTCACCGTTGCGCGATGATCAAAGTCTTCTGGAAATCTTGGGAAGCGACGAGCGTGGTACAACATTCCTAGCTAAGGAGCATCTCGTTGCCGATTCCTTTGAGATTGCTGTGCCATTGCGGGTTTACGGTGCCATCGGTATCGATGCTGGAGCAACGGAAACGGAGGCACTGGAAGTCTGAGCAACCTCGACTTCTCGATTTTTGCCCTGCTGGAAGCCTGTAGGATGTTCGGAGAGCTGCGAGGCCACATGGTGGATACAAGCGTGATCATATTATATGTCATACAACTTCCAGCATGAGCTTTGTGCTGATTTCTGACAGTAATTGATGTGGAAATCTGAACAATCTTCAATGTACCATTAAGCAGCATACTTGCGAGTTCGACGATGTTTTTTATTGGCGGCCCTTTCGGTCTGAAGACATAATGACATCAATCACATCGGAACTGATCATTGCTGACGAGGTCCCGCTTCATCGAGCCCTTCCAAACCTTGCATGGGATCTCCGGTCTTGCCATCTGCGCCATTCTCCTCCAGTTTGTCGTCATCATTGGCATTATATTTGGACGCATACCCTTCCTGTCGACACTCTTGATTAGTCACCGACGAATGTGCATGAATCACTCAGGATACATACCTGTTCCCAGACCGCCGTCCTACTGCCTAGCCCTTCGTTAGCATCCTTCTGCGATTTGGCCTGGTTCACTTTGATGACACGGCCATAGAGCTCAGCCTGATCCATGTTGGCAATGGCCTCACTGGCATCCTCGGCCAGCGAAAATTCAACATAGCCAAATCCTCGGTGTGCCTCTTTCGAAGATTTCCTGATTAAATGTAGACTGTTAGATAGACAACAGGCGAGCAAAATCATAGTGGCAATCATACAGTTCTGGCTTTGGCAAGGATACGGTCACAATCTCGCCGAAGGGTAGGAATGCGTCATGCAAAGTCTGTTCAGTCACTTGCCCATCGAGACCACCCACGAAGACCGTAGTCCTCGACCGCGTAGCATCAGACATTCCTATTCGACTCGAATGGCATTCGACTGCGCAAATGTATCGCAACTATTATAACGGTCACGTGCATTGCTTTGATAGCTGATTTGCGCCAAGTCTTCCTCTACCTGCACAACGTCACGGGCGCCAGCTGAATACAGTAGGGTCCAATGTGGGCGCGCATAGCTTGCCCACCACCCACAGGCGCCCGCCCTAATCGATGCTGTTGGAAGGGACACCTATGTAGTATTCAATAATCCACCACCACTGCGAAATCCTGATCTGGCGACAACAATTAAACTCCGAAATCGCCCCTCACTACCTTGGTCGATTTTGTTTTCATGTGCGAATTTTGAGGTTCTGCTGTTTTACAAGTTCCTTCACAGCAGACAAGATGGTCCGGCTACGAGAGATCTCGCGCACCGCCGTTTTTGCCTGGTGGTCTGGAGCTGGTGCCCCACTAATCGTTACTGGAACCCGCGCAGGCGCAGTCGATGACGATCAGTCTGGCGACATCAAACTTGAATTCTGGGACTTGGGACTGGACAAGATCGAACAGAATCCAGAGCTCGAACCCGCCGGCAGCATCACCACTGAATCTGCCTTCAACGACATCGCATGGAGTGAGGCCGACGATGAACATCCGCTTGGAGTAATAGCTGGTGCATTGGAAGATGGATCGATCATACTATGGGACGCGCAGAAGCTGAGGCGTGGGGATGCGGATGCGCTCATCTCGAAGACCACTAAGCACAGTGGCAGCGCCAAAGCCCTGCAATGGAATCCTCACAGGCACAACCTCTTGGCATCGGTTGGTGTCAAGGGAGAGATTTTCATCTACGACCTCAACAATATGGCAAATCCCTTCCGACTTGGCGGAACTGCGGCAAGGGCTGATGACATCGAGTGTCTAGACTGGAATAAGCAAGAAAAGACGGCACATATCCTTGCCACTGGCAGCAGCGGTGGATTCGTCACAGTCTGGGACGTCAAACAGAAGCGTGATATTTTGACGCTCAATAATCTTGGACGAAAATCAGTTAGCGCCGTGGCATGGGATCCAGAAGAGAGCACTAAACTCGCGACTGCATCGGGAAATGATTTATCACCATCGGTGTTGCTATGGAATTTGCGCCAGAGCAGTGCTCCTGAGCGGGAGTTAAAGGGTCACGAAGTCGGTGTACTCGGATTGTCATGGTGCCAGCAGGACCCGGATTTGTTGCTATCTGCCGGAAAAGATCATCGCACAATCTGCTGGAATCCCAAGACCGGGGAAAAGTATGGCGAGTTTGCCGCAGGATATTGGGCTTTCCAGACAAAATGGAATCCGCACAATTCAAGTCTCATTGCGAGCGCCTCCCTGGACGGAAAGATCATCATCTTGTCCATCCAAAATGTTACCTCTCAAAAGGAGGAGCAGGCGAATTCATCACAGGCAGCAAGTAGCTTGGACTTCTTCGAACAGGTCCAGACCCAACCACAGAGCATATCTTTCAATGTCCCGAAAGCACCCAAATGGCTCGCCCGACCAGCGAGCGTGGCCTTTGGGTTTGGAGGCAGGCTTGTAAAGGTCAGCTCGGACGCAAGTCGCAAGAGCACGATTACAATTGGTACCTTTGCAGCCGATGAGACCATCGGTGAAGCGACCACCAAATTCGAGGAACAACTGAAGAGCGGCGATATTGCTGGAATTTGTGCCGCAAAGATTAGCGATGCTTCAACAGATGAGGAAAAGGCAGACTGGCAGGTCATTGAAACCCTAAATGCAGGCAAATCACGGAAGCTACTGAGGCGTCACCTTGGCTACGAAGATTCTGTTGAGCAAGAAGCGGTTGGTGCAAGCGGTGCTGCCAGCGATGACAAGCTCAAGCCGGAAGAGGCCGCTGAGGATGACTTCTTTGGCAGCGGAGGTGACGGCGACAACTTCCTCTCGAACCTGGCGGCTACAAAGGGCGTTAAAACAAACAACCCATTCAAGATCCACTCGGAATCGCAGTCGGTAGCGGACAAGGATATCACACGAGCTCTCATGCTTGGTGAATTCGAATCGGCACTCGATATCTGTCTGAAGGAAGGGCGAATTTCCGACGCGTTCATGATTGCAGTCTGTGGTGGTCAAAAGTGCATCGACAAGGCACAAGCGGCGTATCTGAAGTCGCAAGCTGACGGCCCGCAATACATTCGCTTGCTTGCCAGCATTGTCGGAAAGAACCTTTGGGATGTGGTTCATAATGCGGATCTCGCCGACTGGAAGGAAGTCGTTGCTACCTTGTGCACGTATGCCGACGAGACCGAATTCTCTGACCTTTGTGAGGTTCTTGGTGATCGTCTTGAGGAAGCGTATCAGCAGGGTGATAGCACAAGCACTCTGCGCAAAGATGCTTCATTCTGCTATCTAGCGGGTTCAAAGCTTGAGAAGGTGGTGAACAACTGGGTGCAAGAACTGCAGGAGCAAGAGCAAGCCAGTTTCGCAAAATCAGTGGATCAGAATGGCTTCTCCGTACACGCAAAATGTCTTCAAGATTTCATTGAAAAGGTCACAGTCTTCAGAAAGGTGACCAACTTCCAGGATGGTGAGCTTCAATCAGCAGAAGACTGGAAACTAGCACCCCTGTACAAGCTGTATGAGGAGTATGCCGAGATACTCGTTGCCCATGGCCAAATCAGCACTGCTGAGCAGTACTTGAATCTGCTTCCGCCCAAATTCGGCGGCGCGGAATCCGCCCAGCAGCGAGTAAAGAGTGCTTCAACCAAAGGTGCTGCTCGATCCCAGAAGCCAGCTGCGGCGCTTCCCAACCGCACAGCTCCCGGCGCTCAACCATCAGCACAGCCATTCCAACCTGTGCAGCCTCTGATCAACCAGGCCCGCAATGCCCCATCTCCTTACGCCCCTGCTGGTATCAGCGCGCAGGCTCAACCAGCGGCAAATCCTTATGCACCTGCTGCGAGTCCTTACGCCCCTGTTGGTTACCAACCTACTCAACCTACTGCCCCGTATGGACAGCCTTCGCAGTACGGTGGATACCAGCCGCCCTCACAACAATCCGCAGCTCCTCCTCCGCCTCGCGCAGGTGGTCTACCTCCATCTGCTCCATCGACAACTTCGGCGAAGCCCGCTTCGGACTGGAACGATCTGCCAGAAAACTTCTTGGACAAGCGCGCACCTCCTTCACGCCGCGGTACCCCTGGACCTCAGAGCGCAGGCGCTCCTTACTATCCTGCTGCGAACCCGGCTGCGACTCCACCTGTTGCATCACCATACGGCTTCCAGAAGCCCGTGCCAGTAGCACTGCCACCACCACCCAGGGCTGGCGAAACACCCCCAAGGATCACATCCCCTCCAGTCAGCTCACCTCCGCCTCCACGTACATCGTCATCACTGGGTACCGCATACACTCCTCAGCAGTCACAAAACTTGGGCTCGACTCTTCCTCCGCCGTCGGCTCCTCCGCCACTCCAGCGTGGCGCCTCTCCTTACCAGCCACCACCATCGACATCAACAGCTGCACCCTCTAATAGGTATGCACCGGCACCCGGTTCGCAGCCGACGCCGTTGGCTGGTTCAATGCCAGGCCAGAGGAATGTTGCTCCGAACCCATACCAAGCGCAGCCGTCACCATATGCTCCGCAACAATCGCAACCTCCGGCGCCGTATGGTCAGCCTCAAGCACCGTATGGTCAACCTCCACAACCTCAGGCGCCACCCCCGCGCGCCGGGCCTCCACCGCAAGGGCCGCCTCGAGGTGGTCCTCCTCAAGGTCCACCGCAGGCTGGACCGCCACCGTCCGCCGCGCCCTCGCAGGGACCTCCACCTGTTGCGCGACAAAAGCACCCCCGGGGAGATCGATCACACATTCCTCCGAACGCACAACCTATCGTCGACTTGCTTACCCCAGAGGTGGCCCGAGTTAAAGCGATGGCGCCTCAGAGTTTCAAGGCATCGGTTGAGGACATGGAGAAGCGGATCAACATCCTATTTGACCACCTCAACAACGAAGATCTGTTGCAACCCGACACCGTCCAGCAGATGGTCCAGGTGGCGCAACATGTGCACAACAAGGAATGGGACCAGGCTCAGGCGCTCTTCACAGAGATGTCGACTACGAAGGCAGCTGAAGGGACCAACTGGATGGTACGTCGTCCGATCACTTTATCTTGTGCTTGAACAATGTAACTGACTTGATCTCGCAGGTGGGCATCAAACGATTGCTGTCGATTGGTGGCATGAAGAAGACGTAGATGTTGATGGCATAATCTGCACCTGTCCGCGCCGGGTGCATGAGCGCTGGGGAAGGAAATAGACGTTGCTGACTTTCGATCTTGATGAATCATGACACGCTCATTTGCCTCGAGCTTACGATGCGTGCGTTCATCGAGGCATAAGAAGCCACACTGTGTTGTTTCGCCGCCAACATGATATAATATATGATGCGGTAATTTCATCGAAAATCCACCACGTATTCTGCAGCCACGCGACGAGAGATGTACTATGGATGACCAGACTGCAACGTGATTACGTTCGCACCTTCGAACAAGCCCAATGTCAACCCTAACGATAGCATCAACCCTAGCCATCTACATTCCCAAGGTTCCAAGGGTTTACATGTCGTATCGACAATTCCATTAGTAGTAACATTGCATTTCAATGGAGAAAGGGTGAGAGAAGGCATCAGGACATGGAAAACGCTTCCGCAGCATAATCGCCACACTCTGCTCGAGGCGGTCCGGAGTATCACACCACCGAAGCACCACATGTAGCTGGAAATGGGTTCGTTCTACATCACATTCAGGAAACACCAACCCATTTGCGCGTGCGCCGTACGATTGTGCTCCAATGTCTGTACACCAACACATACACTGGCCTCAACAGCAATTGTAAAGTGTTGTATTCACGTATGACGGTCTTGTCAAGGGTGGTACGGCAGGTGTGCTGGAGGATTCAACGCGGCGCGAGGTGGTTTTGGCCCTCGGCAGTCGCCGTTGAAGCATTCGCGCTGGACATGGCTGCGTGCTTGATGGCCGTTCGAAGAAACGATCGTGTTGCGATGTTGCTCGTCTCCGCTGCTCCATCGGCGGTGAAGATGCGAAGTGATCAACATGCGTAGAAGTCGTGCGACGTCAATGCGGCATTGGAATGCATTGGGGAAGCTCTTTCTAAGTGGAAGCCTGAAGGAAGACGCAGCCGGACATACAGCTGGATGCAGACACTGTACAGGCAAGCGATCTTAACATTGAATGCCAGGCTCAGCAACTCCGGCGCGCCTGGGAAAAACGCACGGGTCTGCAGAATCTTTCGCAGAGCCTCGCATTCTCTCCGCCGTTGACACGATCAAATGCTGGAGATGAGCGATCGAGCAACGGCCCGGCAACGGTCGGACTAGACTGTTGAGCACACCCTGCTCGCTTAACCCATAGTTTTCTTCCGAGCGCGTCACGCTCGACGATGATGCTATCACGGGCGCACGGGTGCAGAATCGGGCAGTCGGATGAGCGCAGCCGAGGGAAACATACATGGGGCAGGTGTGGCGAGGAACGCCCCAGCTGGAACATTTGGCGATAGTCCAGTCGGCCCCCGAAATTGTCCTTACGTGCTGCGCCGGTCTATCGGGGTCTTCATTCGTGAGTGTTGATCCAAGAGTTGAGGCGTGGAAGGTCCGATCTTAATGCGTGAAGACAAAAATTATGTACGGTGTAAGAACTGTCCAGTCGTCGCGGAAGGACATTTACAAAGGTCATTTGCAATGTCAAACATCCCGTCTAGTTTCACGCCCCTGCAGGAAGTCCCGAGGTCGCGAGAGCATAATGGCTACCTGCTCTCCTCTCAATTCTGCTTGTCTCATTCCCCGGTCATCGGATATGATGGCGATGTATGCCGGAAGGGGGGCGAGAGCTGGTCGCGGGCACAAGGGAGGGCGTCGGAGCTATGCACCGTTGTAATGTCCATCTCCTCTCGCGCGCGCGCAGGTGGGTCATTACCAGAGGGAAAATCCGCCATGCACCGTGCCAGGCGTCCATGGCGCGATAACGCGCTGCGATCAACGTCTGCGCGGACCTTGGAAATTTGGTCGACGCTTGGAGGATACAGCCGGGCCATTTTTTTTCTTCGCTCTCCCTGTTGTGAGCCTAGCCTGGATGGGCTTCATCTGCTTCAACGTCGTTGAACGGCCTTGCCCGTTTGTGCGACCGCTGAAGGGAACGTCGCATTGACTCGCGTGCAGGGCGGATGCGCTGTTGACGATGAAGACACCAATGTTTAATCATTAATGGGAAAGGCTGGGGTGCGAGGTCTAGGGGCAGCAGGTGTCACAATGTATCGCAGCGTACCGTACAGTATACCCCATGCGCAGCATTCTCGAGCAGACGAGCACTTTCTCCTTGTGTTCCCTACCCAGATAGGCTATGCATGTGTGCTAGATGGTTCTCATCTGTGCTTTGAAACATATTGGAGTACGTGATCTAGTCGTCAGCACATATGCAAGCAGCTTCCGAGCTGTGCGAAACGGAGGTTAGTTCGCATGTGCTGTGGCTTCCTGTGCAGTTCGTCTGTGTGCAATGTATGCATCTCCGATCAAGGACGTTCAGTAGCTTTCCTACATCGCGACGGCGTACAACTTCTATCGAGAACTACAGGTTGAGGGGCGCAGATTGCATATGCTCTCTTGGCGTTATCTCTTTGCAGCGGACAGTCCTACAAGGCTTGCAAGAGTTTTCAAACACTGAAGATTGCCTCTACCATTGTTCACAGGTGACGTTCACATTCTTCGAGAATGATGAATACCGAGTTGTCGGACAGGATAAACCATGTTCTCCATAGCAATATTGGTTTCGGCGGTGATCGGACCTCAAACCGAAGACACAAGATGGAAAATGACAGATTCCGACGAGTCGAACTTACTGTGACGACGACCTCGGAATATCCCATTCGTTGAGACTGATGAAGCCGAGCAATCGCGACAGATAATGCATTGTGCACAGTGTTTCCCGAAAGCTGTCTCTCCAGTATCTGTGTGCCTGAGGTAGGCGTCGTGACTGGTAATCCTCGGTAGATTCGGTACTTGATGCGATACAGGGAACCCGACCTGCTCAGCGCCCTTGTGCGCAATGCTGATGAAATGGATGATGAGGTGAACGCTAATAAGGCAGTCACACCCCAGTGGGTGATCCCGCACTCCCGACATACCACCACCACCATCACGACTGTCATCAGCATCATCACCACCACCACCAACCTCAGTGCCTGCTGGGCATCGTGGAGGAGACAAAGAGGGCGCTAGAGGGGGTGGGCGCAAAAAGCCAGAAGGTCTCACCCTCCCGTCCGATGATGATCAAGTTGGCAGCCATGGGCCTTGCCTGCCGTTGCCGCCTCCTCAAGCCACCCGCCGCCCACCGTTCGATCCACTCCGCCTGCAACGTGCGTGTAATTATTACCCTCCACCCATCAGGCCTGGACCGACACCATCCCAGCCTCTTGCCGGCTCACCCTCTCTACTTCCGCCCTCGCTGCCTGTGACGCCCTTCATCATGCCCGTGGACGACGCGGGCAGCAAGTTGGGGAAGCTGGACTTGACGCCAGCATTTCTGGTTCGCCCTCACAGTAGCTCGCCAACTTCTCCCGCCAAGAGTTGTTTCTGTCCAGCTGTTTCCTCGTTGCTTATTTCCCCATCGCGACCCCGTGGCATCGATTGTGCCGCCACGCGCGCATGCGCCAAGCCCGGCAGGTTGTATGCATCACCCTGGATATATGATTCGTCCAATTTGCATTCGCCGAGTGTGATCAATGGGCAGAATGAGCCAGGCACGAGTCGTAGACGATGGGAACCTCAGCGCTTGCGTCGAGTCCATCATCAGCGGTCCATTTCACGTTCGTAGAACCGACGAAGCATGTCCGAACGCTCTATAAACTCGCATGACAGCTTTGGGGATATGGTAATGTGTAGACAGGAATTTCCACAGATGCATTTGCCCGCGAAGTTTGGTCATGCCATGCATACTCAATGGTACAGTATCGAGAGCGGGTGCGGGTACTGTACACTCGGCGGATAAGCAGATCGCAAAGCTGGACCAGTAAGTACAGCGCCCCCCATGATCTTGCATCTCCAATCTGCCTGCCTAGAGATCTATGTGCGTCGAGGGATGATGCGCAGTTTGTGCCGGTGGGGCGTGTGTGTGCCAAATGTGGGATCGAACCACAGCGCCATTTGCGTAGCCATGAAACTTCCGGCACCAAGGGCGGAGGATCGAAGAGGAGGTGCTGGCCAGGTTCACTTTCGGCTGGACACCTCCACATTGTGCACTGCTGACTGATGATGTCGACTGCGTTGTCCGTTTCCAACCATGCTCTGTGCCTCAGGCACGGAATCATCGTCACCCCTGTGTGGAGTCGTCGCCGGGGCAAGGTCGTACAGTAGTACAGTATGCGCATGGTGGTCTACAAACTATGGACTGCAGTTTCATGTGTGGATTTGTACATGTACAATGTACGTGGGCTCTCAGGTCCTGAAATCGGTCTCGTCATCCGGACTCAGTTGCGGAACGCGCCCAGTCTGGTGCGAGGTCATACAAGGTAACGCTCTTGACAGGGTATTTTATGAATTCGAGGGGAGATGTTGATCCGCATACCGGTAGCGATAAGGGAACCATGTCTTGGTAAGGAAAGGCTTTGACATGCAATATTTGGAAAATTCATGCGTATCAAAATGATGAACATGCTTCACAGTACCCAGGTACGACGACGACTGTTCCCTGGCAGATATAAATAGGTGGCCATGCAACATCGTTGAGGGTCACGACCCATTTCACTCCGGCATCAATATGATGGGAAACTTTACTCGAGCGGAAGGCGAATACCTAGGCATGCCGGGTGATGTCGGTGAATGGTACCGTCGTTTGAAATGGTGGAATAACAAGATTGCCGTTGCCTTTCTACGCATTCCGCATTGCTCACGAGGGCGCGCATGAACAGCACACGCAACGGAAAGATCATGAGAGAGTATTTGGTCTTTGTCATTGCGAAGAATGACTGCAGGCGTTCCTGGGAGGATACGGTAAACGGACAAATTTGCAATTGCACGCGATGGGAAACGGCACGATGTGTGGTGGGAACAGCGGTAGCATCGTCGCTTGGAACACGTTGCAGCGACGATGATGAGAGGAGCAGATAGGCACGATAGGAACCGAGTTTGGGCAGTCGGGAGACGACGATGTGACGAGGGGGAAGCGAGTGAGCGGCGATGAGATGGACGTTGTCGCGAAAGAGGGCCGTTTGGAGTCGGGAAAGCCGTTCAGCAAGTGTAAACGTCTTCCAAAATTATAAAAAAACTGGCGCAGAACTCTAATCAACCCCGATCCAGAAAGAAGGCTTTGGAGAGGGTGTGGCGGCCCGCGAGAGACGATGATGAGTGTACCTGGGTACGTACAGGCTCTACCTCCGATACATGTGGGTGGAATAGCCAGTATGGGTCTACAGGTGGGTGGGCGGGTGTGAGAGTGCGTGTGTGTGCGTGTGTGTGTGTGGTGTGTGCGTCCCTATGTATCTGTGTGGCTCCCCTCCCGTACAGTCGAACAGGAAGAAGCTAAGAATGATCAGAGAGAGTCCCATGCATGCAGGTGCCGTGGCTTTTCGTCGTTTTTAGTTCCTCGACACCCACACCCACACGCACACACACGCACGACACGGTGGAGTCGTTTTTAACAGCACAGTAAGGTCGGGACCGTCGGTCGGACTCAGATTCCCATGCGCTTCCTTCTCTCCAGCTTCTGTTCCCTACCGTAGCGTCTACAGTGATTGCCTGTCCGAGTGTGGGTGTGTGTCTGTGTCCGTCTGGTCGGTGGATCCTGTCTGGCTGGCTGCGCTTGCGTGCGTTTCGTCGTTGCATTGCCCCGTTCGTGATCCCTCTCGCTTCCTTACCTGGTGTGGTCAAGCCTTCTCTACACCCGTCGTCGTCGTCGGCCTGGCTCTGCTTCTCACCTCTCGTCTCTTCCGACTTCTCCAGCTTCACTCACCCAAGCAAGATCGTGTCGGGCGTGCTTGACTCCATGCAAGCTCACCTTCCGTCTGCTGTTGTTCCTTGCTGAGCCTCGACCCGTGTGTGCTTTTACCATTCGAGATACACACTCATCTCAAACACACCATTCGAGCTTCCCCGGCCATTGGGCGCGGCTTGAATCTTCGAGGGTTCGTCTATCTGCGGTCGCGCGTCGCATCACATGATCGCATATTTCTCGCATCAACTGACCGACACTCTCTCAGCTGTCCATCACTGCTGTAACATCGGCCTAGTCATCGACGCATCATGATGGCGAGCCAACAGTCGCCTACCGGTTTGCCGCCTCATCAACATCACCATTATGGCGGCCATCCTGCGCGTCCACCACCGAACGGCGCTGTGCTGATGCAGCAACCGGCACCGCCTCCGCCGCCGCCGCCAGGGCTGCCTGTCTCGCAGGCCCTCGCCGTGGCAAATGAGAAGGTATGGATAGGCATAGGCGATCTCGCACAGGCGATGAACAAAGTCGACGATGCGATTCACGCCTTCGAGCGAGCTCTGTCGTTCAACCAGTGGTCGGTGCCTGCCATGCTCGCCATTTCATCAATCTTGCGCTCTCAGGACCAGTTCCAAGGCGCAACGGAATACCTACAGCAAATCTTGAAAATCGAGCAAAATAATGGCGAGGTTTGGAGCAGTCTCGGCCATTGCTATTTGATGATGGACGATCTGCAGCAGGCATATTCCGCCTATCAGCAAGCGCTTTACCACTTGCCGGACCCGAAAGAGCCGAAGTTATGGTATGGCATAGGCATCCTCTATGACCGTTACGGATCTCTTGAACACGCAGAAGAAGCCTTCTCACAGGTCATGCGCATGGAGCCAGGCTTCGAGAAGGCCAACGAAATCTACTTCCGCCTCGGCATCATCTACAAACAGCAACAAAAATTCGACTCAAGTCTCGAGGTACGCGATTGAAGCGCGTTCATGAATTGAGCAAACTTGCTGACAGACACAGTGCTTCAAATATATTCTAAACGATCCGCCGCGACCTCTGAGCAAAGAGGACATCTACTTCCAGATCGGTCACGTGCATGAGCAGCAGAAGGATGTGAGTTAACACAGTGCAATTGTGATGCGTGCATGGATCTGACAATCTGTGTAGTATGACTCCGCGAAGAGAGCATACACTCGCGTACTAGAGCGTGACGCCGGACACGCCAAAGTCCTGCAGCAACTTGGCTGGCTGCATCATCAGCAGAGCACTAGTTTCTCTAGTCAAGAACAGGCTATCGAGTATCTCGAAAAATCCGTTGGATCGGGTAGGTCACGGTCAAGAATATTGAATTGGCGCAAACGCTGACGTCCCCACGACAGACAACGATGATGCGCAAAGTTGGTACCTGCTCGGCAGATGTTACATGTCCATGCAAAAGTACCCCAAGGCATACGAAGCATACCAGCAGGCTGTGTATCGTGATGGTCGCAACCCTACATTCTGGTGCTCAATCGGTGTCCTCTACTACCAGATCAACCAATACAGGGACGCTCTCGATGCTTATTCGCGTGCTATTCGACTCAACCCGAACATCTCAGAAGTGTGGTACGACCTAGGCACCTTGGTAAGTTGACATTTGATACAGAACACTCTACCATCTGTTTATGGCGCTGACTTTCTACAGTACGAATCTTGCAACAACCAGACTAGCGATGCGCTTGACGCCTACACCAGAGCTGCAGAACTCGATCCGTCCAACGTGCACATCAAAGCTCGCCTGACCCTTCTCAAAGGACAGATGGCCAATGGCGGCATGCCTGCACACGGCAATGCTTCTGCACCCGTACCACAGGACGTGCATCCTCAGGCATATCAACCTGGCGCTGTCGGCTGTCCGCCTGGACCACAATGGGGACCGCATGGTCAGAATCCATTGTCGGCCGGACCACCGCCTCCGCCGCTCACAACTGGAGGTAACAATTGGAATGAAGGTCGCTTGGCGGAGATACAAAACCCATCCTTGCCGCCGCCTCAAGCAAACTCGTATGACCGAGAGCGCTTGGCTCAGGCTCCACAGCAGGGACCACCAAGGCACCCAAGTCCTCCTCGCGATCCTTCACGTTCGTATGTGGAGCAGCCTCACCGCGGGCCGTTGCCGCCCCGTCGAGGACTGTCCCCATCGCCCAAGGCCCACCACCTCGCGCCCATGCCATATCAGCAAGGTCCACCGCCCAATGGACCGCCGTCTCAGCAGCAGCACCAGCAGCCGCCAGTGCCGCCTCCGCAGCAACAGGGACCACCTCATCCGAGCCATCACGGACAACAGCCGGACCCGCAGAGACCTTCATACACGCCTCAACAATCGAATGGACCTCCGCCGCAGAACGGCCTGCAACCCAGCCCGGCACAGCAACCGCTCCCGCCGTACGGTCGCCAGCCAGAACCACAGGCCGACATCCGACCGCCACTGAACAATGCAGCGCACTCACCTGGTGGCCAGTACTCGCGCCATCCATATGACCATTATCCCAACTCCTCCACGTCATCGATGAACAACGCGCCTCCACAGCCGACGGCACAAACTCAGGTGGAACCTGCCCCGAGAGAAAGAGAAAGGGATGAAAGATCAACGAGTGCTGCCCCGAAGCGTCATCGTGAGTGGGATGACGAGCCTGTTGTCAATGGCAAAAAGCCTACAACGGACGATGCGCGCTCAAGATTGGATGAGATCAAGATTCAGCGTCACTCGCCCTCAGACAAAGTCGCGACACCGCCGATCCGCAGCCCGTCAGAATTGCGAAGAGCTGAAGACCGCCCGGCGTCAGCATATCATCCTTCCGAGGCAGCTCATCACCCTCCGGCGCTGCCGAGCATGGCTTCCCTCACCCAGCCAGCACGGAACTCGGCGCCGCCACAGGAGGAACATCGCGCACCACCTCCGCCGCAGAAATCCCAGCCAGCGCCAGCCCCTCAACCACTCGCGCCGCCACCTCAGTCGCAGGCACAGACACAGCCACAAACTCAATCGCAGCCACCGCCACCACCAGCATCACAGCCGGCGCAATCGCAGCCACAGCCGCAAAATCAACCACCAGCGGCAGCACCACGACAAGACCCCGTCTACGAGCCCGCCGCGCGAAAGATGGAAGTGGATGAGAATTATGACGATAGCGGAGATGAAGAGAAACGGGTTGGATCGAAACAGGAGAACCAGCGCGAGAGCCCCAAGACGACGAATGCACCTTCTTCGGCAGCGGTTGAATCCCAGGCGTGAGTCTCCGCGAGCCTTTGTACTTTGTCGAAATGAGTCCATGAGGGATAGCGTAGGCGTTGTTGATTGGCATTTGGCGCCTGGGAGTGGGTCTGTGGAATTGGACGACGAAAGTATAACCAGCTTGTGCAAGCGTTTCTTTATTTGATTGTGACTAGATCTTTAAGTATCATGCTGCTTGATTCATTTGATTGTTTCTCCCGAACAACAGTACGACTCCATGTGAACAACCTTCACTTTTCCACAAGAATATGGTTGCTGCCAGTTGCAGATCAAAGTTCCACATGGCATGATATTCCGAGTTCCGTGTATGTATAACGATCACGGGACTTGATGCGAAACGTGCAAACGCAATGCGCGTTTGCAGAGTCGTCAGATGTGCGCAATCGCGCACGAGCAGCTGTCGCGGATCGAAATACCGAACTCCAAGGTTCTGGTCAATATACCTGCTTGTATTTGTGACCTGTGAGACTGAACGCCCTTGTTGACGGCTTCGGACGGGATTTTCGGCATGGGATCGTCGAGTCTAGGTCGTGACGTAACCGCTGCTTTGAAGTCGCAAATGCAACCATTGCAACGGTGGACACAACCGACTCAAACCCGACATACAGCGACGGAAAACCGTTCAGCGACCAAAGAAACCCACAAGAAATTCAAACAATCCTGACCTGACTCAAAATGGCCCCCACGGCGCTGGCGATCCTCATTGGCGCAGGCCCAGCAACTGGAGCTGGTAAACATTCCCTGTGACAAAAGTCATAAATGGCAAATACACAACGATCGCAATGGCTCTGACGAGAACATACGTGCTCAAGGAATTGCGAGGATCCTGTCGAGTCCGTCGCATGGCAACATGGCCGTCGCCCTGCTCGCACGACGAGCCGGACCATTGGACGAGTTGATCCAATCTCTCAAGTTGGAACAACCGGAAGCAGTGCTCGAAGCCTTTCCAACGGACACATCGCCCGACAACCTCCGGAAGGCGTTCGCCGATATCCAGGCCCATGCGTCTTTCAAGGACCTCAAGCTGCGAGTGGCCATCTTCTCCATCAAGAACTCCTCCAAGAAGCCGTTCCTCTCCGAAACCTATGAGGAATTCATGGCGCCGTTGGAGAGCTATGTAGGAGGTGAGTTGGGGCACATGATTCTGATGGATGAGACCCAGAAGAGCGAATATGTGTGACGCAACTTCCTGACCATGGATATTGAACAGGAGCCATGGTGTTCTCCCAAGAGGCCATCAAACGAATGCTCGCCGACCACGGCGAAAAGACCCTTGCCGAGGGCGCCGAGAAGAAGGGCACTCTGATCTTCACAGGCACGCTCGGCGCCCTCCGATGCAACGCTGAATTTGGAAGCTACGGCGCATCTCGAGGGAGTGTCCGCCAATTGGCGCAGGCGTTGGCGAAGGAGATGAGCCCGAAGGGCATCCATGTGGCGGTGAGTTCCCCTTTCCTCGGCTTTTTTCTCGTTCCGATCGATCCGCGCAGCGGCACAGGTCGGATCGGTTGGAGGAACGTGGAAGGCCCTCTTCGACCAGAGGCAGACGAGATGGAATGTGGAGACCTCATATGCTGACGATGGGACGCCTGGTTTTGTCACCGGGTCGACAGCATGCCATTGCGAACGGACGTATCACGGATGCGGACAACGACGAGACCAAGAGCGGCAAGCACATCGCTGCTGACGCCGTGGGAAAGACCTACCTCTGGCTCAGCCAACAGGATCCGACATTGTGGACGCACGAGCTCGACCTGCGACCTGCGCAGGAGAAGTTTTGAGCAGGCGATTGGCATGGCTGGGCCGTTTACCGCTCACTTGTAAATCGAAAAGAAAAGTCACGATACTTCATCCAGACGATTCACCGGGTCAAATTAAGTAGAGCCTGAATGTGTCCTCCTCATGCATTGAGCATTCCACACTACCGCTGCCATCCCTTGCAGCAAGACTCATCCTGAAGTGATTCGATACCCTTTACCATCGATCAGGATCATCATCATCCTGTCTCCATGGCATTCCGGGAACAGGAAATCAATGCACAGCGCGCCAGAAGACTTGACTCGTCACCGATCGCTCGCTCGCTTGTTTTTCGCTCGATTCGATCCGATTCGATTTGCATCAGCGAACGGACATGGTTTCCAACACGGCAATTGTCCGGTGACACACAATATGATCACAAAGAAGAAACAAACAACAACAAGAACAACAAAAAGGCGGTGCGAGCTCGAATGGTTGAGAGGGATGCATATGGAATGATGATGGTCCTACCAATTCTCCTCGATGTACGCGCCCGCCCTCGTCTGTGTTCGGGGGGTGCGTGTCACGACGTGCGAGGAAATGACCGCGACCCCCAGCGATGAATTAATCCTCATGCAGCCTCGCACGACGGTGTCACGGTGCTTTTTGGAATTGTGGAAACGCGATCGGGGATGTGTAGATGTCTGCGGGGCGTCTCGATGTTTTTCTCTGCGCAACTGTAGGATTTCTCTGCCTCTGTGTGCAGGTATGCTTCGAGGACCTGCCGCCGGGGCATCATCATCATCATCATCATCATCATCATCGTCATCATCATGCGGGCGCGCTGTGCTACAGATGACATGTGCACGTCGGATGCCGGCTGGCGGAAGAAAGCATGCGCCTGGTGTCGTGGCTATCGTATGTATGTATGTATGTATGTATGTATGTGTGTCATGAGAGGACCTACGGGAGTGGGATGAGTATGGGAATAACGTGCGTATCTGCTGTAGGTATCCAGGGATGCAGATATGCCCGTGATGTGAGATCAGCGGCGTCATGACGACGCGTGAAGGAAGCCCTGGAGGCCCCGCCATCTTCTCCAGAGCCAAACTGGAATTGGGAAGTGGAAACGGAGCAGCTAAGGAATTGTACCGTGTGGTGTGTGGTGTGGTGTCTGTGTGTGTGTGGATGAGGTGCCCAGCAGGTGGTGAGAGGAAGAGGAACAGCTGATCCGATGATCGTCTGTCACAGCTGAGGTGCCCTACTTGGTACTGTACTATAGACTTCCCCTCACGTGTGCTGGGCGAAAGGTCCCGCCTTCTGGAAACTTGGACAATGTGGGCGATCCATACGATCGATCCATCACCACCTGGGCACCGCTTTTCACGCACCTCCATCCAGGGCTCGGGCTGCTGCACGTAGGCGAGCCTTGGATGGAGGGAAGGTCCGAGCTCATCGCGAAATGCCGGTCCGTTGCCGATGTGGGCCGTGTCCGTCTGTGAGATGTATGTGGAATGACTGCGGGAGATGTATACGAGAGCCCCAAAAACATATTGGATGTATGTTCAGTATCCATGGATGTGAGAGGTACCGCAGTGGTACACACATAATAAACTGTAAAGAGCCTGAATGTGGAGAGAGCGAAGAGCGAAGAGCGATGGGCAAGAGCGGACCAACGCCGATCGATTGATGATTTGTTTGTCGTGATCTGTGTCTCTCTGCTCGTGCGGTCTGGAACACAAACCATCGATGCTGAACAAATCAGAGGACGATACCTGACACCTACCCATCATCAGGCGCGGCACAAATTCGAGGAGAAGACACGAGCAGCGGCTGATCTTGAGCGGTCCAGCAGGGATCATCACGTCTCGGAGAAATTGCCATGGCGTCGTTTTACCAGGGTCGATTGGAAAAACGAACCTGACTGAGGGGGCCGTGGGTAAGTGCAGCTGCTGTGCCTCGCGAAACCCATGTCGTTCGTGTCCATCACAGCCTGTCGGTTGAGATCATGATCAGCACGGTGAGAGTGTACAAGTACCTAATCATGATGATATGAGAAGACCGCATACTGTATGCGAGGACCATCGGGAGACTGCAGATTGTCGTCGCGGAAGAAAAAGAGGGCCACACAACCGCCAGAGAATCCCCATCCTTTCACCTTCCTGAACGATGATGTTTGTGGACGGTACGTACTGTGGTCATGGTTTCGGTACGGGGACATTCAGTACAGTACAGCACATTCCAAAACTACCGTCAATGTAAATTAAAGTACGTCAGGGAGTTGTCCTTCCAATTGTCCACGGTCCATCTCACCTGCAGCATGTTCTGTTGCTTGGATTCTTCATCCCGACGATCACATCGTCACGGCCCGTGAGGAGTATTTCGGCACGGACGGGAGGACGCTCCAAACATACCTGCATGCCCCACGAGACGCACCGGGGCGGCGACAACGACATTAGAAGCACTTATTCCTGCATAGATATGGGCCCTTGTCTTTGAAGTGAATCCCATTCCTCCCGCCGGAATGCGCAAGGCACGCGACGAAAAAGGTCGTCCTGGAGAAAACGGGACACGAGTAGGGGCCGAGAGAAACGCTGTCCGAATCGCCTCCTGCAGCACGGGTTGCCGAAGGCGATGATGTGATCAAACCGTGGAGGAATGTTCGCGACTCCGTGGGCACCTGCATCTGCATAGACTCCCACAGACCACGGAGCCCTGTTTCCAACCTCCCGCTCCAGTCCATATAGGTAGACATTATTATCCACCTGGGCAGCTCTCCGCACGCGCTCTGCAGCAAGAAGGGCCCTCTCTCCCCCGGTCCGTTCGCGCGACGTTCACTAGAAGCGAGCTTAGGGATTCTAGTCTCTAGTGGATGCGACTAAGATGATGACTGATAAGCGATTATGGGAAACGCGCCGGCCGAATGCCCCAGTCTGTGTGTGCAGCGGTGCAGGTGGTCCGGATGGTGTGCTCGCTCGGTTGAACGAACGGCTGCTGTGCGAAATGCTGGCCAAATGCCCCGCCCCGAGAGAGAAAGAGAGAGATTCCCTCCAGTAGCAGCGCGACAGCGACAGCGAGAAATGTGACGAGTTATTATTATTGCGCCTGTAATAATTGTATATGTGTGTGTGAGAGAGAAGAGAGACCAAACAAGGTCACACGCTCGCCAGTCCCTTTGTACCACCGCGCGACCACCTCCACCATCACCATCACCATCACCATCACCATCACCACCGCCACCACCACCACCATCACCACCGATACGACGGCCGCCGACGGTTCGTGCTATGGCCGGACTCCTTACCACTACACGTTATCTCTCATTCCTGATGTGCATCGTCCCTCGTCGTACCTACATGAGAGGTCGACAGCTACATACCCACTGACGACTACGCCAGACGATGATCCCTTGGCCTGCAGCTGCACTTCTGTTTGCCTTTCGACCTGCCCGATGCTTCTTCGTCCTGTAATAAACAAATCACCCACCCGCCTCCGACATCCTCGACTGTGCCGCTCGACATGGAGACTTTATCTCTCTAGGTCTTATAGTTCACTAGTTCGGCAATCCTTCAAACATTGACGCCCACCCTTGTCGTCGTCCTCTCTCCCGGCCCCGGCCCCGATCCTGGGACGGCCGGCCGCTCTGAGCCTGTACACCGCTTGCTATTCGTCCTCCTGCTCGGTCTGCATGCTCCGAGACTGCAGCCGCGACATATATCCGCGACAATCAATAATCTGATTGATTCCTCTTCGACATTTCCTTCCTCATCCCTTCATGCTACATAGCAACCATCCCCCCCTCAATCCGCTCTCAGCTTTTGCATTCCGAGATCGTTTTCTCCACCGACAAGCTGATCAACAGTGAGGTCCCACCACGCTGTGTTCGTGGCACTGATCCATCCCCTACTGTACTGTATCACATTGTCGAACGTCGCTTTGACATTCCCCGATGCCACCTTCCCAAGCAGGCTCCGGCCCACGCGGAATCACCAAGAAATCCGATCGAAGGGGTCGCAAGACAACCGGTCCTCAGGATGACTGCTACGATTGCAAACGAGACAAGGTCAAGTGCGACCGCTCACGTCCATATTGCTCTCAATGTCTTTCACGCGGCTTTGCGAAGTGTAGCGGGTATGCAAAGACGGACTTCCAATGGGGTCAGGGCGTCGCAAGCCGTGGTCGTTTACGCGGTCGGTCGATCCCCGTCAAGGATGTTGAAGAGCAGCTTTGCGAACCCATCGTCAAGGCAGAGCCTTCGTCGAATTCAAGAGCCCCTTCCATCAGTACGATCGATCTTCATCAGCAGTGCTCAACAACCGACGCCATCGATCAGAAGTACTCGCCGACCTCGTTCAGTATTCTTGGCTATGAGCTCCCGTCGCCTCCGGGCCCATTGGCCCAGATCTACCAGGAGTGGCGCGGTCATAGTTATCCGAGGCAGCAACGGTTGCAGTCGATAGACGAGATGTCGCCACACCAGTTAGAGCCTCGGAAAATGCCAGACTGGTCGGCGCAAGCTCCCATGGACTTCCAGAACAATCTTCAGCCCGAACTAAATACTGCAAACGGTGCTGGACACTACTTCCCATCGGAGTGGTCGTGCGTATCGAGTACGGTCAAGTTACCAGATGGCGTATTGGGAGGCCCTTGCGCTTACCGTGATCATGCAGAATTCCAAGACGCTGCAGGCCTCAGCCCATCGAGTGGCACATACACCACGGCCGATCAGAGCATATGCGGACAGGCCAGCACGCTGCACAGTCCGACCACAAGCCTGTCGTCTTCGACAACGATCAACAACACGAGGACGCGATACGACGACGACGATACCAGATCTCCACACCAGACAGTGGTGGACATCTATGAGTCGCGTTTCAGCAGCCCGTTCTACCAGGTCGACCGTAAGCTCCGTTCTCTGATGCACTTTTATGAGCAGAACGTCTGCCCGTGGATCGTGGCATTTGATGGGCCGGACAACCCGTACCGAAAACACATCATGGTGTTAGCCACGACAAGCCAGGCCTTGCAACATGCCATCGCCGCCCTGGCCGAGAACAACCACTTGAAACGCACTCACAGGCCCAGCGGATTTATCGAGGATGCTGAGGATCCATCCAAGAGTCGTGTTCAGGTTCGACGGCAGAGTCAGCTGGATGAAGGTCAATCGCTTAAGAAGCGTGCCTGCCATCTTTTGAACAAACAGCTAGAGGCCCCAGACGCTGCGCAAGATGACTCCGTTCTTGCGACGATCCTGGTGCTCTGCTTACTCTCCGTGTGTGACACTGGCGTCAGTAGGATGACCTCACAACTGGAAGGCGTGCAAAAGATTCTGCAGCGGAGGAACCCGACTTCTCAACAATCCGACTTCTTGAAGTGGGTACAGATGTTTTTCATTTGGTTCGATGTCATGACCAGCGCGGTCAACGAGCGCGAGACACGCATCACCGGCCACGGACTGGATTGGCAAGATCTACGGACGGACATGGGTGCTATGGAAGAGCTCTCTGGCTGTGACGGAAGATTGTTCAAGGTCATCGCAAAGCTTGGCCGGTTGGACCTTCTAGCCCAGGGGAAGCCTGTCCGAGCCGTACGGAACGATATGCCGGCGTCATCGGGTCGTCTCGTTATGCCAGCCTTGCCGATCGCAAGCGGTTCCATGGGTGGATCGCCACGAACATCAGCGCCAGAGTATCAAGCCCCATCGATCCCCAGTGTTACGGCGCAGATGTTGACGCCCTCATATGATGGTGCGACCACGGCAGCCGGAACCGAGTCGTCAGCAAGAGATAGCTTGGGCGCGGACGCTTCATTCGTGTCGGACATCGACCACGACTGGCCATTCCCGAGCCTGGATCAAATTTTGTCTGGACACGACTCCGAACCACGCTTTCCCGACGACCGAGTCGCTTTCTGGCAGGAATGGCACGATGTGCGCTTCGCACTGGAGACTTGGACGCCATCCGCCAAGCCCTCGCCGACCCACGAGACCCCCGAACAGAGATCGAGTCGCATCGACATGGAGCACATCAACCAAAGCTTCCGCTACGCGTGCTTTCTGTTCACCGAGCGCCTGGCGGATCCATTTACCCCAAGCTCGGCCCCACGCTTCCAGCGGCACGTCATGCAGGGCATGCAGCACATCCGCGAGATCCCCGTGGACAGCTGCGTGACGAAGTTCCTGCTCTGGCCGCTCTTCATCCTGGGCACCGAGTGCGCGGTCGAGTCCCACCGCGACCTGATCCGCGCCCGCTGCGTCGCCATCCACCGCGAGAGCGCCTTCGAGAACAACCTCTCGGGCCTGGGGATGCTGAAGCGCATCTGGGCGGAGATCTCGCCGGGGGGCTTCGGAGCTCCGGGGGCGGACGAGGTGGAGACCGCCGGCCGCTACCACGACTACGAGGAGAGCCGCAAGGGGAGATTGTACGGCCGGCCGCTCCGATGGCGGAGATTCATGATGCAGATCGACGGGGAGTATATCGTCCTTTGACATTCGTCTTGCAGGACTTGACGAAGCCGGCGCCCTTCGTCGTCAGGATTTCTTTCTCACACGATGAGGACGACGGCGCCCTGGAGTGCAGGAGATCACCACAGATCTTTGAAGAACAGTATGTACGATATATGACATGGACGACAGGATGAATATGATCCGCAGGGACACCTTCATAATATCCGAAGCACGAAGACTACGAGATGACGAGGGAAATGTTTTTGCATCTACAGCACAGATGCCTGATAACGAGATCAAATTTTACGATTCCTCTTGTTTTTGTTTTTGTTTTGATTTACTCTTGCCCAGCATTGTCCAGCTCTCTATCGCGACCGATCATCGCTGGAACATCCGTCTGTGAAGAATCCTCGTCGATGAAGAATTCGTGCAGCGGACTCCGCTTAACGACAACGTCCCTGGCTACTTCCCTGGCCGGCACATTCGAACTAGGAAGGTCGGCTCGTTCGGGAAGGAGCGTGGATACCTTTGTCCTCCAAGAGGTTCTTTCCCAACCGCGCCTCCAGTGTGAACAAGGATTCGACCGCCCTCTGACTCCATCGCCCAGAAGGTGGTGTATCCCCGACAATGGCTCTGAGCCTGGGCCATGATCTGGTTTCCGATGACGGCTCCCGCCTCATCGCCATGCATGGCGAACAGGGAGCCAACGGGCGTACTGTCCTAGGCGCGTGCATTCCGGGGAGTGCACACGCCCAGCTCGCAAGGGATGAGGGTAAGTGAAGAGCGGGTCGTCAGGTGCTCTCGCTCGTGTATTATGCGTTGTCGGCGTCACGGGCGAGATAATTGTGCCCTGCACAGGTGATCCGCAAGCGCGTGGGCATAGAGCCACCTGGGCAGCCCTGGAGGTGTTGCTTGTGTGTGTCGTTGAGGTCGTACAAAGAGGAAGAGGTGGGGCCATGGTGATGAGTGTGGCGTGTCGTGTGTCGTGTGTGTTTCAGGTTTCCTGCCCTGCTCCGGCAGTGAAACCCGAGCCTTTCATCACTCACCTGCAACTTTCAATCATACCTAGATACATACCCACCTAGGTACTTTCACAAGGCATTTGTTACATATGTAGCCTTGGAAGCTTCCGCGCGTGGCCCGGATGGGAGGGGATGGCTTAGGTAGCTGGGCAACAGCATGTCGATAGATGATTGTACAGTGCTGTCAAGCTTTCCAAGGTGATCATGTAGAAGGCAGTGGTGAGAGACAATCAGCACAGTGTCACTACACAGTAAAATAGCAGAGAGCCCGAGCAAGCTCCTTTGCCTGGCGATCATCTCCTCTGGCCTGATCAAGCCCGACCGGAATGCGCTAATCGGAGTCTCCGTTGAAGTGGCCCATTGCCTGGAGTGGAAATTGCGACACGGGAAGGCGGTGGAGACGCGAGTAAAACTTCCCACCCATTTCACGCTACTCACATCACATCTTCCCCAGCCACACCTCGAAGAACTCCAAACCTTAACCCGGATTTCACGTGCGAACCAAACGGTTGATCCTCCCCCGCCCGCTCCGGCTTCTCAGCAGCAGCACGCGTCAGCAATTGACGAAATCGTGCAACCGTTCACGTACATCTTCACTTTGCTCTGGTCCTTGCGCATCTGTATCACCATCATACAGCAGAGTAGTGAACACGAACCTGCAATGTCAACGAGTCCCCGATCCCGGGTCCGGAAATTGCAGAGCGGCATTCATCGTCGCATCGAAGTCGTACGGCGTTGCGCCCAAGCCCAATGATTATCGTCACCACGACGGCAATGGATTTTGACAGCTGCATGAGACCCGAAACATTTCACACCATCGTTGGATAGACTTCCGATGAGTATTCAATAATCCATATCTATGCTGATCAGGGACGAGTGTGGGGCATGCGTAGGTGTTGGAAGTGAAAAGGTTTGTTGGTGGTGACACGCGAAACCAAGGTGGCTGGTGGCTGGGAAAGTTGCAAAACACCAGCTTAAGCCGCTCGTGTAATGCTGAGCTCCCTACGAACAAAACCCAATGGTATCACCATCCACCTTCTTTTCCATTTCGTGGTGATTCAATCCTCTCTCTCTCTCTTCACTCTCACTTCCACCACAATCAGTCCGTACCAAACCACGATTCAACGTTCGTGCATCAATCACGTTGCAACCGTCTACCATCGCTATCCCTAGGACTTCAGTCGTTATCGACCCATTGATCCAGCCTTGAAGAACAATCTTCCAAACAACATCATCCACAACGGCCTTGCAGCCTGCGAACGTTACAGGACCAGCAACATGCAGTTCATCATCGTGGCTGTGGGCGCCTTTGCCGCTCTCGCCGCTGCCGACCAAACCGTCACCGTCACCGTACCAAACTCAGACTGCGTTGCCAGTGAGTGTCAATCGGCGAGGAAAGCGTTTGTCCCAAGCACAAGAAATCGCACATCATCTGTCCGGTCCCAAGCATCATCACATCGCTCATCATACTCATCACTACCCTCACAAACGACCACCAATGCCCTGAGTGTGCTGTATTCTGCGTTGCTTCCAACGTTGTCATCATTGGCGCCAGCCAGCACCGAGAACATCACATCTGTCTCGCCAGAGACAATACCAACACAACACCTGCCCACCACGACTTCCCAGCCGACGACGACCAATGCGTTGAGTGTGCTGTACTCGGCATACACTGCAACGACGTTGTCGTCACCGCTCACATCATCAGTATCATTATCTTTGCCCACAAGGTCTACGCCATCAGCGACATCTCCAAGTGTGACCCGTACTGTGTCATCACCACCATCATCATGGCCTCGTCCAACTCTCACCGCCACCACCAATGCCCTGAGTGTGCTTGAATCTGCCCTCACCCCAACGGCATCTCTCAATCGGACAGCTCCCACCACTACCAATGCACTGAGCATATTATACTCTGCACTGACTATTCCTATCACCCTCAACCTCACATGTGAATATTCCCATTTCCATCTTCACCCCTCCAATATGTTGTGGAAGATTTGAAGAATAAGAATGCTGACGTTTTTTCTCCATAGCCGCCACAGTCCCCGTTGTCCCGTACCCGGTGACCACCGTGTCTCCTCCTGGCTACTCCCAGCTGACGACCACCGCTGTCTCAGTCGGTAAGTCACAGACTCTGACGCCGTTTGCATTTCCAATCAGCCGCTGACAAAGCACAGAAACCACTCCGTCTCCCTCAACCGCTGGTCCCGTCGAGACCACCTCCGGCGCTCCTCCCGGAACTAGCTACCCTGCCTCGACCCCTCCCGGTACCGAGACGGTTCCATCTGCAAGCTCCCCTACCGGCAACGGCGGCACCACGACTCCTCCCGGCACCGAGACGGCTCCATCTGCGACTTCTCCTACCGGCTATGGCGGCACCTCTCCTACCGGCAGCGGCCTGACCACCCTCACCTCCGGCGGCAGCACCCTCGTCAGCCCGACCACTGCCAGCCAGGGTCCCACCGGCGAGTACCAGCCTCCGGCCGCCACGACCACCGCTGCCCCTCCCGCTGCTGCCGGCAACGGCGTGCAGAACTTCCCGAACCTCATGGGTCTCGGGGCGGTCGCCCTCGCGGCCCTGATCGTCGTCTGATCGGCGTGAAGGGAAACCCGGTCAAGCCGACAATGTCCAGATCTCCATCGGCGACGAGGACATGCTTGACCCTCTCCCCTTCGTCTTCTCTTCTCGTTTCATTTTCCTTCACTTTCCTTGATGACGAATTTCTCCACTTTTCTCTTTCACGCTCGATCAACGAGTCACGCCTAGGGTAATCTTTCACAACACACAGGAGTAATCGGGTGGGAGTTCGGAACTGTGTGTCATGGCGCAGACTGGACACCATGGAGTTTCACGGGAGGAATTAATTATGATCACGCCATAGGGGCTTTTTCATGCCGATGAGGGTGATCCACACGTTGCGATGATTTCGATGCGCGCGCTTTTAGCTAGGAAGAGACACAACGACGAAGAGGATCGGCAATGAGTGAAGCGAAATGAAAAAAACAATGCCCTTTATCTTCTTCAAGTATCATGTCATTGCCACAGTGTGTATACATCTCCGATGGAATACATTCATATCCAAGCGAGTGCGAGTACCCAAATACGTCTTGCATTCTTGGATCTATCCCAAGGCCGAAGTGTTGCGTCATCTACGGGTCGCAAACGAGCTATAGAATCTACGTGTGTGTTGGGTTATAACTGTGAGTCGGAAAGTCAGCGATCGAGTCTCCGATCAATTGAACATAGGCAATGTTAAGGAGGATTTGTTTTTCTCTCGTTTCAGACAGCAGTTGGACAATTAGTGTAACAACATAGTGTATTCAGATCAGGTCTGTGAGTAATTGTTGCTTCATCATATAGAGGGTGGGAGGATGGGAGAGGAGTTGCATGGACGTATCAAGGCACAAGAAGATCGGGTCGACTTACCGAATATATGCAACTCAGCTCGGTCCAGAGTGATATCAGTGTGGCCAACACCAATAATTAATCAAGTGATCGGTTTAGACGGCGGCTCGCTGATGTTTTTCTTCTGCCGTTTGAAGAAACTTTCCAGCCTCTGTTGGCCTTGGTCGTGTGCGGAACTGCCGATCCCGCCGCGCTGTCTTTTCAGACTGGCCAGGTGTTGCTTGCTGTCGATGGCGTTGATGCGCGCGGACCAGCCGGTCAGCATCACATGCCTTTCAGAAGTGCTTGTGATCGCACCAGCGGGAGTGATCGAAGCCAAGTCAGCGCTTTCGGGTGACCTGGCTTCCTCGTCCCCAGTCGTCGCTGTCATCGCAGGAGGTGCAGACGGCAAAGCTGTTGCCGAGCTGAGTGTAATACTCACAGGCACCTTGGGCTTCGTGAAGGTCAAGTTCAGATAGCCCGTGTTGCTCCAGCCGCCGAGGTGTTCGAGGATAACCGAACCTCGCGAGGAGGTGACATCGGGCGAGATCGTCACACTTTTCACGGGCAGTCTCGCGAGGAGCCGTCGCCAGAGGTTTCCAAGCAGGATCCCGTGAGAGACAACCGCGACCTGTAAGGCCACACCGGGTGTATCCACCTCAGTGAAGAAGAGAGGCAACAGGTGTTCGTCGAGAAAGGCGTCAGCGCGTTTCATCATCGAGTCTTTACTCTCGACGTCAACGAACACAGCAGCTTCATCCTCTGATCTCTCACGCTGGGCATCTCTGCCCAATCTCTGGGCGTCTGCCCTTGCCCGAAATGTTTTGCCCTCATAGTATCCAAAATCCTGCTCGATCAGATCAGGCACCTGAATAACCCGCAGCGAGGACCGCTCATCCGACCATTTCTGATGTGATGCGACAGCCTCAGCAGTCCGGCGCGCGCGGGAGAGCGGTGATGCGAAGATGTGCGAGAATCGTACGTCTTGCTGATGGAAGTATTTGCCTAATCGCTGGGCCTGTTCGACGCCGTGATTGGTGAGGGCAGAGTCGCGCACCCCGGCGTAGACACCGGCGACATTGTCGACCGTCTCGCCGTGACGGATGAGGTAGAGCTCCATCGATCGTCCGCGGCCATGGTCGACAGCACAGCGCAAGTCTGTGGTTTGTCGTCCTGGCGAGGAGATCTGTGCAAAGAATGAGAAGGGTGGAAGTGCTAGAAATTTGAGAATTTGGGACAGCCGACAGCTGGGCGAACTTCGGCAAATTATTAGACCGTGGAGTGGACGTCAGCCGTTGACTTGTCACATGCGTGGGTGAAATCATTACATCGACAATGCTTGCCATGTCAAACTTCATTCGTGAGATGGAAAGCGAAAAGCTCATGACCATGCAAACGGATATCGTGGTGACCTTTGTGGCTCAAGGTCATACGTTACCAGACCTCGAGATGTTCTCATATTAAGTCTCGGCGAATCGCATCATCATCATCACGAGCAAGGATCCCACACTGTGAGAACAATGTTACCGCATAAGACATGTTCGCTATCATACAAATAGCGAATAGCGTGATCTTCATTTCATTCTTCTCTTGCACACGTTCCTCTCTCATACGTGCTGTCTTGTTGTAATGATCAACTATTCGATTGACTTTCATGTCACGCAGAGGTAGGATGACCACTTCTGGCCAAGTGTGAGTTCAAGCACACGCTTCCAATTTCCTTCAGCCGTCTTCTTGACCCGACCGTTTCGTTCTACAACAAACTCCTCTGTCTCATGGGCGGCCAGCATCGAGGCAATCGAACAAGATGGATCAAGAGGATCCGACCACTGCTGTGTCCGATGAAGACCTTGAGTATGACTTCGGTTCCTTGGGCGATGGTGATCTTGAATTCGTTGCCAATGCTCATCAGCGCTGCCGCAGTGAAGGCGATCAGGACGTCGATATGCCGGACGATGACACCGGCGCGATATTTGCTGGTCTACCTGATGTGATGACAGATATGGACGAATCCCATGATCAAGGCCTCACGAGCCCACTCAAATCAGCTCTTGACCACGATTCTATGGAGATTTGCAACAACTGCAACAATGATTTGGAGGATGACGAGATTTGTACCTCCAAGCTCGACGACCAGCGAGTCGATTCTCACTCTCCCGAGTTACCAAATGAGGCCCCCACTCGTCAACTTCGAACTCCGGCAGCCCAGCAATGCATACCATCCACCTGGATGGACAATGACGATTCCGGTAACTTTGACCCGATAGAAGACGCCCGACGCGACAGACGGAGAAGAGTCAGAGTTCGTAGACGCCCGTCGGCTGTCGCAACCCGCGTGAAGGACGCCGCCCAGCGGCTGCAGATAACACTTATAGCACGCCTTCAGTTCAGGAGCGAAGAATCCAGAGGTAGCTTCGCTCGCTTAGTCGTGACATCAATTTCCGAGCAGATCCAGACAGGATATAATTTAAGAAGCAGAAATTCGACGACGGAAGAAGAGACAGATGAAGTTGTAGACCTTACCGGGCATCCAGAGGCTCGCGGATGTATGGGATGCTTCGAGCTCGGGATCCCTTGTCCCTTGCTAGAGGACGAATACGCCTGGCCATGCCACAATTGCGATGAGATAGGCGAGTTCTGCATGCTCTTAACGCCAGCTGTACAGAAACGCGCCTGTGAGGATTGCAAGCGTCTCAAAAAGCCCTGCTCGTTTATCTATACCCGGAATCACTTCGACAAATGTCAAGATTGCACTATCGCTCGACGTCGATGCAACGCGGGACCGATCTTTGAATTCATTCAAAGAAGAGTCCGATACCCTGCGCCGGGACAGGAGCCAGTATTGCCATCTAAGAAACCTGGCAAAACGAGCATCCCCGAAGATTGTCGCGAATGCCGCGACGCGAAGCGATCGTGCAATTACATGGGAACTATACCAGCTCGGGCCTGCGAAGCATGTGTCAAAAGATATCTCCCATGCACCAGGTCGAACGCTCCTTCAGAGACCCCAGACCCACCTTCACAGCCACAATCGAAACTCGCAGCACCTTCCGAACCCAAGGTTCCCCCTGTGGCTGCCAAGGCCAAGACTCCGTCGCTGCAGCCAAGATCGACAGTCAAAGACCGACCAGCTTCAGCAGTGAAAACCATCAAGACCAAGTTCTTCCATCCTGTGATTTTCAACTGCGATGAGATGGCCAGGACGGAATCGATGAAGTGTATGTTCTGTGAACACCAGTCTCTAGCTTTTATAGGGCATACGCTCGAAGTTCGTCAAATAGTGGTCTACGATGCCAGTGACAGCAGTCCATTACGGGAAGTCCGAGAGATGCCCGATGGCCTGCAAGGTACAACCTTGTGTTTGCGCTGTACCATGCAGAGGATGACGGTGGTGTTGCATCACGACCACGACATGTCGCCGATTGAAGGCAAAGTACCCTCTGATGATGCGGACCAGTTGAAAGCCCTGCACGCGATCGTGGAGAAGAAGGTCCGCAACCCGCTTGACTACTGCACGATGTGCTGCAACCTGGCCGATTTCAAATGTTTGGCACACGAGATTCGATTGTCCCGCGACAATATCGTGCCATGCTTGAGGCTCTGCCAGAGATGTTACATACGATGGAGCGGTATCTTTGACAAGGACATCAAACGGATGCTCAGCAAGCTCGACCTCAACAAGCCATTCGGTCCAGGCTCTACCAGAGCGGATGCCGAACTACTAAGAGAAGACGGCCCTCTGGCGCGATATTTGAAATGGTCAAGTCTCAACCCAAAGGGTTGATTGAGATTGTCATCATTCGAAAGCGATACATCGATGACTAGTCGAGAGAGGTGAGAGGGCATGAGCCACGAGAAGCTTATCCCAGACCTTCGCCGAGAATTTGCGGCCCACTGTCTGTGGGAAAAGCACATGTTTTGATTTTTACCTGATTTTGGAATGCTGCGTATGGGAACGCGCGCCGAAACACCGATGTACTTCACACACAAAGTCGAGGATTGCAAATCCGGAATGAGATATCGATACACTCCCCAAAACTCACAAATGAAATCCAATCAAGTGTTACTCTTTGCTAGATCCTGATACTCCTGGCCGACGTGCTCGTAATCCGCAGAAAGATACTTGTCGATGCGCTTCGAGAGCCATTGCGTCATCTTCGCCAACTCCTCGCGCAATCTGCTAACAGATTGAGAGTCCATATTCGTATGAGCGATCAGATCGGGCATTGAGACTGCCGTCTTGTCAGTACGTCTTGGCAAGAATAATTTCCACGGAGCCAAGCACTCACCAAACAGGCGCAACAGATGTTCGCAGCCATACATGTCCGCCAGCGTCTTTCCCGCATGTTCACCATGACCAGACTCAATGTCCTTGTGCACATTATAGAACTGTGGCCGTTCGAAGCGATAGAGCAAAATGCGTCCAAGTGATTTGTTGAAGTACTCCTTCACGCCCGCGATGACCTCTTCGAGGATGTCGGCATCGGCGGAGCCGGGACGTCGCACGGCGCTCTCCGCTTCGTAGTATTGGTTGAGAAAGTAGCTGACGGATGTTTGCGCAGGGATCGGGACGAGCTTCTGCTCCTTGGTGACCTTCTCCCAGTCGTCGACGAGAATGGACTTCAGCGCGTCGGGAATGAAGAGACGCACGGCAGGCCGTCGGATGAAGTCCTCTTCCTACAGGATACGATGATGAGTTAGTCTAGCCTGGACCCGAGACCCACAGTCCACAGTGCAGAAGGGCGCGTGGTAGACACAGTCCGGACTATGCGAGGCGCTGAAGCCACACGATCGTTCTCGGACAGACTTGCCAAACATGAGGATTCACCGACATACCTTTTCAATACCTTCGAGTTCGCGGCCCCGCTTCGTCCCTCTCGGCGCTTGCGGTGCAGCAGAACTTCGTTCCTCGCTGCCACGCACCGAGGAATCCCCCACCTCGCCGCGGCGTTTATGTGAAGGTGGTGGAGGCTGTGGCGCTACTTTGCCTCGCCGTTGCATCTCCATGTCACGTTTGAGGTTGAGCGCGAGCTCCTTGTACTCTGGAGTGAACTTGCGAAGGCGCTGCTCTGGGACCCAGTCATCCCATCTGTTGAAATGATTAGCTGCCAGGCGCCAATTTTAGGTGCAGAAATTCACACGCGTAAGGATGGCCAATTTTCCGACCATGATTGCCATGGAAATCACGTCGCGATGAATACCACGGCTCATTGAAGGAGCACAAGCTGCATCTTCTCAAATGCGCAGATACGGCGATTGGTGGAGCGAGACGCACCGCCAGGGGGAGATTGCTCGATAGAACACATGTATGACTTACGTGTTCTTCCAGCCCTTGTAGTGCACGCGATACATGAAGCCATCTTTACCATCTGCCGGATCTCGTATCTTGTTGTCAAGGACTTTCGCTTCGTAGAGGAGCTCGCCGTGGAAACACAGCACTTTTTCGTCCTTGTCGTAGACGGGCTTCAGGCTGGGCGCCATGATGGCAACCCGACGAGCGTTGGTCTTGCTTGAGATTCTTGAAGTAAGTGTGCGAAACTTGTCGAGTACTTTTACGAGTCCTGCGGTGTCTCCGTAAATCAAAGAATTGTTATTATATGCGTCGTTGATGTTTGCTGGTTGTAGGAGGTTATCACTCGCACGCGTTTGGCAGTTGTGGCGCGTCTTCCCGCGTGGTGAGGGCCGACCATTCTCGAAATTGGCACGAAGTGTCCCCATTCCGTCTGCACCTACCTGGGGAACTTCACATTCAAGATTCTTCAAAGGATGAATTGTATCAAATTGTTGCGCTACATATTTATCCTCTAAGTATGTTCTTATCACAGAGGCTGCAACGTGAGATTCACTTCCATTATCGATCGTGGCAGTTCTAAACTGTGACTACACAGACTGCCGAAGCAATCGCTCTACAAACTATTGCACAGTCAAGAAGAAAGGCGGGTTTCAGTATAACAATGCGAAGGCAGCTCTTCACAATCTTCGAAGAAGACGGTCATCATAGCAAGGGGACTGGTCTCCGGCACCAGAGCACGATCAGGGTATACGTTGGTAAGTGTGCCGCGAAATCAGACGGCGCTCACCTGCAATACGCGAAGGACCAAGGAAAGAACGCGTGGAGTGCGACAAAGGCAGAATGCGTACTCACATGGGAAGGCAAGGTCAGGCCTAGATCAATAGGCTCTTCGGACTCTGGGATGTTCAATGAATATATGAAGTCAATGTGTAATTGTGATAGCGACTGACCTTAAGTATCGTTGACGTATAATCATTGCAAGCGCACGCCAGCAGTCTTTTGCCGCTTGCCTTCTCTGCCTTGAACATTCATCATTCCGCCCTCGGCGTCACCAACGTTCAGAACACCCTTCGCCATACTCTTCTTCTCGTCATCGATTTTCTTCAAGCGCTTCTCGGTCTTCTGCTTGCCCGAACCTTTGCCGTGGAACATGTGACTGAGGTGTTTGAAGGCTTCCTTTTGATTCATGTCGCGTCCGAATTCATCGGTATATTTGAGTTTCACGTCGGGTTTGTACTCTCGACTGAATGCCTCAGCAAGCTGTCGCTGAGCGTAGATCTCTCTCTGTTCGTTCTGTCGCTGCTGATGAGCATCGCGGTCCTTCTTGCTCATATTATCGAAGCGCCCGGTGCGGCGGTCTTCTTCTCGCTCTCTCTTAGCCTTTGCGTCAAATTCATCAAGGAAGCGTTGCTTCTCGGAAAGGAATTTGCTTCGTTGTCGCTCCTTCTCAGCAAGACTGTCAGCCGATTCACCCGACAGTACACCGCGCTTCCGTAACATGTTCAAAGACGCTGCAATGCCCTGTCCGACCATTGTCTCTTCATTGTCAAGGCCAGTTGTCATCAGGTCAGCGGGAGCTGATCCCTCGCGCTGAGCATGCTGTGCTCGCTCTTCTGCATCTTCAATCGCAGCGTATGATTCTTGGCCCATCTCGACGTCCCCTTCTTCATCGACACCATTTGTGTCAGTGGATCGGATGGTTTTTGATGTAGGTCGTAGATCATCTTCATCTTGCTCGGCTTCCATAGGATTGAGATTAGCAACGAATTCCGTGGTCTCATCGATAACAAAACCTCCTTCCTCTACCTCATCTTCTTCCACTTCCATTTCCTCTCGTAATTTCCGTGCCACCTCAGCAGCATCAGTTCTCTTACGCTTTTTGAGTATTTGACGGCGCTGCTCGGCAAGTTTCGCTTGCAGGTCTTCATCGTCGAACTCGATGGGATTTCGATACGTCTGATCCTGGTTATGGTCTGATATACCGGTGGTTTTCGAATTCGTCTCGATCGCTGATTGTTCAGGAATATCGTCTGTCTGTTCCTCAAATCGAGAGCGGCTTTTCTTCTCCTTCTTACTCTTCTTGGCCTTTTTGACTTTGACAGCGACGGCCTCTGCATAATCTGATATCGGGACATCGTCCTGTAGCATGTCAAGACTGATCTTGACACCTTTTGATTTATCACGCTCCTGGTCTTCAGAACGCCGTTGCTGTGCTCGATTGGAACTGCCCTGGCCGTCAAGTCTAAATTGCTTCGATTTCTTGCCATCAATCTCCTCGTCATATTTATACAGAATGTTCCGCTTTTCGTCTTGCTCAGTTGGGTCGTAGTCGGGCCGCCGTTTCTTAAGCAGAAGGTTCTCCTCTGTCTTTTCCTTGGCCTTAAGATCTGCATTCTCGAGTTCGTCGTCTTCGCTCTCTTCTCCAATCTCAGCGTCCTTGAGTGTCAGAATTTGTTCATCTGTCATCTCATCGAAAGCCTCGGCCTCATGAGCCACTTTGACGCCAGCGAGATCCTTCGACGTGTATTCCGGTTGTTCTTCTCTCGCAGCAAGCTCCTCCTCAATTTTGCGAGCCTTCTCGATTTCTCTTTGCCGCTTCTTCGCTTTCAACAGCCAACTCCGCGTGTCCATGTCATCTGTGACATTTGCCTCGCCCAGAGTCGTACCTGAGAGCCGCTCCTGGCGCGCGGCTAGATCGCGAGCCTTCTTCGCGGCTTGCTTACGCTCATCGCGCTCCCGCTTTTGTCGACGTTCCTGTTCAATTTTGTCCCAATTGCCGTCGGCTGCAGCGGCGCGTTTCTCGAGAGTGCTGAGATCATCGCGATCGTCGTCTCCAGTCTGATGGTCCTTCGATTTGAATTGCGCTCCTCCTGCTGGCGCAACTGTGGTTGGCAACAAGGACTGACCCAGAGTTTTCCGAATCTTGTTGAATTGCGCAATTGTTTCGGGATCCATGTTGTGCAATCTATCGCAAAATACGTTGATGGATAGATCAATCTCCAATTCCTGAAAGCTTAGCTGTGTCGACAATCCGATGAGTCGTCCGCGGAAGAGAAGCCCGCGTGTAGCACGTGATGTCGCCAGGCAGGACCGTGCTAGCGCTGCGTCGAAGCTTGGCGGTGCTGGAGGCATCAAATATTTTTGCCCCAGTTCTGCAAATTCTTTCTCTCACCACAGATCTGTGTCCAGCGATCCTGACGTGCCCTTTTGGGTACTGTCGGTCGATTTCTGCGACAGTTCGGCAATATATGGGAACTTCGTTTGCAATGGAGCAAGTCCGGTCGACAGATCTCAGAGCAACCGTGACGCATTCCTTGTAGCTCTTCGTGAGCTCGGTTTGTTGTCAGGGCGCTATATTCCAAGTCGTTCTCGAGCCCGTCGGGCACTGAGAGTTGGGAAAAACCATAGCTGCCTACATAACCAGAGACCGCACTTGGTCACTTCGAGAAACGCATTTCAAACACGAATACAGATGTGCGCACAGCAGAAGGTGGCAGGCGCAGCACTCTCGAAATTATGTCCACAAACGGAACGGACGAACAGCGCGTAAATCTGTGAATCGTTCGGTATCAAACCTTGGAAGTTATCGGATTGCAGAGATAGGTATGAAACCGTTGGTATCGAAATGACTGATGAAGCCATTTCACTTTTACGATCTCCTGTAGGCACGTTTCAATTCGCTCACATCCACTGTTGTGTCTGGATACATCCGGTTCATTCTTTGCATGTACATTGCGCTCCCATCCTCACCAGTTTGTCTGTGACCATCAGCATCCTCGGTGAAATCATACATGGTAGAGACTCGACATCCCACGTGCATAAAATTTCATCTTCAGACAGATAAACCAAAGGCTGGGAGATCGCCTGCCTCGGAATCGGCAAGGTGCCCTACATTAACAAACTAGTACTCGATTTGTGGTGATCGTCACAACGCTTGCTGTGCCGCAATCCCCTCATGCTCTTCTCATGATTTCGGCCGAATTCTCAGCGTGGTCGGCGAGGTGCGTTTGCCGCGAGATACTGCGATAGCCGGCTCGAGAATGATGTGGCTCACAGCTATGAGAAGAAGCGAACCGCGGAAGGTGACGTGAACAGTATCGCTTGCCGCCGATACACCTCCGTTGAGTTTTTTCGGAAAAGAGGTTACGGGCAGATCAACAAAGCTTACACCACAGCCGTACGCGCAACTAAACATTAACGTCGTCTAGTGTCCAGCTTAACCTGCAATTGCCGGCCAGTGCTATTTCGAGCTGATAGTGGATGGCAGGCGAGGCGGCAAGAGATTGGCGAGATCGAAATGCCGCATGTTTACAGTATTACGTGACCGTCCGCGTACTCATATGAAGGTTAGCCAGCTGCGCCCAACTTGAGTTACAGTATGCTGCAGACCTGCGTCAACAATTCGATTGCTACTGCGCACCATCTATCTTTCATTCACCTCTCTGATCGCGATGAAGATGGTACTCAGCCGGGTGAACAGGTTTCGCCGCGAGGTCGTTTTCATGTGCCTCTGCATCTCGCTGGCCAATGGCAACTTTGTGGCTATCAGGCAATTTCACACTAACACATCATCCGTGGCAAAACCCACGACTTCCACAGCCCTCATGGGCGACTTCATCCTGGCAGGTTTGGGTGCAACAGCAACGGCTTCTCCCTCGTCGAGACAAGATTCTGTGACGAGTGGTACGACGTTGGTGCCTGGATTATCGCCAACCACCAATTCTACCAAGACGAATGCTGATCAACAAAATTCACGGCCTTCGCCGACTTCCAGTGGTAACGCCAACTCAACATTGATCTCGACAATTGACCCGGCATGGGCAAAAGCTGCAGTCGGTTGCTATGAGTCCCTGTGGATTTGGCACGATAACTATCTATTATATTCTTCCCAACATGCGAGCACGACAAGCCTGGTGTATTGGACAGACTCATGGACCTCAACCAGACCAGATGGTCTGTCGGCCAGCCGTCTGACAACATTATGTGACGGTCATCCTCGAGCCATCGGATCAGTCACTTACTCGACTCAGACAGGGTCGTGGGAGTATAGCAGCCTGACGACATTGTATCCCACGATTCCAGTGAACTACCCAACTCCGCTCCCGTGCTCACTAGACCCATCGCAATGTGCGTTCATGTCGAAAGTCGTCTCTGTTGCTGTGTCTATCGCTTCGCAGAGTGCGAAGGATAATTCCAGCGCAACCAGCGTAATACCTCAGGCCCCATGCTTCACTCAGGACGGACAGACGGGCAGTGTTCCATTTGTTATTTCAACTATTACCCCCGCACCGACTTTGCTGCCAAAACCTACGGAAACTTGCGGCGATGGCACGGCCCTCGTATTTGCATCGGCTGTGCAGTTGCTGTACTGGCCAGTACTACGTGAAGATGTCAATCGGTCGGACTATTCATGGTGTAATAAGTTCGATCCTGATTACGATCATTCCGTCACGCGAGCTCCGTCCTCCGGCCATATTCCATACATCGAAGGCACGCGGACCGGAAGCGGGCCTAACGTGTTCGTCACGGGCAGCATCACAATCACATCTCCTGATATCGGTCTCGCTCTTACCAGCGTGAGCGGTAAATTCGGATGCAGCCCGGTGATTGAATCGACTATACTAACAATGCCGCGCTCTCTCCTGTCAAGTCAACGCGGTGCCCGTGTTTTTTTCCAATCGTGGCCATTCGATCTTGCTGACTTGAATTGGGTATGCCAGTCAAGTGACAGCAATGTATTCACAACGCAGTTTCACGAAGATTTGAATTGCTACCAGGACGTTCAGGCCTTGGCTTACTTCTCACATCAGGAGCGTTGGGACTTCTGGACACGGATGACAAGTAGCTCAAGGGAGGCTGCCATGTCCGTACCTATCGGTAGAGACTATCACCCAAGAGTAATCCCCGATCCGGAATTTTTCACCACTTGGCTATCAGAACATTTTGGAAGATACGCCTTGTGGATGCCAAATGGTAAGTCTGTGGAAAGTCTACACCTTGTGGGTGGAATCATGCTTATCGATGGGCCCAGGAATCTGGGATCCACCAATTGCTCTGGGTCAGGCACCTGCTGCAGCTGAAGCCACCGTTCCCGTCTTTGCTCCCACGACAGATCCGGCAACAGGTCTGCAAGTGACGACCGAAGCGAGACCTGTGCCTGCAAATCCCACGCAGGTCCCACAGACCACGCGTGAAACTATTGCAACCAGTACAATCTCTTCGCAGGCCGCTCCACATTCAACACAAACGGCAGATGTTCCCAAGACAACGTTCGTAGATCCGACAACCTCGATACATTTCAGTTTTGACCCTGAGACGCCAACTTCACCAAACTTGGTAGACACAACTCCCTCGTCCCATACAAAGGGAAGCACTGTCACGGTCAACGTGGTTGGGACCAATTTTGTGATTGGCGGTCATACTTTAGGCGTCGGTTCTGCAACAACTATCAATGGTCAACGCTTGTCACATGCCTCTTCCAATATCGTTGTAGGAACTGGTGCTGCAGCAGCGACGATGCCGGTTGACGCTTCTTCCTTGCTGCAGCAAATTACACTTGGGACTGCCACTGTCAATATCGGCAAACTTGACACAGGGGTTGTGCAGATTGGCTCCCAAAAGCTGACAGTCGGAGGATCTGTTCAGACGATCGAAGGACATGTTGTTAGTGCCGGCACCTCTGCTCTGATCGTTGGTCAGGGTTCGACTGCTGCGACCATCAGCCTCGATGGAGAATCGACTCAACAGCTAACGATTGTACCTACGTCCATCAACCACGACCAGGACCTTTCGACAGTCACTGTTGGCAATGAAGTTTTGACCGTGGGCGGCGCAGCACATACTGTTGATGGTCAAATCGTCAGCGCGGCTTCGAATGGTCTTGTGATCGGTGCAGGTTCTGGAACGATTACAATACCGGTCGTGTCTCAAAGGCCGAAGATTACAGTCATCACAGTTGGTTCGCTAACTCTCACGCGCTCTCCATTGGCTAGCGGGGCAGAGATTTTAGCCAATGCCGCCACAACAGTGACACTCTCGAGGAGCGGCTTGGCTGTGACAGTAGGCTCTGCAGTGGCCAGTCTAGGGACAGCAGGTCTGGTCGTGAACATCGGTGACCGAACAACAACCTATAGCAAGACTCGAACCACTTCTGAAATGCACACATCGACAAATACAGTTTCGTTACTATCAAAGAATAGTTCGACCACGCCTGGGACAAGCACCAACTCGTCGACTCCTATAAGCACGAAATCTACGGGCACATCCACATCATCCCCTCCAACAACTTCGACTGTATTGCAGGCCAGCGCCGCGCGCAACGATCTCAACTCTGCAACGTTATACGTACTCGCTGTGGGCATAGCCGGCATGACTTTGCTCATGGGACGATGAAAAAAAAGTTGATATGTCAGCCTCCACCACACAACACAATGGGTTGTTCGGCGTGCGTGTATCCATGCACTGTATGCCACTGCATTCCGGCCGAAATTTTTGCCACTGCGTCACTCGAACCTAATGAGAAGGGCAGCCTAACGAGAGCAGAATTTTCGCAAATGCTGCTGCAGGGCGATGCGCCAGAGCAATGAACAGACGCCTCTGTATTCCGACCTCGGACGACAATCCAAATACTCTCGGTGTGCATGGCAGGAGATGGCGGCGCGCTCTGTTGTGACTCAGACACAGATTCCGCTGGAGCGGATGGGATCGTAATTCCAACACGACATGCATTTCACGCGGTACGCCGTCCGCCGTGTTGACACCGAGCTACACATGCAGTGACGTGGGTCCACATGTACGAGGAAACGAGAATTAAGAGAGGCAGTTGCTAGCGATGTTGTCTCTTGGGTCGCCCATTCTGAGTTTTCGTGATGTTGCTTAGAGCAGTTTTGATCACATCCCGCAAGGATGAAGCAGGTATGAAGCAGGTATGTGGGTCTGACAGAGAGCTGCAGCGACGCATTGCGACCAGTCGGATGGACTGTATTGGACAGTACAGCAGGAAGACATTTCGAGAACCAGTCTGGACGTGGCACGATGTCGGCCACTCGTGTCTGCAGCCAATCAGCATACGAGCGCATTCGGCCCAATTTTTCTTCGTGCGTGGCTCCACTCGGCCCGCTTCACGTGCAGAATTTTTGTTCCTCATCGATCGATCCATGATGATGCGTCTCACTGTCAACTCTACAGCTATCTCAATGCGATATACACCCGTGAAACCAAGTGCGAATATGTACATCTTGGCGCACAACCGAAGCACATTTCATGTGAAAAAAAAACTTTATGTAGAGAATCGGTAGGCAGTCTCACGGCTCACCATCCGCGGAATTGGACCCAAGCATTTCTCAGACCGTCTCCAGCGGGCAATTTGTCAGGCGGACACTGCCGCGAGTTCGCCTTGACAGGTAGGGAGTTGGCAGCCGCATGCAGGAACAAACAAGCGCTGCAGTAGGCCGTATGCAACGACGACAATTTATCCCGATGCGTCTGGAAGGGCTGGCCATTCAAAGCAGCAGGTGCGCGCGGTGCCTCGGGAAGATGAGTGTCAGTATTGCTCAACCTGCTGCAGTACATTACTGTGACATCGTCATCAATATTGACGTGCGGTGAGGCGAGAAATCGTCAGGAAGGAAAACAATGGGTCGGCCTTGTATTTCGAACAATGCTATTGGACCATTGCGTCCACGCACCATGGCTGACGCGTCCAACGTCCTTCACGTGGAGAGCAACCGCTGCGGCACACTTTGGAACAGTAGGGTATGCGATACCAATACGAAGCCAGGAAATGTTTCGAAGTTGATTAATCTGGCGCACAGCGCAAGCGAGCACGAAAAGTACAGAGGCACGCACGCACGTCGGAGGGACGTCTGCTCACAGAGCAGCTCGACTGACTATGCTCTTCCATCGTGATCTATGACCGGCCGGTCGGCGATTCTCGTGCAATGCGATAGGGCTCTAATTGGTACATCGGTATGTAGGTGGGGACAAAAGTTTTCATGATGCATGCGTTGTTGAATTCATCACAATGGCATTCAGGCATTCAAGCGCAAGCCGTCCCTGCAGTATGAACAGAAAGAAAACCCCCAGCCGCACAGAGGAACGCCACGAACGCCAAAGAAGCACAAACGGATTCCCGCGTTGACGGCCATTGTTCGGAGCGCATCCACAGTGGATCATTGTTACGTTGGGCTGGAGTGCAAAGGAGGATTCTGGTGGGACTTCGCATCAGAACAGCGACGGGATTGGCCTTCCGCTTTGCCCAATCCGGCCGGTCTGCGACTCCCCGATGCGCGATGCCAACTTTTCACGGTCCAGAGCACTGAACCACGCATTCCCACGCATTAAGCTCGCAAAGGCTTCTGCAGGAACAAGCTTCACTTCTGATGAGAACCCGCCAATCGTCGCCTTGTGCCTCTCCGGGAGACAGCGGGATCCGTTGAGTGGGCTCGATCATGATGCGCTAATCCCAAAGCGATCTAGCTGTCCCATGGTGTTGGCATCACCATCTTTCCCCTGACCATTGTCCTGCCAGCAAACGGTTAGCACGACACACACCCACACGCGTGTCCTGCAACCACTTCGCAGCCCATGAAGCTTACGGACTAATCGGCATATGGCTGCCGTCAACACTCTAGCACAGTTCAATGCCCATCGCCAAGGGGGAAAATGTCCCGATGCCCTCCCCCATGCTACATGCTTCGATCGTGACAACGACTCTCGTGCTCTCAGTCCTTTACCATTCTGCCATCCTTCGTCAACAGGGATTACTCCACCACTCGTTACCCATTTTTTTTTTCTTCTTTTCGCTTCTTTCGGACGACGATATAGTCCTCGGCACGACGCCTCTCAATTCCGCAAGATTCTGATTCTGATCGCACGTCTTCATTCACTCTCTCAGCCCTGCTTGAAAATCATATCGCTCTCTTCGAATCGATACGGGAAGTGAATATCATTCCTCAATTCATTCTGCTTATCGATATCTTGACTCGCCGTCATCGCACTCCTTCAACAATTGTCACATAGGACTATACCTTCTCTTGGCAACATGAACAAAGTCATCGCCACAGCCGTGGCTCTCTTGGGCTCTGCTGCCCTGGTGCGCGCATCCAACCTTGCCTCTGGGAGAGCGATTGTTGTCAACAAGTGCTCCTACCCTGTGTACGTCAACAACGTCCCCGCTGCGGGTGAAGGCGGCGTCGAAGACAACTTTGGAGCTCTTGCTCCGGGCCAAACCTACTCTTCTCAATGGCAGGGATTGAGCAGCCCAGACGGAAAACACCACGATGGCTGGGCGATTAAGCTATCCAAGACTGCACAACTCGATACTGCGCATATCTTTCAATACGAGTACACTTACCAGCCGACCATCGACGCAAGTCAAGTGTGGCTCGACATGAGCTCAGTCGACAACATGGGTAACCCATGGCTCACAGAAGGCTGGACTATTGAGTCTAGCCTTCCTTGCAGCGATGAACTCAAGCAGATGGCTACATACACGTACTCTACCGACGACAAACATGGGATGCAGCCCACGTGCCCGTCGGCTGCTGACTTCACTGTCATTCTTTGCCAGTTCCCAGGTGGTTTGAGTGGATGGTCTTCGACTCCCTCCTGGTCCACGCCGGCTGCTCCATCTGGGCTCATTGGTGGCCTCGTCGCGGGAGCTACCAGCCTAATCGGTGGCATTGCATCTGACGTTCTTGCTCCCTTCACAGCTGCCGCAGCCCCGTCGGCCACGAGTACCTATGTCGCCCCTGCTGCCCCGACCACGACCGCTGCCCCGACCACGACTGCTGCTCCCGCAGCAACGGCAGCATCTTCGCCTTCACAACAGCAAGCGCCACAGCCTACTTCGACCTATTCGGTCGCACAGCACGACAGCGTCAACACCCCAAGCCCGACAACCTTGATCACCTCATATGCGCCCAAGACGTACGGTACCACCGTTGTCGAGGTTGAGACTGCCTGGGTTACGGAGATCGTCACCGTTAACGTTCCAACGGTCACGGAGTATGCCACTCGCCGTCGTGCACGTCACATGCACCACGCTGCGCACAACGCCTAAGCGCACACTGCCCACAAGCCCCACTCAAGCCAGCCAGTCTGCGCTACACATTCATTCAAACAATTTTGGAATAGATCTTATCCAAGTCTATCCACAGAAGACTATCGCGTCACTCCTTTCCGCGATCGCTCGATGCGAAGACTTGCTTCTAGAAGAGCCAGGACCTCTCAGCCCATGCCCGATCTTCGTCTGAGCGCGCTGTGCCGCCGCCGACGAGGGGAAAGAACATTGCCGGCTTTTTACACAACCTTCAAGATGGCCAGGTCGCCCTCGTCAGCTTCCTTCCACCTCCTGATCTTGGCTCCTTTGAGTCCAGAGATTCTTCAAATTTTCGCCTCGCTGCACTTATCACCAGCCAAGTAAATACCCCGTTTCGCGACTCACGAACCCTTTCTTGGCTACGATCACGACACCCCATTACTTCTTCATCATTGTCAACTTCTTCTCCGTCACATTGGCCCTTTTATGAAGAGCATCAGCGTCGCGCTTCAATCTTTTCGCGCTGTCCAGACAACTGGACTCTTCTCAAAGGTGGTCTGACAGGGCACGCACGCACAGGCTAGCGAGCGGGTAAAACTGTACCCTCGCTGTGTCCTTTGTCTTTTTTCCCGCGTGTGCGCCCAGAACATTCATTCATTCATTCATTCATTCTTTTATTTTCCTTTCTTTCAACTTCTTTCCCCTTTTGATCTTCATTCTTCTTTGAGTTATTTCTTCTTTTGGATTTTGAGACTGAGAAGGGAATGAGAGAGGGGTGCTAGATTCATGCAAACTCGCTTGTTCGTGCGTGCCTGCGCGTCGATCAAAACCCCCCAAGAATCTCCCTCGTCGTGTGTATAGGAGGAAACCTGCGAAGAAAGCTGCCCACGAACAAGCACAAGGACTTCCTAGATCTTGAGGCATATACATGTACCATTTGTGTGTACCTATGCGATGGAGAGAACCTGCTCTTTTCGTTACAAGTCAAATAGCATCAATCACTCTTTCGACACAGAAACATTTCGTGCCCCCCTTCATCTTTGTGAAAACATGCCATCGTATTTTCATCCCACAATCAACATCACCATCATCAAGAAACGCTCTCTCCACAGAACCGCATTTATCTAGGACACGATACACATCAAAAAACCCGAAAAAAACCAAACCATCCACCGTCGCCCGTGACGATGTCCAATAGATGAAGTTCCCTGCGGCGCAGCAATCAAGCAACCAACGATCAAACGGCTGTCGCTCCCAAGACAATGGGCGATCGCGAAATTAAGCCTTTTGGTCCAACGTCTGTCTCTCCTTGTGTTTCAGCCTCCGCTCGTGCGTGCGCGCGCCGCACGTTCGCGACTCACACGCACGCGCGTGTGGGAAACGCGTCACTGACGCGGCGAGGGAGGAGTCCAATTTCGGGTTTCGGATTCGTGCCTGTTTTACACTGTAATAAAAACAAGATTGCGTCTGGGATTATAATGGCTTTGTGTTCATCTGGTGGGGACGGGACCTCTCCGCTGCATTTTCTCTATTCGGGTGGAGAGGATGTCGATCGGTATTTTATGTGTCTCTCTTATTGTTGTGTGCACAGCGTGTGTACACGGCGCACGCACAATTCACGGTATGTACTGGATCATTTCGTGATGCATGCATAGGATACACGCGGGTCAAAGCCTATGTGTGTGCATCGACTCCAACTCGGGATTTCGTTGCCGGAAGAGAAAGGATGATGCATGTCGTCTTTTCCTGTGTTTCGATTGCGGCTGAGTGTCTATCGCTGGAAGCGCGCGTGCTGAATTCGTGCGCTATCATCTGTCTATATAATGCAGTATACGGCGAGGAACAGATCCGCCACGGCCATTGTTCCGGACAAGATGAGAGAGGTCGCCGAAAAGACCGAGAATGTAGCCTCAGCTTGAGTAGCTGGCAGTTCTGATCTGACCGCAGGAGTGAACGGAAATGGGTGACAGACGAGAGGCGCATCGATCCTCTCATACTGGATCACTGTGATAAATCCAGAGTGATTGTCTATCTCTAGATTGCGCGTTAGGACGAATGGCAAACGTCCTTCGTCCCAAGTGCATCAATGTGTATCGAATTCGCCAAAGAATCCATCACCCACGACGACATCTACATCTCTGAGTTGCATTTCATCTCGACGATCATTCACTTCAGCTCTTTCTGAGAATGTCCGGTGCGCCAGCCCACCTCTCCCGCTTTCTTCCTTTTTTCCTCTCGCTCTTTTCTCTTCAATTCCGCTCATAACAACTTCAAATGTCCCGTCACCCCATCCACCACGCTCCTAGGCCCAGGTCCAATACCCAAGACAGTCGCCGAACCCGCGGCGATCTGCGTGCGACCCGCGTCGTGAATGACCTGCGCGCAGAGGCCAAGGCTCACCGCTTGCGCCTGCAGCACCAGAAGGTCATCTTCGCCACCGTCGCATTTCAAGGCGATCTTGGCCTGGCCAAGTCGTTCCCAGCGGCGGAGGATTGGATGGATGGTGGTGGGATTATTGCCGCCGGTGCGCAGGAGAGTTTTGTAGCAGGCGAGGGTGGCGTGGGAACATTGGGCGGCGATTTTGCCTGTGAGGGTGATGAGTGGTTAGCGATCTGCATGTCAAGACAGTGACATCCGTGGGCATGCGAGTGCATTCCTCGTCGCTCTCGTCGAGTACGTAAAGCACATGCGAGTCGTGTGACGGATGACCATGTGCAGCGACTTTGGGTGGACAGAGGCACATGCCCGCTTCCTATCTCTGAGGCAAACCCCACACGGTATTTGGTCGCATGCACGATTGCCCAAAACTGATAGTCGCCGCGGAGAGACGGGTCGCTTCGTTGCAGAAGGACGGAAGAATTTTCAACGACGCAAGGTTTCACTCTGCAGCTTACCTTTGGTCATGCCGAGGTCGGTGCGAACGACAAAGACCATTTTGCACTCTTCCGTGTTGCCGTCAAAGGACTTGAGACCCTCGATCGATTCCTCCTCCTCCTCCTCTTCGCCGTCGTCGTCGTCATCGTCTTCGTCTTCGTCTTCGGCTTCATCCTTGCCTTTCGCGCGCGACACGCCAGACAGTGTCGCAGGTGATTTTTGGGAGCCACCGAACACACCAATGCTTTGCGCCTGACCGATGTAGTAGCCCATCAGGCCAGAAACGATGGCCGTGCCAATGGCGATGGCCGCGGCCGAGGGTGGAGGTCGGTCTGCCATTGGTGGTCGGCAACTTTCCCCTGCGCAATGTTTATCTATGAGAAATGAGCGACAGTGATGTCGGGTGATGTCGTTTCGCTGCCTAAGGTTGATTGTCGAGTGGGATGCTGCGTGTTGCGTGGGTGGAAGTTCTGTCAGATGTACCGAAACTTTTGTCTTTGTTGCATTTGGTTATCGATTGCAGGCGGAGCATGTCACGGTAGCTGTGTGAGCCGTGGGGAAGCGACTAGCGCGATGACGTGCGCAGGTATCTCAGGCAATGCGTAGACGAGAGTGTTGCACTCGTCGACGGGCGATGCACTCGACGGGCGAGGCAGTGACACGAAGTCAGAGGACAACATGGTGTCAGTGAGCGTGAGTTCAAAAGTTGAGGGAAGGGAATATGTCTGAGGCTTCCCACCGTGCTCATATTGTACTGGCAGGTCGTCGGTTTGGGGACAAGCGGGACCCATTCTCAAGTGCCCAGGTCTCTCGCCATATGCACCCCAGGAATTAGCGGCGTGGTGACTGGCCGGCAGTCCCTAGTGATCGCCGACATGGTTTTTTTTTTCTCAGGCATTCACTGATGAGGAAGGACATGCATGTGTTGCTTAGGAAGCAGACTGGTCGCAATGATCGTCTCTACGAAGCGTGGTTTTCCATCGCGCTGGCTGCGCTGCAAATTTGCAAGGTCGTCACCGTCTTCAGGGATCGGGCTTTAATGTTGGACGGTCTGGACGCTCATCACCCTTCGCACAGTGCATCCTCGGGATCTCACAGCTGCAGAAAACAAACAACCATCCCGCCGTGCACCTGCATCGACTGATGCGCGGAATGTGACGACTCGACAGAAGGTGGGATTGTTTCTGCACATCAACAACGAAAATGTGCCCAACACCCGCGTCCGGCATGCAACTCTTAGAGATAAGCGATCGGGTTATCGTGGTGTGGTGGAGGGGCACTCGACAGGCACTTGACTCCATGGAGTAATCGAGAGTGAAGGTCATGCGGCAGAAAAATGTTTATCGAGCCCAATGTGACGATAGCGAAAGCCAATCTGCAGGGTGATATAGTACTACTGTGACCGGAGAGCAGAGGGTGATGTCCTATCTCGGAATATGCTCGTGTGAGTCTAGATTGTTGTGATACCGTCCTGTAATATAATAAATCATGAGGTGATACTACATTCTACTAGGTGGTGGTACAGTATGGACAGCACTTGATTGAATATGGTAACGGTCCCTGATCATCAATCGAAGTTCACCGTCCTCTCTCTCTCCGTGCGGCCAGCCCTGGCGCAAAGTCCAGCACCACCGAGATCTCCGCTTTCCGCCCGAGAGAAAGTGTGTGAAGGGCTAGCAGTGGGAAATGATCAATGATGATGACGGCCCTGGAGTAGTGAGCACGCAATTCTTCATCCCTCTTGCCCAATTCCCGCCTGGAACACAATTCCGCTCCCATGAATGGCTCGCGCTCATCCATCACACCGCATTGTTCATGTCAAGCGTGATGAGGGGGCGTTCCGGTGTCATATCGTGACGGCGCACTGCCCAGGTGGATTGGTCACATTCCGCGAAGAGGGAAGATTTCTTGTCCAAACTCCGATTCCGAGCCGAAAACTGCATGGATTGGGCTGCATCATCACCGCAGCTTCGCCATTGCCCTCCACTGCTACACTTCCACTGCAGGTTCTATACCTATACGCATTCGTATTACCATACTACACAAGTTCATGATTACCAACACACTTCTTATTGATTGTATGCCTGCGCGGTGACTTTCCCGACCTCCTCCTGGTTCCATGAATATCACCGTGTCATGCATGGCTCGAGCAACAATGACTATTTCTAAGACAATTCATCTTCTCATCTCTGCTCTTCTCTTCTCTTCTTCTCCATCCACGTCAATCCTCCTCCTCTAATCCCACTTCATGATCATTGTTGACATAACTGCATACATCCCACATCTGCCTCCCACTCGGAACAACACCTTCACGAACAAGTTCCACATCTACAACATCTAGAATACTTATCGTCGTGTGGGGTAATTAGTCCCATTGCCTCTGCTTGCGAAGTCGGTAGTCAAGGGCCCGTGTGTCTTCTCCAGACCGACTAATAACGACACTATCCAAGACCTTTTTTATTATATCTATTGATCGCCTGCCTGCCCAAGGTATTCAAGAAAATCTCTCACGATACCCGCTCCTTCTACTCCTTCTGCTACGCCTTGTCGCCGCTCCTCCACTTGGATTGATATCACTGCTCCTGTGAACATCATTGGAACAGGCCTGCTCGCATCTGGCTACATCACCTCCACACCCACATATCACCGCGATCATGGATCGTCCCAACAAACAAATCCCAGACACTCCTCCAGTCTCACCGCCCACGGGGTTTGCCGGCCAGAATGGCTTCAGCACGCCGCTCTTTCCCTCCCAGCCCAACATCCTATACATCATGGCCGATCAGCTGGCCGCTCCTCAACTCAAGATTTACAACGAAAAGTCACAGATCAAGACTCCTCACATTGATAAGCTCGCAGAGCAATCAGTGGTGTTCGAGTCAGCGTACTGCAATTCTCCCTTGTGCGCGCCCAGCCGAATGGCAATGATCACCGGTCAATTGCCCTCCAAGATCGGCGCCTACGACAATGCCTCTCCCATCCCTGAAGATACTCCCACATACGCGCACTATCTCCGAAATGCTGGATACGAGTGTGTCCTAGGCGGAAAGATGCACTTCATTGGTGACCAGCTTCACGGCTACGAATACCGATTGACTGCAGACATCTATCCCGCCGATCTGGGTTGGTCAGTGAACTGGGACGAGGCGGACACTCGTCTGGAGTGGTACCACAACAGCTCATCGATCTTGCAAGCTGGACCCTGTGTGCGGAGTAACCAGCTCGATTACGATGAGGAGGTCATGTACAAGGCCCAGCAGTTCCTCTACGACCATGTCCGCAAACCTGCAGGCAGCCGACCATTCTGCTTGACCGTCTCCCTCACTCACCCTCACGATCCCTACACCATCGAACAAGAGTACTGGGATCTTTACGAGGGGGTCGACATTGATCTGCCAGAAGTTGACATTCCCAAGAGCGAGCAGGACCCGCACAGCAAGCGTCTTCAGCACGTCGTCGATCTCAAGGACTACGAGTTCACTCCAGAGCAGATCAAGAGGGCCCGACGCGCCTACTACGGAGCTGTCAGTTATGTGGACGACAACATTGGAAAACTTCTGGCGACTCTCAAGAAGTGCGGTCTCTCGGACAACACCATTGTCATCTTCTCTGGTGACCACGGTGACATGCTCGGCGAGCGAGGACTGTGGTACAAGATGTCTTACTTTGAGTCGTCGGTTCGCGTGCCGATGCTGGTCAGCTACCCATCACAATGGCACCCACACCGCGTGCCCCAAAACGTCAGCACCCTCGACATTCTTCCCACCCTCGTCGACATCGTCGGCGGTCGCCTGGTCCCCGGTCTGCCGATGGACGGAGTCTCACTCCTGCCACACCTCAAGGGCGCCGACACCCACGACACAGTGTTCGCAGAGTACATGGGCGAAGGCACCGTCGCTCCGCTTATGATGATTCGCCGCGGACCATGGAAGTACACCACCTGCCCAGCTGATCCCGACCAGCTCTTCAACCTCGCCACCGACCCGAAGGAGCTGCAGAACCTCGCCGCGCCGGGCGCCACCCTCGACGACGCCACCCGCGCGGTCCTGGACGCTTTCGTCGCCGAAGCCCACGCCAAGTGGGACATGCCGGCCATCACCGCCAACGTCCTGCAGAAGCAGCGTGCGCGCCGCTTCTGCTTCTCTGCCCTCAAGCAGGGTAAGTGGACGAGCTGGGATTACTCGGTGCCGGACGACAGCCGCGACAAGTACATTCGTAGCCACATGGACCTCGACGATCTGGAGCGCCGCGCGAGGTACCCGATCGTGGATACTCACGGCAACACGGTCTCCCGCCCGGTCGCTGGGACGCAGGCTTCTGCACTGCTCTCCAAGAAGGGAGCAGTGGCTGCCGATCGGGCGATTCCACACCAGGCCGGTGCTCTCGGCCAGTGAGGTGAATTGCACCTTACCATTGGTTTACCTTGATTCCCTACTATTTGATGCGATTTTTTGAGCGATGGCGCCTGGACAAGTTGCTTGCTTTTCTCGGGTGTCCTTTGATGATGATGGGCGTTGGGGATTGCCTTTGACTTTTCCCCTTTTTTCTCCCTTTTCGGAAGCATGTTGCGGAACACGATATCCGGGCGACGTGCAATCACGACGATGACGACGACGACGACGAAGAAGACGACAGTTGATGATCCAATCTAGGATTCACAAAAGCTTGGGGAATTTGGACCATCGAATGAGACGTGGAGCCCACAAATACGGTGTTTGGGGATGGCTTTTGGACAATGTTGCAGAGCGATCGCGGAACCAACAAAAGCATTGCATGGAGCGTGATGTTCGGTCAAGGGCGAGTGATCATCTCGCGATGATGGCAAGCTCTGTTCGTTTCGACGGCTCAATGGCATTTGGATGTGGTGAGCAGGTCGAGCGGTTCTGAAGGTTTCGGGAAAATGTTGTTTTGTCTTCGTAGATAGTATACAAAAACCAACAGTTCGAAACACCACAACTTCCACTGTCTGCTACTCGCCGACAATACCTTACGCCATCTCGTTACCATACCAGTAATGCCTAAGCAGGTGCAATCGTCAAGGATAAGTACAAAAAAGCACGATGGAACAGGATGGACAGCTCAAGGGTCCTGGAGTGGAGCTCTTGAGATATCTCCAGTGACGATTAATAGATTTAGAGATGGTCTATCAGCATCACTTGAGAGAACGGCAGGGTCTAATCTGATATGATTGTCAGATGAGAGTCGAGAGCGGCTATCAATGCGATCATCCAGCTTTCATGTTGACCCCGGGATATTTTGAAACACGAACATCTCTGAATTCAAATTGTGGTAAGCTCAACCCTGAATGGCATTCATGAATAGCTACAACCCTAGTTAAACACATATCCACATTTATGTTCAACAGGCCTAGAGATTGACGAGTCCAATATCCCTGGCCATGCTGGATAAGAACTGTATATTCCCGTTTTCCTATACCCTTCCGAATGGTTATTGTATCCAATGAAGCAACACTCAGATATGAAGTACTCCGTCTATGTCCTTCCGTCCTGGGAAGAAGACATGCACTCCAGCTTCGAAAGATGTTGGGGCAGACTCCCCTCTATCCCCGAACCCTTTCCCCTGCAGCTCGCTTCCCGCGTTCGAGCCGAACAGGTCGAAACGCATCCTGAAACGCAGCGCGCATAGCAGGGCAGCTGGAAGAGAGCTCCACTTTTCCAACACGGGCTGTTCCTCCTCAAACCGCTCGGTTGCTCTTTCCACAGCGAAGGCGCAGAAAGCCGTTTCCTCCGCGGCCCAAACCGGGCGTCCGGCGATCAGAACGCAGACTGAGAAGGTAGAGGACAGTAGAAAGGGCCACGCGTCCGACGGCGGCACACGACTCCGGGATGGGGAGCCATGCGTGTGAACCACGACAGGGGAAAAAAGGTAGGCAGAAAAACCGGATTGCTCGCATGCGATGAAACACGGATGTCCTGCGGGAGTTCTCGTCTTTCGCAGATGGCGCATGGTGGTCATCAGGGGAGATGTCGGGAGGGTTCTACTACTGTGTGTGGCAGGACAGACGGACTCGACGGGGGATTCCCATATTCCTCCTGCACGGGTGCCAATTCGATAGAGCGTGCTGTGCAGGAACGACGAGGTGAGGGAGTTTGCAAAGCCGAGCCAGTCGTATCCATTGCGTTCCGAGCCATTTGATGATTGAGCATGATTCAGGCATGTACACTGCTCCAGGGCGCTCTGCTCCGCGATCACGAGACTGGTTTCGTTCAGTCTATAAAACCCGTTAATGCTCACCTACCTAGGCATACCAAACACGGCATAAGATGAGTAATTCTGAATACATCAATGCAAATAGTGACATGTACACTCCACATGACAAGTCTGCCCAGGTGTGCAAGCGTTCAAACATGTGGAAACTTATTGCTAGGAAAGGCCCGAAAAGCCCCACCTAGGCACCCATGAATAATAATACATGGCACTGGTGGGGCCCAGCCGCGCACGCCACCACGTTGCTATCGTCTCGATACCGCTGTAGAGAGACGGGAAGAAAGAAAGAGAGAAAGAGAGCGGGAGAGAGGAATGGCATAGGAAATCCGGAATAACCACTTCGCCTGGCACCCACCTGACATGCAAAGATACCCGCCGCGCAGCAGGACGGCAATAGTTGCAGAAATCGGGATCTCTTTCTGCCAGTCAGAATCCCTCAAAGGATGTCGGCAGCGGGGGATGGGGCGGCGAATACGAGAAATTCAAAATTCGATAGCGTTGGAAGGGAGTGAGTGGACGTCCTACAATACGTGCTCTCTCCTCCGATTTGGCTGATGATGAGGGACGGACAGACATCCTTGATCGTGGTGGTGGTGGTGGTGCACAGGCTTGTCATGCAGGAGGCGCTGCTCCGATGCACCTTTGATCCCGGACAGAACGAGTGATACCTACCTAGCGGCTGGTCTTCTGGATTGCTTCACAAAGGCGTCGTAATCCTCCGCGGTGCCAAGCGATGGCGAGAGTGCGCGATGGAAAGCAAAGCCCGGGAATGGGAAAATTGCTCGTCCAATGAAAACTAGGATGCTCACCCAGAATATCGAGATGGGATTTCTCCTCTGCCTGTCACGTTCGGACCAGATGATCAGAAGCGTACTACGTGTAGGACAGACACCACGTTCATCAGTCCTTCGGTGCAGACCACGTGCATGCGTGAGGACCAGCCTGCGACAGGTTCTCGACATGGGTTGCGTGATAAAAGCGCAGGGCATATCGTCATGTTGTGACTATGTATGTATTTCATGTATCATCAGAGATAGCACGATGCCCGAAAGCACCCAGCCCTGTCGTCGCTCCACGATCATCTCTTCAGGGTGAATTCCATGATCACCCGTCCATCGCGATGATGCCATCGTCAGCCGCGACGTCGTCACACCATGTCGTGATGCTACTTGCGACCGTCGATTCCGAGTCGGTGGATGTCTGGAACAAGTGGCGGACAGTGATGATGACGATGATGATGAGCTGACGGGTGGATGGTAAGCTGATGTGGCGCGCGATGTGACAGTGCAGGAAACCCTGTCGGAAAGCTCTATACTGGAGGCTGGCATTGGGGATGTTTCTCCGCTGGTCTCCTGGTGCGGTACTGTATTCAGCTGGAGGGTCGGAGAGAAAAATCAAGGCCTGGACAAGCTCTAGAGAGCTCTGGAGCTAGATGACATGCAGCAGCCGCGATGGCGAGAGAGCTCCAGCTTGCGAAGCTCTAAAAATAGTTGACGAAGCTCTCGAGTGACGACCTCATCGATCGTCCGAAGAGCGCCACTGGTCCATGATGCCTTATGGTTTATTATAAATTTTGCGATTGAAAGGTATATCCCTGCCACAAGTAGTGGAGGGAGAGGTGTCACACGAAGATCACGACTTGACGATCTCGACCACGACATGCATGGCAGATCTGCCAAAAGAATGCTACCTGCGTACGCAACATTGATGATCACTCGCGGCAGATCACCTTGACAATTCGTAAATCACACACGGGTGGCGTGGAGGACAGAGTTCGATCCCGCATAACGTGGTTCCACCGACCTGGCAGCACTGCATTGTCGAGCTTCAGAGAGGTCTACCGATTGCTGCTCTCCATCCTCTGCCACCGACGAACCGTCAGCGATGCAGACGATCTCTCGGCGTAGGAACGATGAGTTCCCTCTGGACACCTCCGCCGGGGATCCTTGCACGCCCGAAGCGATTTACGGCCGGGATGGGAAATTGATAAGGAAACAAATCATATCGGGACATCTCATGGGTAGATGCAGTGAGGACAAGCGACATCGCTGTCGCACCAACACTTTGGATCAATGGAAGCTAGTAAGCATGCTTTCATTCATTGCGACCGTTGGATCGAGGGCAGCGAGGGTTGACACGGGCGATTGGAATTGCGGAGAAAAGATTGGAGATCAATGACAGCACGAATGCGGATCATCACTTGTCGATGACATATCTTGAACGTTTCCACCTACGCTTACTAGTGTCTGTCGATGGGTAAACGAATACGGGGTGGATTTACTTTTTGCTGGATATGTTATTGCCCTGTTCGCTGACCACGATCCAACGAAGTTTCGCCCGACATTGTGCGTGCACGGCATCTTTCAAGCCATGTGGAGGCAACTGTTGTATTTGGGTGTAGTTCGTATTCATTTGATTTGATTGCCCAGGTGATATTGCCCGTTTGGATGTCTCGTAGGGAGAAATGTGTTTCCCCGCAAAAGCCGGTGTGATGATATCCTTTCATGATTTATTCTCTCAGGATTTGATTTACATGACGTAGGTGCTGGTTAGCCTGGATCATCTTTAGAACTTAGAAAGATGTGTGAGGTCAGAGCGCGATCTCGATGTGAGCGGCAAAAGCAGATGGACAAGCCACTAGCGGATGAACTGGGCCGGGCGCAACGTTCCCCCATAAGCTTCTTTTTCCTCCTCCGCGACGCCGCCGCCGCCGAGATTGAGGCAATTCGAGCGAGCAGGCTGCCATGGGCCGCAAAGTGTTCTTGGCGGTGATCATCATGAAGACGTTCAATTGCACCGTGCGTTGCTACAGGAAGGATAGCTGCGTGCGAGGATTTCCCGACTGTAGATGGGTGTCCATGTGCCTGTAGAGGGGGGAATGGTAGGCATTGCGGCACCTCTGAACTCACACGGCGGAATCTTGGCATTCCGACACGCGTTCAAAGCTTTGTGGGAACACGGAGCACTCATGCCGTACTCAATCTCGGCATCTGCTGTGTGATCGAACGCACGACGAGAATCAATGCACAGCATGCTTTCTGAACTGCACACGATTGCGGGAAATTGATGAATGCAATACAAGATACATACTCTCGACCTCATGCATGAAATGCTATTATCAGCGGCGAGCACGGGACTAATTCGCTCAACGACCGTAGTAAGGAGGTCGATACATGTGTTGGAAGACGCGAGCCATACCCTTTCCAGCGGGCATGCCGTTTGGAGCGGGTTGAGGGCCGACACACACGCACTCTCCATCTCTCCATCTCTCTCTCTTCCCCTCTGCCTCTCCGCTGAGACGCGTCGTTCGCGGGAGAATCTTGACCACCCAGAAATGGTGGTTCCTCGGCTGAATTGGTGATTCCCGCCCGACAGATAGTCGTCACGAGGGAGTGTGACTCGGGAAATTACCACATCGTCATCGTTATGTCTCCGGCTGCGATAGCCCGGCTCCTGACAGGATAGCACAGGTCCTTCATCCACTCTGGGAGTGTGCTACAGTCCGGTGAAACCATTTTCCGTCTTTTAAACAGTCAAAACTCAATCTCTGGTGAAGTTGTATCATTCGTCCATGCGTGCGATGCGGAAACGCGGTTGATGGATTGATATCGTAGCACTTTCCCGAAGCGTTCAATTTGGATTGGTCTCAGCGTATCGCCAAGTCGGCAAGGCGCATGCTTATGCGACGGAACCCAACGGGCCATGGCGGTTGAGGAACAATGCAGTAGTAACAGCTATACTTTACAATGTTGTTCTTCCTGGCTTTGGCGAAATATGGCTCATTGGTGCGGTGACTAGCTGTCGACAAGGCAAGCGGAAAGAACGGCCATGACATCAGGGTGTTATTGGGCGAGGAGACTACTGTATGGGATAGGACAATGGCGTGCTTCGAGTTGCAGGCTGGAAATGGTGATTTTTTGGAACTCATCCCGTGGGAGCCCAAAAGGACTGGGATGCGAAAGGGGACGCCGAACAGCGACTGCACGTGCTTCCACATCCAAGCGGTCTCCTGCAAAAACAAAGCAGGGGGTCGGCATCTCGACCATCTCTTCCCAGCCATTCTCGTTCCCTCCGCCTGCGCCGCATGCGAGCAAGGCGTGATGTTCTCGTCGCATGCATGGAACCCATGAATGAGTGGTTGTTGTTGTCGCACAAAAATCTGCAATCGGAGCAGTAGCTATAGCAACCAAGAGTGATAGCATCGCGAAGTGGCTGGGAGGAGCATAAGGAAGACACCTCGTGGTTATGATGCATATTCACAATGAAGGCAAAATGGGAAAGGTTGGATGGAACGCGCGAGGGAACGCCTCCATGCACAGAGGGAAGAGGCACAGCAACAGGCGGCGACGGCGTTGCTACATCGGGCCAAGGACGGGAGCTAGGAGTAAGCTTCAGAAGGATCGCAGTGATCCATCTCTCTCGCACCCATGGCACTCGCGCCGGTGGCGTTCATCACAGAGAGAAACAAGCAAAATACCCATATACCCAGGTTCCAAGGTCGTCATCGCAATAGTACGCCAGATGCTATGGGATCATCGTGTCGGCCAGCTGGTGGGTGTGCCACGTAATCTGCCGAGGACGTCACTCAACAACGGTCGCCCGCTCGAGTAATGAGGATGAACACATTCATTTCAATGTACACGGTGGAATCTGCACGGAACAACCTCCATCGCGCTGTTGTTATCATGGATCGACACGTTCTCTTCAGGCCGCCAAAACCGGCTGACCCGGTAATGAGAGGAGATGTGTCAAGGACGCAACGGTGGTGGCGCCCACCTGCCTACCATTCGTGAACACGCATCGCACCACACTCATCGTGGACGCGAAGAATGGATCCCGGTAACAGTGGGCCGTCACATGTCACGGGAGAGAATCGTTCATCTTGGTGGGCTCCTGTCATGTCTGGGAGGCACGAACACAATGGGATACGGGCGCACGGGCGCGGAGAAAAGGGTCGGATTATGAGAGAAACTCTGTGATCATAATGATGAGATCATGAAACAAGCGAGAGACGAGAACAACCGATTTCGAGCCTGAGATGGTCTTTCGTGTCATGGCATTGGCCGCGGAGCACCAGCTTGTGTGCAAGAAGTGTGGGTACCACTAAACGTCCCACGCAACCGCCATCCATCTTTTTGTACGACTTGCATAGGGATACATGTAGGCTGCACATAACGATACCGCTCCAACAGCAATACGAGGCTCGAAATGGTCTCCGGTGGCAATTTACGTACGAGACGAACAAGGTCTGGAGTCTTTAGAGTCGCTACTGTGCCAAGCTGCATATGTCTCGACGCCTTTCAACAGGCCCATCACCGTTCAGGCGAAGGCGTGGAAGTAGGAGACGAGGACGACATTCAAAACGGCATGGCAGATCGAAATAGCGGCAGTGCGTAGTATCATCGGTATCGAGACAGTTGCATTTCCAAACAAAGTCATCGCAATCTGCGCTGCAAATCGCCCATGGTGACGGACGGATCAAGACTGGATCAAACGTCGGCCGGAGGCCGTCCGTTGTCTCTCTCATCGCTGCGCCGCATGCAGCCCTTTCGGACGAGGTCTCTCCTCGCTGCAGGACGCTTGCCTGACCAGGCTGCTAGTTCAGGAAAAGCCCGTACACCACCATCTGTATCACCACCACCATGATGACAACAAGCACCAGCCATCCCAGTAGTTGGAAAAACACACGGCCCACCTACGACTCTACAGTACCTACGACATGGTTGCTAGATACCATGACATCCGTTTTACGCGCCATACCACCACCCTCTGCACCTCTCCATTCCCAACGCATATATCTACTTCTCCTCGCCATCTTCCAACTCTTCTTTTTCTCCTTCTCTCTGATATCCACTACTCTACACCGCATACCTCGCCTGACGTTCAATCGATCAAGCCTGCCAGTCGCTCCATCAAGTTGCCAGTCGCTCTAAACATCATTACTACACCGACTAATTAATATCTCAACCACCACCACCTCCCTCAATCAAGATGCGTTCCACCTTCGCTACCCTCGCCATTGTTGGCGCCGCCGCCGCCCAGGGTGTTGCCGGCAACGTTGCTCCCTCCACCTCCGCCCCCGCTGGCTGCCAGGTCAACTACCCCGGCACCTTCACCATCGAGGTCGTTAACGTCACCACCACCGGCAAGCGTGACCTCGAGGCCCGTGACACTCCCGTCACCATCAAGCTCCAGAACGGTGTCTTCACTGACGCTCAGGGCCGCATTGGCTCCGTTGTCGCCAACGGCCAGATCCAGTTCGATGGTCCTCCGGCCCAGGCTGGTGCTAAGTACACCGCTGGCTGGTCCGTCTGCCAGAACGGCACTGTCGCCCTCGGCTCCCAGGTCGTCTTCTACCAGTGCTTGAGCGGTGGTTTCTACAACCTCTACGACCACAGCCTCGGCGGCCAGTGCGGTCCCATCTACATCCAGGCTGTTGGCTCCAGCAGCAACGCTGGTCAGATCCCTGACGGCCAGGTCACCGCCGGCCGCCCTGCCACCCAGATCTCCGACGGTCAGATCCAGGCCACCACTGGTGCCGGTCGCGTCACCCAGATCGGTGACGGTCAGATTCAGGCTCCTACTGGCGCCAAGGTCACCCAGATCGGTGACGGCCAGATCCAGGCCCCTACCGGCGGTGCCAAGGTCACTCAGATCGGTGACGGTCAGATTCAGGCCCCTACCGGCCGCCCCGTCACCCAGATCTCCGACGGACAGATTCAGGCCCCCAAGACCACCGGCCGCCCTGTCACTCAGATCTCTGACGGCCAGATCCAGGCCCCCAAGACCACCCCCACTGCTGCTCCCACCCGCCCTGCCAACGGCACTGCCCCCACCACCACCTCCAAGGGCCCCATCGCTGCCACTGGTGCCGCTGTCGCCAACGCCGTCGGTGCCTTCGGTATCTTCGCCGGTGCCGTCGCCGTCGCTCTCCTGTAAGCGATTTGACGCTGTACATCGGTTCGACAAAAACTTTCTTATTATCCCGTGGGATGGGAACTCTTGACTGAAGGCCACCCATCATATCCACCTCTTTAATTCATGGCACGGGAGTCGTCGGCCGAGTACACTCGCCGCCGGCTCTCGTGTGGCACACGACACGACCTCGAGCGACATGGCATTCTTAATGGGACACACGCATACAACTACATGGTTACACGAGTCCTCTTTAAACCCTACTCTCGTCACGACGATCGAGAGGAGAGAGGAGCAGGGCGTTGGAGATGACAGAAAGGGTCTTGCATAGCTGGACATGTTTATCCTGCTTGGGGCGTTTTTGTCATCGCAGGCTTGTATCTAGGTAGCTTTATCTCAATGGAACTTCATCAAACTGTAACAAACCTTGCTTGTCATTGTGATTCTAAACTTCGTAGATTTGACGTACTCATCGCGCGCCAACGTACTCTCGGAATACAAATATTGTGAGGCGCTGCATTGTATCCTCATCCATCGACCGTGGGAACATGGATTTGGCGACGGTGCCTGCATCTACACCTGATCATCTCCATCAAATTGGAATCACCATCACCTCCATGTGCATGGGTGCGTGTTCCAAATACGCTCAAATATGCACCATCCCTGCGCCGTCTGAACCTCGAGGTCGACCAATAGCTTCTACTACTCTCATGTATTACACATAATCATATACAGGGTAATGGAACCTCAACACTGAAGTTTGGCACTGGTCGAATCCTTCTATGCAGACATGTCTCAGAGGCCGTAGGATTCCGCGCAGGTACAACGAAACTGCTGCTGGTGCCGCCACGAAGAATTCCCCGTCCTCGGTTCCACTGACTGGGTGACAAATTCAATACCTTTCCAAATTTCGCTTTGACCTGGTGAGCAACTTGACGATGTCTTTCCACAGGATGTAAACTTAGTCATTGAATATCGATCACGTTCACAACTGCTCATTGTTCGTCGGCATCATCATCATCAAAAAAGATCAAGTGCGACGCTTACAAAGTATTTGCTTCTGCCAGCTTGAAATCCATGACGACATGGCAATTCGTGGGGAGGACGACAGGCGATTGCATGTGACTGACGGCTGCAGCGGAATTCTGGAATAATCGGCCTCATAGGGCAGAGCATCTGACGTCCAGGCTTTGACTCGTCCTGAATCCTCCACGACATCTTTCATATTGTTGGCATATCTCGTTGGCGTTGAAATATAGATTTGGCGTTGTCATTTACGTCCTTGGATAGATTCTAAAGGTTTGTTTGCATATTTTACATTTCTTCATAATGACGTGGCCGAGTCCGTTTCGTCGCCGCACGCCAAATACACGAAGGTTCGTCGTATCCTTGATTCCCCAGTGTTCAATGTAACGCCACCCTAGAAGAAAGATTGATGTTGACGAATTAGTTCCACAGCTGCTGGGGTTACACATTTGAATTTACCGACGAACATCTCACACCTGCGACATGTGCCCCACTCAAGCGCTCCTACGATGTCCTGGGCGAGCGCGTCCTCGAGCGGTTGAACGAAATCTCGCCACCGCCGCGGAAGGACCTGCCGCGGAATCAGAGCCAATTCTCCAAAGCAGTGCCCGGCGAATTACACACCGATAGCGATCCTGGCGAAAGGCCGAAGGTGCCTCGAAGGGATCTCTATGCGCTGCTCAAGGAACATGCCGAACATGACGATCTGTTGCGGCACTTCTGGAAGGAAGTCAATACCGTGCCTGACTGGGTCGATTGGGCGCAGATCGAGCGCGGCCAAGATGTCTTCTACCGGTACGGTGCGGCTTGCCTCACGGGGCTCGCGTTTCAGAGTCTCCTGGGAGGTATGGGCGCTGCTCGAGTGGTGGAGACGTTGGCGCGCACGGGAGGCTTCTCCACGAAGGTCGCGCGCGGACGCTTGTTCGAAACGACGCAGCATATTCTCCAGTGCACAAAGGATCTGGCGAGCATGCAACCTGGAGGCGATGGGTTTGCTTCGACGATTCGGGTTCGGTTGCTTCATGCTGCGGTCCGGCAGCGAATCCTGGGGATGGAAAAGGCTCGGCCGGGATATTACGACGTCGAAGCCTGGGGTACGCCGATCAATGACCTGGATTGTCTCGCGACCATTGCCAGTTTCTCAGGCTCCTTGATCTGGTTGAGTCTTCCACGACAAGGCATCTTCCTCCGACGGCAGGAGATTGACGACTATGTCGCATTATGGCGATATATCGCCTATGTCATCGGTTGTCCTGATCAGGGATTCCGTACCGCTGCCGAGGCTAAGAAGATCTGTGAGACGCTGTTGTACTATGAAATCGATCCGTCGCCGACGTCTCGCATCATGGCCAACAACATCATCAAATCCCTAGATGGTCAACCTCCGGCTTACACTTCCGCCGCCTTCCTCGCCGCGACCGCACGTTGGCTGAACGGGCATGAACTCTGCGATCGTCTCGGCCTCGAGCGCCCAGGCTGGTATTACTACATCTTGACGACAGGGCAGTGCCTCTTTTTCTGCTTCTTCTGCTACTTGTACCGCTCCTTCCCGTCGCTGGATCGTAAGAAAATCGCCACGCTAAAGTACGCCTTTTACCGCATTATCGTCCACTCGTCATTTGGGCTTCAAGGCCAAGAATCCTCGTTCGAATTTAAGTACATGCCCGAGTATCATATCCTGACGGAGATGGGCGAGGCACAGCCCCCTACAGGAGATGGAGCGTCGCTTGAAAGTCGGTATCTCCGGACATTCCTGATTGCGGCGGCGCTGCTGGGAGGTATCGCAATTGTCGGGACCATGTCCTTGTTGCGCGTCCTTGGCTTGGGAGTGTGATGAGATTGGTCATCTTACCTGCATTGTGTGAAGATCCCTTCATGGCCATGCTGCAGTCTAGTCTGGCCGACAAGGGCGGTCCCGTGCTCTGCTCACCTACTGCGCGTTGTTGTTCGGAGCTTTTCGCTCCCAGATGCCCGGAACGATGCTGGGCTTTCGCAATGCGATATCATTAGTGGACCCGTCCCACAATAAGCCCGCCCGCTATTATGCACATGGGCCAGATGCTTTCGCCGTCTGCAGAGGCATTTTTGACTCCGCATGCGCTCCACACGCTGCGCTACGCAATCAAGATGATCAGAGATGTTTTTGACCTAGTCGACGCAGCATGACTGCTGCCTACTTTTCCCATTTTCGCATCAGACGACTTGGCGACAAGGAGCTCGATGATGCATCGCGTCGACGCTGGTCGTTGCACCATTTTGGGAGTAGCGCGCGCATGAAGGCGAGCGGGACCGAGCGGTTTTGCGGGGTCGCGCTTCTTCTCTCAAGTCCTGTGTGCTGATTCCATGGACTCGGACCAGACGGATCTCCATTGGCGCCGGAAATCTTGGGTTTTGCTGAACTCGTGATGGCTGATTTCCCCCATGAAGTTCGAATCCGATGATTGGATGCTTCTACGCACCCTGGCCCCGCCTCTCACGACGCTGTGAGCGGTTCGATGTTGCTCGACCGTCATGATTTTCACGACTACTCGGGGCGGGATTGAACGAACTACAGGACATGACACACGACACGACACGACTCGAGTCGACATCCCTGTCCGCACTCATGGTGCTGTTTCCCGTTGCTGTGCGATTCCTTGGCCACGCGTGCTTGGACGGACTCGACGTGCAGATGTCATGGTTTTCTCGCTGGGGCGGGGCCGGTCTCGTGTGCTTTCACTTCCAGACCGATGTGGTGAGATTATTGCAAGGTCGTCAGGAAATGCATATTTTATTTTCTGAGACATTGCATGTCCAGTACGTACTCGTGATACTCCACCCTACATACGGTATACGTACGTATGGCGCACGAGGTCCCCTCCTTCGTTTGAGGATTCCGGGGTCTCACCAATGCTTTCGTACCAAAGTACAGCGATCCAAGGATATTTACGAATTTGGTCATGTGGTCCCTCTCCTTTGTTTACGACGCAGTGGAGATCACTAAGCGCGGTGTTTGCACTTGGTTTCTTCTTTTTCTCGAGAGAACCGCTGTGTAGCTACCTAGCTAGGCAGTGGATATGAAGACACCTCAGGCGGACCCATCCAGCCAAGTAAGGCCGACGGTCATGCCCAGGTGCCCTTCGAACAATAAGCAGGGAGATGTCATCGTCTCGGCAATGCAGTCAGCTGCACATGAAGAGGACTTGGGCGGGAAAAGAAAAAGGAAAGTCAAAAAAAAGGAAACGAGCCTAGGGAGTGCTCCCCGGAGGTTTATTTCGACAATCTCATTGGCGAGCGTTGCTGACTGCATCCTCTATTTCACCATCCTACTGCAGATTTCATGCGGATGTCCTTGGAGGGAAGCATGTCGTGTATGTACTGTGTGTTATGTATCATGCAGGAAAGTGGTGCAGTTGCGTGCGGCGTTCATCGCGCACACACGCTTTCCTTCATTCATCAATCTATAATCTACTGCCGATGGGACACAACTCTCACTCCAACAGCTCAAACTGGTGAGGTTGGAATGTCATGGAAGAGCCACTCTCCCTCCCAGGTATGGACTGCAGCAGAGAGGCATGGATCCTCACTTCTCCACCTCCTCCTTCTCAACCACCACCACCACCACCACCATCTGCTTCACTGCCATGGTGGGTCGGTTTGCGTGTTCGTCGGTCTTTTCCCCGTGAATACGTTTCCAAAAGGTGAAGAATTTCTACCGAGCTCCTGTGGGATGAGGCGTAGATGTGACGAGAAGGGGGAGGCACGTACGGTTGCGTGTGTGTGCGTGTGCATCTGAGTGAAGACATTGCATCCATTCCTTCCCATTTTCCAATCGAGCATTGTAATTTGTATCTCGAAAAAACCAACCAAACATCGTTGAAGCAGAGAGCATGTCATAGCACGGGCACCGATCAAGTTGCGCTTATCTGCCTCTCGGCCCTACAGCCATCGAACCCTTTCATCACACAATCCCGCAAACAGGGCCAGCAGCAGTCCCTCTCTCGGCAGATTGGCTTTTGCGCACATCACTCATCACCCACCACCACCTGACTGCCCACCTGCAGGTGATTGAAGATTCTCCACGAACTGTCATAATAACTGCTGCACTCTCCCCTCACCCCGGGATCAAGTAATTCTTGTCCAAGGACACACCTCTACACTATATTCCGCCCGTCGTATACACACCAATCCAACACATGTTCTGAGCATGATCTCGTGAGCGATCTACCTACGTGGCCGGCCTTCGTCAGCTGTGCCGACCCAATGCCTGCTCGCACGGCGCGAGAGAGGTCAGCGGCAGCGAACTCTTCTCACCAAAATGGCCACAAAATCAGCTCCAGCGCTTCCACTACCAGCCTCCGCTCCCTCCTCTCCTCCACCGATGCTCTTGTGCAGCAGCAGCAGCAGTCACCACCACCACCCCTGCCTCAACCGCAGTGGTCAGACGTCTCCTCCCATGACCAATCCTTACCCGCGCTGAAGCCTGTACCTCCTCAGGATGGTGTACGTCGTGGGAGCCTGAACCCGCCTCAGCTCGTGATCAACACATCGACGGTTCAACGACCCGGACTGCAATTACGGACGACCAGTGCGCCCATGATCGCGACCAATCGGCCAACTACACGCAATGGCCCACATTCGGCGCGGATGACCACACGCGTCATTGAAGAACACCAGGTCCTCGACACACCAGATAGCAGCGACAGCAATGTGCATAGCGCCCTGACAGAAGAGGAGGAACGTTCGGCCGCGGACATGAGCAGCGCGATGAACTCGTTTAGGCTATTGGAAAGGCTAGAGGTAAGATGAGATCCCTTGTTGTGAGGAGAGGAAAGCGTGCTTCGGTCCACTGGGCAGGAGCAAGGAGCATAGATGTCGAGCACGTGTGCAACTGGTCATCATCTGTTGAGATCCCTGGCTGAGTTCTCTTTGGTGTAATGTCATAGGTACAGGATGCGCCGGCCCAAATCAACATCGCAGTCTTGAGCGGCGACGGTGTCAACAAATCGAACTTTGTTGCGCGAGCGCTAGGTCTTCCCAGCTTGCCAACCAATCGGCCCGCGGAACGGAGGATTACACACCAACGCCGTCCCTATCTCGTGCGCCTCCTAGAGATCGCATACGGCGACGTCGATCACGTCGATCATATGGGAGATGCCGTTGAAGAGCTCACATGGACGAACCAGGCGGATCGTAAGGCAATGCCGCGCATCGATGGCGCATTGGCCTTGTACGACGTGCGAACCCGTGCGAGCGTTGAACAAGTCAAGGAGATGCTGGGTGAGTACGCGCTCGATTCTGACGACAAGTCCTACTGCCTGTTGTGTGACGTGTCGTGGCGGTTCAAGGAAAGGACCAAGAACATTCCAAACTAGGAAACTGCTGCACAACAGGATCTGACAAGCTGACATGATGTCCTGTAGTCGTCCTGTCAAAAGAAGCCATCCCGCTGATCCTTGTTTCATCCAAATGCGAAACGCCTCTCGCAGAGCGCGCCGTCGATCCAGCTCAGGTGGAGGACGATTTGACAAGATCAATAAACGGAATCCACACGATGCGCATCTCAGACGCGAATCCCGACAGCTACCGCCGGACGGTACACACCATACTAGAGTGCATCGTTGAGAATCTATCTGGTGAGTGTGTAATCGAATCTGTCTTGTAGCTTTGCGTGGTGGAGCAGGTGCTAACGATTGCAGCAGACCGCACACGTAGCACATCGCAAACGCGCCGCCGCGCGCTGTCTGGTGCATTGAGGGCCACTTCACCACGGCCGCCTGGTGTGCCTAATCATTCACGTGCGAGCTCCGAATTCACAGGAAGTCAACACAAAGAGCGACGATATGCCAAGCAGGACTCAAGTAACGGTGACTACAGCGGCAGCAAGCTGCTCGGTGTACCGATCGCGCACCCCAAGGAACAGGTCCAAACAACTTTCTTCGAGTCCGGGAGCGATGATTCGCCTACATCTGCGCAATTCCCTGAAGATGACGAAGAAAACTTTGGCGAAAGCTCATCTTCATTGCCCGAGCAGGGCATGACATTTGACGAATTGATCGATCGTCTGCTGGCTCAGCCTTCGTCAAAGACTGACGTCAAATTTGTCGCCATCTTCTTGGCATTATATCGACATTTCGCACCGCCTAGCCGTGTGCTGGACGCCATCATCAAACGCTTCGATGCGCTCGAGGAGGGCAACAGTCCCAGTATGCTCAAGACGGTCCACCAGAGCCGGTATATTGCCGTTCTGGAACAATGGGCATCGAACTATCCCGGTGACTTTGCCTTTCCCCGGACACTGCGTCATCTCCGCACTTTCGTGCACAGGCTCTCCGAAATGTCCATCTTCTCAGCAGCGGCGAAGATGCTCAGCCACGCCATGGAAGCGGTTCACGAGGACGACGACACACACTGGGCGTATTGTGATCGGGACCGCGAGGACTATGCCGATACGCGGCGAAACTCGAGCTCCTCAACAGCGAGCACGCTGATAGATGATCCTTCTTTCTTCACTACTGAGTTGGATTACAGTGCGACCATGAAGGAGGTCACCGCACCGGACACTCTGCCACCACCCGCGAATCACATTCTCTCCAGTGTGGAAGCCGCTCAGAGACAATCTGCGCTCCTGCAACCCATCCCTCGATACCCCATCACCAAAGTCCACTGGCATGCCCTCATGGAGATTCCCGTCGACATCATCGCCGAGGAGATCACTCGCATCGATTGGGTGATGTTTTCCGCCAACCGACCCCGCGACCTCCTCCGTCATATCTCCCTCCCCTCGCATCAGAAAGCTGACTGCAGTCGCAATCTCCTCCACATCAATCGTAAGATTGATCACTTTAATCACTTGGCAGTTTGGGTCGCAAACTTCATATTGCTTCGGGACAAGGCCAAGCATCGCGCCCGCATGATGACAAAATTCATTCAGCTGGCCCGGCGGCTTCGCGAGATGAACAATTACAGTTCGCTTGGCGCCATCCTCGCCGCGCTCAAATCCTCCCCTATACACCGACTTCAGTCCTCCCGCGATCTCGTCGACCCAATCGACGGCCGAGTCTGGCTCAAACTCGACATTCTAATGGCTCCTTCACGCAGCTATGCTGCATATCGACTCGCTTGGCAGAATAGCACCTCCGAGCGCATACCATATTTGCCAATTCATAGAAGGGATCTGATCACTGCCGAACAAGGGAATCGGACTTTCCTCGACGATGAGCCGTCTTCTCTACCATCCCAACCGTCATCTTCTACTGCTGATCCGGAATCGGCATCGGCTTCATTTATGTCATCTTCAGCGGCCTCGTTTGCGACAGCGGCAACCACACTGACCACCGCGACGGCTTCCGCGCAGGCAGCTCGTCGGATCAACTGGAAGAAATTCGAAATTATGGGCGAGACCATCGTGGGACTGCAGGCAGCTCACGACGCTCAATATCGCAGCTTGGGTGGCTTCAAGGGTAACGATCAGGTGCGCGAGCTGATTCTCGATGTGAAATTGCTCCGAGACGAGGAGGTATGTCAACGACCCCCTGCGCTATCTGAGTAAGTTCTCAACACTAATCGATCTATTTAGGATCTTCATGACCGAAGTGTTCAATGTGAACCTCCTGCCAGCGCCACGGCCGATCGCAGCGCCACCTCGTCGACCTCCACCTCGGGCAAATTCCGAGAATATTTCAAAGCGAGGATCTTCGATTCTTCGAGATGATGATAGTCATCGACCCGACGGACGCGCACTGGCACTCAGGTGCCCGTTCATCGTATTGCATTCGTGCTTACGGGAGAGGGGCTCGGCTTTCGAGTTTCCTCTTTTTTTTTTATTGCTGTGCCTTTCTACTTTTCAATTCGGGAACAGGTTTTGGTGGGACTTTTTGCGAAATCGGAAAGAATCTTTGGAAGTTGGAATGAAAAGAAGAATCAAGCCGAACATGGACGAAGACGGAAAGCGCTCACGCGTTCAATTGGGAGGAAAAAGAAAAGGGTTGGGAGAAAGGACAGAGGAGCTGTTTCTCCCGCACGATGGAGGACAATGACTTTTGGATATGACAAAATGATGACTTCGTTTCACGGTCTTAATGGGACTTTCATCGGATAGGACACAGTACACGCAATCATGATCTTCCGATAGCGATTGGAATTAATTCTTTGGGAAGAAGCCATTGCTGAGCTGGCCAACAAACCGTTCCGAGCCCCTGTCGATGATACTGTCGGATCAATAATTTTGAGTTGACTGCGGGGAGGACCCTGACTAATCCCGAGAACGCGCTTTCCACATGAGGAAATATGACATGTGAATTATCGCGGTCCCTGAGACCAGAAAGTCGTCCATCCACCGAGTGTGAAATCACATTTATTTGGTTGCAACCATCACGACATCATTATCCCTTCCTTCCAGTGGCGCGAGAATCGTGCAGAACACGCAGTTTCATCATCCGCACACGAAACTCGACGCGCGAAATTGAAAGTGGCGACAACCATTTATCAAATGGTATAAAGAACAAACGTCATGTTCCAACAAATTTCCACACGCCGTTGTCCTTGCCACACACGCGCATTGGAATCACTCATACTCGATTTCGCTGGTCTGAGAATAACGACACCGATCCATACTCTTGGAAGAACCCGATATATCTCTTCTCAGCATTTCTCTCGTCAATTGTCAGTCACTGCAGGAAACAGTTCGTCGAAGAGAGCCATCGCTTCCTCCAGAGGTTCTAGCATCCAGGGCTCCTTCGAAACACCCGCAAAAAAGAGCAACCGGTCGGCAAAGGATTGGAGCGAGTCTGGCTCCAGATCATACAAGTCAAACCCACATGCTAAGAGGGATAACAAAAACAATTCCCGGAAACAGTCTAGAAATGCAGAGCCTGCGGCACCGAAGGAGATTGTGGAGCCGGGTCGATCGGCGGAGAAGACGCTTTCCCGACTGAAGCGCAAGCAGCGGCGCATCGAAGCGGGCAAATACGGAACGCAGACCACTGCCGATGATCCACAATCATCAGAGACGAAGCCGGCACCGGCGCGCGAAGTTGTTAGAAGCAGGATACAAGAAAAGATTGAGGCGGCGGTACGGAAAGTCGATGAGAAACATTCGAGCAAGACCGCAGTGCAGGCACCAAATGGCAATGTGAGAAGGTTAAAGCGCTCAGGAGACACAGAGATACCCGCACAGGATGGTCTCTCGGTCGTGGATGGATGCAATGTTGAGTTCAGAGATTCGTCGAATATGACGTCCGCACGTGACGTCGAGCAGAGCCTCCAAACGACGAACACGATAAGTTTCAGCGACTCCCCCATCCCTGACGAGGATGTGGATGGAGCGGTGGTCATTCATCGAAACCCGAGCACAGACGGATCAAGTGAACATGTGGGTGAATCACGACAAGCCGTGCTCAAACGCATCGCCACTCTCGATGATAGCAGTATCGAAGACCTGGACATTGAAACGCCGTCACTTTTGTTTGGCATGGAGGGCGAGATGCCCAACCCCAACCAAAAATTCGCCAAAGACAAAACTCCCGCTTGGACTCCCTACAAACCCAGACCCAAGGAACCCTGGCAAGTCCAAAAGGCCGCGCTTCAGGAGAAATTCGGCCAAGTCAACTGGGAGCCTCGCAAGCGACTGTCCCCAGATTCCCTCAACGGCATCCGCACCCTCCATGCCTCCGACCCAGGCACTTACACGACCGCCGTGCTCGCGAACCACTTCCAGGTCTCCCCTGAGGCCATCCGTCGAATCCTGAAGAGCAAGTGGCGCCCGAACGAGGACGAAGCGCGCGACCGCCTCGAGCGCTGGGAACGCCGAGGAGCCCGGAAGTGGGCCGACATGGCGGCCGTTGGTCTCCGCCCGCCCCGTCGCTGGCGCGCGATGGGTATCCAGCAGCGCGGAACCGCGAGGAGACGGATGCGTCGACAGGAAAGGCCCTTGCCGCGCGTTGTGGACCCCAAGGGTTTCGGCGGCGTTCGGGTCAACAAATCGATGGACGGTGTGATTGCTCAAAGGGCCGATCCGAATGAAAGTTTCGTCTCTGATGCGCGGAGATCGTCGGCCGGTCCTACCGTTGGCGCCGAGACGGAACCTGTCGCGAGCAGCTTCGCCGGACGCATTCTTTGATCCTTCAGGAGATCATGATCGCGAAGCCGGTGCTATCAACGTCTCGTCTCAACATTCCGACGGTCATCCTGGATCGTGCAGATATGTCTCCGGTGGGCGACGTAGGCGACTCCGATTTTTTTTCGATACATGTGTGACTATGAGAATGCGAATCTAGGTGTTGAGACATTGTAATGCTTTTCGAGACGCAATACTTTGTTGTATCATTGATCGTTAACACACATATAATTTGCTTCGGACGATCAGACCTTGCGATATTGTCAGACCTTCGATTCTATGCGGTGCCGTTGACGATATGATACACTTGTGATTCATGACTGATCAGTGGGTTGATCCACTGGACTGTGAAAACCCAAGTACCGCTTCACTTTGTCCTTCCGGTGTGCGCTTTACCTTGCGTTAGGAACGCGCCGAAACATGAAAAACGCCATACCGTCAAGTGCGCACCGCCGTAAAGTTCATCTTGCAAGGCAAGGTCCCGTTGTGAGTTCTTGGTTCTGCTCACGTGCTATGAAGAGGGTAGGACATAATAACACGATGTCTCTTATCAGTACGCAGGTACTTTCGTTATATAACAGGCCGGGGTAGAACGATAAAGCCGAGAGGGATGCACGGAGAGTACTGGAGTGAGAGGAATGTTGTATGAACGCTCCCGGAAGCGACGATGATGAATACGCGCGCTTGTCGGAGGGCTCAATCCATTGAACGACAGCCCTAAGATTTAGTGCTGAGGGCGGGTGAATGCGCCAGATAAGATGTCACGGCAGGGGTAATAAGGCTCGCGGATCTGCTATTCTGGTCATGTTGCTGTGCAGCATAGCGTACGATGACTCGTATGGACAGCCTGAATCGGCGGTCAAGTACATCACGGCGGTATGAAGCCTGCCTTGACCGGGATCACGAAGGTTGCGATAAGGGTCTACACATGGCTCACTTCAGCTGCATGCGTCGAGGAACTCCTTCGCACTAGAACACAACAAGAAGTCAGCACAAAATGCCATTTACGATCAAGCCGAGACGTCCATCCACAACCGCAATCCCAGTTGGGCCATATCTGCATCGCTCATCACACTGCACTAGTTCGCAGTAGGGCCTCCATCATGCCCTGGCGGGCAAATAGCGTGCTTCCTCGCCATTGGGCCTTCAGATGCTTATCGCGGCTGACCTATGTGATCGACATCATGGGTGGGTGGGTGTTCGGACCTCCTCCGCGCATCTGGTGCGCCTCAAGACCTCGCCAATAGGAACGCCCAATTGTCCGGCTCATTGCGTTACGCAAGCGCTGGGAGCCGGTGGTCCTGACCCTCCCTGCTTTGAAACTGTATGAATGACATTGACCCCGTTGGGGAGACTGTTCACAAGCTGCGGTTGGTTGAGTAGTGTTATCGTGGTGCTGGTCAGCATAAATCGACCTTGGGCTTCTTGAATGTGAACCAACCGTCCTATCAACTACAATTCTTCAAGTCCGCCATCCTCCCCAAGATTTACTGTGCACCGCGACACAAACATGATGGAGAAGTCTATCAACGGAGATGCACAGAGTCTGAGCGAAAAGGCTTCGCATACAGAGCCGTACGCATCTCTCTTTGCTTCAGACAGGCGAATTTGGCTAAGAATATGGAGCAGAACCTTGCGAGCGATTTCGACGCCTTCAGACATTGAACAAGAATTGCCTGCAACCCAAGCAGCTCCCGCTACACTCGTAGCGCCGAACGGCGGTTTGCTCGCCTGGCTACAGGTCGCTGGATCGTTCTGCATCTTCCTAAATACCTGGTAAGAGACAACCGAGAGTGGATTATCATGGCCAAATTCAGCGCCGACTTTTTTGTCATCACAGGGGAGTTGTGAACATGTACGGCGTTTTTCAGGCATACTATGCGACCGACATCGCACAGACTTCTTCCGCTTCAGACATCTCGTGGATTGGATCCGTACAAGTCTTCCTGCTCTGCTTTGTGGGCACAATCGTTGGTCCCGTCTACGACGCAGGAAAATGCCGTCATCTGCTGGTTGTCGGTACCATATTGTCGCTTCTGGGCATGTTCACAACGAGCGTGTGTCAAAGCTATTGGCAATTGTTCCTTGCGCAAGGTGTGGCGACCGGTTCCGGGTTTGGTTGTCTGTTCTTACCGGGTGTCACGATCGTCTCTCAATACTTCAGCACCCGCAAGGCTTTCGCTACAGGTATTGCTTCATTGGGGAGTGGCATTGGTGAGTGGAGGTTCTCGCTCATTCCTCGGTCCGAAGGATATTGACCATGATGCCAGGCGGAGTGATCTATCCCATCATGTGGACACGACTTCAGCCCCAGGTCGGCTTCGGTTGGGCCACTCGAATCGTCGCGTTCGTGATGCTTGTGACATTGATCGTGCCAGTCGTCGTCTTGAAACCGCTCATTCAGCCAAACTCACGCCGAACGCTGTTGGATTTCAAGTCCTTCCTGGATCCACCATTTGTGCTCTTCGGCGGTGGAATCTTATTCGGATACATGGGAATCTACGTGGTATTCTTCTACATCCAGCTATACGCGCAGTCTCGGGCCAACGTCGACTCAAATCTCGCCTTCTACCTCCTGGCCATCACCAACGCCGGCTCCATCTTCGGTAGGATTCTGCCAAACTTTGTTGCCGACATCATTGGAACGCTCAACGTCATGAGCATAGTCGCCTTTGCAGCAGCGATAATGAGTCTATCTCTGCTCGCCATTCGCAATGTTCCTGGCATTATAGTGTTCTGTGTCCTGTTTGGTTGTTTCACAGGCACGTTCATGAGTCTACCGGCACCGACTACTGCGAGTCTCTCAGCGAAGCACATGTCATCGCTGGGTGCAAGAATGAGCATGGCTTTCATGACGGCTGCTATTGGATCGTTGGTCGGAAGTCCCATTGCTGGCGCGATCCTGGCACAGAATGGTGGCGAGAATTGGAACGGTCTTCTTATTTGGGCAGGGGTCCTGATGGTCATTACTACAGCATGTATGCTGGCAGCGCGAACTGCCAAACTTGGTTTCAAGCTGTCTGCTAAGGCTTAGAAGGTTGATTCTGCGACCTGACGCATGCACCACAAGTCCTCTCAGCCTTCCAGCAGCTCAGAACCACACCATGCCCGACTCGAAAGAATGGAGCCCTTGAAGGCACCGTCTCTCAAAAACACGTCGAGGGTATTGATTCATCCGGATTCACATGCTATTGAACACCTTAAGGCACATGGTAAGGAGCCCATGGCGATGGGAAATCTTCCACTAGAGGCCGGTTCCTGGTGGAAACAATGCTGGATAGTGATGAGAGCTACAAAGTCAGGGTGAAGCGGGGCAAGGATAACGCCCTGGAACTATTCACTATTGAAGGCTCATCTGAGCTGACGTCGGAGAATGTCATGGACGAACTTCAAAGTCGAGTCGACCTTGGTCCACTGCCAACAAGATATTATACGCAAGATCAGGCGACGGAACTGCAACTACAAGGAGGAGTTTCAACGGACAACAAGCTTGAATCTGTCCATGGGCCTCATTGCTTCTCTTCGGCCAATCCTGATTGTTTAGGAGATGTCCTCGTTGTCTCCTGAAGGAACCAACATTGTTCTGCACTCTGTCGTTAAATCTCCTGATCGTTCCTCTAAGGTCCATTGCTTACTGGATTTTACCGCGTCGAAAAGATCTCCAAGTAGTGAAGTCTGATCGGACGCTGCTCTGGAGAGTATATATTGTATCTCTTGACACAAGTCAGTGCACACTACCACCAGCATGCCAGTACTTACGTCAAACATGAGTATTTTCCGACGAACTTTGCTCGTGCAGAGATGCATCGGATTCTTCGTGTATTACGAGACCTGTTTCTGAAACGTTATCGAGACGTATTTTACGAGGAATGATTCCTGTCGTTGGCGGAATATGGTCTGAAAAACCTGCAAAGTAATCAGCATTTGTTTCAAGTCGTAATTAAAATTATTACGACTTTGAACAATCTGCTGATGCTCGGCACAGTTCATTCAAGGCGCTTCTGAGAAAAGAACTTGAAGTGCTCTCAGTACGTCTGTTAGCAATCCTTGAGACTGATCATCGCTCAATATTTTCATCAGCCAGTCGAAGTCGTGTTGTGATATCGGCGCCTATAAGCTCCGCGGTACTGAGTTCGCCTATTTGAAGATAGCATACGGCTCCGTTCGACGGATCACTTTGCATCTATCAAGGGTCGAGATCTTGCGTCTCTTGACCTGGTCGGAGTCAAGCACTGAGATGTCAAGGCCGTTGTATATGAGGACAAGATTCCTTCTCAGGACTAGTACAATGAAACCGGTATTCTGTTGAGCTAGAACCAGAATCCTTGAGTGAGATCTGTGGGCTTTCCTCTTGCGCTCAAACAATTCACTTTACTAAGCAGTTGCATAGAGACTTCTCTGATACATGTAGCAAAGCGTGAGAACTCTGTAAGCTGATCGAGTGTTGCACACAATTTCGAGGACGAAAGTTTCTCATGCATCATCTCGACTCGTCCCAAAATATTATCTCGCTGTGCTATTAGCGCAGCCATACTTATTAATTCTGGTCAGTAAATGGGAAAAGACGAGTGTTGCATTGTTTGCTCTTTATAAGCTAATTTCATGAGGGAGGGCGAAATAACATGAGATCTAAATAGTTCCATGACGCAGCGAAGAACTCGGGTAGAGCTGGACACGCTATTTGAACTTCGAGTCATCACCCCAGCCCAGCCGTGATACGACTGTGATCAGTTCTGAGGGAGATGAAAGCAGTTCACACTCGTTTTCGTTTCTTTAGTCTTGATATAAAACCATATAAAGATCCTGCGAGGTACCACAATCGAGTAACTCGTGCTGCTGCTGGTAGGCTTCCCCGCATATATTGCAACGTCAACCATGATTCTCACCAATCAACTCATAAATCGACGTCGCGAAGAAACTTGCGTTGGAATTACCTCAGAACGAAAGTATTTTCATGCAGGGAACGCTTTCATCAAACGCTCACTGCGACCTTCGGAATGGCAGGTCAGCCCATTCAAAGGGACGATTCACGTCCCGAGAATGAACAATGAGCGTTTGCTTAACGAAGCGGCAACTTTGCAGTACATTAGAGAGAACACAAATATTCCTGTCCCGCAGCTGTACGCCTGTTTCGAAGACGATGATGCCGTAGTACTTGTTACGGAATATGTCGAAGGCGTCGGCATGCATGAACTCGACAACGCACAGAAGGACATAGTCAAGAAAGAGCTCGAAAGGCATTTAGCAACCTTGCAGAGCCTCAAGTCTTGTCAGATCGGCGGACCAAGTGGAATTCTCATACCGCCATATCGAGCGCTGGCCAAGACCTTTCAGAACGAATGGACTTTGGCACCATTCGCGAAGGACGAACTCGTCTTCTGCCACAACGATCTCTCACAGCAGAACGTAAGAGTCGATCCGGAAACACTGAAGATCACGGCAATTGTGGATTGGGAATATGCTGGCTTCTGGCCATCGTGGTGCGAATGGCGGTTTTTCGAACGACTCGGTTCGTCCGCTGCAAAGGGAGACGAAGTGGATGATTCTGCAAGGATCATAGAGTTGTTACAATCTCAGCTTGTGCAGAAAGCAGTGTGAGTTTGATTACTCATCAATGTACTATCGTCGCAGACTATGATAGATTCGAAATTCTGGTCAATCTGCGTGAGGTTCAATTGCTTTGTCAAACGCCATGATCATTCGATCATGCAACACAGAAGCAGGTCCGGTGGGAGTTTCTGTACGCAGCTTGTCAATGCGCAGAAAGAGGGTGTCTCTCAAGATTCCAAAGGACACTGTAAGTGCTGCATAGTCTCTCTTTCCAATCATTGGTATCGATCGGCTAATGTTCTCGTAGCTTGTCATCATGAACTTGTTCGCCGCGAACAGAGACCCTAACGCCTTCGATCGACCGCATGAATACTTGCCGGAACGATGGACTGATGGTCGAAAAGGCCGTACAGATCTACCCGGAGAAGGTGCAGGCAAGACGGGAGTGCCTCATTTGACCTACGGTGCGGGATGCCGCGTTTGTCCCGGTATCGGCAATAGGTCACACCCCGTGCTCTCAGTGTTGCATTGATCTGAGGCTGGTTTTAACCACAGTGGCAAATCGTGGTCTTTATTCGACCTTGGTGCTGCTGCTTCACTTTTTCACTTGGGAGCGCCAGCCTCTAGGTGAGGCAGAGAAGCAGGTGGTGTTTCCGCCTCTCCGTGCCGAACGCGAGTGTTCCCTCGACATGGAGGCAGTAGCTGACACGGCGACCTCAACTGAAGCCCAAGCCATACCGTGGTCGGCAGACATCAAATTCACTTGCCGCAATCCAGTAGCATTGCAGGCCTTGCATGACTCTTCGTCACGCTAATTCGTCTTCGGAAGCATCTAGACGTAGTCCGGATCGCTTAAGCGGCACAGTCCCGCGGTAAAAGTTTTGTTGGTGGAAAAGTGAACACTTCAAGATTCATTTGCTGCGACTTCGCAACAATCCATGTAATTTGATACATAAAGATGGTGAAGCCTCGAGGCCCCGATCACATTGATATGTTGATGCGATACAAAGATCGTGAACCACTCGGAGATGGCGTCTTGTTTCGAAGAGAAACGGGGCATTGTGAATCTGCTTGTGTCAGGAGTCGAGGAGCAGACTCATATGTCTGGCACCGTAGACGCAGACGCGGACTCGCCGAACCTCATTTGACATAGTTGCAGAAATTCCTCCATACCATCGGCATGAACATCGTCGGTCGCGTTGCGCATCTTCTTGATGATATCGGTTCCTTCCTTGTCACCTTTCTCCTGAGACCAGGGGCCATACTGCATCTCATCGGCAGGTTTCTCTGCATAAGGCATATCTGGACGGTGAAAGCCTCCAAAACCGCCTCGACCACGACCTCGTCCTCGATCGCGTCCGTGTCCGCGGCCTCGACCGCGAGAGGAGTTCGATCTTGAAGTGTTGCCGCGTCGGTTTTCAACTCCACCGTACCAGTCTTGGCGATTCCAGGACCGGACCTCGTCAGGACCAGGCTCGAGCGTAACACCATACACGAGCTGTAGCTGCGATTTAAGAAGTGGAAATCGCGTCAAAAGTCGAATTAGTTCAGGATCCTGATCAAAATCTGTGAACGTGGGTTTGGGCACTCGTCGATTTGTCCCGGGACGATCAATTAGACCCGTCGTTGATTTTGGAGTGTCCTCCGACTTCTTGATAGTCCCATCATGTTCATGGGTCAGCTTGTGAGGCTTATAGCAGGCAATAGAACAGCTTTGTGTGAAGTTAGGTTTCGGTTCTTTAGGTTTATTGAGTACTACGTGCTCACTCACTATCTGAGGTCACAATTGGGACATCGGTACTTCGATTCGGAGTTTTGGCAGACGCCACAAATCGTAGGCATTCTCAACGTATCACCATGATTTGCACTGCACAGAAACTGCTATCCTGTCGGTCATGAGACTTTGGGTTGGCTTCTGATGAAATGCAGAGAGCTCCTTCTCTGAACTTTCATAGACTGTACATAAGAATTGGTCAGTGCTGGAAATTTTGCGGCGAACGCCTTCACCTCCGCCATGTGCATAATGATGCATCGATCTATGAGTATCAGAATATCCAAATATCATTACTACCACGGTTCACGATGTCGATGATGAGATCGACACATACCAATATGTCTCAGACAGCAGTCAAGCAAATACTAAGGACTTCGGTTGCGCAAAGGCGAAGCAATCCTTCGTTCCTCACTCATGGCACGATTCGGCATATGCAGAATGCATCGAAGCGCTCTCAGAGCGGAGCACCCACAATGGCACAGATGCGCAAGCCATTCGAGAACCGCAATAAGAACACACTGTATGCAACCACATGTACCTCTTGATTTGAAGACAACGGCGATATGTCTTTATGTTTGCCACGCCACGGGGCTCACCATGCAATTCCAGATACTATACATTGTCCATCATCCTCGGCACTCTCGCGGTCAGCTACGGCAGTGTTCCTCTCTACAAGACTATCTGTCAACAGACTGGATGGGGTGGTCAACCCATCAAATCCGCTGCACACGCTTCGCCCGACGATGAGGCTTCCGTCGCCGCAAAATTGACTCCTGTCACGACCTCTCGACGGCTGCGCATCACCTTTGCGGGCTCAACCTCCGACATTCTTCCCTGGAAGTTCACGCCTCAGCAGCGCGAAGTTCGCGTCCTCCCAGGAGAGACAGCGTTAGCATTCTACACCGCGACGAATCAGAGTAAAGATGAGGACATCATTGGTGTGGCGACGTACAGTGTCACACCGGCCCAGGTTGCGCCATACTTTAGCAAGATCCAATGCTTCTGCTTCGAGGAGCAGCGGCTGAACAAAGGCGAGACGGTTGATATGCCCGTATTCTTCTACATCGATCCCGATTTTCTCAAGGATCCGAACATGAAGGGTATCGATACAATTACCCTCAACTACACCTTTTTCAGTATGTTCTTTCAATATCCGCTTCTCATCGAGGACTCGTGTGCTGACACCATTGCAGAGGCCAAATACGACAAGAATGGACATCTTTCACCAATGCCGATGCCATATTAGACCTCGTCGTGCAAAAGCTCGAAATCGCGCTACCACAGTGATTGGGACTGTCGACCACTGCTGCCCTGCAGATATTCACATTTCTGGACAAAGTTTGACTAACAGACGCATGGCCAGCCTGTTAGTCGGCGCAGATGATGCCACAAAGAGCAAACGCCACTCGGTTTGCGGGAACGATTTTGTCCTGTCCTAGTTGATGAAACGGCCCCGCAACTCCGAGCGAAGATTATTACCAGGGGGAGGGCTATAGTACATCAGCCGCCCCACATGAGGTACGCTCCACGGCCGGAGCTTGACCTTGCTACGGTCAATGAGGTTCCGAGCTTGCTATCCAACGCAACACGGTCTCGCTGAATACCCTGGATGCTCTACCACCTTTGATCTTCCTCAATATTTCCCACTTATATCAACATCTCAATACGTTATCTCCAGCAGCCATGGCCGATCCACGCAAACCTACGAACAATCAATTGTCGACCGCATTGCCCGGACCTACCACCTACATAACTGGTCATGACCAATCCAGCGGCAAAGCCATCATCCACGCCGAACGGCCAGTCGACTGGGTCAGCTTCTCCGACGGCGAGCTCAGCATGTCTGTAGGCTACACCACCACCTTTCCTGCCGACCTCAATAACGATGCGGACGTGGCCGCACACGATCAGAAGCTCGCCACAGGCAAACTCGGTCTCGTCTCAGGCGGAGGTACCGTCCTGCGATATGTCGACTTCGCGCCAAAGTCGACCTCGATGATGCACCGCACGCAGAGCGTCGACTACGGCATCGTCATCGAAGGTGAAATCGAGGCCGTCCTGGACAGCGACGAGGTACGCTTGATGCGTCGTGGAGACGTCATGGTGCAGCGTGCGACGATGCATGCGTGGAGAAACCCCAGCGCGACAGAGTGGTGTAGGATGATTTTTGTGTTGCAAGATTGCAAGCCACTGTTCGTGGGCGGAAAGCGGTTTGGAGAGGACCTTGGACGAGAAATTCCGGGCTTGCCGAAGAGCGGAAATGACAATTGATCAAAAGTGTTGATATTGAGACTGGAGAATATTCTCTGGAGTGAAGAATTGAAATATCCTCTGTACCGCATTGCGGGTCATCTCCTTTCCGAGCATTATGACGCATACAAGAATTCACCTGAGCATCCCTCGTATGCCGTGGCGTATAGTGTTGTTGATGGTGCAGGTACATGGTCCGGTCTATCTACAAGGAGCACGTCGTGTTTGTCAGTCGTTGGGTGAAACTTCGGCCGCGGATCGTAGCCGGTGTGCGGAAAAAGGCAAATCTCGCGGCCAGCCGCTTAGTGACCGAAGGCCTGTGACAGTCCCAGCTCCGATGTCTGCAACATTTTAAGTTTATGCTCATTGCCTGATCGAACACAATATGCTCAAGAAAGGGCTAATCTCTTCGCCCGGCTTGCGAGAGCAGCTCGTTGTGAGTCTGGACGCAAGTTGCATCGCGGTGATTCCAGCAACTTGAGAAATGTTAGTGCTATCATGGAAGCGCAAAGGTCCGTGATGGGCCAGCATCCGACGACAAGCATGTTGGAATGTTGATGATCAAATTCAGCACTTTAGGCATATGCATAAAGTGGGCGTTGGGAGGTGTCGTCAGAGCTCAGATACTCCTGCTCATCAGGTACGATGGCACCAATCCCTCCCATGCCTGATTTGCCATCCACACAAAGCCGTCTCCAAAGCAGCTCCTGCCACGCCCGCGCAGAGGATCCCTACCGAGTCCGCCAAAGCCACGACGCCCAGACTGAACTCCCGTTCTTCAATGGGTACCTCCTCGCGGATATCCGCAAATGCGGAAACATAGACCAGTCCGCCGATGAGTCCCTCGATGGTGATAATCACGAACATGATGTAGACGGATGGTATGAACGGGTACATTGCGTGTAATGTCAACAAGGAGAGAATCGCGACTTGTATCAATGTCGGCAGATACAAGGTCCTCCGGAGGCGAATGAACGGAAGACTGCTCCGAGAGATGAAGACACCGGTCTGGTACAATGCGGCATACATGGGATAAAAGGCTCGGTATTCGGTGAAGGGCGATTCTTCGAGTGGGAAGAGTAAAGTTGGAGCAACCCCTTGGTTGATCGTGTATTCTGCAAAGTATACCATGAACAGCGGAATCATGTAGGGCACGACCAGTTTTTTGGTGGTGACAAGATTGTTGCGGAAACCGACCCACGAGAGCGAGCGAGAGTTAAAGGTCGAAGGAGCGTATGCAGAAAAGGCTGGACCTTCGGATGTAGTAGATTGCAGCAGGACGGTGGAAGATCCCGGAGTGTGACGCCCGGTAGAGCTGTCGCTGTCATAGTCTGCCTCCCCATCGTCATCTGCGTGCACACCCTGATAGTCGCCCGAGACAGTTTTGATCTGCCCGTCGCTACTGAGTACCACTGTAGGCAAAAGCACAAAATAGCTGAGCAACATGACAGCTGGGAAAATGAGGCTTGTGAGAAGCGCGGTACGGACGCTCCAGCCAAGAGTGCTTGTCACCAAAGCGTACGCACTCGCACCGACAAGACCTGCTCCTCCAGTCCCTGATTCTCCAATGTGAGCATGTATCAATGTCCCAACGCACATATATTCTTATCTTTCTGTTATAATTCGAGGGCACTCACCAGAGCTCCAACCTGACAAACTCCACGAACCGTAATGATGTCCCATGCTCAAGAAATTAACCTCGCCTATGCCTCCAGCTATGCTGCCCAGGGCGATGCCGGCTAATGTGGTTGAGATTCGTGTAATTCCGGGTCTAATCATAGCCGAAGCGACCGTGAAAGTGCCGGCGGAATTCAATATTACAAGGAGTATGATTCGAATGCCATAAGGGAACTTTTGCATGACATATGGTGTGATCACTTTGGAGGCGAGGGCGGGCGTTACACTGACGAGCAGGACGGTGGCTTTGGGAACTGCCGGACCGACCAGATCCAGAGCGGCGCTGAGGATGATGACCCAGAAGACATTGTTGGTCAGGCCTAGAAAAGCGATCAGAAGAATGTAATGGGTTACCATCGAATCAAATCGAATCTTTCATATGTCTTCAGCTTATCGCCGAAATTACCGACAAATGGCGACTCACCAAAAATCCAGAACGCCGCGTAGATCCGCGAGGAAAGCGCTGAAGACGAAGCCATTGTGTAATCACGGGTGTGCGCACATCACGGCTTCCTCAGGAAATAGTGTAGACCTAGGTGTAAGAGGTGCGCGATATAGCAACAATTTGTACTCTGTGATGAACCCGTTGACGAGGGAAAGGAAGGGAAAAATGACTGTGGTGTCGTTCAGCTGAGGACAAAACTTCCAAGGGTTTAACAAGATTCCAAGGTTGTGGTGAAAGGGACCCGCGTGATAAGAGGTCGCGTCACGATGACTAGTAAGGGAACGACGCACGCGACCGCATCATGATTATCGCCAGAAGTGGATTGGACCCCGGCCCATCGTCCCTGGTCTGCCATGTGGAGGTGCCTAAATCGCCGCCCGTCCGCCCGTTGACCCTTGCTGCTGTTAAGCCCTATTCATCAAGTCATCAGGACTCCAGCCGGGTCCAAGCCACGATAGGACAAACTATGATCCCAGACTGAAATCGGGCATGTGTCGTGCATACAAGTAGAAGACGAGCACTATACTTGAGCTACGAGCCATAAGTCAAGTTTGATCGAACGCTGTGTCCTTGATACATGCATATATGTAGGTATAGGCAGATGCATGGGTGTGGGCATGTATGCGTGTGCGTGCGTCTCTACCCTGCTTGTCCGCCTGGACACCCAGGAATCACGATCACCCCAAGATCACACTCGCAGATATAGCACTGGAGCTTGCTTCTCATCAAACAAGCCGTACGTATTGAGCGGATGGCAACCATGGAAGAGGTACGAATGAGTTTCAAATGCCCCTAAGGGCTGCGTCGATTGCCTAGGGACGTTGAACCCGGCATTCTCATTCGTATGGTCTTGGGATGTTGATCAGAGCCCAGGTACCGCAGTACGCTAACATATTTTTGCGAGGTCTGGTTGCCCGATATGCACTGGCGTGAAGGTATGGATGATCAGAAGCTGGAAACGGGGATGCGCTCCAAGGGGAGCAGGTACCATCTGTCATCCCAGAGACCTCCCACCGCCGAAGCTCAAAAACATGGCCTGGTTGCAACGCCTTTGAGTAAATCAAAGTGACTGTTTTGGATGTGGTCAGCGACAAGAAGTCGAGAAGGACAGTTTTGGCGGAGTCGAGACAGCTTCGATATGGTTCCCCGCTCATTATGCACCTGTTTGTACACCTGGGAAATACTATAATCAAAAAGGTACACCTAAAGTAATAATCCGAGAATTCGAAGTCTGATGACAACGCACATCTGCGTCTGCCCCAATCTCACGGGACTTTGATGAGCTACATGTAGACATTGACTTGACTCGACAACACATCGATCGATGACAGCCTGACATACTGACGACCGGCTTGAGAGGATACCTAGATATTCTCCATTCTTTCACGTGTCAGTCGTGACCCTTAGATACCTGGTTGTGAATGCCTACCTAGGTAGGTATGTACCTGCTGTTTGTCATTATCATCGTAGGGCCAGCCGGTTCATCCTTCCTGGTGCCCCGGCCGCTCAACACCAAACTTTCAAAGCGCCAGGAACGTGCCTGCATCGCCCGTTTTTTACGTCTTCGCTAGTTTTAGATACACTACCTAGGTATCCATGATAACCTTTCCTCCGAGGATTCTCTTCCAAGGTTGTTCTGCTCGTTATTTTCCCAATCATACTCACAATCCTTTGCTTGTGAGGCGCTTATTCTGGAAAACATTTTTTTTTGAAAAAGAGATCCTACGAACCACACCATCACCACCTTCGAACGCCGAACTAGATGGAGAATCGCCGCTGGTGAACGCAGTCGCTACACATGGCCTGTGAACTTCTATTGCGTTGGAAGCGTTGACTTGCTTGATTGCCAATCGTCGATTGATCATCGACCTTGTCCTTCGTCTCGTCAGTCACCAATTCTAGACAGTATAGAACTATGGAGCCAGACTACCGCCGAACGTCAATCGATCGCCCAGTGTATGGTCATCCACGTCCGCCATCCATTTCGCCAGAGAATCCTCGCCTAGCGCCCCCAGAAGCATATCGAACAGTCGCACAAGTGCCATATGCGGACACGTTTCACACTCGCCGGGATTCATATTCTTCAACGTTGCAAGGTCGAAGGGAAGACGATGGAAGGACGTGGACGCCGTCATCATCGCATCAGGCAGGTAGGTTTTTTTCGTGTTTTGCGTCTCGAATTCTTTGTATCATCCTCCCTCCTCGCGTTTTTGTGCAACATACGGGAGCTCGTAACCTTGAAGTCTATGGAAGGCGGATGTGAGGAGTACCAACCGACGGAGCGGTCGATATGATGCAAGAGCAGAAAGCTGCGAACCAATTTGGAGCCAGCCTGGATTGAGCAGCGGCCTCGACAATTTCCGAGGCCAATTCGCACCATGGCTGGAATGATGACAGCGAACATGCGCATGGTAGTCACATCACGCAAGAATGAATGAACTGCGGCCACAGTACGACATCGTCATCTAGTAATCAGGGCATTGCTCGCCTGGTCCGGTGCTGTCCATTGTCTCTTGGACGGATTTGAGTTGCCACCAACACGCAGGTCCACTAGACACCAAACTGGTTGGAACTCCACAGACAGATGTTTCAGATGGAATTTCATCATTAGATCCATAATCCTTGACAGTTGGAAAACGATCAACGGTTGTCTCAAGAGATCCACCAATATCATGCAAGCCACACATCCAGCTTGGACCAAACGTCACGAACATGCGCCATGGAACCGGAGATGGACCGGGGAGGGGGTTAGCAGTGGTCAAGCAAGAGATGCGGTGAAAAAAGGCCAATGAAATAGTGGAGAGGAGAAAGAAGCCCAACCAGCTAGGCTGCGGGAGAAAGAGATGGAGATGACAGTCATGCAGCTTCTGCTCGAGCTGTGCAGTCGCCAGTAGCTTCGGTTCATCATCAGCACGTCGGGTCGCATGCGGCATGCATACAGCGGTCGGTGTGTGTGATAGCGTTGCGCGTGTGTGTGAGTGCGACGATACAGTACTCTGTACAGTTTCCGACTGTATTGCACCTGGGCACTCACATCACTCATGCGCATCACCCTACGCTATAACCTTGGAAGCTTGAAAGCTTCGAAGCTATCCACATATTTGAACCTGGCTAAACCGCAATCGTCCGTCTGAACCTAAAAACCTCTCGGGCTGCCGGGAACGAAAACACACACCTGCGCGCACGCACACATGCTAACTTTAAGCACAAGACTGGTTACATACAATTTCAGGTGCGCTTGCATCTTTCTAACCTGACTGGTGCTGACTCTTCTGGGTGTGCGCCAGGAAACAACCCGCCATCACTTGCATCTCCACAACCTCCACTACCACCACCGCCAACACATCCATCTCCGCTTTCTTCTAGGCCATCAACTTCCCCTCTTCTTCTTCTTCACCATCCTCACCTGAATCCTCACAGCCGATCATCATCTCCGCTACCGCAACAACAGAGACAGCAGCAACAGCATCGTCACCATCAGCCTCCGCCTACACCAATATCGATCAAGCTATCCTCACACGCGCAGGCGCAGCCACCAATCCTTTCACCATATAGCGTTCCACCACCATCCAATGGCTTGAACATGCCTCCCATCCAATACGAGCCCTACGACCCGGCGCGTCGGCGCTCTTTAGGAACTGCGGCTACCTCTCCGCAGTACATTCCCCAAGAGCCGTTTCCCAGGCATCACGATCAAAGAGCTGGTATGCACAATGGCCCACCGCCTCCACAACCGGGCATGTCGACATTCTCGCAAAGATCGATGCCTCCGCCATCGCCAACACAGTCATCCAGCGGCGCATCCGTGCATCACTCTTCCGCGCCGCGTGGCCCATCGAACAGCTCACCGTTCAATGGCGCAAGGGATTTTCCAAGCAATCGTTCCGCCGGAATGTCAATAGGAGCGCTTCTCGGTCGAGACGATGACAACAAACCTAATTCTTCACATCACACGCTGCCCACGTTTGCATCGTCAGCTGGCAAATCTATGCATCCACCTTCGCCAGGCCGCGCCCGTTCGACGAGTATGCGCGAAGCACTATTTCGTCCAAGAGATGCGTCACCTCCTCGAAACACGCATATGGACATGAATACACATAATGCGGGTTCGCGAAGAGAAGGGACATTTGGATCGCCTCATCGCCAGCAGGAGGCCCAAATGAGGTCCTTTCGTGCATATAACCCCGAACCGGCACAGAATCATTCACATGCTCACCCTTCCAGTGCACATGCGTCACCAATGCGGCCTATGAGTCAACCGATGGATGTCACTGGACGGCGACACGGCGAGGAACTGCCACGCCGAGAAATGCCCGCCGAAAGCAGAATGGACGTTTTCCGGACCGAACAGCATCCATCGCACCGCGAAGATGGGCTTTTCCGACATGAGCGCCTACCACCTGCCACCGGTTCTGCTGGACATATCATGGATCGTATACCATACAACAACGGAGTGCCGGATCGTGATATTCACCAGTCAGTTCCGCCGCGGCCGCTGTCTGGCACATATGGCCAACCATCGCGTGATGAGCAAACATCCTTGTTTCGTCCGGTATATCAGACACAGCCGCATCCCTCTAATGAGCCTGCGAGAGAATCCATCGAGAGGTCTAATAGCGACCCCCGTTTTCCACATATGCGCAACTCACCGCCGCCTCCTGAGATGGATCGGTATGCGTCCGGACGGAATGGATACATGGACCGGCCAGCGACGTTAGAAGAGCATCAAAGGATGGAGGCTGCGTCCCGGGAACAAACATCCCAGCAGCGCAAGGAAATTTCTATGCACCGTGCCATCTTGAACATCAGTCCGGAATTAGATCGCAAGGGTCGGAGTTCGCCACTGCCTCAAGCGATTCAAGGCGCTCAGCCCCGACATGTAGGTCCTGGTGGAGACAATCCTGGTATTAAGTCCGAATTCGGTCGAATGTTTGCAGGGCTTGGTTCTGGTGTTGGCCCTGCGAGCCCGTATGGCGGTCACAGCGCTAACGGCGTTTCAACACCGTCTCGCTTGAGCCCGGCAGCGATGCGACATCCTGATGGTGGCGATGTCGGCCGTGGTGCAACCGACTCTGATGGTCATCGGCACAGTGGCAAGAACGGGAATGTTCGTGGAGCAAAGAAAGGAGCTGCTGGACGTCGAGCCAGAGAAGAAGCCGAACGCGTGGAAGGTGAAGGTAGAGGAACTCCAGACCTCCGTGGAAATAAACGCTCGAAAACTGCGCACCATCACCACCGCCACGTCCATCCGCATCATCATCACCATCATCATCATCACCATCATCACGACGTACCAGAAGCAAGTCCTGGCGCATACAACATGATGCGCTTTCCGTCCAATCCTCTCCCGAAACCGAACAGTCCAGCTAGCCATCATCACGCCCATCCCAATCTAAATGCATCGCAGGCAGCACGTGCTGCTCCTGCTGTTCCACTTCCGGCACCGCGACAGCCATCCCTTACAGTATTAAGCCAGGACGTCTTGACTCAGTGTGCCGATCGACCACGAAAGCATCTGGGATCACAGCTCTACTCTACCGAGGTCGATATTGCATCAGCATCCGAGCTCTCTGCTGACGCAACCATCAAGTTCAGCAGCAAATTCAAGCCCATTCCGTATTTCGAGGGCAAGGAAAACTGCACCTTCACCCTCCGGGTTCCTCGCTATTATTTCGGCTCGTCGGCGGATGACTCTCCTGGCGACCTCGAGACTGAGGAGGGCGGACACGAACGGCCTGAACGATCTCCCAATTACAGCTTCGAAGAAATATGCCGCCGCCGCGAAATATGGGGCACAGACATCTATACAGATGACTCTGATCCCATCGCTGCTGCTGTGCATGCTGGCTGGATTCAAGGTGCCTTTGGTGACCTTGATGAAGACATTCGCCAGCTTCGAGTCGGCCCGAACCAGTCTAACGATGTGAATGACACAAGTGACGCCATTGCCGATGCACCTGCTACACCCCTTGCCGTCACGGCTGTGCCCTTAAAACCACTTCCTATACCTGTCGGTCACGACGCTCACATAACCCTTCTCATCCTTCCGCCGCTCACGCAATATGCTTCAACGCACCGTCACCACATGCATTCACGCCCTTGGCCGTCTCACCACGATGGCATGAGCTTCGCCATCCATCGCATCGACTTCGTTCGTGAAGGCCCAATCGCTCGCTTCGCTGAACGTGGCGCCAAGGCCCGCAAAGCGAGAATCCTCACCGAGGAGCGAAGTCGTCGGGAAATGGCTGCACTTGGCTTGCTGATGTTCAGCGGCGGAGGAAACCGTATTGGAACGGAAACAGGCAGGAAAGATGTTGCTGCTGCGAGCTCGTCTGAGCGAGTTACCAGAAATGGTGCAAATGGAGGCATTATTCGCGTTGGGGCATAGGTAATTTTCCACCCACCAGGAAACCTTTAGGCATACACACTCTTTCGCCATCTTGTATTTATGACCTGCTAGGAAAAACTCTTGTGGAATAACACTATACGAAAGACGCATACGTTTGTCTTAGCCAGTGAAAGCCTTGGAAGTTCACACGGTCGATGAACAAGTATCATCATCAACAACCCCCATGCTCAGCGTCTCGCCTACATTGTCACACGTTTGATATCCGTAGATAAGCATGACTTCCTGGCCACAAACGAACAGCGCAACTTTGTATCTGTATCAGGTCTGCGAATCCGTCCCCTTTCTATACATCAGTCGTTCAGAATTATACATATAAGCTGGCGTCTTGTCATTGACCCTCTTAACAGCCACATCTTTGTGCGACTTGTGCCCCGAATTGAAAGTTCGTTGATGATTCCACGTCTGATCCCATCGACAAGAACCGCGCAAGCGTGAGCAGCGGCTGCAGCAGAGAAGACTGCGGCACCATCTCCATCATCTCACGCCTCAGCCTTGGCGATCTACCCCCGTCTACCCATTAGCTTTCTGCACAGTCTCCCCTTTATCTCAGAGGATATCTCGCAACACGTAACTCACCAGAAGGTACACTCCCACCATAAACGGCACAAGTGTCTCGATCGGGTTCGAGCTCATCCTTCCACGAAGCTTCGGCGCCCATCGCACCGTCACCGTATCAAGGAGAAGGCCGAGCGGGAAGATGAACGGCGTGAGACACACGTCGATGAAAAGCCCTTGTCCAAGGCCGTAGATGTAGATGGGTAGCGTGTAGGTTGCGATGGTCAGGAGGGTGAAGAAGAAGGGGTCGATGTTGGCGCCGCAGGTTTCGAATTTGTGGGTCAGGTCGTCGAAGTCGATGGTGAGGGACATGGCTCTGCTTAGTTTCCTGCTTGCTTTTCGTTTCCTTCGATTCTCTTGGAGATTTTATCGGTTTCGATCTCGATTTGAGATTGTCAGTGTTTGTTGAAGAGCGAAGGAGGAGATCTCCCTTGTGAGTTGCGTGGCCATGATTATATGTGCTTGTCGATTTCTTTCTAGGATGGGGATTTCACTCGATACATTCCGCTTGCCGTTGCGTAATGTGATCTCTTTGACAAAGATTTTTTTTCTTGAGTGACATACTTGGTTCGGCACTCCGTCTGCTGCGTAACAGGCGCACAAAGCCACTGTGGTATGAAACTTCTCATTGGATTAGAAGGTGGAGTTTTTATGAACAGGGATGATTTTGCTCCATGGAACCCATAGAATGGTGTTACTTCCACGCGTCATTTCAAGGGACTACGGGCTTGAAATTGATATAGCTCGTTAAGGTACGAACTGAGAATCACAGGGATGCTTGATCGAGAAGGTGAACATTTTGATGGGATTCCCGATTGCTCTTGAATTGAGGATCGATACTTCGTCCCATGGCGATCACTGAGGTGTTAGTCTGCGCGGCGCGGGCAAGATGCCGTTATTGACCGACTCGCGTGTAACCAAAGACATCCTTGTTCGAAAAATCCTTTGAATATATACCTGTGAATTCACGGCTCTGTGCGTTGGAATGTAAGCAAAATCCGAGGCGGGCCAACGCTACGACACCACGTCTATCGATCTTGAGAACAAGACCATAGATTTTGTTTGTCGTTTGAAATATACCGAGCTTCCAGTAGTGCGCTGCGAAGGGTATTTAGCTCTGCATACAGGCTAAGAATAACGCCGATGGCTCGTGGATTTCAATGCAACATCGGAAGGATCCTTTGTTACCTGCACAGGGACAGTGGTTGTCATTGTGTCAGTATTCAACTGGTCGGCATGATCACGGAGCCTTAGGTTCGACACGAGCGCTCGGTACTGGAAACACAGATCCGAATGTAAGGGAGTCCTCGGGGTTTCGATGAGTAAGCGTAACACGTACGACAAACCGAAATGGACTCTTGCCGAAAGCCAAATACATCCGATAAGGCTCGGCAACCGCATGCATGTCGGTCACGGTCCTACGGAATCAGCATGGTGGCAGGTGAGACAAGTAATTGACGGCGCTTAGTAATTGTATCATCAAAGACCTTTCGTTATTGCTATAAGAGATGATGGATAGTATGTCTGCTGAGCCTGATGGTATTATCGAGGGAATATCAGAGAAGCTAATTGCCTGTTGAGAATCTTCAGAAAAATGGTGATCAGCACAGACATTACGAATAAGGGGCTTACCTCAAGTCACCATAGCCACGATTTTGCTTGGCTCGTACCGGTAACAGGCAGTCCAGTCCGATCTGCAGTTTCCGCTTGTTTCAATCTATCTTCATCCACCAACCGCATGGTCTCTTCCAAGACCAGGAAGTCTTGCTCCATCATATTTGCCCAATTCTCAACGTCACCAAGCTCCTTCATCGCCGTCACGGCACGATCAGCTTCTCGCTGTAGCAGCTTTGTCTCTTTGGCAAGAGCCTTCGTGTTCTTTGCCAAGTCACGTTCTTGCTGTTGGATGGTTTTGGATTGAAGGTGGATGTCTGTGGCGCGTTGCTGGAGTTGCGCTGCATGGCTACTACCGGCCGACTCAAGCGAAGCCAGCACTGCAGCACGAGCCTCGCGCTGAGCGCGGGCAGGATTTCGGTCCCTAGTATTTGACGATGCGGACGAGAAAGACAAGGTTGTGAGCGAATCAGCTTCTGTGCTGGAGATTACCGTGTCAGTGGTGCTGTCCGTGAGAGAGCTGATGCTGTCGGACATCGTAGATGAATCTCCTGAGGATGCCATCTTGGGAAGTATGGATGCTCAGATTCAGGCGAAGCGTTGGCTTAATGACTGAATATCACGAATTCTTTTGTGAAAGTTTCTGGTCTCCAAACAAGGTGGCGTTGCCACAGAATTCTCGACAACAAGGCTCTCGCTCGCAAGCTTTTGTTCGTGTTTTGAATGCCGTCGAAGAGCTGCAGTCGGAGGAATAAGAATAGCCGAGCATGCGACACTGAAGTGAGGTCAAGATATCTTTAGTGCTGACAACAGAAGAGCTGCTGATATACACCACCAATTCTTTCAATGATAGCCGCTCAGCCGTGAGCATCGTACATGCGATTCGCATAGCAGCTCTGCCCAACTAAGTCACCTGATTCCATCTCAAGAGTTCGAGGGGAAGCTTGGACACACAGGTTCCGTTGCACACCAACTCGACGAGCTACCTGCACGTTGACCGCGCGCTCTCTTTGGCTCAATGACCCGTATTGATGCGAAGAGGGCACAGGCGGACGCAGACGGGCTGATTATGTCTGGTAGGAAGCGATACATCTGCAGACGAAACTCATATGGCGTACTATCGTACCAAGAAAAGGGAGAGCCCGAATAAAATTGTTTGCACTCTGCGGGCAGCGTGATCGATTTGGCGTGGTCCATCTGACGTGTCCATGGAGGACCTGCAGTAGCTCTGCGTCTGCCTTCCTGGAACAACATCGTATTTCAGATTTGCGAGAGATGCAATTCAGCATGCGAAGACCGTCGATGATCCGTATCTGGCCACGAGTTCCGGCGAGATGTTGAGCCATTGCACGGATATTCTGAGGGATCCTCGACGAGAGTGTGCGTGTTCAGCGCATCATCAAATTGTCGTTTCTGTCAGAGATGCTCAGCTAAGCTGGGTAGCTATCGGCACTGTGCTTGGGACACAGGAGCTTGATTCTGGTGAAATGCCTAGATGGATGTATGACAAGCCGATAGCGGCGCCAGAGAAGCAAGCTGGCTTCCATATGAGATTCTCACGATAATGCCACAGCTAGAAGTAGTGTGTTTGCGTATAGAACCCATGTCATGGCCGGTGTGGACATCGATCTGGCCGAAGACAACATCGCAACGCAAATACTGGACAATGTTATATTAGCTCTTGCCGCCATCTCTCTTTCTTGATGTTGCTGTAACTCTTGAGGAATGGCGCTGTCCGTTTTCGGTCTGCAGCATGCACGCGAGTGATGTATGTATGCCCAGTGTAGTGGTGCGTCAACCACCTCTGATGATTACCTAGGTATGTGCGGATACTGCCACACTCCTCTAGTGTGCATCGTGAGCGCTGATGTGCGTGGAGGATCTGATGGCCTTTTCGACGGCGGCAGGCCAGCGATGAGCAAAGTTTCATGACATTTCGCGTCTCACAGTTCAGTTCAAATTGGCTCCTCTCTCCTCCATTTCCCACGCCGAACGACGCGTTCAAGCCTTTCAGCCCTGTGAACGGTCGGTCAATGCTCTCCAACATCTATCTCTCGCGCCTAAACGACTGCATCATTCGCATTCTACAACAATACTTTGCTCCGTCCTATGTCACTGGAACATCGCTTTGACATGGCAGGGCGCGTCGCAGTTGCCCACTATGCGGGCCCTGTATTTGCAGCATGTCGTTCACCCCACTCGACACGTTCTGTATCCCCGCCTTCCACAGATCCGCCACGCGCGGAACAAATGAAAACGTCCAGAGATAAGCATTATCTTGCCATGACCAATGCGATCAGATGATCTCAAGAGGTGCATATTGATTCTGGCTCCGCTTCACTGGACCGATCGCTACTGCTTTCTTATCCCGACTGAAATCATAAATGCATCTGATCATTCTTCATTGATCATTCGCCGGTGTTCAAGCTGCAGCAACGTCCGCCAATGACATTTTCTCTGCGCATGACCGGAACAAGTCACCCACCGAGCCTGATCTCTTGCTTGCGGAGGTGGAGCCACGTATCCGAACGTCAACGTTCCTGATTCTTGACTGATTTACTCTTTCAAACTTAAGATGGCGCCTGGGGTATCGGATCCTGCACCGGCCGTCGATCGAAGTTTAACTCAGGCGTTGGCTGCTGTGACTGTTGACTATGACGATACACTGAGATTCTTCCTCAATGGAAAGAAGGTCGTGTTAGATTCGGCCGATCCTGAAGTCACATTGCTGGAATACCTCCGTGGAACTGGTTTGACAGGAACCAAGCTGGGTTGCGCGGAGGGTGGCTGTGGCGCTTGTACGGTTGTTGTATCACAATACAATCCTACAACAAAGAAGATATATCACGCCTCCGTCAATGCATGTCTGGCTCCGCTAGTGTCTGTCGATGGCAAGCATGTCATCACTGTGGAAGGTATTGGTGATGTGAAACGACCTCATCCTACCCAGGAGCGGCTCGCGAAAAGTCATGGCAGCCAGTGCGGGTTCTGCACTCCAGGGTTTGTCATGAGCCTCTATGCACTCCTGCGGAACACAGAGCTTCCTACTGAGCATCAAATTGAAGAGGCATTCGACGGAAATCTCTGTCGATGCACAGGCTACCGGCCCATTCTCGATGCCGCTCAGACTTTTAGTGTGGAACGAGGGTGTGCCATGGCCAAAGTAAATGGTGGTGCAGGATGCTGTCGGGAGAATGGGAGTCCAGGTTGCTCTGGACCAAGCTCGAACGACACAGGCGGAGCTGTGAGGAGGTTTACTCCTCCAGGTATGCTTGAACATCAACCTGACACCGAATTGATATTTCCGCCTGTCCTGAGAAAGCATGACTTTCAGCCCCTGGCATTTGGCAATAAGCGCAAGAAGTGGTATCGTCCGGTGACGACACAACAACTCCTGGAAATCAAGAATGCATATCCTTCTGCCAAGATCATCGGAGGCAGCACTGAAACTCAGATCGAGGTAATGTTGGGTCGTATTATTGTGTCTCATGGATGCTGACAGTATTCCCGCCAGGTGAAATTCAAAGCGATGAATTACACTGTATCAGTGTTTGTTGGAGATATCGCAGAGCTTCGACAATACAAGCTCGAAGCCGATCATGTCGAGATAGGAGGCAACATCACCCTGACTGATCTTGAAGATCTCACAGAGAAAGCTCTGGAACATTACGGTCAGCAGAGAGGGCAGGTCCTCACTGCAATCAACCAGCAGATCAAGTATTTTGCAGGTCGACAGATACGAAACGTTGGCACGCCGGCTGGCAACCTTGCTACAGCATCACCCATTTCAGATCTAAATCCCGTCTTTTTAGCAGCGAACGCTGTGATAATTGCGCAAACGCTAGAGGGGAAAACAGAAATCCCCATGACAGAATTTTTCAAGTCATATCGCGTGACTGCACTTCCGGCGAATGCCATCATCGCCAGCATCAGAATTCCCGTGTTCCAAGAAAAAGGCGAGTATATACGAGCATACAAGCAATCAAAACGAAAGGATGACGACATTGCCATCGTCAACGCTGCCTTGCGTGTACGTATGGATGAGGATGGAGTTGTTCAGGATTCGAGCCTGGTGTATGGAGGGCTTGCCCCGATCACTGTCGCCGCGAAACAAGCCATCGCATATCTGCAGGGTAAGAGATTCGCTGATCCGACGACTCTCGAGGGTGTCATGAATGCTTTAGAGCAAGACTTTGAGTTGCGTTTTGGTGTGCCAGGAGGCATGGCAACGTATAGGAAGTCGCTGGCTCTAGGTTTCTTCTACAAGTTCTATCACGAGGTCCTTTCCACCGTTGATCCGAGCGATACAAATGTCGACAAAGAGGCTTGCGCTGAGATTGAGCGTGAGATTTCAACCGGCTCGAAAGACCACGCTGCAGCTCAAGCATACGAGAAGAAGATCCTTGGCAAAGAGGAGCCGCATGTAGCTGCGCTGAAGCAATGCACTGGAGAGGCACAATATACCGATGACCTGCCAGTACAAATGAATGAATTGTTCGGGTGCTTGGTTCTCAGTACAAAAGCACATGCCAAAATCATCAGCGTCGATGCTGAACCTGCCCGCGAAGTGCCCGGTGTCTTCGACTACGTCGATCATCGAGACCTTCACGACCCAAAAGCAAATTGGTGGGGCGCACCTACTTGCGACGAGACATTCTTTGCAGTAGATGAAGTTTTCACAGCTGGTCAGCCTATTGGGATGATCCTCGCCACGTCGGCCAAGCAAGCCGAGGCCGGTGCACGCGCAGTAAAGATCGAATACCAGGACTTGCCAGCTATCTTCACGATCGAGGAGGCTATTCAAGCGGACAGCTACTTCGATCACTATCACTTTATCAATAATGGCGACGTCGAAAAGGCGTTCAAAGAGGCTGATCACGTGTTTACTGGTGTCGCGCGCATGGGCGGCCAGGAGCATTTTTACTTAGGTGAGTGAAAAGTTCGAGATTAGACAAGACTAAGGAAGGCGAAGTTAACTTGCGATTGATTACAGAAACCAACTCTTGCCTTGCCATTCCCAAGCCTGAGGATGGTGAGATGGAGATATGGAGTTCTACACAAAATCCGAGCGAGACGCAAGCGTACGTTGCCCAAGTCACTGGAGTCGCTGCGAACAAGATCGTCTCTAAAGTGAAACGCCTCGGCGGCGGCTTTGGAGGCAAAGAAACACGCTCCATCCAACTGGCGGGTATCTGTGCCATCGCGGCCAAGAAGACCAAGAGGCCAGTTCGCTGTATGTTAAATCGTGACGAGGACATGCTTACCTCTGGTCAACGGCATCCTTTCCTTGCGCGATGGAAGGTCGCTGTGAACAAGGACGGAAAGCTGCAAGCGCTCGATGCAGACGTCTTCAACAATGGTGGCTGGTCCCAGGATCTCAGTGCTGCCGTCGTTGATCGTGCATTGAGTCATGTTGATGGCGTGTACAAGATTCCTAACATGTTTGTTCGAGGCCGCATTTGCAAGACAAATACCGTTTCCAATACTGCGTTCCGAGGATTTGGTGGACCGCAAGGCATGTTCATCGCCGAGACGTACATGTCCGAGATTGCCGATCGTCTGAAGATGCCTGTGGAGAAGATGCGGGAAATCAACATGTACCAGCCAGGCGAGACTACGCATTTCAAACAGGCGCTGGAAGATTGGCATGTGCCTCTAATGTGGAAACAGATTCAAGAAGATTCGGGCTGGAAGCAGCGCAAGGACGAGGTTGCGGCTTTCAATGCCCAGAGTAAATGGAAGAAACGCGGACTCGCACTGATCCCGACCAAGTTTGGAATCTCTTTTACTGCACTCTTCCTTAACCAAGCCGGTGCCCTTGTCCACATCTATCACGATGGAAGTGTTCTGGTCGCTCACGGCGGAACAGAAATGGGTCAGGGACTGCACACAAAGATGACCATGATCGCTGCGGAAGCCTTGGGAGTCCCTCTCGGCGATGTCTTCGTCTCCGAAACCGCCACCAATACAGTCGCCAACACTTCCTCTACAGCAGCCTCGGCATCATCTGATCTGAACGGCTACGCAATCTGGAATGCATGCAGCCAGCTCAACGAGCGTCTCGCACCATACAGGGAGAAATTCGGCAAAGACGCCACGATGAAACAACTCGCTCACGCCGCCTACTTCGACCGTGTAAACCTCTCCGCCAACGGCTTCTACAAAACCCCCGACATCGGCTACGTCTGGGGCGCCAATACCGGCCAGATGTTCTTCTACTTCACCCAAGGTGTTGCGGCCGCCGAGGTAGAAATCGACGCGCTGACCGGCTCCTGGACCTGCCGGCGCGCCGACCTCCTCATGGACGTCGGCCGTTCCATCAACCCAGCCATCGATTACGGCCAGATTGAGGGCGCCTTCGTGCAAGGGCTCGGCCTGTTCACCATGGAGGAGAGCCTGTGGCACCGCGGCACTGGCCAGCTATTCACACGCGGGCCCGGCGCCTACAAGATCCCGGGAGCCCGCGATATCCCCCAGGACTTCCGCGTCAAACTGCTCTCGGGGGTGGAGTGGAAGAATCTGCGCACCATCGCCCGCTCGCGGGGCGTGGGCGAGCCGCCGCTGTTCCTCGGCTCGTCGGTGTTCTTTGCGATCCGCGATGCGCTGAAGAGCGTGCGGGAGCAATTCGGGGTACCCGAGGAGGAGGTTTTGAATCTGGTCAGTCCAGCAACGGTGGAGAGGATCCGGCTGAGTTGTGGGGACCCTATTGTGAAAAGAGTGGAGGTAAAGCCGGCAGAAGGGGAGAAGAGTTTCTTCATGGCGATTTGACCGGGATGCGTTTTCTGGCACGGGATACGGAATATATCAGAGCATGTTTGATGGAACGTCCCTCGAGGTGGATTACCATCTATTTGTCACGTGTACATGTTTCGTCGGGGGCTGAAGCGCCTTTACCTCTGAAGTCTTGGTGTTTGTTGTTGAAACGATCGGTCCAAAGATACCTAGGTAAAATTTTCACATCGTCCACGTTCTCGGACGACATCATTCTCTTCGAATCGCATCGAATGTTGTCGCATAAAGTGGTCTTAGATCGCGCGAGCTTGATGTGTTGCCGAAAGGGAGAAGAGAGGAGTTCAAGTTGCTCTTGGTTTTGGGTAGTGAGTGATCCTTGCAAGGAGAGCGGTCGATCTCTTCTCCATCCGGATCGAGCATCGAAGGCTTTGTGTGGTTCAGCCGATGCTTGTTGAGAGGCAGTAAGACCCAACTTTGCCTAAAAGATTATCTCTTCACTCCACTCCAAAAGGGTGTCCGCTGACGTCGTATCGGGAATCGGGTTGCGTGTCCCAACCGGTCGTATTCTCGTAAGTACCGTATCTTTTTCTGAAAGCAGGACTCGAGAGATGGTCTATAAGCTAAATCAAGGACTTCCCTCCTGAGTCTGAGCGATTCCCTGAATTCTCCAGACATGGGATCCAACCTTAGAACAGAGACTACTGATGAAGATCATCTCCGAAAGAAAAGAAAAAAGTGTCCCATTATGAAGCGAAGGTATTTTCTCAAAAAGGAGAAGAAGGGTAAGATCCGCGCAACGACAAAAACTCCATGCAAATGTGTCAAGATGTAGTATCCTGTTCCATCTTGGTCTCCCTGCTATCTCCTGTCCTGTCCATTGCCCTATGTCTCCTAAAAGAAGCCTTTAAAAAACCCCGCCTCCTTATCATGCCCGCGCAGCGGTCCTATCCACCATCACGTACTCATTCGCATTGTTGCCGTTAGCGTTGTGAAAGCCCTGCTGTCGGTGGGCCTCGGCCTGCTGCTGTTGGGAAGTCGCTGGCCGGCTGGCAGGGAAGGAGGGCTGCTGTGCGAGAGGGTGTTTGTTTGACGCGGCGGAAGGTGCTGCTGCTTGTTGTGCGTTTTCGAGGATAGGGGGCTGCTCGCTCGTGGGCGATGTGGCAGGTGAATTATTCCGTGAGACTCGCGCGAGTCGCTGCTCGGCTTTCTTCAGGCGAGCTTCAAGCTCCTGAAGCTCGCGGTTGCCAGAAGAGACCTTGAGCTTTCTACATGATGCCGTTTTGTCAGCGAAGAGGTTCAATGATATTCGAGAATGGATCACATGTCAATTGACGATTGTTCGGAACGGACTCAACGAGAACGTTTGAATCGCCAAAAGGTGGCGATCGGGGCGGGTGAAGCGGCGGTGTATCGACTCACTTGTCCTCTACGGTTTGTGTGAGCTGTTCGACCTCAGGAGTGAGGCCGAACATGGCGTCGAGATCATCGGCAAAGATTTGCGCGATGGTTCTGCATGCAGATATTGTCAGACTTATTTTTCGTTTACTGACATGGCTACGATGCCATCATCGTGGACTCTCTGCGTGACATACGATTCAGGCCGAGGGCCGCGACTGGGCATGATTGCAGCGGCGAGAGAGCTGCTGCTTTTTGGTGGGGGATTCCCGGCTGACGGTCGCAAGGGTTGCCTGGAGATATGGATTCGATACGATGAATAACGCGGCACAGATTCCTGAAAGATGCCCTGGTCCAGCAGGTCGCGAGAGACGATACAGGCAGAATGATGAACCGTGGAATTTGTTTGTTTGGAAAGGATAGATGAGGGTCGGGGAATGGACTCGGGCCCAAATCGCGCAGGTTTATTGGAGAGCACGCGGAGATGGGGTTATGGCACGCTGTGGTAGTGGATGAACTATGCTGGAGGTAATTAGTCCGTCCCAATGGTAGGAAGCCGTAGCGGCAGCAGCGGCGGCGACAACAGCATTGGCAAGGAACTGTGTTAATAGTACTACAATTCAAAAGCACGTTTCTGAATCTCTCCTACTAATATACAGTGTGAACCCTTTTCCTACTCCGTCTCCCTTTCCCTCTCTATTTCTCTTCCTCTCTCACACACCCGCACGTACACCCACACATATTTGCCTACCTCGTTGTTGTTTATCAATCAACGGTTCGGCGACTGTAGTGGGATGGTACAACAGTATAGCGTGCGCGCTTGCTACGGGTTTGGGCAAAGCAATGTCTCTCCATCTCTATGTACATCTCTCCCATCACTCCTTGGCTCGCTTCTCCTTCCCTCGGTCTTCCGCTCGGACTCCCCACCCTCAATCCCGACCGCATTGAACCAGAACAGCTGCTCTGGTGTTGGTCAAGGTCTGCGGCGGCGGGTGTGCATGCGGTCGCGCGGCGGGCAAACGGAGCCCCGATGGAGAGACATTGATGACAGCTCGTGAGAGACTGGTGAATCGAGTCAAGCACTGTCGGGCGCGAACCGAGTTGCCGGATCAACCTCGATGTTTTTATTGGTATTGTTGTATACAACGGATGTCATGGATGTCAGCCGCCACTTGGCATGCGCACATGGACTGAAGGCATGAGATGGCGACAAAACTTCCAACTGGAGGTTGTCGGTCTGATGATGATGCGACCTCCAAAATTTCCTCATTGGGACTCTCAAGCTCGAGAAGCCTTGATGCTAGTTCAACAGTCGGGAGAGGGGCTGCGGCACAAGTTCATCAGGGGTCCAACTACCGTTAGACATCGTCTCGTTTTGAGATACCCTGCAAGTCTCTTTCGCATCTACAGGAACGTGTGTTATGCCTCGTTCTCGGGCTACACGATATTAACATGATAATCATAGACTATGCGATCACATCAACCCGCTGAAGGCGATCGAGATTAATCAACGCTTGTTTTCAAGGATGACAAGTGCCATTACCCCGGGTTGACGCAGCTGATGAAATGATAATCAAAACAGCACATGGACATGTACTGTAGTTCTGCATCTGTTGCTTCGCACGTGATAGATCTCTCAATCGGAAAGTGATACTAACTGACTGTGCTTGAGCACAGATACTGAAGATCGATTGACAGTCTCGATGAGCTGGGAAACGGTGCCCTCCTGGGTTTTGATATATCGCGAGTGTGGAATACCGTCCTCGGGCGATACAGTATCATGGGCACACAGTACTAGCGCATCGTCTTGCTTGATACCAACGTCGTCCAAGCTCGCGCTCTCACACTTCCTCCTTACTTAGATTGTTGTTACCTACATATCTAGGTACCTAGGTAGGCATGTATAATCATAACAAAGATGCCTAGGTACCATATACATGCCGCCGCAAACCCTACAAGCAGACAAGTCTCGGCATGGACAGATTTCATAGGCTAGCTTCGCAAGTTATGACCCTGTTTCCAGCAGGCGACCACATTCTACGGTAGCTACGTGTGCCACGCTGAACCGCCATCCAAGGTGATGATGGATGATAAGAGCGATGTTGAACCCCCGATGATCTTGCGTCAATCTGATTGATGACTGTATACAAAGAGCATCGTTGAAACTCCTTGAATAGCGCTCTCGCGAACATGCTTTTAGTGCTGTAGATCTCGCAGGCGCGACGAATTCGAGCTGCAGACACCGTCATAATTGTTACGAGCTTATGTCTTACCTGCTTTCGTCCTCAAAAAGAAAAGGCTTGGGCTACCTACCTAGGTAGACAGTCAACATTCTTAGATTCGTGCATTGGGAAAAAGCTGTGCAGCCCTGGAGTGTTGTCTGTTGAGGCAGTCCGCCCTCCGTACATTCCAGAGCGACAGCTCCAGTAGTACGGAAGACCCAGAAGCATCAACAGACAACACTGGCGTTCCCGCGTGAGACCATCTACGGTATTCACATGAACAGAAAGAAATGATGACATTCATCAACAGATTCCATCGGCAACAATTCACACACCGCTGTTAATTCAGTTGTCAGCCTCTCGAGCAGTTCGTCGCGTCATGAATTTACGAATGTGTCGCTAGGAAGAATTACATGCACCAAACGATTATCCTGGACGATGCCGGTCAAAACGTTGCCCGCGTGCGACAAGCGAGATTCATGAGCCAATTCACCTATACAAATCTGGAAAGCCTCCTTTTATTCCAATTTCTGCGCTCAGAAAATGTCACGTCGGCAGTCAACTTCACGCGCATTGCCGATGAATTGAAGCAGATTCCACTCATCCGCAGTGATCCTACATACGACGATGGCCGCCTATCACCCGACGCACTCAAAGATCTCTACCTGGGCTTGCTAAAGGAGGAGGCCAAGCTCGATGTTGAGCGACAAACAAATGGCGATACACACGCCCCGATAAACGATCACAACACGACCAATGGAGACCCGAGCAACACATCGCCGGCCTCGCGCAAACGGAAGGCTGCCAGTCCCGGCTTTCCCACGGTGCAAGAGGCCGCGCAACACGCGCATCTAATACCGCAATTGGTTGCACGCTTGTATGCACGGTATCGCGACAACATAGTCCGAACACTGCGTGGTCAGGAACATGAATATGTCGCTATCAGTCGCAATATAGCAGACCTGCGATCTGGAAGGCTGGATGCACAACAACAGCAGCAGGCGCAACAACAACAACGACCGCAACAGCAACAGCAACCTATTCATTCCGTTCCTCAACGGAATCAGATATTACCCGCGACTCCGGCTCAAGTACCAATCACTCGTGGTCCCTCTCAACAGGAACAAAATGGCACCAATAGTACTCGGCCTGTCCCACAGAACGTAAACACACCGGGAGGCCAAGTCTCATCTTCTGCGGCAAATCTCGCCGCGCGGCCAGGATCAGACTCCAATTCGAAAAATCGCGGCACTCCTGGGCCGGTCTCGACTGGACAGCATACTACTACGCCAGTAACTGGGCGACCGTCTGCTGCTCCAATCGATAATGCTAGAGCTTCGCTGCCAGCGTCACAGGCTCCGCCGTCGGGTGCGTCATTGAGACATGCTCCAAATGCGCCGCCACAGATACAGCCCATGCCACCTACGATGAATCGGACCATCACACCCAATCAGCATGCCAACTATCCACTGCCAATCGCAGCTGCGCCGCACGGTCATCCGCGGCCAGACTCGGTACCTGCCCAACAAACAGCACCTCGACCATTAACGGTTCGGTCGAATATACAACCTGCTGCGCCGAGTCACGCTCGATCTCCTGTGCAGCACCTAGCATCACCGGGCCCGCACGCGTCCCCGTATGGCCAGGTGCCACCGCAGTATCCACTCCAGCAGCAGCAACCGCAGCAAAGCCGGGCGTCCTCTAGTCGACCCGAGACTCCGGAAAGCACCTCCAGAAGGCCTTCTGCGACACCCATGCCTCAGCATCAAGCGGGCCAGCATCAACAACAGGCAGTCCCAGATCGACAGGTGGTTTACTCACAACCGCCGCAGAATCAACCTCTGACCTATCGGCCACCACATGCTCAGTCTGGAGGCTACATGTTGCCGCCATTTCAGCTCACTCCACAAGGCCCTAACCGGCAAGTGCAAATTCCGCCTCAGCAAATCCGGACTCCACAACATGCGAATCAGGCGCCGATTCAAGTTTTACAGGCGCAGCAAATCCATGCTCAAGGGCGTGTAACTCCTGCCACCGCTCCCAGGCTGCAAATTCAACCTCGGCCCATGTCTACAAATAATGTGGCTGCGCTGGTAACACCGGTTCGTCCAAGGCCCAAATCGATATGGAAGTCTGACGTGCGACCATACTCAAATTCCAAACCAACACTACTGTCACGGCCAGATTTTGAGCCTCTAAGCCCTACACGAGACCGACCAGGGTCGCCGATTTCTGCGCAGCGCACTCTTGGGAATGGTCCGTCGAGCGAAGCTGTCTCGGCCAAGAGCCGTGTGGGCCGCAAGCGACTTGTCACACAAGGGACTGGGTCGCCGAGTCTACAATCGACCGGTTCGGACGAGTCGGCACCAACAATATCGACAGAGAAGGGAACCAAGGCAAATGTGCGATCATCGAGTATGCTCCAAGACGACCGGCCCAGCAGCCAGAATGGCGTAAAGGTGGAGCCCACGACGCCTGCCGCGAGCATTCCCGACGACGGAGAGGCCATGGTCGCACCGCCCGGAGCATCTGCTGGCGGACCTGCCACCCGCAAACGTCGTGGCACAATTTCCTCACAGCCTGTACCACAGGCGAAACGAAAGCGACAAGAATCGCCCTCGGAGCCGTCTGAGGCGCACAGCCATCCCGCAAGCTCGCCAGCACCATTGACAAGGAGCAACAAAATCGTAGCTGCGCGCAATTTTGCCAAGATGTCGTCCGCAATCATGCACGATATTGAAAGTCACAAGCATGCGTCCTACTTCCGCAATACGCTCCGTGACCGCGATGTTCCTGGATACGAGAGTATCGTGCTTGAGCCTCGAAGTCTTAAATTCATTCGATCTGCCATCAGTGCTGGCAAGACAGCTGTCGCAAATGCGACCGCGGCCTCCACTACTTCTTCGGGCGATTCACCTGCAGCCACGCCGAATAGTGTGCGGCCTACAGAAAGCACAACAACGATTGAGCTCGACCGTGCGGATCTTCTCAATCCGTATGCTATCGTCAACGGGACACAACTGGAGAAGGAAATCATGAGAATGCTTGCAAATGCATATATGTTCAATCCTGGCGAAGATGGCATGGCTGAGATCACCAAGGAAATGTTCCATGATGTGCAACAGAAAATTAGTGACTGGCGTGGGACGGAGCGACTCCTCGGAGGAGATGATGACGATGATGGCAAAGGAGGAAAGAGACGAAAACCATAGACTAAAGCTCGGAATTTTGTCAGGCATTGTCATGTAAAATATGCTCGAGATCTTATTCTCAATATGAGATTTGGATCATTATGTTTGCTGTAGCTTCAACATCATTATTCACGCCCCTGTGTGTTGTAGGTGATGCCCAGCACTTCAGCTGATCAAAGCCCTACCATATTTATTCCAACGTTGTACATTTCACAATGCGGTTCATGTGGCTTGGCGCCAAGACCCACGAAATTCCAGGTGCACTTCACAGATTGGCGTACACGGCAGCGCACACGACATCGCGACTTCGAACTTCTTGAAGCAACACCCACAGCGCCTGTGAAGCAGATTTTTTTCTTGTAAGGATCAATTGCTGAAGATACTGTTGCTCATCAGCCTACTGACCTATCGTGCAATAGTCGCCTTCACCAAACGCAATCATGGGGTATAGTCAAGACCAGACCGTCCACAATCGCGATCGAGAAATGAAAACCGCTGACCACATCTTACAGTATCTCTCGTGACTCCCGTCACAAGCGCAGCGCCTCTGGTGCAAAGCGCGCATACTATCGCAAGAAGAGGTATGCATAAACCGATCGTCTCTGCCCTCCCGCCAGACTTCATTTTCTGATGCGAGGGTACATATAGAGCTTTCGAGAAGGGTCGTCAACCCGCCAACACCCGTATCGGCGCCAAACGTATCCATCTCGTCCGCACCCGTGGCGGTAACCGCAAATTCCGTGCCCTGCGCATCGACTCCGGCAACTTCTCATGGGGAAGCGAGGGCATTGCCCGCAAGGTCCGCGTGATTGCTGTGGCCTTCCACCCGTCCAACAACGAACTCGTCCGTACCAACACCCTCACCAAGGCCGCCGTTATCCAGATTGATGCCACTCCTTTCCGACAATGGTACGAGGCACACTACGGTCAGCCCCTCGGTCGTCGACGACAGGGCAAGACCGCTGAGGAGGAGGTCAAGAAGAGCAATGCTGTGGAGAAGAAGCAGAAGGAGCGATTCGCCGGTGCCGGCGGCAAGGTCGAGGCCGCCCTGGAGCGACAGTTCGAGGCCGGTCGATTGTACGCCGTCGTTGCCAGCCGACCCGGCCAGAGCGGCCGTGTCGACGGCTACATCTTGGAGGGCGAGGAGCTTGCTTTCTACCAGCGTGCCATCCGAAAGTAGACGGATGTATCGTATGGATCTTTCTGCTGCTTGGCGTTTATCATGACTACGGCTGGGAGTGATTGCATTTTTGCTTCGGAAATGGGGCTATCAACAGGGTCGAAAGGCAGACCTTTTCCCGCTTCATTATGGAGGGATTATGTTGATGTATTGATGCAAATGCCTTGGCACGTCGTGTCTCGCATGGTTATGCTTAGATGTGTCCAATGGACAAATGCAACACCAAAAAATTTCATACAAGCATCTGCGTTTCTCATTATTGATCTCCTTTTATGCCTGCGTAATGGTCACTCTCACTCGCTGCATGTTTGATCTCGTCACAGCGTGAAATTTACCGAGTTCCACAGCTGCACTTATCGACAGAAACAATTCGCCTAATCCTAGTCTGCCCAGGTGTAGTCGGGAGCTTCACGCTCCGCCTAATGCCCTACAGGATATCAGTGCCTCGACGAACAAGGTGTCACTGTTGTATCGACACATTTCTCATCCTCACACAATAGCACGTATCGTCGTGATCACTGCCACGCTCACACAATCTCTCAGCCGTCTTCTGTCAGACGCACACATGAAAAATTACACTCGGTTAGCCCTGCTGCTTCATGTCTGGCACAAAGACAAAATCGAAGTGTAACTGAGGCGAATTTCTCGAAGCGATATGCAAGATTAGAATTAAGAAAAAGGATATCTCGGTCTGGGTTTAGATACAACATGGGGATCGTCGAAATTTCTGCCAACAATGATGACATCTCACCATTTTGTTCTTGTCCTTTTCCAAGAGGTTCCTGCCAAAATTTGGCTGACAGCTTAGATAGGAAGAAATGAGAATTCAACGATTCAAATTCGACAGAAGGAGGGTCTTGGAGATCAATGCAGAATCCAAAATAAAATATAATCAACATTACGAAAGAGGGGTTTCGATCCGGGCTTAGATCACAGCGAACGCACCGATGAATGCACCCATGGCCATCGCGCCCATCCAGGACACTTGCGACGAGGCGGCAGCGCCGGTCTGAGCCAGAAGACCTGAACCAGGCGCACCTGTGGCCGATGCACCATTGGCACCCACGCCTGTGGTCTTGAGCGTGCCAGCCGCCCCGCCGAGGGTCGCGCCACCAATGTGGTAGACCTGGCCGTTGACGGTGGTTTGGGCGGGCGCGTCGGCGCTGGCGGTGCCGGTGATGGTGGACTTGGCCTGGTCCTCCGGGACGGGGACGACGGTGGCGACTTGCAGGCCTTGAGTGCGGGTGCCGCTGGCGTCGGCGATGACGAGTTGGGTCTTGCCGTCGGAGGTGTGCACGGCGACGGTCTGGGCGAGGTGGTTGGCGCCGGTTTGGGTGAATGTTTCGCCCGGGACAAGCGTGACGGAGCCCAGCACCAAGTTTCCGTTCGAGTTGATTTGGATGGTGTCGCCGGCGGACTTGGTTGCCGAGGCTGGATAAGCGGCGGGTGAGGTAATTGCGGGGGCAGGACCGGTGGGTGCGGCAGTCGCAGTGAAGCTGAGATCGCTGGTCTTGTCACCGATCCAGAGCTCGGTCTTGCCGCCAGTGGTCTGAATCATCGCTAGGGTGCTACCAATGTTGATGGCCTGACCAACGGACACAGTCTGGCTTCCAATCACAAAGTTCGACGGAGCAGCTGTGTGGTCCGCGACGACTGTACCTGCTGCTGTGGTGACGGGCGCAACAGGAGCGATGTTGATGGAAGCTGCAGAAGTTGGGACAGTTGGCTGAGCGCTGCCCTCACCGGCGAGGGTTGGCTGGACAGTAGGAACGACAAGCGGTGTTGTAGCGGCAATCGTGGGCACGGCAGCTGTGGGCACGACAGCTGTGGGCACAATCGTCTCGTGCGCCGCGGTCCCAGCAACAACCGGGACAATTGGCACCGCAGTAGATGTCGCTGCCTCCGTGGTGGTTGGCACAAAAGCGAATGGCGATGTGGCTGCTGCTGCAGTAGTCACCGCTTGCGCGGCAGTGAGCGTGTCGGCGACAGCACCAGTCGCCGCAGTAATCGCAGTGGTATCAACGCTCGCTTGCACCGATGCTGAGGCCGAGACGGACACGGTCGCAGTGGCATGAATTGAAGCAGTGTCGATGGTTGTTGGAACCTCTGTAGCAACAGTTGTCGCGATCTCATTGGCAATCGTCGTCGGAATGTCAGTACCAGTGTAGGTGAACGAAGGCGCGGTAGTGTCGGGCAAGACGGTCGTAGTCGGCACTGAAGGTACGTGATCGACAGTCGGCTCGTTGACTGCAGCGGCAGTCACTGCTGGAGCACTGACAGTCGGAGCACTGGCAGTTGGAGCATCGGTCCCCGCAAAGGTGAACGTCGGCGAGCTCGGAGTGGTCACGCTGTCAGTCGGCGCAAATTGAAAGGTCGGACTGGCAGTCGTGACAGCATGGTCGGCTGTTGCGATGTTCTCTGCCGGCGATACAGGCGCGGTGGTGGCAGCGGTGGTGGCAGCGGTGGTGGTCGGCTCGACAAAAACGAAGGTCGGTGATGAAGGCTCGGTGAATGTCTGTTGCGCCGCCGCGGTGGTTTGTGTTGGTGTCGTCAAATCAAGGTCGCTGTGTTGAGTGTTCACGCTGACGGGTGCTGGTTCGGCGCCAGTGTTCTGTTGAACGCTGTTTAGAAGATCATTGACCGGCTGTTGTGGTGCTGGCGCCGCGTTGACGAGGGTGACGCAAAGAATGACTGGAGCAAGAAAGGACCGCATCGTGATCACAAAAGAACGAATGGACGTGGCACGAAGACCACTGTTGGCGAAGACGAAGAATGAAAGGACGACGGCGACGAGGGCCGCAATTATGCGCGTGCGACCACTTCAATGCGAACGTGATGACAAGAATAAACGAATGTCGAAGGAGGCGCTCAGAAGGTGTCGCGCAGAGCGGAGTGGAGTCGGCGTACGGCAAGTCCCAGAGCACACCATGGAAGCATGCCAATAGCTCGGGGTCGAAATTATAAGCCCACGCCGTAGGAGAACCCACCACAGAAGCAAAGACTCACCACATTAGTACGCTAAAGGACATTGGATATCAAGCCCGCGTGCGCTGGTCATCAGTCAGCCGATTGCGCACACAAGCGATACAGCACCTTCGTACTGTGACATATCACTGTATCAGAACCATCTGATGATCGTGGCCGCTGGCTGGCTGGCTCCCTCACAGCATCACGGATCTATGGCTGCCACATGAACTGGGACGCTCACACAAGCCACCGCGCGGAGCAGGCGATCTTTGGGACGGCGCCGAGGACTCAACGATGGTGATCGAACGCAGCTCCAAGCGTGGTTCCATTGTGATTCTTTGGGCTACCTCCGGATCACTGGCCACACATTCGGTGATTTCGATGGGTGTTGTGACTGTTCTCACTGCTGTGTGTTGATGGCCCCGGCCACTCAGGGGTAGGTATAGGCTTGGACCAGGTGAGGTTGGCTGGGGTGTTGCCAGATAGGGCACTAGCGCTGCTTGCAATGGGAAAATACAGGTACGCGTGAACCTTAATTGAGCAGCAGGAAATGAAGAACACTGCACCATCAGCTGCACCATCAGCGGGCATTTGTTGTGTACCTCGTTCCTAGCTGGAGACGCAATCGCTCCGATATTGCAACTACTGTAATACTATAATTAAACACAGTACAACGTGATCGCGTGTCGACTGTTGCTGAACTGAGACATTTAATATTGCAGTTCCCCTGGAGCTTGTCAAGCTTTTCACTGAATGCTTCCTTTAGTAGGGGTGAGTCGACCACGGTCATTAAGTGTTGTTAGTGCTCTCTATTTCGACCACGACATGGTCGAAATGGGAGGAACTTCAGGAGCCCAGTGCTCCATACAGTGGCGGACGAGGTCCAATCTTTCCCGTCGATTTTAAGGTTTGCTGGCTCGAGGAATTTAAAATGAGATCGCATGCATAACCCAAATTCTGCGTACCGCGAGTCCGTGACCCCTCTCCTTCGAGTGCAGCCTCTGACCTGCCGCCTTGCGCGACTCGAGTGACAGTTGTACGCAGACAGGTTGTGAATACAGGATTATTTCTCTGTTCCATTTTCGTCTTCCAGCGACCACGCATCAGTTCTTGACCCTTACCGTACCATGATGGGTCGGAGCCAATGCTCGCAAAGTTGCGCGATCTGCCGTGTGTGTAGGAGGTCAAGAACCATTCACGTGACTGAAGTATACTCATGAATCAGTTCCAGAATACGTTCGGCGCCTCTACTGTGCACAATAGCGACGTTATCGTAGAGCATTTTGCTCGAATCAGATCTGCCGGCCGATCTGTGCTCCACCTCGTGGGCTTTTCTTGTCCTCCTTTGACGCGGATCTGCGTGCAACGCTCAACGTGGCAGCAGGGATACTGCCACAACTTCGGCGTATTCTTCTCTCACAATGATGCCTTGATCATCAAAGATCTTCTTCACACCCATCTCGCAGATCGCCAGACGATCAACGACTACATCCTTCGCCCAGACAAAGTCGTTGAATTTCTCTAATATGCCACGCGCGTCTAGTTTTCCAGAATCATTGGTGTGCCGACCCTGTCCCAAATCCGCCGTTTGTGCTGGGCCGAACGGCTCGGTCGTACTTGCGAACGGATTCGTCTGTCCTATGCTCATCGGTCTGGCTGCTCTGGTCGCTTTGGGTTCACGCATCTTTCCCTTCACATATATGGTGTTGACAATGGTAGCGTGGAGCTTTAGCGGTCTGTCATCAGCAATCAGGAATCCACTGTCGCGAAAAGCCCGTTGTGCTGATAAGGCAAGGCACTGTAATCGTGAAGTGGTGTCGTTGGGAGCGCAGTACAAGACCGATGTGTTACGAGGATCATGCATAGATGCCAGGCCGGTCAGATCCACCACAATCGGATCCACACGTTTAGTAGTAGAGCTGGTCTTGGATTGTTTAATTGCATCTCCAGGTTCAGTTGCCGCCTCTGCAGAGCCATGTTCATGAGGAGCATCTCGCAACAACAGGTCCAATGTGAGCGTTCTTAGAAGAGAAACAGCAGCGTCGATTTTCTGTCCGTCAAGGCTCATCACTCCCACAGTCAAATGTAGACTATCCACTGGGCGAATTGCGGATTCAGGAATTGTAACAGTATTATCATCGTCGGCTTCGTTGCGGTGAATATTTGAGCTGCTTGCTCCCACTCGTGCCTTGAAGCACTCAAGTGACTTTTGCAGTTGCGGACGAGAATTGGCTGTGATCAATGGAATGCAAAGGAAATGTGTAAGAGGTGCTCGCTTCGATTTGCTTGACTTCATGATGATTTGTTGATGTCCGATCACAGTCGTCACGTTCTCCCCAAGTCAACCGCAGGTAGACAGCCCTCGAGCCAACCCTAGGGTAACACAACAGTGCGTAAAAGCTGAAAAACGATGTACCACCGAGTGTCTAGCGAAAAGGCGTTTCTCGTCGCTTCTGATGTATGCAGCCTGCGTTCGTAAACGATGGCTTATTCGTTGTGTCTATTGATTGTGAAGCAGAAACTGTATACGGAGGTTGACAAGCATGGTGGTTCATATGCATGCTGGCATGTGATTTGGCAACGGAGGATGACCTCACAGCTGCGTGGGAAACGTTCAATTAAGGTGCTCGTCTGAGCACAAGCTATCCAACTGAACATCCCGCACTTCGTGACTTTTCTCGGTATTGGCCAGACTCGGGCCCACACCACTAGATATATCTCAGATCATGGCTGATGCTGCGACAACCTCCGGCGCTGAGGTGCCGGAAAATGAGACCCCCAATCAGAAGCAGGCGCGCCTGCGCCGCGAGAAATTGCGGAAGAAAATGGCCGACCAAGGCGAAGACCGGCTAGCGAAGATCAAGGCATTGAACGGCGGTGTTGCACCTCCCGATGAGGTCTTAGGCGGCCGTGAGTGCTTCAATTACAGTGTCAACAGCTCCTCTCGTAACTGGCGGCTACTAACAATATTCGCCTACAGCTGCTGCCAAGGTCGCATCGGTGACAGATGATCCGGAGGAGGTCGACATCAGTACACTGCGCACGAGTACCAACAGATCCGCACCACCCGCCGGCAATGATTTCGCTTCAGCAATGCGGCAGATGCAGCAGCAACAGCAGGGCCCACAAGACTTTGGTCTTGGAGGTGCCTCTGACGACCCGATGATGAAGATGATGCAACAGATGATGGGTGGTCAGGGATTTGGCGGCGATGGCAGCGGTGCTGCTGGGGCGCCGGCATTCCCACCAGCATTGCAGGCAATGTTGGGCGGAGCAGGAGCAGCTGGTGCAGGTGGGCAGAAGCAAGGGCAGCCAACAACGACAAACAGCTCAGCGTATGTGTGGAAATTGGTGCACGCCGTATTTGCCTTCACTCTGGCCACATACATCGCACTCACGTCAACATTCAACGGCACCAAGCTCGCTCGTAGCCAGAGCGTCTATAGTGACGAAGCTGGCTTTGGGCTCGGTCCACGCCTATTCATCATCTTCACATCCGCCGAGCTCGTTCTCCAAAGTACTCGCTACTTTATGGAACGCGGACAACTTCAGGGAGGCGGTATGCTCGCGACTGTGGCCAACAGCGGATTTCTCCCTGAGCCATACGCCGGCTACGTCCGAATTCTAGGCCGATATCTCACAATTGCGCAGACAATCTTCTCGGATGGAATGGTCATTGTCTTTGTTTTCGGTTGCTTGGCTTGGTGGAATAACTTGACCCTGACCACGGAAAATATCACGACTGAAGTCACTGCTCCAGTCGCGTAGTCATACAATGAAGTATACAAATAATCTACACGCGTCCGCCAACCCAACGGCGCAACCATGTACGCGATCCCGTCGCTATGCATTTTCGTCTTGAAGTATTCGCTTTGCATCTCCTGATATGACCGCCTCATATTATCAGTCCCCGCTACCATCATAGGTCTCCTCGTGCTTGCTCCAACAATTCTCTGTCCCTCTTTTCTCTTGTCCGTACCTCCAATGATAATTTGGCATCCTCTGCACTCCTCTCTGCCTCTCTCTTCAACCTTGCGAGAAGTTCAATGTCATCCGGAGTCTGCTCCACCGGTTGCGCCTTGGTCAGTTTCAATAGTGCGTCAAGGATCTCGGAGTTGGTGTAGTTCTTCATGTCGAGCTGCTCTATCCGCTCCTCCGTAGCTTGACTGTTGTCCGGGACTGGTGATGATGGTGATGAAGGTGATGGCGAAGTCGTGGCATTTTCTGCAATCGAAGGTGGTCCATAGTGTATCGACATGATCGAAGGGTCCTCTGCGAGTTCAGTTCGATGTACTGTCATAGCCACGGCCGGGTTGTGATATTTTAATCGCGGAAGTTCCTCTCTCCAGAATTTCCTGCTCAGACACAATCATGAAGTCAGTCTGCCGTCCGAACTCGGGACTCCGTCTCCACCAATAGTGGAATGATAAACTTACCTTGCTCCCATGTGTCCACCGTTCATTTTGTATGCGAATCGCAACTCTATCTTTTGCACATCTTGTGGTAGCTTGGCAGCTCCGGGTCCAAGTCGAATCGCGGTGATGGCAGCCTGAAGTTTGCGCATACGAGCCGCTACGGACACCATCGTGATTGTCGACTGTTGAATGATTTATATGCTCGAGATGGTCGTCCTTGATGCGCAATATTCGGTGTCGTCTCAAGAAGGCCACTGTCACGTGCGTGCCCGAGCGATAACTCGATTTCCAATGTAGCTTTCGTGAAGTTGGCCGACCTCCGCGGGAGTCATAGGGTTCGAGTGCCGATTTGTTCCATCTTGACAAACACTTGTGCCCACCTGGGCAGTGTTATGACTATAGCTTAATTACTATTGTTGATGATGGATTACACGCTTCATATTGTAATCTTGATTGTTCCAGAGCTAGTGAGGGAACATGATTGATGCGTGCGATTGTGTTTATTGGCTCAATACCTTCGCTGGACTGCTGTCGCAAGCAATCGTCAAGCAACAATTGCGTGGTAAATAATACAATACGTGTTGTACAAAAGTGATTTATAGCTGTACAGTGCCGCTCTCAACCTGGGCAGCTCCGATGGCAATCTCAGGGTCAATGTCGGCCGCAACGTAGTTAAACCCTCCAATCTTTGCACTTCCGTCGGACTCAGCTTCTTGTGCTCTCCGCGCACGCTCAGCAGCGTTCCTTTCTTTTGCTTTCGCAACTCTTCTCAATTGTCTTGCTTCTTGAGATCGCTGATAGTCTAGTTCCAGCTGCTCATCCAAGCGCCGCCTGATCCTCTGCCGGGCAACCTTCGTCATCAAACTGATTTCCTCTGGAGTCAGCTTCTCGTTCGCGGGGGCTATAGCGTCAGCGATTTTGAGCTCCTCGGTGAACTTCGCGGTATGTTCGGTCATGTATTGAGAATATTTGGTCTCCTCGATTTTTGCCTTTGCTGCATTGATCCATCGCATGGGGTCAGGCCTGGTCCGCCTCCAGCCATTCTCTGTAAGATAAATGTGCTGTCCACGACCGACACGAAACTTGACTCGCGGCTTGTTCGGCGCGGCCTCGACTGAAAACGCATCGTCGGTTGAGAGCGCTTCGGAATTTTCCTCGTCTAATGTTTCCTCAGTCTCGATTTCCTCTAGGACCTCTGACAGTTCAGGAAGTCCCATTCTTTGTCTGTCCGCGGCGAAGCGCTTTTTGATCGCAGGTGTCTGCATTATAGCCCATCGTAACCACCAACCGGATTCGCCGAGCTCTTTAATTCTTTGTTCTTTCTCTCCGAGGAGGTAATTATCCACACCTCCTAGTTTGTCGATGGTGCGCAGGACGCGGGAACTGACGCGAACCTGCACAGTGCGATCAAGAGCTTTGCTGAACAGTCTTCGCGTGAAGATGTTGGGTTTCCAAGATCGACGAGTCTTGACCTCAATTTTCGTGCCGACATTGTTTCCGTACGTGATTTTTTTGCCGCCATAGAGACCAGTTCGAGACTGCTTATAGAGGAGAGTTGGTCCGTATGGATAAGGTGGAATCACCTCTGCGAGTGCTTCGGAGTCGTTTTGCTGCCATTGCAGATTGACAGACCGGGAGGCAGATGTCGAGAATGTGCGTCTGCACTCACAGACCAGGGCTTGCCGCCGGAAGAGTGTCGCCATGATGGCAGATACAGTCGATGATGGACGGCCACTGGGATGAAATCAATTTGATTTGCGGTACTTGAGATTCGGAGGTCTTCATCGCGGCTTGCTCCAGTGCGAGTCATGTAGGGCATGATAGCTGTCCCGCTGACTCGCGCCCAGGGCCAGCTCACCTGAACGATGCACAACACGAATGTTTTTGATTCACGACATCGGTAAGGCAACCAGTCACAATTCTTGAATTTTGCTATTGTTCCTGCAATTTGTCTCTGAGGGTAGGTTTCGATTCAAACGCAGCAGCAAGAACTTAGCAACGAACAAGGACATCACCCAAAGTTTCCAACATGTCCAGTAGACCGTTGATGAAGAACAATTATGTAAGCCCCGGGAGGCTTACATAACGTACCCTACTACCGAGCCGGTCACACTACCGAGCCGGTCAAGTTTCCGTCCAATGTGCCTTTGACGACTTATTGCAATTACAATATTATAGCTAACGTAATCTATCACCGAGCGGGCCAAATCACCGAACGGGCCATTTTGTCTTGGCATTGTAAACAACATCTTTCCTGTTTATTGTATCAACAACGAGACATGTCATCAGATAATCAAGAAGGTAGAATCGATCTTGCTATCAATGCGTATAGATCTGGTCATTTTCGGAGCCAACGGAGCGCAGCTGCTGCTTTCAATATCAATCATCAGATACTCTCTAAGAGACTCAGAGGAACCAGATCTCGCGAGACTATGGCACCAAACTGTCAGAATCTGACGTCAACAGAAGAACAGACGC